TTTAGATGAGTTGGACCGAGTGGCTGTGCCGGCGGAGTATCAAATAAGACGACGGGATTTTGCGTGAAGCCGATGCGCAGGAGATAGGATGACCGTCAATTAAGATGTAGGCAGCAGTAATCGACCACAAGGATGAGACGAAAGAGTAGATAGTGGTGGTGGTGGTAGTAGTAGTTGAATCAGAGGTAGTTGGTGTGATCGGAGGTTGAAGCCGCGGGCAAGAAATGAAAGTGATTGAAGCAGTTCCAAAGTAAAAAAGGAGTTCGGACTTGGATTCCAGCAGGGCTGTAGCTACTGGAAATATCTCGTCTCTATAAGACCAGAAAGCCCAGCGCCAAAGGGAAGTCCTCAGGGTCAGATCGATCTCCACTTCGTTCGCTCCGTAATTGCACCAGTCTGGTTTAGCGGGAGCAAAGTAGTACGTGGTAGTAATTTATAGTTATTGCCTCAGGTAAAATGCTGAACCCGAAAATTCAAAAATTCGGGGCGAGGAAAATTCAAATGGAATGATAAGACAGGGGAAAAGATGCGCAAGACTGAGGAGACTAGACGACAACGACGATAACAACAATAACAGCCACAACCATAAACAATAACAATAGCGAGGCTAACGTATCAATGCCGCATGGAGGAAATAAGGCAGCTGATACTAGAAGCAGCTGCACGGAATGTGGGTATCAGGTTTCAGACTTGATGATTTCCACCGTGTAAACCATAAAAGAAAATAGGAGGCGGAGAGAGACAGTTAGTTTCTGGCGAGGCAGCAGTTCAAGTAAGTCCTTTTTCAATTGCATTAATTTAAATGTAGGGGTGATGGAATGATGTGCCTGTTTAATAACTCCTACCTGGCAAGCAGGCCATGGATGGCCGGAGAAGCGGCAGCCGACTCTCATGACTGTTCAGATTGGCTGGCCTTCCTACCGAGTCTCGCGACCAGTCATAGTACCTAAATCTAATTTACTTGTACTGACTTTGACCTTAATTGTCTGTCCCGGTTGTTCATGGATGAACGAACCGATGATGCGAGTGGTTTGGAGTAGCTTCCGTACATATTGTCATCACATCATCCATTAGTTAACTATCCCAGTTGATCTGGATGTTCGAACACCCATCTCCCCTTCCCACCCTCCCCTGTTCTCGGTCGCACATTGGGCATATCGCCAGTTGAAACTTGGCTTCATATGCTGTTCAAACCTATTGAACTGTTTTGAAGCGGGTTTATGATGATGATGATGATGATGATGATGATGATGATGTTCATGAGTGTCTCCCATCTACTTCTCCCCCTGCCCCTCCTCCCCTCCCCCCAGTCTTAAAATTACGACTACTTACGTAGTGCCTCTGATCCTGATCTCAACTGCAGAAAGCCACAATAACTCACTTGCAGTTAATCGAGGCTTGGTTTCATGCGTCAATCCCCTGCCCCTCCTTCTCTCCCTATCGTCTTGTGCTCGTTCGTCCCCTGATCCCTCCAGTCTGCATTCGTTTTATTCTGGCTGCCACTGCTGCACCGACACCCAGGGTCGTGTCGTCATGACCAGCACTAAAGACGGGGGGGGGATCGACTGAGGTATGGTACAGTCTCGGATCTGCCACTCATTCTGTGGCTTTTCAGGGACTGGACAACTCGTGGCCTGCTTTCAACAATGGTTCGACCTATGAGGGGAGTATATCGGACAACCTTGAACTTGACTGGCACTAACTAATCTGTATCGGCTCCCGCCTGCTGGGATTGACGGAGAGGGACAGAGAGAGAAGGAGACTCCACCCGTTCCGTTCCATTTCTTCCATTCCACCCGCTGTCTGTTTATCTAGTAGTCTGTTACTTACTAGACTGGACTACTGCTGCTGTTGTCTTAGCCTAGTCACGGCCACATAGTTCACGGGGCGACGGACTATTGAAATTATGGACCAGAAACCATTAGCCGGGCGGAGCATGTGGCACCGTACCGCGCCTTTTCCTTCCAGTTTCAGTGGTTGCTTCTGCCTGTCATCGATCAAACCTAAGGTAGTCATCTCAAAACTCAGGCTTTCCCGCCCAGCCAACCCCGTTGGGCATCCCCGGCGGTAAATCCCGCGCGATGACTACTGCTCCCGTAAATGGTACTGATAATCGATCTCAACCGTCAACATCATGACTATCATCTGGTTGAGTACAATTGAATTGCCGGAAGTGTAAACTTTCAGTGGCATCGCTTCCCATTGGCAGAGAACATCTACTATTTTCACTTGCAAATGTTGCTATTATCTTTTCAATCAAACCCCCCAAATTTGAGTAAGATGTATCGGTGGCTAGCATTGCGACCGGTTGATCGGCCAACTATATTATATCGTGCAGGATTCGTTCCTCTTGTGGCCTTGGGCTCGTGCGTAAGAGCAGCAGTACGGTAGCAGGCGGCGGCGGCGACGGTGTTGCTGTTGCATGCGGTAACTCGTGAGGCAGCCTTTTGGGAGGCGACTCCACCTCGAGCGTTTCAGAATTCTCTGTCAGACTCGAAAGAAGACTACGGACGATCTTGCTCCAGTCGCCCTGCTGTGACTGCTGTCAAACCATAATTTTTTCCTGACTGCCTGACACCAATTGGTCCCCAATTCTTGCCTTATCACCGCCCGCCCTGGATAGATGAAGAGTATGATACCGTATACGATTTGATGCCTGTCTTCAAGCAGTGCAGCAGCATTCAGCCGTTTTACCCCCTTACAGGACATTGTTGCCCTTGGGTCCTTTTCGTCATCGGTTTCCCACGGAACCCAATTCCGCTTTGACGACGCCATCACTGTCATCGTTGCTGCACCCCAGTAACTTAGTGGTCCAATGGACGATTTGCTCCATGCTATACCGGGGCCACTATCCCTAATCCTTACCATACTCCTGGGTGCAAAAGCTATTTTATCAAAAGTGGATTGTAGTCTGCCTGAAAAGCCAGCATCCTGGACTCCTGATAGGGACGGGCGAGTTACTACTCGCTAGCGACTCAGTGCGGTGACTTTTGGGATGTGGAAGTGGGGACCGGAAGGGGAAAAGAGCCAAGCGAGCTGAGAGAGCAAGAATACGGATGATGTTTAGACTCTCCCTGCAATGCAATAATCCATTCAAGCATGTTCTGCTGCCGCGCATGCGAAATTTAGAGACTCAACCCACGGTGAGGCATTTTCGATTTCCTCGGGGCATTGGCTAGGAATCCGCTGCTAACCCGGGGTGTTCCAGTTTAGCGTCTAATCGCCCTCGCTCTGAAGCCTCAAAGCACTACGCGTTCGCTAATCGCCCGTAATGGAACCTCGGCCGCTGAACTGAAGACAATGGGGATTGATTTTCTTTCCTCCGTGACGAATACACTCTTCCTAAGTAAGGAGGACCAACTACCTACAGCTTGATTTCCGACACGCTACCTTTCCAACTTATCAGATTTCGTTGATTGCCATTGTGTCGCATCTTGCCCGACCATGGGAAAAGAAAAAAGGCCAACTTGAAAAATCCATCGTGGTGCTGAGACATGCAGAGCGTCTACATACTGCCTGGTCCGCAGTACAATTTGCCTGTGTGCTGAGGCGCCCCCTTTATTTATTTATTTGGGCAAATTGACATTCCTGGCACACTATAACAGCCTGAACATTCCGAACGATAGTAGCGCTGCCAGAAATTGGATGATGCACAGCTGTCACAGAAAATGCGCGATAGATGCGCCCATCTGCAGAACGGTTGCACGCATACAAATGCGGTGGCCGATGGTGACACTGACACTGACACTGACAAATCCCCGACCTCTATCGAAGGAAATGGCGCCCTGCCGGCGCAGGGACCTCAAATTAACCCGCTTCAACCAAGTGAGACCGCTAGACTACTCTTGTCGGTTGTCAGGTGCGAGGAACATTAACCACGACTTGTTTTCGGCGTCTGCATGATGCTGTAATAGCGCGTGCCATGGCTGCGACGTCTTCACAGTGGATGGTTGGACTATGCACCAGGGCTGAACTATTACTGTCTTCTTTCTTACTGGTGCTCGGTGCAGAGCGAAAGACCACTAATTACCCTTGCGGAATGGCTGTTCAGTAGTAGCGCGGATCGAGCGATCTTGGGAAGCTGTGGTGTGAGGGAGGATCGTTATCGCACCCGCGTCGGTGGAATCCTGGATCCAGTTGGGGAAGAGGGTGGGAGAGGGAAAGTTGGGCAGAACGTTATGCTGACATCATTTCACATGCTTGTCAGTCGAGTCTTCATGGATCGACGCAGATCCTGGTGGGCATCCTCGATCAAAGACTGTTTACCCTGCAGCCGAGCATGGACAATACGAGCGGGGAACAAAGAGCAGAAAGGGGGCAGACAGCAAAATAAAAGACAGTTACTATCTCTGCCCACCGCTGTTCGGCACAGCACGTAGGAAAGAAATAAGAGGCCGTTCGTTCCGGACTCTCGTTCTTATCGTTGGATCGATCGATTCTATGGTCCCTACCCTACCTTACCCTCCGCTATCACTTGGTTGGGGGAGAGAAGGAAAAGGAATGTCTCCCCCTCCCCCAATGCGTTGCGAAAGGATATAGCAACAACGACGTCATGGTTTGGATAGAGTAATCATGGCTCACCACTGCAGGCCTTTCTCTTTCCTCACCACTCATCACGATGTGGTAAGGACCACCACCTGGTCTGGAAGAAATCGTATTCCGTTATTTCTTATGCCTTGCTGAACGTGATTCGAAAGTATTCCACGCGTCCCAACCACTACTAAACCATACAGTGCGGTTGTTGTTCCTCCCGGCCGGTGTGATTCGCTTTTCGGCAGGTACGGAGCAATTCATCAACGTAGCCATCCTTCCCATTGCCCCGCCACCCCGCCCTGAAGCTGGCCGTTGACCGTAATCCACCACCACAAGGTCTCTCCCTCTCTCTCTCTTTTCCACTCTTCCGTTACTCATCTCACCTCAATTCATTTTTCGCTCTGGCGATCTAACTAACATCACCATCCCCTCTCTCACACCTACGACATCTTATTTACCCTTTCACAATGGCTGCTTCCGCTCCCAACCTCTTTAGCTTTGCGAATAACGATGCTTTGGCCCAGCAACTGCGGCCTTACGTGCTCCGCATCCAGAACTCAGCCCTGAGCCGTCACGATACTTTCCGCGTTGCCGTCTCGGGTGGCTCCTTGCCCAAGGTGCTGGCGCAGGCTCTCCTCTCGCCTGGAAATGGATCTCAGGAAGATACTGCCCAGTTCTCCAAGTGGGAAATCTTCTTCGCCGATGAGCGCGCCGTACCCCTCGACCACGAGGACAGCAACTACCGTTTGTTGAAGGATGAACTACTCGATAAGATCCCAGCGGAGCTTGGTGCCCCCAACGTGCATACGATCGACCCCGCCCATGTCAACGATGAGGACCCCCAGGAGCTGGCAGACTTGTACCAGGAGGAGCTCATGCGCTCTTTTGCGGCCAAGGACAGCGTGAAGCTGCCCGTGTTCGACCTCATCCTCCTGGGTTGCGGACCCGATGGTCATACCTGCAGCCTCTTCCCAGGCCACGAGCTCCTGCGGGAGAAGGATGCTTGGACGGCAGCCATCAGCGATTCGCCCAAGCCGCCCTCGAAGCGCATCACCCTTACTCTGCCGGTGGTCACGCACGCTCTCAACATCGCGTTCGTTGCGACTGGGGGTGGAAAGAAGGAAATCATGAAGCAGATCTTTGATGCTGAGGAAGGAAGGGATCTGCCATCCTCGCTGGTCAACCAGGGTGCCGGTGAAAGAGTGAGCTGGTTCACTGACCATGCGGCTGTAGAGGGCGTCGCTTTCCCGAGACGTGGCAGCTTGTAGTTGATGAGCGTATATGGGTCAAATTGTTTCCATTTGATCAAAGTTGCGGACACAGATGATACGAAGGAAGGGAAAGCCATCGATGAATTGCAACAACACCAATTACAGACGCGCATTTGACCGGTGTACGAGAATTCCCTACGCCTGGGGGTGGACATGGGAGGAGACGGACGCGGTTGAATTTGGATGATCGTTGTCGCTCAGACTGGATGAGTTGTCCCGCCTTTTGATTCTCTGCTTTCTGCAAGGTTCACCTCTAGACTTATGGAAAAGTTTGTGTTGTTATCCTGTGGATATCACTGACCATTTCCCAATGAATGGACTAATGCTATAATCGACCACATGGAAGATTCCCAGTTCTTGGCAAGCGAGATCACGAACCCCGTATGGTCAATGATAAGAAGAAGATGGCTATGGCCCTGGCGAGATCCACCATACAACCGCCTTCTTCTGTAGTGGTAGTGTAACTACTAACCTTGCCACTATACGGACGCTGGCTTCTCACCGAGCCGTGCCAAGCTTCCACTGTGTATGCGGAACCTTCACCGCAGCTGCCCCGACCGGAATCACCGCCTCCAGCTAAACTCTAACCTCCGCCTCAGCGACTCTGAGCAGGCAGTGGTGAGAAGGGGTTATGTCTTGTCTACAAAGCCCAATTCTACATTCATTCTGTCTTTCAATCGACTCAGCGCCCGCAAATGTCCTGAGCTATTTCATCGCCCACCATGCCAATCCCAACGCGCTCCCTGTCCCTACGCGAGCCCCGTACCGGTAAGGTAAGTTGCATCGACCTCCTCCCCCCCCCCCTCCTTTATTACCTCTCATTTAACTAGCCGGAGTGGCCTCGAAACGCCCGGTGTCAATGTGTTCTCTTCAACTTCTCTCGTCGTACTGTTCCACGGCTGCTAACACTACGCTGTACAGCCGTTGACCACCGGTCGCTCCGCCACAACCAAGACCATTCCTTCCACGATTTCTACGGCAGTTGGCGGAAAATCCTCTTATCCTGCCACCGGAAATGAGAACACCATCACACGAAACAAGAGTCTTCTACCTGTCCGTGATGATGGCCGTTCCGCAAGATCTTCCCGAATCCAGCAGCCAGCAGAGAGTCGCCTGGCCCAGCGGCCGGCCAAGACCATGGATAAGGGATTGCAACAGCAAGACGCACCCTCCACGCGCGAAGCGACCGGGGCGAGTCGTCGCCAGAGCCTCATTCGACCGACCCCGTTGAAGCCTACTGGATCTGTGAAGCCGACCGCTACGTTGACGACCCCCAAACGGACTACTTTTGCGCCGGGTCCATTATCCCTCTCCAAACAAGAAGTAGGCTCCAGTCAGACTGGACGGCCCTTATCTCCTAAGAAAACAGATATGCCTCCGCCCTCATCACGACTCAATCGATCCGCTTCCTTACGACAGCCGGCCAAGCCCAGCTCCAGTACGCCGTCCATCACTCGGGGCCACGCGCGCCATCGTAGCCAAGGGGTTACGCCCAATGCGAGTCGAGTGACGGGAAGGCTGGAACCTCCTTCCTCGACTACAATGACTCCGATACGTCCGAGAACCCAAGTCTCGTCCCATCCGCAGAGTGTGTCCTCGAAAAAGACGGTCAATCCAGCAGCCACGAAGAACCTAACTGCCAGTGCCTCCGAAGACGTCGATTCTTCTTTGATACCATCGTCCTGGCCCGAGCTTGCAGCCTTGCAAACTGAGCTCTTACAACTTAGCCTTACCCACTCCGCATCTCTCCAACAGAAGACGTCCTGGGTAACCAATGCCGAAGCTCAACTCCGGATAGACTACAATTCCGTGGCGGATGATTATCGTGCTGCTCTTGCTGTAGAGCAAGACCTTCGAACACGACTCAATGGGCAGGCCCTGCATTGCTGGTTACAAAATTCTCATGAGCACAATGGTCCTCGAGGATTCGCGGCGCAGATTCAGGTGCTTTCCCAGGTAGCAGAGGACGTGTACATTGTGACGGATAATCTGGAAGGGCGGTACACGGCAATCGTGCAAGAATTTGAAGAGTGGTTTCAGCGGGTGGAAGAGATTCGGTACCTCCGGCTTCATCAAGAGCGAGGCATGCACCCCGGCGTTTTCATTGATTCCTTAGACCGCACTTGGCAGGAGGAAGTGTCGGCTTTATCTACGAAATTGGACTATTGCTCGCGGCAGTTACAAAGCCTGGATCTGCTGGGCTACGGAGAGCTGGAGCGTTTTGACGGCTCTGCGCTGTTCCGCACGATTAAAAACCTGGAGGAGATGGTGACGCTGATGGTCGAGGAGCTGCACACGATCCGTAAGATTGAAGGCGACGTCGTAAGAGCGGAACGGGCATGGGTTGGTCAACTGGCTCAGCAGCTGAGCGCCATGCCACCGCCGCAACAGCAACTTGGCCTCTGGAAACAGGCTTCCTTGCGATCATGACCAAATATTCGCAATCTGTCTCCCGCCTTGATGGCGAATCTCTTGCCACCGTCTTGAGCAGCCAACTGCGCAACGACCGTCCTTCTCTTTTATCAAACATGCAATCTGAAAATTATTGCAATCGGAGTCCGACTGTGCGAGTCGAGTGCCGTAAGCGTCGCTGGGCCATGGATTCGCCTGCGGAACACATTGGGGGGGTAAAACCAGCGATGCATCATGGGGTCATCAAGGGACGAAAACCGGTTCTGGCAGGCTCCCGGCCGCTCATTGGGAGGTCTGGCTTATTTTTTACACTAGGTAGCCCTGTTCACTAGCTGCCTTGCGTCGCAAGCGATCGGGCAACCCCTTCCAGGACTTCTGCATAATCCGACCCGGCTGTCAAAAAGGCCTGTTGCGATTCTAGAAGGTAGGCATTGCTACACTTGGAACCTTGATTTTGGCCAAGACTAACCCCGGGACCTAATCATTAGTCGACTGAAAATTCCCTGTAGTCACCTCGTTCTGAGCTGCCTGCGTCCAGTTTACAGAGTTTTCCGCAACGCGCAAAAATGGAGGCCAGGCCTGACCAACAACACATTCCCCCATTCCACCGTCAACTGCCTCCTGTTGGTTATAGTGTGATTGATCATCGACGGCCGAGTGTCTAGTGTGCTTGTGAGCGATCCCCTTCCTGGGACGATTGATGTGTTCCCTGGTGGTTAGCCTGTACCACCTGTGGTCATGTTTCACCGCTGGGGATGCCGACAGTAGCGTACAGATAGATCTTGGCTTCATCGAACCGGGCTGCCTTCATACCTGTCAAGAGAGGAGGAAACCACCCGGAAGGCTACACTGATGCATAACCTCCCGTGTCTCTCTCATCCGAGCAGAAAGCAGAGAGGTCCTGCGCAAAGTCCAGACTAGCGAACGAAAACCCACCCCGAACCATTTGTTGAGCTGTCAAGCCGATAATTGTCTCCACCTTGTCCCAGAGAGTGTATTGAGACGAGTTGCAAAAACTGGGAAACTGGGAAGAGGGGAATAGCGATGGATCCGGTTTTTCCTCTGACCGGGATGGATGTTGACCTAGGGGGACTGCGATATTACCCATGGCCCTTCTCTGCACCCTAGGCTTAGACAATCTAGAACTTTTCTCATCTTCCTTACTTGCAAGATAAGAGAATCCCCAAAAGACCAGAGGGGAGCCGGTGGGAGCCTATGGACCTATGAACAAGTCTGAAAGAGTGAGAGAGACTCCAGAAGATACTGTACGGTACCTTATGCTGCGTGCGCTAGCTACCCTAGTTGACCACGGAGTCCGTGCTCCAGTGGATTTGATTGCTTTGCTCTCTTTTTTGGGGGTGGGAGGAAGGGGGAAGGAGGGGGAGGGGGGAAGAGATTATTGATGGAAGGGAAGAGAAAAGGAACGAACAGACCGAAAGAACCTCACCGCGTCCATCCGGCCGGATTGGCAACGGGAGAGACCGGTTCACGATTGGGTGAGCGGAGAAGCGATGGTGGGCAGATATGAGGTTTATATAGAGATGCATTTTCGCTGCCCGCTCTTCGGCTTTGCCCAACCGACTGATTGATTGATTGCCCGACCCATTCTGGGGGAGGGTGATCGGTGACTAAGCAACGTGGAGACTTTTGTTCGTCATTCCAACTAGGTTTCCATATTTTATTTTATCTTTAATTTCATTTCATTTTTGGTGTTATCCTCTTTTCCTTCTTTTCTGGCTGGCAGCACAGCAGATCCTAGTGTCAAGCTTAACTCGAGCGAGCAGTCAACTGCCTTTCCTCGCATTAAGGCCTGTATCCACTTCCATCTCTCCCCCCCTCGACTGTGTAACCTACTTACTACCTAGGGGGTTTAGAAGGGAGGTAGGTAAGTACTGTATGTACGTGAATTGGCCTGAATTGGGCCTAGAAAATGGTCGTACCTTCTGCTTGCTTGCTTGCTTGCTTGCTCTCTTTCCCTCCCTACTCCCTCCCTCTCTCTTGCTTTTGCATTCACACGCGCCCAACAATCCATTCGGCCGAACAGTAGCCAGCCGATGGCCCCATGCATCCTCTTCCCCTAGTTGGTCGAATCATGGACACTAGATTTGGGATCGCGGGTCTTCCCAGATCGTTGACCTTCCTTCTTCTGGTATGGTTAAGCAGAAGATTGTCCCTCCGTTGGGAAAGACCGTAGTCTAGTCCCTCTAAGTCTAGAGGGAGTCTGTGTGTGCGTGCGTGCGTGTGGCTGGCTGTGAATTAGTGTGAAGAGGCTGTAGTCACTCACCTCTCTAGCCTGTCAGCCGATGATGGCGATGGGTGATGGTGAGAGGATTCTGGAAAAAGGATATCATTATTCGCACCTCCCAGCTTAGTCCCTCCCAACTTCAGGAATCTGAGGCGATTTGTCTCCAATCTTCGGGGAGGGATGGATCCAGATGAGGGCTCGGGGAGGAAAGCACAGAATCAGGACCAGAGGCGGAGAAAGATGATCAGAATGCGATCATCTTGAGCTCAACTCGGATTTGAATGGGATGGAGACAGGGAAGTAGGATTGGATGGCGAACCAGCCAGCTTAACCAGCCAGCAGTAGGAAGCAGCAAGCAAAGCAAGCAGCAAGCAGCACATACCAGCAGCAACAGCAGCAACAGCAGTAAGAACCAACAACATACAGGGAGTAGTAACTGCAGCACATCACCGAGCAGTGAGCATCTGGCTTGTTAACTATTCAGTACATCCTACTATTTACCTTAGTAGACTACTACTACTGTTACTGTCTTCAAACTAAACTAACTAACTACTAACTGTGGTTCTGGACCCGGTGGATCTTTGGTTCCCTTTATTTTTTTCCCTTCGTCTCCCCCCATCGAATTCCCCTCCTCTGCTTGCTGGCTCGATTGGCTTGGCCAACTGCATCCCGTTTTCTTCATCGCTCCGTCCTCTTCTATCTCGTCCCCTTCTCTCTTCTTTCATCTGACGACTTTCCCTTTTCCATTCCGAACAATCCACACACCACACCGACTTTAGTCTAAAGGCAGTGGGATTCCCACTGTTTTCCTCTTTCAGCTTGGGTTCATCGAGCTCTTTGTTGCCTCTCGACCATCGACACTGTGGGCTGGAGGGAAGAAGAGATCGGGTGCACTATTCGGAATCTGGTCAGGTTCTCATCATCTGGCATCATCGTTCATATACCCGAAACAATCTGGACCGTCCGTCTTTAGGCCTATTCTTTTTTCTTTCTAGGTTTTCTCCCTCGCTTTCCCTCTCTCTTCCTCTCTTTTCTCTTTCATTTATTCTACCACGTCACTCTTCCACTCGACTCTCTTGATTGTGTGAATTTCCAGTGAAAGGATCTCTCACCTGTGTTCTTCTCATCATCTGTTGAGGGGGTTGCAGCAGATCTATCGACTGTATTCCTCTTGTCACCCGACAGCAGGAAGGATCTCCGCGGGCTGGCGTTCAAAACTTCTTATGTCGGGTCTCGCCTCACGCCGGGATCAGCGACTGAGAGCTTTGCGCCGCCGTTTTTCTGCGCGAACCCCAGTCTGACGTCACGGAAGCTGCAGCGGTTCACCTTCCGATTCAGTTCCATTCCCTTTTTCTCCTTTGCCTATTCTCTCACATTCCCGCAGCGCGCAATGATCCACTTGCTCGGTAACATACCGTCTGACACTTGGTAATTGTCTGGTAAGACTGCCTGCCGCCTGCCACACCCACCACCGCGCGCACACACACACCCCCCCACACACACCCACCCACCTACACACATACCAACCATGAAGGAGTCCCTCTACGATCGTATCTTGCGTCGGGAATCTGGGGAATTTTCCCGGTTCGCCAGCATTCATGGGCTTTATGGGTCTCCAGAATGGGTCCAGGATCTTGACATTGTCAACGAACTTGGTGGTCATTCTGGTTGTGTTAACGCCTTGAGGTATGTTTACTACCTGTCGCCTCGTGATTCTCGGCTTTTCAAGACTGGTATTACGTCCTGTATTTGTACTGTACCTGTCCCTCCTTACGATCGTTATCACCCCTAGTCTACCTTACCCTACTAGTAATATGCACCATGACGTTTCAGCCCCCCCGCTCTGACACCGAACAAACAGTTGGTCGCGGTCTGGCCGCCTTCTGGCCTCGGGGTCGGATGATCAGCATCTGAACATCTACGCCTATCAGCCCGACTCCTCAACCGCTCCCTTTGCGCTGAGCACCACCATCGCAACTGGTCATGCCGCCAATATTTTCTCTGTCAAATTTATGCCACATTCCAATGATCGGACTTTGGTCTCATGCGCCGGTGATTCGCAGGTCCGAGTCTTCGACATTGAATATTCCAGTAGCAATGGGCACCTGGACGGGAACTCAAATTTCGCTTCATCGGCCAGAAGTCGACGCTTTCACAACTTCTTCAGCAGCACGCATTACTTGAGCCCACGAACCGCCAACGCCAAAGTGTATCGCAGCCATGCCGACCGCGTCAAGCGCATCGTGACCGAGTCGTCGCCGCACCTCTTCCTTACCTGCTCAGAGGATGGAGAGGTCCGCCAGTGGGATCTGCGACAACCCTCCTCGGCCTATCCGAAACCCCGGGGAGGTCAGGGCTACATGGCTTTCCGATCGGGTCAAGACCACGATGATTCCAATGTGCCTCCTCCGCTAATCTCGTACAAGAAGCACCGTCTGGACCTCAACACCATCTCATGCTCGCCGAGTCAACCGCACTATATCGCACTGGGTGGCGCTCATCTCCATTGCTTCCTCCATGATCGGCGTATGCTAGGGCGGGACCTCCTCGCCGAGAGGGGGACTTCAAGTGCTTCTCCGGGAAGTAGTAGCCAAGGTGGGGACTTGTTGGATGATGCGACGAAGTGCGTGCGTCGGTTTGCGCCACACGGTCAGGATCGGATGAAAACTCGAGACGACGGTCATATCACGGCCTGTAAGATCAGTGATGCGAATCCGAATGAGATGGTAGTTAGCTGGTCGGGTGACCATATCTACAGCTTTGATCTCATTCGCAGCGCAGATGCGAGAGAGGCTAGATCACGGCAGCCATCGGTACGGGAAACTCCCGTGCCACGAAAACGTCGAGGCAGCAAGAACCGCAAGCGAAAACGCCACAACGGCACATCAATGTCATCCGAGTCGAGCGGTCATCGGCCTTCCTCGCGACGTCGACCCAGGGGTAGCCAGGACGAAGGCGAGTTAGCATTTCGTGTGCGCTACGGCAACGGAGAGTCAGAAGACATTCCTCTCCCATCCTTAGCGCAGCGCCACGCTGAGGTACCCCAGACTTTGCTGGAGCAATCAAGGATTGCGGTGCTCAGTGACGCTCAAAGACTCAGTATGCGCATCGCCAAAGATCTGGTCAAGCTTCGCAAGGCTCTTTTCTCGCTAGATACGTCGGCGCGCGAGGAGCTCGAATCCGCTAGTGCAACAGACCTTACACCGTTCGGCGAATCTTTCTCCACGGCATTGACCCACGCCTCCATTTGTCTCCCGCAGATGAGTGGGGTCATGCGCACATGGGGCTATCCGCTCAATCCTTCCCCAGACATGGTGCGCTTTCAGCAGACCTTGCGCCGGAACCGTGAGTCCGCTTGGAGCTTTGTCCAGGCAGCGGGAACGATCGCACGGGCACTAGGCGGCGAGATTCAGAACACACCTGGAGACGTCGACAATGATCTGGAACAATTTCAACAGATATCGCCACTAAAGGTTGAATATGCGCTCGATCGCAAGGAGCAATTCGGCTATGACTTCATCAAAGCGATCATTTTGTATGTTGAAGGGGGTCGGCAAGCTCTGCTGTCAGGCTTCAAGCGTGGTCCTATGCGTCGGGACACACTTGCCCGGTTTCCCATCCCCGAAGCTGCGGACGACCGGGCGATCGAGTCAATCCTCATCCCTTATCTTCAGCGGCTGGCGGGAGAGGCTCCTGTGGTGAACGTTGATGCGTCTCGGTTTGAACATGACGAGGCCCGTGTCCTTTTCCAAACTCAACGCGAAGCTGTCGCCGCCTTCGCGACTGCGATCAGGATTCCTGTTGAAGCTGCGGTCGACGGCGGAGCTCCGAATGGGCGTGGAAGCACACACAATGGGCCCATCCACAGTGTACCCTTTTCAGAAGTACCTACGCATACACCTGACTTGTTTCAACTTACACAATTCTGGGTGTTGAAGGTGGCTCGCGGCATTCTTATGGAAAGCGGAACCGGCGTCAATTATGCTTTTGTTAACCGAGCCTTCGGTGGCTTCCGGGCTGCGATGGCGCCCGACTCTGAATTGGATATGGATCCCGAGAGATCACAGAACGACTTGGAAACCAACATGGAAGATGAGCCAATCAGCGACGTACGACTGAAGATTCTCCGGGGGTCGCAACTGGGCCGAGACGAATCTGATGACTCTGGTAGTGAGGCGACCGGCACCGAGTCAACGGCGTCTTTGAATGGTCGTGCAGGCTTCTCCGGGTCGCTAGGCATGGATGGTGAAACTGAGGACGAATCGGACGGTGCACTAGATGAGGAGGAGGACGAGGATGAGGACGAGACCGAAGACGACGACGATGAGGAGGATGAGTTTGACCTGGACCTCGGTGGATCTGCCAACGACAGCGACGACGACTCCGAGGCTGAAAACCGCATGTTTAGGGAATACGGGCTTGAACCCAGAAAGAGAGAGTACGTGGACTTGGACGCTCCCTGTTCCTCGCATACTCGTGTATATCGCGGTCACTGCAACGTCAAGACAGTCAAAGATGTTAATTTCTACGGGCTGGATGACGAATTTGTCGTGAGTGGGAGCGACTCTGGCCACATCTTTATCTGGGATCGGAAGACGTGCAAACTGGTCAACATCCTCGAGGCCGACAGTGAGGTCGTCAATGTTATCCAGGGTGAGTTTGTGCAGCACAGGTAGTGTTGCTGCGTTGGGGTTAACGATGGTATTTAGGGCATCCTTACGAACCCACCATAGCCGCATCCGGCATCGACAACACGATCAAGATATTTTCACCCGACCGCCGTGCCCAGGAAGAAGCTCGCCGTGGGATTAATATTCTGGATCCCGACAACCTCGCCAACGCGCTTGGGCCCAATGTTAGAGGGATTGAGGGCTTGACCAGTCGCAAACGCCTGCATGACAGTTATCGAATCATGAACCAGAATGATGTTGATCGACAAGGCGGGATGAGCGAGGCGTCGATCACCGTACGTGCAGTTTCTCGATCCGGGTGAATTTCTATGCTAACGTTCGTGCAGAGGCATATGCTTGCCCGTCTTGCCACTACGCTGCGGGACCAGCAGTACAACGTGGAGCCTGGTGGAGCTGGAGAGCATGCCACCTTGGTGTTGGACGAGAACAGCTGTCATGTAAGTTCGCTAAGGTTGGTCGGATCATACGATAGTTGAAGCTTATGCAGTCTGCAGGTGATGTGAATTGGTGGGTCTTTACGAGCCTTATGTCGACTGTCTGCACGGTGGCCTCGACTTGTCAAAATAAGTTGTTGGCATTTCTCTCCATACCCCGTCTTTCTTCTCTTCTCATCCCAAGTCTGAACCCATGGTTATCATCTTACGTGGTTTAAACGGCAGTGTGGTTATGTAGCGTCTTACAACCTGTTGCTTGGCTGTCAGCATGAATTACGATACCCGAGATATGTGCGGGTGATAAAAGCATTCAAAACCAAAAAATACATATAACCTTTCTCTGAGATGTTACGGACGGGAAGTTGGGGCTTGTAATGAGTAGTATAGATCAACACGCATAGATACAGCAAACTATAGATAAAGAGACTATCTCCACGTGACCGCTTTTCTTATCGCTCCCCCGCATTTTTGGCCCTCGTTTTCTGAATTTTTTCCCCTCCGCCTCGCTCTGAAATTGGAACAAGGTTCTCAGATAGCTCAAGATGCAGGCTCTACAGGAACGAGCCGACCTCACGGCACGGCTCTACGAAGACCCTCACAACCCACACCTCTACTATGAGCGGGGCCTCATTCACGAGAAATTGGGATTTCCCGACCTGGCGTCGGCCGATGCATACCGGGCTCTCTCCCTCCTCGACTCCGTCGTTGACCCCGACGGCTGCGAATTCCACGCCCGACGCAGGATCCAAGACCCATCCGATACATCTAAGCCCGACGCAGAGAGCAGCGACGAAGACGACGATGGCGATGACGATGACCAGTTCACCGCGCTCACACAGTCCGAATACGACGCCCTCATCCACCCCGTCTACGCCCTCTTAGTCCGCACCCTCGTCAGCTGCGGCTGTTTTCGGGATGCCTACGAATTCTGCGCGCAGGGCCTGAGCAGTAGCAGCAGTAGCCCCGCCCACTCGCCGATCGATCGCGCCGCGCACGCCACGCTCACCGCGCAGCTAGCCATCCTCCAGCGAGAATACGCGCGTCGCCGCAACGACCCGGTCCGAACTTCTTCCTCGTCGACGGATAATGATGATAATGAACAACAAGAACAACAACAAGAACAACAACTCACGGAGCCGATCGTAATCGACGACCCCAGCGTGCTGCCTGCGCAGGGCTTCGCGCGTCGCGTCCTCTACCCGTGGAACGAGCACGAGCCCGACCGCAAAGCGCCGGCGACGCTGGCGCTACTGAACGAGAAGCTGCGGACGGTGGCGCCGAAGTGTGAAGTCCGGGCTGTGGCGTTGCCGGCGCTGCACTCTACCACCACCAATACCACCACTCCAACCGACCCAACAAACCCCGCGAAGAAAGAGGAGGAGAAAGAAGAAGAAGAAGAAGTAAGCGTCCAACTAGGCCTCTTCGCGAAGGAAGCCATCGCGCCGGGCGAGACCCTCCTCCACGAAACCTCGCTCCTAACGGCCACAAACCGGCTCCACGACGACCTCTGCGACGCCTGCAACGGACCCTTACCGGACCTCTCGGCCGCAGAGCCGCCCGTCCCCTGCGCAAACGGATGCGCCGACACGATCTTCTGCTCGCAGACGTGCCACGACGACGCACAGCGCGTCTACCACGGCGCCGTGTGCGGACTGATGGAGAACCTCGAGTCGATCGGCAAGGACATCCCGGATCCCAAGGACAAGGCCGATTACCTGTATCTGCTGCTGTTGGGCCGCGCGCTCGCTATGGCCGCCACGCAGGCGGTGCATCCGCTTGAGTTGGACGAGGTGAAGTTCATTTGGGGTGATTTCGTGGATTACCAGCGTGCTCCGGATGCGGAAGTTGAGAAAGGAGATGAAGAAAGGGGAGGAGGGGACGGCACCCTCCCCTTCTCCTTCCAGCTCAACATCCTGCAACCGATGCGCCTCCTCGAGGAAATGGAAATCGACCCCTACGTCCACCTGCGTGCCTACGATACCTGGGTCCTGAATACCCTGTACGCCAAGTTCCGTGGGACCGCCTCCGGTCGTCTGTCGACCTGGGACGGCGGGCCCGAGCTCTGCGCTGTCCATCCGCTTTGGTGTCTTGCTAACCACTCGTGTGATCCGAATGTTCGTTGGGAGTGGGGCGGGGAGATCACTTTCGTTGCTCGTGCGGAGGGTGAGAGGGCTGTTTGGCATTCTGCGCCTGATGGTGCCTCCGTACCCTCTGGTTATCGGAGGGAAGGAGCGGGGATTCGCAAGGATGAGGAGATTCTGAACCATTATTGTGATATCGGGCTTGGGGTGCGGGATCGTCGTGAGTGGGCGCGTGGTGCCCTTGGTGGGTTCTGTTTGTGCGAGAGGTGTCGGTTTGAGGCTGGCGAGTTGTGATCGGGGTTTAATTACATTACAAGAAGGGGGGGTTAGTTGGGTGCTTTTGTTCGGATAGAGATAGAGTTTAGAGTTGAGATACCCCTGTGGTGATAGATATCTATATACTTTTTGTATCACTAGATAAAAGTGATAGTCATGCTGCCATTTACCATATACCCCGTCTGTACTGATCTGTTGGGTCGGGTCAAGTCTATGACATATCATACACCAACTAGGCTAACTATCTAACTGACTTGACTGTGTTTTATCGCTTGGAACTAGATACTAAAACCGAACCCATTATGATATACCCTTGCCCATGCCGTCACCACCGAAACCATCCTGTAAGCACAACTGCAGATTGCGTTCATCCCCAACTCGTCCTTCCTTTCGATCGTGATTGGGCTCTTCGGTGCGCTAGTCACGGCCCCGGCGCGGTGGGGTCGGCGAACGCGATGTCCGGCGTCGGACGGGAGACCGCGACGGGGACCTGGAATCTGAGTAGCGCCGACGGCCAGCTCGTGCGGGGGGTGTCGGCGACCGAGACTCATCGCGACCACGACGGCCGGCCGGCCGGGCTGACACAGACCGGGTCCGAGACCGAGACACGCTCCTGGCAACCCGCCTGCGGGGAGGAGACGGCGATCGTGACTCGGAATACCGGGCCCCGCTGCGGGCTGCAGGCGCTCGACGGACCGGTGGCGGGGTCACGGACCGCGATGGTGATCTGGTGTAGCTGCGATCCCGGCGAGGAGGGGCTGCTCCGCCCTGTCTGCGAGGCGGCGTGACCGAGCGGGAGAACGAGCGTGCTCGTCGGGTTGGGTAGGGGCTCACGCTGCGGCGAGGGGAACGCGAATCGTAGGATCGATCCCGCACCCGGCGAGGAGGCGGGGACCGCGACACGGACGAGTGTTTGCGCGGGGCCGCTGACCGGGTCCGAGACCGAGACCGACTGTAGGACACTGAGCGTCGGCGGCTTTTGGGGGCCGGCGACCTGGACCGCGACGGCGTGTAGCTGTAGCTTCTACGGGACGAGCCAGACACCGACCGGCTGTAGGATCGGCCCCGACTGACTGAGCGTCTGCGGCCGCGGCCTGGTGAAGGGGAACGGGAGTTGGAGTAGGAGCGGGAACGGGAGCGTGAGCGTGAGCGAGGAGTGCACGTCGAGCAGCTGGTAGGGTGCGAAGAGACGGACTCGGCGTCGGACTCGGCGTCTGCGCCGCGTTGCGGCAGGGCAGGCATCGCGGGCTTGGGGAGGTTCTTCAAGTGCTCGCGCATGTCTTCCGTCAACATACCCATCCCGATACTGGTGAAGTAGTTGATCGCGAAACGGGTGTTGCGAGGGTTGTCCATCGGGAACAGGCCCTCGAAGCTGGGGCGCAGAATCTCGTCTCTCATGCGCTCTTGCAGCTTGGGCAGGCCCATATGCTCTCCCAAGTCCTGGAACAGGATCTTGATGAAGATACGGCTGCTGGAGGTCGTCTCTTCTTCATTCATGTGGATGATTGACATCACATGCCACCCGATGGCATCGGTGCTAATCATGTGGCCGAAGAAGCGAGCGATGTTCCGTAGTCGGTTGGTCTCGTATCGATGGATCGTATCGTAGTATTTGGCAAAGGAGGTTTCGAACAGGTCGGACCAGAAACGGTTGATCTTGGCGAATCGCTCACCGATCAAGCCGTAGAATTTGGAATATGTGCGCTCCTGCGAGCAGCACTCGATGATCATCGACGGAAGCTCCGACTCGAGCCCGGTCGGTAGCGAGATCTTCATCAGCTTGTGGCAACATTCCTCGAAATCTATACTAGACATGATAGTCAGGTAGATCGTTCTCCGGAGGTTGACAAGGTCTGCGTTGGTTTGATCTTTGATGTCCATCTTCCGTTCTTCCTCCGACTCCTCATCCGAGCTCTCGTCGGAAGCGTCCTCGTCCTCGTCATCCTCATCCTCGCTGCCCTCGCCCAGGATATCCGCCTTCAACCTCTTGTAGGCCTCTTCGTGCTCTTCCCATTGCGCATCGTACTTGAAGATGTTCAGCCCATCCTGCGTGTCGATCTCGTCGTCCAGGCCAATCTGGTGTGTAATCTGATCTTCTTCCTCGATCAAGTCCAATTCCTCCTTGATCGCCGGGTTATCCTTGTATCTGTCCTTGCGAACCTGGAACAACACTTCGATCATATACTGCACACGCTTATCGATATCCGCCTCATGCAGAATGTTGCGGAACTGGTCGAACACCGCAAGGGCGATGGGACCGCTCATTTCCTCCAAGTGCTGACCAACTTCGCGTGTAAGTCCAACGGCAATCTCGACACTGTCGTCTGTGGGCTTGTGGAGCAGGAGCAGGAGGATCTGGGCGGCCAGCATCTCGTGGGCAACCTGTTGGTTGCACAGATGGGCGATGAAGGTGGTGGAGGATATGCAGACCGCCTTGTCATTTCGCTTGAAGGCCTTCCGGAACTGCACAATCAACCGGTTGAGCAGAAGTTCTCCGACCTGCGGCAACTTGGTGTTGACGATCGCGGCCATCGCAGCGTAGATCGGTGTGAAGGGCAAACTGGCCGCCTGGGCCTTCATGATGCTCCTGCAGAACAGACCGCGACCACGCACCAGATTCTCGCCGAACAGTTCGGGGACGATGTGCTTGATGTTGGAAACGTTGACCTTGTTGATGAGACCGTTGATCGACTTCTTCAACGCCTCCCACGCCATCCGCTGGTATTCCTTGCTGGTCTTGTCGGTGATCTGCGCCTGCAGCGCCCGGAGTCGAGCGGGAGGGATATAAGTGCCGCCAGACCGCATATTCAAAAGCTTCTCGTACTCGGCTTTGGCGGCCGCTTGCTTCTCCTCTTCCGTCATCGGCTTTCTGGCGGCCGCTTCCTGCTTCTCATGTTGGCGCACGCGTTCCGCGAGTTGACGCTCTCGTTCCACAGCGCGTGCCGGGTCGATGCGCGGCGCCTCGAGGCCGTCATCGTGCGAGCCACCGGGTGGCGAGCGGCGACGGTTCGGTGAAGGGGATCGAGAGGGAGGTGAGCGTTTGCGCGATGCTGAGGCTTTGGGGGAGTCCGAGGTGCCTGGGGGTGGAGTCGGCACTCGCACCGCAGACTGCAACACGACTGGATCCGTCATTCTTTCTTCGCGGTCGACTGCAGGATTACCGCGACAGTGGTGGTGAACCCGCGGATAACACGACGTTGGTCGGAGCTCTTCGTGACGGGCGGCGAAAGAAGGAAGGGAAGTCTTAGCTCGGCCCCAGTCCGGTCACGTGAGCGCGGTAGGAGCCACTGTCCTAAATTATTTCTGCTGTAGAATCTGCTTTAGTATATACACTAGCAGAGATTGATACTGGTTATATAGGTTTTATCACTATAACTCTTTATTAAGTATTTTCGACACAATCGCTGATATGAAAATCAACGGTCTCTTTAGTACTGAAACCAAGGAACAAAAAGCTAGATAGTGTCAAGCAGGTTTATAGGAACCATGGTGGCAAATGGTCAGGAGTCGATCTATAAGCTCACTGTGACCATCCAACAGCAAGCTTAGAATATCATCTGTCAAGCATCCAATGACCAGTAACAATCCTCAAACTAGATCTACACCAACCATAAAGATATTACACCATCACTAAGGCTCCTGATATGACAGGCGATGACCGCCAAACCCCATCAGCATGAATGGTGCCCAGTAAAACGGGCTCGACCAATCCAGTTGATCCAAAATCATTTTCGATGTCAGAAGAAGAAATTCCGCGTCGGGCACGAACTCAGCAGGACAAAGGGTCGCATTACCAGCTGTTTGCGAGGTCCATAGCTCCAGTAAGTCGTCCAGAAATTGGCTCGCCTTCTCACTATTAAAGTCAAGTAGCTTAGTTTGTGCGTCTCTTAATGCCTCGGCCAAGGAGAGATGCTTTTTCTCTTTGAGGTTTCGATAAAAGAGTATCATCATCAGCATAGACCCAAAGTCGCTGACCTTCCACAGGGTACCCATGAAGGCCTGACATCCGGTGCCGAGCACGACGTGAGAGAAGCTCAGGACCTCGCTTCCGATGGTAGCCTTGCCAAGGCCACTCAAACAGGCCGCAAAGACCAAAAGACTTGCATTACTTTGTATCTCGGATAGATCTAGAACACGAAAGTCTTCCCCGATCGATATCGAAGACATGAGAGGGTTGTTGAAATCCACATCACCGTGAGTTCCGATGTGCAGAACGCACGCTGTGCCTCTGATATATTCGCGAAAGTCCTTTCGTGAGAGGCACGACGCTTCAATCGGCCAAGTAGAGAACATTCGGGCGATGTTGACTGCCTCGATACCTGCCATGTGTAGGTTAACCTCATCGGCGGCTCGTGTTTCAGCGGTTGAGGGTCCGACAGGCGACTTTGCAAACACCGATACTGTAGGTGTTGGTAATCGTAAGGCGGACTGCCGCTGGGATACATGATGCAAGACTGTCAGACTTGGAATCTGTGATACTGATGCATGTGCGACAAGAGGTCTGCCATCGAAGAAGAGTGCAGCGAAAGGAAATGCCGTGAAGGGATCTGATACGGAAAAGATGATATGAGACTTGTGTCTAATCGTGCTTGAAAACGGCGCCAACAACACTGCAGAGATTTCTGCAGATAGCTCGTGGAGGACTCGTTTGCGTTTCTCTTCCTCCTCTCCGATGTATCCTGTCATTTCTCTTATGACCTGCATGAAACGCATGGCAGGCATCTGCAGGTCAACGGCACGCGCTGCTCCATAGTGGGCTTTTTGAATCCCGTCCCTCGTAACCGCGAATGCCAGGAAACCTTGAATACCAAATGTCGCCTCAATCACTACTGTATCCTCGTCAACGGTCTGGAACAAAGATAGAGGCTCGACTATCGAGTTTGTTGCAGCGATGAACCTTATGGCCGTTGAAGAAAGCCCGCTGCTTTCCAGCTCACGAATCTCTTTCCGAAGTTGTGAAATCTCCTTCTCCTGCTCGGGACTGAGGTGGTCCAGAGCGAGTAGCATTCTGAAAGCTCTTTGCTTGTACATGGCTTCCGAAAGTAAAGTGTTCTTCCTCCCGGACTTCTCCTCTAAGCTTCCTTTAACATGGAGGGAGTCAAGTACTGCGCGAGCTCTGCTTTCTTCCAAGAAAAGCAATGCGTGCTCTTTCCAGGAAATATTCTCAGGATGTCCATGTTCGTACTGAGCCAGTACGGCCAGCGGAACACCAGCTTCCTCGCAATCGAGACATGCGCGCGCGAGATCCAAGAATACTTCGTAAATCCACCTAGACATCGAGTTTCCAATCCGTGCATCTAGGTCAGTCGTACAGCTTCGACGAAGCTCAATTAGCTGACGCGCTTCAAGAAGCCGGCGAAAGGCTTCTTGGGTGCAATAGGTGTTGAGAAGGATCGTGCCATAGTTTCCAAGTCGATAAGAATAGTTGTAGACATTCTCAAAATTCCAGTTGAAGAAGCTTGGGGCTATGTTCTTGATCAGGTTGACCACCCGCCAAGCCCTTTGCATATCATTCCCAAATATCGTGAACATCAGCGCATTCTCTGCTATAGTCGGAAAGGTAGTTGTGAGCGCCTTTCCCTGAAGGAACTCCTCCAAACTTCCTCCAAAAAGCATGTCATCACTTATGGTGTCTAGTATAGACCGGGCTTTGGCACGATCTCCATTATGCACGCAAGCTAATATGCGATAAAGATCTCGCGTGTACACCGGCTCCATATGTTCGGCGTCGCTCACGAAGCGACGGAGTGTCTTCTTAGCTGCGTCTATATCCCCTTCCACCAGGCACTGCCGACTTTTGATGTCCGCTGAAGCGTACCTGAGTCTGATTGCATGATGTGCCATTGTTTCTTTCCACAGCCCTCTTAATCTAGGCTGGGAGTAACCGAAATCGAGAAGAGACATGCCTGAATCATCATTATGCTCTATGCTCTGGATGAAATGCTGAAAACTTGCATCTCTTTCGATAAAAGCAGTGAGCTTCTTCTGCCACCCATCAAGCGCCTCGAAATCCTCCAATCTAAGGAGAATTTGATTAAGGTTGGTTTCAAACGTCCAAATGGTAGAGAATTTGCTCGCAAGCACAGTCTTCCTGTCAGCTATTCCCAATGGAGTATCGGGGGCGTCATTCGAGATTCTGTCGTATGTATCACTGACAGAGTCTACCAGGGCTAGCGCTTCGTGAGCGATTAATTTTGCTGCCGAGCTGTTGAACATTTCATGATGAGCCACTGCCCGAGACATTGTAGCTTGAAATTTCGGAATCACGTCTTCCAGAGCATCGAAAACCTCGCAGGCGCACTCCCATGCGAGAAGAGCAGTGTCTAACTTGCCAAGTCTATTCCACTCATGGTAAGCGAAGCGGCTCATGAGCAGCCCCATCCCATGCGCCATCAGCTCGTTTCTGGCCGTAACTCCCCACTTCCCAATCTCTCGCGCCATCTCCTTGAGCTTGCATCTTTCTCCTCTCGAGATACTGAGCAGAATCTGGTGAGCTTCGACCATTCGAGTATTTGCCTCATCCCTACCGAAAAGTGCATGCGCTCGGCATAATTTTTCCTCGGCCTCTTGAAGTAGTCTGACACTAGAATCATCTGCCTCGCGTAGGTGACGTGTTTCGTTGTGTAAGCAACAAGCCTGTCGAAGCAAGACTGTAGCCTGGCCTCTTTTGCAGTTGCCATCTTCAAACAAGCTTAATGCAGACTCATAGCAGTTTCTCGCCTGTGGCGTGTATTCAAATTCGAGCTCGAAATCGACCGGATCCCAAATATTATCTCCTCCGATCGCCGACGAAGATTCCACAAGAATCATGTTTAACGAGACTGGGCTTGCGAAAGGTGGGCTCAAGAATATGTCTCCTTCCATAATCTTGCAATTGGCCATTCCCACCCGGTCCCCTTGGCTCTCATACACTTGGTATAAATCCCGCAGAGCGGATTCTTGGTTTGGATGCCGACAGGCTAGATGGAGCTCGACAATAAGACGTGAAAGATAATTTGCGATGGTTGTTGCACCATGAGACTCTGCTATTGCCCGGTAGTTGATCAAGAACTTGCCACTTTCGGAGATAACTGAATCCCAATCCACATTGTCTCTGTTGCTTGAAGGGAGGCTAGGGAACAGTGGGTGATATAGCGACACCAGGTGCCTCACTTGCATAGGCAGCCACTGCACTGCGCTCAGTATTTGACATAGAATCTGATCACGAGGACATCCCAGTGGGAAGTATCGCTGGAAATTCTCCGTAAACCTGGTACTCATAGCATTTGGTCCAGCAATGTCACTGAGAGTGACTAGATTGACAGGTCTTCCTCGTTCGTGGAAGAAGCGAAGCGCAGGGGGGTAGCGCCGGTAGTAGTCGCATAATAAGGTGTAGTTGGTATAGCGCAGGCCCCATTCTTGGGGCAGTTGATCGAGAACGCTGTACAAGACGTTCAAGCTTTCCTGGGCGTCTCGGAGTCTACCTGTCAGAATGGAGTAGATGGACAAGCAACGCAGATATTCCGCGTAAGGCTCTGGCTCCGCTGCCGAGACATTTGATTCAGCCAGTTGTAACGCCTCCCAAGCAGCGTCCAGATCCCCGCGATGTTCCTCAGCAAAGAGCGATCGATCGCAGAGGACAATGAAGTGGTCTAGATCCATAATGGCGGCTTTTTGAGCGGCTTTCCATGCAGATATTCATCCTTGAGTAGGTCAGTAAAGAAGCTCACCAGAAACTGGAGCCAGAAGATGGCGACGATTGCCGTGGCATGCCCTCGCCAGGAATTGCCCAATCTGGCAGGAATGGGCCTCATCCATGATCTCAGCCGCACTGGGGGTGAGCCCCGCGCGGGCCGCTGTCAGGTTGTCAAGAGTAAGCTGAGACCGTAGAGCCCCACTGAATCCAGAGATCTTGATGTGCATTGACTCTGGCTCCCTCTCAGTACATGAACCTTGGGCTACTCGTGTTATACGTGTTCGTTCAAAGGCCAAGCTTTGTTGGTTCCACTGCTGAGCCATGGCAGCGAGCGATGACTCTTCCTTCTATCTTTATGGAGTGGGCGAGAAACCGGAGGCCTTAACATTAGGCTCTTTGGTGTTGGAGAAGTACTGGCAGCCACTGGCTGCGCGCCATTATACTCATGACTTACTTGGGTAGGTAGGCTTGGATCCGAGTCTCATGATTCACTAGCTGATTAGCTACGCAGTAACGAGGCACTGCAAGAACATGCTTATGCCAGTGATGTCGCCAACGTTGTCCTTCGCGGTTCCTCTCGCGTTGCGCCTGGCGTTGGTCTCAGCGGCGGCGATATCATCGATCTCCGTCTGGCGTACAGCAAAGAACTTGAGCGTATAGTCACTGCAAAGAAGGGGAGACGGATTATACTAAAAGAGTACATCTGCCGCCCTAGTTCGAGACCTCTATACAAATTGTCGTACTCACATTTTGCCAATATGCATAGTCCGGAATCCTTCCTTACCTCTTCGGTTCTCTGTAATCCCCACGCGCAACAGAAACTCAAGCTTTGGCTGTCGGCCGCCCGCAGTTCCTACGTTCTGAATTTCAGATTCGCGCGCCGTCCAAAGATATGGCTTCTCACGGGCCTGTATCTCCTAGAAGGCACCCGAGCGATCGTGTCGCGCGGCCAGTCCAATCAAGCCTCAGTAGGTATCTCGTCCGCCGTCATTGGAGCCTTGTCGGGTGTGCCTGTGGGCGGATCCGTGAAGCTGGGCCAGGGCACATCGTGGGAGATGACAATGGAGGTGGAAGATCAGCATGTCTGGGCAGCACAGTTCCGGCTACTGGATGCGTGTTTCATCAAGATGGACAGCAAGGGTGTGGACGGAATTGCGCTGCCAGTGTCGATGGGACTATACCGAGACATCATGTCCGTAAATACGGTACGCGGTGGAGGAAAAGATGGAGTCAAGCTGGGCTTGCTGGACGAAAATGATGACGACGATGAAACCCATTTGAGCGATGACCAGGACAGCCAGGAAAAGGAGGAGTTTGAGAAGCGACTAGAGGATACGATTCGGATGTTCGAAAAGGCGCCGAAACACTTTCTGGAATAATAGACTGTACTCAGAACAGCTAGCCCACACTATCTGTTTTGAAACCCGTGTATCTCAATTGGTATAGTTTGACTGTCCAAAGCGTGCGAGCACTGTCCATGCGTTCAATCATTGAGACGAGTTCAAGTTGCTTGGTAAATCTATAGTTCCGATCGACGATGACAGCAACATCAACGCTTCGTCGAGAGTAAAACCTCAACAGAGCTATATAATCCGTTTCCATGACAATAACAGCAGAGACCACATTAGCCAACTAGAAAAACTAGCCGAAATAACTCTCATATCTGATTGACTATGGTCGGCATATCTCGTAGGGCGAAGGCGCTCATGTGACCCGCCCGCCGATAAGTTGGGGCGACCCAGTTTATTCCTCGATCTTTTTATTCATCATCCACGCCATCTTCGTCCAGCGGCTGCCCCGTTCGAGCGCAGCGAAACAACTATCACCATGACCAGTGACGACCAGTTCTTCTTCGACTATGTAAGAAAGTCTCTCCGCGTGTACACCCAAGTCGCGCGCTAACACATTTTGTTTTGTCGCAGTTGGCTTCGATACCGCATGACGTAAGGCGATATTCTCATCAAGTCGCCGATTCTATCGATCGTCAAGTTGACCACGCTGCAAATGCGATCCGTGATACCCTCTCCAACCAGACATGGCTTCCTTCTACAGTCCGCCCCTCGCCTAGATACCGACCGAGTCCGGTTATGTCGCAGTCCCTGACTGATCGCGTGCATGGATGGATTTTGCATAACCGAGCATGGAGCGCGGCCATCCTCGCCTTCGTTGGAACCACATGCGTCCTATACTGGGGCAACAAGAAGTTTAATGGCAAACGGCGACGAGCAAGAAGGGCTGGAAATGGCGCCCGGAAGGAAATTGTGGGTATGCATCGTCCATATTGTATCCGCCAAGTTGCACGAAGATCTAACCAGTCGCAACAGTTATCGCGGGATCAGCGCACGAACCGATGACTCGAGCGATCGCATCCGATCTCGAACGTCGAGGCTACATTGTCTATGTGACGGTGTCCTCCAGCGATGAAGAGCAGATCATTCGGGCCGAGAGTCGCGACGACATTCGGTCCCTCTGGCTTGATCTTTCCACCGTAAGAGCGAACCCCTACCATCACTTGTATCTAAGCAAACTATACTGACCAAACTATCCTGGACACAGACACCCTCAAGCTCAACCGATATTCACCCTTCCCTCAGCGAAATCCATACCCTGATCACTCAGCCGCAATCGCCCATCGCCGGCCTACAACCCCACACCTGCCAGCTGAGCGGGCTCATCCTCGTCCCCTCGCCCAACTACACCAGCGGCCCAGTCGCGACCATCCCGCCCTCAACCTGGATTGACACGATCAACACGCGCCTCCTTTCCCCTATCCTCACCACGCAGCTTTTCCTTCCTCTGCTCAACGTCCGCAACAACCATAGCACCATCATCGTCGCATACCCCACCATTTCCTCGTCCCTCTCCGCCCCCTTCAGCGGCCCCGAAGTCGCAACCACCCGCGCGCTATCCGGATTCGCAACCTCCCTTCGCCGCGAAATAACCTCCAACCCGCACCTCCACGTCGTAGAGCTCAAACTCGGCAACATCGACCTCGGCCCATCTTACCGGACGCCGCAAGGCCACATCGCCGGCACGGAGGTCCTAAGCTGGAGCGTCCAGCAGCGTTCGCTATACGCGTCGCAGTACCTGAACAGCATCGAGGCGCGGCCGGCGGCGTCGGCAGGCCCGAGTCTCATCCGGGGGTCGTCTGCGCGCACCCTGCATTACGCGGTGCAGGATGCGCTGGAAGCGCCGGCGAAGGATGTGTTCGGCCGACGGGGCAGCAAGAAGGCGGTGGTGTACGTCGGGAGGGGCGCGAGGACGTATAGTCTGATCGGGGATTGGGTGCCTTCTGGGCTTGTGGGTTGGATGTTGGGACTGAGGTCTAAGCAGCAGCAATTCTCCTTCCAGCCGCAACAGTCGCCGCAGCCGCAGACGACTTCATCGTCGCCGAGGGAGAGCTCCGCCAGTGCGGGAAGTGGTAGTGAGACGAGTACTTGGGAGCGGGTGTAGTCATTTAATTAGGATCTATGGTTGCGATACCTATACCTATTGTTTATACCCCTCTCATCAGCCGTCGGGACCTCACCTTGACTATGAAACCTGATTACTTTGGATCTAATACCATCTCATCTCATCTCATCTCATCTCATCTCATCATATTCAACAGATTAAGCATTATAAAGAGGCCGTGAATGAATCCCAAGACCGGAAATTGATACATAATCACATGTTTCTGCCCACCTTCAACCCCCACACTACCCCTTCCTTTCTCCATCCCGCATCCTACATAGTAGACAAGTATTCAAACCTGAAAATTCGAAACCTCTACCACCTCAGGCATCCCCTCAGCCGTCTTCCCGAAAACATCGCGCGCCGAGCGCTTCACCTTCCCATGCGTCAGCCGCCGGCGCAACCAAATCGCGCCCCACGACAGGACGAAGAACACAAGGATAGCAGCGAGGATGGCGAAGCAATAGCCCGTGACCTTGCCGCTGTGCTCGCCATGCGGGCCGGGGTCCAAGAAGCTGTAGGTGTAGAAGCCCTCGGTGTGGTAGGTGAGGTAGGCCAGGGCGACGTAGAGTAGGAGGATGAAGATGAGGAAGGCCAGGCTGATGAGCGGGTGCGGGTTTGTGGTGGCGAGGACGACCTCGAGCAGGGCGTAGAAGGAATTGAGGCCGTGTTGGGAGATCTGACCGGTGTGTGTTAGTGGTTGGTCACTTCCTCGTATTTCTCCTCTTCTGCGGGGGAACAAAGGAATGTGCGGGGATTGCCCCGTCTCTCTCTATCCAGTGGGGACGGACTACGTACGTTCTGCCAAGCGGGCTCGACGGTCGGATACCACGGCGGGGAGTAGAGAATGGCCCAGAAGACGACGGTGACGATGAATGGGAAGGTGGTGACGGTGGTGTAGAAGAGCCCGTGGAGGGCGCGCAAGCTACGCGGCCAGCGGTCGAAGAGCAGCGAGCGACCACTTATAACGTAGCAGGCGCTGTGGATGGCGGCCGTGAGCATGTAGAAGCCGATGCCCCAGTAGGTGAGCCAGGTGAAGTAGCTGAAGGTCTCGCCGATTGCATAGCTCTCCCCGTGCGTGCCGTACAAGCCCCAGATCGTGAAGATGGTTGTGAAGATGTAGAGAGCGATGAGACCGCGCAGGCAGGCAAAGGCCAGCGGGGGTAGCAGCCACGAGGTCTCGTAGACGTGCTTGTGGTCGAGGGATGCGTCGACCCCTAGGAGCTGGTAGATCGACCTCATGGTGACTGGATGGTTTGTATTAGGGTTGTTGAAGCTGAAGACTATCGCAGTGCTGCTCTCCTCCCCCGGGGAAGAGAAACGTGCAGGGATGATGAGCAGACTAACTATTCTGCAGCCTGAGCAGCAACAGAGATTTTAGTCCCGGGGGCCCCAGCAGAAGCAGTTCCCGTCTGGATCTCCCATGGCCTGAGTCGGACTCCCTACCGGCGGTTCATTCACTTATTTCATTGTCTTTATTAACCTCGTGCTGCTAACACCTAAGCTTCGGCGGAGCGCCGCCGCGTCTAGCCCTGATTGGACGGAGAAAAGAGTCGTTGTCTCCGCTGAAGATGACAAACCGCGTTTACTCCTCCCACTAAAACGGGCTTAGACACCTTTTAGACTAAAGCCAGCGGATCGGTGATACGCTTGTCGAAGTTTTCTCTTAGGTCGTCATTCCTCTTGCGCCGTCTCCCTCCTGTGAGTGACCGGTGTGTGGACTGGCAGGTGGGTTTTAGGGTACAGCTGAGGACTCGAGCACCTACTAGGTACTACCTAGTAATGCCTCCGCCCTCCTGCAACATCCCAACGGCTGTCGTTCGGACGAACAGACGAACAGTGGGGGGATCAAGGGGGTCGAGGGAGTCCTTGTTGTGTCTCATATTTGCAGCACACCTCATCTATCAGGTTAGTGTGGTGTACAGTAGACCCAATAATCGCTGGTCTTGATGGTGAGAGTATGGAAAATAGAAGTGCTGCATTTTAAGTCAGTCTGAGCACTGTGCGACTCTCAACCACTTTTAAGTCTCCATCACTTATTTCAATATTACCTATAACATATCGTGTGTTTAATTTCCCCGGCGCCTCAATTTCCGGCCGAAGAGCAACCAATCATGGTGCGTTCGTGCCTGGCTTCGGACCACCCAACAAAAAAAGCAATCTAGACCGGGAGACACTGCAAAGAAGCCAAGAGAAAAAGCAAAACAAAAACCAAAAAATAAAGCCAATAGATTAATCAGGCAATAAGATCCAAAATTATTGACTAATAAGTTCAAGTCATGTTGAAAAGTGTTAGTTAGCAAAACATGATCTCCGTGAGAATTCTTATGCTCGACAGTAAGAGCCTGGTAGAGTGCAATCTTGAAACGAAGAGGAGAAGAACAGACACCATGGCACTTGCCAGCAATCGCTGCCCTGACATCATCATAAGTCTCCTGCTCGAAAGGGGCAACAGGCAATCTTCGAAGACATCGTCTTGGGTGAATGGGGATGCCTAACAACTGGTCGGGCGAGGAATCTCACTGGACCTCCTTACTGAGCATCTGACCTTCAGTGATCATGCTTTGCTTGGTGGATATTGTGTCGATTGCGGCCCGGGCTAAGGAACCAACCATGTAGCAGTGATGGTGCAGTTGTTCGACATGAGGCGGCAGCAACAGCCACTTCACGGCAGCTCCTCTCCACATATACCTAGGTACGAGTACTGGAACAATCAACAAACACAAAACAAACTCGACAGTCACCGCGACCGGCCGGGAGAATACGAAAAATGGCAGGAGGGGAGGGGAGAATCGCAAGCCCATCGAAATATAAATAGCAAACTGGATCAACTTAAAGACTGGATCGGACTCCACCGTGCAGTCGCCTTCCAAGGGTGAATCCGACTATCACCCAGTAGTGGTGCGTAGTAGCCAGACAGCGCGACACTGGCCGAGTTTCGTGATGGGCGTAAGTTTGATCCATCGCTTCTAGAAGCTGGGAATTTCTCCGAGCGCCATCCAATAAACCAACCAATAATGCCATAGCCATCCATGCGGCCCCTGACTGTTATAGGAGAAGGACGGAGAGTACTACCTAGTACTGGTAGAGGGTAGATTGAGTATTAAGTAAGTGCTTGAGAAACAATGTAATACTCCTGTCTGCCGTGGGCCCCATCGGGGCCGAGAGAGACAGAGACAACTTCGATATCAATATCTGCAACATTGAACTCCATTAGCAGTTTAGCATAGCCAATCTGGGAAATTCGTTTTGGGATGGATGGGATGCAAGTGCCAAGCAGTTTGCAGCCCGGTCCATAACGTAAGGGTGAGGGGAGGAAGCTGTCATCATATTTCACTTTACAGCATACAGTAATTCTGCCCCCTGAAACGGAGCTCGGCCCCTGCAGACTGCAGACTGCAGCACTGCGGGCGGTAATGACGTTACGGGCAGTGGCAGCAGCAACCGACTTACTGTATGTAAGTACTGTTATAGCGTGGAGACTGCCCAGATCACTGGTTCTGGTTTGGCGATCGTCAGGGCGTAACAAGTAACTGGGTTACTTTCTCTCTTCCCCCCCTCCTCCCCCAATTCTCTCACTCAATTGCCCTTCCCTGACTAGTTAGTGTCTTTGTCTCTTGTCTCTCCGTCTCTACTCTTCTTCCTTTCCTTTCTTCCTTCTTGCTTACTTCCTGTGTTATCTGCTTCTCGATTCTTATTTCTTCCCGGCCAAGATGCTTCTATAGCCTCACTCCGCCTTCTCAGACCATACCACGACCGACTACATACTTACTCCCTCAAGTACAGTACAAGCGAACCTCCTCCCACTCTCGCCGCCACCGCCATCGCCGCCGCCGACGAACAAACAACACTTCCCCTCCTCTCCTCCGCCTCTCTGTTCTTTGGCCTCAAATTCAGGCTTAGTCGCTTAAAACTGCCTATTGGCGCCTGTCTTCAATAGCTTCCGACTTCCCCGTCTTTCACCAAATATCGTCTCACCCCACGGGCTGTCATTCCTTTTGCGTCGTCCGCCCATTGTCGCCCTCTTCGTCCCACTCGGCGCGCATCCAACTCGTTTCCATACATTTCCTGTAGTTTCACTTCGCTCGTGCGAGCCTGTTGATCGTTTGCCGCATTCTCAACCACCGAACCTCAATTAATGGACCTGATTGGCTCGCGAGTGGGAAATCGAGCTCTTGTGGTGAACTTTGGATGAACTGGGTTCTGTGATCGCAGCAACTGGACGGACCTTGGGTACAAGCGACCATGGCCACCCGGCCCAAGTTTGGTGAAATCCGCTCTCCCTCTCATGACACCCTCCGCAGCGGGGCGCCCTCCCCGCGCATTGAGCACTACGATGGTGAAATTCCTCCCGCGCTCTCCCCGCTGGATGCCTTTGCCGCCCAGGGCCGCCTTCTGGCCCGCCAATTGGAGGAATCCGCCCGAAGAAACCGTCGCATGAGCAGACTGCCTCCATCGAGCGTGGCACGTTCTCTTTCACAGCCTCGACCAGGCTATTTCCGTTCGGCCTCGACTAGCGATGCTCGTGGAGGGAGACGCAATGAGCTATCGAGACAGCCGACGCAGAAGATGAGCCCCGAGGTAGAGGAGCCCAAGTTTCGCCCACAGTCTGAGCATCCGCGGCTCAGTGCCATCTCACACCTGTCGAGTGAAGTAGCGGAGGAAGCTGAGGCGCAACAAGCAGAACACGAGGAACCGGAAGAAGAGCAGGATGATGATGCCACTCCAAGGAAGGAATCGACCGCCGATGTTTTTGACTTGCCCCGCTCCGAATCGCCCGACAATCTCTCCCTCCACAGTGCCCCTGAGGGGCCCCGTCGCTTCTATTCCATTGCCCCCTCCCGTGCTCCTTCTGCGGGCCCTACGCCTCCGGCCGGGGTTGTTCTCTCGCCTCCGTCTCGGACTTCGTCTACTGATTCAGCCTCTCACCTGAACATCCCATCGCGTGGACTAGCCCCGCCAGCCTCTCCTCTGTCTCGGCCATCGAGCAGTTCCCGAGGCGGTCTATTTGAGAGCTCCGATGATGACTACAGCAGCTCAAATGCAGGTTCGACGTTCTCGAAGCCACGGAAAATGTCCTCCAGCAGCGCGATGTCTATGCCTTACTCGCCCATGTCCAACGTCCAAATTCGGTCGCATCCTCGATCTCCATCCATGAGCTCGGAAACATCCAACTACGGGGGTCTGGCCCGCCCTTCGTATAATTTTTCCCGACCATTGAGCCGATCGGGCACGAGTTTGTCAGCCCCAGGACCGGTGTGTTCGTCGGATGGCATACAGAATACCATCAACCGTGGACACAAGCCCAGTCCTATCGTGGTGCCATCTCCATCGGATCTGGCCTTACATCCGCACGAGGATCCCTCCTCAGCTGTGTCTTCGTACGTTCACGCCAAGTACGCTCTGCCTCGAGGGCGCGCCGTCTGTCGGGACTCGGTTGTCTTCTCGGGTCTGCAAACCCCTCACTTCGAATGGCAAGAACCGCTGTTCGAGAGTCCCGACCGTCAGGCTGCTGCGGAGTCCTCCCGATCTCGGCGGACCCCGTCACCGGCGCCCTCAGGAAAAGAGTCGGTGATTTCCAAGTCTCGCTCACTGCACGAATCTCCCAGCTCGTCTCGAAGACTTCTAACACCGGAGCCGCCGCTACCACAAGCGACACCTCTTTCGCCGAGCAATCATCCAGTTGCCCCCGGGCGGACATCCATCGAGTCTGCTCCTGTAGAATCTGCACCATCGGAGCCAGCAGTGAGCAAACCCGCACCATCAACGCAGCCGGAACCCAAGCCAGCTAGGAATGAGAGTGCCGAAACTACGTCTTCTGCTAGCCCCGAGTCCACTGTTCGCCCTCAGACGGCCAGGACGCAGACAACATCAGCGCCGATCACGGCGGACGAGCATGTGACCAAAGGAATCGAATGCCATGAGAAAGGATCTCTCAACGAGTCCACGTACCACCTTCGCATTGCCGCCAAGCAGAATCATCCCACTGGGATGTTGCTGTATGCGTTAGCATGCCGCCATGGCTGGGGCATGCGACCAAATCAGCAAGAGGGCGTGCGGTGGTTGCGCAAGGCTGTGGACTCCGTTGGATTGGAGCTCATGGATGACTCTAACCCGTCGGTTCCTGTCCGCATGAGGGAACTTCAGAAGGCTTATCGAGCCCAATTCGCGCTCAGCATTTACGAGCTGGGGGTGAGCCATCTAAATGGTTGGGGAATTGAACAAGACAAATCCTTAGCTTTACGTTGCTTCGAGATCGCGGGTCAATGGGGAGACGGCGATGCACTCGCAGAGGCTGGGTTCTGTTATGCCGAAGGCATCGGCTGTAAGAAGGACTTGAAAAAAGCTGCCCGGTTCTATCGTCAGGCGGAAGCAAAGGGCATTAACATGGTCGGAAATAGCTGGTATGCTTTTAGTCTGCACTGTTGGGGAAAGAAACGAAACAATTTAGCTGACCATCTACGATCGCAGGATTTACAAGGACAAATATATGTCCGAGGATAACTCCAATACCAGTTCGCGCGGTCGTGGCCGCAGTCAGCGATCTGCTAATACCCCCGATAAGAAAAGCCGCAGCAAATCCCGCACTCGCAGTCTCTTTCACCGAAAGAAGTCGGTTGCTGCTGAAGCCTGAAGTTCCCGCTTGCCTTTTATGCTTTCCAGATGAAAGCGTTCAGCAATTTCGTCAGTCGATTCAGCAGCAGAAAAGCCGTGTTCTGCTTTTTCAGTCCGCTCGTATTTATCGTGGACATGCTTGCACAATAGCATCCGCATTTGTCCCCCATTTTCCTTTTGACACCTTTGCATTCCGCCGCCATATCCTCAAGTATTTACTTGCCTTATTCAACTTCACTTCTGTGAGGTACCTTTCACTCATTTCCTCTGTCCTTATTACATCTCGCCCCTCCGTCTTTGGGCTCGTTCATATTTCCCCCTGTCGACGCTCGCCTGCGACCAGCAGGTTGAGATCCCCGACTCGGCCTTCTTTCCCCGTTCCCTTCGTTGTGGGTCAGTGTCTCTCTTCGTCTCACCATTTTTTCCCCTATCTTTGAGCAGGCCTTGCCAACTGCTCCAAACCCTGGCCCCGAGACCGCTGTTCTGCATCGGCCTTCTGGGAACCAATTTGCGGGCATCGAAATTCGTTTCTTGGATACCCATCATTACTTCGTAATCACTGTGTGATGTTCAATTCGTGACTCTCCTTTGTCTAACTGACTCCGGCCTTGAGGCAGCCTCTTGGTCCTACTTTCGTTCTTTTCTCTCTCTCTTCCCCTGTTCCTTCTTTACTTTACAGTACTATGATTATCCTTCAACTAGCCGTGTGGGCGTTTATCGGCCAACGTCGAAGCTCGTGATACGATAATCTTATTGCCTTGGATGGCTTCAGCATTTTATCTGCCATGGGTGCGCATGGTCCCTGCTTGGCCGCGTATTCAATTTATTTTAATCTTCTTGGGTCTAAGTTAGTGCCTGTCTCGGCTGGGTAGTATTGTAGCCACGGTTTAGATTGGGGTTTTGCAGGGGATCTGAAACCACCGTCGAGGCTTCACTTTTGGATCATGACTGAGAATTGCAGTGGTGTAGCATGAGCTGTATCTTAGCCACAGCAATAACACTAATAGCAGTAGGCACCTGAAGAAGGGAAAAGGGAAAAGGTTACAAGGATTGTTATTTAGGGGCGGGTTTGGGGCGGCGGAAGAGGGGGGAGAGAAAGTTTGGAGATAACAACAACAATAATAATAATATTAATGATGGTGGAAAGGGCTGAATGAAAAGACAGACAGGCTGGACTGGACTGCTGGACTAGACTGGGACTGAACTTGGAATCTACCACTAAGACTTGAGACTATAAGAATGGATGGATGGCGGGAACTCAGTCGGGCGGGGGTGGGTACGGTGGGTGTGTCCGCGTGCCCGCTTACATTCTTTCCTCCATCATCCATCATCCACCATCCTCACTTTCTCATCCTTCCTTCTCACTTCTCACCACCATCTCCTTCCTTCGCCTCTCCAATCTGATTGGCAGTCTTCATGACTTTCCGGGGTTCCCCAGAAGAATCCACCAGGAAAATTTCCCCTGGAGTTCACTCCTGCTCCGTCCATTGGTTGCAGATTGCTTGAGCCATCGGAGCAGTGGCCAAAAGCAGTCACACTACTCGACAGATTGTCCAGGGATTGTCGCCTTTATTGATTAAATGAATTCACAAAAATGCCTCTAGCAGTCTAGTTACATCGCTCCGGCGGTTCTGTCCCACAACAGTTGGCCCCAGAAAAGGCACCAGCAACTTCAGCAAGCCCTGATCGTCCGGGGGAAATTGGGTCTTCCAGACCCTCCCAGTTCCCGTGCTCACAACCTTGGCTCACTCTTAGTTCTACCCCCCGACTGGTCGTTTTGCTTGTTTGTCGTCGTTTCCCCTCTTCCTTCTCCTCCTTCCCAATCGCTTCCTTCCTTCGACTGGTATGAAGTTTAAAAATTCCTATTGCAGCCTCGGTTCATTCGGTCAGCCAGAAGGCTGCAGGTCGGAAGGGGCACACTGACATACATATGTTTGTAACTTCGTTCATTGTGAGCTGGTGGGTGCTGCGAGCGCGTGGCAAACGAACCCTCCATCCCGAACCTACCTCGATCGACCGACGGGATTCTAAGTTCGGCGCAGGGATTGCCTCTGCTGGCTCGCTTCTTGCACTGTTACATCCAGCTAATTGGTAGCGGCGCCGCCAGCTGCATAGTCTAAGCATGGCTCCGCTTGAAGAAGTCCCGCGGCGTTCCATTCTAGTCGGATGTATCAGTGTTGTCTACAACATGTGAAGATCGCGCAGCTCCCCCCGAGACCTAAAATATATTGCCGGGGGTACATCGGGGAAGAAACCGCTGGCTGTTTGATTTGGTCTGAAAATTCATTTCCGGTTTTACCATCCCTCGCGACTTTTTAATTTGTCCTCGTGGGTTCCGTGGTTTTCTGTTCAACTTTAATCTCCTGCTGCCCCTGCGTGTCACTTGACTGGAAGTTGAGGGTATGTACTGCATCACTTCAGTTCCATCCTCGATTAAAAAGCTGTTCTCGTGCTGTTGCGGCTGGGACTGATCTTGTTGCAGTTGTATCTATCCTTGCTCAATACCGGCAGACGCAGGCGCTGTGCGACTCCCCCAAGGAACATCTTCTGTCCAGCCCACATTCCTCGGGTTCGGGCTTTGCAACAATCGATTGAAAGGTGAAAGACCCGCATGTGTCACACAGGCATCATCCATCCCCCGCGCACCAACTAGACACGAACTACAACACATCAGCATGGCTAGTGACAGCAAGCCCCATGTCGTTGAAATGGGCACCGTGCCGTCCGCTGGCGCGACAAAGCCCAGTTTCGGCAGCCGCGTTGCGGCTCATTTCAAGCGATGGTGGTGGGTGCACCTCATCATTCTGATCGTGGTGGTTCTGGTCGTGGTGCTGCCAGTGTATGTCGTCCTTGTTTCTCCAGTGGCAGTCATTAGTGTTCGGACCTGACATGATCGGATCAGAGTCTATGTGGGATACCCCAATATCGCGCAGCATGACATCGACAAGTCAACCTTGAGTATCACTAGCATGCAGATTAGTGATCCGTCGCCCAATTCCTTCCACCTGAAAGAGACGCAGATCCTCGGCTCTAGCAGCGCTTTCAAACCAAACATCTATTCGTTTGGTGCGGCTATCAGCCTTCTCGGCAGTGCTCCTTTTATCACGGTCCAGATTCCGAACTTCAAGGCACATGATGGCGTGCAGGTTGATGTCGATCAAGGCGTTAATATCACCGACACGGCGGCTTTTGCTGAGTTCAGCAAGGCGGTCATCCTGAACAAGGAGATCCAGTTAAACGTCTACGGCAAGGCTGATCTGAAAGAGGGCAGCCTGCCCACGACAAAGATCACCTACAACAAGACCACGACGATCAAGGGTAAGGCAACCATCCCGAGCTCTAAAATGGTCACTCACACTCCACAGGTCTCAACAAACTTGAGGGGTTCGAGCTAGTCGACCTTTCCATCTCAACTTCAGTGAAGAGTGGCAACAATGGCAAAGGGACAGTGTACATCCCCAACCCTTCCCCTTTCACGATCACCATGGTAAGAACACACTTACTCAATGTACCAGTTTTGGTTTTGTACGGCGGCTGATGCTTTACACAGGGCAATGTCACCCTCGATCTCTCCGTCAACGGTACTGCCATCGGCAAGTCCTACCTCACCGATCTCACTATCCACCCAGGCAACAATACCCTACCCATGACTGCCAATGTTAGCACCCTCACTGTGGCAGGCATGCTTGGCAGTTATCCCACTCTGATGATCCCCGTGGACATTGTTGGCAACGCGAGCGTCTACAACGGCGAGGAACTACCGTACTTCACCGAAGCTCTGGCTGCCAACAAATTGAGCGTGCAGCTGAACGTCACGAAGGCACTGGGAAACATTCTTTAGACTGAGGCCATTCTTTCCCATGGCGGAGTGGAATGAAAAGTTGGGTCTGGATGCTGTCTATCTTGCTCGAGGGTTATCCTGTATATGCTACATTAATGCTTTCCATTTGTGTTCTGTTCTGTTGTGACGAGAATTAATGAGTGATATGGTTTATATGATGAGTGGCTATATAATAAGCTTTGGCAACAAAGAAGATGAATGGAAAACCTCTGATTAAATTCATGACACCAGAATGAACAATTCACGCCTCTTAAATCATAAGTAGGTTTGTGTACACCGTGTGCGTGGGAGGATACACCCCAGCCCCAACAGCCCAGAGCAGCAGCTGTCAGCTACAAACTCTAAACCATCCCCATTCTGCGTTCGGTCAAACCTACCCTCGCCCTCCTCACCAATCCCCTGCGCAATGTCTGTCCCGACGCCATTGAATCTATGATTCATGCGGAGACCGCATCTAGAACATCTATTGCGGTCTGTCTCCCCACATCCGGGGAACTCTCTCATTCACCTATGTAAGATAGGCAGGGAGGCGGGTTTGCGGAGAGTTTGCTGCTGTAAGCAAGCTTCCTCGTTTCCATACTTCTTGCTTATCGCCTTGTGGCTTCATTTCATTTCCAAAGACTAGCTAGATAGATAGAGTTTGCGGATGGATCTGATGCACGCTGAGGGTTAATTTTGATTTCCCTTTGATTTATGATAATTGACTTGAATGGGAAGAACAGTATTTAGAGACTGGTGATAGAGCTGGACTTTGAGTGGGATCTATTTGCATCTTTGAGGGTGGTACGGGGAGGTTTGTTGCTTGTTCACGGGGATGCTATTTCTCTACTTCTTCTATTGTTATATCGGGGGGTTTGTGTGGTAAGTTTATTATTCATTCTCAAAAAAAGAGAAAGATAGCTTGGGATCTGGCTTGGTGAGCGGGTCGTGAGTCAATAATGGCATTGTTGCTTCCACTACAAAAATAACAATCTGGTATCTTTGGATGCATAGGTAGTTTGAATCTTCAGGCCTTGTGGACTGTTCCGTTGTGGTATACTACCTTTCACTGTAGATAATGCGGAGCAATGAATGTAGTATTAATACGCTAAACATCTCGCTTATGGATACTAACAGATCTGCCACCCTGCTCGTGATCGATCGGTTCGACAAAAGAATAATCCTCTCTCCCACCTTATCACCCTGCCACCAAGCTTATCACCCTGCCATAAGCATAGAGGGAATTATGATAAGGCAAAGACAGACAGACAGACAGACAGACACACACACACACACACACACACACACACACACACCCCTAGCTCAGAGGTACAGGCAAACTACATATCATGCAGACTCTCATACCCGACCTCTACCAAGCTCCTCCCCTTTGCTCCACTCTTGTCCCCACCAATATGCCAGTAGAACAGTCCCCCCAGTTTCATCCTGGTCACGAACTTCGCCTTCAACTGCACCGTGCGGGGCGTGTCGTACGTGACAAATCCCCCGTCCTCACCGCCGATACAGTACGCCGCGCCCGCTTCCTCATCCACGACTTCCCTCGCGCCAGGTCTGGGAAGGTCACAGTAGTCGAATATCCCGTCTTCGCCGCCGCAGCCTGTGTATCGCTGGCCCGGGCCGGACGAACCCAGGAATGACCGGCCGTAAACGGGGACTCCCAACAGGAGCTTTTTGGGATCGATAGGGTGGTTGTTGAGGATGTAGGAGATGGCGGATTGGCAGGACAGGGTATTGCTGGAGTGAGCGTTGGGGCCTGGTGGGCAGATGAGTTGGGCGTGGTGGCCCGTCTCGGACGTCCACGGCCCGGTGAAGTCGTAGGCCATGATGTTCAGAAGGTCAAGGTAGGCCTGAGCTTTGGAGAGATCGATATGTCGCAAGAACCAGGGCGAGGCGGGGAGGGCCGATGTTAAGATGTAGCGTGGGGTCGGGAGGGACTTGCGGATTTGAGCGAGGAGGCGGATATAATCGGCGCCTTGATGGGCGTCCGCGGGGTGTTCCCAGTCCACTTTCATGTGATAGTTAGCCACAATTTGTGCAGGTTAAGGAGGAGCCATTGCCAATGGAGGTAGAAAGCTCGACAAATTCAATGGAGCAATGGGCATACCATCTACACCGTCAAGACCATACTCGTCCACCAGTGCTCGGGCTGTCCGTCCAAAAGTCTCCATGCAGGATTGACTGCGGGCCACGCGGGCAAAATTCTCACTGCCCTTGCCGGCGCCGCCGATTGAAAGGATCAACTTCAACTTTGGATACTTCGGCTTTAACTGCGCAAAAGCTCGGAGGCAGCCGGTCGTGCCGTCCACGGGCATTTGTGTGTCGGCCCATTCATCGCTCAACTGGAAGGTGTCAGTCTGTGGCTCAGACGAAGAAAACAGGTGTGACTAACATATACAGTACCATCCTCTTTGACCCTATGAAGAGAGAAGCAAGTTGGTTAACATCCTGCGAATGCGTTGAGCCCCATGGGCCAGTTGTGGGCGTTGAGTGGCTACTAGTACCAGGCAAATGCGTAGAATATATGCGAGACAAATCCCAGTCGCAGCGACGAGGGGGACTGTTTCTGATAGATACGCCAATTAGGGTAGTAGGCTGCATTCAAGTAAAAGGGCACCTCGTAAGAGCTGCTGCTGGAGCGTTCGGCTGCTTTGCGACGCCAGTGGGGAAATAGTGCGGAATTAGAGAACATAGCGAGGTGGGGGGCCCTTGGGGGTTTGGAGAATGCAAAAAGAAAAAAATACAAGAACGAGCTTAACAAGCCCAGACTGAATAGCCGCGCACCGCTGAGGGTCAAGATATAGAGGAAGCAAGGAGAATGACGGTGAAAGTTGAAGACGAATTGACTCGACGAGGATGGCGTCACGTGTGGTAGACAAGGGCAGTCAGAGGACGATACGATAGATAGTGAGTGAGCTTTGGAGCTTCGTTTCTTCTCAGATGCGACTCTCTGCGCCCACGACCTTTTATTCGTGGCCTGTCTTTCGTCTTTCTGCTCCTCTTGACGTGTCTGTTCTCAAATGTCTGGAAGATTGAAATCCCTCACTCTAACACCTGGGCAGGAATAAGACGGGACCGAAAAGGGTCGACAGCGACAGTCAGACAGCAAGATTGAACGAAGCGAAGGGCCGGACAGAAGTACAAAATACAGAACAGAATCTCCTAAAGAAGGCAACCGCAGTAGTTATGCCGTTTTCAGGAAAGACTTCGGACTTCGACCTTTTCCAATCGTTGCTTTCCCGTTCTGCGATTCCATTACGACTGATACTAATGTCCTTAGGGGCTCGGGACGCTTATTTCTAGGGCTTGCTAATAATGCGATTATGCGGCGGACAAAACAACCACCATGACGATGATTATGCCCACCGAGAGAGATGGAAATCAATGGCACGGCCCATCATCCAAGCAGGCAGAATAGGCAAAGTTTCAGGCCCCAGTCGCACTTTGCTCTTTCTTACTTCGTGTTGGCTCGTCTGATCAGGACAAGCCCCAGACACGGTCCGAACGTCTGTCAGTCTGGCGTTTCCTTTCCACCCCCCTCCAGTCCCCCCGCCTATGACCGTTCCAGGTCGAACGACCTTTCTAAGCCATTGAGGGGGTCATTGGCTGCCTTCAAGGCTTCATTTCCGCTCCAGCGAAGAAGCTCCGTGAAGTATCTTCCATTACCTCGACGCTCAGAGCCGGTTTTGAAGCGGTTTGGGCTCTTTTGCTCTCCGACCTGGTGCCAATACCTCGATGCCGGGTGGATCAGAGACAAGAAATGCGACTGATCCCATGCAGCCATGGGAAAAGGATCGACCGATGACTGAGCCCCGACGCCGAATCAGCATTGCAGTCGTGCAGGCAATATTAGTGCTCATCGGGCGACATGGGCTGTCGCTCAGCCATTATTCCCCCCTACTGTACGGAGTACACAAGTTCCCTCGATCGGTCGTTCCGGATCAGACTGGAGGATCGACTTCGTGGGGAAGTAAGTGCATTTAGTTTTACTTTTTTGGTTTTTAGATACCCGGAGCAAACCCTTGCACTTCGAGTGCCACCGTCGCTATTGAATTTAGAGGGGTGATCCTTGCTCCAGGTGGATATGCTGACTGTTGTAACTTGTAACTTGTAACTTGTCGGGATTCGCAGCCACCGAAGAATAGGAACGGCGATCCGAGAAGCCATTTATACCCAAGGCAGCTTGATGGAGGGGTGAGACAAGAAGTGGCATGGGCTATCTTAGCGTGGGAGACGACGTATCTTCCGTATCCTCCGGCGCGCGTCGGTCGCACGGGGTGTATGAAGGGTTCCTATGAATTACGAAGGACAAGAGAGACACTTGTTCTTGCAATCAGGCGGATCCTACTTCTCCCCCGGATTCCACGCCCAGTGATTCTGTCTCGAAGCTTGTAGACTCAACGTAGCCGAACCATGTGATGCTGGTCGTGCCCACACTGATGATGCTCGTCATATGCAGGGGCAGCCCGACGCTTCTCCGGGGGGAAGATTTCCCCAGACAGATGGGGCGAGCTATCGCACTCTGGCTAATTATCCTGCCTGAGCACGGTAGAATGGATGACCTATCCGATTGCAGTTGTCTGGGGGAGGCTTGAATGTTTGAAATTTGACTCTGAATCTGGATTCACCGTGCAGGAGCTGACTAATTTGCTTCCCTGTCGCCACCGCCTACGTTTTGGGAGATACTGCCACTTCAGGTCCTTTGCTCTCTTCCTCTTTCTTGCCTTTGTTACTTCACATTCCATTCTGTGCACTTCCTGTTCTCTATTGATAACTCCCCTTCTCACGAAACGGCAATATCGAGTGGACTGGTCTTTCTCTTAAATTCGAAATATCTCTCTTCCCATTGACCAAAGCCGCGATAGCTCCTTCCCGCTTCTTTTTTCCCAGCTTAATACCATGGCGACTGACGTCGGCCACATTGCCTCGCGCATCCTCTCACTAGACGCTCCTCGAGACCCCGATTTCGATGAGTTTTCTTTCATCCCATTCCTGCGCAGCGGCTACGGATTCGGGCTGGCCAGCGACGTTCCCGAATGCAAGGCCTTCCACGAGGGCCACTGTCCGCTGGGGCCTGCCTGCCCGGACCGACACCCTACGCCCTCACGCATGACCACATCAATGACGACCGCCTCGGGACTGGCGCCCTCCACCACACACGGATCGCTGGTCTGCAAACATTTCCTCAAGGGACTCTGCAAGAAAGGCATCAAGTGCGAATATCTTCATGAATACAACCTGCGGCGCATGCCGGAGTGTCAGTCCTTCTCGCGGTCGGGCTACTGCCCGAACGGCGATGACTGTCTTTATCAACACGTGCGGGAGGAGGCTCGGCGACCGCCGTGCGAACACTATGACCGGGGCTTCTGCGAGCTGGGTCCGCTCTGCGCCAAGCGCCATGTGCGCCGCCGTCTGTGTCCGTTCTACCTGGCGGGATTCTGCCCGGAGGGTAAGAACTGCACGGATGCGCACCCGCGGTGGACGGAGAATCTGCCGCGGCCTTCGATGCGAGTGGAGAAGACGGAGGAGGACCTGGAGCGGGAGCGGGCTTTGATTCGCGAGGAACAGGAGAAGGAGAAAGAACGGGAGCGGGAATGGCGGAACGAACGCGGCCGCGGCGGAGGGTTCATGCGTGGCCGTTTCCGCGGCCGCGGGCGTGGTTAGACAGGACGAAACATTGCGCAGAGTTTCTGGTTTTTATGTGGGGGACAGGGCAGCATTTGTTAGATTCAAGTTGCTACATTTGTGAAGATACCCAACCGTGGCATTTATGATTTTGATTTGGTTGTACGCAAAGCAGGCATGACATATATGTGTATTCTATGAAGTGATTGTCGGATATGGAGGTCAAGGCAGCGCAGGTCATTTAGCCTAATACGAGACTTCTCAAGCTTTTATCAATCACAACGTGAGGAAAATCGCGGACCAAGGCAGCTCGTATAGAGCACAGATAAGATGGGCTGATAGATAAATGGCGTGCTGGGCCAAAGAAGGGGGTCTGCCAGGGGTCTAGAGCCCTTCGTTACTCGTAGGTCCGACAGCTGTGCCCACTGTCCATCCATGACCGTTTGACTTGCCTGCCAGGCACGGAGAAAGCCATGCATGACATCATGACAGTTCTGATAGATTATGTAGTCAGGCAGTAGTAGTGATAGTAGTGAAGAAGAATGAAAGAAGGGAGAATATCAGATTCATGTCTCAAAATCCCATCAGCATCTGTAACCACTTTCTCTGAGTCGGTCCGGTCCGACAGCATCCTCCGTGTCCCGAAAAGGGATATGGTGCGGCAGCCCTGCGCACTGCAGCAACTTACTGAGAGAGCCTGAGACTCTTCGAGACGCAGACCATAATTAGACTAAGTCACTAAACTAATTCCGCACCGCTGATTAAAAGATTAACAATACGGGAGACTGACTCCACCTTCTCTTAGACGACGATTTGTCACTGTCCCATAAGATGGCTCTGCGGCTGCTGATTGGCTTCCAAGCCTCCATTTCTCCCCGCTGCACCCACTTTCTCTCCACCTTCACGAATCATCGACCACCGGGCCCCGGGTCTGTCATCGATTACGGATGCTTGCCAAAGCACCGTGGACGGCAGCGCGCGCCTGCAACCTGAGCCCTGAGCTGGAGCCCTCCGTCCCTTACTCAGGTACTAGCAACATGGAATCTGTAGGTCAGTCTATCGTGGAGGGGTTCATCCCACCCTCTTCCCAATCTTTTCAACTATATAATACCACCCTCCTCTGCTCCTCTTTTGCCCCTCTCTTCTTCTTCTCCTCAGTCCTATCCGATACAAAACCGTTTTCTGTCATCCTCTCAGAAATCAATCCTCCCCCCAACCGTCACCATGGCTCCCAAGGTTGCTATCGTCTTCGTACGTATAACCCCTCCTTCCAACAATGCCTCCAATGGCACAACACGCAATCTGCCTTGATCATTCCTGGCTTCGACTATCTAAAGGACGCTCGCTAATCATAATCATACAGTACTCGATGTACGGCCACATCCAGAAGTTGGCCGAGGCTGAGAAGAAGGGTATTGAGGCTGCTGGCGGTTCCGCCGACATCTACCAGTAAGTCTATTCCACACCTCGGACGTACCATCATACAATTGACTCAATCGTGGCTAACACAATCTCTCTAGGGTCGCCGAGACTCTGCCCGAGGAGGTCCTTGCTAAGATGCACGCTCCTGCCAAGTCCAGCTACCCTGTCGTTGAGCCCCAGACTCTCCTCGAGTACGATGCCGTTCTCTTCGGTATCCCCACCCGCTACGGTAACTTCCCTACCCAGTGGAAGGCGTTCTGGGACAAGACCGGCGGCATCTGGGCCACCGGTGGCTACTGGGGCAAGTACGCCGGTCTCTTCATCTCCACCGGTACCCAGGGTGGTGGTCAGGAGTCCACCGCTCTTGCTTCCATGAGCACCCTTGCTCACCACGGTTTCGTCTACGTTCCTCTCGGCTACAAGACCGTCTCCGGCCAGCTGTCCAACCTCAACGAGGTCCACGGTGGCAGCCCCTGGGGTGCCGGTACCTTCGCTGTAAGTCATTCCGCCGTCTCCCCCAACCTACGCAAAACTGTTTGGTCCAGGATCCACTGACGACATTCACCACCAGGGCCCCGACGGATCGCGCCAGCCTTCCGCTCTTGAGCTCGAGGTTGCCCAGGAGCAGGGCCGGGCCTTCTACGAGCACGTCTCCAAGCACACCTTTGCTTGACTACATGGTAGCGAGCAGACCCAGTCGGAGTCGCCTGCTGCTGCCGCTGCTACCCAGCCCCAGCAGAAGACCGAGACGGAGAAGCCCGCGCCTACACCTGCACAAAACGGACAAAGCACCCAGGGAGCGACCCGGGAGGAGAAGAGCAATGAGGGACCTTGTGGCCTGCCCAAGAAGTGTGTTATCCAGTAGAAAACTGACTTGCTCGATACCCTACCGGTTTCATTCTCTATAACTGGCTCGCTTTTGTTTCTGTTTCGGTTGGGATGGCGTTGGGTGATCAATTTGGGGGTTTTAAGGTATATAATTTAAGTGATACACCAGACTTCGGTCTAAATAGAGAAGGAATGATGATGTTCTGTCATTCATTTTATTGCACAATGGCAATGTAGCAACTGCATGTAGCGACTGAACCCGTACTGCCGGTTGAAGTGAGAGGCAGGAGAGAAAGTTCATTGATGTCTTCAGTAAATTAGTGGCGGCAGTTCCTGACCAGAGCCAAGGCGGTGAGGGGCAGTGACGGTGGCCGATGACGATAGAGCTGAGCTGAGCTGAGCTGCCTTCTTCGCCCGCCGGAGAGCTCTCATTCCCCGACTATCCTCTTCCTTCCCTTTCTCCTGACTCAACCATCAGCCTCATTTCTTCTTAACCCCTGGTATGACCTTTATGATTATGATGAAGTAGTGAAGTGAAATTCTTCTGAAATCGACGCTTTCTCAACCCGAACTCTACTCACCCCCTCCATTGCTTCTTGCGGCATCATGGCTTCCCGGCCGATCATTTTGAGATTCGAGAGCCGCAACGGCCAATTCCGACTGACAGTCAGCCCTCAGGACTTATTTCCTACTCTCCAGCAGAAGGTACACTCTCAATGTTGGAAGCACGATATGACCAGCGGAAAGGGACTAACTCTGACCCCACCTCCACCTTAGATTGTCGAACATCTGCCTCCCAGCACGGATCCCGCATCGATCATTCTCTCCAACAAGCCCGTAGGTACTGGTGGTGAAGAGAGGCTCCTGAAGACCCTTGATGGGGTGGCGATCGAGAGGGTTGGTCTCAAGTGAGTTTCTATCAAGCAGCCCGCAGACACGTCAGCTAGACCCGATTGCCGAGTGCAGCGGCTAACAACCTCTCGCCTGCCAACTTAGACATGGAGACAAGCTCTTTCTCGGATATGACGAGACACAAGGACAGCAAAATGGGCCCGTCAATGGATCCTCTGCCGCCACTGAGTCCTCTCGACGCCTGAACGGTGCACCGATTCCACAAAACGATACTGTCACATTCCGCCCACCGCAACCGACCTCCCCAACCACTGTGATCAAGAACCCCTGGGATGTCGTACAACAATCGCCGCTCGATGATGCTCTGGATAAGAAGGATGGCAAGATTCACCGACCCCGCGACATGAAGATGTGTCGACATGGGCCCAAGGGCATGTGTGACTACTGCATGCCGCTCGAGCCATACGACCCGAAATATCTCGCTGAAAAGAAGGTCAAGCATCTCTCCTTCCATTCGTATCTACGAAAGCTCAACGCATCCACCAACAAAGCGGAGCTCAAGAGCTCATTCATGCCCCCGCTGAATGAACCTTACTACCGCGTAAGACGAGACTGCCCGTCCGGACATCCTCAGTGGCCGGAGGGTATCTGCACCAAGTGCCAGCCGAGTGCCATCAGCCTACAGCCGCAGGAGTTCCGAATGGTGGACCATGTCGAGTTTGCTCACTCGGACCTTGTCAACTCGTTGCTTGACTTCTGGCGAAAGTCGGGGGCTCAGCGGTTGGGATTCCTGTATGGGACATACGAAGAGTACACGGAAGTTCCGCTGGGAGTCAAGGCAGTGGTGCAGGCCATCTATGAGCCCCCACAGGTAGATGAGATTGACGGAGTCACGCTGCACGAGTGGCACAACGAGAAGGAAGTCGATGAGGTGGCACGACTCTGTGGTATGGAGAAGATTGGAGTGATATTCACGGACTTGCTTGATGCGGGCAATGCAGACGGATCAGTAGTCTGCAAGCGGCACATCGATTCCTACTACCTTTCCTCCCTTGAGATCGCTTTTGCAGCACGTCTACAGGCTCAGAACCCCAAGGCAACGAAATGGAGCCGGACGGGCCGTTTCGGATCCAACTTCGTCACCTGCGTCCTCAGCGGAGACGAGCAGGGAGCTATCACAGTCAGCGCCTACCAGGCCTCCGTGGCCGCGGTTGAGATGGTCCGAGCCGACATAGTTGAGCCCTCCGCCGAGCCATCGGTGATGCTGGTCCAGTCTGAGGACGATGACGAGCAGAACAAATCCCGATATATCCCCGAAGTCTTCTACCGCAAGATCAACGAATACGGCGTTAGTGCCCAGCAGAACGCCAAACCCAGCTTCCCTGTGGAATATCTCTTCGTGACATTGACCCATGGTTTCCCCACCGAATCCTCCCCTCTCTTCACCGACAGCACCTTCCCCAACGCGAACCGCGAAGTCATCGGCGAGAGCCAGGAACTGCGCAATGTCGCAAAGAAGCTCGTCTCGCATGGTGACCCAGAGAAGGCTATTCGTGCCGTTTCAGATTTCCATCTTCTGTGCTTCCTGCACAACCTATCTACCTTTAGCAAAGTATGGCCTACTACCACACTTACCCCTCTGCCAGACTGAATCAGCAACGCTAGTGGTTTCAAGCTAACACACCATCCTTCGTCTAGGACGAAGAATCCCTCCTCTGCCGCGTCGCAACCTCCCGTAACCCCGCCGACGGTCTGCAGCTGATCAATACCCCCGGCTGGGCGACCCTGGTCACAATTCTTCAGGAAAGTGGTGAGCGGCCCCCCAAGCGCCCCTGGCTGAGCACGGCCCCATCACCTCCATCCTCCTCCTCATCACCACCACCACCACCACCTGGATCTGAGCTCCCTCTCCCCATGAGAAAAGCCGGAAGACGCCCCTTCCCCTCTGCCTCTGTCTCCTCCCGACCCGACTCTCCCAAATCAGAAAGTGAACAGCTTGCTAAGAGGTTTAAGGGAGCTAGCCTAGAATGAGGCGGTTAATTTTGGATTTTCCGATGTCGAATGGGAAATACGAATTACCTTGCAACTTCCCCCTCCGTCCGGCCTCCTCTCGGTTGTTTTGTGTCCGCCTGCGTCCGCTCTCTGTCCATCCCCTTTCTCCTCCTCTCCCTCTCGAGATCATCTGCGGTGGAGGAAGTTGAAATCGTGAGCGACCTTTAGCATGTCCGCTGTTTGATCCAGGTCCCGTCTGGTTTGGGTTGATGATCTGGGCCTTGAGGTTCAAAATGATATTGGTGGCTTGGGGAGGGGGCTCGTGGATGGGATAATGGATGGAATTAAGTTCACGGCGAGGCTGGAGAAGCAGGAGAGCGGCTGCTATGACTTCCGTATCTAGGATATAGTTCCACATAAGCATGATTCAATCCCATCGACATACGGGCTTGCCTTCTTGCCTCTCTTTCTGGTCTTATTCCATTCAGTGATGTTATTACATACTACTACTAGGCCTATATTAAAGTGACCCTTCTTAGCTGCCGTGTTGCTTGGGTAGAGACCACACTACTCCAACCAGAAACATTCTACATCATGACAGTATTGCAGAAGTAGTAAGTATGCTTAGTAGCACACAGCACGACAGTTCGGCACAGTAACTACAAAGCATTTCAAAGAAGTTGAAGGATGCAAGCCTACTTGGATCGATTTGGCATTGAAACATAAGGGGAAAAGAAAAGAGACATATCACACGTATTCCCAATGAGTGTCCTGACAATCCAACCCAATGCTTGTGATTAACAAAGAAAAAAATAAAGAAGAGGCATAAACAAACCTGGAAGTGGCGTCCTTGACTCCCAAGGCATCCACCCGATCAATGAAGATTGAAGAGTATCATACAGAATAGAAGCCGCAAATAAAGTCGTAACATCATGATTTCCCAATTTGAGTATGTGTGCATGCAAGTCAAAGAAGATGAGATCAAAGAACAACCCATATCAGATTCAAGGACGTATCGAACACACGAATTCAGGAGTGATGAAGAGAATAAGGGGTGTGCAGGACCACATGAGAAAAATACGAAAGTTTTAGATAGGCAGATGGAAAAGACACAGAGAGAATGATTGCAAACGGAGTGTTCAACGCTTACTCCTCCTTCTTTTCCTCGAGCAGTTCACCCAGTCTCTTCTCCAGAAGTCTCCGGCCCTCGGCCGTCTTCCACACCTCGTGCGGCGCCTTGTTGACGATGTCCCAATTCTTCAAGTTCTGGGTGATCTTGGTCAGATCCTCCTGCGTCTGGGCCCATTTGTGGCTCCTGCGGACCTCGACGCCCGAGCTGACCACGACCAGCGGCGTGTCGGCCATCTGGACGTGGCGGGCCGTCTGGACCTCCGAGGCGGTCATGGATTTGGCGACCAGGTTCTCCTGGAGCTTGGCCTTGATGAATTTCCCAGTTTGGTAGGCGCTGCAGCCATACACGCGGTCCTCGCGGGTGCGGCCCTTGAACAGGGCGCCGGCGATGCGGTCCAGTCCCAGCGGGGAGAGAACGCCTTGGAGCCAGAGGCCGAAGCCACGGCCGGGGGAGCCAACCCTGGAGAGATAGTCCTCGTGCATGCTGTCGATGAGCAGGATGCCGGACACCTCGAGCAGGTGCCGGCTAGCGAAGATCCGGCTGTAGATCCCGCCGACACCGGACGAGACGAGAACCCAGGGTCCTTCTTCGCCAGCCAGAGCAAGCGCCTCCGAAAGCGCGTCGGCAGCCATTCCGGCGGAGTAGGGGGAGGGAGCGTTGTCGGACCAGCCGAAGCCCGGGCGATCCCAGTAGCAGTAGCGAGGGACCAGGCCGCTTTGGTAGGCGCTGTCAATGAAGGGTTGGAGGGTGTGCTCGACAGGGCCTTCGCCGCCTTCGATAAGGACAGTGGGTACATCGTTCAGGTATTGAGTTGTTGCGTTCGGACTACCGACACAGTGGAGATGAACTTGATAGTTGTTGCTGTTGACGAGGTACTTCTTGCCTGGCGCGGGGAGAGAGGCGTCGCGGGCACGTAGAATCAAGGTAGCTGTGAAAAGGATGGAAATGATTCCGAAGACAGCCATGAAGATGGTCTGAAGCAGCACGGCGACCCATTCACGGAGCGGACGGCGGCTTTCGGGACGACCTGTGAGACGTTCTTCCTCTTCACGCTTGCCCCAGTCTACGGCCCGGTTTTGGAAGATGCTGTAAAGAGCAATGAAGGTGGCCCAGACAACCGAGGCCACGCCGACCCAGCCTTCTTCGACGCGGATACGGGGTACGGCGAGTGTGAGGATCATGTCGATGCAGAGGAACACCCCGAGAATGATACCCCAGACAGTCATCGGCTTGGACGGCACGGCGAAGAACAGCAGGCTAATGACGAGGTACCCAGCGGTAAGGGTGGTATAGGCGAAGCTAAAGAAGCCAGATCCTCGACTATGCATCATGGGAGGACTAACGAACAGGGAGACAAGAAGGAAGGTCCACCAGATGAAACTCAAGGCGAGAAAGAGGGAAGACAGGCCGCGGAGGGCACGGATACTCCAGAGATTGTACGGGGAGACCTGAGATTGGGAGATGTGAGCTTCACACAACTTTTTAAAAGTCCTTCAGCTTCTATGCCAACCGAGATGGAACACTCACAGCAGGATCATCCGGACTCAGGTAGGCCGGAGGATCGCGCGGCAAGAGTCGCGAGCGCTCTGTGGGCTCTGGATGTTGCGTGTCGTTTCCCTCATTGTCCGGCCGCTCCTCTCTTTGGGCCTCATCGTTTCGTCCAATCCTCAAGGACGGCATGGTGCCTGTAGAGCGAATCACTCGAAGTCGGCTTCAACTTTGATTAGATGTACAGGTGACACACAAATTGTAAACGCGTCCACGGATCAAGTGTTAAGAAGCAAGAACTATTGAAAAGCGATTTGAAAAGGTCGAGTCTCGAAGGCAGCAGCATGGCAGCAAGGAAGGAAGCCCGTGGAGGAAGAAGATCGATCTCGATAGCTTGACGTCACTGGGAACCATGGTGGAAATCACGGGTTTTCCCCAGATGGAATGCCACTCGCTGACGTCATGCAGGGTTCATGCCAGTTTTCACCGCTACATCTGATAACAGTCATGGTACACAAGGTCATATAGTAGCAGCTGCAGTATAGGAATAAATGGAAGACGATGTAGAGACCCGAGTGAGAGATGTGAGGTAGAGGAAGAGAGAAGAGAAGAGAAATAGATTAAAGAAAGGCGGGGAGGATGACGATCACCTGATCGTCCATCTAATTAATTAATTCAGGCGGGCTGCATTGAGGACGGACTATTCCATATCAGATCCGATCTGATCAATTGATTGACAAACAATCTGTTAATCAAACCCGATAGACTATATCACGGACCTGAAGCTTGGAACCAGATCCACTCTTGAGACTTACAGGTATTAGTGACTGGTACGTGCGGTACCCCTGTTGGTAGACACCGACTGGCTCGAATCTGACTATGCACCAAACAGGGAACCCCCATGCATGCATAAATGCGCGAACAATGCGAACAACTCAATACTAGCTGATAGAGTGCACCAGTTCTTAGACCATAATCTCATTGAGATAATCAATTGGAATTGTTGTGAGTCTGCACTATCTCTCCTAGGACTTGCCTTTGCCGGCCACACAACCTTCACCCAACCGCATGATCCACTGTGCGCTGTTGGGCAACTTCTCCCTGCGGCGATTGGGCCTGAACAACAACTCCAGGACACAGTAATCCCTGTCAGGAGTTCAATCTTCTTCATGAGCGAGTTGCAGAAATCCTTCGCCAAGTCTAAATTGGCCAAGCTCTCACGCCAACAGCCTCCTCACGATCTGTCTGCATCTCCGTCCTCTCCCATGCAACCCCTCAACGAGGAACCGGGAGAGTCTAGTCACGATGAGGACTACTCATCAGCTTCATCCACTGGCACAGTCATCCCCTCTCCCAGTCGCAATCTTTTCGCCAGACCCAACGGTAACCGAGGGTACAGACACGCTCCTTCCTCCTTCTCTATCTGCGAAAAAAGTCCCCACAGCTAACGCTCTTCAGCTCCCCTCAAACAAGCCTAAGCTGGACCGAATTCTTCACTCAAGATCTGTACCTCCACCAGATCGATGATAGCACCAACACACATATCACCCACCATGTCTATCTCACCCCTCCCGCCGACTCCGGCAGTCCGCTTTTCGTCATGCACCACGGCGCCGGGTCCTCAGGTCTTTCGTTCGCCGCCTGCGCGGAGGAGATTCGAAAGCTCCTCCCCAAAGCAGGCATCCTGTCTCTTGACGCGCGCCACCACGGCAGCACAGTGGTAGCCTCCACGTCCGACGGGGCCGAGGGAGCCCAGGAAGAAAGCCCGCCTACTCCTCCCCTCGACCTCAGCCTCGAGACCCTCAATCGAGATCTTGTCTTCGTCGTCCGCGAAACCCAGGCCAAGATGGGCTGGGAAAGTCTTCCGGACCTGGTCCTCGTCGGACACAGTCTGGGAGGGGCCGTGATCACCGACGTCGCCAAGACCGGCGAGTTAGGGTCCAAGGTACTGGCATATGCAGTACTTGATGTCGTCGAGGGTACGTCTCGACAGCTCACCTCCCTCCGATGGCTAGATGAAAAAACAAGAGAAGAGCAAAACTAACAACGATGCCCCAAACCCAGGCTCCGCAATGGACGCCCTCCAAAGCATGGAAACATACCTCCTGACCCGTCCATCCCGTTTCCCATCCATAGCATCCGGCATAGAATGGCAGTATGTCAACCTCCCCTCTCTTTCCCTCGCATTCAGCTCTAACCTCAACTACAATCCCCAATCCCGCCCCCCCTTCGACACCAGCTAACAATCTCCCCCTAAATCAAAAAAGCACTCGCTCCCGCACAATCCGCAACAAAACCTCCGCCCGCATCTCCGTGCCCTCTCTCCTCTACGAACAACCGGCCCCAACAGACCCCACCAAACCCTGGATTTGGCGCACAAATCTCTCGGAAACGAAACCCTTCTGGGAGAATTGGTTCATCGGGCTGAGTCGGAAGTTCCTCGACGCGCGTGGTGGCAAGCTACTCCTGCTGGCTGGGACCGATCGGCTAGATAAGGAGTTGATGATTGGGCAGATGCAAGGTACGTTTTCTCAAAATTATACCGATCTTTCGCAACAAAAAGCGCCTTCAGCCTGGATTGTGTCTGCAATTGAAATGAGGAATGAGGGCATTAGACAGAGGCCGTGACTAATACCGAGGGTCAAATGGCTAGGTAAATATCAATTGCAGGTTCTCCCGGAAGCAGGACACTTCATCCAGGAAGACCAGCCGGCCAAGACGGCGCAGATCCTGGTGGATTTCTATCGGCGGAATGATCGGAGTGCGTTGGTGTTGCCGCCTAAGGTGGCGGATCTGCAGGCTCAGGCGGCGATGAAGAAGGGGGATGGCGCTGGGATGGGCTTTGGAATGAGCGGCTTGAAGAGGGGGTAGGTAGCGTATAGAGGTCTACATGGTGCTAGAGTATATCGTCTGCGCTTGGTACGTTCTGTTGAGTTTTGTAGGTGTGTACGTAGGTGTGAAGTAGGATACGGACTAAAGGTGCAGATAGAAGAAATTGTGTATATTATTCTGGCCTTTCTGTCAATTCCCGCTCCAACATTCAAATAAATATGCTGCCGGCCAAGTAAACACCAAAAGCCACCAGCCATCCGTTTCGTTTCCCATCCAGACGCCGCCCAAATCATCCAGTCAATCACTAACGAACACACATGCGGCAATATAAGCAGGGAGAAGACGGGACTTCCTGACGGAGAGTAATATAAAGGTTGAAGATACAATAAATAGAAAAGGAAAACGGGTATCTTGCGCCACTGTGCATGTAATTCACACCACACCACCCATCTCCTCCGCCGCCCTCTCTCAAGGAAGATAAGCACCCCCGGCAATGATCAGATTCATGTTGGTGAATTTGACCTTGTAAACCGGACTCTTCTTCGTCGGGAAAGCGCTGATCTGGTCGGGCGTCACCACCACGTCCTTGCCCTTCTTCTTGCTTCCCATGCCGGGGCCGACGGAGCTGGAGGCCTGCGTGCTGGCCGCAGGGGGGTTGCCGCCGTCAACCTTGGTTCCTGCTCCGCCCTCGCCGACGACTCGGCCCTGAGCCGGATCCTGCGCAGGACCAGCGATATCCCAGACGCGAACCGTACCGTCTGCACCGCCAGAGACTAGGATATTCGATTCGACGCTCCAGCTGAGCGACCAGATGCCACCCTTGCCATGGCCGCGCATGCGCTTGAGAAGTCGGCCTGGGGCCAGGTCCCAAAGAAGGATAGATCCGTGATCATCAGCGGAGGCCAGGAGCTTTCCATCGCGACTACACGACAGAGCTGTGATGTTGCCTGTGTGGCCGGTGAACATGCGGACCGCGTTACCCGTAGTTACGGCCCACATGCGCACTGTGTGATCCGAGCTGCCGGTGAAAATGTATGCCGAGTTAGGGTGGAAGCAAACGCAATCGACATCGTGCTCATGTCCGACAAAGATACGTTGTTGACGAATGTGATCAGTGACCCAGAGGCGAGCTGTTTTGTCGTGGCCACCGGACACGAAGTAGTGACCAAATGGGCCCCACTGCAGATCCCAAACGGGCTGGTCATGACCCTTGTAAACTACCATGCACTGCCATAGATCCAGAGACCATAGACGGATGGTCTTATCGGCGGAGGAGGAGAGCAGCCAACGGGCATTAGTCGGAGCAATGGCGTTATCGGCACGAGTGATGGAGGGCGCAAAGGCTACCGAATAGACAGGTCCAGCATGCCCAATCAGTCGGCGAGAATTTGAGGGCGCATCATCCACGTTGTCGTAGGTCGACTGAATCTTCTTTCCGTCCATGCTCCAGACCCGAATATAAGACTCTTGCATACCAGCTGCGACGAGCATCAGGTCATCGGAGAAGTCCAAGCAGTTGACGCTGTTCGTAATTAGTCATGAGCCGCCATACAGCACGAAGATAGGGGCCACTAACCCATCATAGGTATTGTGGAAAGTGAACATGCAAACACTAATGGCCGGACCAACTCCACCGGTTCTACCTTCAATCCTGAATCTGTCGCGGTTCTCTTTGACCTTCTGAACTTCAATCGCTACATCTCGAGCAGTAGATGGCGGGTAAGGTATATCGGCACGAGTAGGCGCTTCTTCGTCGTCCTCCTTCTTGATCATCTGCTCGAACTCTTGAATCAAAGTGTTTTGACCCGGGGCGGGGGGATGCTTCGCGTCTTCGTCCGCGAGCTCGCCCCGAACATCAGTCTCCAGCGTTGATTCAAATGGAAGCTTTCCAAGCTTTAGTCTGGGCAGAGTTCCGGCCATATTTGGGTTGTCTCCAGTATAAGCAGAACCGGGGTGGTGGCCAGGGATACCCTCATCTTCGCTGGGAAAAGTTTGGGGGCCGTCATTCTGGCCGAGCATTGCCGCGAAACTGAATCGGTCGTCGGAAGTGCGCTCTTTCGTGATGATGGTACAATAACTGCTCAGGATTGCGGTCATGTCAGATCCACCCTCTTTCTGCTTGCTCTCCAGGAACTGCATGAGATTGGAGAATGCTGGATGGCTTAGAACTAAGCGGTATTTGTTTGTTCTGTACAGCTTGGCAGTGGCGTTCTCCTGGACGTGTTCCGGAAGACTGATCGGTTCCAGAGCGCGAACATCTTCGGTATGTTCTGGTAAGAAGTGATTCTTGTTCATTTCAAAGAACTGTTTGGCCTCTTGAGGTTTGAATGAGGACACCATGTTGATGAAAGTGTAGACAAAAAGCGGCCACAGCACACGTCTGAGCTCAGGCTGTTTGGAGTTTGTGAGCATCATCTATATGCCGGTCTCGGATGCGGTGACCATACCTTGTAGAGATCCAAATTGTCCTCAACCCAGGCCTTGAGCAGGTCTATGATAGCATTAGATAACGAGGATTACCCACAACATGGGACAAACTTACCGAATCCAAGTCGGTACTTAGGACGCGCATCTTCGCCGAGAGGAGGCATAGGCGGGCGGCCATCGATCTCTTGGTGCGCCGACTCTATGCGCAACATAGCCTCTGTGCGGCTATAGCCTTTCTTGGCCAGGTAATCAATGACCTGTTGTTCGAACATCTTGTTAGTAACCAACGCAACACTAACCATAGTCGGAAAACTGATTGCAAGCAATAAAAGCGGCCGCCACGACAAAGAGTCCTTCCAGATGGAGGAGGCGATGACAGATAGGAAGGCCTTGAGCTCGGAGACAACCAAAGCCGGACATGCGATAAAGCACTCTAGCTTCTTCGCTCAAGCGATAGTGACCGTTAAGCAGTAAGTGATTCACGGCATCTGCACAGCAAGCTTCCTGCTTCGTATTCAGAGCAAAAGCGCAACACCATGCCTGGATCCGCACAGCACACGTCCCTCCCCGCAAATCATCTTCCACGACAGGCAACACAGTTGACCCGAAACAAGAGATGTATACATACTATTTGATTGAGATTTTGCTGCGACATCGGTCCCCCTGGCGGCGGCGGCGGCGGAGCAGGGGGCCCTGGCGTCACAGGGCCGGTATTGACCATGGGCTGCTGAGGAGGCATCGACATCCCACCTGGACCGGGCCCCATACTTCCACTTCGGGGAGCTGGGCTCGGGGCCCCGCCTGGCGCAGACATGGCTGCTGAAAGGTTAACAGGTGGTTCAGCTGGGTGGAAGCTCCTTTGTGCCGAGCGGAAGCTGTCCAGAAGGGGGAGAGAAATGAAGCGATAACGCTCACAAAAGCAGTGCAGAGAGGGAGAAACCAACACGCGGACGGGGGAGGGAAGCAGTTCGGGATGCGATTCAATCCGGAGGTTTTGCGAAGTCCGCAGCTGGAGCCGCTATTCTGTTTGTGAACTAGCGTGTTGCTGGCCTGGTTCTATCACGTGATGTCATGCTTCCTTGTGAATGCACTGACCAACTAGTCATCCATTGATCTATCATCGATAATTGTGGTCACTGGTAAGGTAGCGATTTCCCTGTCGTGCCTCACCCTGCCTATAGCAATATGGCCGACTCTGGCAACAACTCCAGATCTCCAGATCAAATCTTCACCTCTGCAGATCGCATTCGACAACTCAACGAAATCGACAAGGTAAGCGACTTCCCATCCTGAGAAATCCAAGCATCAATTCGACGACAATGAACATTATGCTTCCCAACTGAGGCTTGATCTACTCAGCCCAAGAAACGTAACACTACGTACATCATAATCATTGTCTAATCCGTGTTAAGGATGTCGCCAAACTCATTCACTCCGCCGGCCTCGCGATCCAAGCCCTCACCAACGCCCGAACTCCCGACTCGCCGTTAGAAAACAACTCCCTAGCTGCTCACAAGATGCGCTTCAAAGAAGCCACCTCGCAGTACTTTGCGCTCCTCTCATCCATTGACGTCCGGCTACGTCGCCAGGTTTACGCGCTGGAGGAAGCCGGGATTCTTGCGCCGGAGGCGGCGGCCTCCGCGGCGAATCCCCGAACAGGAGAACTAGCGGGAGCTGGTGCGGCAACTGCAGCCGCTTCATCGAATTCACTGGATGTGAGTTGGCTCAACAGTCGGAAGGATACGGTTGGGAAAGATAAGGAGGCGGAGCTGTGGGCTGCGGCCAGGGAGTTTGTCGAGCACCTTGCTCGGCACGGACCTTCGTCAGCAACAACGGGAAAAATTACGGATGCGGAGGACGGACGGGAAAAGATGGAGGTGGACTCATGATTGAAGAATTAAAGATGGCACACGCATGTGTTCGAGGCGGACACTATCGGCCATTACGCTTCGGTGTTAAACGGTTGGAGAAGCTCGGTGGCCATCGCGAGGACGATGGCCTGTTGAAGGGCAGAAGTTTATGATACCCACGGTTATTTATACAAGCCTATTGAATATATAGGACAAAGCTTTGGGCCGTGCCTAGGCCCAAGCATGATCATTGCAACGACAGCGCCCTAATCAAGTAATATGCGGATCCCCAGGAACCTTTAAAAACTACATACAGTTAAATGAATGGCAAACTCGCGGTATGAAAGGACAAAACATGTGGGTGATGATGGCCAAGTGAAGCATCCTTCCGCTCTTACAGGACCCGAGCAGCGGCCACGATTACCGCTGCATGGATCTAATCATCTCGGCGTGATTAGCCCGCTCTTTGTTCGCCTCCGTCAAGGACGACAGACCTGCAACATGTCAGTAAGATAGTACCATACTGTTCTGTGGCAGGAATTGCTTACTGCGCAGTTCTCCCACAACGTCCTTGGCCTTGCCAAAGTATACCTCCTCTGCGAGACCTGTGTATTAGCCAACATCCCTGACGACATGGTCCGCAGTTAAGCGTAGGTAATCCGAAAGACGTACGTAGCAGGTTCCGCATCTTCAGCTCCATATCCTCTACAAGCCGGCCGACATTCGCAACGTGGCTTGCATCCGACTCGACGGGCAGATCGACTTCCACCTGGCGGGTCATGTTACCGCTTAGGTCCATCTCGCCCAAGGCCTCAGACTCATTCGCTAAATGGAGAATGACTGTGCTGGTCAACTTGTAGTGGGACATGCGAGCGCGGTCGGTGGCCTCGAAGACGTGGATGCTGTCCCACTCTCCGGAGCTCTTCGCGCCAGGGGTTACTCCTATTATTGAACCAGACGACATTAGCAACCGAGCAGTCCACCATTAACACCGCTTCACCAAGCCCTCAAATGTCAAGCATTGAGGGTCAAGCCCGACGCACCTTTCTTCAAGAGAATCACACCGGCAAAACCATCGTCCAGGTCCCAGAAGTACACACTTCCCACGCCGCCCTCGTAGTACAGCTCCCGGTAAACATCGAAGGCCTCGTTGGCAGCGACCTCGAGTTTTCTCACCCTCTCACTTGGTACCGTTCCGTCATCGAGTGGGGGGTCGAATTCATTGCTCCAAGGAGAGCGATAGCTATCACCATCCCGGTTGTAGTCGCAGAGCAAGTAGTCTCGGTTTGTCTTGGGGCAGCGGCGGATTTCCAGGGGCTGGTCCACAGACGACAGGAGATCTTCGGTCAGGTCAGGGACAATACTTGTGATCGCCTGCACGTTCTGCTTGGTATCGCGGGGGTTGAGGCGCCGGAGGAGGTCACTGCAAGCAGCACAATGTTGATGGTCAGCGGGATGCTGCAAGCGGGGTTGCACGGCGAGGGGTCGGGCCTTCGCCGATAGGGAAGAGGTAGTTAAGTGTTATAGAAAGAGTTCAGTCAAGACACACTTACAGCGCACTATCGAATTGCGCGTCAGCCATGGTTGTGATGATGTGGAATCAATGGTGCCGCGGTGTTTACTTAGATTGCTGTTTACTTCGTAATTACTCTTGGAGCTGGGCCTGGGGGTGACGGTGGATTACTGTAAGCGGTGTAGCGTGGCTGTTTAGAGAAAGCGGGTCGGCCCTCCTCCCTTCCCCTTATCAGCTTCCTTCTCTGTATGCCCGTAACCATGACGCGCAACCACTTACTTCCTAATGACTGTCAAGAGACAATACAACTAACTCTCAGAGAGCCAGGTCCGTCTCGACCAAGGCTGCTATCTAGTATTTCTTGTCTTTTGCATCTTGAGACTCAATAGCGGCTCACAACCTCAGATTCCGGTGGCACCTGGGCCAAACGTCTGGAGACCGGTGCAGAGGGTTTCAAATCGGGAGCATTTCATCGGTAGGGGTCAAGGATGAGAAGCACTGCGCCAAGTGCGCGTGGTCAACATCAGTCAAGATTCGTCGATTCCAAGACTTCTCCCGTCGCTATATCTCTGGCTTTCCACATGCGTGCGGGATAAAGTACGATGACTGTTTTCAGGCAAGCCACAGGAGGGAGGTCACCTGGCTCGTGCCTTTTTGCCAGCTACTCGAACAGATCACAGTCAGCGTGTGTAACAGCAGCTCAGCTGCAGTCATCCCGCATTGCAGCCGACGAGATGGCCCAGGATCTGAAGGCGACCAAGCTTAAGCTCCGTAGGATATTGTATCTATAACAAACTGCAGCCCTAAAGGATAGGTTCATCCCAGTAATTATGTTTTGGGTGTATTAGCTCGAATACTGCCTCCATAGTATTTAAAGCTTCAAATGTTGGAATTGATCCCATCGCTACCTCCAGATCCTTTCAACTGGTAGCTTTTTTTTTGAAGAGATATAAAACTAAAGGCTATCACAACCAGGCTGAGCACACGCCAACCGAAGTGTGAATTTAACTGCGAGCGCTATTCAGGCAAAGGTGGCTAGGTGAAGACGAGCATGTTAATATCATGAGATTGTCATTTCCGTCGATATCAAACATGACTTGACTCAATGCTTCCCCCAAACAAACATGTCGACTTCTCAACTGATCCATCCCGACCACGTAGGACTGCCTCCATCGACAGACCCGTCGCAGTTTGTAAGGTACCCATATGCTATAAGACCAAAAAAGCTATCCATCTATAAGCCATCAGCGATCCAAAGCATATATCCTACCACCAAATGGGACCCCATTTTCACCAGCCCGAAGCCACCAAACACCACAGTCGTTTATACCCCGAGATGCACGGATTGCCGTACGAGTAACCGCAATTGGTGTTCTTGTCGACCTCATGATCAGTGAACCACTGCGCATCCTTATCTTTGGTCCAATTTACGAGTTTGCCAACTCGCATCAGCAGTATAGTCTCCCAATTTGACGCCGTCGTCCAGTCGATCGCACACGGGACCATTGGCAGTCTTTGTAAGCAAGATCCCCATGGACGTAGCCGCAGGCGATGGCGGGGTTCAGCATTGTAAGGACTAGGGGTGGTATATTCATGGTTGGCATGGTAATCGAAATTGGGGATGTGAGAATGGGATATAATCTGATTGACGGTTGGTGGAACCGGAGGTCAGCTAGACATTACCGCCGTCTATTTGCTTTCTCCGAGAACTTTATGTTAATGTAAGCTGCGGCGTATGACTTTTGTGAAGATCCTGGGAAAGTAAGAGGATGTACCTGGGGAGAGAAGACGAAAGAGGTAAAGATAAAGCCGTTTATTTGAGAGTGTCTAGAGGATTGGACTGATAGCCGAAACACTGAATGTCTTCAAGTGACGGTGTTGCTACTCTACATGACATATCATCAGTCTACTACGTGGCGTGATTGAGACAGAACATGTCCTGAAAAATAATTCCTGTGATTGGTAAAAGGGTATATCCAGCCGAAATTATGTCCGAAACAGACGGGCACTTAACCAAACACCAAGTGTCATCTATTCAAGTCAATCCCCCCGTCAGCCATCGCTATCATCACTCATGACGAATTGCCGGCACCTCTGCTTCTTCTCGGCACTTCTGTCCAAAAGAGTAGAGACGTCGGGAAAATCTTCACCCATGTCCTCCGTCATTTGTGAGCAGAACAATGAGTCCTCTGCTGTCGCCTCGACCGCCAGAGGCTGGTTCGTACGAGTTCTTGGCTGCTTATCTGGTTCAGTATCTTGCCCATCTCTCTTGCGTTTGACTGGGGGGACGAAGCCAGACGCTTTGCGCTGTTGACGTTGGTCGCCGCTTTCAGGCTCGTTCATGCCGCTAGTAGCGTCCGAGTCATCCTGAAACTCGTCCAGACCAAGCGCCAAGAGACGCCTGTATTGCTGCTCACAGTCCGCGCCGACCCGGTCCATTTTCTGCAAAGTCCCAATCATGCGCCGGGTCAGAGACCCATGCTGCACTGCTTTGATCGGCCGGGGTGTGAGCTGAAGGCGCGGGAAGGCGTCAGTGCGAGGGTTGCAGATCGACGGCGCATCCGGCTGTCCTACTTTGCCGTAATGCACGTCAAGCTCGTTTTGCTGCGCCGGGGTAAGCAAGACGTCTTCAAGCGCGGGGAGTGACACGGGCTCCGGAGTCGGTGTGCGAGCCTTACTTTTCTTCGTCTCCCTACGCTTGTTGCCGCCCTCGGCCAGGCTGGACGCTTTCGTGAAGCCTGTTTCCACATTGTCTGGCATGTGAAACTTCTTGGGCGGTCGCTTGGGAACGCGGCCTCGTCGCTTGGGCTCGGGCAGCTCGCGCACAGTGTTCTCTTCGGGAATGTCAATCGCCCGCTTATCGGCCACAGGCCGGATGCCCGAGGGAAGGATGCGAGGGGATTGGTCTTCATGAAAGGCAAATCGAGTGCCGCTGGCAATCATCTGCTGCATCTTCTCGTAGTTGTCCTTGGCTTTGATGTAGGACTCTTCTTCCTTGCCCTGCATCAGGAGCAGAACGATGTTGCCCGCTCGCTTACGGCCGGTACGGCCCATGCGCTGAAGCATGCGGATCGGTGAGGCAGACGAGTCGTAGCACACAATTAGGTCGACCTCGCCAATATCTAGCCCTTCCTCACCGATTGATGTTGCCACAATCGTGTTGTATGTGCCGCTTTTGAACTTCTGTACGATCCCGAGTTGGGCCTTTTGATTCATGCCTTCCGAGCCCTTGGCGCTACTCTGCCCGACGAAGACATGAGGCCGGATCATCGGCTCGTACCTTTTGAGGACCCGCGTCACTTCTTCAGCACTGTCTCGGAAATGGACGAAGATCATAACTCTCGTTGCTGGTTTCGCCTGGTCTGCCGCGGCGGCCCCCGCACCTTCGCCCGCGTCCATGAAATGATTCAGGACGACCTGCTTCAGGTATTCAAGCTTGGGGTGGCCGATAAACTCTGGGTTTTTTGTCCAGGGCTGCAGGTGGCTCATTAGCTTTTTGAAGCTCTCATCCTGGACGACCTGTCGCTGGTATTTACCACCCTTTTGCCCATCGGTGTTGGATTGAAAATGTGCAAGGTGGCGGTAGAATGGAGTTATCCCGTGATACTTCAGGAGGTCAATCCCGTGCGCAAGGCTGGCAAGAACGGTGAAAATGGCGTTCACTTTGCCTTTTAACCCGAAGTGCGCATTCCGACCGACGTCGGACATCATCCACTGCTGTCTGGCTTTGGTTAGTCCAAATGCAGTGAGGCCCATGGGGTCACGGCCCCAGTAGGCGTTGAGGCTCCGAAGCTGGTCGACCAGCGGCTGGAGGGTTTTGGTCAACAAATCCATGCACATGACCATTTCTTCGGAGTTCTGGAAAGTTTGCACTTCGATATCCTTAGCATGAACATACTCGCGGATGTCGAGGGATTGCTCCGTGCGAATCTCGACCCGGGAGATGTCTAGCCCATCGATCACTGCCTGCACAGCTTCCACCGTGGACCCGGGCGTTGCTGTCAAAGCGAGTACACGAAAACTTTGGTTATATCGTCGAAGGAATTTGACAACTTCGACGTAGGCATACCCACCTGTTGCGCGGTGAGCTTCGTCTACGACGAGCAGAACGATTCGTTTGGGATCTGCGATTCCGGTCTTGAGATCGTTGATCAAGGTCTGAGGAGTCATGAAGAAGACACGTTTGGTCTTCCATTCCTCGGCTCGAATGCCGGGGGCAGCCTCGCCGGTCAGCATCGTAGTCTGGGATCGGGGAATACCCGCGATCTGGAAGCACGCGTCGATCTGTTGAGCGACTAGCGGTTTCGTGGGCGCGACGAAGATGATCTGGGCCTCTTGCGTCCAACGTAGCCAATTGAGCATGATAGTGGCTGCGATGAATGTTTTACCGAGACCAGTAGGCAGTGCAACGAGCAGGTTATGGAATAATCCTTTCTGGGCAATGTTGAACTGATAATCTCGCGTCTTTCCCAGGTTGGTTGGGTAGACCCATGTGTCTAGAGCTCCGTGGTTCAATTTGTGTTGTGTCGGAGGTTCGACTTTCTCGGGTGGTGACATGGCCTGCTCGCCACGCGGGGGTTGGGTTGCTGGGTTCCGAGCTGCCATGTCAAACAAAGTCGTTTGATGAACACCCAGTGGGCGATTCACGCTTTGCGTGAAGGAGCCTGACACCGGGCGACTGTGCGTTGGTGGAGGAGGGGACAAGGATAGATCGGAGTCAAAAGCGTCATCGGGTATGTCGTCTAAAAGCTCTGTAGGAATGTCCATAGCTTCGCCTGATTGCTCACTCGAGGAGCCTTCAAATGACCGGGGCCGCAGCTGATTACCCATTGGTGTGTGAGACTTCTTAGAGCTTTCCTCTTCGAAAGACAACAGTGAAGCCTCGATTGCCGCTTTCAATGCGTCGTCATCCTCGAATTCATCTTTCGGCACGTCCTCGCCGCCGCCTCCATTGACTGCATGTGCTACCGGAACGACCATCCGGGGGGGTACCTCGGGGTCCGGTTTCTTCCATCGCGGACCTCGTATCAACTCCGGTGGCGATTGAGGCTGCGTGAGCTGAGTAACGAAGATGTTCTCCTGAACATTTCGGTTCTTCGGGACGAACAACTTATACTTGGATTGCGCCTCCCGCTCCTGAGCTTCAGGGAAGTAAGGTGACGATGAATGTGGAGATTCTAGCTCCTCCTCGTCATCGCCCCCGCTGAAGGACTCCGAGCTCTCTCGAGCGTCATCTCGATCATGTTGTTTTCTTCGTCGTGATGAAGTCTTGTTGTCGGCTTTCAGGCGACGGCGCTTGGCTGGTCTGGGAGAATCCGGATCGGTGGGCGTGGCTGCAGCATCGGAGCCATCGTCGACAACAAAATCCCCAATATCATCGTCGAAGTAGTCGGAAGACTCCCCGTCCAGGTCAGACATGTCGAACCCAACTTGGTTCGTTGGGATTATCGTCCGGTGCTTTCGAACTGGCCATGTTCGTAACGCGACGCGTCGGATCGCAATCACATGTCTGCTTAGTCACGAAAAGTCCATGATTTCCTAGCTTGGTCTAGTATCTTGTCCTCCCGCAGCTGGCAAGGAGGAGCTGGAGCTGGCCAGGGAGGCACCGGCGATCGACCGGGCACTCTTCATTGCTCTAACGATTGGATGTGTTTCCTGCTATCAATTTTCGATGTATACATCTCAACCATGCTGTGGAACTTGAACTTGTCTGGCCGCACAAGGAAAGTCCGCTTGGGCGCAGAGCCATGACCACGAGCGGGATGGATTATATTCAATTGTATTAGTCTAGTTCAGTCATCTAGCCCGAGTCTGCACGGTAAGGACTAATTCTGTGCCACACTTCTTTGGATTAACAGAGCCAACTGGGGCCGATGCTCCCCTTAGCGTGTTCACTAAAACAAACAAACAACAACACAGACAAGACATTAAATCAAGCACGAGCCACACTGGCGGACAGTCGGTTGCCTTGAGACTTCCCGCGCTTACTCGCATTTTCGCTCATGGCCACAATATCCCGAGAGTATAGGGGATTGACTGTGTGATCCTGAAGGTGTCAGATCCGGGGAAATACTGGGAGTTGGAAGAACCTAGCCAGGCAGCCAGCACCTGAAGATTCTGTGGTGTAACGCCGGGGTCATTATTCTGTAGGGATGAGAGAAGGCAGCTCCAACCAAGCCGGGGAATTGGGGTAATGGAGAACAGGAGTGATCCGTAGTGTTGCAGCCACGGAACTTTAACCACATTGATGAGTCTCAGCCGGCGCCCTTTCATTTCACGAGGAGTCCTGTGGTTGTGCTATGTACGGAGTACCTACTGGGCTTTGAACTTTATGTGGTTATTATTAGATCCCGGGACTGTACAGGCTGCAGGCTGCAGGCCGCACTCCAGGGAGATTGATAGACCTCTGCACATGACCATCAGTCACTTGTTGCCACTGCCACGAGCAATCAGCTCACTGCCCTTCAATTAGCCAAGCGAGAAGCCGGGCTTATCAGCGCCCAGTTTTTTCCTGGTTGTGGAGCAGCCAGCGAAGAGGCGGATAAGAGCATTCAGCAATGGGAGGACGAGGAGCGAGACTAAGAAGGGCTAAAGCCAGACTAACAGCGAGGATAGTGCCACGCCAGGGTTATTTTTGGCCGATCCCTCCTTTGGGAGCCCTTGGAGGCTTGGAGCGGCTTTGGAGTCCCCAGATTTTCCAAGGGTCTGTCCGCCCTTCGCGCTTCACCGGGCGATTGTCTCTTGAGGGAAAGGAAGAGTGGACTCAGAGTGGAGTTTTAGACTTGTTTAGATCCGTTCGCGGTTTGGGCCACTTCCGTCACCGATCTATCTATCTATTCACAATCCAGTCAGTCCATCACACTCTGTTCAAGACAGGAGAGAATAGATGATCACGTCAATAGCTCAGGGTGACAGACAAAGTCAAGAAGCAAATCGAGTATGGGGCCGTTTGAATTGCCACCAATGTAAGGGTGAGCGAGCTAGTTAGTCAGTCCGTCAGTCAGTCATCAGTCAATTAGGTCAGTCAGTCAGTCAGTCAGTCAGTCAGTCGGGTGAGGCCGAACAGCGCATCTGAACCAAATTGGAGTTGGTGGTTGTTGCAAAAGAGAAGTCGTGCCACTGGATGCGAAAGGAGGCCAACCACTGGCTGAAACCCCCGCTAATCATCCAAGAAGAAGAAACAACTTAGTGAATGAATTGGATTAATCCAGGCACTAAATTCAATTTCCCGCCACTGTTTTGTTTTGGCCGTCCCACGACTACTTCTTTCTTCCTCCCTCTCTTTCTCTTCTCTTCCCTTTCTTTCCTCTCTTCCTCCTCAACAGTCTTTCGTTCTTCCATATCTTGCGCTCGCTCGTTACTCGCTTCTTTCGGGCCTTCAAAAGGAAAACTTAACGTCTGTCTCTACTACTACACCAATCAATCACACCATCAACTGTCAAGATGAAGTTCAACAGCGCTCTCGCTCTCTCCCCCCTCCTGGTGCTCGCCGTGGCCCAGGACTCCTCCACTGCCTCCTCCACTGCCAGCGCTGCCACCACGACTGCCAGTCTTTCTCCCCAGGCCAAGTGCGCTGAGTCTTGTACGTATTTGTCTACCATTTCAGTCTGAATCCACTCCCACCGTGGCTGTGGTTGTGCCCACTGCACGCGCATTTACCTCCGCAACTCACTTGTATGCATCGCCACCCATTCTAACCCAACCATCCAGGCGCCTCCACCGACATCTGCTGCATTGCCAAGTGCTACAATGTCCCCTGCCCCAACGACTCTCAGGCCAACGACACCACCAGCTGCGTTGCCGCCTGCCCCCAGGGTAACGGCTCCACCAGCGAGACCGACGCCTATGCCAGCTGCCAGAGCCGCTGCGTGAGCAGCTACTTCTGGTCCAGCGCCACTGCCTCCGCCGGCTCCTCTGCCAGCACTGCTAGCTCCAACGACGGTACCACCACCACAGGCAGCGGCAGCAGCAGCTCCTCCACTGGTTCTAGCAGTACGTTTATTCCCTTATCCTGGTGACCACAAACCCATCTTTCACACGCACAAACAACTAACCCCCCCCTCAAGAGTCCGGCTCCTCCAAGTCTGGTTCCTCCGACTCCACCAGCACCGCCACCAGCTCCGGCGCCAAGTCCAGCGAGACCTCCAACTCGGCTGCCATCACGCAGTTGAAGATGGGCGTTTCCACCGTCGGTCTCCTGGGCTTCGTCCTCGCCGCCTGGGCTCTGTAAATGTCTGATTCAGTGATCAATGCGGTGGTCAAGATGAGAAACTCCCTCTCTCTCCTCGCACACCGAGCACAAATCAAACACAGCAGCACAGAAGCACACTTCAACCTATTCTCAGTACATATGGGAGATTGAAACGAATGAGGGCGGTAGGAAGGGTAAAAACACACGAAGTCTTAATTTAATGGGATATCACACACACGCGCACACACATATCAGCTTTCAGTTTTCTGCTTTGGCCCCTTGCTTCTTTTTTTATTATTCTCAATTCTCTCGACATCTTGTCCAACCTTGTGTCATAATAACTAACTTACCTCGACTGTTTCTGTCACTAATACTACCCCACACGCGCTTTCACTGAGCTGATCCTAGTATTATTGTATAACAATCATATCTCTGCCCTCATTTCTCTGAGAGTTCGTCGATCACATACGGTATTTGAGCACCGCGAGGTCTTTTACAATCCCACGTAATAGCTAAGCGGCTGTCAAGCAAAGCATAGCAGATCTGTAAACCCTGTCCTACCTTTTCCATTTCTTAAGCGGTGACATCATATCAAACCGATCGAGGCACCTCGCGCTACTCGAGGGGCCACTTACTACACCTACTGAGCAAGAGACGGGGGAAGAGGGAGGGGGATGTATAACCACTCAACGATGACGAGAGAGCAAAAATTCCCCATTATGAAATGACGTCGCCAGTGCAACTTGCTCATGTAGAGGATAAATCTTATGCAGTGTTGCTGATTTCAAAGTGACTACATACCATGCCCACAACCCATGCGGTGGTGTTGGGGGATCAGTTTAGTCTGTCGATCCGGGATGGGTCTATCTGCATAGCATGACTCCACTGCTGTGAAACTGCTGCCACTCACCATACAGTCCTACAGTCCTCGATGGCGTCCATCTCTCCACACGAAATTCCTCTTCCCCGCTTCCTCCCCCGCATTCTTCAGGTACAGGATGATTAAGGTTTGAGATTCCATGAATCCACTTCGAAAGTGTAAACAAAATCTGAGTATCAAAGTATCAAGATAATATTACCTGAATGTGCAAAATATGTATAAATCCAACAATGGCCCGAACAAATTCCTTATCTAGATGTTAAGAAGTACATTATTATGAAACACAGTTCAGAATGCAATGTTATCTCGTAGGAGAAGCCGGAGCGGCAGGGGGCAAAGCACTCGTATGGATGCAATAACACCAGATTCGAAGTAAGCCAATGATCCTGCCATGTTGTTGAACTCCACTGAGTGCAAGAAGATTATCGATTGATGGCGCAGGCGTGAATAAGAATGCTATAGGGAAATATGCAATGAGCGATCGATATCAGGAGTGGAAAAGGTGGAAATCAGAATCCCAAGCACGCCAACGCCAGTACCAATGTAATGTCTAGATTACTGTAGATTAGCCAAATGCCAGAAAGCCACTCCCAATGATGTATGACCGGTGTTGATGTCAAACTCGATCTCGCGCAAAGTCCAAAACCTCACAGTCATCCTCAAAAAATCCATCGTCGACCCCACTGCCCGAGGCCAAGGCTAAAGTTGACTTCTTCTTCCGACGAGTCGTGATGACTACTTCTTCAAGGTTTCCAGTGCTGTTCCCTAGGCTGATAAGGTTCTCCATCTCGCCTCCAAAGCCATGATGCTGCTCATGTACCATGTCATCCTCATCATCTTCATTGTGGGCGCTAAATGGGCGCACGTGAAGCTTGGACGTCGGCATGAAGCCCCCAAAGACCCACTGACCTGTGGGTACGGATGTCCCAATGTCATCTGTTTCCGAGTAGACAAAAAGGTTTACTCTCTGGTCGGTGTGGAATGGTTGGTAAGGCGTATTCGTTTCGATTTCCGCCTGCGAAAGCGGCTGAGCCTTGAGCTTCGACGACACAAGAGGCCGGGCTGTGGAAGACGGCAGAGCCAGAGTGGCCCAGACCTTGGCCTCCGTGCCTGGGGTGCCAAGGGTGCCAACGGTCAGAGGGCCGCAAGGTGTCTGCAGATTCGGAGGTAGTCGAAATTCCAATTCCTTCTCTCCAATCACTGACTGCAGCTGCCGATTCCGATTGGTGGACACCGAGCGCTTGATTCGATATAAGCGGAAGAACCCTCCATCGAGAAGTCCCAGAAAGGGTAAACCCTTACTGGTTATCCAAGTTACACGAGAAGCGACTGGGTCACGGGAAAGCCCGGAGAGATGCAGACGGTGCTCACCCCCATGCCGAAATGTATTGACTGTCTTGACTGTACCAGTGGCCGCAGCGCCCATTGATTTGCTGAGGCCAGCGGCAACGGCCTTGCCACTCACACCTGCAGTAGAAGGAATCGTGAATCCGCTCATCGTATTGAAGGCCGCGCCAGTCGATGGTGCACGACCCCTCACTGCTGCAAGGATGGGTTGGGTCTTCCCTCCAACCATTTTGAAAGCTGCTGATAGGGGGTTCGGGGCAGCAGCCCGGTCAGACAGCTCCTCGGCCGGTAAATCACGGCTAGGGACTTTGGCAGGCTGTGGTCTGGCCCGACGGAAAGGAGGCCACTGAAAAGCAGCCCGTGGCAGGTCGAAAACATGCACCGTGGGCTTACCAGTAATAATTGCGAGCTTGTCTCCAGATGGAGGGCACCATACCACGTCAATGATACGAGATGCCGTCAACCGTGAGAATCTCGCAACCTGTCGCACGCTCGGGTGTGCAGCTGTTGGGTCGTCGGATAGGAAAGCCCCTGCCCGGCAATACTTCGCCTGCAGAAGATCCCAAACATACTGCACGTCTCCCTTCTTACTCACCGTAAGTAACATCAAGCCGTTGGGAGAGAAGGAGAGAAAGCTACAGCCATTTGGCACCTGAAACGTGGTCATGGAACCGAACAGCGCGTTCTTTGTTTCTGTGCCCTCTTCTAGTCTTTGTAAGTCCGTTACCGCAACCAAATCCGGCTCGGCCGGAGAAGCAGTCTGGGTTTCTTGGGAGTGCGTTGGAGGAAAGATGTTGTAGCCTTGTGGTGAGAAATCCATTAAGTTGGGAGAACGACGTGAAGGGATGCTTTGTGCTTGTTCTTTGTTCCAGTAACTGTTCCAGGCTTGTAGACCTTGATCACCCATCCAGCGAGCACCACGCATAAGCTCTTGTGTAACGCCTCGAGCGACCTTGCCAAAGAAGCTTTCGCCTTCGCCGACGTCAGTCACGCATGTTACTGCTGGTCGCGATGGTGGGCTACGAGTCTCAAGTCCGACAGGCTTTCCCTGTAAGAGAGACGCAGGAACCGTTGCACGAAGGGACGCTCTGTAGGTGGCGGAGGGCGGAACAAGGGCCAGCCACCTTCCTCTAAGAGAAATGATCGGGCTGTCGTGATTGGGAAGCCCGTGTGGAGAGTCGGACTGCGAGGCATCCGGGTCAGTGGAGCTAGAAGAGGTCGAATATCGTCGAGATTCCTTCGACTGAATACTCGTCCACATTTTCCCAAGGCATTGGTACCTGCCTATGCCATAAATGTAAACTTCTCCACTAGATCCCGAGGCCAAAACAACGTAGCTGCCGCTAGCATAAAGCTTCAGGTTGCCGACAGGCGGCGGAGCCAGAGACGGCATCCCCGGGATATTGCCAAAGGACTGGACTGGTGGTGTCGTCAGGAGCGTCGTGATATGTTCTCCATCTCTCAAAGAATAAACATCGACCCGTGTTTGGTAAAACTTCAATTCGTCCTTGTTCATACGACCACCAGCAACTGATGGCCGGCCAGCCGGAATTTCGTTTGTTTCCGACCCGGTGGAGGAGGCGTGGCCCTCATCCTCAGGAATAGAACAGGGTCCATGGGTAATGATGGCGATATGTGGTCTGGGTGCGGGATTCGGGTCATTTGCCCAGGTACTGGTCAACAATTTGGCTTCGATCACCCGACCAGGCAGGCCTGTCAGCTTACCCACCAGACGAGTCTTCTGATCTTCTATTGCGAGAATATCTAGAGCACCATCTGTACCGACCAGAAGAACGTTGCTTCCGATCCTAGACGCCTTGAACCACGGGCTCGGGATTGTGTCAAAGGCACAGAAAGAGTAGCTCCCCTCACTGATCGGCCTACTCTGTCCAGAAGAGACCGGTAAATCAACATCTGGGGCGCCGTAGAAGTGAGCCTGTGGCAAATGTGGCAAGGGTATCTGGTTATTGAATGGGCTGTTGACAGAGTTGCTCTTATGGCGGTCCACAGACTGTTGCCTGGACGTATTACTGGTAGCGTACCCATGGCCATAACTCAGAGGCCTTGTCCTGCTAGAAGGCGATGCCGATGAAGGGTGACTAAAACCGCCTTTATCATGGCTTGTGAGAAATCCGAATGGGGATCCGCTAGCAAACTCCCCATCCGTCACGTCATTTGGAGGACTTTTGCCGAATGGAATGGACTTAGCCCAACTATCCGTCCGGTAGGTGACATCGTTCTCTGGAGAATCTCCCAAGGAGTCCAGGGCGTCAAGACCTGGGGAAACAATGTTGTGACTGGTTGGGGGATCTAATGTAGGGTTCGGACAAGACGACGGCTCTGCCAGCAGAGGTGGTGAGATTTCATCTCTGTGTAGTTGGGCACAAAAGTAGGCCTTCATCAGCTTGGAATCTTGTGGCAGGGTAGATAAATCCCGATGATATGAAGCAAGCCAGACTTACAGGTCGCCAGGTGAGGACTTGGCCGCTGCTTTCGCCGCTTTAGCCTTGGCCTTCGATCCGCTTTTCCCTTTCTTCTTGCTCTTTCCCCCGATTTCATTCTCCAGGTTTGAACGGGTAGTATCCTCGGGAGGTGGAATGGTGTCACCTGAAGACCGGCTCTGCTGGCGAAACAAATCGTCCGAGGCTGCCGGTGGCATTCAAATGGAGGGGCTGCCTACTTTGAGGCAGTATGGCCTTAGACAAATGACCGCTCCCAGAGACCTTAGCAAGGTCTGAGAACGGATCTGACAATATCGTCGACGTGCAAGGAGAGTCGCGATCAAGGGATCTAGAATGGTGTGGAGCAAGTCCTTTGGAGGCAAGACTGTGAAGGTCAACAAAACGCTTATCAGTATGACTCATCCGATAGACCGGGCTGGCCAAACGCTTGGGAAGTGTTCTTACTGTGGAAAGTAATTAGAAGCAAAAGGTAGCAGATATGAAAGAACGCGTGAAGCGTGCCGGGTTGTCGCAGTCGAGACGGCAGGCGACGACCAGCAACGTATCTAGAGCGGGGGACCCGTTCACTGATATGCCGGTAGATAGATCGGAGATACAGGACAGCTCGGCAGCACAGCTGTGACCGTCTGTCCACACTACTGTTGAAGGAGGGAAGTAGTATACGGATGCCGTATCGAGAAATGAGGCAGAGCAAAGAAGAGGCAAGTAAGTGACAATGAGATCACGGAAGGTAGAATGGGTAGATTAGAGAAGATGTTATCATCCGGAGGGAAGGGAAATAGGGAAAGGAGGGAAGGAGGGGGAGGGGAACCGGGTCAGGGTCAGGAGCATGGATGACATCCCCAAGGTTAGTAACTCACTCCGTAACCGTTCTAAGTCACTAGTTACCAGTTAGTTACTTATCTCCTATCGGTTCCCTCTTCGTTCGTCCGTAAGGTTCCCGACCGATTCACACACCACATGACGCGGACCAAATGATCATTGGTCGTCAGTGGGCATGTATACTACTGAATGTATAGGGTATGACCGTCATAACATGGCGCAAACTGGTAAGGTCACGAAGGCATAAGATCTCCTTTCTACAGTACGGACGGTTCCAGCACATGCATCTGCTAATTACTCTTATGCTCTAATGCTAGTCTAGCTACATGCTGTCTATTTGGCTGCCTCGACCGGTTCTCCTTGTGGTTAGCCGATGATCTGCACTTACCGTACCGTACCTTTTCGCTGTGTATGAAGCAGGACAGTCAATAGTGCACGGACAGAACCCCAACGCCCGCATGAGGGGTAGATTGGTAGCCTTGCAAACGCTACAAACCCTGCAAGCCCGACGCGCCGAAACGCGGGTCTCTATAGTCACGTGCCTGGAGGCAAATATTGCAGCCAAACATTTATCACCTCCGGGGCATGTGATGCTGACCATGGTTTGGGGACTCTTCTTGCCTGAAAATCCTTCCCCAACGTCCCAAGTCCCCATGGGCCCCTATGAGGGGCCACTGAAACAAGTCTGGCTACGGGGAGGAGCATGCCCCGGCCAGGTCCAACTATTCCCGGAGTGGGGAAGGGAAGGCTTGAAAAGGCGGTCGACTCTAGGCTCCGGAGTAGCCTGGAGGCTGGAGGCTGTCTCTCTCTTCCCCGGCCAGATGTGGCTGGTTTTCATGGGGCTTTCCCAAAATGCTATCAAGTGACGGGACCCCCGCCTGAGATGCACTGCCATCATCTGTAAGGCCCCCGTCGGCCATTGGCACGTCCCCCCTCCCATCGCCTCTCCTCCCCCATCCCTCGCAGGGCTGTGACTGGAATTTTACGTGGTGGACAGCCATTCCCTCGGTATTCCCTATTCATGCAAATTTGAGACTTAGCAATTTCGCCATTGCCCATATCCCCTTGTTTGGGTAGGTATCTCCTGAATCCCTGGGAGACCAGCAGCGCCTCACCTGTGACCTGCCGTATCCAAGGAACTCGTTCGTCGAATGATCGCGAAGCTCGTCATCGGTGCTACCTCTCTTACCACGCGGTTGGCTTGCAGTAGGGAACTTGAGGAATGCAGCTGGACTGACAGGGAAGACAGGAAGAAGAAATGTTGTCATCTAACGATGATGCCATTTGGTTGCCAAAGCGCCTCGGGCAGCAAAATCCCAGGGTCAGACGAAACACGGTTTCGCATGCTTCAAAGCATTCGTCTTCCGGCTTACTAACGAGCTCTAGGTCATCTGATGCCACTGGGCATACTTTCCCTTATTCCCTTCTCACTCTCGCAGTCATTGGCGTCGGAATTGGGACATCCCCTTTGACCTCCCAACCCCTCTGGAAGGTTGTTCCGTGCTTTCTTGGGCCCTCGTACAATGAACAACTAAATCAGGGCCGCAAGGACCAGTTACGTTCTTGGATCCGCAATGGCTCAGGATGACGAAGTCCTTTCTTCTCTGAAATTCTCCGTAAGGACACTGATAGACCTTGTCGAACCGTGCGATTTGCAATAAGGTATGGGCTTGTTCTTCGATCATGGTCGGATCAGCGATTACGTTTCGAACCACGAACTTGACAACGCCTCAATTGTGTTTTACCCTGCAGCACATTGCTTGTTTACCCTCGATATAGAAACTGCTTTTATGAGCCGGTGATCCGGGCTCCGCCATTGCTCAATATTGACGGAACTGCCTGATGTGAGGGGCTCCCGGCTCCTCTCATACCAAGCAAATCCGGCGGCCGAATGTCGTTGAGCTCACCACAGCATTTTATGGGCCGGTGTTTACCCCCTTGGTACAAGCTCTCGCTTAGGGAATGAACGTGAAGAAAGGATGAAGACATGCCCTCGTTAGCCGAAGCTTTTGGGTGGCAATCACTGCTATATCACAAACAAACTTCCTGATTTCTGGGTATTGCGAAGCCATCAATAGTCTAGACGCATTACTTCCTGATGCATGGGTCATATAGTCCGAGGTTAATGGCACAAGCGGCCAAGGCGACTCATAGAAATGCGCGAGCTAATCGCGCTGAGTATGTACAATCAGTGTAGACTTGAGGTTGCCTGGCCTCAGTGCGACTTATGCGAGGTACTGGGGTAGGACATTCTACAGCCCTGGCCAATGAGATCTAGACCTACCCTACAAGGCAGTGCAACTGTCTCCGCTCCCCAAAGGTAGATCTAGGTCCTCGCTATGAGGACACGGTTGCTGATTGTGCCCGACGTATCGGAGAGTTACTCTCAAGGACAGGGACACTGCGTTCTATTGTATCTTATCGACATGCCACATCTCCTATCCCAGAAGACCGCAGCTTCGAGCACGTGACAGTTGCCTACTTGGCTCCACTCTTTGTGTGCACGGGCTGGAACACTATGGTCTTGAATACCACAAGCGTGGTGCCTGAACAACACTGACGGCAGGCTTACGGCAAACAGTCAGGTAACTCCAGAAATCTTGACCTGTGCTTGCCACCAGCCTTATAGTGAGGCAACTGGTCGTTCACTGGCATTTAATATGAGCCGTTCCCATCACGGTTGCCGGAGCTTGCATTGACTTGTCCTATTCATCACCAGGCTCTCCACACGAAAGGTACCAACCAGGAAGCCTGCTACCCATTAAAGACCCCAATTCAAGACTCCACTTGCAGAAATTTGTATTGCCAACTTTACAGAGAATATAAGTACAACCGATCGCCACTAATGCCACGTAGCCCCCCCAGGCCCGGGCGTGAGCTCACATCTCAAGTCTTCTTCTTTGCGGCAGCCGCCTGCGCCTTGGCCGCCTTCTTCTTGTTGCTGTTGATCATCACAATGCCTATGAAGGTGCCCACCACGGCGGACCCCAGCAGAGTGAGGAAGACGGGGATGCGGATAGCCCAAACGCGCGGAGGGAAAAGGTCGTGGAGCGGGTGGCCGGGATCAACGAAGGGCTGGCGGGTTGTTGGTTAGCAATTGAGCTTTACTGGAGTGTCGAGGTTCAATGGAAGCCAGCATACCATCAGCAAAGTCCACGTCGTATAGTAGAGGAAGATCGCGGTCGCGACCATAAGCATGGCGGATCCGACAAGAGTGCCCAGCTGCGCCCGCACGGAGTAGTTAGCATTTTGACTATAGCTCAGAGGTGAGTGAAGGCATGACATACCATAATGATGATCGATTATTAGCCGCAGCAAGTTCAAGATCAGAACAAGAAAGGCAAAAGGATGGCGGATACTCCGTAGTTCTGAGGAACGGGGGGGTTACTACGGGTAGATGTGGGAATATATCACGTGACATGGCTTACCAGAGCGTTGATTAGTCACGCATGCGAACAGGAGGCGTGATTAGAGGGCGATCTCTAGATATATCTCTATTATGACGCTCATTGTCTTCTTGAAGATGCAGAGAAGCTTGGCGTAGACTCAGCCTCCTGCGTCAGGTCTTTCAGTTTGGGTTTATCGCCGAATTGACCTTTCCAATGCGCAGAAGTGTGATGGCCCTCAGGACAAGATCATCTCTTGCTCCGACGAATCTTCCAGTATCAGGCTGGCAACGCCTGCACGGACGAGATCCCGGGCTGTGTACTTGATCGGCCGTGTCAAAGTCTTGACGCTAGCTCCAAGAGCAAGATGGGCAGGGCGGGCGGGAGGACAGTGGATCTTGGTGAACTTAACGCCATAGATGAAGGAGGGTGCGCGGTGCGTCAAGGCCAGCTATTGAGAACGTGAGCTCTGGAACGGGCCGGGACTGCCCAATGGACTTGCGTCTTGTGTGTGTCTGTAATGACAGTACACTAAAGGAGATACTGAGTGTAGATAAAAGAGGTTGTGACAGTAGTGGGCTGGGGATGTGAACCACAACTGGGTATTACAGCCATCGAAGCATTGCCATTAAGCGCCCTGAGGGATGAATAGTCTGTAAAAGCTATGTGCTTCACATCTCAAGACTTCTGCCTCATACAAAGGTCAAATCTGCAACGCAATTACCTAAGAACAACTTGTCGACTCCAGATCTGTCCAATGACTATGATGATAAGCCAAAGTAGTTAAGGAGATGCCATTCCTCTCTAAACCCCTCTAAACTCCTCTCTCTGAACATAATCCATATCTTCCCCAAGAACTCTCAACCCTAACTAGTTTTCATCAAGACCTAATCACTACTATCAGCTGAAAGCTCTCAACCTTCTAATAATCATTAATCCTTACCTTCCTCCGCTGCAAGAAACTCCTCCTCATCATCATCCTCCTCCTTGACAGCTTTCTTGATTTCACCAGCAGCCTTAGTCTTGCGTCTCTTGCGAGGAGTAGCGGCCCCGGATCCAGTGTCTGCTCGCTTCTGGCCTTTCTGGAAACTAACACCGCTCCCGCTCTTCCGGTAATTGTCCAGGTGTCTCTCGATCGCCCTAGCGGTGGGCTTGTCATCTCCGGCTTTATCTAGTAGTTAGTCATCTGAGCCTCGTAGAGAGCGAGAGAGGATGAAGTTGATAGCCTTACGCCATGCCTCGGACACTTTCTGGAGATCGAGGGTGAAGGTTTGGGTCTCGAATATGAGCTCCCAGAGCTGTAAGGCGGGGTTGATGTTAGTATGGATCAAGGCCATGGAAATATCTGAGGGAAGAAAGGGGAGACAGATGGTACCAGCTTCTTCTTGTCTTCTGTCCAACGCATCCTGAGGTGGTGGTGTTGGTTTGATGATTAGTTTGGAGTTGGGGTTAAGTGAGAGGAGTTTGGGATGATGTTTTTCGAACGCGGTGGGAAGTGGAAGGTGGTTGAGAATAGATGAGTGTAAGAGAGAGGAAGCCCTGAGGTAGAAACTGTTTAAATAGAGAGGAAAGGAGAGGATATGAGCTCAGTGCAGATGGGTATACTACTGCTAGCATAGTAACACATTCACTGTGGCCTGGAGGCCAACATTAACTACCTGACTTACAACCGATCAAATGACCCAAGTGAGACACCTGGCCTTAGTATAGAAATTTTTCTACGCATTTCTTTTGACTTACCAGGCCATAGTATACTTGATGAAGTGATTTTGACTGTGAGATCATATTTCGAGGTCATTTTCGAAGCAAAGGAAGTATATCCGATTTTTGCTCTAGTATGTGCAAATTCGAGTAGATTTTCTCCTTTTTCAACACCGCTACTTTCTCTATCTGGCAGCTGAGATGCCTCTTATGTTGCAATGTTAGAAGATACACAGCAATTATTGCTGTTTACACTGACCATGGGCAGTATATACACGTGACATATTTAGTACCTAGGTGCCTTGGTGCCTGAGGTAGACAACGATTAGCAATCTGCGCTGGGAATTCGGCCCATTCATGCATTGTGCTTCCAATTTCTACCATGCTTAGTATCTTTCTTTAGTCTAATCACAGGAGTATTCTTCTCTTTCTTTTATCTCTTGAATCTTCATTTCGTACTTCACTTTATAGTCATTCTTGCCTCTCTTTTGGCGATCAACTGCTCAGCTGTGAATTCTGGTGGCGGAAGTAGTAGCCTGCGCCTGCTACGAGACTTTAGTATAAGTGCTTCGCTTCGCCTTACTACTACTTTCACCACGGCATTTTTGACCTGCTTCGTACCTTCGCTTTCACAACAGAAGCTTTTCCCTCTTTTCACAAGGCGAGGTCATTTTCCCGTCGGGTTATATTCGCTTGGGCCTTCACCTTGTGAAGGACACATTCGCCACCATGCGCGAACTAGACCCGCTCATCTCTGAATACCGCCATGACAGGAACCGCCCTCGGGCGCCCGAGGCACTCCTTATGCTTCAAAAGGTAGCTTCCATAGTCAAGCCGATCATGCGCCGACGACAATGGAAGGTCGGGACGCTGGCCGAATTGAATCCGCAACAACGGAATCTTCTTGGTCTCAACTACAATCATGGCCAGAAGATTTGCTTACGGCTTCGTCATGCTTCTGATCAACGCCAATTTCTGCCGATGGACTCGATCGTAGACACTATGCTTCACGAGTAGGTCCTCCCCTCCCATCCTTTAGCCGGGTAGTTGGTTTACCCCAATATCAGTAGCTAAGGAGGGCCACAGATTATGTCATATCGTACATGGACCGCACAATCAGCAATTCCATGCTTTATGGAACCAGCTACGAGACGAGCACCTGGAGCTTACGTTGAAGGGCTATACAGGCGAAGGCTTCCTGTCTAAGGGTCAGCGCCTAGGCGGCCGTCAAATGCCAGTCGAGGAAGCTCGTCGACGAGCCCGAGTCGCCGCCGAGCAAAGACGGGCTCTCTCCGCCGGCTCCGGACAGCGCTTAGGCGGCACCGGAGCGTCGCGTGGTACAGACATGCGTCAGGTCATTGCGGACGCGGCGCAGAAACGCCGCGAGGTGATGAATGGTTGCGCATCAGGCGCCGACAACAGCGCCGAGCTGGCAGAGGAGGCGTCCAGGAATGGTTTCCGAACGAAAGCAGAAGAGGACGATGCGAACGAGCGAGCGATCATGGAGGCTGTTATTGACTTGATTGAGCAGGAAGAGAGGGAGAAGTATGGCCCGTCGTATATCCCTCCAAGTCAGCAGAACCCTGCCGGTCCTCGTTCCACGTTATCGCCGCCTCCGATCCCTGAGAGTAGTCGGCCCGTTGCGTCGTCGCATCCGCAGGCTTCGGATGATTTGATATCAGATGATAAGTCATACAGTCAGCCGTGGTCCTGTCCGACATGCACGCTTGACAATCCTGCCGAGTTCCTTTGCTGTGATGCTTGCGCTTCGGAGCGACCGCGACCATCGACAAATAGGTCCGTGTCTGAGCCTGTGATAATAATGCCAAATGCTCCAGCTGTGCAGAACAGCAGGAGTAATAAACGACCACTTAGCCAGTCGACTTCCCAGGATACTTCCAAGAACAAGGCACGTGCGAAGGCGCCCTCTTCCACGCGGCCACAAGAGGCGAATAAACGGCGACTGGGCCGAACGTGCCGAGCGTGCGGCTCATTCATGGAAGTGGAATGGCAATTCTGCTCGAACTGTGGGACCTCAAAGCAGGAATCATGATTTTAGCAATAGCTTTAGAGTTCACTTAGCATAGGCGTTGGTGTGATTGCGATGTTTCTGCAGGAGATACCTTGGCTAGCAATTTCATTTCGGGATAATGCAAATAAAGGTTTCAATGTCAGAGGACTACCTCTTATACCATTTTCAGAAGAGAAATCAGCCATCTCATCTCACAAAAGGTTGCTACTACACCCTTCGCTTGACCGAGCACCCTTTATATGTACCGGTACATCTCATATGTGCCCTCAATTTCGATTCAAGGCTATGATGGACGACGCACCTAACTCTTGAAATTACGAATGACACTGATGCAAAAACAACCCACTAACCCAACCTTTCACAGCTCAAACAGTTCATACAGCAGCAATCTACTATGTACTGTACGTAGTAGTTAACAACCCGCCATAGTTAGCTGACAGATTCCTGACTCAGCAGTGCCTATCCCCGGCCCAACATTCCGCCGAGCAAAAAACATCTCCACCAGCCAAATAATTTCTTCCTCCCGATTTTCCACTCCTCTCTTTTCCCCCACACAACACAACACCAAGAGCTCCCACAGCTCGCCCAACCATTCATGCATGGTCCTAGATCAACATTTTCAAACAACAACAATCCACAAACTAACTAACTAACCAGGTATGCACTCACCACCCCTATTCCTCCCCTGAAACCCCACCCCAGAATCAAGCCAAACAGAAATCCCCCCTCCCAATCCCACACCCAACAAGCAAGAAGAAAAAAGAAAACACCTATATGATGAGAGCTTTGCAATCAAGAACCGGTATATTAGGAAGAGCCGGAAGAGGTATGGCAGGAAGCCAACGTTGTTTCACTGTCGTCGATGCTTATAATGGTTCTGCTGAGTGGTGATTTCCAACTCTTCTTTCTTTGTTGTGTGTCTGGGTTCGGTGGTGCTCTGTTGCGCTTCGATTTGAACTGGGAAGGCTGTGTGGGCTTCGATCGGCTGTCTAGATGTTTGTGCTCTGGATAGGTGATTGTTGTTGATGTGTGGCACATTGCTGACTCTTTTGAATAGGGTTCTTTAGCTTTTGGATTTTACTGCTTTACTCGCTAGTGCTGTGCTGTGCTGTGCTAGCTTTAGATAATATTGTTTTGAGGAATGAAGTTTTTATTCTTGGATAACCAATGAATTTACATGGAGTCTTAAACATATCATAACCTTCCGGATATAGAACTTTTCATGCGTAGCCAAAAGAAAACGAGGAAAAAGGAATCGACCCTAAAACTATTTCTGAACGCCGGACACATGCATGGATACAGATATTGAAAACAAATCATCCTGAGACAGAACTTGTTCAAGCAATGCTAATGAACTGCCGTTTCTTGCCCGTACCTGTCATTCTCTCCTGTTCCTCATAGGCGGCCTCGTCGATGTAGTCCTTCGTGCTCGATTCTTTGATCTGCTGGCCGACAAACTGCAGTGCGGAGATGTTGAAGCCCATCTCGTCTTTCTGGCGCGCCAGCACCCGGCGCAGGGTGGCGCGGATGCCGTCCAGCATCGGCCGCATCATTCTGCTGGCGATGATCTGACGATGGTGTGTCTTGAGAATGAAGAAGAGAACACGGCAGGTAAGGGGGACGTTCCACTCGCGACTAGCCCAGATATTAAGGAACGTGAACAGAGCCGGGATCTTGGAGAAGGGAAGAACCAGCAGAGCGTCCTGTAGAGCGGCAGCGGGAATCTTTTGGACAACGTTCAGGAGGTGTCTTTCGGCGGAAACGTCACCCAGTGCCATGTACAGGGGATTGCGTTTGGGAGGAGCTGCATTCGGCTGCTTGGCCTTAACGACACGCCAGTCGCGCATGACTTCGAGATCCTCCATTCCCAAATCCAGAGCTTCGATGATTTTTTCTCCGGCCATGAGCGTGGCGGTCGTTTGCTTGCCGGCATCAACGGCTTCGGCCTTTTCACCGTCCTCGCCGTCCTCGTCCTGTTCGAGGGAAGCGGTGAGGGAGTTGTCATACATCTCTTCGAGCTCTTTCTCCCGCTCTTCTTCCAAGAACAGCTGTTCGTCCGTCTGTTCCCAGGTGCGGATGCTCTTATCGTGACTGGCAGTGACAATAAATTCTCCAGAGTGGCTGATGGCCAGCGCCCAAATCTCACCATGGTGTCCAGCGAGCTTCTGAATATGCTCAAACTTATCACCATCCCAGTACTTGATCAAACGATCCTTGCTAGCACTGAAGAAGTTGTGGCCGTTTCCTTCTTTGTTGTTGGGGACGAATGCAACAGCCATAACACTGTCCTCGTGAGCCAAGAATGACTTGTGACAATCACCGAAGTCCAGACCCCAGACGCGGACAGTCTTGTCGGCTGAGCATGTGACAATCAATTTGCTATCCCACGAAATGTCCATGCTAAGGACCGGAAGTTTGTGGCCGTAAAGGTTGAGGAAGAGCTTGAGTGAATCGACAAAGAACACCTTGACCGTATTATCCAGCAGAGCAACAGCCAACAATCGAGCATCAGGGGAGAAGCGAACGTTGAGGATGTCGTCGGAGACCTTCAAGGTTCTTGTGTGTACCAGCTTGAGTCGCGGTGTGGTTCTCTTCGTCCCCGGAATCTCTTCCTGAACAACCTGGAAGTTCCAAAACTTGGCAGTCTTGTCGGCACTGCCACTGACCAGGGACTTGCCATCTGGGTGAACTTGCAGGGACCATACCGGCCCGTCGTGGGCCTTGATCGTATCAAGGAGAGTCGAGGAGGCGATATCGAAAACCTCAAGTTGGCCGTCTTTGTTTCCAACGACGACAATCTTGTCTCCGGGTAGGAAGGCCGAACAGAGGGCATAGCCGCATTCGAGTGTACGCAGACAGCTTTGGGTGCGAATGTTCCATATCTTGAGGCTTCCATTGGACGCAGACGCCAGCATTCGATCATCAGAGCTCAATGCAACGGAACGAATATCGGTGCGGTGGCCTGGAATATCGACTGCCAGATTTCGAGTGTACTCCGATTCGTCCTCGTCCTTGTTCTTTTTGTTGGCGGTCACGACACTGTAGGCCTCAATCTGGTTGTTCGTAGTAGCAGCCAGCAGGTGCAGATTCCCGCTAGATTTCGTCCTGATCCAGTCGAAGGACCGGACCTTGCCCCCAGTACGAACAATGGTGTGCGAAACGAAGACTTCTGAAACCGGTGCAGACGCTGCGTCGTCAGGTGTCTGGGTGTCAGCCTCCACGACCGCTCCTTCCTTGTCTGCAGCACGCTGCGCGTCCTTCTCCTTTCTTCTCTTGCGCTTCCTTGCCAGACTCTTTTGCACCTCGACCTGTGAGCGGATGCGCCAAATCTCGACTGCCTTCTCCGAACCGTGAATCCCAATGTAGTCCGAGCGGGGGTGGAAGCTGATTCCAATCGTGCGATCCTTGCCGTTGCGGTAGAATGTTCCCCTGTCTGTCAGAATCTTCTGGCCTTCAGATCCGACCTTCTCCTTTGAAATTTCGATCATAGCGCTCTCATCAATTGACCAGACTTTGAGCTCTCCGTCATTGCCAGCGGTGATACAACCACTCTCGTCAGGTGAAAGCCCCAAACTCCAGCATTCGCCGTTCGATTGAGCCACATGGGTTTCAATGCAGTGTTGCGACGCCAGATCCCAGACCTTGATCAGCGCATCCTTGCCCGTCGACAACAAAAATCCTGCATGATCACTAAGGCCGGCAGCGTTGAGTAATTCGGTGGAGGGGGTGAGAAAATTCAGTGAAGTGATCTGGTCGGTATGTCCGCGCATCTTGAAAAGTCCGACTTCTCCGATCAGATCCCAGAGAATGATGTCCGTATCTTTCGAGCCACTCGCAAGGCGAACTCCGGCGCTATCGAAGGCAAGTTGGGTGATGGCGGACTTGTGACCATTGAAAGAGATGATCACGGACTCGGTTCGCGAATCCCAGAGACGAATGCTTCCATCCTCATAACTGAAGCGTACAAAGGAAGTATAAGTAAAAATAGCCTCTCGTACAACAGTAATGACGAGAACTTACCCGACCGCAAAAATATCCTCGTCCGTCTTGCTGTGCGTGATTACTGTGACCTGTGCTTTGCAGGCCGAGTCTCGCCACCTGCCTAGCAGCTCTCCTTTCTTGATGTCCCAGCAAAGGACTTCCTCACTCGCGCCCACGATGGCTCTTCCGGAGCCCGTTCGGCGCGCAGTACCCAGGCTCTCCTCATCGCGGGCCCAGATCGCATTAGACGAACCGGAGGCAATGAGCCCGAAAGTCTTCGAATGCTCGAATTTTCTGTCCAGGTCAGTAATCGAAAAATTCCTAGTAGTCTATCATGGTCGGAGGGAGCAAGACTCACAAATATGACTTCACCATCGTTGGGTGTCTGCCTCTGGAAAATTTTTGGAGCTCCGAGAATGAATGCTATCGATAGGCGCAAATGGCGGCCGCAAAGTACGGAGAGCGACAGCGACCATTCGGAGCCTCCCCACCGCCTGCCGTTCCCCAAGCATCATCAACGTAACCCCCCTCGTGGCAGTGAACCATTGATAAAGTCCAAGTCAACAAAGAAGCCAAGAGAGGACATTGGGTGACCTGTTACTCAACTCAACTCGATTTGAATGCGCTCGTCACCATGCTTTTGCTAGACTACCACAACGTCCTCATCCACTCCCTCCTGACGGAGCGGTTCTCTGGGTATACAGCTTCCCTTTCCCCCGCCCCCTCCGACATATACCAGGCTCCCAGCTAACAGCTTGCCTGGTGCTCGCTAAAGATCCACACCAGTCTCAATCGACCAGATCGTCTCCGACTTCGACGGCGTGACCTTCCATCTGTCTACTCCTGAGTCCAAGACCAAAATCCTTATTTCCATCCAAGTCAAATGCTTCCGAGAGCTCGTTCAATATGGTGCCCAACAAGTGCTGGAAAGGGAGTATGGCCCCTATATCGTTGACCCGGAGCCCGGCTACGACTTCTCTGTCTTGATCGACTTGGAGAACCTTCCCGCTGAACAGGAAGCGAAGGATGACCTCATCATGCGACTCGCCTTGATGAAGCGCAACGCAATGGCCGCCCCTTTTGAAAGAGCATTCGACGAATTCGCGAAGCTGTCGGAGGAAGCTTCCAGATACACCACGGAATCAGCTCCCCAGGGAGTTAAGGAAGGAGGAGAAGTGATGGCCATTCACTACCGTGAAGAAGAGGCGATGTACATCAAGGCCAGCCATGATCGGGTCACGGTCATCTTCAGCACTGTCTTCCGGGAGGAAACGGATCGCATTTTCGGCAAGGTCTTCTTGCAGGAGTTCGTTGATGCCAGACGTCGTGTTCTGACGCTGCAGAACGCTCCTCAAGTGCTTTTCCGCAATGATCCACCCCTCGAGTTGGCTGGAGTTCCCGGCCTACAGAACGTCAACGACGGCACGCTGAGTTACGTCACCTTTGGTACGGGATATCTCCAGACTTTCTTTGGCAACATCTACTAATCGAGATTAGTGCTATTCCCTCGTCATTTGACTCCCCAGAGACGCTATGAGAACATCTCGCACATCCAGATCTTCCGTGACTACTTCCACTATCACATCAAAGCCTCCAAGGTAAACCTTGCTGTTGTCTCGGGGCCCACTAGATCACTTGCTAACATCTCATCAAGGCATACATTCACACTCGGATGCGCAAGAGAACTGCAGACTTCCTCCAAGGTAAGCCTCAATGTTGGTCGGGTAATGGCTTAGTCCATGTCGCTGATTCCTGGCAGTACTCAACCGGGCGAGACCCGAGAACGAGGAGCGGGAGAGGAAGACGGCCAGTGGTCGTACATTCAGGGTACAGGGGTAGGAGGATAGTAGGTTTCTCGTTTTATCTGTATAGAATATTGCAATTCGGGGAGGGCAGTGTAGGAGAGATGCACACATGCATAGGCCGATTCTGTTTGCTTTCTGGATGTAAATCTTTCTTCGTATCATATGTTCATCTTCTTTCTCATTGTTCCCACTGGTTGCTCTGTTTGGGCCCTACTGTTGACGGGTGCATGGGGCCCAAAGCCGTCTCATCGAGCATGATCAACAGCGGAGCAGAACACCCTTGCTCTCTGAGAGTGCATACTATAGGATGGATGTGACAAGCAAGGGCGCGGGGAAGATATGGATGTACTGACAGCAGCCTAGAGCCGGAATACCTGTCATCTGTTCAGGGACTGTTTCCCTCACTGGGCTAGTGTCAATCAAGAATATTTGCCTAATTTGGCCCAATCTTGCTCACTCCCACACCATTATCAGTACTGTACCTACTTCAGGTCCTTTTAATCTTTCTTGCCACTGCAAAGGCTCGCAGTCATAAACCTCCTGCTGCACGGAACCAACACATGGGCCTAGTATTCGATATCGAGATGTGCCAACTCAGAATCCATCGGCCGAAACCATCCGATTAGAGGCTGGCAGCAGCGGGACCGGGAAGAAACAAATCGAGCCCACAATTCCCCAGCCTCCAATCGGCTCCCGCCATAAGCAGCAGCCCCCTATGGAATTTACCGGCAAGCGCCTAAAGAACACAACTGCGCTATCACTGCAGCCGCTGCGTTGCTAGATCGTTTCTCGCCATTGCGAAGTGGTCACACTTGACGATCAATTCTGATCGGTCATTGGGCTCGATAAGAAGGAGTGGTCACTTGTTGCTATCACACCGAGTTTGCACAGTGGGTACTGTAGCGAAGGTTTCCTTCCCCTCAGGGGCGTTCATCGCACTCTAACGGGCCAACAGGGATCGCAGGACAAGCTAACTCTTAGTTACCAATTTGCCACTTCGATTGGAGGATCTCAGCCGTGACTGGAAAAAGGGACAGAAAATAGAAGTCAGTTTCACCCGAGGGAGGGGGCCCACAGCTGCTCGCCGGAAGATCTACGAATACGTGCGATGTCCTGTAAGAACTTCTAGGAAGGCAGTGCTGCAGTACCAAAAAGGTATCAGGCGCAGCTGGAGCTGCATTCCTACAGGCGCCCATCCCATAATATCCTCTTTTAATCATGACGCTCGGTGCACCGGCTGCATTGGCGTCTCTCGGGCCTGTGCTTCTAAGGTTCAACAAGAAAGGCTTGCTACCGACAGTGATTCATGCAGGTCGTGAGGCTCAGGCGTTCACAGCGCGATTGTTTGTCCCTGACTAAGTATGTCCCGTATGTACCATGCTCTGCCAGCATGCTGTTGTGCTACCCGATCGCATGGTTCAAATCTGCTTGGGACTATTTTTTAGTCTAGTACGTACTGCGACAGTCGATCGGCAAGGATACAAAAGGTGCAATAGGGCCAATCGAAGATTGGTCCTGTCAGAATGAATAATATGCAAGCTCATTGCCGCCTTATCTGGACATTGAGAAAGCATCCTGGCAGACATGTAAGCTGGGTATTACAACGAGCGAGCAAACGGAAATCCAAGACATCACTGTAGTTTAGCCTCGACTGTTAGTCTACCTAATGTTTAGTGCTAATATGGACTGACTCGCCGTTGGTGTTGGTTTCTCTTGCTTACCCACAGTGACTAAACAAGTCAACTTTAGCCTCCAAATAAAGCCTTCATCGCTTCACTTGTTCCGGGCCGGTTCATGCCAAGGGCTGAGTCTTTCCATAAGCTCAATTTGCATTGTTCCAATGAGGACACGATGAGGCCACTCGATCTTCATGGGTCCGGCCAAAGACCAAAGAAAAAAAAATCCCCACCTGCATGGAACTGATTCTCCGGTGGTTTTAGGGGACGTCGGCGGCCCTCGTGAGTCTCTCTCATCCTTGCATATTCTCTCGGCCACTTTTAGGAAGGAAGAAAGGGTCCGTCTTTCTTCTGGTTCCATCCACACACATATACTTACAGACAGTCTTGGTCATCCGTTCATATCAGGCAGCCGCCACTTCCTGACCCCTCTTTATTTCGAACCGAAGCTGATGCAGGGATATACAAATTTGCGACTCTGATACCCCCATCTGCGATTCGATAGGTATAGCGCGCTTTTTTTGGCTCTGGCCAGAATAAGAGCCGGGTAACGCTGCATGGCGAATGTTAGAGGACAAACGGGATCGAGGAAAAAGCGTCCCAGAGAGGCGTGCCGGGGTTCGTCTTCTATAACGCAGCAGACGGGATTCGTTGGGATTTGAAACATTTTTCGCGGCCCGGTGGAAACATCTAGCACTGTTGTCCATGATGTCGGATAAGATAAGCTCTTTACCGTTGGAGATCATCCTCCATATTCTTTCTTACCTCCCATTCGAGTCACTGTTAGCCTTTGGGGGGACATCCCGCATCAACTATGAGTCGCATACTCTGTGCCTCAGTTGCCTACGACTAGGTGTTTTCGAGAGACACTCCCACTCCGCTATCTCCCTACTGCGAGCTGGGTGGTTGACACCGGATCAGATGCTCAATAACTTGGCACATGAGTCCGGGAGTGAGGTGTACAAGGTGACTGTCATCCGGCCAGCTGTGGATCGAACGAGGGCCCCTCTCCTCTACAAGCCTCCGCTAAGAATCAAAGACCTCAAGAAACGCGTGCATGGCTCGCAGGAGAGCTTTCGGACTCTAGAGCATACCATTCGCGAGCAAAACAGGATCTTTGCGCAAATGGTTAACCGATACGGGCGAGGGCTCCGCGAACTTGAGTTCATGGCATATGGTCTCGACGTTGCCGGCGCGACGGCTTTAGCTACTAACTGCCGACATATCCTCAGCCACCTTGCGCTTCGCTTCGAACATCCGCACATCCGTGATGGCCCCATACGACCAACCGCGTGGTTAAGTCCTGCGCCGGGGAGCACTGCGTGGAACTCCTTGATTGGGATCGGGGGGTTGAAGCATATGGGGCTCTGCGGATTGCAGAGCTTGGTCTTGGAGCGAGCTGGTATCACTCCTTGGCAGTTGATGATGCTTGTAAAGAGGAATCCGGAGCTAAGGGTGCTCAAACTGAGGACATGTCGCGGGGTTCAGCCCGAATTTCTGGATTGGCTGGGAGGGATTGAGGGGGAGCTCGGCGATCCAGGTAGCATGGATGGCGAGGGTCCAGCTCCTGGGGCAAAGCTAGAAGTGCTCTGGCTAGAGAACTGTCACAGTATACTCCCACATCCTGTTGAGGATTATCCTTGCCTTCCCGACGAGGTTTGCGATTTGGGCCTTGAGTGGGTGAGGGCTCTGACCAATTTACGGGTAAGCATATGTTCTGAGCCTCTTAGCTCTCCTGCCCTCTTGAACGACAAGAGCTAATCACCTTGATTCTCTATTAAGTCTCTTTCATTCAGCGAGAGTAGCAACTTGCCACCTGATTTCATTCAACGAGCAAATGAAACGCTATGGAGAGTACCTGAGGTTGTCTTACCATACACGTCAAATGGGGAAAAGGCTCTGATCGAGATCGATCCGCTGCCCTCATAGTTTGATACTAGTTTCGGTTCTCTTCACTGTGTACGGGCGCAGCAATAGGCGGCCAGATATCCTTGCATTTCTTGTTTGGTTAGATTATGGGAGGATAGCAATCTCAATTTTCAGGGATAAAGTCCTCAGTAGTCCTAGAGCCTTTGTTCCTGGACTTTGAGAGAGGCAGGAGAGTCTGGGGTTCATTGGTCTTCAGATCGCAGAGCCTGCATATTTGTATGCGTGAAAAGACTGTGTGTTCTCGAGGGTAGTCAAATCCACGAGATAACACCACAACTCAGTCGGCCGAGTGAACTGGCAGGTTGTGTATCTCTATTATTAGGAGTGAAACCTCAACATCCTGTATTCCAAGATCGTCTTGGCTCATGTAGGTACAATCAGATAGTGGTGCGTGCGAGACAAACCAGCAGGCACACCGCGTGTACCTTCTCTGTTCCAGTTCTCACAAGTGAGACCAACACAACGCTTGATATTCGATCTATGTTTACCAACTTCACCACCCTGTGATCACGTCTACTTCGTTTCACCTTACCCCAGATCCGCCCTCACAGTTCCGTCCTCACGGTTCTGCGTCTCCTTCATCAACTTCATACACTTTCCGTTCTCTTCATCCCACTATCTTTTTAATTAAACTTGCGCGTCCATCTCTCTACGTGAGGCCTTTTACCGCAGCTACTCGAGCGAACGTCCGGTCACATCAATCCCTCCAAATGAAGGGCGCTCATAGATCCGCGTCGCAACTATGGGCATCAGCCAAGCGCAAGCTCTTTCCGCGTGGTGACGATGATGATTCTCACTTCTTGAAACTCGATCCCCACTGTCATTCTTACCAGGAGTCCGTGGATTCAACCTTGTTTGGCGACTATCAGGATGGATTCTACAAGTATTCTCAGGAGCTACTGCAGAAACGTGGGGAGGAAAGCTACAATCGACTAGCAGAAGAGATGGGTCTGCGCTCGTCTGGTAGTACTGCAGTCTCTTACGCCTCAGCTGTAAGTTCAATTCTGGCGATCGCGCGACTTTCGCTCTTGCTTCTCTCGCTTCTTCGATAAGACGTGTGAGCTGACTCAAGCTCGCAGCAAATGGTTCCCATCGAGCGGCCTTCACTTCCATACACAATTGGCCATCCCGACTGGAGCCTTGTCAACGGCTTGGTCAGATTTATGGACTCCGCTGGTAATGAGGACCTTACCGACTGGGTCAATAGTGTAATGAATGTTTACACCAAAGTCTATTCCATTGCCAAGTTTGTCGTCGTGGTGTTTTACTTCTATAATGTTGACGTGCGTGAACGACACTCTAGCTCCTTCATCATTTTGGCATGAGCATGGCTAATTCAGGCGTGTTTGCTTGACAGTTGGACGATAACGAAGGCCTTCTGGCGCATATCCGACGTGCGGAGGAGCTCGTGGCAGCCGAGAGCATTAAGGATCTGGTCAGAGCTGTGGAGACTCTCTATTATGCCTTGTACTCTAGGCTCGTCATGGAGATCGCGAACGCCGAGCTATGCTCCTACTTTCACCTCGGCATTCCACGAGTCTCAACTGAAGACGGCTTCATGCTTCCTGAGCAGCATAGCACATTGAATATGCTGTTGGTCTGTAAGGAAGCCCTTGACAGTCCAACCGTGTGTACTATTTTTAGCAAGGATATCTTGCGCCAACATCAAGCCGGGCTTGTCCGTCGTGCCGTGAACATGATCATGGCGACTGGATTCTCGCTGGACGACCTAGTTGGATACCGTCGGTACACTCTGGCGCTGTTGGAGGATCGAGCTTCTGAATTTCGCCGAAAATGGGACGGTCCGGGCCTTACATATCAGATGCCCCCCAAGGAAGTTCTCATTCTGGGGTCGGAAAAGTTCATGTCGTTTGCCCCGAGGGATGCAATCCGCACCAAGATTCCGCAACTACACCTATCCTTTCTGCAAGAGAACGCGGTCGACCCAGCAGTGTGGGAACAGGAGGTCATTCTCGGGCACCGGCAGGCAGTGCTAGCAATCCTTGAAAGCAGAGTTGTCGGGGAGATCAGACATGCGGACAGCCGACGTGACCCAATAATCTATGCTCGCCAGAGAAGATGCACCTGTCGATCAGCCTGCAGCTGTGCGGTGGCTTGTACCATGGATCCAGAGCGTATTTGTCCTTGTGCCGGATGGAACTTGACCATCATGTTGTTACGGGACCATCGGTACTATCCAAATATGAAGCTCGGGGACCGATGCATCATACTCGCCAAGGCTATCTTTGAGGCAATCTCGACGATCAGAAAGGATGAGGAGGATCTCTGCTATCTTGCAGTGGAGATGAGAGGAGCACTGACGGTCATTGCTGACGAGGTGTACAAACAGCGGGCGGCGTCTGGCCATTGATGAACGGCTGCGTGCGGTCACTTCATCTTATCTTGATGGAAATACTTGGTCCTGGCGATCTGCTTCTTTCCTTCCTTTGTTGTGCCTTATGCTACGACTGATGATTTATGACATGACGATTTTATTTAATGGATGAGGCGAGGAGCAGTTCATGTGCGCCAACCGGAAAATGCAAAGCAGACACGGAGAAAATAGTGTTATGCAAGAAAAAAACCCCACTGTCGATAGCCAGAAAGTTTGTATGTACGTTCGCACTTTGAATACATATCCAGTCGATGGTGAGGTTGCACATAATCCAGAGATCATTGGTGTCGATCATGACCTGAGTTGAGTGCGGGAGACACACTAGAGCCACGAATGTTGCCTGAGGTTTCGGGCGGCGAAGTGGTCAGGTGGTGGGGCGGCTGAGTCAAGCGGGTTGACTGATTGAATGTCATTGACTGACTGACTGACTGAACTCTGGGTACAAAAGTGACTGTGAGTGGAAGTGAAAGTGAAAGTGGGCAGGTAGAATTCTGGAACCTCCCCGACCCTCCGGTGTCTCCATTCAGTCTGTTTGTTTTTTCTGGTGCCCACCAGTTTCTGAGAGAAAGAAAAAAGAGAAATAGAAATTTGTCCCTCCTGTCGGTCTTCTCTGGTGTTGAGAGACGACAGTAAATCGAAGGAATTTACGTTGATTTAGCGGGCATGGTGCCCAAGTCGGTTGTTGCTAGCTCGACCGTGTGCTCCTCTTCTTCCTCCTTCTCCCCTTTCTCCTCATCTCCTCATTTCACGTCAGCCTTAAGACGCAGCCCACTGTGGAGCGCACACCCCAGGGTCTCAACAGCCTGGGTACGGCGATATCGCGCCGTTTGGCCATCCTACGGCATCACCACGCCGGTCCCGGATGTTAACCCACATTTCCCCCTCTCGCAATCTCCATATTGCTTCCAGACGGGCTATGCCCTTTGCGCCAAACGGGCGCCGCGGCCCTTCCCCCCACCGTTCCTCTCTCCCCCATCCTCGTCCTTTTCCGACCCCCTGACCACCCACTACCTAAGTCAGGATAAGAGATTATCCGTTCGGGGTGACTTAGTCCGAGGCCTCAACAATGGCGACGATGCCGTGCTAGTCGCCGATAATTATCTGGCAGTCAATGATGGGGTAGGGGCGTGGGCAACCAAGCCTCAGGGCCATGCCGCGTAGGTGTTTTTTTTTTTTGCCCTTCCCCGAACTTTGTCCTTGCAGTTCAAACCCACCTAATTTCCCCAACTGAGCTCTATGGGGAACCCTTTCCATCTTATATCCTTACGCGCATTGCTGACCATTTCCTCTTTTGGTTAATTGCTCCACATACAGTCTCTGGGCCAGACTACTCCTTCACTTCTGGGCGCTAGAGGTTGAACGCGTCTCCAACACAAGCACGCAGCTTGACCCAATCGGCTACCTGCAACGGGCCTACGAGGAAACGATCCAGGCGACCAGCTCCGCGGGCCAGTGGCTGGGGACGACCACCTCGGTTACCGCCCTGTTGCATTGCACGCGCGACCATGCCGGCAACGCGAACCCGCTGCTGTATGTGACCTGTCTCGGCGACTGCAAGATCTTCGTTATCCGGCCCCGCGAGAAGACGATCCTCTTCCGGACGAAGGAGCAATGGCATTGGTTCGACTGTCCCATGCAGCTGGGCACCAACAGCGTCGACACCCCGCGGAAGGACGCGGTGCTCAGTAAGATCGACGTGCAGGAGGGCGATATTGTGCTGGCCGTCTCGGATGGCATCGTGGATAACCTCTGGGAGCATGAGATCCTGACCACCGTATTGGAGAGCATCGACAAGTGGCACCAGGGGCGCCACGACAACAAGGAGATCGAGTGGGCGCCGCCGGAGGTGTTGGCCCACGAACAGATGGTCTTTGTCGCGAGGGAAGTGCTCCGGGCTGCGTTGGAGATTGCGCAGGACCCGTACGCGGAGAGTCCGTACATGGAGAAGGCAATCGATGAGGGTTTGGCGGTTCAAGGTGGTGAGTCTGCTTCCTTCTTTGGGGGAATTCTTTGTGCTGGCGGTGTTGCTGACCCTGATCCAGGGAAAATGGACGATATCAGTGTCGTGGTCGGTGCATGCAGGAGGAGAGACCGGTGAGACTGTTTTCAGCATTGGAGTAATTTGCATAAAAGAATCCACGGCATGCCGACTACGATGGCGTCGGCTAATAATTTCGGTTCTCATACTGGGTTGTCGTGCGTGACTGCGCTGGCTCTTCAGTTTGATATCGTGTTGGCAAGGTCAGCGCTCAGTTGCGCTACGGCAACCCTTGGCGTTCGATGGGTGTCTATATGTGTGGCATAAGGGACGGTGTATATATTGCATGGTGATGGGCTTTGATACCACTTGTTGTTTAGTTTTCTGGGGGACGACAGGGCAGATCACGATGTGTGCTTTTCTATGCTTTCTTTGGAGATTCAGATGATAGACCTACACGTATTCTAATCTGTGTTTTCACATGATGGATTGGCAAGATGATTAGATGCTTCCTTAACTCATAGCCCGCGGAAGTCACATCCGGAACCATTTGCTGTCTTATGCATCGTCCCCTATGGAAGGAAGAGGACTGGACATAGCTATCCTGATTATCAGCTACGCGCTCTATCAACTCAAGGTCCTATTACTGCATCTCATGTCTCCAATCTCAATTTGATCATGAATAACTAGTTACTAAAAGCCGTTAGTAAGCGAAGCACAGACCGCATCATCCCCCCAGCACACTCCGCCCGGCAGAAACACCGGCAGAAAAAAGTTTCGGAGATCATATCGAAGCAAGCGCAACATCGAACCACCTTCATCCGACCAATCGCACCACTACCAAAATGAGGGCCAAACGTTCCAAGAAGTACCGCAAGCTGATGCACCAGTATGAGCTCACATTCGGATTTCGCGAGCCATACCAAGTTCTAGGTAAGCTTTTGCTTGACTTGGAGAGAGGGCCGATAAGAAAACGCCTTGCTCCGCCAATTAATCAATCAAGTAAGAAATTGCTAACAATTGTATTCCTATCAACAGTGGATTCGAACTTCCTGCGCGCGGTGCACAGTTTCAAGATGGAGTTGATTCCGGCGCTGGAGCGTACATTGCAAGGGAAGGTGAAGCCGCGTAAGTTTTGACTTGATAGACTCTCACGCATACTGTATTGCTGTGCAGCGTGTGATAATCGAATGATTCGTTGCGATTGTACTGATCTTTTTTTTTTTGGCTGGGTGATAGTCCTCACGAAATGCTCTCTCGCCGCCGTCATGGCCAACCAACCCCTCCACCCGCGCACCAACAACCCAATGCGTCCGCACTTCCTGCCCCCGCCGACGGAGGTGCCGCTCCGCCACTGCTCGCACAACGAGGACTCGACTCCCATCGACGAGGTCGAGTGTCTCCTGTCGCTGCTGTCGCCGACCACGGACGTGAAGAAGAACAAGGAACACTACATCCTCGCGACGGCGGACGCGCCGGCCGCGGCCGAGAAGGAGAAGGAGCGCGCCGCCGTCGCTGCGGGCAGGAAGCGCAAGCGCGGGACCGACGACGAGGCGGAGACTGCCATCCGCAAGTCGAGGGAGCTGCGCCACGGCGCGCGCGCCATCCCCGGCGTGCCGATCGTGTATGTCAAGCGGTCTGTCATGGTGCTTGAGCCCATGAGCTCGCCGTCTGAGGGTATCCGTGAGGGTGTTGAGCAGGGGAAGTTCCGCGCTGGGTTGAGTGAGGAGGCTAGGAAGAAGGCTGAGGCGAAGGCTGCCGTTGCTGCGTCCGGAGAGAATAAGAAGGGCGGCGACAAGAAGCCTGGGATGAAGAAGGCTAAGGGCCCCAATCCGTTGAGTATGAAGAAGCCCAAGAAGCGGACGGCAGAGGATGCTGGTGCGTCTCGGCCGAAGCGCAAGGAGGCTAATGCCGGGGAAGCCGCGGAGAGGAATGTGGAGGTGGCGGAGGGCGGCGCTGAGGGGGATGCTGCAGCTCCCAAGGCGAAGCGCAGACGTCGCCATCACAATAAGGGCGCCAAGCAGGATGGCAATGATGCCGGCGAGTCCGTTGCTGCCGCGGCGGGTGACGCCATGGAGGAGTGATCTGCTTTTGTGCTCCGGTTTATGCTTTCTATTTCCTATCATTCATTTGTATGGCGTTCGGTTGGGATGAAAGAAAAAAGTGCTGTGTCCATATATTGTATGAGCAGTGAGTTGTATATCCATTCTTCAAATCGAAACAAACTACTTTCGAGACATGAGAAACGAGATAGAGAAGGAAGAACCTTAATCTCGACAAAAAACCAGAAAAACAGCAATAAACCCCATGCCCAACGCCAATCCCTAATGCAATGTGTGTTTAGCGTACAGTACATATCCCTTCCACCCCTCCCAACGTCACCATCTTCATCATGCCCCGCTCCAACCCAACAATTATTTTCCCTCCGCAGCAGCAGTCGCAGCAGTCGCCGTGGTATTCAAAGCCGCCGAGGAAGGCACCCCCTCCAGCACCTTCTCCTCCGCCCAGATCTTCTCAATCCGGCGACGGTTCTCGCGTGCCTGGTCGCGGTTCTGCTTCGCGCGCGCATACCGCTGCTCCGACAGACACTTGTTGACCTCGCGCTTGATGTCGTTGCAGTTGCCCAGGGCCTTGTGCAGGAAGCCCTGCGCGTGGCATTCGTCCAGAGCGGTCATGATTTCCTCGCAGTCTGGATTTTCGGGGAGTCTTTTGTTAGGTTTCTAGATTTCATGATAGGTGGGTTTGCGACTTGGGGGGGGACGACGTACTGATGTTGTAGGGGGTGTGAAGGTGGGAATGCATTTTGATTGAATTGGATTTCTTGCGTCTGGTGAGTTATGGGCTGGGTTGTTTCTATTTTGTGGTTGATGGTATAGAGAAGCTGAGCAATGAGTGACAATGATTGGCGTTTCTCGACTTGAATGGATTAGATCGATGGATGGATGAATCAAGCCACTACTAAACCCAGCGGACCGAATGGCCGGCCGGGATTTGATATCAAGGCGGTGAAGACAGAGGGGATTCTGCCGGGCGGGGAACATTCCAAGGGAAAAAAAAATTAGATCCATTGGGATTTCGAGGTGATTGTTGATTGCATTTGATTTCCTAGATCTTTTGCATTGTTGGTGGTTAAATTTGCTCTTTATATACGGGAGTGTCTTCAGGAGATAAATATCGATCTTATCTTCGAATTTGTGGAATATACTTAAGGGTTTTTTTACCTGATTTCCTTGTCGGGGTTTACGCGCGGAAGTTCTTATCTATTTCCGCCCTTTTTTTTTTTCGTCTTGGATATCCTTCTTTTCTTCTAACGACATATCCACGACTCCCCCATATTCATCATGTCGTCGATGATTACCACCTCTGCGTGGGTGCGACGCGGCGTCGCAGCCCAGTTTCCCACGAAATATGAGATCAACGAGGAGGAAATGGATCGCATATCGAAGCTTGCCAAGATGCAGCTCGAGGAGGCTCAGGGTGATTTGAAGGCCGCGCAGGAGGACGAGGCCATGGAGGAGGATCAGAAGGAGGGCGCTGATGATGCTATGGAGGATGATGAGAAGCCCGCGGAGGAGAAGACCGCAGAGGAGAAGAAGACTGTCACTGAGTAAGTCCTATCGTATTGATTCTCGTGTCCTCTCAATGAAGCGATGCGCAGGATGGCTAACCAACGGACTGGCGCTTGCAGCGATGATGACCTAAAAGAGTACGATCTCGACCACTACGACAGCGATGAGGTCGACGAGGATGGCGAGAAGTCCACCATGTTCGGCAATGTCAAGTCGCTGACTTATCATCAACCCAACGAGGAGGATCCGTACCTGGTTATGCCGCCGGAGGAGGAAGACGAGGAGAGAGAGGAGCTGCAGATCATGCCGACGGATAACCTGGTTCTGGCGGGTAAGGTTGAGGATGAGGTCGCCCACCTCGAAGTCTACGTCTACGAGGACGCCGCCGACAATCTCTACGTGCACCACGACATCATGCTGCCCGCTATTCCTCTGGCTTTGGAGTGGCTGGATATCCCCGTCGGCAAGGTCGCCGAGGGCCGCACTACGGGGAACTTCGTCGCTGTCGGAACGATGGAGCCGGATATTGAGATCTGGGATCTCGATATCGTCGACTGCATGTACCCCAATGCCATCCTGGGCCAGGGTGGAGCCGACGCGGAGGGCAAGAAGTCTAAGAAGAAGAAGCCCAAGGCCAACGACGAGTACCACATCGACGCTGTTTTGGCATTGGCCGCCAACCGCCAGCACCGCAACCTGCTGGCCTCCGGCTCGGCGGACCGTACAGTAAAGCTGTGGGATCTGCAGACCACCAAGTGCGCCAAGTCCTACTCTCACCACACCGACAAGGTCTGCTCGTTGAACTGGCACCCCACGGAGTCTACGATCTTGTTGACCGGTAGTTACGATCGGACTGTGGTGGCGGCAGATATGAGAGCTCCCGACTCCAAGGCTCGCTGGGGCGTGGATACGGATGTCGAGAACGTGCGCTGGGATACTCACGACCCCAACTACTTCTACGTGACGACGGATGGCGGAATGGTGTACCGCTACGACGTGCGCAACATCCCCGCCACACCCAAGGACTCGAAGCCCGTGTGGTCGCTGCAGGCGCACGACTCGTCCGTGTCGGCGTTTGACATCAACCCAGCTATCCCTGGTTTCCTGGTTACCGGATCGACGGACAAGCAGGTGAAGCTCTGGAACGTTGAAGACAACAAGCCCAGTATGGTCGTCTCGCGCAAGTTGGAGGTGGGCAAGGTCTTCTCGACGTCCTTCGCACCGGATGCCGACGTAAGTTTCCGCCTGGCCGTGGCCGGCAGCAAGGGCGTGGTCCAGATCTGGGATACCTCCACCAACGCGGCAGTGCGTCGCGCATTCGTGTCGCGTATGCCGTCCTTGGAAGGTGAAGTGAAGGAGCGTATGGTGGGCATGCAGCCCGATCAGGATGAATCGGATGATGATGATGCTGGACAGGAGGTTGGCGCTGGGCACGGTGGTGATGGCTGGGAGTCGATGGACGAGGATTGAACACAGAGGCGGAAGACGATGATCGACACAAATTACGTCGAACCCAAAATTTATGAGAATATCTAGATAGTTGCCGTGCTGCTTTTGTCGTTTCTTTCCTTCCATTTTTTCTTTTATTGACCTGCAATGAAAACGTCACGATACCCATTCAGAGGATGATGCGAACTTAGTGAACTACTGAAATCATGAAACTGGAACTAAGCGCGGAAGGGCGGCCTCACCCAGGCGGGCAATGATCGGCCGTTTGACTTACCGAAAACAGACATCGCCTGGTGCCTCAGGTGAGTACCAATCACATGGCGTGCCTGGCCTGGGCTCATCCTCGGACCACCAATTCAGCAAAGTTTGACGGACTTGAAGACTCCGGCAGTGGACTCGGTGGTACTTTTGTGTGGCCGTCCGGCGAGTACTCTGTACGTTCTATCACCTGCAATGTAAGGAATGAATGGACGGAGCCGAGGGTACTGATCAACTCAGTCCGGTGACGCACTTGAACAGTCCTGTACGGTATGCGTGACAGACCACAGCCGGCTACCTCGATCGAGACAAAGGAATCTGATGTAGAGATTCCGAGCCACCACTCAGATGTATCATCGATCCATCAATGCAAAGACGACTTCGCTTTATCGGTGGAAAAAAGATATCCACACTAAAAAAGCACAGGTCAACTGAGAACCAATCTAATTGTAATTATTAAGTTGGCCCAGCTGTGGAGACGCCTGCTCGCTCCTCGTCCCGCTGGGAATCTCAAACTTGGCGATGGTTCTCGCCGACTTTCTGCCTGCATCCTCATGCGGAACCTACATCATTCATTCAGTCGGGGGCTGGTCCGGCCGGCGACATGAGCTGTGCTACTAGCATGAGATGGATCCGAGGAAGCTGAAAAGGCTAAAAGTAGCCAGACCAACGAACTGGTGCAGGAGAAAAGGAAAACAAGCAACGTCATGCGGTCGCCCATCCGTCACAGACTTTGTCCAGGTGAGACGGCAGTTTGTTTCATCCCCACCGCTCAGGGCACATGGCGGTTTCCAGGAGGCCCGCCGCCATGCCTTTCCTGGTCCTGAAGCCGAGTGGGCTGGCCATCCCGCTGTTTGACCACGCCCGCTTGGGCTTAGAGGACCCCATTCAACTCTTCAATCATCGTCCCTGTCGACGTGGGACGTGGTACTGCACACCACCTACCCGTGGCTCTGTGTCGATAAGGTCGTTTGTCCCTAGATTCATTTTGGATCTAGCTCAAAGCTGGTCTCGCCATGGCATCTCGGGTCTACCAGGGTCTTCAGCCCCCTAGATGCCTGAAGTAGTGCTTGAAAGCATGAACGGAAGACCTTAGGGCTTGACCGTCTGGCGGTATACAGGAGTCAATCCTGCGTTGTACATGGTCTATATGTCATGCTGAGAAATTGAGCACACCCCACCTCCGACGCCTCACGAATCATTGGCCACCGGACGTAGCACCTTCCGTGACCTGTTCGGTTCTCTGGAATATTATTGACGGAGGGACGAGGGAATGAATAGGATTAAGGTCGAGACTATTCGATCTTAGCAGCAAATCGCAGCGCACGACTAGCCGCGCCTGACTTGCCTGCTCTACCCGTCGGAGCCCCGGAGCGAAAAAAGGCGAGTACTGGTCGAAAGGTTCCTACTACTTAGGCAAGAAAGATGCAGTTCGTTCGAGGAACCTCAATTCTTGGGTTCTTTTCCTTTCCCCTCTGCTGTTGCTCGTTCAATAAATCAAATCCGAGTTCTCGGAAGGAACCGGTGGTTGAACTGAACCAGACTCCGATCGATTTCCCACAAAGGGTGGTGCGAACAGTTGGAGACGCGAATTCTTCTTTTTTCTGGAATCTCCATTGTTCCCTTTACTGGGCCTGAGCAGCGCCAATTGTAAGTCGAACCACGGGGGGACAAAGGGCATTAGAAGGAAGCAATTGAATCTAACTGGGCCGAGGGTTTGGCGCAGGGCTTGATTATCCACGGGAGAAACCACCGATTTGATCTCCCGAACAGCCCAGACTTTTCTTGCGAGGTCAAGTGGAGAATGAATGCGCTGAGGAAACACAAGAGAGAATAATACGGTAGAGCAAAAGAGAAGAGAGATCTTCCCCTCCTTCTCCCTCAAAAGTAGTGACTAGTGACTGGACTTTTGCCTCTTTCCCTTTCCCGTCTGTCCTCTCTCTCTCTCCTCTCGTCTCATCTTTCTCCTCTTTCTTTTCTTCCTCCTCCTCCCTTTCCCTTCCCTTCCTTTCCCCTCTTTCTTTCCCTTCTCCATTCCTCCCTGGGGGATATTCGCCGTTCCTTTCTCATACTTTCATTCTTACATCCTCCTCGATCGGAGAATCTTGGATCCCCTTCCTTCCTTTTCTTCCTTACCTTACTTTCATACCCTGAAAGGCCTTTTAATTCTGCCTTCTCCGTGGCGCGTCCTGGTTGTCCGCCCTGATTTACTCTGTACAGTTTGGTGCTGCTGCTGCAACTCGTTGCCCCCCTTGAGTCGCGCAGCCCATTGTTTCCGAACAACACCCCCATTCAAACAACCATTTTCTTCCTTTCTGCTGTGCACGAATTATTCTGGAAGAGAATACAAAGCTTTCAACAGGGAACTTCTCTCCGTTCATTCGATTTGATCCCAGACACAGAAGCGCTCAGTCGTATCTGATAACGGACATACCGGCAATCGATCTTCCATTCCTTCTAGGTCTCCGCCACCCCGCGATCATCCACCACACCTTCCGGATCTATTCCGCACCAGGCGAGTGGCACTTTCGCAAACGATATACCGACAAGAAGGCCTCTAAAAATAGGAGACAACGTTTATAGCAAGTCAAGCATCCTCTTACCGGAAGTATCAGGCAACACAAAACAAATAGACCTGCTGGTCCTGCTGGACAATTGACCCTTGTCAACACCGTCCGATTATCCGATTATCCGATTATCCGCCTGCTTGCTGTATAGATCTACTACCGTCATGTCGACTCTCACCAGAGCTTTCACCAGGCGCAGCAAGCGCCCCGAGGTCTCTGCGCCAATGCCTTACCGAGAGGGGCATACCAAATTCAGTGCAGGCACTATCAACCGAGGCAAGATTTCTGCGCCCGTCGAGTTGCTGTCGACCACGAATATGCTTGCCTACAATGCACCGGACCTCCACTCTGCGACCTCCTCCTCAACATCCTCGATTCAGTCGCCGGATGACTCCGATTTTTCCTTCACGCAGCGAAGCTTCGGGTCGCCTGTCACAACGCCGGGCGAGTCTCCCATTGATGCCGATCCCGCTCCTCTATCGGCCTACTTTCCGAAACGCTCGGCGACTGTCAGTAGCCACACTCCTCGTTCATCGACATCCACTACGGCTTCGGCGGAAGCACCTTTGGTCCCCAAGCGGGCCCTCTCCCACACGAAGCGCTCGCATCAAGAGCTGGCCCGCAAGCGTTCTGTGTCGCGGCTTTCACCTCCGCCGTTGAATTCGATCCGCAGCACGCCCGCCACCCGCCAGGGTTCCGAGACCTACCACATGGAACCCCATCCTTTCAGCAAAGAACTTGAACAAGTGAATGAAGTCGTAGAGGAGTTTGGCGGGACGCGCGTGCTGGATGAGGAAGAATTGATCTTGCGAGACAAGGGGCTGATGAAGTTCACCGTCGATGAGTATCTGGTGGAAATTGAAGATCTTTATGGCAGCATCTTTGATGATCGGCTCGGCCCAATCGCCTCTGGCACTTGGCTTTAAAGAGTTGGCACTTTTGATTGTTGTTACATTTCTCCTTCCTCCGACGGCGCTTTCCTCTTGGGACTGGTTTATCCCTCTTCTCGAATCAGGTGTTTGCCTGTGTCATGACCCACTCACATTCACTCTTTTAATGTCTTGTCCTATAATCGCCCTTTGAACCTTACATCCGCTATATACCACGGGAGGATTTTGGATCTCTTCCCCCACGTTTGTTTCCTCTTGATCGCTGTTGGTCATTGCTGCCATGTTATAGCAATGCGTATATGTTAGATAGAGCTGCCAGCTTGTTTTCCTAAATGCGACCATGGTTTCTATCTCTGCGCATCAACCATGAGGTTCCGGTCAATTGCAGTCTGTTTTTCTTAGCTTGGGAATATCATTCCGAATGCGAATGACTATTGATATCAAGTGATGTGTAGAAAACGTCCAGATGTAGATCTCATTTTGGGGGGAGGATTGTTAGATACTATAAACGGAGGACCGAAAACAATGTTACCCAGATAGGCAAGATCTCAGGCGCGAGGGTCACGCGCTAGTCACGGGGGCAGCGGCCTTAGGCTCCACAGTCCGCCCCACACTCGAAAATTTCACGCTGTGTTTCTTCGACGTCTTCTCCGCCTTGCCTTCTTCAATTCATCCTATCCTCCCTCTCCCCTTCCAGCCCTTCTTCCCCTCCCTGTTGAAGTCTGCCTGCGCACGCACCCACGTTTCTTTCCTTCCTCTTGCGCCGTGTGTGTCTTTCAATGGATGGATTAAGGTACTCATCTCCCTGATCAACACCCACGTGTCCATCATCTGTAGCAACGCGCCAGGATCATTGAGCGACTCGCCTTCAGCCGTGTCGTGTACATCGCGCTCCAGCAGCCGCCCTCTGACCTGTCGACAGCTCCCGTCTGTCATCTCCCCCACGCTGAACAAGCCGTCTATTTCTCCATCCTGAATGGAGCCCGGTTGCTGCCGTTCCAACTTCTGTTCATTCATCCTCCCATAGAAATAGCAGTTCGGTCATGGTCGGATCCATTGCCACCGCCTCGCGCAGGCCGTTGCCCAATTCTTCTAAGATGCTTGCTAAAGCGTCCCCCGTTCCCATATTGAAAACACCCAAACGAGAAAACACTGTCATTGGCATAAAGCGCAGGATGGAGGACGACGATCTCTCCCTGTCTCCGTCATCGTCGCTGACGTCTGAGACCGAATTTAACCCAAGTCCTCGCAAGCGGGCTAGAGTCAAGTTCGAACCGGAGGTGGAAATGCGGGAACTTCCATACTATGAGAGAGCGCCTGAACGAGAGTCGAAACCAGAAAAGAGTGCCTCGGTTGTACGTGAGGAGGTGCGCAGGGCCATCCAACGGCATGTCTCTGGCACTGACAGTGAGGCGTACGATCGGATCAAGGAGCTCTTTTCGGTGGACCCTCGGCGCCCGGATGAGGACCACATGCTTCTATCTGATGTACCTACACCCACGTCTCTGAGATATCATCTGATGGGTCTTTCGTCGAACGTTGCCACGCTAGATCGCAGTTGCAACGGGCTGGTCCAAGCCGTGCTGAATAGTGTGTGGCTCGGTCGCGACGAGCCCTATATCAGGCTGTATATACGCTTCCTTGGTAATCTTGCTGCCGCCCAGGGCATTTATCTGGGACCAGTGCTCAAGATGCTGGTTAATTACATGGGGGAACTTCCCAAGGACACGGGCAAGGTGCCGGGCTACGTCCCCGTGCCAGCGTCGGAGATCTACATGCGGATCCATATGGCCCTGCGCTATCTCATGCAATTGATCCCTTCTGGCAGTGGATCGCTATCCCCTATCTTGTCCATGCAATTTCCTTTCGACACGGATTCCGCCAAGGCCAATATTGCCTACACGAGCAACTTGCTTAAGATCAGCAGCTATACGCCGGAGCTGCAGGCCGACATTCTAGCTTTGATCACAGAGAAGGTTGTCAAGATCGATGTTCAGATTCAGGTAGATCTGGAAGAGATCGAAGACGAAGTAGGCGAGGATGTTCTGCGCGGCGTCTCGCCTGAGGCTATCATGGCCGACGATGACGATGACGACGACGATGATAACGCTTCCGTCCTGAGCGATGAGTCTGTAGACGACGACTCCCAGCGTGTCAAGACGGTCAGAGACAACATTCTCAAACTGGACGGCATGATCGATTTGTTGTTCGAGTACTACGCACCAGCCTTCACATCGGGTACCTTCCAAGATAAGGAGAATGCTCTCGAGCTCTTGCTGAGCCACTTTCAGACCATCATTCTTCCTAACCACCGCTCCCGCCATACTCAATTCCTTCTCTTCCACTACTCCCAAACATCTCCGGAACTCGCGGAACGCTTTGCCTCCACGTGCATTCACACCATGACCAACAGGAGGCAACCGGCTATCTTGCGTCAGTCAGCTGTCGCCTATCTGGCCAGTCTTGTCGCGCGTGGCGCCCATATCTCTGGCGAGATGGCGCGGGATGTGTTTGATTTGTTGGGTGCGGAGCTGACCAGCTTCCGTAACGAATTCGAGGATACTTGCCGAGGACCTGACCCCCGACGCTACGGTCTATTCTATTCGATCTCACAGGCATTGCTGTACATATTCTGTTTCCGCTGGCGGGACCTGACGACAGCAGCGATTGAAGGTGACACGCCAGAGCAGGTGGAGGAACTGGAGCCGGAAGACATCACCTTCCCACCTTCGGTCAAGGAAGTCCTTCGTCAAACCATTTATTCGAAGCTTAACCCGCTCAAGGTGTGCTCGCCTGCAATTGTGACACAGTTTGCCCGGATGTCTCAACACTTCAACTTGATGTACGTGTACAGCATTCTGGAGACAAACAAGCGTGTACGGATCTCGACGTATCGCAGTTTGTCTGCGATGGCGGACCCGCGCTTCCACCAAGTGGAGCGGGAGATTCGTGCTGGAGACGACATCGGCTATCAAGCGGACTCCTATTTCCCCTTCGATCCGTACCAATTACCTCGCAGCCGCCGCTGGTTGGAGGGTGATTATGTCGAGTGGCGAGGAATTCCGGGCTTGGATAATGATGATGACGACTCGGACGACAGCGAGGCAGACGACGATGATGTGTCCGACGACGACTTGAGCGTCGGCACCGAAACTGATGATGATATGTAATGGATGAACCAAAAAAAGTGTTTTCTGGTCCAGGACACAAAAAAAAAAAAAAGCAAAAGCGCTGATTCTGTGTTTCTTGTGCTTGGCGAGCCCAATACCCTTTCGCTCTAAGATTATGTTTTTCGACCTTCGTCTATCACTTTTTCTCATTTCACCTCTTCCGTTCTAGCCAGCTGCTCGAGATCTGTGTCTTGATTTGATTTCACCTACTGCATGGGATTTCTTCTGAGTGTCTGCTGTCTGTGATTGCTCGATGTCCTCCTCTGCTACGTTATGGTGGTGATGAAGGAGATGTATCATGTGGGGACGATTTTGGTACCTATCTACGTCTCGGGTCATTCCATCTACATAGCCAAATGAATGAGTTACCAGAAGTGAACACCATCTCTAGTATCATATCGCCGGAATGGCTGTAGCTCGTCTGTGTGAGTGGACTGGATGGCTTACCGAGTTATGCCAATGACGAACTGGACATCAGTTGAATAAACCAAAACTATCTTCTGACCTGATCATTACCCCGCACAGCTGCACTGATCTCATTCACACAGCAATGCACCAAATCGAGCTGCAGACATTTTACGATTGATTCTGATACCACATGGACAACATTATCTAGAGTGAGCAAGAATGGTGGTGTATAGCAACCACTAGCGAACATCTCGAATTGACGAGTTTGAAATGTCTCCGCTCCTGTTCGCAAAGGGTTATATAACTCATTTGCACTACATCAGTCATCAATTGCCCGGTTAGCTCAATGGTCAGAGCGTCCGACTTTTAATCGGAAGGTTGCGAGTTCGACCCTCGCATCGGGCGGTTCTTTCTTTTTTGGTTTCGTTTTTTTGTCACTTGTTCGGCAAGTGCGTTGTATGTTTTTGCCCTCTCTCTTTTGTTTCCATGCATGCCCATCTGTCTATATCATCGAGACACCCAGCATGACCATTGTGCCATGCGAGTGAGCATACCCTCCCTGGAGACGATGATTGCCGCCAACTCCTACGCTGTGCGAGGATCGGACAGTCTGCATCCACACCCGATGGCCACCACCACAGCAGCCGGCGGTGGGACACGGTAGAAGGGGAGAAAAAGGTGTGCCTCATGGACAGCACGGGCGGGAGGGAGGGAGGAGGTCTAGAAGCGCTTGTCTCACTGAAGCATTTAACTCCGGGCTGTGTTATGATTTCAAGGGTCCTACTCATCTTTAGTATAATGCCGTCCGTCTCATATCTGGAATTGGTTTTTAAGGACTGTGCGCAGGTCCTTCAGGGTTTATTCATAGCCTTAACACTGCAATCGAACCCTGTGCTAGCTAGAAATCCAGTAAAGAAGCAGACTCTATCTGTCACTCCCTTCAATCACGACTCCTTCCCGGTTCGAGATCGAGTTCAACAATTCCCGTACATTTCACACACCGGACAACGCTACATATACCTGAAGGTGAGGCAAAGTTATCAACCAACGCCCCGTTGGCACAATTGGTCAGCGCGTGAGACTTTTAATCTCAAGGTTGTGAGTTCGAGCCTCACACGGGGCGAGTGTGTTCCTTTTTGTCTCCCGTTGCTTTTCGCACGCGGTGTCTTTCTTTTCCGATAGTATCTATCCATTGCAACTTCTGATTTGCATCACCCTCTGTTATTCTTCAATCATGCCCGATTGGCACAATGGTCAGCGCGTGAGACTTTTATATCATCCCCTCCTTGAATTCAATGAGGGATATATGGAGATCTCAAGGTTACGAGTTCGACCCTCGTATCGGGCGGGTTTCTTCTATTTTTTGGGGGTCTTTTGGGGGTGTTGATTGTTGATTTGGTTGGGTTGGTTGGAGTTTGGTTATATATTTTCGTGTCTGGGAGGTTTCCTGATGTTTGGGATGGGAGGGTTGTGGGTGGTGCGGAATGCTTGTACTTTGTGCTGCGTTGCCGGAGGGCCTTGGTTATATATTTCCACGCCGCATCTATTATTCAATCTGAACATCCATGGAGGGTGTCTTTCCTCCGTAGTGCAGCTTGCTTCCCGTTACACATTATAAATGGTAGTAGTAACTTCACATGTTCTATCCCCCCTAAGGTCATAGACATGGTCCCCGCGAAAGTCAGCACACTGTCGCAAAGCGAAAGACGCTGAAGCACAAGTAACAGATTAGATAGTGTTTCTGCAAACAGGATCGACAATCAGCAAAACCTTCCTCTCTGGTCCCATCAAGGCAGGTGACCCAAGCCATCGCCGGTAGACACCTCAGATCCTCACGGTGACCGACATATGAACAGAATGCATGTCGAAGGAACGAACCTCTTGGACTGCGACCACCGTTATGGAGCGAGATAACTGGATGGAGCCTGTAGACGAGCGGGCTGTCTCTGTTGTTCATTCTGGATAGGTATGAGGGCCGCTTGTTGTCCGAGACACAAGAGCCACGGCTGGTGAGAGCAGCCGCGGAGAACAAGGCATTGCGTTGCCGGGGTAGGCTCGTAATAGCCTTGACTGCTGGACTATTTGCTCAACATCGATCGTCGAAGATATCCATAACATTCATGTTCGTCATAGATCTGGCATCTGAAACGCCGACTCTACGTTCTCCCGTACCTATGAACTTATCCTCATCTAGGTATGCTCCAGAAGAACTCCGAGAATTGGTGGATTCAGTAGGACGATTGAACATGCGATAGTGCATTACAGCAATAGCGTTATTTTTTTGCTTTTCCTTTCCGTATCCCCCCTCCTTTATTCACTCCCCTCTCGCGTCAACTTCTTCTTCTTCCAGGCTGTTTGTGATCAGCGATGCAAGGATGACGGAGGTGAATCATTGCCTGGGTTCTGCGATGCTTTATAGTGCCGCCCGAGCATTACCATCATCCCAGGAGGTGGGTAAGCCGGCCAGCCAGAGCCATAGAATCGAGCCCGGTTGTGTTCAGTCATGCAAAAGCCCGTAATCAAGTCCAATACGAGTGCTCCTGGTGCTTGCTGACTTCCCCAGTCCTGCTCCCTCCCCCCCCCCCTTCCTCGCAGCCGTAATGGCGTTTCGCATATATTGGCACCCATGGCAAGCCTGGAGGGAAGACAACGGCACACCATGACAACCACTTGTCATGAATATAGATGTATTCTATGTATTCTACCCCCCTCTGTCCCCCCACTCTCCAAATCGGTCCCCAACTGGAACCTCCTCAAAGTCACACCTTATATCCGCACACCGAGGAACGTTTAACTGGTCGAGATATTATTGTCATAATCCTCGCGGCAAGTATTCTCCTCAATCATCGACCTCAGAGCGTCCCTGCCACAACAAAGGACGAACCAGTCTCAACTCGAATGAAGACCCGGAAAAGTAGACCACCCATGGCACGCCACAAAACGTAAGTCGCCCAGCAGGGACGGACTTCTGTCCGGTCTCTAGGTACGAAGAGAAAGATATATTACCGGTAAACCGCAGCCCATGAAAGAGATTAGTATGACCAGCCTACAGAGTCTGATGAGGTTTGGTGTTAGTACTCTACCTTTATGTTGAAATCATACCTATCACCAGATAGGCCTAGTCAGGCCCCAAAGAAAGCGTCGCCGAAAGAGCTTTCTGCTTTCGGGGTCAAGGCAACCAAATACACCAGGTGGAAACTGTAGCCACGCCCTAGGGCACAAGGTGCAGCGAGCTACCCTGGAAGTAATTCAGTGATGCGGGGTGATCCAGGCTAGTGACTTCTGCCACCGAGAATAGTTTTTTGTTTGTTTGTTGTTCTGTTGCCTGTTTTTTTTTTTTTTTCTTCCCTTGGATGGATGTATGAAAACGCAGGAGAGGACAAAAGAAAGATGGCAAGGAAGGTGATATGGAAGGTCGAGGATGGAATAAGATTACACAAACATGAATACTTGACAGGAATGGGAGGTGGAAGGGGAGAGAGAGAGAGAGAGAGAGAGAGAGAGAGAGAGAAACGAGCTGGGGCCTGGTAAGTGAATAGTTACAGCACCGCTCGAGAAAAGTGACAGAGATAGATGTGTGAGTTCTTGCCCTGGAGCTTAAAGGTGGCAGCTTTGGATATCACAGATGAGCTATATCGAGGGATGTCAAATGTCATAGCAAGGGCGTGATAGCGCGACCCGGAGGGCGCAGTAATCACGATAAGCAAACGCCGAGTATATATCTGCTCTACGACTTCCCAAGAAGCCCCGAACTTCAAAGCCACACAGCATAAATGCAGTAGATGGAGATGAACGAAGCAACACCCCCCAAGCCTGCCACCTCTCCTGCTCCTCCACCCACAACTGAGGCATTGGAAGTAGACGAGACCCCCCAAGCCCGCAGCAAGCTCCGGATCGCCTCAATACTCGTTGCACTCTACGTACAGTACTCACCCAACATCCACACAGATCAACCAAACTAACATCCTATTAGCTCGTACTCTTCATTTCAGCCCTCGACCAGACCATCGTCGCAACCTCCATCCCCACCATCTGCGCTGCGCTCCACTCCGCCTCCGGCTACACCTGGATCGGCGGCGCATACCTGCTCGCCAACGCAGCCACGGGCCCGATCTGGACGCGATGCAGCGACATCTGGGGTAGAAAGCCAGCGCTACTGAGCGCAGTCGCCATCTTCGGCATCGCCAGCATCATCGCCGCGCTCAGCACCAGCATGCGCATGCTAATCGCCGCCCGCGCGCTCCAAGGCACAGCCGGCGGCGGGCTGATCCAGATGGTGTACATCACGATCTCAGACCTCTTCAGCATGCGGCGACGAGCGCTGCACTTCGGGCTCATGGGTCTGATCTGGGCCGTGGCCGGCACGACAGGGCCGCTGATCGGAGGCGCCCTGACGCAGCTGGCGACCTGGCGATGGTGCTTCTGGCTCAACCTACCCGTATGCGGCGCAGCGCTCACCCTCCTGACCCTCTTCCTCGACGTCCACAACCCACGCACCAGCCTCTCGCACGGCCTCAAAGCCATCGACTGGCCCGGCACCGCCTGCCTCCTGGCCGTCTCGCTCCTCCTCCTCCTAGGCCTCGACCTCGGCGGCGCAAGCTATCCGTGGTCCAGCGCGCGCATCATCAGCCTCCTGGCCGCAGGCACCTTCATGGCCGCCGTCTTCCTATACACGCAGCACCGCCTCTCCAAATACCCACTGCTCCCCCTGCACCTGTTCCAGAGTAACCGGACCACGCTGCTCGCCCCCCTGGCCCTGGGCTTCGCCCACAGCATGGTCGCCCTCGGCACAGAGTACTACCTCCCGCTGTACTTCCAAGCAGTGCAACAAGCCTCCCCGCTGCGCAGCGGCCTCCTCCTCCTCCCGCTAATGCTCACCGAAGCCGCCACCGACATCCTGGTCGGCGTCCTCATTCACCGCACCGGCCGCTACCGCGAGATCGTCTGGGCCGGCGCCGCGCTCCTCACCCTCGGCACCGCCCTGCTCACCCTGCTCGACGTAGATACCCCGCTCGCGCGCGTCTTTGGCCTTCAGGTCCTCGCTGCCCTGGGCACCGCCTGTCTCTTCCAGACCCCCATGCTCGCCGTCCAAAACTCCGTGAGCCCGGCGGAGGCTGCCTCCGCGACTGCTACGTTGGGCTTCGTGCGTAACCTCGCCACGGCGCTGTCGGTCGTGCTCGGTGGCGTGATCTTTCAGAATGGTATGCAGGCGAGGCAGGCGGGGTTGGCGGCTCTGGGGATACAGGGCGATGTGCTGAAGGCGTTGTCTGGGGAGGCGGCGGCGGCGAATGTCGGGATTGTGCGGATGATACGCGACGAGAGGCAGCGGAGAGCAGTGCGTGACGCGTTTGCGGGTAGTTTGAGGGTCATGTTTGCGTTCTATGCTGGTGTTGCGGGTGTGACGGTCGTCGGGGCCGCGTTTGTGAAGCAGAGGAGGTTGGCGACGGAGCATACGGAGGTGAAGACTGGGGTGCAGCATCTGAGGGAGCGGGGTGGGGATGGAGTGGTGGCTGAGTGACTGAGTGAGTTGTGTGGAGGGTGTTGATGTTGCAGTGGGAGGTGATTGTGTAGATGTGATCGGTAGGAAGTCGGATCTGGACGAACTAGATTATATATGAACCACGGGCTTCTTTCTGCCACATCCAAAGTCAGAAGATATCATTCAGTACATACGGAACTGTGCTCGCGCTCAACACCTCTACCTGTACAAACGATGTGCGCAGATGCATAACAATATCAAAACCGCCAGTGACGCCCGCGCCAACCATCCCCTCCCCAAAAGAATGACAAATACTCCAGGAAAAGAAAGACATGAAGAAAACCCGCTCATCGCTAATGAGGTGGAGTGTTGGACCCCGTCTGTGGTATGCACATGCGTGTATGGATACGAATACGGCTATTACTCTACTCTCTTTCTTGTTTTCTTTCTTTGTGGTCTACGAATCGAAGATACGCTTCATAGCGGCACAGGCCTCCTGATAGAGGATATCGACCCTCACCTGATCGCGGAACGGATTGGGCGACTTGTCCCAGCCATGCTGAACCTTCTCGATCATCATGGCGCGCACGTGCTTCTGGATCTTCTGCAGGCGGCGCACGAACACCTGGCCCTCGTTGAGCAGCATATCCCACTCGCAGATGTAGAGGAAGATGTCGCGGGGGAGGGCGTCGGCGAGGATCTCGTCCGAGGCGCGCACGGGCGAGGCGTAGGGTGAGCGGCGGTCGGTGTGGTCGGGGAGGTAGGCTTCGTCGAAGAGGTCGGTGAAGAAGGCCGGCAGGGTCTTGCTGGGCATGAGGCTCATGGCGCGGCGGTGGTCGCGCGATTCCTCGAAGTCGAGGATGGGATACCAGCAGAAGAGGCCGACGATGTTGAGCTCGGTGGAGGCGGACTGCACGAGGTGGTGCGACGAGTCGGTGTGGATCACATGCGCCGAGGAGTTGTTGGAGTCCAGTTGGCTGAGCAAACCTCGGAGCCGGAGCGGCACGGTTACCGCGAGATTGCCGCCCGCCGAAAACCCGCTGAGCACGATCCGCGAGACGTCTAGACCCAACTCCGCAGCGTGCGCTGCCAGATACTGCAGTGCGTGCACCCCGTCATCCACCGCCGCCGGGAATGGATGTTCGGGCGCGCGCCGGTAGCCTACGCTGACAACCACGGCCCCGACGTCTGATAGGATGCATTGCGCCCAGCGACTGTCGTCGGTGGCGTGGCCCAGGGTGAAACCGCCGCCGTGGAAGTTGACAACCACCGGCAGGCGGCGGCCCTCTTTTTTGGCGGCCTGGTAGTCCTTGGGGCAGTAGAAATGAAGGTGAACGCGCGCGGAACGGGGATCGGACTCAGATGAGGGGAAGGAACGGCGAAAGGTTGGACGAGACGGACGGGGAGGCAGCACGTCGTGGATAAACATGCCGATGCGCATGAGGAACCGCCAGAAGATGGCCTGGACATACAGCCACCAGCGGGACGAGTGAGCCATGATTGGCGGGGTAAGAATTCAAGCATGCACGAAAAGAATAAAGTTATGGGGATGGATATGACCAGAGATGAAGAGAGGGGGAGGGGGAGTGTGACTGAGTGAGTAGTAAGTGAGTTAGTTGAGAGAGAATGAAGGAAGTTGGGTGAGATTGGGAAGGATACTGATGATCAGTTGATGCCAAGCATGGGGCGTGATGCAGGAAGGAATGGCAGCAGCGGGTATGAGAGACAAGATCAACACAATTGATAGAGTGAAGTAATGCAGAGACAGAAAATTGGCAACATCCCACGAGAACTGGAAAGGAACTCAAGTCTTGGATCACATCATAGTCTAGGAAGATTCCGGTTTTGACAAGGGGGATTGTTGGAGGTTTAGGGCTGAAATGGCAAGCAAATTGGAGAAAGAAAGGGAGAAAAAGGAAAGAAATCGCCGTTTCTTTCATCATTTCCCGCATGACATCATATTGTTTTGCCTTTCCTTCGGCCTCGGCGTTTGCTTGCTTCGATTTCAGCAACATAGTGTTGTTTCCTGTACAAATAACTGTTTTCATTCGCGGCTTGACTTCCCCTCCTCTTTCTCCCTTTCCTCCTCTTGTCTGTGCTTATTTCTTCCATCTGCTTGCTTGCTTCTTGCTTACCTGCTTGATTCAATTCCTGATCCACCCGTGGTTCATCCGAATTGAGTTAAACAACCTATCTGGTGAATGCCTGGACCCTGGTTGGGCCCCGAATCCTTCCCTTTGCTTTCCTCATTATTAAAGCGTTGACTGCATTCTCTCTCCTCCTGCAGTCTGCCCAGCCCCTCCTTCTAGTCCCTTCTTATCTTCCCTCTTCCCTCTCCCCTCTTCCCCCTCCCCCCTCCGTCTTCGTTCAACTTCTTCACTCTACCTCCCCGCCAAAGCATTCTCTCTTCTCCCCTAATACCTCCTCCCCTCTCCCATCTGGGAGACACCCCTCCACCCATCATGTCGATTAAACGTGCCCTCTCCAAAATCAAAACCAAGTCTACGCCCGGGGATGATGGCCACAGTACCCCCTCCACTTCCCTCTCCCCGCGTCGCAGCATCTTCAGCAACATCCTGCGGGATCGCGACTATGTTTCCTCCTCAGATGACGTATCCGATGACTCCTCCCCCACGGGGAGTATGAGCAAGAACCAACAGAAGCGCCTGGCTCGCAAGCAGCGCAAGGAGAGTTCCCGCCTCAGTGAGGATACCCGTAACTCGGAAGAGTCGGATATGCGTCACAAGGAAGAGATTGCCAATGCCGCCCGCGAGGAAACCGCCGAGATGAAGGCCCGCTACGGAGAACTCCCTCTCATGCAGTCTCGGACCCGTTCGAATGAGAAGCGAACTAAATTCGATGAGATCTCTACCTCGCTTGTGGGCCAGGAAGTATACTTCACGGCCCGCCTGCATATCATCCGTCGCATGAGCGCCAAGTTGGTCTTCCTGGTCTTCCGCCAGCAATTGTTTACCTTCCAGGGTGTTTTGCATGATGAACCCGGTGTGGTTTCTCTGGCAATGGTCCACTGGGCCGAGCATCTTCGCTTGGGCAGCATTGTACGGGTCCGGGGCGTTGTCCAGGCCCCTCAGGTCCCCGTATTGGGCTGCACCATCCATGATGTGGAAGTTGCCATCAAGGAGCTGCATCTCGTTGTCCGTCGTGAGGAGCCGGTTCCCTTTAGTGTCTACGAGGCCGAAATTCAAACTGCCGAGGAGGAGCGCGTTGAGGGTCGTCGCAGTCGCATTCCCGACAGGACCCGCCTGGTCAACCGTCTGCTAGACTTGCGTACCCCCACCTCCCAATCCATTTTCCGAATCCAGTCCGCCATCGGAAATCTCTTCCGGACCGCTCTCGATGAGCAAAACTTTATTGAGATCCACACCCCCAAGTTGCAAGGCTCTGCTACGGAGTCTGGTGCCAGTGTATTCCATGTTCAATACTTTGGTCGCGATGCGTTCCTGGCCCAGAGCCCGCAATTGGCTAAGCAAATGGCCATTGCCGCGGATTTCGGCCGAGTTTATGAGATCGGTGCGGTGTTCCGTGCGGAGAACTCCAACACCCACCGCCACCTGACGGAGTACACGGGCCTGGATATTGAGATGGCGATCGAGGAACACTACCACGAGATGCTCGAAGTGCTGGATGCGGTCATCAAGAACATTTTGGAGGGCGTCTACCGCCGCTTCCGCCGCGAAGTTGACACCATTAAGCATCAATTCCCATCTGAAGATGTCGTCTGGCTGGAGAAGACCCCAATCCTCCGATTCGCCGACGGTATTAAGATGCTGACCGACTCGGGCTGGCGCGATGAAGACGGCAATCCCCTGCCCGAGGACGAGGACTTGAGTACTCGCGACGAAATCCGCCTGGGCGAGCTTGTCAAGGAGAAGTACGGCACCGATTACTATATCCTCGACAAGTTCCCCACCAATGCTCGTCCCTTCTACACTATGCCTGATCCGGACGACAACCGGTTCACCAACTCCTTTGATATCTTCATTCGTGGCCAGGAAATCGTCTCCGGTGGCCAGCGGATTCACGACCCACACATGTTGGAGGAGAACATGAAGCGCGTCGGCATCAACCCCGATACTATGGAGGAGTACATGGAAGGTTTCCGCTGGGGCGCACCGCCTCACGCTGGTGCTGGTGTCGGTCTGGAGCGTTTGCTGATGTTGCTGCTGAAACTGGGCAACATCCGCTTGGCCTCGCTCTTCCACCGTGATCCACGCAGCTTCCCTGCCAAGCCACCTATGATGCAACTGCGTCACCCCGAATCATCGACCATTGATCCGCCATGGGTGCGCGAGAAGAAGGCCAGTGTGGCGGAGAATGAAAGCGAGCTGCAACCCATCGAGCACCTCATTGCCAACTATGGCGACGCTACCTCTACTTCCTGGGGCGACGAACGCTTCAAGATCTGGCGGGACATGGGCACCGGAGCCGCCGTTGCCTACGTTTTGAGCACTAACAACTATGTGGTTATTCCTGGAAACCCACTCTGCGACACCCGGCAATACCGCCAAGTGATCATCCAGTTCCTGCAGTGGTTGCGGCGCGAGACCAAGTACAAGCCTGTGTGGCTGCTATGCTCGGCTGAGGTGGAAGCCGTGCTGGGTGAACGTCTCGGTTGGCGCACCTTGTCCTGCATTGCGGAGGAGCGTGTCGACCCTTCGCGCAACATGGCCGTGGCGGACGGCGAGATTGCCCGCAAAATCCGGCGCGCAGAGAACGAGGATGTTAAGGTGGTGTCGCTCAAGTACGGAGAGATGGTGTCAGATGAGGTGCGCGAGAAGATCGACCAGCGCCTTCAAGACTGGCTGAGCAGCCGCAAGGGCACCCAGGTGCACTTGTCGGAAATTCGTCCTTGGCGCGACCCTGAGCACCGCTGGTATTTCTATGCCGTGGATAAGTCGGGCACCATCTGCGCCTTTGTGACACTGGCCACCCTCGCGCCCGCGCACGGCATGCAGATCAAGTACAGCTTCGATTTCCCGGGCGCACCCAATGGAGTGATCGAGTACATTGTCACCCAGGCGATCCAGACGGCTGCTGCCGCCGGGACCAAGTCTTTGACCTTCGGTGCTGGCGCTATGGCCACTCTCACCCCAGGGCACAACCTGAAGGGTCCCAAGATCAAGATGCTGCAGCACACTTACGACACGATCGCCAAGCAATTCGGCTTGGTCCGCAAGAGCGAGTTCCGGGCCAAGCTGGGCGCCGAGGACGATCCGCTTTACATCGCCTATCCCCCGCACGGCATGGGCACCAAGGGTATGCGGGCCGTGCTTCATTTCTTCGAAGATTAATTTTCTTCTAGAGAAAAGCTATCTTTCCAAGACACCGTTGGATGTGCCGGTTAGAGGATACGTTGCTTTGACTTCCTACCCTTAAAGATGGTATTGTCAGTTCTCGGTTGTTGCTGCTGCCTTTTCACTATTCCCCCTGATGTTTGGTATTTGATTGCTCGATCTAAACCCCCTGATGCCGACTTTCGTTCCGATTTAATTCATGATACATAATTGTGCTGTGATAATAGACGCCCACATGCCATGATTGAATGATCTTGATGTTGTTTTGTTTTATTGAATGTACGTTGCCTATGACTATGAAGATAATTCCACACGCCCCTTTTCATGACATCACGTCCAATAAGATTAGATTTTTTCCAAATGTAACAAACAAACTCGACGCTATCATGGCACAAATCATAACCAATATATACACACATAAATAGATAAGGCTATATATAACCGCCCTCCCGGAAATTATAGAGATTACTGCACCTTCTTCGCGACCGGATCCCGGCCCTCGTCTCCATCCTGTTGCTTCTGTCCCTGCTCATCCTCCGAAGCAATTGTATCAACTACCCTCCCCAACTCCGCAACCACCCACCTACCCACCAAAACCGCCCCCACAGCCACGACAACCACCCACGCAGCAGTAGGCACCAGACTTCGCGGGAAGATATTCCCAAGGTACGGATCAAGAATCACATCCACCAGGACGGGGGGTACGTTCGCCATGAGCTCCGGGTCCGTGGAGAAGTAATCCGCCGCGGCGCGCACCCGCAGAAACAGCACCGAGTCCGCGATCGGCGCCGTATCCTCGACGATTGGGCTGTTGTCGCTGCCACTCCTGCTGTTGCTACCGCTGCCGCTACCTCTGCCGGAGTGTCGTTTGGAGAGAAGACCGTGGGTGTATTGTCGGATACTTGGCTTTTTGAACACGCGCCGAGCTTGTTCGTCTAGGTCTGAGAGGAGTGCCAGGTCGTTGTCTTCGTCCGCTTGGTGTTGTTGGTGCGCTAGGCGCGCGGTCGAGTAGGTTGTTATCGCGGCTAGGAGGTCGGCGGTTTCAAGGGCTGTGGGGAGGGTGTAGGTTTTTAGGTCGAAGGTGGTTGGTTGCTTTTTTTTCCCCTCTGGGTTAGTTTGTGGTGGTTTGATGGTCCGAGGTGGGATGGGATGAGAGGGGCAGACGTACAGTGGCTAGCCAGCATATTCGGACTTCGTACCGTTTACCAGGTACGAGGTGCTCGAGGAAGAACCATGAGTCTGTGCCTGGGGAGTCCGGGGTCGGGAAGGAGGCATTGAGCTTGGTCCGGTGGTGCGAGTACGCGTGGGAGGGCGAGAGCCGCGGGAGGCCTAGGTCGTCGATTGGGGGCATGAGGTTTGGGATTAGGGTCGGGGATGGCGCGAGGAAGATCGTCTTTTCGACGTTGGCCGTTGTGAGGGGTGCCAGGAGGAGGAGGGTCGTGAGGATGAGCGGGATGAGGGGGAGCTGTTTGCGCGGTGGTAGCAGGTGCATTTTGGTGGTTGTTCGGTTGACGACTATTATCTAGATGAGCATTGTTGGGCTGGTGAGTGGGTGTGAGGCTGATTATGGTCTATAGATTGTCAGTTTCGTTGAGAGGGAGCTGGGTGCATGCACGCGTACATACATAGATAGCTACTGCTGCTGCTGCTGCTGCTCGGTAGCTTCGTTAAATAGAATTAATGGGTGTATGTGCAGCGGTTGCGGGATGTGCGGAGAGTAGGAGAGTAGATAATTATGGAAGCATGCTGGGCAGAGAGTCACTTCTTCTCTAATGAACCAGTAGAAGCCCATTGGCGATCATCGTCATCCCCCGAAGGTTCTCCCTCGAATTCATCGATGATGAATGGGATCGACCATGCCGTCACACCACGTGACCAGATCAATCGCTGAGTCAGCTTGTTGACCGCTAGGTGGTCTCGGGCGGGCAGCAGCCAATCAGCAGCGCCCGAGAGCAACGCGACCCAACGGCCGGAAGAACCACGCCGGTGGGCAGTGTTGGGTTGACAGCGCATGTAAAGACCACAACAAATCGAGTCGACCGATCAACCCGGGTCTTGGGCAATCTTTGACCATAATTCAGCATCAATCAATACTCTTTCCCCAGGGTTAGTCGTTCCTACCTCGCGCCCGCCCGATCCCTTTATCTCCTTCTCCCCTTTCCCTCCTTCTCCTTCCCTTCCCTCCTTTCCCCCCACAAACTTGTATTTTCCACCTTCCCTACTTGTGGTGTGGCCCATTTAGGTGCTGACTCTCGAACCCCTGAAACGTCCTTACAGATCGTCGTCCTTGGGTATTTTAATTTTTCCCTCTGTCCACATTCCACACCCACCACCCTTATCCTTCCTCCCGCCATCTGAAACCCATCAATCCAACTCGACAAGATGAGAGAAGTTATTAGTTTGAACGGTATGTACCCTCTCTTGTCAATTCACCCCCGCCCTCTCACCCAACTGAGGGATCTACCTGGCGTGTTTGACTAATGTTTTGGTTTCTCCCCTCACAGTCGGTCAGGCTGGTTGCCAGATCGCCAACTCCTGCTGGGAGGTATGCTACACTTTGGAAGAGATTGACCCCTCTTCTTCCCTTGACTATTCGATCTTGATGGAAATTCCCATCGACGAGACACATAATGGTTCTTCCGAAGGCGAAAAAGGACAGCTGGACTGACTGTATTGACCATCTAGTTGTACTGCCTTGAGCACGGTATCCAGGTACGTGAAGATAAGCCCAAAACACGTCGAATTCGATCAGATTTCGCGTAATCCTGGACTCTTGGACAAGAACTTCCACTAACAAGCTGTTTTCCTTGCTACTAGGCCGATGGTTACCTGACCGAGGAGCGCAAGCAGGCTGAGCCCGACCACGGCTTCAGCACTTTCTTCTCCGAGACTGGTACGCTTCTCTCCTAATCACCAGCAATCTGCCATCGTGCTCACTAACAGCTCGTGCCACTCAGGCCAGGGCAAGTATGTTCCTCGCACCATCTACGCCGATCTGGAGCCCAATGTCATCGATGAGGTCCGCACCGGTACCTACCGCAGTCTCTTCCACCCCGAGAACATGATCACCGGCAAGGAGGATGCTTCCAACAACTACGCCCGTGGTCACTACACCGTCGGTAAGGAGATGATCGACCAGGTTCTCGACAAGGTCCGCCGCGTGGCCGACAACTGTGCCGGTCTCCAGGGTTTCCTGGTCTTCCACTCCTTCGGTGGTGGTACCGGTTCCGGTTTCGGTGCTCTCCTCATGGAGCGTCTCTCCGTTGACTACGGCAAGAAGTCCAAGCTCGAGTTTTGCGTGTACCCTGCTCCCCAGAACGCCACCTCGGTTGTTGAGCCTTACAACTCGATCTTGACCACCCACACTACCCTTGAGCACTCCGACTGCAGCTTCATGGTTGACAACGAGGCTATTTACGATATCTGCCGCCGTAACCTCGGCATTGAGCGCCCCAGCTACGAGAACCTCAACCGCCTGATCGCCCAGGTTGTCTCCTCCATCACCGCTTCTCTGCGTTTCGATGGTTCCCTCAACGTCGACCTGAACGAGTTCCAGACCAACCTGGTCCCCTACCCTCGTATCCACTTCCCTCTTGTCGCCTACGCCCCTGTCATCTCTGCTGACAAGGCTTCCCACGAGTCCAACTCGGTCAACGAGATCACCATGTCTTGCTTCGAGCCCAACAACCAGATGGTCAAGTGTGACCCCCGCAACGGCAAGTACATGGCCACCTGCTTGCTCTACCGTGGTGATGTTGTGCCCAAGGAGACCCACGCCGCTGTTGCCACCCTCAAGACCAAGCGCACCATCCAGTTCGTCGACTGGTGCCCTACTGGTTTCAAGATCGGTATCTGCTACCAGCCTCCCCAGCAGGTTCCCAACGGCGACCTCGCTCCTCTCAAGCGCGCTGTGTAAGTTGCCACCTGGTGTTTATTTGAAAAAAAAAAAAACCGAACATCTGCTAATTGTACCTCTTAGCTGCATGCTGTCCAACACCACCGCTATCTCCGAGGCCTGGTCCGCTCTCGACCACAAGTTCGACCTCATGTACTCCAAGCGTGCCTTCGTCCACTGGTATGTTGGTGAGGGTATGGAGGAGGGTGAATTCTCCGAGGCCCGTGAGGACCTGGCTGCCCTCGAGCGTGACTACGAGGAGGTTGCCAGCGACTCTCTGGAGGAGGAGGTTGAGGCCGAGTACTAAGTCTGACGACAATTTCCTCGGCCGGAGCCCCGAGGATGGTCCGACGGGGCAGTCTGCTTGGATGCCGGGGCTGGCCCTGATTGTTTCCGTGGTGATCTGTTGGGGACAGACGTTGGCCCGAAGAAGAAGACCCGACGAGCGGCGGGACTCTGGCTGTGCGTACAGATACAATAGGAGAGACGAGATTGGCTTAGTACAGACTATGTTTTCTTTTGTCTGATATATTTTTAATATCCCTGAAGCAGCGATGAAATTTACCCGCTCGTTCCCGTGCAAGAAGCCAGAGAGTTTGTAATATAACATTTGCCTTGTTATAAATCAAAGATCCATGTTGCGAGTTCCATTCATGAGCTTGTCTGTGTCCCTGAAAGGTAGGCATTGAGGAGGGAACAATGTGGTTTTATCCCAGCACCACTCCGTGGAACTATGCCTAGAAGCCACCATGGTTCAGACCTTTATAGTCAGTACTCTCCTCGCCAGCATGGAGCATGAAGCTATCGGTTAGATCCGTACAGAGGGAAAGTCTTCTATGTTGACCGAGAGAGATTGCCATACCGTGGTCGGAGTTGACTAGGAGTAACGCTACACTGACGTCGGGCCAGGCTGCCGATTGACCGCCCGGCTGCACGGGCCAACAACCCAACAACTGGCGGGCGGCAATGCCTCCCTGCCTCTCTCCTCCCCCTCTCTTTTGCCTGCCTGTCAGCTTCCCAGGCACTCCCTGAGTAACTAAGAGTAACCACTACTAAGTACTTTAGTAGTACTACGTAGTAGAAAGTATTACGCAGCTTGCGACAACCTCCCTCTTTCCTCCTCCTTCCACATCTCCCCCTCCCACTGCCTTCTTTCCCCTCTTTATCTCATTCTTGCCAACAGTCTCATTATCTCCCCTGTGTTGTAATCTGGAGTATCGCCATCGCTATTCCCCCCTTTTAGCTAAAGCTCCTACCGCCTTGGCCATCCAGGCCCCGTCGGTAGTCTCTCTCCCAGCTAACTTGACCACACCTTGATCAACCTGTCTTCCATTTTTTGTGCCAACCATCCCCCCCTCCATCATTTCCCCTCTCCCCTATTTCGGCGCATAGTGTCGGAATTTCTCAGAAAGGAGGCTTGCTCCTCCCGAGCTATTAATCATGGTTGACAATGGTAAGTTGCTTCCTCCTGTCAAATGACTATCCAACTCCCTTCCCGGAAGCTCTCAGGAGACGACGGCCCAACCCGGTCGGCATGTCCCTGATGTTGCAGCGGAAACTGACCGGTCACCAGCAGCACGGCACCCCAATCTCAATCTGACCCCCGAAGAAAAGCGTGTCTTCTACCAGCTCTTCCAGGCCGCTGATACCACCAACCTGGGCGTCATCACCGGCGAGGTGGCCGTGCCTTTCTTCGAAAAGACCCAATTGGCCCCGGAAACCCTCGGCTTGGTATGTCGATGCCTACGTCCCGCCTATCGCCCGCCGTGCCCATCTTTCTCGCTCGCTAATGCAGATACCCTTTCAAACTACAGATATGGCAGATCGCGGATAGGGAGAACAGGGGTTTATTGACCCCCTCTGGGTTTGGAGTCGTGCTGCGCTTGATCGGACACGCTCAGGCGGGTCGCGCACCGACAGAGGAGTTGGCTTACCAGCGTGAGTGGCCGCAGGGGCTCTGCGGACCCCTTTCTGACCTATCTGGGAGGTAATCAGCAAGTACTGACAGCTGTCGCACTCTGTCTTCTAGCTGGCCCGCTGCCGCAATTTGATGGCATTTCCGTTGATGCCGCTCCTGCTCCGCCAGCTCCGCGCGAGGCAGGCACCACCAGCCCGACGCCCGCGGCGGGTGGTCCTATTCGTGTACCTCCTTTGAACCCAGAAGATGTCAATAAATTCCTATCGTTGTTCGAAAAATCAGATGTCGCCAAGACCGGCGTTCTCTCAGGTACGCATGTTCTCCTTTCCCGTCAGGGCATGGTGGACTTTGGACAGGCTTGGCTCACGCTTCGGCGCAATATATAGGAGAAACGGCTAAGCAAATCTTTGAGCGTGCGCGGTTGCCGAACGAAATCCTCGGTCGCATTTGGATGTTGGCAGATAGGAGACAACAGGGCGCTCTTGATGCGACGGAGTTCGTTATCGCGATGCACCTTCTCACCTCGTACAAATCAGGCGCCATGCGGGGTATCCCGCAAACCTTGCCTCCGGGTTTGTATGACGCAGCTTCTCGAAGGGGTTCGATCCGCTCATCGGTGGGCTCACGTCAGGGGTTGGACGTTCCTCCTGTTCCTGCTATACCCAAACAATTCACAGGACCCCAGCGGACTCAAAGCCCAATTAATCGGCCCTTTGGGTCGCCTCTGGCGGCTCAATCTACTGGCGGGGATTGGCTGATTTCGCCTCAAGAAAAGGCCATGTTTGACAATATCTTTGCGACTGTCGACACCGCCAAGGTAGGATCCGTGAGTGGTGATCAGGCTGTCGCATTCTTCATGGGGGCACAATTGCCAGAGGAGACCCTTGCCCAGATCTGGGATCTGGCAGATATTGATGCCGATGGACGGTTGACGAAGGACGAATTCGCTGTGGCCATGTATCTGGTTCGACAACAGCGAACTGGCAAGGTTCCCGTGCCGCAGACCTTGCCTCCGGCTTTGATTCCTCCCAGCATGCGTCGCCCCGGTTCTGCCCATATCGCTCCACCAGTTGCTACGCCCGCACCCGCACCTGCTCCAGCTCCCGCCCCTGTTCCCAAGTCGGCGGCGGATGACTTGTTTGGTCTGGACGCCTTCACGGCACCTCCACCGCCTATTGCTCCTTCTCAGGTGCCGCAGTCGACGGGCGGTTCAAATGCAGCTTTCCAGACTCCTGGATCTCCCGGGTCCCGAACCTCCCCACCAACTGCCTCATCGACGTTCAAGCCGTTTGTGCCCACATCCACGTTCGGTCAAAGCTTGCAACCGCAGATGACTGGAGCTTCCACCGGAGCACCACCACCGATCCGGTCACCACCACCCCCAGCCGATGATCTATTGGGCGACAATGATCCCGAGGAGTCTAAGAAGCTGACTCAAGAGACTACAGAGCTAGCAAACCTGTCCAACCAGATTGGCTCGCTGGCCAATGAGATGCAGAATGTTCAGTCGAAGCGAACCTCAGCGGAGCGTGATTTGTCCCAAACCTCCCAGCAGAAGCGTGATTTCGAGACTCGCCTCTCTCAGGCTAGGACAATGTATGAGCAAGAGGTCAAGAACTTTAAAGCCCTCGAGGAGCGCTTAAATGCTTCGAGAGCCGAAACAAACAAACTGCAACAGGAGTATGCGCTTCTCGAGGGAAGCCGGCAGGATCTGCAGAACCAATACAATCAGGTATCGGCCGCTCTGGCTGCTGACCAGCAAGAGAATGCGAACCTGAAGGAGAAAATCCGTGAAGCTAACGCCGCGGTTGCCCAGCTCAAGCCTGCCCTAGAGAAGGCACGCTCAAGTGCGCGCCAGCAGAAGGGTCTTGTAGCGATCAACAAGAAGCAGCTTGCAACTGTGGAAGGCGAGCGAGATAAGATTCAAGAGGAATTCGATACCCTCTCACAGGAGCAATCGAGACAACCCGAGGGAAATGCTGCCGGCCCGAGTGAGGCTGCTGCTGTCACTAGCCCCGCCGAATCGACGACCAGTCAGAACACCAACCCATTCTTCAAACGCACGGCCACTGGCTCCAGCGACAACAATGCACTATCGCCTCAGATCTCCAACGACCAGCAACGCGCATTCGACAGTCTCTTTGGCACCTCCTTTGTAGCTCCTGCTACAGCGGCAACCCCCCCGCCGCCCGTGTCTTTCCGGGCTGAGTCGCAGCCGACCTCGGGCATCCCCACTCCCTCAGTGTCTCCGCCCCCCTCTGTTGGTGCTGCTGCGTTTGAGCCACCTGCGCCTTCTCAATCGCGTCAACTCACACCAAATGTACTGCCATTCGGCGAGGATCACTCAGTCACCTCTTCAACCAGGGTTTCACCACCGGGTAGCAGGTTTGGTGGTCCGGACACAGCCAGTGAAGCAGAAGGTCCCACGCCCACCGAGCCCGCAAAGGCCGCAGCTTCGCCATTTGACGAGTTTGAGGAGTCGAAAGAACGCTTCCCTGACGTGCCCGAGGTCGCTGATCATACTCCAGTAAGCGCCGATTCGGCCACCCCTGCGGAGAACGCTGCGGAGAACGCTGCGGAGAAGAAGGATCTTAGTTTCGATGAGCTGTTCGGTGGACCAGCACACAAACGGTCCCAGTCCCAGAAGGAGAATGACTTTGAGGAGGCTTTCGCTGCTATGAAGCATGGTTCTGGGCCGAGTAAGACCAATGGAGCATCTCCTATTCCTCAATCGGAATTCCCGCCAATCCGTGAACTCGATGATGGGGACGAAAGCTCAGACAGCGAGGCACCGATGGGCTTTGAGGACGATTTTGCCCCCGCTTTCCCCCCTCAGAGCCAGGTAGGAGGAGCACCCAAGCCCGATGCCCTCGGACCATCTCAGCCGGCGGCTTTCCCTCCATCGGGCGCTGCCACTACCCCCAGCGAGCCTCCTGCCCCGGAGGCTCAGCACAGCCCCCCTAAATATGAGGAGACCGTAGGAAAGCAAGAACCGGGAAGTGTTCCTCCTGAGTTTAACGGACTGCTGCCGAGTCGCGAGGACCCGACAACTGCTGCCGATGCACCGCACTCAGTGGAGGCAAGCACGGGGGCCCCGATCATTGGTGGAGAGCCCCAGCGGGATGACCATGAGGAACCCGAGGCCGCTGCCCCTCAGGAAACTAAGACTAATGCTCCTGATTTTGAGGCTGCGTTTGCGGGATTGAACTTGGCACCAGCTAAAGAGGCAGAGGACGAAGATGACGATTTCGAGACTGTCGAAAATAAGGATAACATGGACTTCGATTTCTCCTTCGATAACCCGGCTCAGAAGACGTCACCGAACGCCGCCGCCTCTTCTTCAGACTTCTTTGATTTCAACAAGCACGCCGCTGCCTCGTCTCCTGGCTTTGCCGCGACTGCCCCTGACACGAATGCTCAACCGCAGACGCACAATTGGGAAGAGCTGTTCGCGCCTCTAGAAAACGCCAATGCACCAATGAGTGGAGCCAATGGTTCCAACAATGCGGCTGATAAGTCACCGGGCTGGGCTCTTCAAACGGGGACCGAGGATGACCAGATCCTACAACGCCTGACCAACATGGGCTTCCCCCGCGAAGAGTCTCTGGCTGCTCTTGAAAAATTTGACTACAATATTGACAAGGTACGTCATTGCGCATCTCAAATCAGCTTCTACCAACCGTACTAATCAACCCTCTTTCTTCCATTACAGGCAGTCGACCACCTGACCTCCAAAGCCTAGCCCTCACCCCAACTTGACACCCTAAACGGATTCCTTACAGTGCACATAGTCTCTTGTCGTTAGCCGCCCATTCGCTCCACATGTAAATTTCCTTACTTCTTCTCCATCACGTCGACATAATCTTTCTACTTTTCCCGTCCTTCCCTTCATTGTTCATGTCTCCACGTCCGTGCCCCTCTCATCTTGCACCGTGCACTTGCTGCAATGTATCTGTATATCGTCTTTCTTTCCGGTGGCATCTTCCTCTCTCATACCTACCTGTTCTTCATGACCCGCTCTATCACCTATCTTTGTTATCACCGCCGCCGTGTAATCTAGGAATACCTATTTGTTCTTCGATGTCAACACCAAGTACATGACGGCCTAATGTGCAGCATAGCAGAGTACAAAATGGAAAGGATAGGGAAGGATTATGCTAAGTGATTACGCGGGAGTCCCATTGGTCAGTTCGGGCCAGGATCGTGAGTATCGTGGTATAATGCATCATGATTCTGCCTATCAAGTAAAATACTTCATGTCTCTACTTCACAGGTGAGGCTAAGCGAAGGAACGTATTTTGCCGGAGACATAAACATGTAAAACACACAGCATGAGAGTCATTTGCTAATCATATCCCACAAGCTCGAAAACGTTCCAATGTTCCCCATGGCATACCGATTTCGACAGCGAACCGTAGGTGTGGCCCGCCGATGATCACATACCACGGGTAGCCTGTCCATTCTCCATGCTAGTCAACGAGCTCTTTTCATGCTGAGAAGACACGCGTTGAAGCACAACCACTGTTCCAGTTAGCTCTGTCAGGGAGAATATCGGGGATGACATGTGCGCATACAAAAGTCTTCCAGAGAACGCTGTTTGTCTACACCTTTGGGGCTCTTGCCGTGCATGATGTTGTCGAAGCTTGCCGAGCGTTGGAGCAGGTAATATAGCCCTCCCATGATGCAGAACATGCCAAAGGAGAAAATCCAGATTCGAATGATAGTCGGGGCCGAGGTTTGCCCACCGACAAACCAGCCGAATGCACAGAAGCACGTAGCGACGGTGTCTACCGCTGCAATGGCACCAATCAATTTCCAGGAAGGCCACCCTGAAGACCAAAAAGCCCCATTGGCGCGCGTGATGAAGATCAGCCAGTTCTCGGTCAGTGAGATCTCTAGGAACAGGACCTCGTCTCGTTTTCCATAGTTCTGCATGATCCCTCCACTCTCGCCTGACGCTAAGATAGTGGTGAGGGTGATCCAGGTGCCAATGGCAAGGACAATTCCAAGCAGAACGGACATTCCCCATAGCTTCGGAAGATTCCATTTCACCGGTGTGCTGGAGAATGGAGCCTTGTCATAGGCGATGGCCAACGTTGCAATGTCGGCGAAGATAGCGATGAACACCACCAGTTGTAAGTTCAGGCTCTCGTTGCGGATGGCGATCCAAAGCCCGAGGAAGATCTCGAGGTGCAACGACAGAGCGATGCGATAAACAACGTATGCGTACATGCGGTGAAAAATCTGGCGCGAGGTTTTCACAGCGTCAATAATAGCAGATAAGCCTGGAGCTAGAAACACAATGTCAGCAGCAGATCGAGCGGCATCTGAGGATCCTTCAACTGCGATCCCTGTGTCAGCTTTCTTCAAAGATGGAGCATCGTTGACGCCGTCACCGGTCATGGCAACCAGGTATCCACGTTGCTGCAGGATATCCACAACATTATACTTGTGCTCAGGGAACACTTCTGCGAAACCATCGGCGGCTTCAACAAAATCATAAACCTCGGAGCCAGGCATCGTCCCTCCTCCACCAAGACCAAGACGCTCGGCATTGTACACATTTGTGCCCAGTCCAAGCTGCCGTGAGGTCTCTCGAGCGATCCCTACGGCATCTCCTGTGAGCATTTTAATGGAGAGCCCCAAGGTCTGAGCCTCGCTTATTGTCTTCGCAGTATCGTGTCTTGGAGGATCTGAGCACGGCATGATACCCAGAATCTCCCATTCGCCATCGCCGCATTTCCGAGCCACCCCAAGTGAGCGAAAGCCTCGCGTTGCAAACTCTGCCACCTTGTTCTTGTATGCGTTCTCAATATCTTCGGGGATTTCGTGGTCCTGCTGGACGGTCTTCAACACAAATAGAGGGGACCCTTTCACGCACGTTATGCGCTCACCTCCAGAGGACTGTACCACTGCTTTCACTTTCTTCGAGACTGGATCGAACGGTGAGAACTCGACCACCTTGTACTGTGTGAGCTTTGCCTTTGCATCCGGGTAGAGAGACAACGCTCGGAAAAATGCCCTGTCTATTGCATCCATACCCTTCTTCTTCCTAGACGCGGCTAGGCACGCTGTCAGCATGAGATCGTCGGCGGCCACACCCGGCACAGTGAAAGGATCTGTTAGAGAAAGCTTGTTCTTGGTCAAGGTTCCGGTTTTGTCTGAGCACAGGATCTCAACACCGGCGAGAGATTCGATTGCTGACAGCTTTTGGACTATCGCTTTTTTCTTTGCCAGGTACGCTGCTCCGACTGCCATTGTGGTGGTGACAACCGCGGGAAGGCCGACTGGGACTCCAATCATCGTGACGGCAAGTGTGAATTCAAGAATAGTGGTAGTGTTATTTGAACGATAGAAGGATGAAACCCAGACTATAATCAGAGTGACAACGACGAGAACAAGCAAGACGGTGCTGATGCCTTGAAGAACTTCGGTGAAATGGCCCGTCCCGGAGGTAGAGGCATTCACCAAGGCTGCAGCATGCCCAACAGAGGTCGAATCGCCGGTAGCCGTGATGAGGATTCTCGCATGACCGCGCTTCACGGTCGAGGATGCGTAACATGTATCTCCCTTGTGCTTATCAACAGCAAGAGACTCCCCAGTAATCGATGACTGATCGACTTGTATAGCAGAGTTCGTCATAATGCGACCGTCGGCCGGGACAATTGTACCCTTCTGTTCGTTAGCCAATGAACGTTGGAAGAGCATGAGACAGGTATACCTCATCTATCTTCACAATGTCCCCCGGGACCAGTTGGGAGGCGTCGAGCTCTGAGATCACACCATCGCGCAAAACAGCAGCCTTCAGTGCCAACGTCTTCTTCAGCTCCTTGACGATAGAGCCCGCCTGGTACTCCTGTATATATCCCACCGAGGCATTCAGCAAAAGTAGACCACAGATCACACCTAGATCCACCCAGTCCTGAAGATAAGCAGCTAGTATTGCGGCTGCCTACAAGCCGATAGACAGTCAGTACCTTGTGCCTGGGACGCTTGAACGAGCCGCACTTACCTCCATCACGAACTGGACGGGACCAACGAAGAACCATAAAAATTTGAGGAAGAGATTCTCCTTCCCTTCCTTCATCTCATTGAAGCCAAACTTCCTTCGACGTGCAATCACTTCGGTTGCACTGAGGCCCGTGTTTGAGTCAGTGTGAAGCAATTCGTCCGACACCCGTTCTCGACCAAGGGTGTGGTTTGATTCTAGAGTGTTGAGATCGACAAAACCGTCGTCAGACTTCAGCTCTTCGATGAGTGTATCAATGTCCTTTTCTTCTTCCTCCTCGTCATTTTCGATGAATTCCTGGCTTGTTGCCTTCGACTGCGATTTTTCCTCAACAAGGTTATCCTTGACCTCGAGCTCGCTCTTTTCAGTGACAGGGGCTGTGCCCTCAAGAGCGACTGCTGCTGGGCACATTCTTGACAGGGCAAAGTAAGGTAGAAATGATCTTTAAGCTTATACTTTCAATCGTATGCACGATAAAATTTTCGGACACAAGCCATGCCCGAGTCAGAGGAGATAGAAAGCATGGCAGCATGTTTTCGATGGCAAGCTCTGAAAGTATGAAAGAGCACAAGATACAAAGGGGGAAAGAGTGACACTCATCATGGATCCATTATTCGGGATGGATTGTATACTGTCGCGCCCGCCAATGAGGGAAGGGCAGAGATGACATAATCCGGGATGCCGAACGTCATTGTCCATTTTAAACGCTTTGATGGGGAAATCCACGCCATTGTCGCATTCCAGCCAATATCTTCTTCATCTCTTCCCTGCTGCCTGCTTCCTTCAACTTGGTAATAATCGCAACTGGTTAGCTCTATGCGATTACACGCTCATATGCTACATGACGCGGAGTTAGCTACGTGAAGCCGACCAGTAGTTCTCCTCAAATATTATTCCTTCGATCCAAGCAGCCTAACTAGGACTTGGGTTGGGTGAGCACGCGGCACATGACGCCGCGGCGATCATAGCAGATATACTTACTGTCCTGAAGATACACACCCTTCATGCTCCAGATCACATCTCTACATCCCCTTACTTCCCTCATCTGAATCCTCTCTGTCCAGCAGTCATGGCGAGAGAAATTCCCGGATTCTACTATGGTACATGATGCTGTCAAATGTATCCTTCCTACAAATCTGTTGACCATGCCTTCTAGACCCGGAGAAGAATAAGTATTTCAAGATCCAAGCCAACCATACAGCGGCTCCAGGAGCTCAGTACTCGAAAGACTCGGTCAAGCGCAAACGCGCTGACCACGAGGTTGTGATTAGGGCTCGAAAACCCGCACCGTATTATCGCTAACACTGTGACTAGGAACGTCGACGAAAAGTCCAGCAAATCAAGAGGGAGGCGAAAGAGAAAATCAAGAGAGCGAACCTCTTATCGCATCCCCTCCTTGATGTACAGAGGGAACTGGGAATCTCGCGTTTACCCACTACCGTTCGACAGGAACAGGGTGCGTGTGCCTACACCAGCCAGCTCCGCAGAAATCGGCTTCATCAGTTTGAGGCCTGGCCAGACGAGTATAGCATCAAGCATGTGCTGCGCAACAAGCGCTCGGGGATCTTGATTGCTAGTAAGTCTATTCCGATGGAAGCTGTGAACCCATACTGCAGTGAGGACACCACTAACAGTCACACAGGTGGTCATCGCGGTGGTGAATCGTCGGTGTCGTAAGCGCCTTCTCCGGTCCTTTGAGGTCGTGTATCCGGCAAGCTGACAGCCGGTCAAGGGTGTGCTTCCCGGATTGCGACCAGAACAAATGGACTTACACTCGGACAATGGAACGTGTTCTGTTCAAGGAACCGTATAGGGTAAACATTTTTAGCCAAGGCCTCTTCTGACTGCGCGTCAAGACAATCGCTAATATGGGACATCTTATAGCTTTCGTCGATCTCATTGAGTCACACAGGATACCTGCTGTAAGAACGCGTCTCGTCCGCCCCTGCATTCTGCCAGGAGATTGACCAGACCAGTTCGACGATGGACAGCGGCCCCGAGGGCGACTCATTTCTGGCACCCCGGATGTTGCCAGACCCCGATGAAGACGGAGATTACAGATGGCCGCCATCCTGTATGTGGTCCTTCATCGTTTGGAAGAGAGGACTATATGACTGATACGATCCCAAAATAGTCCTACAACCAATCCGCATCCGTACCGCATCATCGTTATGGTGTTCCTCCGCTTGCCCGGTGGGCAACACGCCACTGTTTGCCGTCGGGGCATCAGACGGCCTGTATACATTAGAAGGATACGGGGCGTACTGGGCGCTCTCCAAAAAGCCATTCTCTGACGACACGAACGCGGGCAAGCCAATCCTGCAACGACGCAGTGGTACTTCTCATGCGCTCGTCACTAGCGTCGAATGGCTATCATCGGACGTGATCGCGGCCGGTCTCAAGGACTCATCTGTGTTTCTCCATGACCTCCGGAGCGGAGGGACCGCGACACGACTGCAACATCCACATGCCGTCACGAAGATACGCAGAGTGGACCCCTATCGAATGGTCGTGGCGGGAATGAACTCCGTAAGTATCGAAGAAAAAATATCTCGTCGAGTGGAAGCTGACCTGACGCAAAGCTTGAAATGTACGATATCCGCTTCCCACCCAACGGCCTCCAGCGCAAGCCACAGCCAAACAGCAAGAAACACACATCCACGAGACCCTACCTCACCTTCCAAGACTTCAAACCTCAAGTCATACCAGACTTCGACATTAGCCTTGAGCTTGGCCTTCTAGCCAGCGGTGAGTGCATCCATGTCATACCCTTGCACAATCACGTACGCGTAAAACATAGACTAATCCTTATGCTCAGCTACTGACGCGGGCAAAATCCAACTCTTCTCTCTGCGCAACGGGGAGCAGATCTCTTCACCATTGTCGAAATACCAGTACACGGACCCCATTGCCTCAGTCTGCTTCGAATCCGGCGATGCGCCCCTACACGGGCCCCAGACACCGAGTTTACTCGTCTGCGCCCAAGCCACGGTAGATGAATGGATTTGGTGAAAGGGGAATAAATTCAATCAAAAGATGAAGCTTGATATGATGTCTTATGCACCGAACGCCTGCCTGTATGATGCCTGGGATATGAGTGTGGAAGGAACGGAAAAAAGAATAACATGAATCAAAAAGAGGAAACTTGGGAAGATCGAACGAACGTCTCTCAAAAGAAAGAAGTCCCCTAATCCAAACCACCCGCCAACCATTCTCCCACCTCCACGCCGACTGTCTTCGCCAACTCCCCGATCCAATCCCCCGATACATTCACACACCACTTTTCCCCCGCATCCGACGTGGTATTCCCACTACTCAACCCGCCAGACCCCAATGCGCCCACACGACCCTCGCGACCCGCCGCAGGCACCACCAACCGTAGCCGCCGCAACGTAGCCAACTCGGCATAGATCGCATCGGACACCGCCGCCATCCGGATCGGGTTGGCGGGCGGGTTGGGGTCAATGGCATGGTAGATGGCGACCAGCCGCTCCAAGGGGAACGGCCGCGCAGTGAGGATGGTCGAAGGGCCGGTGATACCGCCACCGCCGCCGACCGCGGAGGTCGTCGCGGACGAGGTGGCAAACGCCGACTCCAGCGTCGACTTGGTGATCTTCGTCTTGGTGCGCTTGCCCTTTTTCCGGCTTCCCGGTGTCGCCGTCGACGACGCAGCCTCCTCGAGCTGCGCCCGCGAAAGGAGCTTCAGCCGCCGGCGGTGGTGGGCGCGCTTGTTCCGCGCGGACAGCGAGGTCGACGAGAACTTGGAGAAGAAGATCGTATCCAGGCGCTGCGGGGTATGTGAGGCGAGGTAGGCCGACGTCAGGATCAGGGTGGGGAAGTACGGTAGGGAGGGCAGCGGGGAGGGGGCCGACGCGGCAGACAAGGATCTCGGCTTGCTGGAGGAGACGGCTGTCGTCAAGCCACCAGGCTTCGTGGACGTCGCCGCCGCCGCCGCCGCACCCGACACATCCTCCCCATCCTCCTCAGTGACAATATGATGCACCAGCGCCCCCTCACCCTGATGCCGGAAGAGCGCGCGATTCTTGACCAGCAGCCGCGTGAAATCCCACTCCCCCGTGCCCCCCGGCGGGATCTCCCCCGTGGTGATGGGGGCCACGAACCGCGGCCACAGTTTCTCGCAGATGGATCGGAAGCTGGGGATGGAGCTGGCTGTCGGACCGACCAGGGAGTCGTAGATGGCCGACACGAAATGCGGGTAGAGCGTCGAGGCGGCCGCGTCCGACAAGCCGGCGGTGACGGGCGGCGGACCGCCGTGGAGGATGATTGCCGTGGCTTCGTTGCGTGTGTACGGCGGGAAACTGATATGCGGGACGCCGGCGGATTGTAAGAACAGCGGCCGGGGAGTAGTGCTAAGTATGAGGACGACGCATAGCGAGGGGATCTAATACCAACGAATATTCAATTTCGTTAGCCATTTACTTTTTCCTCCCTCCAAAACTTCCGCATGTAGGGATTCCCAGAAATAGCAAGTAGAAACATACCACCTCTCCCAATCTGGCCAGCGCAGGAAGTAGCGTAGGGGGCGCCTCCCTCTGTTTATCGATACCATCAAGAACCAGCACGAACTTGTCGGTGCGCTTGGCCGGCTCGGTCGACGATACGGAAGAAGAAACAGAAGCGAGACATTCGTTCAGCAGCACGGCGAGGGAACTGACGTGCTCGCAGCGTCCCTTGCCGTACTTCTCCCACTCGTCGCGCTTGCCCAGCGCCTCCAACGTGGCCCAGAGGATCTTGGTGAGCAGGTGGCGGCCGGTGATGCACTCGGGGCTGCGGACGAGGGCGTGCGGGATCTCGAGGGCGGCGAGCACATGGCGGACGATGGTGGTCTTGCAGGTGGCGGAGATGCCGTGGACGACGATGCTGGAGGGGCTAGAGATTTGAGCCTGGATGCCATTGCGGATGGGTTCATGTTAGCGACTCATTGACGTATATATACAAGCAGAAGAACGATCGGGACCTTTCACTGAGGTGGAGTATATCGGGGTCCTAGGAACACATGGATGGATGGACGGGGACGTACGCTGAGCAGGCTAGCGAGTTGGCGGCTTTGGAGTTCGCGACAGGGCCATTGCTTGCTGATCGATTGGGCGATCTCCGAAGGAAGACGCATGAGGGATTCAGGACTGCACCCTGGGACGGGCCTGGACTCAGGAGGGGAAGGGGAGGGAGCTGCGTTGAGCTAGTTGGCTGAGACTTGAGATAGAAGAGGCTTAGACAGGCACAGGATTTCGGGGCAGATCGCGCGCTCCGATAAGCTAAAGCAAGCTTTGGGATCTCCGCCCCGAGGAAAAAACGCGGGTAACGCGGAGTCACGTGTCGCATACATCATGGCTCATGCGTTACAATGATGGTTTAGTTACTTCATCCTGGCGATTTACAGTGGCCTAATTTGAATCACAGTCATTAAGAGAACATTTCTTATTGGTAAACTATGGGTACATCTATTGTTCTGTCTCTGATGTTTCAACGGCGCCGGATAGTAGAAATCGGTAGTCATAGACTCCAAAACCCACTTGCAGCAGAAAAACAGGCATTGTCAGAAGACTGGGTCCATCAGGCGGCGAATCGCTGACCGAAGATAACCATCCATCTTTCTCAAAGTAATTCCCAGGTTTAGCAAGACAACTCAAGAAAGACCGACTTTAGAGTCTCGTCTGCAGGCACCTACATAACAGAGTCCAGGTAGACGACAAAAAGCAAAAGATAAGCCAGATGCGAAATAATAGTAAACAAGGCGAAAGCCAATAAGAAAAACTAAGAAGACTGGGGAGTGGATAAAAGCACATGGGGGAATATCGGGGGTAAGAAAGCAATAGGCGTGAGACATCATTCTGTCCCAACCGGAGACTAGAAGCACACTAGCCTGCTGGGGGGGAGGGGGGGGGGGACAGACGGCAAAAGATAGAAGACATGGTTCGAATAATTGTCATCGATGGACGTGGCAAACGTGAGCTCTGTTAGCTTCGAAAAAATACAGGACATGAACTGTGATAAATGCCTTTATCAATGGTTTACATCTTTCCGCCAAGAATGATCCAGATATGCATTGCAACTTGCATAAGATTCGGTCTTGTCGTATGGTATCAGTATCCGAGTCTTCCAACTTGCTGGCGATATTTCAAGGTGGCCGTAATTCGTCAGGATCGTATCATCGTCTCAATAGGAGTACAGTTCAATGAATATGTTATTGGTGTTCCGAAGTGCTACGCTGCAGCTTAATAGTTGGCGAACACTGGATTCTGCGTACTGTGGCTGCCACCAGGCTGCTGCATAGCTGAAGCGAAATGGCTGGGGTTGTCGCCAGCTCCGGCGTGAGTGGCTGTGACGGAGCCAGGAGCGTATGCATAGGTCTGATTTCCGAACTGGGAACCGACATTAGGAACGGGAAAAGGGCTGTGTTGGTACAAGAAAGACTTCTGTGTGGGACTCTGCAAAGGGCCGGGAAGCTGTGCCGAGTTCACCTCGTTGGGCGTGACCTGGCCGCTGGTGGTAGCACTGCCCCTTCCGGAGCCGTCGGAAGCCAACATTTTGCCGGCGATGCGACGTCCATGTGGAGTTTGGCGAATGGATGGCAAGATAGGGCGGATACAGTCAACGATTCGTGTACGTGTATCAGCATCCGCAAAGTCCATTGCTGTCTGCACCACATAATTGGCGAAGGAATCCCGAAGCATCTTCTCGAGTTCCGCACCGGCCAGCATCTCATCGATAAGCTGGCGTCTGACCTGGACATCAGCAGTGCGCAAACACTTCTCAATCACATTCGAGCTGAACTTTTGCTTAGACAGAGCGGGGATGTTTCCACGGAAAGTCTGGCACAGCGGTTCCGTGAAAGAAGGCTCTGCAAGGTCCAAAATATACTGCACGACGTAGTTTCCGAAAGGGTCCTGTACAAGCGCGAAGGCATTGTTTGTGATCTGATGGATAAGGTTTGCCCTCTGGTCGCCGGAGGCGTGATCGATACAACGCTGCAGAACACAGCATCCATGCCGATGGGTCCCAACGACAACGCAATTGGCGCCAACAGCGTCATAGATGAATTGGGCGTCTTCTGCAGAAAGACGATTGAGGCACTTCTGGATAACATGGTTTCCATTAAGGTCTTGAACCAGCTCCACCACCTGATCCTTCAAAGCGTGGATCACTGTCTGAGTCTGCTCTGAAGTTGAAATGAACTCAATCATCTTCTGGAGAGCTCGAGTGCCATGCTGATTTAGAGCAATCTTCACTAGCTGGTGGGCAGCATTGTTGATAAGAGCCGTGCGCTGGTCATCATTGGAATACTCCAGCAGTTTCTGGCACAAATAGTTTCCAAAGGGATCTGTCATATGATGTTAGCACGGGCTTCCTATGAGCTATTGACGGATTACACGAACCTGTCATAAGCTCGACAACATGCACATGGGTCTCGTCAAAAATCATCTGAACATGCTCCGGATTACGCTCTTCTAATTTTCTTTGTAGATACCTACAACCGTGTTGGTCCTTGCAGAGGCCATACAACTCGCCCCGATAATGTTCAAGCGGGAAGTTTGTGAAGCGAGACAGCTGAGCGGTGTCCGTGTCACCACTCCGACGCGTGCCAGACACCTTGACTGGAGCTTCTCCGAGGCGGAAATTTCCATAAGCGGCAGGATAGCCACTAAAGGGAGCCGTCGGGTTGTAGGCCTGAATCTGTGCAGGAGCCATGAAGGGTTGAATACCGTAGCCGTAGAAAGGCTGCTGGAAGGGTGTCAGAGTGGTCGGCGCAGCCATGTTGCTGTTAACGGTGCTGGCTCCAGTGGTGAGCTGCGGGCCGAAGGGGGCTGCACTGGCTTGGAGAGTGATTGGCTGGGATCGAGTGCCCTGAAGTGTGGCTGCCTCGTGTTCAGGTGAGTCCTTGGGTAGGCGATTCGTGGGACTAGTGCCGGGAATCCTTCCCAAACTGGCATTGTGCTGCTGGAATTGCTCAGCATGAGTTCTGGGAGGTGTGATGGCCGGGTTGAAGGCATCGCCTTTGACCGTAGGAAGGTCGTTGGTTGAGTAGGAGGACTGCAGAGAAGTAGGTCGATTTAAAGCTGTGGCGGACAGGCTTTCATTGTTGCCATCAGCGGTATAGAGGATGTTAGCCTCAAGAGAGTGCCTGGCAGTGTGACGCGCAGGGGTGGCTGAGTGAGAATGGATGTCTTCCGCAGAAGCCCCAAGCTGTTCGAGACGAAACATGTTCAGGGCGTTCTGAGGCATACTCTGGTGCGAGGTACGGTGACGGCTATGGGAGTTCCAAGTTTCAGGGTTAGGGGTGCGCGAGTTCGCTAGGTCTAGAGCGTCCGAGTTCGCAGATAGCTGAGTTCTTGGTAAGAAAAGGGTCACAGCACGCCTTTTGGAACAACTTACCAAGCCTGAATCGTCCCGTCGTGAAAGAGTAGGAAATTTGTCGTCTGGGTCTGTCAATTTAAGATAACTCTTGATATCAGGCGTCGGAATTCGGTCGTCGTCCTTCAACGTTGATCGATCGTCTTCGTTGTGAAATAAGTACTTTGCGGCGTTGAAAGACTCAAGGCCTGAAGAGCGTTCGAAGGAAGTTATATTGGGGCGAATTTGGGAGCCTAACCCAGATGACGGCATTGAATATCGGTGAATGCTTGATATTGTTAGTTAATTTCAAGTTCGTAAAGTGTGGGACTGAAAGAGGTCCCATAACATATGAGAGTTGAGTGAATGAAAACAACAGCGACCACTAATTGTGGCTTGAGTAAATTCACAGCAAGGCCACAGTGAATAAATCGTGTTACACAGTGAGATAGTAACGTTCCAAACCATCACACCTCTCCGGTTTTATGGCCTCAGGAGACGAGAGGGAGCAAGGCAGTGCTTATGTGAAGAAGAAAACGAAGTGTAAGACTTACGATGGTCCAGGGCGAAAGGGAGAGGCAGGCTCCTGGCTGAATTCTTCCTTTTCCGAATTTCTTCGAGAACCAGGGACTGAGTGAACAGAAAAGCGGTTTGTGGGAGTCTGAGCAGAGCTATGGCTGACTTGGCTTGGAGGGGTTGTCACTTGAGATGGTGCAAAGACGTTGAAGAAACCAGGAGATGAAGTGACACTGGAGGTTGAGAAGCGAGTTGGACGGGTGAAGCCAGGAAGGCTGCTCTCATGATATTCCGGCGGTGTCGTCGGCTCACTGACCGGTCCCGATAAACCAGCTTTGGCGAGGTCCTTTGCAATTTGATCCATTTCCAGCTTCTCCTTCTCGTGTTGCAGGTCCAAGAGTTTCATGTCTTCTTCGAATCTCCGTCTCTGTTCGCGCATGTATTCGATATGCTGACGTTTCTTCTCAAACTGCAGACAATTAGCAACACTGCACCTATGCGCGCCGAGAACACAAGAATAATATAGCACGCGCCGGGTCTATGACACATGAAAATAGGTAGGTGGTGCGTGGTCTGCCCATATTCTGTGGGGACCCTGGTGCAGAAAAGAACAGCTAGGTGATCATGCATATCACTTTAGAACCTCTCAGGGGGGCTAATAACCAACACACAGCAAAGCCCCTGCTTACAGAGATACGGCACTTTGCGGGATTATCCCCAAGTCATCGTACCCGGACCGCTTGAGCCAGCATGACTGCATCGAAAGAGGACACTAGGTCACGACCAAGATGCTCAGGAAATCAACGAACTCACCGAAGACAGGAGATCAAGAGGATCCGGTGCCTGCGCACCGCCACTAACACCATTTATATAGGTCCACGAAGACGAGACTTTACTAGAATCTGTAGTGAAGCGGCGCTGGAGATTGGCACGCACATCATGGGATGGACGCGAAAATGCCGACACGAAGTTGGAATGGCTCGGTGAAAGCGCATTGTAGCCAGGGAACGTGGATTCGGAAGGAGGGGATCGCGGAGAGGGGAATCGCAGCTCGTCGAGGCGTTCACTAAGTCCGTTTTTGAATGCCATGATAGGCGGGCGGTTTGGGACGAGAATCACTGGACTGGTATCCATTCAGGGGCCAAGGTCAGTCAACGAACAAGCTATGACATGGTAGAGACAGAGGGAAATGCGGGTTTGGAGGGCGTCAATCTCAGCCTGCAATTGCGATGAAAGCAGAGAGGAAAGCCGAGATTATAGCACAGGGGCCAGGGAGTCAGGGAGCAGCGGCTGGTTGGCGGTGTGTTCCGTGAGATAACGGGCTCTGTACGGAGGAGTAAGGGGACGGGGAGGGGCTGAGGGGTGGTTTGGCGGAGCAGATCTCGGAAAAGAACAGCGACTCACACACAATGAACGCCTCGAGAGTTTATTTTTCAGGTACAAAAAGAGACTTTGGTAGCCACTACTTGTGTGGACACGCAAGTAAGGACAGATAAAACTGGGGGTGGTGGAGGGATGGGGCGTTGAGGGCAATTCACACCCCTAAAGATGCGTTCGTGACAATGCGGAGATCTCGGTCAATAGCGGTGGTGGTGAATCACAAGCGTTGGGCGATGGAGTCACTACTGCTTAGGCCCTGCGCTGTCTGTCTTTCTGCCGAAGTGGGGGGTCGAAATCAAGAGCAGCGTAGACCAGCAGGTAGTAACGAAATGAACAAACGAGGGTAGATAGACTGGGAAACGAAAGAGCGCAGAATAAGAATAGTGAAGGAGAATAAGGATAGAGTGTTGTACAAAGGGTGGTCAGGTACACGAGAGGGAGGGAAGTGAAGGATGGCTGACTGACTGACTGACTGAGGTGAAGTTAGTTTAGAGAGGCGGCAAGAGGGGAAGCCAGGCGAGGCGTGGGCGGCGGCTGGAAAAACAAGCGGGGATCGGGAGGTGGCCACTGCTGTAAGTTCTGCGATCGAGTTTCTCTTTTTTCTCCTACAAATCTAGAATAAGAAAAATCATGATCCTGTAAATAAACATACACGATTGATGTACTACAACAGTATATGTACAAAACGCTATGACAGGATCTGTTTTAGTATGTTCCTGTTGTTGTTGTTGTTGTTGTTTCTACCAAATTTCCCCCCTTCTTATCGACATCAGATTTGTCCCCCTCCTCCCCCAATTCGGATTGCATCATCAGCTCCGTGGAGTTCCACCACGACTACCCCCTTCCTCAACCATGACTGTCTATTTGCCCTCGTCTGTACCTTCAAGTACGCAGCATCGTCAAGTGCAATTCCTCAGATCCAGGCAGATTGTACTCCGTATTATCTGACAGATGAAGATAATCCCCCAAAAATACTAGGCCCATCCCTGTTCTGATTGTTAATAATCAATCTAATAACCCCTCCGACAGCTGGTGAGCTGTCGTCTCTCCAACGGATCCCCCCAGGTCGATCATTTGCTTTTTGGACGGATCACGAATGGATCGCTTCTTCGCGATCAGCGATTGGAGCTGGCCAGTGTTAATGGGCATGCTACTGCACGACTTCGTTGGGATGGGGTGGCCAGTGGTCACTGCCCAGGATTTTAGCTAGTAATCCAAAGCAATGCTCCAGAGTCCACCGGGCATTCCCCCTGGTCACTTCTTCTCGCAGGGATCATCATTAGGTTTGCCGCATGGACTAGACGAGGAAGCCTCATCCTAAGCCTTTTGCTTGCTGCCTTTGGAGGGTTCGCTTTCTTTACCAACATGGGGAACAGGTGCTGTCGGTAATTCAACCATCGTGAACGATAATAACCATGATTACCACCCACCTGGTCTTCTCCCTGCTGATGGTGGTGCAAGGGAGGGGGTCCCTGCTGCGTGTGCTGGTCGAGAGCGTGGCCTCTGCAAGTGTTTTTGCATCGAGTGGAGACAAGCCAGTTGATTAAATCAAAGATGTGACGGCGGCGGATCACGCCCTGGCCACCGCACGTACCTGGCCCAGAGCATCAGACCGGATACCCTAGGCTAGTGTAGTATCCTTCCAGTAGCGAGGGAAGTTGGGCTCTTGCGGATTGATGATCTGGTGCAATGTTCTTCTTCTCTTCTGCGATAAACGCCGGGTGGGATTTTCTGGAGCTAATAGCGGCTGGGTGCAAGTCATTATTTTGAGGTCTTATTATTCCTACTATTATTTTTTTTACAGTTAACAGATCTTATTCGGGGCTTCGTCTTGCCAACCATCACTCATTCCCAGATACAATTTCGTTTTGGTCCTTCAGGATTATGTAGTGAGACGGGAAGGACCTTTGATTCAGACCTAATCCGAGGTACTCATACTTATTTTAGAGCATAGGATCTGCGACGTGATTACCACCGATCGTGATCAAGGTTAGCCTGAGATGTCAGTCAGATGTCTTTGCCGACTCCCCTCATGAAAGATACCGCGGACCCAGTAACTTAGATTGACCGGATTGCCACCCGTTCTTTGTCTTGTTGTTCATGATGTTTTGAACCCGTTGCAGTCTCGTTCTCTCGTCTTTCTCCAAAGGAATGTTATGTTAGGTTCTGGCCAGGTACTAATTTTGAACTGGTAGCCTGTACCAGGGTTCATTGCCGGATCACCATGAGTATGATGCCACAGTTGATGGTGCGGTCAGCCTGATTCCATGGATCGAGCAAATCAAACGACCAGACGCGAGAGGGGTGAAAGGGGGGGCAAGGCGCGTGGCGTGTAAGCGTATCATGACTAGGTGGAAGTTGAGGCCGGATTGTCTCATCGCACTGACTGTCCTTCGAGGGCTTAATTTCGCCAGGTCAGGCTGAGTGGCTGTCAGCAGTTGATTGGTGTAGCAGAGGAGAAGCGGTGTACGACTACTCCGCTTCCATCGCTTTCATTGCCCTGTGCTTGACTCCTCTTCTCCTTGAACGGGGGCGTTTTGGCCGCCGCTTGTCATCCATTCTTTGAGACTCTTCATCATCAGTTCGCCTCGAAGTCTGAACCATTCAGGAGACGGGCTGTGACTCATTTAGCGTGTTCGTGGGGTATTCCATTTGCTTCGCGAAGCGCGAATTTGACACCGTGCCAGGTTGTTTTTACGAAAGTGGAATCTAGCACTTGCAGCTTGGACACCCGTTCGCGTACCGTAATTGTTGCCATGAAGATCCGACTCCATATTGATCTTGAATCTGGTCCCGTTTGGTATCGTTTGTTGGGCAGGTACCGTACCATGGTCGCGACATACGGAAGACTACCTAAAGTACCTGAACTGGATCCTGGCATCCTGTCTGGAAAAGAACTCCATTAGTCTGAGCGTAGGCCTATCATGCCAATTAACAATATCTTAATCGCGATTAGAAAAAGAATGGGCAATGACTTGTTCCCCAATTCCTCTGCTCTTCAGAACCCTGAATACCTCAAGACCACCCGATCTACCGCGGCACGACCCAAGCACTGGTCTTACCAATTTTGTAATCAATCGCACTGTTTCACATCATCATTGTATTATCCTTCATCGGCTGTTTCAGATTGGTCGATTCCTGCTAGTTCAACTAGCGTCATGGTGGCAGAATGTCAAGTGCATTCGGTTACGAGAGGGCTTCAGATTGGGCAATAGTCGTCAACCTTTGAATTAGAGAACCATTGCAGGAAAACGCTCCCAATGCTCTCAACACCCTTACTATGTCTAGGCTCTACCTCCGTAGACAGATGATTAACCGGCTCGGTATGATTGGATTCTGGGTTACTATCGGCCTTGCCGTCTAGTCCAACTGGCCACTCGTACTCCATTTTGCGAGTGACGCTTTGATCCACGTAACTACGGAGTTGTTTGATCAAGTACACTATAGCACCTTCCTACGCTTCAAACGTTGTTTTCAAATAAGCGCTGGGCTTTCGTGATCTACCACAAGTTGATGAATCACCAGATGCACGTGATTATGAAATGATTTGATATGACCTGTGTCCTGCATCCACTCCATCTTTCCAACATGCCATGCCGGCACGAGCGCCGTTCGCCAACTGCGACTGATTTTTATCAGGATGTCAAATAAGATTATCTCGGAGAGGGAGGGGAGAGTCGACTGCCAGGTGGCGAGAGAATCCAAGTTGCGGTCAGGAAAACCCACCGCCACGGCAATCTTCATTTTTCAATTGTCCTTTCAGTTACCCCCGCAAAACTTCAGGGCCCGAGGGATGAACAGTCATACTGTCGAAGAACCCATTCTCCCTGACTTCGGGGGCGTGCGTTCCTTCCGATGTCACATGTGCGCGAATCGCGCCTCAGGCCGATTACTACCTTCCTACACCCACAGCTAGTGCCGACGAGTCCTGCCCGCAATCGAGTAAACAAGAGGACTGTCTTGCTTGAGTCGGTCACCTCCAGGTTTCATGCCCAACCCCGCCAAATTAGAAAGACCCAGATTTGCAGTGATTCTTTCGTCGTCGACTGAAGTATATGAGACCAAGGTTGTGGTCCCAATTGGGATCGCCGGAAGCTTCTGGATATGCTCCTTCCAACCATTGATATCGCAACCGACATTTCCCCGGATTAGTAGGAGCTCTAATTAGTGTTTCCCGCGCATGCGATGGCGCTGCCAGCGAGCCCTTTGGGAAGTACCCACTTACAACGGATAGAAATTCCACGGCTAGCCCCGAGTCCAATACAATGGAATCATGTTTCGGGAACCCGATCTATGGAGCTGGAGAGACAGCTCCACATACTTGGTTCAGAGCTTCAAATCCTTACAATCCATAGGCCACGCGCACTATGCCTCAAGATTCTCTATGCTATCTGGTACTCGGAACTCCATTCCTTCCAACCAGGATTTGGAATTTGTTATGTCTCAATTTGAGCTGCCGAGCACAATAAACCAGTATAAGCATGTCAAGAATACATGCGGTGTAGAACAACAGTCATCTCCTGCTAACATATCTCTGACGATGGATATGCTTGGATCCTTCACTGCGAGAGTCCACCACGCCAGACAAAGCATTGTTGCCTGACCAAGCCTCTCGCGCACCTCATGGGCCGCCATGATCAAAGGTGCCATGCTTTCCCATATCTTCAAGTTGAGATCATCTGTTCAAGCTTTGAAAATCCCTCACACTAGACCTGATACCTGAAGATGTAAGGCTTTCCTATCGGCTGCGATGGAGCTGTTATTCTCTATAGGTCCGGTAGTTCCTACCCAGTATATATGCCCAAAGCCACCCTGAGACCATGCGACAATTCTTGACAGGATCGGCGGCTCAATTGAGCATTCCATATCAATAGCACGTTAGTGCACTCATGCAAGAGCTGTTACCTAAGCACGAAGCTTGTCTCCCGCTGTAACAGTCGAGCTCTTTTGGGGTAGCTTGTTCAGATATTGATGTATGTGATCTCAAGCCGCTGGGGAAAATCGCAGATCTTCTGATAGAGTCAGAATCAGCATATCATTAGAAGTGTCTACTCTGCTAATATCCCGGGCACAACCATGTTACGGCCCAATTCAAAATTCTGGGTGTCTCTTGCAATCAACCACCAAGGTATTACGCTAACCAGACTGCATCAATCTTACCTAGTACCATACTCTGTCGGCCCGAAAGACAAGGAAGTATTCAGATCGAGACTCAGCGTTGGTCGGAAGCTATCATACTTTATGTACATTGTTTCAAGAAGTCGAGATCCGGAGCAACTGTTTGGCAACTTGTTCCATGGTGCTGCGAGTAGAACGATGCTGTTACCAACAGCAGGTTTGGCGCTTTAGACACCCACGACATAATTGTGCCTGGCCTCTGGTCTTCAAGCTGAGTGGCATACGTGAGCCTAATTGATTTTCTGGGAAAGCGTTGAGCAAACCATCCAATTTACTGTATGATAGCATACCATATGAGCTTACCTGTAGGGCAACCCCCAACTCGGAGTCCATAGTAGACCACCCTACCGGGGAAACTTCATCAGCGATCCAACATCAGTCCGAGGTCTGCTTCTACACCTATTACACGAATCTAATCTCGCCCACGCGACCTATCCCTAGTAGCATCCAAGCTTAAGTCTTTCGAAGCCTACCTAGTTCTGCTCAAATGCTGAACCAGTGGTACAAAGCCAGTCTCAACTGGAAAGGAACCCAATTATTTCCACCTGCTGTACATCTCCGGATCATTTTGGTGACAGGGGAAGCACCCCATACCAGTATTTTTGTCTCGATCCTGGATCGGCCTCTACCGGAGCAACATGCTGATCAGACCGACGTGCTTTGTTTTCTTTTCTCGGATGCGAGGCTGGAGGTAGGCGAGATGGGAATAGATTGGCAGGGCAACCAAGGAAATAAAGGCAGGAGATCAAAGCGAGGGGAATGAGTGGTACGGGTGGGCTTTCTTTGTTTGCAATGCTGACCACGGCTCCCCATGTTCACCATGGAGATACACATGTCAGCTGCAGCTATCTGAGCGCTCCGGTCTCGATTAGCATTTATTTGGCAGGGTCTATGCGTTTTCTTTTCGATCTTGGTGCTTTAATTGCATATGATGCAGTATCTGTGTCCGCGCGCTTTTGTGCTCCTCAGGTTCATGGTCAGGTCAGCATGTCCTGGCGAGATACGAAGGGAAGCCAGGGGTACCGTTTGTGCCTCTATAGATACAGTCTTCTATACCTTACTACTTGGTTGTGCTATGCGGACGCCACTTATTAGCTGCTGGAGTGCACTTTTCGCCTCGCATCCGAATATGCCCATCCATCGATCCGTACCTAGTAATTTTATAATAGTGTAATTGGTAGTCAGGTATTGTTTTCTTCCTAAAAGGGCAATCCATAAACATTGATTCAGCACATCAAAAGTTAATTGACCGACTGGCCTAGTGGTTACGGCGCTCGTCTTACAATTGTGATATTGATTCCACGAGAGATCCCAGGTTCGATCCCTGGGTCGGTCAAAGAGCATAAATTGTTTTTGCTGCTTGTAGTCTTGGCCCCATCATGACTATAAACACCATGTCAAGGATTTCTTGTTCATGCGTTTTTGTGATATGGTGCGGCTCCTCTTGACAGTATGTGTTGATCCTCAAGGACGACTAAGTCTCCTTCAGTCAGAACGAAGGACTCTTTTGCTGCTGACAGCAGAGGAAATAAGTTGGTGGGAGCGCTTTTGAGGAGGTATATAACAGCATGCATTCTATGATGGCAGATGCTTTGTTCTTACGATGCGTGACCGTGGATTTAGATATGTGTGCAGTCGAGAAATCCCTCTTTGGGACGAGACCAAATATTTTGTCAATAATTCGACTTCGCATCATTCCCCGACCTTCATTATGTGTTAGGCTTATATTCTTAAGAGGGTAAGCAGACGCTTCATGAAACGAATTGTGTTGAGCAAGAATTCACCAGCATCTCGCTATATACTCATACTTGACCACAGAAACCACAAATAGGCATGATGACATCGCAAATATAGTGAGAACCGACGCAATGACTATCATGGGGCTGCAGGTCTGAATCGTCGTGGTCACCGTCCTCAGCTAATATCCCGTGTTGGTATGGGGAAATCATCGGAACCGTGCTTATCAATAGCGCGGGGGTGGGTGAGTCAAGATTTGTCCATTGCCGGCAGTGGACCCGGATATTTCACAGTTGTAGGTCCCTTAGCTTTCCCCCTCTTCTATTACTCTGATTTTCCTTCAACCCGTCCGATTTCGTTGGCTTCTCTAGTGCGAGCTAATTCTCGTCCATCCGTCATCGTCGAAGCTCATACTGCGGCTTTGTTTTGCTTGTGGGCATATCTAATCAGCCTTGCAACTATGAAACTCCTTCAGAAACCCCCACGATATGTCACCGCTAGTATATTGTGCTCCTGTGGAGGACTTCTCTTCGGGTTTTGTCTACCTCTGCCATCCGCGTTTAGTGCACTTACTGACAGTCAGGTACTAGGATGGACACAGGCATTATTGGTCCCGTAACGGTCATGGAGAGTTTCACTTCACGATTCGGAAGCCAATCTGCAGTGATCCACGGTTTGATCGTATCGTCTATTCTTATCCCTGCCGCAATCTCCTCCTTTTTAGCGGGGTACCTAGCAGACAAACTGGGAAGACCAAAGGGCATCAGTATCGGTGCCTTGATATTCGGAATCGGAGCGGCCCTTGAGGCGGCGGCTATCAATATCGGCATGTTCATAGCGGGACGATGCATTGAGGGCATCGGAGAGGGCTTATACCTTGGGACATTGGTGGTGTATGTTACAATCCCATCTACAAAGGATCGTCATCTGACACTGTACAGCTATATCTGTGAGATTTCGCCTCCCAACGTCAGAGGAGCTCTGACCACCGGCCCCCAGCTTCTCATCACATTGGGCTTGGTGGTGGGGTTCTTCACATGTTATGGAACTGCGCGCCTCGAGTCCTCCTTCTCATGGCGTACTCCATTCTTGATCCTTGCTTGCCTGGCGGTTGCTTTCTCTGTTGCTTCTTTTCTTTGGCTGGTTCCATCGCCGCGATGGTTGACTATCCACGGCCGTCGAACAGAGGCTACCGCCGCCTGGGATTATTTGGGGGTTAGCCAGGCGGAACGTGAGAAGGCCGAGATCGAGCAGGACCGGGTTCTTGCCACTGAAATTGCAAGCATTACTAGCAGGGAACGTGCTCCATCGGTCTCACAGGCTCAGAGCAAGTCAGCCAAGGACAAGATTTTTGACCTCTTTTCCAAAGATGTTCGGGCACGAACCATCCTGGCTGTGTTTCTCATGGGAATGCAACAACTGAGCGGGATTGATGGCGTTCTTTATGTAAGTCTCTCTAAACCCATTCCTGTTGGTCACAACACTCATCTGGCTCACGCAGTATGCTCCTTTATTGTTCGAGCAGGCAGGGCTTGCCTCTTCATCCGCAAGTTTCTTCGCTTCCGGCGTCTCTGCAATCGTAATCTTCGCGGTCACTATTCCTGCACTCATATGGGCCGACAGATGGGGTCGTCGACACAGTATCATTTATGGCGGTATCGGCCTTAGCATTACGATGTTGCTGATAGGAGGTCTGTATGCGGGCCAGGCAGTTCACAGCTCAACTGGTGCAGGGCGATGGGTAGTCATTGTCAGCATCTACATCTTCGCCGTGATATTCTCCTTGAGTTGGGCCGTCGGCATCAAGATCTATGCAGCAGAGATACAGCCGCAAAGGACTCGCGCCTCAGCAACCAGCTTGGCCCATGGTAGTAATTGGGCGGCCAATTTTCTAGTGGCACTTGCCACCCCAGTATTGCTCTCGCGGAGTAGTTATGGTGCTTACTTTCTTTTCGCGGGATGCACACTTATCACGACGTTTGTATGCGCGATCATGATGCCGGAGACCAAGGGCAAATCGCTCGACGAAATCGAGGAGGCGTTCAAATCCAAGTCTGTGGGATCACGGTCATTCCTGAAAGTCCTTCGTCCACTTACCCGCTCCAATTCTTAAGAGGGTTGAAGTTCGACACATTGAGGACTTGAAGCTTGGAGAACTGGCTCGGTCTGTGCACCTGTCGCAACTTGCAACAGATCCAAGTAGTGGGGCAATACATTTCATGGCCGATAAGATAAACAAACAGAGCGGAGCGGGGATCGGAGCAAGTGACAGTGACATTTCTAGTTTATCAGTTAGCCTGAGCATTTATAAGCCAGATAACAGTCTAACCGAATAAGGATAGCTGCAAATTACATAACCAGCCCCTCTGCCGAATGGAAAATAGTTCGGATAATCCCCTCGCTGATAAAGAAGAAATTGTGCCGTCAGTCTAGAATGCTGTGACGCCTGCTCTTCACCACCCCGATCGACGTGCAGCAAGACTCGCAATTTCTCCTTAAGTGGAAGTCACGTTTGATCAGCCATGCCTCCTCGTAGGAGAGCGCCGATTTCCGCGGCCAACTTGCGATCTACGCAACCTGGAGAGGTATGTTGGAGTCAGAAGATTTTCGCGCCTCCTCCCGCCGCCCTCGCTAACTCAATGCGACGTCTTAGGCCGCCTCGTCTTCAAGACTAGGGAACGCCGATGCTTCGAAACGCAGACGTCTCTCCCAGTCTAAGCCTGCTCCGCCGCCCAAGGAGCCATCCCCCGTCGTCGAGGAACAGCCGCAAGGTTCCGATGAGGAGCATTCTCACACTTCGTACCGCCACCGAGATCCCTTTGACGCCCTCCTCGAACCGTTCTACTACAACAAGGGCCTGACGGATCCGATCAACACCGCCCAGGACAAATGGAACTTGTTGCCAGCCTTCCTCAAGGTCAAGGGACTGGTGAAGCAGCATATCGACTCGTACAACTACCTCGTAGAGGTTCAATTGAAGAAGATCGTCGAATCCAGCTCCACCATCCGTAGCGATGTCGACCACAACTTTTACATAAAGTTCACCAACATCTACTTGGGCTTTCCGCGACGTGCGGATGAACCGCAAGATGTCCGCGCCGATTTCTCGGAGTCCACCGTCGCCCCGCATGAATGTCGTCTTCGTGACACAACCTATGCGGCGCCCATCCAGGTTGATTTCGAGTACGTCCGTGGTCGGCAGAGGGTCATGAGAAAGGGTGTGGCTATTGGAAGAATGCCGGTCATGCTTCGAAGTTCGAAGTGTGCATTGGCGAACAAGACTCCGGCGGAGATGTCGGTCCTGAACGAGTGCCCTCTCGACCCCGGTGGTTACTTCATTGTCAACGGCACAGAGAAGGTCATCCTCGTTCAGGAGCAGTTGAGCAAAAACAGAATCATCGTGGAGACAGATCCGAAGAAAGAGATCGTTCAGGCCTCTGTGACCAGGTAAGATACAGCCACCACTTCTGTCTCCGTTGATTGATACAGTATTAACTGTCGAATGCAGTTCTTCCAACGAACGTAAGTCGAAGAGTTATATCGTTTTGAAGAAGGACAAACTCTACGTGAAACACAACGTTCTCAGCGAGGACATCCCCATCGTCATCCTGCTCAAGGCCATGGGTATCCACACCGACAAAGAGATGCTCTTGCTCGTCGCCGGTGTCGATAAGGTATACCAGGAAGATTTTGCAATCAACTTCGAAGAAGCCATCAAACTTGGTATCTACACGCAGCAGCAAGCACTCGATTGGATCGGCGCACGAATCAAGATCAACCGCAAACAGAATTCCTACCGCCGTACTCACGTTCAAGAAGCCGTGGAAGCCATTGCCTCTGTCATTATTTCCCACATCGAAGTCAAGAACATGGACTTCCGACCCAAGGCTATCTACGTTGCCCACATGGCTCGTCGTGTTCTCATGGCCAAGAATGATGCCACTTTGGTGGACGATCGTGACTATCTCGGAAACAAGCGGTTGGAACTGGCTGGCCAGCTGTTGGCACTGCTTTTCGAAGATTTGTTCAAGAAGTTCTGCTTCGATATCAAGATGAATATCGACAAAGTGCTGAACAAGCGTAACCGCGCAGAAGCGTTCGATGCCTATAGTGTGATCACGATGCATAGCAACCACATCACCCAAGGAATGAATCGCGCCATCTCCACTGGAAATTGGAGCTTGAAGCGTTTCCGCATGGAGCGTGCAGGTGTGACACACGTGCTCAGTCGGTTGAGTTACCTTGCAGCCCTGGGTATGATGACGCGTATCAGCAGTCAGTTCGAAAAGACTAGAAAGGTCAGTGGTCCCAGAGCACTGCAACCATCGAACTTCGGTATGCTCTGTCCAGCAGATACACCCGAAGGTGAAGCCTGTGGTCTTGTAAAGAACTTGGCACTCATGACTCATATCACAACAAACGATGAGGAGGGTCCTATCCGGAACTTGATCTTCATGCTAGGTGCTGAAGACATCTCGACTGTTGGTGGAAAGGAGCTCTATGGTCCGGGCTGCTACACGATCTCGATCAACGGTACTCCCATGGCGCTCACTCGACGCCCAAAATTCTTCCTTAACGCCTTCCGAAGACTTCGTCGGATGGGACGTATCTCCGAATTTGTCAGCATTTACATCAACCACCATCAAGGAGCTGTCCACGTAGCCACTGACGATGGAAGAATTTGCAGACCGCTAGTCATTGTCGACAATGGCAAGTCTCGCGTCAAAGCACACCATCTCGAGAAGCTGCGGGATGGTACCATGTCTTTTGACGACTTCCTTGCTCAAGGATTGGTGGAATACCTTGACGTGAACGAGGAGAACGATTCGTTGATCGCTATATATGAGAAAGACATTACAGAAACAACAACTCACCTAGAGATTGAGCCGTTTACTGTTCTTGGAGCTGTCGCCGGTCTGATTCCCTATCCCCACCACAACCAGTCGCCCCGTAACACCTATCAATGTGCTATGGGTAAACAAGCAATTGGTGCGATTGCTTCGAATCAGTTCTTGCGGATTGATTCCATTCTATACCTTATGGTTTACCCTCAGAAGCCGATGGTTAAGACTCGCACGATCGAGCTGGTTAAGTACGATCAGCTTCCTGCTGGACAGAATGCAACCGTTGCGGTCATGAGTTATTCGGGATACGATATTGAGGATGCCCTCGTGTTGAACAAGGGATCTGTGGATCGTGGTTTTGGAAGATGTCAGGTGTTCAAGAAATACGTCACCAACCTGAAGAGTTACTCGAACGGCACCAAGGACCGGTTGAGTGGACCGCAGTATGAGAACGATGCGCCAATCAGGAAGCATGCTCTCTTGGAAAGCGATGGTCTCGCTGCTGTGGGTGAGCAGGTCAACGCCGGCGAAGTCTACATTAACAAGTCCACTCCCGACCAGTCGATGTCTTCCGGGTTCGCCAGCTCCGACCCCGGCCGTCCCGTTTCCTATATGCCCACGCCCATGACCTACAAGCTTCCCGATCCTGCCTACATCGACAAGGTCATGGTATCCGTGACTGAGAACGAGAACCAGTTGGTCAAGGTTCTGACTCGCCAGACGCGTCGTCCCGAAGTCGGTGATAAGTTCTCCTCCCGTCACGGACAGAAGGGTGTCGTGGGCATCATCGCCGACCAAGCCGATATGCCTTTCACCGACCAAGGAATCAACCCCGATATTATCATGAATCCCCACGGTTTCCCGTCTCGAATGACGGTCGGAAAGATGTTGGAGCTTGTTGCCGGTAAAGCCGGTGTCTTGGCCGGTCACCACGGTTACGGCACTTGCTTCGGCGGCACTCCGGTCCAGGAGGCATCTCAGGTCCTGATCGACCACGGCTTCAGCTACGGTGGTAAAGACTATCTCACCTCCGGCATCACTGGCGAGGCCCTGCCGTTCTATGTCTTCACCGGGCCCATCTACTACCAGAAGCTCAAGCACATGGTCCAGGACAAGATGCACTCGCGTGCCCGCGGACCGCGCGCGATCCTCACTCGCCAGCCGACGGAGGGTCGTTCCCGTGACGGTGGTCTCCGTCTCGGTGAGATGGAACGTGACTGCTTGATCGCCTACGGTACTAGTCAATTGCTGCTGGAGCGACTGATGATTTCGTCCGATCGACACGAAATCGACGTGTGCGAGCAGTGTGGCTTCATGGGATACCTGAATTGGTGTCAACGGTGCAAGTCCTCTCGCAGTGTCGTGAAGATGGCCATTCCTTACGCAGCCAAGCTTCTCATCCAGGAGTTGATGAGTATGAACGTGACTGCGCGTTTGAAGCTGGAGGACGAGTTCCCGGAAATGAAGGGCCGTTAATCTAACATCAGCATACCAGCACAAAAAACAACGTCAGTTGAATTTTCTGGGTCAAAAAAAAAAAAGAAAAGAAAAAAGTCCAGGTCATTTACAAAAAGTCAGAGGCGTTTATAGCAAGTATTGGAAGGGTGCGTGCTTTTTGGAATTCTCGGGAGGTTTTCGTATGTACGGTACATAGCGGTTTGCATGCATAGCGCTCGGCGATGCGGTCGAAATTGAATAGAAACAAATCAGAAACAAGCAGAACATCCAATACTTCTCCCCGTAAACCGAACCCATAGTAACAAGCTAATCCACCCCCAAATACCTCCTCACAACCCCCCAATACCTCTCGGGATCCGTCTTCATATGCGACACATGCGCCGACCGCTCAAACCGCACCCTCTCGACCTCGCCGCCCAACCGCTCAACCTCATCCGCATGCGCCTCGACGTCCCGCGCCTCGACGACCGCATCACCCTCAGAATACAGATAACACCGCCTCGGCGGCCGTCGCCCGTCCTCCCCAACCACGAGCGCCGCATCCGCCGTCCCGCGCCGCCCAACCATCACCCCGTCGGCGCGCGGCACCACCAGCGCCACCAGCATCGACCAGACCATCAGCGCAGCGAGCAGCACCGTTCCCACGCCCCGCAGCACCGGGTTCGCAGGTAACCCCACCGACAGCGCGCGCATGCCGCCGCGGAACGTCGACGTGCCCGGCGCGCTGTCGTACAGCATGCTCGCCACGGCGAGCGGGCGGCCCTCGCTGCTGCTAGCCTTGTAAGCTTCCAGCAAGTTCGCAACGGCAAAGGTCCCGCCGTTGGAGAACATGTGGATGTGGATTTTGGAACTGGGCGGCGCGGCGCGGAGGGCGGCGACGGCTGGGCCCAGGCGCGCGTGCTGCGTGCGGGCGCTGAAGTGGATTAGGAAGTCTTGCGATGTTGACAGCGTGTAGATTATTGTTGCGGTTGGGTGGAGCGCGCGGTAGGTCGTTAGGTACTTTGTTAGGGTGCGTGGGTGGGCGTTCATCCAGAAGGCTAGGATGATGATTGGGGGTGGTTGGTCGTTCTTGGGATCTGGGATTGGGCGGTGGATGTAGACGGTTGGGGAGAGTTTGGTAAAAGCTTTGAGGGGGTTGGTGGTGGTAGTGGTGGTGGTGGAGGCCATTGTTTTTGGTCTTCGTGGTGGTGATTGTGGTTGCGTTGTGGTTTGAAGGAGAGATGAGATCTTGTGGATGAGATTAAGAGGTAGTAAAAGTAAAAGGTATGGGAAGGTGATGTTTTCCCTATAAGTAGCGGACCAAGAAATAAGAGAAAGACACCACTTCGTAACCAATATCTCAAGTCCTAGAAATAGACAAGTCGCCTTACGGCTTACCGACTGTTGTGCTGACATCCTCCATTCGCCAGCACGCAGTTCAGAAGCACTAAACTCATCAGCGCTACCTACAGCGTGACTGATGAGGTTTTTGGCATGGCGCTGGTGCCAATGTTTACTAGCTGACTCGATCATGAACATCCGACATCATTGTAACTTATAGGCACAAGCCAAAAAAACCCGATCACGATTGGAACTAAAGATAAACCTATCAAACGCCAGTCCTCGCTATGCTCTAAATTCGTCCCGGCTTTTGTCCCGCGCTGCTGTCTATCATTCAAATGGCATCCAAACCCAGCAGAGTGCCGAACCTAGGGATTGTACGAGGCCTTGTGTCTCAACATTTGTTTTGCGATACATCTGGCCTCGTCATGTACCGTTGCAATGATTATTTCCCCTAGCTATGTAGGCGTAGCGGTGCCACTGGTGTCCTTCTTCTTCCCCCGCAAAGTTTGGCCAGAACCCTGGAATCGAGGTTTGTCTCCTTCGACAACCTGCCCGGCCTCATCACGCTTCTTAACGGGTTTGATTGCATATCCAAAGAAGAGCTGATTCGGGGGGAGTCGAAGAGGCTGCGGTCCATTTGTTCTTCTTACAGGTGGAGGATGCTGAGGGTTGGTGGCGCCGGGAGTAGGCGTGGACGGCTTCGGGGTCGGGGTTTTGCTGCCTTTCTTGGCGTTCAGACGTTGTCCGCCGACGAGGAAGTTCGACGACACGGCTCGAGCCCCAGCAGCAGCATCTGTCGACTCGGGTGCAATAGCAGCATAGTTGATTGACTGTGCCATGGTGCCATGGGGGTGTAACAGGCCACCGGACGGTAACTTCCCGCCCACCGCGCTGCGAGGCGTACTGGTTCCACTCGGCCGCTGCGGCTCCTCGTAACCTACCGGAGGCGCAAAGTCGACTTCTAGGTCCGTCTCGAGAACCGAGATGGCATTGCTGTTGGTGGAGGGCTTGGTTTCCAGAACAGCCATCTCGTAGACTTGGTCATTATAGGCGAACGTGAAGACATCACCCTTGGTCAGACACGAGAAATTGCGGAAGGCATTCTCTAGCACGGCCTTGGGATCACTAATATCGAGGAAACTGGTCGACTGAGCCTGCAGTTTGATGAACTGGCCCGGCGGCAGATCGGTAGACTTGACCTGGACCAAGTCGCCAGGCTCCAGGTGAAGTGTTTGCATTAACTGTAGCATGGCCGGTTAGATCCTCGATCATGCATAGCTTGCGGTAAGGACTTACCCAGAATGGCAGGTAGATCTTCCCCTCCTCCGCAATGAATTCCAAGACACCTGCATGGGTCATTCTTTCCCTGGCACCATTGTGAAGCTCAAACAACATCGGGTATGTGATATGCAGGCGAGTCAGCTTGTCCAAGGCGCTAGGCGGCATGATGACCTTGCCGCCGTGGTTGACGTTTTCTCTTTCGGGCCCGGGCATCATCGCAACAGGGTAGCATCGGTAATATTCATCGAAACGGCGAGTTGCAGCTCCGGGACGGAGCATGCTCGAACCGAGAACGCCCTCCATCGGGTCGTCCTCCCAGTAGCCAGAACGGAACTGCTCTCCGGTTAGTATTGGATACCTAGGTAGCTGGCGGCGTCAGAGCGGGGAACTTACCATAACCAACGGGAGCTAGCTAAGGAGCCGCTTGAGAGCTGTGTGTGACAAAAATACGGGGCAGAAGAATCGGAGAAGCTGTGCGATGGAAGTACAGCTTAGGATAATGGGGAAGGAAAGAGAAGTCCTGAGGTACTGAGGTGTAGCAGAGCTCGAGGAGTTGAAGAAGGACGGGGGTTCAGGTACGTCCGGCCGATCAGATCGGATCGCCTGCGGTGACGCAAATGGCGGCTCCGCTTGGATTTTCCGACCCGACCCCGGACAAGCGCAGAGCAGCTTCACAGTGAAATGATTTCCCCTTCACTCCATACGACCTTCTAGTTTATCTGTGTCAAAGCTCTGAGTGTGGAAAAAGCAGTGAGACTCTTGAAATCTACAAATCCCTCCCCATGTCGGCTTCTCAGCCCCGCCCCAAGCGGGCAGGTGAGGACTTCACCCGCACACACCACGAGGACGAAGACGGCTCGTCAACCAAAAAGCCTCGCTTTGACCTTCGAAACCCCTCCGCTCTCGCCCCCGATGCACTGGAGGAGGATGCGGTCTTAGACGCCGACGAAATTGGTCGCCGTGGACAACAAGTACGCCGCAGAGCCGTCAACTTGGACGGGTACGATTCCGACAGTGAGAATGAGGGCTTCTCAGCGCGCATCGAGGCCAAGTCAAAAGCCAGCCGAGAGAAGCACGACGCGGAGGATGATGATATGTTCGCCGAATTACAGGAAGACTTTGGAGCGGAGGAAATCGATGCGGATGAAGCCATGCGCAAAAACAAGAAGAACGTCCGCTTCCTCCGAGATGATGAGATCGAAGGACAGGTTGCGTCGTCAAAGAGTGGCGGGACAGTCCATGCAGATTTCACCAAAGGTGCGGACACGATTGACAACGAGGAGGACGAAAGTGAAAGTGAAGTGGGAGATGAAGAGCGCGCCAAACCTGACGAGGAGCTGGATGAGGAATTGGGTGCAGGTGCAAAGAAGAAGCATGCTCCACTACTAGACGCTTTCAATATGCGCACCGAACAAGAAGAAGGCCGCTTCGATGACCAAGGAAATTATGTCCGAAAGGCTGCAGATCCCGACGCAGTTTACGACACGTGGTTGCAGGGAGTGTCCAAGAAGGATATTCGGCGCGCAAAAGAGGCTTCAGACAAACGGGAGGAGGAGCGCAAAGAGAAAGAGCGCAAGGACGATAGCGTGCTTACCGCGGACGTCCTAAAAACCTTGATTACCCATCTTGAACGAGGCGAGACGATCCTGGAGGCTCTCGCGAGGATAGGAAAGGGCGCCCAGAAGAAGCAAAAATGGCAAACCAATCGCAATAAGAACCGCAAAAAGCAAAGTGACGCTGCCGAGGATGCGGAGATGACGGAGGACGACCCGAAGGAGGTGGCTAGAAAGCAGGCCATTGAGGAAATTACAGGTGCTGCCGACATCCTTATGACCAGGGGGCAGGCAGAGATCTATGACACCGAACGTGAGATGCTCACGAGGCAGTATCGCCGCGAGACAGGCGAGGACTGGATTGACCCTCAATCTGCAGACGGCAGCCCTGGACAAGACTCCCCCGCAATGTGGGAGTTCCGATGGTCCGATGCCCGGGATGGTGGCATTATACACGGCCCATACGACGGGCCTACGATGGAGTCCTGGAGGAACGCAGGGTACTTTGGAGAAGGGGTCGAGTTTCGCCGAACAACCGACGACAGTCAGTGGAACAGCACAGCTACCTTCGTATGAGGCTGGCTCAATCAGTATCCATGTCATGAGGCGAATATTGTAACTGTAAATTAGCACTGTCGGATACCCGGGTTCTTGGGAATATTAATTTCATCATTATCATTCGAGCCTAAGCTCACTTTTGACTAAAATCTGACCCGAAAATAAAGTGCCCATACATCTTACTTCTGAAAATGCGCCAGCGATATCATACACCAAGCATTTGATGAAAAACAATAAACAGAGATAGTCAAGTAGCTGGGGAGTTGGGTAGCTGAAGCTTCACCATTCCGATTGCATCTGCGACCTCTAATCACTGAAAAGCAGATCCGTACATGACCGTCTTTGCATAACTCCGAGAACTTCCTTATGAAACCAACTCTATGACAGTTCCATGGCATCGCCGTTCGTGGTAGCTGTGAAGCTCACTGCACCCTGGTCGCCGATGAATCGCTGCTCATAGGCATTGACAAATTTCACGCTACGAGCAGGGTCGTAGAACAGGCGGTAGCTGCGCTGAACGTCATCAATGCTCACTTCTTTGGCCTTGCGCTTTTGACTGAGCAAGTGAGATGTAGTGATGATGTTGCTCGCGTAGCGCAGATTCGATTCCTGGCCAATCTTCGTCAGAAGCGCCAAGGCATCGGGTGAAAGGTCGATCTCCTCTTCTTGCGCCCGGATTGCCAAGATCTGCCTGATCTCGTCGCCAGAGTAGGGCTGCGTGCTGACGATAACCACTCGGTCAAGGAAGTCCAGAGGCAATCCATGTGGAGAGCTATAGGTGGTTCCGCGGATCCGAGAGTGGCCACGGTTGCTGGCCATTATAACAATAGGAGCCAGCTCCGCCTCCAGAGCCCGGTTGATGTATGAGAAACATTCAATATCCAGCATGTGTACCTCATCAATGAACAGAACACCGGGAATGATCTCGGCCTTGCCTTCTTCCTTCCACTCAGCCACCTTGGTGTTGATCTGATCCCTGACCTCACTCCGGATCTCGCCCGTGTCACCCGAGAAGAGAGCCAAGAAGCCCTGTGACCGCGAGTTGATGACATCAATCTCGTGCAGGCTAACAGTATGTACGATCTCCTTGCGAACCTGGAGCTCACCCTCAGGACATTGCACAAATTTCGTGTCGGCGCCCATGGCATCATAATCCCGGGAGCGCGCGTAAGAGCGTCCTAGCTTAGTGATCTTGCCGGACGACTTGTCGATCGAGATGATGTCTCCTGCCATCACTCTCTCCTTAGTCATCGAATCGATCATCTTCGTTCCCATGTCATAAATCGTCTCCATATCCGTCGTCTTAATTGTGAGCTTTCCTTGTTTGTTTCCCTGGAAAAGTCAGTATCAGCATGTTGCGCAAAGCGTGTGGTTGAGATGAGGACGGCGTGTTTCGGGTGAAGTCCTGTATCAGGTTTGTGTGAGGTCTACTTACACCGGTGACACTTCTGTCGATCTGAATTTCCACAACTTCACCTTCAATGATTTCACTTTCCTCCTTGATGCGAACTCCGATAGACTTCCGGAAAGCTTGTGTGAGTGCCTCAGTCTTGGACATCTCCATCGAGAAGATCTCGGAAGACGCAAGCATGGTGAAAGGGACATCGGACCCAAGAGACTGAGCCATACCCATGGCGATTGCTGTTTTACCCGTGCTAGGAGGTCCTGCGATCAACACAGCACGACCGGCAATCTTCCCTTCCTTCACCATCTGCAAAATGACAGCGGCGGCCTTCCGCGCCTTCTCCTGTCCAACCAAGCCCTGGGAGGAGGTTCTGGGCTGCAAAGAGTCGACATCAACACCGAGGCCTCGGATATGCGAATGGGCAGCGATGAGATTGAGGCCCCGGAGCTCCTTGGTCTCCGCAACGGTAGAAATTGGCTATCGGGAGTCAGCAATGGGGGAGAAACCCAAAATCAAATGGTGGGAGGTCAACTGACAGCAGCCATCGCAACTACTTGCAGACTCAGGTATCTTCTTTTGAACGAGGAACAAGTGAGTAGCAAGTCAATTTGAGGTACCAGCCAAACTGGTCTGCAGGCGTCGCGGAACTGCAGACTGAATGAGAAGAGCTGCGCAGGGCAGAATCGGCCAAGCCCAACGGATACCGCCTGCACCACCGCCTGGCAGAAATGCTGACCGCGCCGGTAGTCCAGGCCTGAGCGTTTTGGCCGCGAAGCGATAGCAGATTAAGTGAATGATGGGCCTGGTCGGACCTCACCCCAAGTATTCACTGGGTCAGTCACGACTGCTTCACGTGTCGTTCCCACTGCTCGTTGCCCCGCTTTGTTGTTGTTTTGTTTATCGCATCCATGACAGCTGATACAAGCAACGCAGCAGGATCCATGATTGTAAGCAAATTACCTACTTTGTAAACTGTCTTGCTTTCCGTCCATATACCTTCCCCTAACCGCCGAATGTGCTTAATGATCGCTCTTTCCACTTCATGTGTAAATCGACATGACCTCAATTGTTTGAACGCCCTCAATTAACTGCTCTCACTTGGCAGGTCTTCCAGACTTCGACAGCTTGCGATGGACTCAGAGACGTCATCTTCTCGCGACCCCCGTCTGGCTCGCCATTTCAGACCAACGCTTGCCCGCACATCATCTGAGTCTCACCTACGAGTCGGTGCACAGCAGTCAAGCACCTCTTCTCCCATTGAAAGGAGTATCTCCAGTTCTGATCAATTGATCCGCGGTGTCTCCGACTTAGTGCAAGCTGCATACTTAGTTGCCAATGGTCAGGTAGAGAGAGAACGGCTACAAAAGAAAAAGGAGGCCACCGCGACATTATGTACGAAGGCCAAAGGCTACACAAGCTTCCCCTCAACCGTAGCCTTCTTCCAAAAGTCTCAGGCAGATGAGGATGCAGAGCTTACACGTGTGGACGAGGTCCTGAAAAAGCATGCTGCCAACTATAAGCAGCTGGAAAATGCTTTGCGGCTCACACTCACCGCGTCCATCTTCGACACCAGCAAGTCTGATCAGATAACTAACCTACAGCGCGATGTCCAGGCCACAAAGAGCGAACTGGGCAGCGCCAGAACTGAGATTACCAAGTTGCGTGACCATAACATGGCCTTGGAGCACGAAGTGCAAGAGCTTCAAGAGCGCATGTCTCGGACGGAGAGAACTTTCTCGGATCATACGAGCACTTTGAAAAGGCATGCAAAGACAAATCAGGATACGGGTGAGCGCGTTGCGGTACTCAACAGCGAAGTGGATAAGAGCTTGAAATCTCTGGTTCACAAAGACCAGGTGGACAAATTGGAATGCGTGATCTCTGGTATGCACAGTAAACTCGAGTCCGTACAAATCCAAAACAGCCGCAACATAGAAGAGTATCAGGACTTGTTGGACAATATGCGTCAAGACAGTGACGTCAAGTTCGACCGCTTACTCGCAGACCAACTGACACATTATGATTCTCGTTTGAATGTAGTGGAGAACAAGCTTGCGCAGGCTCAAGCTCCTGCTAAGAGCACTGGCTTTGATTTCGCTGTTCGATCTGAACAGGCCGAGTTGAAAACCCAGCTCCACAACGTTATCCAGCAGATGGACAAACTTCAATCATTACAGGCTATGAAAGATGATCTACAAATGTCCGAAATGGAAGAGCTCAAGAGTCAATTGGAACAAACTAGCAAAGACTTTGCCGCACTCAAAAACGATTATAGCCAACTCAGTGAAACGCTTAAGACTGTTCTCAACCGAGACAGCCCAAGCGCACATGAACAAGTTGCAGCACTGGAGACAAAGATACAAACTACACAGAGGAATATGGAGAGTGTTCACGTCGGTCTACATTCACTTGGGACACGCTACAACCACCTTTCAACGGGTCCTCTTGTTAAAAGTATGACGCAAGTCATGCAAGAAATGTACCCCAGCGCAGCACAGATGTTCGATAAGGTGAATGTGTTTACAGCTCGTTTTGAGCATCGTTTAACCCAACTGGATGAGAAGCTGGGGAGTTTGGAGCAAGGCCTCGTCGCCCAATCAGGCAATATGGTGACAGTACAGAACCAAGTAGTTCCGCAGATTGAGAACTTGAATAATCAAGTTAAGGTTGTGTCACAGTCGCTGATGCTTATCAAGAATCCATCCAATGGACAGATTTCAAGCACAGCAATCTCGGCAGATCAGCTCACAGAAGTCCGAAATGAAGTCAAAGAGCTTGCGTCGACAATAAACAACTATATTGACTCAAGGAAGACAGATGATGAAGCATTGCTTCAAAATATGGCCGAAGAAAGAGATGCCCTAAAAGCCCAAATCCAGGTTTTGACCGATGAGCTTGCGGGTCTAAGCGCACGTGTCACTCAACTCAGTGAAACCACCAGAGCTGATATGAAAAAGGTCCAGTCTTATGTTCGGGACTTTCAGCGTCAGGGATATGATATTCGCCAGATTGAGGCTACGCTCAACAAATGGGAAGATATGGCTGAAAGAATTGAGAAACGTGAAGAGTCTAGGAACCCAACCGTAACTACTTCAAAAGCATTTGATAACGACAACGTACCTCAGCCCCGATTACCTGTCGCACCAACTTTATCGCGAGGCTCTGACAACTCAGGAAATTCGGCGCAAAAAAAGAAGCGACCTCGAATATCAGCAGTTTCTGACTGTGAAAGAGGAAGCCAGTCACGCGCCAGCTCACTTGCCTCTTTCTCATCGCAGGGTGTGCTAGAGTCAACACCGAACCCTGACGGTCAGAACGCACCCAAAAAGCCCAAGAAGAAACGCAAGAGACTGACCGAGGAACCTATTGTCCTGGACTAAATCTCAGAAGCCAAGCAATGCTTTACTATCATGGTCCGAGGACAGCTATCAGCTCGTTAGCATATGATGAATCTCATGAACGCAGCCTCGACCAGAAATTTTGATTTTCGCTGGATACCTCTCGGGTTTGATTCTCTCTTTATTATCATTTTTTGTTATTTACTTCCCTTCCTCGTTTCGTGTTTTGGTTTCTCCCTAAAAGCCAAGCTCATTCCCTTTCTTCTGTATCTATTCTTAGGTCCCGGTCGAGCAAGACTCTGGGCTGTTCTATCTAATGTTGACACAATGCACAGTACGAAGGCAACGGATGTTTGTACAGCACATGCGCATTGACTTTCCCCCAGACTACTCTTGCTCGGGCTTTCCTTTAACATGGTAAACAGGATTGATATAAAGAATAAATCCTACCTGTACTCTAGAAGAAACGAGTGTTACATTCTTCTAGTCAGTATGATTGCGTCTAACATCATGATCGTTGCAAACGAGACTCAACTGATCAATGTGTGGATATATATCTGCGAGCCCGCCTGCTACCTTCTATAGACCAGTAAGTAAGTTATACGTTCTTTTGTACTTAGTAACCACAGGTCGGCCAGTCAGAGAATAAATAACACTTATTCACTATAACACTCCAGATGGTCTGAAAACTAGTGTTACGAGTATTAGATCTGTTCGTCCCTATAGTTAGTTGCAATATGCATGTATGACGCACGGCAATGCCAGTTGGCGATAAACATACTTTACCCGTGCATTCCTCACCCCACACACCCCACGCTGACTAACGAGCACCCCACGTTTTCCCCTCAGCAGTGACCAGCAGCAGTGAGCACAGAACGACCTGCAGCATCTCAATGTCACCAAACTTAATGACTAGGCAGCACCAAACTAGCTTCTTAACTTGATCAAGATGATATGCAATCCACCTGCTACGCGATACAATATATTTGAGTCGCGTCTTCAGAGACAGGATGTTCTTCAAAGTCTCAAATTATATTTGCGGCCTGGAATAGAGCAGAGGTTGAGGATATTTCCGGCGGAAGATTCCATAGCCGCCGGCAAGCAGTGGTAGACCAGACCGGTGGTTGTGTTTGTCCTACCTACCGTACCTACGCAAGGTAGCACCGGGGCACTGTAGTTCAGCCGATCACCATCATATACCTCCCACAACAATCATAGTAACAAATCAAACCATAACCACCAAAGGGGGTAAAACAAAAAGCACCATCCAGCATCATGCAATCAAAATGAACCCCGGCGATTCATTTTCCAAATCACTTAGGAAAAGGTTCAACAAGATCAGAACAAATCGACCCGGAACCACTCCCGAGTCGAATTCCCGAACCAAGACCAGCCGCTCACACATTAAACCGGGACGCTCTAGTCGGGCAGCCGGTCCGGCGCTAGGGCCATGTAAGCGTGGCCTGAGTTGAGAAACATGCAATGTGCAATCACCCACTTCTTTCGCTTTGCCGATGGTGGTTTGATATCGGTTGAGGCCAGCGGGAACGGAGCTCTAGAGGGAGGGATGTTTCCGGCAATCAAGTGAAGTAAACTAAAAGCCTTGTTCAAGGTTGTCACTTCCTTTTTACCTATAATGCTGTAAGCGTCCGGGATAAAGTCTTTACACCCTCGCTTCTGTCCTGCTTTTTTCTCGCCGTCTCTCCCCTTGGTTTCATTTATCCGTTGGCGCACGTGTATATCGTTGATCTATGGATAGCTACAAGAGCTCGAATTTTTTCTTCTACTTGTTCATGACATTTCAAGAGGGTGACCTGCTTCTATTTGTGATGCCTCGAGTTGCATCCGTTCCTCATTTATTGCCAGTCTATTCTCTATATACAAAGTTCGCCCATTCTGCAATCACAGAGACTGACCTTAATGGCCGGGTCTATATCTAACTTCTAACTTCTATATTCTAGCTTCTAGCGCTCTATGCTACTGTTACCAATTCATGTCGACATTCGAATGCGATATAACCCAAGAATGATTGAGGCGCCTACTCCTCGAGGGACGGACGCCAGGATCGTCCTTGCCAGTGAACGAGAGCCGTGGGAATGAAACTAACGCCCATGATGAGGGCGGCGCATACTCCGGCACTGGCAGCGACTCCAACAGATTCGAACATGGACGGAAACCTAGACATCCGTGATTAGTATCTGCGAACAATGACTGGGAAAGTGCGACTTACCAGAATGGACCCAAAAAGCCCCAGATCTGACGAACGAACGTGATGAATACTCCAATGCTGGCCGCCTCCGTGTGATAACAGTCTACGGCATATGTGATGAGAACGGTGGTTACAATCTGGTTGCCGCCGGCACAGATGGCAATGCCAATGATAGGACGGATGTTCCAGTGGCCTTCCGTGGACTGTTCAGTACAGACCAGGAAAACAACAAGGCCCACAATTGAGCACAGAAATCCGATGTAACTGAGCCAAAGCCGATGCTCGGGCTGGGGCTTGCGATGGATCTGCTTTTCGCGCAGTCTCATCCAGCGATCGGACAAAAGACCGCCTAGCTGTTCGCCTATGAGAGAGCCAACGATGGGACCAAGGAATTGGAGACCCAGCTGTTCGGCGTTCAGTTCAAATTTACTCTGCAACAGGGCCGGAACTTCGACTGTGGTCAAGACGTTGCTCAAGCAAAAGACCATGGCGTACGCGGCAGCTGGAATCGCGACACAAGGGTACGTGAATATGCCCAGTGGTCTGATGAAATCCCATGGCGACAAAGGTGTGGGATCAATTCGTCGCAGCTGAAGATATTCTCGCACCCAGGCGGGCTTACTTGTGTCATAGTCACCCCCAACGTACCGAGTTTCGGGCCCGAAGAACAGATATAGGACAAACTGGCCTCCGTTGATCTATGTGATGCGAAACCGAATCTGTCAGCTATCCACCAATCGCTTCGATGAAGTTTCCAAGATCTTGAGGGGGACCTACTATGGCCAAGATCCAGTAGATCCATTGATAGCCCAACCGATACGTAACGAAACCGAAGATGAAAGGTCCGCTCGGAATTCCCAAAGTGAGCAACAGGGTCCAGACTCCCATATACCGGGCGCGGTCCTTCTTGAATGTTGTCTCCATTACTACGGCACTTCCAATAGCTTCCGAGGTTGTCAGCTAATCCACTTTCGCTCGCAACAGGAACAGCAATGGTGATGCTTACCGGACGCTGGGGAGATAAAAAATGCCTGCAAGGCACGACAAACTGCAAGAGACGAATAACTTGTGCTTTCAGCACACCCTATATTGCAGATGAGACTGCAGATCAAGGACAACAAGAATACTGGACGACGGCCCCATCTATTGGACAGAGGCTTCCAGATTAATGGTGCTACGCCCAGTACTGCAATCTGGATGGAAGTCATGTAACTCGCATCGTTGATAGATACGCCATATTCCGTTGCAATCCTGGAAGCAATTTAGTAACCCAGCTGTGCTTTGACCACCGTGACACTTACGTCTCATAAGCGGGGATGATGCCTGCAGCAGCAAAAGTTCCCATGCACGCGTGAAACGCAACCAAGAGAAGGTTGACTATTTTCTAAGGAGCAATAAGTATTATCAGCCAAAGAGATCCCTCATAATCAGACGACCTGTGTAGCAAGTTAACTGCTCAGAGGCGCTAACCTTCCAAGAGGGCCAGTTATAAGGGTCTGCGGGATCCATGCTAGGCATGGGGTCGAGTTCCAAAGTGCCATGGCGCTCAAGCAGATAGTCACGATGAGCCTTGGAAAGGCGAGATGCTGCAATATCGGCGTACGTTGAAGGGATGCCCGACTCAGTGCTTTCGACAAAGTCAATATCCTCTTTGGCGGGGGTCTGAGGGTCAACAGCCGTGCGAGACGGTTGCATCACGAGTGAGCGGGTCATCTCGACGAAAATGACCCTGTATCCAGGGCAAGAAAGAGCAAGGGATTGCCGGTTTGGTGTCACAGAGCACCTGTCACTGAAATCCCGACAATTCTCTTAGTTAGGTGGACAGCAAGTGATGAATGGCAAAACGAACGAGACGGCGAAATGCTGAGGCTTGCAAGAGATAAGCCAGAATGTCCAAGGGTTATGTGAGATGGTTCACGTGGTTCCTGTCAGAGGAAAGAAAACAGGGCGAGGCTCCACGCTGTCTGGGGGCTTCGACGTATCGCCGGTGTCTGTGAATCTCCTCCCCGGGGCAAAGCCAACCGAATGACGAGTCCCGCTTGCTGCTGGGGCAAGTTATGGGGGTTATGCGGAGGAGATTCCACAAAATTGCGAATTGCGGTAACGACAATGGGCAACTCGGTCTATCATTTTGGACAGTGCGGTATAGCTCATTGGCCGGACTGAACCAATGGATTTGCTATCAAGTCGAAAAACATAACCGAGGGCCCGAGTCCGGGTTTTCCGGAGAACGCCAACCCCATTTCTCAAGGCCTTCCCAGCAAGGGACCCATTAGGTCATACCGTGACGGGATAAGTTCTTTGGAGTGGATGCCGACTTGATATTGGAGAAGTCATGGCAAATGTGTTAGTTTGCCTTCTGGACTCGGCTATTCTTTCTTTGGTTCGTCCTTCGTTTTCACCGTGGATACTCCGCATTCTGGCCCATCTAGCTGCGAATCGGAGTCAGGTTTAGGCGCATATGCCTGTATGACTATGATGATGGTGGTGGTGGCGGACAGGTCGATCGAAGCGAACCCGGTAGGTAGAGTGCCTACTGTACTCCGTACTGTACCTATCTTAGGAATTGTGGGGTGTGGTACCTGCCAGGTCCTCCGGAGAAGAACTCCACGCACCCATGCAGTAGCTCGACAGCCTGTATGTAAGGGGGCCTTCTCAACTCTGAATACTAATAACTTCCTCAAGATAGTGCAGATTCGCAACCAGTGATCAAATTAGTAATGACGAGGAGTCATGTGAACGAACTTATCGCTTGAGATGGAGAAGAGAGAATGAGATGTATGGAGAAGGCAATCTGGAATCTGGAGTTAGCCGATTACTAGTCCGTACCATCCTTCCCATCGGTAAGTGATAACGGGATTGTTTCTTAGGCAGAAAAGTCGGGGTCTGTAGCATGACAGTGGTATACAGTACGGTATGATACGGTATATCTCCACGTGCCTTCTGCAGATTGCTGATTGCCACTTCTGTGAGTTTTGTTCCTAACTTGCTCCAGCTCTTTCTGCCCCACACTTTTTCTTCGACCCTTCGAAACAACTACCAAAATCACTCTGCATTGACCTTTTCCTCTCCCCGATCGATTATCCTTCTATTCTCGCTCAAGGCTGGCTCCTTCGACTGGTTAATTGTTGCTGCCTGATCAATCGTGGGTGCAGGTGTAATACAAGATAACATTGACTTGGGTTGCGCGACCTTGGCTGCTCCCAAGCAATTTGTTCCACATTCCTCAGACACCATGCCACAAAACACATCCACATCCACATCCTCGCCTACTGCCACCACACCCACATCCAAGACCTTGGTCTGTCGCGTATGTGAGAAGGGCTTTTCCAAGGCTGAGCATCTGAGGGTAATGCCTCCCTAGACTTTCGTACACCAAGTTATTTTCTGTAGTGAAGTGAACATAGCTAATTCTAGTATGTAGAGACATGAACGCTGTCGTAAGCACCCTTGATCCAACTTGCATTGACACACATTGTGTGATTTCATGAGTCGACCTCTGCATCATGCTCAATAGCCACACCGACTAGTGCTTATCTTCTTTAGCGTGTGCTAATGTCTCTGTTTTCGCGAAGATACGGGATCGAAGCCTTTTGTCTGCAAAGAATGCCGGCGTCCTTTTGCACGCCAAGATGCTCTTACTCGACATGAAAAGCTACATGTCCGTGCTGCGAATACCAAGCAGGCTCAAGCAAATCAATCCGCCGTACATGTGCCTTCGCAGGCGCCGCCTCTAGATACTCTTGCTTGGGACACTACTCGAGCCACTGCGCCGGAAGTGGCATCTACGTCGACATCCAACAATACTTGGGAGACGTCGCAGGCCGAACAACATTCTGGTCTGCAACATGCTGGCTCCGACCTTGACTTTACATTAATATGGCCCGACTCCGAGAATTTGTTTCAAAGCATCATGGCATGTGATACGACTGACCAGTGGCAGATGCCACTCGGGGCTCTGCCTTTTCCACCTGTGGTGCAAGATGTGAATGGAATGAATTTTGGCTCACCAAATTCCTTCGATGACAGGGGCGCATCGATAGGCGCCATCCCGTCAGGCGGTAGCCACCAGGCCGTGCGAGATGTCACTGAGATGGTTACAAGCTCGGTGAGAACATCCGAGCCCTTTCGTTCACGAACATCTAATTGATTTTAACTCTGAATGATAGTCGTCGAGCGTGACAGCAGCGATCAAAGCAACCTCGATAACCTCGGTCTTCCTTGACGAATGCCTTCACATGTTCTTTGTGCGCTTCATACCTACTTTCCCCATTTTGCATCGAGCAACTTTCGTTTTCCGTGAATGCACCCATCCTCTGCTCCTCAACGCCATGGCGCTTGGGTCCCTTTACCTAGGCCCTAAAGACTCTGTCTCTAAAGGAGAGGCGTTATGGCGCCTAGCACATACGGCAATTGCTACTTCTGTAAGCCGTGCTGTTTCTGTACGAAAGAAATTATGCTTACGAGGTTCTAGTGGCAGTCTTTGATCACACATCGTGGACCGTACGATGCTTGCAAAGGAGTCCAGCTCCTTCTGACGGCCCTCTTGGGACAAATATATGGCGCCCTGTCTAAGGTATGTAGCCACACTGGCTCTGGGGTGGTATATATAATTGATTATTTGTTGCCAGAATCGACAAATCCGCACCACAAGCCAGGTCTTTCGCCCCCTCGGTTTCTTCTGGGCAAGACATTGCGGGATGCTAGATTGCGAACCCTTCCCCATGGAAAGCGTGCCTTTCCCCAGCGCTTCTATTAGTGAGAAGGAAAACAGGTGGCGAACTTGGGTGGCAAGGGAAATACAACAACGTGCATTACTTGCTTACCACATTCTAGACGGTCTCGTCGCGCAGATGTCTGGAGATGGTGCTTCCACACGGCACGTTGCCAACCCACTAATTCTTCCGAGCAGCGAAGCTGCATTCGATGCCGGTAATGTCGATGAGTGGATCACTACAATGCGTTCTCAACGGTCCGAGCAGCCTTCATTTCGACTCGTCTTCCGTTCCCTCTTCCCTCCAATTGGCAGTTTCCGTCCATTAGACTATCAATTCTCCGCTTTCGCTCTACGGGTGGTTCTTGAGGGGCTGCAATCTTTAGTTTCTGATTCCGATGAGAGCGACTTAGCGGCTGTCGGTGTTCCTGGCCGCTCCGACGTCCGGAGGGCGCTGGCCCAAGTGCATGAGACCATTACCATGAGCATTCATCTTTCAGCCCCGGAAAGACTTGAGGTCCTCCTCCGTTGGCATACGATCTGCCTGGACACCATGATAAATTCCACCATTCTCTGCAGACATGTTTGCTCTCGTTACGATATCACGCAGCATGTCTCTGGCGGTTCTCGGACGATTAGGCCGGGATTTGATATGGTTAAGTGGGTCAATACTGAAGATGCTCGTCGCGCATTGCTGCATGCCATCGCGATTCAGGATATTGTCGAGCAACTACCTAGGGGGCGTGCTCATGTTATCCACATGCCAAGCTCTCTGTTCTCCGCAACGACGATTTACGTTGTGTTCTCACTCGCCGGGGTAACCAACATCCACCTTCCACGTACTGTTGTCTGGCAAGATGCACTACTTTCCCGGGCTGATCTGAACATTGGCTCCGATACTATTCGCTCCTCGACCGGATCGGAGACTCGTCGCTTCGTTGAAGAGGGCCGCACCGACTCTCCACCAGGAATGGGCGCCGTGCGCAATTTACTGTATGAAATGAATTCATTACAGAAATTATTTCGCTGCTTGTTCTCTCAGTGGGGTATTGCCCATGATATGGAGGAAATCATCGATCAATGGATCACCCTTTGCCACTGAATGGCATTGGTGTATGCACCTATGCCTTTTCGGGCATCTGCTCAGCTTTCAAATCTCGATGCAGATGAGCTGCTGGGCGTGGGTCAACACCAATTACAACCGCAGACAATAACCACTACCACAGCCATCAATCTCCGGACTAGCCGCACGATTTAAACCCCGCTTTTCTGGAGAAGCTGGACGTGCCAAGGCCGAATACGCTCAATGCAGTCCATCTACTTGATGGTCCCGCCACGTTATCGCTTCCAAAGCCTCCCCTGGTATGTTCCGGTCATATGGCTTCACCTGGCCAAGCTTCCACAAAAGCCTGAGATCGAAAGCCACCAAATCATCGAGACTTGGGACGACGCTGCCGAGTTGAAGACTTAGTATTAGCTGCAACGCAGCCCTTTCATATTTTACGTTCCACTATCGAGGTTCGAATTTCTCTCGGCTTGTACTGCACTCCCTCATGATGTGTCCTAGTCAAGTCTATGGGCCTCGCAAAAGGCGGGGAGATCAGCATGGACTGAACCCTTGCTAGTCATCTCAAGAAACAGTTGTGCTACGCTACTTATGTCTGTCTTGGGATTCTTGGGTTCTATGGCTGATAGGTGCATCTATCGGTTTCGCTAATTATCACTGTCGCCTGAACCGTCCCGGTTCCTCTTGAGAGCTCCCAGGAGTTAGTCCAGCGGGAGACTTTGTGGTCTGCGCACATCATGTACTGTACACGAATGCTCGGGCATGCCGTCTTCCTTCTTCGAGCCACACTTGAGTCCCCATGAGTCAGTTTCGTGCGATTGGTCTGGTCTTCGGTTGCTTCGTGGGCTATATACCAAGGCCCAGAATATCAGACCTGGCCAACGAGTCACCTAGAAATCCAGCACTCGACAACAATGGCGCCGATGTCGTATCCCGTTTGTCTGATGATCATCATCTACGCCCTGACCCTGGCGCCTGTGGCGTGGGTATACGCGGCGGAGCTCTGGTCTCTGGTGACGCGTGCCTCGGGAATGCTTTGTAGAATTTGTTCCATCCTCCATTATATACCGATCTTCTCTCTTTGCGTGCTTCTGCGACAAATACAGCGGTTGCTCCTCCACGAAGTCCATTGCAGCACCGAGCAAAACTGGCTTTTCGACGCCGTGCTGGGGATGTTTGCGCCCTGGGGTTTCCCGAACATCAAATGGAAGCCATTCATCGTCTTTGACGTTCTCTGTGTCGGGGCCGCCCGTGCAGATCTTTTCCACGTAAGCCACCCTTCGCATCGCTTGCTTACTTCCTTACCCGGTTTTGTCAAAAGCATTGGGGAATAGCACCTTTACGTTCGTCTGGCACGCGGCAGAGAGTAAAACTTCACATGCAAATATCCTGAGACATGCGGCAAGACTCGAGAAAGTGGAGAAGATGCTCAGCAAAGATGGTCCCTGACCATGGCACACCAAGCCGAGACATTCGAAGCTGAACGGCATGAGCGAGCAGGCCCGCGAAGAATCTTCACGTCGGTGGAGTCTAGGACCCGTGCGACCATGGGATGTTGTTCTCGCCACTCGAACTACAAGCAGCCTCGGAAAATTACGAGTCAACTCATGGAAGAGATTCTGAATTTCAAGTCAAGTCGAATCGGACCATATCCTATTACTTCATTCTGATCAATCAATGCGATGAGTATGCATGCTATGCTATATATGCAACTGGAAATCAACAACCACAATGCCAAATTTTGAACCAAGTCTCGAAAAGAAAAGCATTAAAGACAACCGTAAGCGACGCAGAACAATGCTCAAGCTGCAAGGAAATGGGTATCTCTAGGCAATTTGATGCTCATGAGAACAAGTGAAAGGTAAGAACGATGAACAAAGCGAAAAGACCAGAACATAGCATCAAAAATAGAGAGCCACCCATATGGAGAACGCACAATAAGAAAGGCAAGAGGAAAATCAAGCGTGCTGAAACGTTGAGAAGCAAGCAAGACAAATCAAGGTCAGGTATAAACATCAAAATGAACCTCATATCACTCAGTCATCATGTAGGTATATGTATGTACGATATCGTATATATGTATCGACCCGTTGATCGATATTAGTTCGTGGCTGCACGTTCGGCGGCAGAGGCCTTGTCGATGCGCAACAACGCTCTGGCGACAGACATGCCAACGTCCTTGAAGAGATCATTGATGATCGACTCGCACGCTCCCGGGAAGCCCGGGGGCTTAGTCTCCTGTCGTTGCATACCGGGGGAGAGTCGGTCAATGATCTTGCCAAAGGTGAGTTCGATACAATCTTCGATCATTTTCATCTTGTGGCGGAACACAAATAGGGACTTATCCACGGATCCACCGAGGGAGGCGTTCAGGGCGGCGGCATTGCTATCGGGATACGAACGGAGACGTTGAGCGGGACGGTCACGGAGGCCCTCATCGTCAGCATCCCGATGTCTCTTGAGCGGGTTGTAGGCCAGAGAGGACTGGTGAAGTGCCAAAGATGATGACCGCGGGGCCATTCCCTGGGAGGAGGAATTGGTTCTCTCCTCCGCCATACGCTGGGCCGCGGTTTGGCCGAACCGGTCCCCGATTCCCAGGAGTGACCGGTGCGTCTGTTGTGGAGTGGTGTCTCGGCTCAATGGCCGGGCGAAAGCTGCGAACACATCACCTCGTGTCCGCACAGGGGCGGCGGCGACCTTGGCCTCCTCACCCCATATCGCCATCTGCTCCATCTCCTCCGGAGGCGGGAGACTCCGGAGCCAGGTGTAGACCCGGTTCATATTGACCACTATATCGTGTTCAGGAAGGTTGATCCGTGCGGCAGGCTGGGCCGCCGCCGCCGTCTCCTTGTGCACTGGTACAGCGACCGGAGCCACTGGCTTAGGGTTGGTCCGCGCTTCCTCGGCTGGGCAACGGTGCGGCGCAGCGTACTTGTCCCGGTCAATGTCGCTGATCCAGTGGTTGAGGAGCCCGAGCACTTCCTTGGGAATGTCGATGGTCGGATGCGGGCGACCTTGTCGAAAGGATTCGTAGTAAGCGGAGCGTTTGGCGACATAGGTGTAGATGCGACGCCGACAGGATTGCCAAGAATAGCGACGCCCCGTTCGCATTTCAAGTGTGTTGGCGATCTTGATCCAGAAACTCTTCGGGTAGGCGTGGGCATCGTAATCTTCCATGGAGGCAGCACATAACTTGACAAGGCATACTTGCTCGGGGATGGTAAGTTGTTTGCCGCGACCGGGATGGGTGGGTTCCATAGGCAGAATGGGTTTGTCGACGGAGGTAGATTGTGAGAGAGACTGAGAGGGAGACTCTTTCATAATCATGGCGGTTGCAGTGGCAGTGGCAGTGGCAGTGGCAGTCGCTGTTGTTGTGGTGGTGGTGATGGTGGTAGTGATAGGGAGAGTGATGGGGTCGGGCTTAATGGCGACCGACTGCGAGGGGTTGACTTGAGATTGCGGTGTGCTTCTTCCCCATAAGGAGTGATCGGGCCGCACGGGGTTCAGGAGCGTAGTTCCGGAACACTCCATTTTGTCGGAAGATTGACTGGTGAAACTTTCCCCTCAAAGCACACACATAGAGAATCCTCAAGTATTAATGGAGGGCAAAATAGCCCCTGATAGGGAGGAGAAGGGAAAGGGAAAGAAGAAGGAAGAGGGGGGAGGGATATGGGAGATGAGAGACAGGGAAAGGAAAAAATAAGGGAAAGGATCAGGAGATTTTGGCCGCCGCTACCCTAGTAGAGCAGCAGGTGAGAAATGAAATGAACTGAAATGAAATGAAATGAAATGAAATGAATAATGCCTGAAGCAAAAAAGCAAAAGCGAAAAGGCAAAAAGCAGAAAGGCAAAAGGCAGGCGTAGGCAAAGCAAAAGCCGAGCGGCGAAAACCGCGCCGCGTCCGCGTCAGCCCACGTGATCGGCGATCGGTCGGTCGGTCGAGATGTGGTGATTGAATAATATGGTTGGGTTGAAATCAACCGATCGCTTCTTTTCGTGTTCGTTTGGCCCTCACTTTCACTTCAGGTTTTCCTCCTTATTTTCTCTCTTCGGAGATGACGGGCACACAATACTCAATCTGAGGACAGCGTCTGTCTCTCTCAATTACTGTGAACCCAACGGCCTGACCGGTTGTGTTCCCTTCCCCTCCTCTTCCCCCCTCCTCATCCCCAGCTTCATGCATAAAGAGCCGTCCTACTCCGACTACATCCAGTCAGTCAGTTAGTCCAGTTACACATCATAGAACCTGTTTGGGACATCCCTCCATCCATCCATCCATCTATCCACTGTTGGCTTCTTTCTCATGCCTTGCCTCGCATCACAATCCCTCTTTCTCCACAAACCTCGGCTGCTCTACTCCGTACTCTCCAAGATGATCTCCCGCATTTAGTCTTTCCAGCACAGAATCGACCCCCGATCTGCATTCCATGGATCGTGGTTGGGCAATGCTGGCCACCTGTTCAGCCCGCTTCGTGGATTTCATTATTCCGGTAGCATACAAAGTGTTCAAAAATGCCTGGTCTGCCATCTATTGTCGTCATTTCAAATCCCAGCCATGCTAGTCGCCCATGGTTTGTCCTCCATCTCAGCGCGCCGAACCCCTACAGGTTTAGGGTCAATCCACTGGTGTAGGCTTTGACATGGTGGTACAAATCGAGCGTTGGAGACACTTTGAAAGCGTCCCATGCTTTTCCGGTCGCTGTCCCTAGGCATCCCGGACAGGTCGGGGTTCATATATGAACCACGTTTAGACCAGAGGCCGGCTCTAGACAGACCAAGGCGATCGGCTACACTTCCTACACTCTTGACGCAGCAAAGTCCCTCTCAGTAGCAACTTTTCCGTATCATATACCACTGGCATCAGCGAACAATTCTTCCCTCATTGAGCTCAGCATGCCTTCACGGCCCAAACCTAGTATGTTGGAGGTAGTGTCATCCGTAGCGCCTGTGCCAGGGACGCGAGGTCAGTTCACCGTCACAATCACCCGAGACTGGTGCACCCAACAGTATGTCTGTCCGACTGCGCGCGCGTGCGTCAAGCGTCTCAACCCAGGCCGAGATGAGTTGACCAGAACAGTTCTGTTTTGGGAGGGTTCTCCGCGGCGGTCATGCTGTCGGCTGGTCGCAAATTCCTCGATCAGGAGCTGGGCGCAGGCCGATATCCCGACCCAGTGCACGCCTTCGTGCAGTTCCTCCGTGGCGTTCAACCGGGTGAGTCGATTATCAGCTGCGGCGTCTTACGGACCTCGTCGCGACAATGCGTCGTCCGGGTCGAACTGAAACGTGCTACTCCGGAGGCTCCCTCGAGAAGCAGAGACCCTACCGCACCATCACCACCTCCGCCACCGCACATGGGCATCAACACCCTCGGCATCTTCACCTACGCCAATATCCCCCAAGAGCAAGGCCTCACCCAACACCCCCACTACCCCCGCTCAACCAACCCACCACCACCCTTTCCCAACCGCCAAACCGAATGCATCCGAATCGACGACCCCGTCGTCGACGCCACCCCGGTCACCCGCAAGATGAACTGGGTTGCGCCCCGCTCCGCCAGCGGACTCTGGGGCCATCGCCTAGGGGGCCACAACAGGGAGGTCTGGCTCTCCTTCCGCGATGGCAGTCGGTTCTCCGATATCGTGCACCTGGCATATCTATCCGACTTAGTCAGTATCCTTACCTGCCTCTTCCCTCGGAGAACCCGCAAGGGGGGGGGAACTCTATCTGAAGCAGAAAAATATTTAGCCTCTTCATCCGCCCGCGACCCATATCCCCGATTTCTACGCCAAGTACGCCATCTCCACCCTGTGTCTGTCGATCGAGTTCAAGAGCCGGCCCGCCCCGGCCACGGAATGGGTGCTGATCCGCTCCACTTCCAATCAAGTCGCGCGCGGTCGCTACGATGTGAGTTTGCAGATCTATGATGAGGCGGGCACCCTTCTTGCGTTGAGCCAGCATGTGGTGTTTACCGCGGGGTTGAGGCCCCCGCGGGTGAGTAGGCTGTAGGGCGTTTGATTCTGTTGGTTTGTGGTTCCGGGCGTAGGGTATATAGGGTGGACATGACGGCCCAGGGGTGAGCGAGGTAGCGGCAGAAGCTGGCGAGGAAGCTCTGCTGCTGGTTGAATCCGCGGTTAAGTATTTATCGTTGTCTACTAGCCATGCTGGTTTCGGGATTTGTAAGGGCCCTGGGCTGTGTTATAGCGATTACTCAGGCTGTAAGAATTGCGGCAACTTGTAGGTTACTTACGCTGTTCTGTTTGCAGACAAAATGATGAATTGTCATATATGTACGTGTGTACGACTCGTCACACGCAAACTCTCCAAGTCCAACAACATGCTCATCCTTGATCAATGCCATCCGGGCCTGCACAGATATTACTCTATCAGGCAAGTAGGGCTCAGGGCTCAGGGCTAGGGTTGCTGCCAAGTGCCAGAGGTGACCTTCATGATTTAATGCTACTGCAATGCTCTAAGCAGATCTCAAGATGGACTTCGAATCATGCATTAGCATCGATGCAGTCTGCGTGCTGATGGGATGTGTCTGAGTTTTCGATGCCCCGCGCGGCGGCATGTATCATCTAGGCCATGCTCGGATGCATAACAAGCGCCATATGATCTATCAAGTCCACGACAGTTGCCACGACGGCTGTAACCCAATCGTCCACTTAAAACATCCATTACTTGCAACATTCGCCACACAACAATCCTTACCTTCCATCAGAATAGCCCGCGATGTTTCAAGCGAAAGGAATAACACGAAACCCGGTATGTGGAATAGAAACACTAAATATCCGAAGAATATCGAAAACAATGTCCGCCAGTAGAATGTAAATGATTAAGAGCACATCATAGATAATCAAACGACATCCGCACTGAAATAAGAGCCGGTCGGGACCGAACCCAAGAGATGATCGAATGTCAGAGTATTCTCATGCAGCCGGTGTTGAATGTCGTCCATGGGATGGAGACTCGAGTGACCCAGACTGACACCGGCAGACGAGATATCATGACCGAAGCCAGATGAGATGACCGGCAAGTCAGGCACAACAGTCTTCCGGGCGCTGCTGTCCGATCGTGTATTGTGTCGATTGGACGCAAGAGCAGAGCTACTTGTTGGCGGTTCCACGATCATCACATCCTCGCCCTTCAGGTCCGGGGCTGCCGATTCAGAGCGCACTGTCTCGCTGGTCTCGCGCTTGAAATTCACCTTTTCGTCCTCGCCGCTGTCCTCCACGAAGATTGCCTGCACGAGCGAGTTACCATGGCGATTGATGCTGCTGCCGCCTTTTGCGGGCCTGGTTGGCGTCTTTTGCACAATGGTGCGGCCATCCTTGCGGACACGGGACGATGAGGCAGACTGGGTGACTTTGGTGATGCCATTGCGCGCTCCTCTGGGGGTTCTCGGTGTAGAGGAGCCGGATAACCCGCCGCGGCCCCGGGGGAGCTCCGTGATGCCTTTCGACTCTAGATCGCCTCGAAGCTCATCAGCCAGCTTGCGCCATTTGCGGAAACGGCCCTCGATTGAGTCGTAGGTGGCACCTTGCCCGAAGGCTGCAGCCATTGCGCTGTAGTCAAGCTGCACCAGTAGATTAGAACATTATCTTGAAGTTGATAGGGGGTTGCTGAGAGCAGATGGCGAGGGAGCATTGTACTTACCTTTAGGCCTGGATGTGCCACGATCAGCGATGCAAGAAGCCGGTCGGTCGACTCGGGAGCCTTCCAGTTCACCATCTTGTTAATAATAAGGTTGAAGAGAAACAGGTGAAGGAGAAAAGGGAGTAGCGGTGGTGTCAAATAAGTGATGAAGGACGGATGCAGGCAGAACAGTCGCAAGGTACAACACAAAAGAGTGTTAGGAACAGATGCTAGATAGTCAAAAACCCTGAGAACAGAAACCCAAGGACTTCGATGTTAGTGTATTTATTCACAGCCCAGAACCAGGAATCAGAGTGCCCCTCAACCAGATCAGACTGGTATTGCCAGAAATTCCCAGAGTTCAAGGAGTGGCCAGGAAAAGTCCCTCGAGATTGCACTGATAATCCTACTGTGACCAGAGACAAGGCTAGGTAGCGATCCTGGTTCGCTGGCGTCTTCTGTTCGCCGGGGGATGGGCGGATGAGGCAGGGGTTGTATGATGTTGTGTTGCAGCGTAAGACTTTCACAATTCGACCTGTAGATCTTAGTTGGCTGAAGATGGGTGATGAGAAACGCCAAAAGAGCCTAGAACAGGACGATGGCGTACTGTACCTTGGTGGATTTGATGTATACGAAACGATCAGTCGACTTGACCAGACGCAGGATGCCGGTCGGAGGAAAGGCTCCAGCTGCGGCTGCAGGCAAGTGGATTCCTGCAGCACGGCTGGGGAAAGAGAAGAGATTAGAGCAGGAACACGTCTCAATCACCCAAGTAACCAGGAAGTCAAGAGTCAGCGAAGACAGCGCCGATCACGATGCAAACAGTGGGGGCAGGATGTGACGAGGCCAGAGTTGTAAGAGTTACCTGGACCAGTTACAAGTCCGACGTACAGAAACAGGTCCCCGTCACTGGCAAGGCTGGCGAAATTCAGTCACGCCTACAGGTGAATACTCTTGATTTGAACACACTAAATAATTTCTGGTCGTTCGAAAACTCGCACCGCCCTCTCTTCTTTCTTCTGTTATACTTAAGATTCCCTCTAATCTTTTCCTCTTCACCTTAATCCTACTCTCTTGTTGTACATGTGTACACGGCATTCCTCAAAGCCTCCATTATCAAACTTCTGTGACATACACCACAACCATTATCTCCCATAATGCCTTCATCGACCAAGATGCGCTGGACTCCCGAAGCTGACCAGCTTGTATGCTCTCTCTGCTCGTTCTCTTTCTCTTATTCCTGTGGAAGACACTGACGAGGAGATACAGCTTCTGCTGAAGATCCTAGAAACACATAACCTCTCCGTGAACTCGAAGAAAGTGGCAGAAGCATGGCGTAAGTCCCCGAAAGCCAACATTTCCCCCTCCCTTCCTTCCTAGCTAATTATAACATCTTCCTCTATCCAGCCGTCGCCGAAGGCCAAGACGGCCCGACTCCTCGAGCCATCAGCGAGCGACTCGTCAAAATCCGTAACATGGCCGGGACGTCCTTCAGCATCAGCAAGGGCAACAAGAGTACCACCACACCCAACACCACCCCACGCAAGCCTCGCACCAAGAGCGTCCCCTCAACCCCCAGCTCAACCAAGCGCAAGCGAGAAGACACTGTCAAGGCAGAGCCTATCCCCACCGACTCCTTCATCAAGAGCGAGACAGAAGGGGCCAGCGGATCGTCATCTCCCCTCAAGATGGAGGTCGATGACACCACTCCCATCGACCTCGACACGATTTTGGAAACCCCGACCAAGAAAACTCCGCTCGCTCACGCAATGGGGGGTGCGGCCAACCAGCTGTCCCCTGGTTATACCCTGTACATGCCTCCCCGGGGTGCTGCAGTCCTGCAAGTCTCGCCGTCGAAGCGGGTGCGCAAGCCGGCTGCTCCGGCTCCAGGCATGATTAATTGGACTAGCTACGACGGAGACGAGCAAGAGGTTGAGATCGAGAGCTCGGCATCAGAGTACTATCCCGAGAATGAGATGGTTCAGATGCCTCGCAGTCGGGGGGTGAGTTATGTCTAACCTGGGATAAAGGATTGCCGGGTTTGTGGGTTCATTCCTAGATCCGGCTCAGAGATTGTGCTGTTGTGTCATCTTGCTACGTGTGTTTTTACTGAGACTGTGCGTACACCTGGAATCCCATTGTACTTTACCATACCGAGAATGAAATCGCAATGATCGCGACCACAGCTTGATCGTATTTCTCGAGCAGCACCGTATCCCAACCAAATACAAACACCAGACTAGATCATCGCTACCGCGAATAGTAGATCCCCTCTCATCTTCCAACGTGAACAGCAAACCAGCTTCGCACTCCCCATATGAAAGAGTCCTTGCCTGGCCTATTTATCCAAGCCTAGCGAGCAATATACAGGAATAACGAAGCCAGAGACTAGAGTAGCACTCACGCCTCGGTCATGAAGACGGTATCACCAACATATCCAGCTTCAGGCAGAGCAACCCCCTCCTCATACTCCTCCTCGACTTCCACACGCTGGTCTCCATCTTCCGCCTCTTCGGTTTTGACTCTCTTGGCGCGACCTTCCTTCTTCGGATCCATCGGAGTCTCAGCATCAACGCCATCTTCCTCCTTCACCTTGCGAGGTCTACCCCGCTTGCGCTTGGGCTCAGAAGTAGGGGTTCCCTCCGAAGTAGGATCGCAGGAGCCGTAGCCCTCGACCAGACGCAACGGGAGAGCAGGTCCAGTAAAAGCCCGCTCTTTGAGGACGCGGAGTCGGTGCTGGATAGCGTAGACGGTACATCCTAGGTTTGATGTCAGGAGGTACTAAGACTGCGGACTTGGGGGGTGGGTAGGGTTATAGAGCAAGGTTATGGGTACTCGAGATAGACATACCAGGACCCATGTACTGAGCAATCCGCAGATGGTCGAGCTTGACGTTTGTGGTCCTGAGGACGGCAAGAAGCAGCTTTGATGTTTACTTGTTAGTTGCGTGATCGAGTGAGGAAAGTGGGAGAAGGGCCATGTACCTTGGCATCTGCCGTATCATTCCACGCCATAGGCATTTTTGCAGTGGTTTCGGGTCTGGTTTGATGGGATGGTGTGTGATACGGGGTAAGATGATGTGATGTGCGCTTTTGGAGATGACTTGGTGTTTGTGTGTAAGAGAAGGTTTTGAGGAGGGAGAAAAAGTTTGGAGATAATAAGCAGATGAAAAAATAAATAGAAGAGAGTGAAGAGAAGGGAGTAAGAATTTCAGACTTAGGTTTTATTCACTCATCAGCCAAAAACCAGGAGAGACTACTGCCTAGCAAACACTTACCTGACACTGGTATTCTCAACCAGACACTGAGGGTGAGTGAGTACCACATGATACACCTTAGACACCCCATTAGTCGATCGTAGTCCTGGTTCTGCTGCTGTACCAAACAACTCAAGAGAAACTGTATCATGTACTGTGGAAGATTACAATAACCAATCTTTAATCTCTGGTGGTTTCTCCTCTAAGATGACCTACGCGCTGCAGAAGTGATAGAAGCTGAATGAATTTACATACAGATTGAATTTGCTAGCTAATACTAGCGCATTTGAGTACCGTCAATTATTAATTTCTCTTCACTATGTACCCATTCATGTCAAACTTCCCTCATAAGAAGCGCTGCAGGACCGCCTCAGCAAATGTGTAGCATGTTAGCGGAGGGATCTGATGGACGTCAGGAATAAACGCTGAATCCTCATACATAGGTGAGGCATATTGCTGTTGATATCTTGATAAGTTCTACTCATGGTCTTTCAGAGGAGGCGCTACGCTGCTAGTTAGGCTGTGACTGTATTTTCAGCATGAAAGACACTTTTATAGAAGCTTTCTGGACCGCCAAGTTCGACTCACAGCCTATCTCTAATTCTATGCTCTATATTTATACTGATGAGTCTCTCCATTTTAATGTGATATCTGTTGAGCCGATTCAAACCCCATGATGCAATCATTAATTGAAGTAGAAGTAAACCTTTGCATGTGTATGCACCAGCTCCAGGCTAAATAACATGCACAGGTTTTTGACCGTAGACTCCCACACTATGCAGGCAAGAAGAGGGCATTAGCCTAATGTATAACAAGGAGAATGATAAAACAAGAAACGGCCACTTACACTTCAAAATAAGCATGCATCTTCGGATCTCGAAGACCCTTGCGCATCTCGGCCAAGAAAACCTGTACCTCTGCGAACGTCCACTAATAATTTCGAGGTGTTTGTCAGCGTTCACTGTCTCGTATGGCTTTACAGCACCGTCAAAAAGACCAACTCATGTTTAGTTTATAATAAGAAAAACTCTAGCATGCATGCAGTATGCCATTACTGACCTTCATCACCCGTGTAAATAGCGCCATAGCCCAGCCCTCAAGACCATGCTCACAATGAACCAGGTTCCACATGCCCAGGCCTCTCAGTTCTTTGTCTTTGCTCCACGGACCCACGGGCAATTTGAATCGACGTTCGACCACGTTCTGGAAGCCAGCCTCCTGCATGTAGCCAGCAGCTAACTCAGAAATGCGAAAGGTCTTTCCCAGTCTCTCGCCAGCCTCATCGAAAGTTCTGGACCAGACTGCCAGAACATGGTCCTCTGTCAATGTCTTATCGTCTGATCGGAATTGTATGGACATCTCTAGTTGATCAAACCATCCTCCAGGACGCAGATGCCTGAAGATAGTACTTAGCGGTAGTGTCCAACGAACCGGTAGTGCGAGGTTATGGTAGGCTTACCTGAGAGCTTTGTGGTAGAATTGAGGCCAGTCTGCGATAGCTCCATATAGTGTACGGGTGTGAATCAAATCGAAGTGGTTCTCCGGATAGAGCCATTCCTCTGATGCATCTTCGATCACGAACTGTAGATTTGGGGGAACGAAGCTTGGCTGAATGGGCGATAAGTCCGTACCGATAACTTCGGCAGAAGGATACGTATCAGCAAAATCACTATCACAGCTACTGTTAGACCTCCCCATGTTAATAAAGCGGCCTCGTCACGTACATGGCCCAAATACCAGTCCCGGTGCCAATATCAAGTACCCGCTGGAAAATTTTTGACTCAACATGGGTCCTTGCCAAGAGCTGATGTACTTGGGACTAGGTCAACGTACTTGGATGCCGTCGGCAATCGGCGCGAGGTGTAACCTGCCACCCAGGAGTCGCTTAAACATGTGGTGACTGCCGCACAGTGTCAGTGTAGAGTAGAGACAAAGGTACCATGCTACTCACGCGAGATCTAGTTGTGTATTTTGCTTCTCATCATTTGGAGCCCTTCCAAGGAGTCAGATTCACACAAGGAATCGATTTACGTATAATAGCATTGTTCTCACCAGTAAGCCCCATCCTTGTAAGCATGATAGCGTCGACCATTTTCAAATCGATATGCCGTTATCTCAGAGTCCAATGATGTGGTATCGCTCGCTCTATTGAAGTAGAAACTCATCAGCCGCGTGCCTCGACGGTCCTTCAAGCAAGCAGCGGCTTACAACTCCTCCGCATAATCCGAGAAATCGTCATCAGGTCCCTGTCATGAGTAGAGGTAAGCATGGGCATGTGCTGGTAAGGATAGAAAGACACCCATTGCTGGAGATCAACCACTTACGGGATCGAAGATCTCTTCGCCATGGCCTTGTACCCGAGTGGTGGCCTGAGACATCGCATCTGGTACGGTAAGTGCAAACGGGTTGGGATGTCGTATAGAGTTCACGGCCGCATACACCTCGTGCATGGAGGGAGGCCATGTCATTGCTGAAGCTTGAAAGTAATGGTTGTGGAAGTAGGATAGATATACACAAGCCCAAAGTTTATCCTAGAGCCAGAGGAGCACTGATCAGCCTGCGAACTTGGGGTGAGCCCCATGTGGCGCTTTGTCCATCCCTTTATGTCATAGTTCACCCCTTGATAATTTCGCCATTGGTGTGATGCGGCTAGATATCTCCAGCCGGAAAAACTAGAGAAAGAGTCCGCTTCACTAACGTAGATGGTAAATGGTCCATTCGGGCGCAACTGGCCCCATAGACTCGGAGTAGCGAAAGTCCCGTGCGTCTAACTCCCCAAGTACGACCAAGTGGAGGATCGGTGAGTTCTCTGCTGGGTCCCACAATGGTTTGAACTTCAAACACCATGAAGCATTGTTACTACAGTATGCAATCTTGAATGTGGTTCGAATTGCTCTTAGCAGACATGGCTTCTGAGAACTAATGAAACGCAGGGATGATTATTAGATATGGATAGATGCAAGGCGCTTTCCGGGTGGGGTGTCCGCTGTTAGTCTCGTTGACCGGTGCTTTCACCGTAGTGGTACTTTTGTCCGGCTTCCTCGCTTGCCGGTCAAGTTGTGCTTTGATTCGGCGCGGAAAACATAAGTATCCACGGTTCTCCGCAGAAGATCTGGGCGATCATGTTCCAATTATGGCATGTACTACAACTCGAACCATCGACCATAGGACGTATTAGGTACAGTACTTTCAATGCATTGCCTTCTTCTTGCTTGGCAACCCTTTCGCGCGTATAAGCTGGCTTCCCGCACGCCATCACTTCCTTCCATGATATGACTTGTACATGTGTTGCTCTTACCCTAAGAGTCTTCCATGACAAATTCCAACGCGCGCGGCGTGCCCCAAGTATCGCAGGGCAAAAAGCGCCATGATCCGGCATGCTTTCCAGAAAAGAGGTAGTATACAAACCATGCAGACAGCGGTGGCATGGCAGGCCATTGGTTTCCTCCTTCGAAAGTAACGTCTCGAAGTCCGAGAACCATCGGAGGCACCACGTGCTGCAATCGACAACTGTCAGCTTCGTTCAAGTAGCATCGGAGAAAAGGTAGCCCACCTTGTCTTGTTTGCCTGCATCCGCCTCACATTCTCTGTAGACCTTCAGCAACGCGTCCCCGTCGTACGGCTCCATAGAAAGTAGACTGGTGATCTCATCGCTGAGATGCTGACGAAAACTGGGAGCCATTTTCTCAATCAACTGCCGAACTACAGTAGCCTGGTAGTCTGCAGGCTGAGTCTCGGTGCTGTACTCCAAGAGCTGCTTGAGTAGAGGCTGGAAGGAGTGGTGTTGTTCCACGTTGCTTTCGAGAAAGCTTGGTATGCCAATGACGCTCTCAAACCCTGGGAACATCTTTTCTTCTTCCAGAACGTGATGGTGTGAGACCCAGCCCGCCCACGCGTGTACAAAGAAGAGGAAATCTGATATATCCTGAGGATCGGAGATGTGCGGTGCCTGAAGGTAGATGCTGTTTAACCCCCGTAGCATACTATTGTGAGCGAAGGCCATCTCATTCGCAATGTACACAGCAGGATGCTCTGACTGCGGGAGCCCATCTAATTAGCAAGAAAGATGTGATTACAGAAAATAGTAGGAGAGACCTACGACATTCTGGGTCTTCGAGGGTGTTTCAATCAACGGCCAAGGTCCATCTGCCCAAGGACGCGTATACTTGGAAGTAGTGACCATAATGCGATCGAAAAGATGTCTGTTGTGTGCGGCATGCGAGCTTCGACCAAGGTCTAATGGCAGCGACACTTATAAGCATCATGAGGTAGATAAGCTGAAGTTTGAGACGAACGGACCCCTTAGCATGTGCTCTTTTGTGTAAGTTAGCGAGCCCTAGTGCTTAGTTACATCTCTTGTAAGTAAGCACTACGATCATCTAGTTCTGTAGACCCTTGCCAGTCACTTCCCGACGTGCTCAAGTCTTGCGCGGTTCAACCTAGACCGTCACAACGCAAGGCCGCCAGCGCTGAGAGTGCGAGCATCACGGGACTGCTGTGTGCTGACAAAAAACAGAGATTGAACATTCTCTAATACTCATGGCGTCTGGATTGATCCTCTCAAGTACCTGCTTTGGCAGCATCTTGGTTATAGCCCCTGGTTGGCTTGCATGGCCTCGCTACCCCGGGCGGACACTCGCTACACCCGAGATATTCTCCACCAATGATTTGGCAATCCGATTATTTGTGCTTGCGCTTTGTGATAGCTACTTCTCGACTGAATAATGATTGCGTTTTGCGACGAGGAACCGTGGCGCTTCGCGTTCGCGTTGACAACTAAAGGACACTGAACCCTCTACTAGAGCTATTGTCAAGCGTCTTCATTGCATTCCATGGTCGCACACCTCATCTAAAGCGAAGATGCCTTGTACTCGTCCCACCTCCCCATACGGGTGCCATTTGTCTCAACCAAAGTTGCCGCCGTCAATCAAGAGGCTGTGGGGCCCAAGAGGGCGAATCGCCTCAATTTTCGGAGACGTTTGTGCTCATTGCTGTTTCAAGAGTGAGTAAAATGGCCAGGTTCAGGGCTATTGTTCATGGTTAAGGTCCATTGGTGATCGAGGAGTTCATGTCTGACATGGACATCCTGGTAGAGCCGTCCTTGTTCAGAAGCCGCTGTATGCGACCGCGGGGAAAGGTTGCAAAAGACCAGACTGCCAGACGCGTTCAGGGCAAGTCGCCCTGGAAAAGCGCAAAGGATTTGCTGTCCGTGATCTGCCCGACGAAAACAACGTTAGTATCACGGTATCAACTAGAATGTCTGAACAAATGTTGAGGGATCAGAGAGTTGGTCGACTCGCCTCCTGTCAGTGTCAACTGTCAGTGTCAGAGGAGAACGCGGTTCTGCGGAAAGGAACTCGCCGCTTTAGACACCCCACCTTAAAATGGGCTCAAATTATGCCCGCCCTCCTTATTCCCTACCTACCAGTTCCATCTCATCCGACGTCAATGGACATTCAGCAAACCCTCGTTGTGTGTAAGACGACATCCCTACCAGTTGACACCGCGTCAGCTCCCGGATTTTCCCTACGCCAAGCACTCAGCCCTGCAAGGCTACGGAAGAGAACAACAAACAAATCAATCACCAGGAGAGAGAGAGGGAAAGGATAGCGAATCCGAAGACCGACCAATCCTGACTGAGCCACCAGGCGGCATCCTTGCGCCACTTTTCCCAGGTCATACTCCATCGGACTATGACCTATCGTCAGTCTTGGCAACCGGTTTTCGAACCAATACCGTTGCAACCGACTGTGGATATGTGGCTGTTTGTTCCGGAATCAGGAAAGCCGACCACTAAAGAGTCAGACCGGGACCAGGGTCTAGCCATACAAAATGATATCCAATTGCTTTACCAAGACTTCTGCCTAGAGAAATGCCCCCCCTTTCTCTCACTACCAGCACCGCCCCATCTCACAAACTAACGGCAAGAGCAACAACGTCACGTCTCACCTGCTGCCTTCCAATTCAGCTCGCGGGGCCAGAGGATGAGAACCCTTCAGGGTCCCCACTTTGCTGAAGTGGCCGCCAAGAAGACTAGGCGCGCAAGTGGGGGAGGACCCTACGGTGAAACATCAACAGATAGGTGGTCGATACATGACGCCCATCTCTTTTGAGACATGAGGAACGCTCCAATGCTGGGGCCTGCTACTGGAGAAGGCAGAGCCGAATCGGGCCCAATGGAACACAGGAAAAGAAAACCACAACGGAGGTACGATTTGACATCTGTTTGTCAAGTATAGCTGGTTCGATGGCTTGATACAGTTTGCTTATGGTTGCATTGCAGCACTCATACAGTATGCACATACTTACATACATACACGCGTACGTCCACAATCCACCTTGATACGGAAGAGGAGGGGCCCCCACGGAAGATCCAACGGTGCTTCTAGACTAGCTACTTTGCCTCAATCGCGCGATCAAGCCAACTAATGAGACCAAGCCAAGTGTTGCAGTACTGCTCCTGGAAGAGGGAGGGGTGAGGGGCAGGCGGTATCGAGGTAGATTGGCCCCTTTCACAATCATCATGACAAGGTATAAAAAGGGCCCCTCATCCCCCCGCCATTGCCATCTTTTCCTCTCTCGACCCTCAAACCATTCATCTTTCATCCAAACGCACCGGAACGTTTCTTCCTTCTATACCTCTCATCCATCACAAACACTCAAATCCATTGCCACCATGAGTTTCCACTTGAGCGCCTCTGAAGTCCGCATCGATGACAACCGTTACTTGGTTGCAGTCCTCAGGGACGAGGATGGTAATGAGAATGAATCCAGACTCGATCTGGATGAGTACCTAGGAAACAGCGAAGGTATGTCCATGACAGGCTGTATGGTTGTACGAAGAACGATTCTAACAACACCTTCTGCTATGTACCAGGTCGCTTTGAATGGGGCGGAAACAACTTCTCCGAGAGTGCCCGGGACGTACACTTCGCTATTGAGGGCGGTGGTGAAGTTCCAGTGCTGCGCGCGGAGCTTCAGAACTCCGAGGGCGAATTCTTCCCCGCCGACGTCAACCTGTCCGAGCACATCGAGAACAACAACGGCAACTTGATTTACGAGTAGGCGTTCATAATGCTTGCCTGGGTTTTTAGTTCGAAAAGGCATTCATAGCGAGCACTCACATGGGTCCAAAGTCCAAAGAGTTTAGCCGGGCTAAGTTTTGGGTGTTGCTGCTCATCTCTCTACTGGGTAGTTTGATATATATAGTGCGGCTCATGTTTCATTAATTCAGTTACAAATCATATTAGTGATCCTTGCGTGAGCATTCTCAGTAGAAAGCTTGATTCCCTTAGGAATGCCAGTAGGACCTAGGAAGCTACTTGTTAAGTACTAGAAGCACAAGCAATATTTTGTCGAACTTGATAACCGTCAGTCGCCGCTCCGAAGGGAAAATTCCGAATAATGAAGCCAGACGCCCCGAAATCCACCCAGCCCGCCAAAATTGTATAATATAACCTCTAAAGAGAGAACTCATGACCATGCAAATATGAATTTGCGGGTACGTGGGCGTTGTAACACACTTGAATGATAGGATGAATCGTAGACCGGCACACAAACAAAGAAAGAGCTTGAGCACTTTATGGACCAAACATGCGAGAAAGCAGGAAATGTAAGCCAGGGGGGGGGGGTAGTACTCCGACCAACAAACCTTGTTGAACTGGAATTCAGCTACCATGCATGTCTGGCATCGTCAACATCAATATCGTTACCATTCCAATCTTCGTCTCCACTCAATTCGTCATCAAGAAAATCTTCCTCATTGAACTGCGTCTCTGTCGGACGTTGATTGTCTATCCGAATCATGACCACATCGCACAAGCCTTGTGTGAAAAGCGGCTCTTCGTCGTTATCTTCATGAGACCTTCGTATCTTCTCTTTGACGATCTCTTCATCCTCCGAAAATCGTTTCTGGGCAATGCGCGCACTTTTACGTTTGGAGGGCGTCAGAATGCCACTGTGCTGAGTATCTGAGTTGTTGTTGGTACCGTACACATTCCCGCTCTCTGGAATTTGAGAGGAAACAGGTAGTAGAGAAGGGCGAGGGATAGACCGAAGTGTTGGATCGGGCGGAAGGCTTCGTCGCTGAAAGACTCTTTGCAGCCTGCCTTTCCATTTTTCGCGAAATGTTGCGCGATCTCGCCACCCTATCTTCAAGATTGCGCTTATTAACAATCGCCTCAGATTCTGTAAACTAGAAGCGGCATTGAGAAGTGAGCTGAAAAACACCTCTGCGGTTTTGTCATCCCAGTTGCGCAATTGGACAAGCTCAATTTCCCGCAGCGTTGATGGCCAAGTTGGGGTCTCGGTCAATGAAAGCAGTTCCCGGAAGTGTGGCTCGACGTCGTGATAACTAGACCAATCGTGCATGGATATATCCATCTTGAAGACCTCCAAATGCTCGCAGGACTCGGCCAGGTTGACAACGAAAGACATGCTTAGGTGACGGTTGTGACTCAGAATCAACTCCCGAAGGTGGTGGCCATGCGTAGAAATGAATGCGCTGAAATTGGTAGTCGTCACCTCGTCACAATTATTGATTGTGAGAGATGTAAGATTTGCGGGAAGATTGGGCAAGAGGTGATCATTGACGACTGAGCATTCTATGAACTCTAAGCGACGCAAGTCGGGAAGGTCAGCAAGGGCCGCAGCCAGAAGTATCTCTCTATCTGTAGAGCCCTCTGGCACTTGTCTGTTGTAGGGATCATCGGACATAATGTGTAACAATCTCAGATCCTGCATTTTATGGAATGCGGGCTGGATATGCATTCCTGACATCAGCTCGAGAAGCTTTTGAGTCTCCATAAAACGGCCATTCCAGTCCCAGCTACGTAGGCGGATAGGGCCTGACAATATGGTGTCAAAAAGGCTGTCCGGATACGTCCACTTTGAGCGTTGTATAAGCCACGGGGGAAGGCCGACAACGTAATCGTGACTGTGGTAGAGCCGTAGCGTTTTCACTTGCGGAGTCTTCTCTAGCAACTTAGGCAACTCGAAATAGCCCAGAGTCGATCCACTCTTGTAGAAAAGAAGTGCTTCCACATCCACGTGCAACTGTTTGATTTTATTGATGTAATTTGTAGAAAGCGATCCCTGAGGTTTAGCTAGTAAGTGTAGCAAACCATGAGACTTGGCAGCCGGTATCAATGGAGGGCAATTGTAAAGAGCAGCCAAGGCAGGCTCATGAAAGGAGCGGCACAGTAAAGCGACTTTGACAAGCCACTGCACAGAACTTTTCCTGCTGGTAGTCCTTTCATCAATGAGGGGATTTGATGCGCGGACGAATATATCGAAGAGTATGTAATAGGGAAGCGTCTGCCACGGTGGTATAACGCCCGAACCAACAAATGGAGTAGCATCCACTTCGAGCTTTCGACGCTTATTGAGCGGTCGTCCAATCTCCATTCGTTTCCCATTCATAGACCGCTTCGCCTTTGTTGATTGAGATCTCGTTTTCATGGTTCGTGCGCGAGTAGACCTGGACGGGTTGGCACTGCTGCTGCCCTCAGGAAATGCGAGAGATGAATGCTCGGGTGTTTGACGGGGAGTGACTGCATCTGTGTCTTCATCCCTGAAATCTTCGATCTCATCGTCGGTAGTTTCCTCACGATAGGAGGCAGGGATCCGATTAGAATCCCGAGGACGCAGAGTTAGCGACAATCGTTCAGCTCGTTCAAGGTCGGATTCAGTATCTTCATCAAACCGGCCGTCGGAACTGCTAGCTTCGAGGTAGGACTGGATTCGGGCGCGACTAGATCGAATCGGCCGTCGAGACCGTCTGGATGAGGGATGACATGGAGGGGTGCGTAGTGTGGGAGCCATTATGAGTCGACGTTAAGATGCTGTCAACTATATTGGATCGAAATGTAAGGCAGAGAGTAGATAGTAGCACATGGGGCAATTAGACTGGAGAGGCTACCACCAAAACACCCAAACGTAGCGATGAGCTAGGCATCTCAGGTGAATCGCTGGTAACGGGAGGTCGAGTTCTGAGATAGTAGTCTGGGTAAAGTGAAGATGATAGCAAGTTCGAATTCGAAGAATGAAGTCACCTGCCTCTAGGTCGGGGCTTCCCTGAACGAAAGGGACCGGAAGGGGGTTTATCGATAAGAGAACTGTGGCAGCGGTAATGACGACTGTAGCAAGACTCGGGGGGGGATTGAGCAACGGAAAAGGAGTAGTGCCGATAGTGCCGGGCAATGATGGCAGAATGAGTGAATGACTAATGAGTAAGTAATGCGCGAAGCGACGATCATCTGATTCTTGTGGCCTGATTGCTCAGGCGGACGGCGGCTAAAGTGGATGTGACGGAGTGTGACTGCGTGACAGGCCCAAGCATGAACGAAGCCAGGCATCAACTTCCCCCGCCCTGAGGCCACAACGCTAAACCAGGACGGGGATCGAGGGGAACCCCCGAAATAGAAACAGTCAGCTCCTCCCAAGTTCCTAATCTATCATCGGCCTTCTTTAAAGCGCCGCCGTCGTCCAGCCACCCTCTCCTCTTTTCTCCTCTCTCTCTTTCTTCTCCCCCCCCCTCTTCGTCTGGCGCTTGCGACGGCGATGATGTTGATTCTTTTCGGCCACTGTTGCGTTGTTCCTGCATTGATTTTTCCAATGCCGCGTCGCTGTTTATACTATTGATTGTATATAATATATCAGCAAGACTTTCAGGTTACCTCCTACTTCAGATTACTATTTACTCCCTCCGGTTGAAAGAACCTATCACGAGGATCCGATCCCTCCAATCGCGCACTACTGGGCTGGTCCCCGAAATACCCGTGCTTTACGCCAATTGATAGGACTTATATATTTCGGCGCACTCCAGCCCTCTAACCCGAGACATTCCGCTTCCCTATACTTATGCATTCCATCCCGTCTTATCAGTTTCATCGCCACCTCATTGATTCTTAATTCCAGCTGCGGTGATTTGGCTTGGGCCGCTCCCTTCCAAAATGGAAGCCTCGTTTCCGAATGTGATGAATCAACCAGTTCAGCCAATTCAGCCCGTTCAGCCAGACCGAACGGAGTTAGGGCCCCCGTCAATGATCATCCAGCAATACGCCCGGTATCCTGCGCCAGAGCCCGGGCTACATAGCGCATCCTCTATAGGCAGTGCTCGCAGTCAGATTGCCACCTCTAAGTCGCCCCCTCTTCACCGCAAGGCTACCCCGCGCAGCTTACAGGCATCGCCAACCGCCCCACGTCCTGGTGTCGTGGCCTTAGCCCCAGCCCCAGTATCGGCACCAGCACCAGTATCAACACCAGCACTAGCACCGGCACCGGCACTAGCACCTGCACCTGCACCACCAGCACCAGTGCGCCAAGCACCTTCATTATCGCCACCCGGTTATGACTCTCTGCAGCAGAGGCCAACGCGAGAACAGATGGAACAGTCTGAAATTCGATCTCTTCCATCTCGCGACATCACAGACGCAATTATCGACGATGCCTATATTATGTTTATTTTCTACTGTAATCCGAATGTTCCCCTATCGATGGATACTTCGGAGTTACGGAAAACCTTCAGATGCCCTCCGAGGAGTGATGGAAAGAGCTTCAGCATATTTGCGCTCTGGGAACTGATCAAGAAGCTCGATAGCAAAGAGTTGAAGACCTGGATTCAGCTGGCCATCGAACTGGGTGTAGAGCCACCCTGCATGGAGAAGAAACAAAGTACGCAGAAGGTTCAGCAATACGCAGTGCGACTTAAGGTTCGTTTCCTCATATCGTTTACGTCTCATCTTCTTGGACAGGAAAACGCAAGCGCTAACTCCCGGTAGCGCTGGATGCGCGCAATGCACGTTGATGCTTTCTTCGAATACTGTCTGGGTCACCCTCATCCTTATTACACTCAGCTCCCACCTAGCGATATTATTAGCGAAAGCCGAGATGGGGTTCCACTTGAAGAAGATCTTGCCTTGCGAGCTCTTGTACCTCAATGGAAGCCAAAACGCGGGCGAAAGCGAGGCGAACTAGAGGCGCTGGAAAAGGCCGCCAAGCGACCACAACTCGATACTTCAATGAGCATCATCCACCCAGGACCGTTTCCTGGACATACTTCAGCATTTCCAACAAGTGCCATTCCGTTTAGCGCTTTCCCTGACGAGATAGAGTCGTCTGATCCGTGGATGGGCAACGCACATTCGTTCTCGGCTGAAGGAACATCTGTGACTCAGGCTACCCAGCAGAGTCAAGACCTCAGGTGGAGACATATAGAACGCGATGCCTCGCCGAATGGCTACCCCCATTCTGCCATCGTCCCCAGGAATAACCAACAGTCGGAGATCTTCATTCAGCCTGCAGAGCCACGTTCAGCAGTGACACCATCTTCTAGCGACAAAGCGCGCCCCAAAAGACGCCATGGTCCCGCCGTGTCATCTGCCTGGCCTAGTAACAATGGGAGCAACGGAAAGACGCGAGGCCGACCGCCCAATCGAGGAACGGTGTCGGGCCCATTTTCCTCTTTCCCAGTGAATCCTGTCCGCACTGAGTCTGCTCATCTACAAAATTCCGGGGTCCGACCATCTCCCGCTATTATCCTTGACCAAGACCACTCCAACCGGTTCAGTAACTCTCCATACCAACAATCGCCCACCCCATTTCATTTAGGTCCTAAGCCAAACAAACTACAGCTCCAGGTCCCACAACAGCATGGGGGGCCTGTGCGCCTTGCGACACCTCCCACACTGACGGTGAACGGGGTTCATGGCGCCTCTGGCCTGATGAAAATCGAGAATCTCCAACGAAATGGGACTTTGGCGCCACTAAACGACTATGCTGGTAGTGTGGGTGTTACCAATCCTTCTTCGTATGCCAATCGAAACACTGCGCCACAATCGGAAATTACAATGGATGACGTTGTGCGCGTACTGGCAGGTGAGCTGCTTCGTGGTAAAGTTGTCGGTCGGTCCGCTCCCCTGAGTGCGGAAGAAGGCCGGGCTTTGGCATCATCTGTTGTCTCAAGCCTCACGGCAACATATGCCAAACTGCCAGGCAGCTCTGCTGCGCTTATGTCTGCATTGCACCTAGGACTCGGACACCAGTTTGGCTATCCCGGTGTTACTGAAAGTCTTATGACTACCCATATCGAGATGCTGCCATCGGCTCCCGCAAATGTTTCAAGCATCGATGGAGCCTCGTCAAACCAAGTTTATACTATCGTTCATGAGTACAAGCACGGGCTACGGTTCTTGACCAAGGTGACTTACGGGAACCTCAACATTGGAAAGTCCGACAGCAACAAGCTCGACAGCTCACTTAGGACAACTGACGAGCTGGAAAACAGTGTTGCCGATCTGGACAGCATGGCGGATGCTGAATTCGAAGTGGATGGTGCGGATGGGAGCGCCTCTGAGGGTACGTGGAAGCAACGGTACCTCAAGCTTCGTGCGCAGATGCAGAAAAAAGAACGTTCTCTATCGAACTATAAGCGCAAGATCTTAGAGTCTGTCATGGCAGACCTCTAATGGACTCGATGGAAAATTGAGTTTGATATTGTCTTCCTCTTCTTCTTCCGGCAATGTTTATCGTGATACCCTACTGGATGTTGTTGTGGAAACGACAGGCAACATTACCAGCACGTGCTATTTTGAATATAATCCTACTATTTGTTTCCAAATCCGACGCGAAGCGGCTTTTCGCCGTTGATCTTTGCTCGATGTTTTTTCACCGATACCCTTTGAGCGAACTTCCTTCAGTGTGTATCCTACTTAATATAGAATCCGCTTTTCCGACGTCTCTATGCAAGTTGTGCTAGGATTGTTTGGGCCTGGCATTCGATGCATTCATCACAAATATCCTCTCCCCTGAGATAAGAAAACTATCCGTAGCCATTCCGATAAAATCGCATGCAGCCAACCTTAATTGTGAGATGGTCAATGCAGTCCAAAGCATGTCGCTCAATATCAACACCTAAGGGCAGATAAATGTGCCGCCAGAATAACAACCAAGTAGGCAGAGAGAAATCCAGTAGGACAAATTTTCTCGTTAACGCAGTATCGAAATAAAAGACAACACAGCCCAAGAACGCAAAAGTAAATGAAAGGGTCCCTGAAAAGCCCAACGCCAACCTAGCCTCTACCCCCCCTGAAGGTCCATCGTGTCATTCTAAGCAACCGACTCCCCGTCATCCTCATCAGAGTCAGCGTCCGCCTCATCCTGCTCCTCCTCTTTGACAGCCATCATATCCTCTTCGTCCTCATCCACATCTTCCTCCTTGACCATCTCATCCCCGGAGTTCTCCATCCCAACCATCGCATGCGGACTCGCAACAGCCCTCTTCTTCATCATATCGCGCTTCGTCTCATCCGTCGTAGAGGTCCTGATTGACTTGCCCTTCCGGCCAGAGGTCGCAGCAGCAGCCGAGCCCTTCCGCTTCCGACCCCTGCCCGCTCCTCGGGCGCCACCGGCCTCAGGAGCATCAGCATCGTCTTCATCAGTGTTCTCATTGTTTCCATTGTTGTTATTGTTTTTGTTGGGAGTAGTGGGAAGAGTACTCCCGCCTGCCGCGTTGATATTGTGCGCTTTGAGAAGACGCTCGTAGCGTTTGGCGCTGTTTATTGCGTGGCCTTTTGTTAGCTTTTCTGGATTCCTCTCGGTTGCTGAAGGATTTGTATAGGGAGTAGAGGGGCTATTTGTTTGGCTGGAGATGGGGAAGTTGGTACTTACGCGGCGCCTCTGGTCACGATGTCGCATTCTTTGGCGACGTTGGCGAAGTCGATCTATATGGTGGAGAGGGGGGTTTTAGCTGGGTTGTTTTGTCTATGTATAACTCGATTCGCTGGATATATGTGCTTCGAAGGGAATGATGGGGATTGGGAACTCACTTTACCACCTCCGATAGCGTTGCGGATGCAGCTCAGGAGGAATAGGACTTGGTCGTCGGAGCTGATGCGCGATGCTTTGGTTTTAGAGGGTGTGCTGGACATTTTGATTGATGATATGATATGTGTGGCTGATGTGTTTACCTGGAGTGGCTGGTTGGGTTTGGGTGTAGTGGATGGTGCTTGGAGGTGAGAGGACTTTGGCAGTGGAGTGAAGGTGAGTAGAGGTTTAAGAAGTTAATGAGGTTAGATGGAGAGAAGGGAGGAAAGATGAAGAGGAGATGAGGATAGGAGAACGTTTGTCTGGGAGTGGGTGAGAGAAGGAAGCGTTGACACCCCGGGCTGATTGGTCGAAATTGCAGTCAAATTGAGGATGGCAGAGTGAGGCAAGTCAGGCTGCTGGGATGGAGGTGAAGTGACTGCTTGATGTGTATTCACTGCTGAAAGACAAGTTGAATGTTTGAGCCAGAGATACGAGGATACGAAATCAGCGCTGGGGACCCTTTTACCCCGTAGGTTGAGGGAAATTAATCTACAGAGAACGAGAAAGCAGCAGGAAGGGCAGTCAACTATGGTATGTCATATCAAGAATCCTGTCTTTTTGGAAACTATTATCCAGGTTCCGTTTTGCAGAGACCAAGAGCACCAGCAGCTGGATTTCTCCAACCATCGATGTGGATTTCTGACTACAATTGGATTGACAAATGACTGTTCAAATGATTTCCCCAACCAGCCCCTGGAACCAACCGCCCGAAAATATCAACAACGTAGTGTAAGATCGAAAAGAGGAAAGGACAGCAGCGACGATGAACTGCCACTTGTCTATGTATCAACAAAATCCATCAGTAATGAACCATTGAATCGAAATGTAAAGAAATCTTACCAGCATCGTTGACAACCATCGGATACTCAAACAACCTCGTTGGTGATATCAGTCTTGTCCATGGTCTCGGGCTCGACGACGACTTCCACCTTAGAAGCAGCCTTGGGACGGGCGGCAGTGTTCTTCTTGCGACCCTTGGGATTCGGTTTGGTATCAACCTCAGATTCGGCCTCCGCTTCATCAGAGGGGTCCAAATCAGCAGTCGCGTCTTGGTTGGCTTTGACCTTCTTTCTGGCGGTCCCCTTCGCAGGCGCCTTGCGTTTGGTCGGGGTAACGGCTCCGGGATCGTCCTCATTGTTCTGAGCATCCAGAACATCATTGCCTTCAGTCAACGTCTTTTTGGCCTTGATGGGGCTTCCGGTTTGAGTGGCTTCGAGCTCGAATCCATAACGCTTGCGCAGGAGGCGGAATCGGTTCGCAGTAGAGGCAACGTTGCCATATCCAAGCGCACTGGCCACCCTGTTCAGGTCAACCTGAACAGATGTTAGCAACCAGAGATGAAGAGCAGCAAGAGGTATGGGAAGGGGACTGACTTGTCTATCAGGGGTCATGTTGACAACGCATTGGACGATGAACTGAGCATCCGCCTGAGGAATTTCATCCTCGGGCTTGGCCTTCTTTGTACTAGGCATGGTGACTTTGAGGTAGAGTAAAGTAAAGGCCTAGAGGTCAGCTTTTGGCTTTAGATAGATGGTTGTGATGGGCACGATATCTTGGATGATAACTGCGATGTCAGAGAGAGAGGGGCTTTTGTTTCAGCAGAGTGCGTAGTAATACAGAAAAAGTTGCTCGGGATAAGCGGACAGGACGCGAGGGAATAGCCATCCAGTTGATGGTCTGCTACCAAGGGAGAGGCCCATAAAATGAAAAGTCCTAGCTTACTTGCGTGATAATGCTGAGATCAGAGATGTGTGTTGAAGCGTAGAGTCGACTAGAGGGCGAGGATGTTAATGTCGTGGGAGGGTTACTGAGATAGAGAGTCAGGAGTGAAGAAAGCTTGAGACAGTCGGTGTTGACCAAATCGAGTGACTCTTATAACACGCTCATGTATCTTGATTTGAGGGTGAAGCAGTCAGTCTACGCGTTAGTCAAAGCCAAAATATGGATTCCATGTGAATCTACCCTACATGACAGATACCAAATATCCTGGAAACATAAGTTATGACTCGTTTCACAAGTCCATCATTTGCCTCCAAGCATGGTAGCATACAGAACGATAGCCCAGATTCTTCCAGCCAAACCTGGGTATGCTCTCAACCAACCTCTTCATTTGGGATCTCCCTCCTTGTTATCATCAACGTCTTTCACTGGCTCCTGCTCGATCGGACAGTCGCCCCCTGTATCCTCTCCCGCAATCACCTGCTCTGGCTGGGTATAAGGCCACTGGGACCTGGTGAAGGGTTGATTTGCGAAGGAACTGTTTTGCGGAAAAGCTGACATCGTAGTTATTGGGCGTGATATAGCATGAGGAATCTCGGCCAGAGAAGGGACAACATCGTCATAGGGGTCGGGCTTGACAGACGGATCCTTAGGCTCCCACTTCACTGCAGGTGCAGGAGGAATGGCTTGATGACCCTGAGCCGCAACAGGGTAAGTGGGCAGCGCCGCGGGAAAGGACGAAGCAGTCGACATCATCACGGAGGAAATTTGCTGCCCGTAAGGAGCTGAATGTTCCTGCTTTACCACTGGCACCGCCCGGAAATCTGGAAGCTGTTGCTGCTGAGATTGAATGGGAGAAGCAGCCTTCAATACCTTGGCCTTATTCTTCTTAGAGGAACCCGATCGAGATGTTGGAACGGTACCCTCAATCTGCTGTCTGAAGCGGGAGTATCGCATCCGCGCAGCGTGGCCGTTGGAGATTCCATTTGACTTAGCAACGGCTTCCCAATCAACCTAGTACGGTGTCAGTAGGGCCTGATCAATCGAATCTAGACTGAAAACACAAACCGATCTAAGATCCAGCTGCTTAAGGATCGAATAGAAGAACTTCGACCCGTCGGCATCAACGGGCAAGGCTTTACCACGTTTTGTAACCGACATGGCTAAGCTTGGTGAGAGGATGAAATGGGGCCTTGTGCTGAAAGAAGATGTCCGATAAAAAGGAAGTGAATGTCTTCTGCAATGTGATAAATCACTCCAGAGAGTTGCACTTTGACGAACAAGAAGGCAGCTTCAATAACTTCCAGTGATCATCTCAAAGCATATATGGCACACATAACGCCGAGAAAAACACGAACTCTGATCCCACCTGACCAAAACGACATCTTTGACTTTTACCTAATAGCAATTCCACACAAGGACAGTCTTTCTGTATACTGTACGGAGACTCGCCTATTCCAGTATAGTCGGAAGACCTTTTCTTGTACTGGAAGGACTTTCTTCCTCCAGGAGGGGCTTTTGCATACCGGTATGTTACGCACCGGCTAGTTGCATATTGCAGGAAACAGGCTTAGGCGCTGAATTTGGGTTAAGTTAATGCATCGAATCATGAGAAGCAAGTGATCCAATTAATTCAATAGACTAAGCTTATGAAGCCTGCTTCAGGTCTAATGCAGCATGATGATAAATTATTGACAGGGAGTTTCAGGAAAGACTCCACACAGGCCGTTCGTTGACACGCTTCTTTGCATCAAGCAATGACACAGTAGGATCGCACTGATAGCAGCTGATAATCACGTGGCTGTTTGTGCCCCAAGTGGATACAAGTCTCACCATGGACAAGGAGTTGACGCCACTGATCTTTGTATACTTCAGCTTGCTGGTGATGGTTTCCAAAACCTCTAGGAGACACTAGGAATATCAGAGACTTCTTCGCAGCTACGAAGATCAAATAGCTAGTTTCTGTATGCTACTGAGATATGTATTAGAAGCCTTCAAAAGCGCAGGTTAGTTATGGTATTCTCGATTGTTCAATCGTACTTCTGAAGACTTATGACGAATATAGTACTCCGCATTGCTTTACCCCGAAAGAAAAGCATACGAAAATGGAGGGAGAAAAAGAAAGGAAGAAAAGGAGGAGAGTCAAGGCAAACAGAAGAAATGGACCGGACAGAAAGAGACGAAACAAACAAGTATTTTTTTTTGGAGACAGAGCTATTTTATGCGAAGTTCCGGAGTTTTGCGTTTGCTTCAATCAGAAAGTGAGGATATACTTGTCGCCTTCCGCAGGTCCACACACTCGTCGCCTTGAGCATAGTATGGCAGTGGTCTCAATTCGATCATTATTTCTGATGTATACTTCTTGAAACAGCTAAATTCGGTCCTCACAATGAAAGAGAAAAAGACCTAGAAACTTGTTGTGTACAATATCTGATCTAGGAAGTTTACGATACTATGCTTCTTCCTTGTAGATCTCTCATTACATCTCCCAACCCCCGCCATGTATGCATATACTCCTAGGCAGTTGGCTAAAGAGCTAATATGTTTGATAATAAGTTGTTGTACTGTGTATGTTGACACGAAAGGCTTTTCTACAACTGCTCTGCAAGATGATGCGCTTTCACGCCGATGTTCCCTCGGTTGAGATACACTTTATGTGTCTTTCCGTCTTATCATTTTGCTTCCTTCTTACTTTCTTCCTCCAGCTATGACTGGAGCCTTTACCTTGCTGCTATCAGCGTCGCGATCTCATGCTTTTGCTAGCTGGAAATCGGACCAAGGCTGGAACAGTACGGTCCCGGTTCCTCAGCCGCAATCCTCGGTATTGCATGCCTCTTCATACGTGGTCTAAATTAGAGGCTGCCGAGATTTGGGTTGAGCTACACCAGGTTTGGTGTGGCTTTGCTCTCATGTGATAGATCGTGAGCATTATTGGTATAGCCAGTGCACACTTATGATTCTATCAGGGCGTACAGTTCCCGACACAGAGTAGGCCGGGACTGTGTTGAGAAGAATGCCTTTGGGTTACTCATTCTAATTTACGCAAGTGTCTGCTAATTTTGATTGCCATGCGCGTAGCCACACAGCTCTCCTGACGCTGTACTGCGTGCTCACTCTTTCATTCGGGTCCAGGCAACCTCACTTCTTGAATACACAATATAAATAGTTTTCTCATGCTGAAATCACCTTTTGACAAGCAACCATTTTAAAAATCACAAGAAGAAAAGGTCTACGAACTCATCAAAAAAGGGGGCTTCTCCAAAGAAATCGCCTAAGGGCGTCAAACGAACCAGACAGAAATGGGACGACTCGCTCCGCCTGACCTTGCTCCTGGAGATAGCCAAGATCAAAAATCTAAAGCTGTCAGAGGACGAGTGGAAGACAGTCTCGAATAGGATCGATCGCACCTGGAACGCCGCTAGGTAAGACTCGTGCCTTTTTACGCCTAGGAAGGTGTTTGTCCACTTGTTCATGTCGAGATTATCTTCCGTGTTGCTCTTCAAGTGGCTGATACATTAGAAAGAGAGGAATACGGATCGCTCATGGGAGATCGATTTTCAGATTGGAAACGAGGAAGCAAGAAGGCCAAACCTACACCAGCAAGCTCTGCCAACCCGCCTGACGCCGCCAGTGATGGATCTCAGGATGACCCCACCGGAATGAACAAGCAATCTCAGATTGGACACGTTGGAGTGAAAAAATCTGCGTGTGATGAGCCCGAGAATCTCCAGGCCGAACACGAAAAGATTCATCTCGAGCATAAAAAAGACGATGACGTTGAGGATCTTGTCGAGAATGAGCTGAATCAAGTCAATCAGGGTGAGCTGCTGCTCCACGCCCGCCCTATTATTGCTTTCATTGACACACTTACTGACACAGGATAAGCCTGAAGTCTTACACTTGCAGTACTAGGAATATCGCATCTTGACGCTTTGGTGGTGATTGGGGTTATTTGCTACACCTTTGCTGGATTCTTTGTTTCCTCGAAACAGCATAATTTATGACGCGTGCCATATTCTTGTTCATTTCCTGACGCAGATCGTGGTGCTTTTTGCTTGAGCCGCTTACATTTGACGCTCGGTTCTTTTACTCTCCTGCTTATGTGGAGTCCTCTTCACTGTAGCTCACCACAGCTATCATTTTTCTTGCGTCAATTTAAATCTAGTTGAGCTATCGAGGCTCGAGTCCATCCTTTACAGGGTGACGGCTCGCACTTTATGCTGGGCGTGGGCCATTCTCTGGGATATGTTCTTATTCAAACAATATGAGCACACCTTTTCCACCTTGAGGTAAATAGTGGATCTAGATCATGTCGAGATGCGATGATGTCGACAGTGGGTCATGACTAATCTTACTCACGAGGTACTTCCTGAGCTGGAATTCTGTTAATACAAGTATTTCTGACCTTTCTGTGCGCAGATACGGTAACCAATCGAAGAAAAATGTCGCTGGTGGCAATAGGTGCATGCTACTTGGACACGATCTTAACGTTAGTTGACACTTACCGTCGACAATCCATTCCGTAACGGCTCAACCGTGTCTGACGTCGATGTATCAGGATCCCCCACTATCCCGGAGAGGATGAAAAGCTTCGTGCCTCTAATATCTCTCGCCGGAGGGGAGGCAACTGCCCCAATACGCTTGAGGTGCTTCAACAATTGGCCGCTCACGGTTCATCGAGCGCGCCAATCTCATTGAACCTGGTCGCAGTCCTGCCTGCTAGGTCATCCGTCGCTTCGCGGCAGGTCCAGGCGGCGTTCGAACCGCATGTGCGCATGGATCACTGCATATACCGGGAAGAGCTCACGGAGCCTGCTTCAAGCTATATCTTCAAAAGTCAGGCTTCGGGAAGCCGGACCATTGTAAACTACAATGAGCTACCGGAGATGACCGTTGTTGAATTCGTCGAGATCGCCGGTCGATTAGGTCCCACGGCTTCGTGGTTTCATTTCGAGGTTTGCATCTTTTCTCAGGCGTCTACTGATTGTGACTAACGTATTGATCTATTTGAAGGGTCGGATACCTGAGGTGACACTATCTTGCATTCGCTATTTGCGAAAGCACTTTCCTTCAATGAGAATCAGTGTCGAAGTGGAGAAGCCAGGACGGCCAGGCTTGCAGGAACTAGCGGAGGAAGCAGACGTCGTCTTCTATTCGAAAAGTTGGGCTCAAGTACGCACTATCCCACTCACTTTGCTTCGGCCGCGGGCAACGCTGATAGTCGTAGGGAAATGGATACCAGTCAGCCGAACAATGCGTGCAAGAACAATCTTCCCTAGCGAAGAAAGCGTACGTCCCTAGATCGCACTGGTTTCAGTATGAAAGATACTGATCATCAATGCCAGCTCGCTTCTGTGCTGTACATGGGGTGAATATGGAGCAGTAGCTCTGAGCACTGCTGTGAAGGAATTAATCCATCAGCCCGCATACACTGCGGCCGACTTCAAAGTCGTGGAGTAAGTGGACACCATGTAGCTTGATTCGCTTTACTGCTTTGAGAACGACTAGGCGTTACTGACATTGAACAGTACGATCGGCGCGGGTGACAGTTTCAATGCCGGCATGCTGTACGCGCTACTTTGTCGAGGCAATGAATGGAGCCTGCCGCAGAAGCTGAGCTTTGCGAACCGGGTCGCTGGAATGAAGGTATCGCAGGAAGGCTTTGCTGGCCTTCATCGCGCGCTGGAGTCTTAGTATTAATTGGAAGAGCTACCCGGCTCGGTGTTCGCTGTATGGCGCCATCGATCATCGAAGTGAACGAAAATTGCTTAGAGCAGCTCAAGACCGAGCGCATGAATTGAGGAGGTTCAGGGGAAGATTTCTTTGCCATCACTATGAAAAGAAGTAAAAGCAACCGGGGACAGATGGTAGGCATAATCGAAACTTCTATACCGCGCGCGCCTTAGGCTCTAGGAGATTCAACCTAGAAATTCGATAAAATTATGAGATCCTGGTGACCTGTATCAGTAGATTGAGTCTACTGAAGGAAACTGTCAGGAGTTAGATAGAACCATCGGCGTGGCTACTGTCGATAGTCGAGCCGCAGCGATGCATTCACAGCATAGTCTAATTAGCACACTAGAAATGTGGACAAATATCTTGGCAGGGAAAGTTCCGCTTCTGCCATTTGTTAGAGAAATCAGTCACGTGATATAGATCAGTGAAGGCGGTCTGAGCCAAAAAATAATTCTGCCCGCATCTTTTTGAATTTTGCGGGCGATCAACAGCTTCGGACTTTCACAAATCACAGCATATCGCATTCACCATGGCGTCCGTCTACAAAACCGTTTCTAAGAAAGCCGCCCAGCGCCTTGCTAGAGAGGAGGAGCTTGATGAGGAGGAACTTGAAATGGAGGAACTTCTTGCTGATGTCGACGACTCGAGCGACAGCGAAGACGATGAGGAAACCACTACCGAAGCGGCGAAGAAGCAGCTGGCTGCTGGTTTCATGCCCAAGACGCGCGTTCTAATGTTGACCTCAAGAGGTGTGACCTATCGGTATGTCGCCAATTCTCCAAAAACCGGGTTTGCGAAAGACAATATCCAGACTGCTAACCATTGATCTTCGTTCTTTTCTAGCCATCGACACCTGCTTGCAGACCTCGCATCTCTCCTTCCTCACGTTCACAAGGAAAGCAAACTCGACACGAAAAAGAAGACTGCTGGATACAACCTTCTCTTGAACTCCCTCGCCGATCTCCACTCTTGCAACGTTATCTTCTTCCTCGAGGCTCGTAAGCAGGGTCAAGATCTGTACCTCTGGCTTGCGCGCCCTCCCAACGGACCTACTATCAAGTTCCACGTCAACAACTTGCACACGATGGGCGAGCTGAATGCTGGATTCAGCGGAAACTGCCTCAAGGGTGGACGGGGTATTGTGGTCTTCGACCGCTCATTCGACGAACAGGGCCCGCTCATGAGCTCTCCCGGCAATGAGTACCGGGGTTTGATCAGAGAAATGCTGCGCGGTGTTTTCTGCGTTCCCAAGCGCGGTGTGAAGGGAATGAAGCCTTTTGTCGATCGCATCATCGGTGTCTTTGGTGTGGACGGCAAAATCTGGATTCGCGTCTACGAAATCCGGGAATCGGAGGGTGAAAGCAAGAAAGAGGAGGGCAAGGATGCCAAGCCCGCGCCCAAGAAGAAGGATGGCCAGCCGGAGATTTCGCTCGTCGAGATTGGACCTCGCTTTGTCTTGACGCCTATTGTTATCTTGGAGGGCAGCTTTGGCGGTCCCGTTATCTACGAGAACAAGGAATACGTGAGCCCCAACCAGGTCCGCCGTGATATTCGCGTTGGCAAGGCAGCTCGCCACGCAAACCGCAGAGATGCGGAGACGGATCGTTTTGCTAAGAGGTCGAACCTGGGGTTGGGCGAGGGTGAGAAGAAGCCCGGTGCGCTGGACACAAGGCACTTGTTCGCATAATCGGTTTCTGCTTTTATCGCTTTCTTATTTTGTTTCGACACCCTATTAGACTCTGATATCCTCAAGGGATGTATATGTATTGATGTGGGGGTACATTCATGGTTCTATTACAAGGCGTCTGGTGTGACAATAATAAAAGTACTTGACGTTGTCGTTCAATTTGCGCCCGATTTAATGAACCTTCAATGCATGTTATGAGTAACCTTAAATGATTCAAGTTTCGGCAACTGCCAACAGTTCCATTGTGCTAATGAATCTTACCTATTTGCTGGAACTGCGGAAGTTGCGTTCTGATGCAAATACTGCATTCCAGATATATTATAGACCTTCGTAAGGTTTCCTGGCTCATTCCATGCCCGTTTCCTTGGTGCAACTGTACTCGGGTGGTGGAAGGATTCAAAGTGTAAGTGTGGAGAGGACGAGCTCGATTGTGTCAAGTGACTTGGCATCCGTCTCCTTATCGCCTTGCCCTTACCCCATCACAGCTATTGCAACTCCTTGACAAGCATCATGGCATCCACTCCACCACGCAGCCCCTTGTGGCTCCTTGGAGCTCATTCTTCTCTTGACGCTATGTTACAATTCTCTACTTACATCTCATGTGCTCTTGTTATCCCCAGGGGTGGGGCAGCGATATAGGTCCAGATCTCTATTGCGAGGGCGGCCGCGGAGTCTCGAGGCTGCAACAAACGACGCTGCCCATTGTTTGGCATCGACATTTGACATCAAACCTCTCACTACACAGCCTTCTTTCTTGAGTTTCTTCCAGAATAATGTAGGTAATTGCCCTCTCACACGCATTACGCTGCAAGCCCTCCGATTGACTGACCCCTTAAAGATAGCAACAGTCTAAAAACATGTCCTTCAACCTACTAGCTGCGGAGCTTCTGCTCCATATATTTCGTTCCTGCGAAAGTGTGACCGATGTGATGAATCTTGCCTCGACGTGTCGTCGGCTTCACTCTGTCTTCAACCGATCGAATAAATTACAAATACTCTCCAATGTCGCGGAGCTCCAGTTCGGCCCGCTAGATGATATCATCCAGATAGTAACCCAGAACGCAAGTCAAGCAGCGCATGTGTCTCGTACCGCACCTCTAACCGATCCCCTCCTCCGACAAATTATACAAATCGGATGTGTGGCTCAAAAATGGGAGGTTATATATCCACTTAAAAAATGGAAACTCGATTACGAAAATCGCCGCTCGCTATCCAACGAGGAGCGATTTCGTCTTCGCCGAGCGATCTATCGTTTATGGCTGTATCATCGTGCTTTCCATACACTCGACCATAGCCGTTTCACTCGCACCCTTCCGCATATCGTCACCGAGCGTGCGCAGCTCCTGCATAATTGGTCTACAGCCGACTTGGCCGAGATTGAGGATGTGCGTTCCATCATCGGTGATGTCGTCCAGAACCACATCTGTCCCAGCAACGGGACGATTCAGCGTAAATTCAAGAAACGGTACCCCGATAGCAACCAGCAGTTGATGTTTAACATTCATCTCAACTACCCCACGCCTGATACTCCCGCAGACCCCCAGAGCTTGTTCGCGAAGCCCACGGATGCGGCCGAGCGGTACTTCCATACGGCCCATTCGAGCAACTTCGAATCCTCGGCGAAGTACAAGTCTCGCTTTCGGAACGACTTGTTTCATGACCCAGGGTTTGAAGGGTGGGGTGATGAAATCCCGCATTATTACGTCGTTCAGGACATGATGAAGCTTGATCCGGGTCAGGTGTTGTGGCTGCGAGACCATGCTCTTCTCAAGGAACAGGTCGAGGCCTATGTTCGGGACATGGGGGATTGGTTTAGAGACAATGGGGAGACATTTGGGGACACTCTCGAGTGGGTTATGAGGGAGCGAGGGGATGATATCGAGGAATTCCGCGCCGCCATTGCGGATCGTGAGATTGGGGTCGTCTGGGATTAGAATCGATGGTCCCCAAGTTTCCAATAGATAGAGTATCGTTCGAACCTCATCTTGTGCCTGAATATCTGCAAACGACGCTGCGTCATATGTACCTCGATTTTCTCACTCGCAGTGTTTTAGCATTCGCAGGACATTTGCACTCGTCAAGCTTCCAGAACCGCCCACAAGAAAGTTGGAATATAACCCCAGTACTCACCTATACCCAGATCTTCCATCTCGAATCTAGTCGATACATGACACAAGAAAGACCGGCGGCTCCCCTTTCCGACGGATGCAGACCACTTCTCGAAGCCTTCGAGTCAGACACCAAATGAACGAAGTGGAAAGAAGTTTTTCAACTCCTCAGCTACATGATTTCACCACCAGATGAACCCCAACACATCCAAACCTTAAAAATCACAAGCCAACATTTTTTCTCACGCGGAAAACGATTTATCCAAGATTAAGCTCACAGGAAACGACATCATCCGTGACTAAACCCCGGCTCGCACCCACGACATTATGCCCATCACATTCAACCCTCCTCTCCCCCCCCCCCCTGATCAGCCCACCCTAAACCGTACGGGGAATCGAGAATTGAAGGGAAAAAAAAGCTCAGCCGCCTGGACCGGGGCTAAAATCCAGAGCCAGGAGTGGAGTCCTCTTTTCTTATTTGAGGGCGCGCGCGATTAAAAATGGGGCGGGCTGGATTGGGAGCTTGTACGTAAGAGGGAGACGTTCAACTCGCCCGGCGGTGGATTGTGCCTTGCTGTTTACTGTTTCCTGGAAATGGAGAGGAGGTGCGTGTATACGTGATACATGATAGTAAGTGTTTGGCTGCTTTCGGAGTGAAATTCAGGGTGGATTGATGCTGGAAGGGTTGGGCAAAATTCAATGCATAAATACGTATGATAAAGATGAGAAGCCAGAATGGGAATGCCTCGTGGGGCTCCCGCGGTGTCGATGTGGGCCGCTTGTTTTCGACCGGCTTCGACTTTTGGGGGGGCAGGGGCAGGCCGCGGGCATGATAACAAGTGTGATATTGGGTGGGTGGACGCGACTGCTGGGAATTCCTCCCAGTGTTGTGGTCCTTGGGATTTCATTCTAGTGGGGGGTTCTGCCGATGGCTTTCTGTATTCAGCGCGTTGCTCTTCTATGTTGTATGGACTCAGTACCTAGCTTGTTGAGAGTAGGTAATGTCCATCAGCACATGTCCTGGGAATCTACACGTCATGGGGTGAGGGGGTGGTACCCAAGGCTCAAAACCTGGTGGGATACAGAATATGCAAGGGGCAAAAATGCAAGGAAGATTCAGAGAATAGTCAATTTCGTCATCTTTAAAGTATAGAACGAAAAACATGAGGTGGAACCACAGAACGAAAGAGAAAATAAAAGTCGAAAACGTAAAAGGTGACAAAAAGAAGGTGTCGGGAGCATTGTGATGTCCAAACAAACACCGCCATACCATGTCCATAACCCCAAGTGCCATTCCTAACGACGTTCCTCTTGTGTATCATCTCCAGGAGGCTAAGTAACAGACAGAAAGAGAGCTCAAGACCGTTCAATTATCACATCACAAAAATAAAATCGTTTCGGTTGGCATGTCACACATTCCCCGATATCATGGCCTCTTTAACAGCATCCCTGCTTGGTCTCGGAGGTATCCGACTGCTCGATTCTCACCATGTCGCGACGATCGCCTAGGACGGTCTGGCCCGCGTCTCCGCCCTCCAGAGCCTTGCTGGAGACGATACGATAGATTTCTAGATGAAGATCAGTATGACGAAGCAGGCGCATGAATGCGAGGGCAGGTCTCACCTGTGAGGATGTTCTGGAAAGCAAGCTCGACGTTGCTTGCGTCGAGAGCGGATGTCTCGATAAAAGATAGATTGTTCTCGCCTGCAGAGTCATCATCAGTATACTAGCCCGCTTGACAAAGGAGTGTGTCCATCCGGATGGTAGACAAAGGCCCTCCACATACTGGCAAACTGTTTGGCCTCTTCCGTAGGCACGGCGCGCAGGTGTCTCAAATCGCTCTTGTTACCGACCAGCATGATAACGATGTTTGAATCAGCATGGTCGCGAAGTTCCTTCAACCACCGGTTGACATTATCGTAGGTCTGGTGCTTGCTAATATCGTAGACAAGCAGAGCTCCAACAGCACCACGGTAGTAAGCGGACGTAATGGCACGGTAACGTTCCTGACCAGCAGTATCCCAAATTTGCGCCTTGATCGTCTTCGAATCGACCTGGATGGAGCGAGTTGCGAATTCGACACCAATGGTGGACTTGGAGTCCAGGTTGAACTCGTTACGGGTAAACCGACTTAAGAGGTTGGACTTTCCAACGCCGGAGTCTCCAATGAGGACAACTGTTCAAAGAAACGAGGAAGCCGTCGCAGGTTAGCCGTGATTCCGACACGAAAGAGAACTATGTGAGAGCGGACGGTGACGAGAGGCGACTGCGGGGAATAAGAGTGGCAACTTTACCTTTGAAGAGGAACTACCAGCGACATTTCGTTAGTTACAAGTCTGGTGGAGAGGGTCAGACGAAAGGGGTCACTCACATCATACTCGTCGTTAGCCATATTGATGTGATTATGAGAGCTCGCTTAGCTCTCTTACAGGTAAGATTTGGAGGACGGGGAGAGTTTTCGACGTGGCCGAGTCAAAGGTGTGTGGCAGGCGAATCGCAGGGAAAACCAACAGCAGGTGAATCTCACTTTCTAGAAACGAGGGGCAGCAGTGCTCTCTGGTTAGTTTTCACTATCAGATATCTGTAGAATGAAAGAGAAGCCCAGTAGGGCGCGCGGAGATGCCTCTTAAATCACAAAGTCACAGGTCAATAACAGCCACTTACCGGGAAAGTCTAAGGGGTGGACACCGGGGAAGGGAGATAGGAGGTTATCCAGACGGATTGGACTCTCTCTCTCTCTCTCAGAGGTCTCCCCCTACCGATTCCCGTCCTGGTCGCACTGCCGAGTGGACTGTTGCCCGTTCGGGCTTAGCGATTATGGCACGTGACCCATTATCTTTATCGTCCCCAGCAACTTGCCAGGTCCTGGTGACTGTTGTTGTTGATACCAAAATATCAAGCAGATGCAGTGCGCTGCATGCAGCAGGGGGGTCTCGGAAGTACTCGAATCTTCCTCACCCAATAAAGGAGACCTTGTCCTCTGCTTGATATTCACTCCCCCAACTACAACCTGCATCGGTCTGTCTCAATCGGGAAAGGACTATACACCCCACCACAGACCGAATCCAACGAGATCACAGAATGATATAGGCACTTCATTGCTTCATACGGCTTGAGTCTGTGCTAGGACTCCGACTTATACCGTCCGGTTGGCAATTTACGACTCTGTCTGGCAACCGAGATTCTCACCATAATATCTTCTGTTATTCTACATCTAATCTCCGGACTCATTGCTTGAGAGTATGGCTCACCGTCAAGAAGATGACGATGATGACATTTCCCTCACTTCGACGGTCTCCAGTGAGCCGAAATCGGAGTATGACGTCGAGGAAGTTCTAGCTGAGGGGCAATTTGAGGACGGTGTCAGGTATTTGGTGCAATGGGCCGGTTACCCTCCTGAAAGGAATAGCTGGGAGCCTGCCCAGGCCTTCACAAACGGCCAGACTATGGTCGATTGGCGTCGAAAAAAGAAAGCCATTGCAGAAGGAAAGTGCAAAAAATTCGATGTAGAAGCCTGGCAGCAATATATGGCAGAGTTAGAAGAAAAGAGGATTGAACGCAAGCGCAGACGCGACGCTAAGAGACGAAGACTAAGCAGATTAGCCGATCATGGGCGACGCCGAGCATCAGCTGGAGTCGACCATTCTTTACGAAGATCTTCACCCCGGCTTCGCTACAGCGCTCAAGGAGTACAGGCACAGCAACGCGTTGCGCAGGACTTACCCCCGGTTTTGTTTGGTGGTGGCAAGCCATCCCAAGCTCACCCGCAGCGTCGGAGTTCCCTCCATTCGAACACCACAGGCAAATGGTTTCCAAATCTGTCATCCAAGTGGTGGCACGAGAAGGCGAGAAATAGGGAGTTGGATCCTGATATCAATCGACTGGACTTGAGACGGCCTTCGGAATGGCCTGCCAACCCTCCCATCGCCCATAGGACAAGTGGTTCCTCAAACGTCACACCACCTCCGGAACAGACTCCAGACATACAATCAGCACCTTCTGGGCCCTCTCGGACAAGGTCTCCAGAAAAAGTGGATGAGACCATGACCGAAGTCAATCAGCCAGCGGAGCAACGCAAGGAACGAGAGTCTGAATATTATCCGGTCAAGAATCCTCGAGGAGGAAGAAATATAATGACAGCGTTCGGTGCACGATTCGTAAGGTCTGGTGAACTTTTAATTCGGATCTTATATGGGCCGGATAGGGAAATTATAGGCACAGCAAAGCTTTGTGGCTTGGATACATGGACAAGAAGTCAAGTTCTCAAGCACAAGATAGGTCATAACCTTGACATCTGGTTTCAACATGTCTATACATTGGATCAATATCAGACCCTAGCCTCAAATGTGAGTACCATGTGTTTTCTGTCTCAAAGGACTCCGATTCGAGCTCGCCTGCAACATTAACATGATTCGTATGGTTTGATGGCTGATCCTGATCAACTTCCAGGCGATGAACGCAGCGCGTGATGTGGGTTGGATCGAAGGGTATGACGATAGTTCACCTGAAATTCGCCAGATGTCACAGGAGCTTAAGCGAGAAAATACTGTGGCTATTTTCCATTCCGAGAAGTCATCTCTGGCGTTCTTCGCTTACCCTCCGGATTCACTTGATTTCCGGTTCCTTAGCAATGTGCGGAAGGACATTCCTGAGACATATCTTCATGTTCATGTTAGGGAATTCCTAGGTTCTATTGAGCAACTGCAACACAACGCATATGCTCAAGAGTTAATACCACGGCATATTAAAACTGACACTGTCAAGGAGACCCAAAAAGTGAATAAATTCGACCACACCCACAAAGTGAATAAGGTCGATGAATTCCAACACTCAGAGTTATTCGAAGACGCCCGAAGCAGTGTCTCAATCTCACTTGACACGGCCGATCAATCGGTAGAGAACACGTTGGAACGTCATATGTCCCCTATTCGACCCTCAGAAGAGACGATTGTAGAGAAGCCCAGACGACCATCTTTACCTGACGACGTTCGAACACACCCTTCCTTTCCAACAGCAGATACGTCTGAGGCAATGGAGATAGATCACCAGGGACTGCCACCCGCTTCTGAAGAGGTTTCATCCACTGGCGGCCCATTTGACCTGAAGGCCTTCTTCAGAACGCAATTTGGAGTGAATTTTGAGACGTTAGTGAGAGTCAACGCAGGGATCAACAAAACCCAAATGGCACAGGCGCTATACCTTATGTTCCCGGAAGATCCTGAACATGTCAAAGAATTCCAGTTATTAAATGAGTTCTTGAAGGAGTACAAACCAGTCGTGTATTCAAGCCAGCATGAGGACGATTGGGAAAAATTCGCGCGGACGGTCTCTTCCGGAGTTGTCTTTGTATGCTTCCTTTCCCCCCAGCTCGGTTCACTATCATTCAAGCTGACTTTTCAGTAGTTCCACGAGAGCTTTGCGTCGTTTCACGCACTTCCTTTTCTCAAAACTCTCCTCGGCAAGCCTGGTGTCGGGTTTTGGAGTGTCTCATTGTCAAAGCCGCTCCAATTCACGGATCAGCCATCCTGCTTTCAACGCATATTTCCCCACGGCTGTGTCATCTTGTTGACCGAAGGATTCATGTTACATGAGCCGGACGCCACGATGATCATACTGGCCTGGATGAGTGATTGGGTTAAGAAGAAACTTCCGGGAAACTGGAAAATTATGTTTCGACCTGATGTCCTCAACTGGGCTCTTCAGCAGTCGGAAACCAGTCCGGAGCGAAAGACAGGAATGTTAGTTGAAAGCCTCGATCGGAGACCCCCTTCCCACTTCTCCACCCACCATTAGCAGTATTATGTGAAGCTAACATTGCTCCTTCTCTAAACCAGTTGGTTGACCATATACCGCCTGATCTTACAGCTCTGCGTTCCCCCCGCTTACGACACCCCCTCTGGCCATGTGCTGCCAGGCTCTACCGATGAATTCTTTGAAAGCAACGTGATCTCTCCGCCCGATCTGCCTGGGTATGGGCTTCGCACCCAGCAAGAAAGCCCCGATCTACCTGTTGGCTCGAGTCGCGAAGTCCTCGATACAGACCACCTGATCGAATTCTTTGCCGGATGGGCCCTGGTCAACTCCCATCTCTACCGCAAATTCATGGTAGTCACCTCGCAGAAGGAATCGAGATGGGAACAATGGGAACACATCGAGCTCAAGGCGGGCGCGAAGGACACTTTAGCTACCCTTAAAATTGACCACAGGCACTACTGGCACAAGCTAGTTGAGAAGCGCAATTCCGACGGAGAAGGACGGGTCCAGGCCACGCCGTTTACGCCGCGGACCCCCGGCGGCCATCGTTCTGGGTCCACCGCCTCGGCTCTCGTTGAACATAATGCGTCGAAGGTCGCTCAGAATTCTGCTTCGGCTCAGTTCAACTACCCTGAACCTTACCATTAGTTCGAAACCTTGGTGGGGGGATATGTCTACTTCGAGATCAAGCAGGGGCAATCTCGATATCTGCTTGAAAGTCTTCAGCTCTTCAAGAGTTTCCAAAGCCAACGAATTGAATCGAGGACAATTTTCCATGCAAATATTTGGCGACCCTTGTTACATACCTTATCAGCGTGGAGTTTCTTTATGATGATGCACAGAATACCCTATGATTCTTTCACTATGATGAGTCCTTTTTTTCGGAGATATGTTGTCACCATTGAGCTGTGGCTTTAAGCGTCCGCAAGGAAGAGTTACAAATGTTATCATGATATTCACAAGATTGCAGGTTTGAGCACAGCGAAGTATAAAAAAAAACAAACAAACAAAAAACAGAAAACTAGTATGAGAGAACCGAGCAAAACCCTACCCCAACACCAAACGAACCAAAACGACCAATCGCTGCATGGGAGCCCGATACGATAAAGAGAATGACGACATAGGGATAAGGAAATGACCGAGCACGAGCGGGGAAGGGGAGCGAGCATCAACCTTTCCATCAGAAGCCAGCTGCTCTGGTTCGGTATTCCTTGAAATTCGAGATGGAATGTATTTCTGGTGGAGACGGCGACTTGGGCTTATGATTCTTGGCTTTAGCCTTCTTCTCGCGCCGCAGCTTCTCCTCCCATTTACTCTCCTCGGCTGCGATCAGGGAATGAAAACGTCCACCTTGGCCACGGGACAAGTAGATAGGCTTCTCCTGGCGCTCCGCAACCGACTCCGTGACCAGAACGAATTTGACGCTCGAACCGGGGGTTTCGAACATCGCGTCGCTGAGGATCGTCTCTAGCTCGGTTCGGAGTGCCCGTGCGCCGGTGCCCATGGTGAAGGCGTTGGCAGCAATTCTGTGCAAGGCGGGGGTGGTGAAGCGGAGCTCGATGCCAGAGAGAGAGAAGAGGGTTGTATACTGTGCTAAAAGGGAGTTGCGTGGTTCCGTGAGAATACGGACGAGCAAAGGTGTCGTTAGTGTGGATAGTGCAGCTGTCACAGGGACACGGCCAACTAGTTCGGGGATAAATCCGTAATTCTGCAAGTCTGTTGGGTTCAGAAGATCCAAGGCATTGAAGTAGGCTGGCTCGCCGTTAGGCGATGCGGATGAGGCGGAGCTGAAGAACGGGAGATGTTTCTTGTAGAGTGCTTCCTCTTCCGAGCCTGGGAGGATGGGAATTGGCTGATTGTTCGCCGGGCCCGATTCTCTTAATCGCTCGGATGAGCCTGACTGAGCCCGAACGGGCTGACCAAAACCGATCGAGCCACGGGATATCCTATCCATGACAACCTTGTTCAACCCAACAAAAGCACCGGAGAAAATAAAGAGGATGTTATCTGTGCGAACATTGTAGACCTCGCCCTTTTGGGCCGGGTGCCCTCCACTTGCTGGGGTGAACGGGCTGTTGCCTAGAGGACTGTGAGACGGATATGTGTTGGTTGTGTTGCTACCGCGAGGAGCGCTCCTCTCTGGCTTGGCTTGAACCTGAACGGTGGTACCCTCGATGAGCTTCAAAAGGGCTTGTTGCACTCCTTCACCACTAACATCTTTGCCGTGGCTGATCTTTGTGGCTGCGAGCTTATCCACTTCGTCTAGAACGATTATGCCATGTTCTGCCTGCTCGACATCGTAGTTCGCCGCGGCCAAGAGTCGGTGGACGCATACATCTGCGTCTTCTCCGATGTAGCCAGCCTGAGTGAATGGAGTACAGTCAGAGATGCTGAAGGGGACCGACAAAATTCTTGCTAGCGTCTTTGCCATCAACGTTTTCCCAACACCTGATGGTCCCAATAGCAATATATTTGATTTCTCCAACTGGAGCGGGGATGAATCTGAGGACTCTTTAAGTTCCACTGGAGCCGTCGTAGGTGCAGCTAGATCCGCATCGGGAGGGAGAGGAGCGGTTTGTTGTTGACCGGGGAATTCGTCTGCATGCAAGTTAGGTCAACAAGCATAGACTTACAGCCACTGAATGACTTACCCTCGACTGGATGACGCTCAAGGGCTTCTCTGCGTGCCCGCTTGGCCAGTAACTCCGCGTTTTCCTCCTCCCTTCGTTGCAATTCTTGCACTCGTTGGTAGTGATTGAAGACAGCCACGCTCAAGATCCTCTTCGCACGGTCTTGTCCCACCACGAACTGATCTAGATAATGCTTCAAGGATCTCGGCGTGACCCGCGGTGCTCCGAAGGCCGGAGTAGACCCAAGAGGTCCGGCTGTTGGTAATCCTGCTTCATAGCTTCCAGTCCATGGTTGACTGGTGAAGTCTGATCGGTCGAATTGTGAAAGGGTGGGATATGTTGCCGAAGAGTTTGTAAACCCACGACAATTGCCACGGGACTGCGGGTTTGGCGCATGCCGATAGCGGAGGACAGAGTAGCGGTGCACCCTTGGGGGACCACAAGCCCGGAGAGGCGACCGCAGCATGACCAGGAGAATATGAAAAACACAGCGGATGTGCCAATGCGATATACTCCGCACCAAAATGTAAAAGTGCGATAGAGGGGATGGTAAGAAGGAGAAAGACAGGAGCTCTCGGAGACGTCGCTTCCGATGGTGGCAGATAAGATACAATCAGCCCGATTGATAGCTTTCCCCGCAGCACGTGATGCTTATCAACCGATGCTATCCGCGGGTGACGTGGTTTGCGACAATGAGCGGGTATGAAGCCCATGTTGAGATGAACGTTGTGCGCGTGAGGCGTTGTCGATCTCGAGCTTGATCTGGCCGACTCCACAAGCTGTCTGAAGTCGGTTAACTCAGCCTTAAGGTCTGCGTTATGCGAAAATTGGCTTGGTAGCCTTACTTGGCTGTCGCCTTGGGCTACGGACACGCCAGTCCAAGGGAATACTTTGCCTGTCACATTGCAGACAAAGTGAAGTTGAAAGCAAGATGAAATGTTTGAACCGGCATCAAGAAGATTTAGTTCGTTCATTGCTTAATAGGCGGACATATAGGCCATGTGGGATGTTTTAATGACGTAGAAAAGGTACCAAGCACACGAACAACCAGCAGCATCAATTCGTCTCTTCATTCGCCATTGCTTCTTTGTTAACGCAAGAATTAGATGCGCCGAGTCCACATGTAAGCGCAAGGTTCTCAAGCTAGTGGTGGGTCTCATGTTTGTCAAACCGGAATGCACGGTCCTCGGTGTAAATTCCGGGGCCGCGTCTGAACCGCCTCTAGGAAGGATCATTGTGTATGGCTCTAAGCTGAATGAGCCAGGTTTGTTCATGGAACCACACACAGTCTCAAGTCTAAAACTGCATCTGAAATTATCTGCGCCAAGTGACCATCCACTGCATTACAGCTGTGTTCCAAGCTAAGCAAAACTCTGAGCCAGCTGGTATAGCGACGCCCGCGTCTCCGATGTCTTGTTCATTGCTTCATTGGGCTGTCTTAAAAGCAGGCTGTTGCTCCATTGTATGGGAAATGAAATTTCGCAACGCTGCCCACCTATTGGGCCCTGCGTTAGTATCCGAAGTCGCGTTAGGAATCGTCGGAGCAGCCGCCTCCATGCTCGACAGCTGTGCCATATTTTTCGCAAATCTATCGCGTTCCACTTTCTCTAATTTCTCTCTGCGCTTCATAGCACCGGGCTTGTGCTTTAAGGTCTTCTGCTTAATGATGTTCACTTGATTGCTCGAAGCGTTCAATTCTTCTTCGGCTTCAGGGAGGGCATCTGCTAGAGAGTCCAAATTCGTGACGAGCTTTTTCGAGGCACGGCGCCGCTTGTTACTCTTCTTTGAGCTTTTCTCGATCTTTGAAACGAAGCTGGCATGCTTGATCAAGCGCTTGTCCTTCTTTGTCGTGCGGAATTCATCGAAAAGACTCGAGTTTGTAGATAAAGTGCTACCTCCGGTGGCAGGCTTCTTGACGGCATCTTGTTTCTTTCCGGGTCTAATGGGGGCCTATAGTGATTGCTCATAATTTCAGAGGGTGTTCCTATCATAATATTGAGTTTTGAAGCGACTTACCATGATTGTTGAACTTGGATTCCCTTCTTGAAAGAGACGAAATAGGCTTGCGTATGCCTGTAATACGATCACTTTTTTGAAACTGCCGACCAATTTTTGAAACTAACCCTCTTATGGATTAGTAGAGTAGGTTCAGGTCGGGCCCCTTGGCTCACCGCCCGGGTTGTCTCTGAGTCCTTGGCCCGGAAGCCTCAAGCCGGGGCGCGGATGGATGTTTGGCACATGATTAGCGGCGTTCCTTCTGGGCTGGAGGCAAATCCTCGGTCAGATTCTGTTGAACAAGCCGTCGCCTCTCGTTGGCCAAACACTGATACAGATCTCTCACCGGTGGAGAAGGTCCTACACTACTCGTAAGTACAACTAGGCCAACCCTGGGTTGATGTTGTACAAAACCCAGAGGAATTCTTGGTCGTCATCTTTCCATCAGTATCCTTTTTCCAAGTCTCCGAGGTCATTTCTTTCTTCATTCGGAAGGGAACAGATCCACAATTACGGCTATCGAACCCGTCTCTTTATCTTGCTCTTACATCAGGGAGCCACAGTGCCACCCACCAGAATTCGGCAGACCACTTCAACTGATCTCATTTGTGATCTTGCATGTGGATGCAGTCCCCAGTCCGCCTTATATCACGCCGGTCTTGTCCATCTTGCTGGAAGACACTTGTGACTCTACCTCGGCCCCAGACACACGAGCGCCTCCTTCCTACTTCACTACTTTCGAGTGTTTCGCCGCTCACTACTCCTTTAAGAAAGTTTAATTCCTCGCTTTCCAACTCCGTTCGACACTTCTGCTACACCTCCTTTCCACAGCTTAATCACTGCACACACAACTCCACGACAATGGGCTCCCTCACACCTTATCAGCGCAAGCACAGGGTCACCGTGATCGGCTCAGGAAATTGGTATGTTTTTACACGCCCAATCACGCTCATCAAGGGTAGGCGATTGAGGTGCTAACACGGTTCAAGGGGTACCGCTATCGCGAAGATTGTCGCCGAAAATACTGCCAGCAATCCTGCCATTTTCGAGAAGGATGTTCAGATGTGGGTATTCGAGGAGAAGGTCGAGATCTCCAAGGAATCCCGCCACTACGACCCCTCTTCCCCTTTGTGCCAAGGTCCCCAGAACCTGACGGACATCATTAACACTGCGCACGAGAATGTCAAATACCTACCTGGAATCGCTTTACCGGATAACTTGCATGCGAACCCATCTTTGGTGGAAGCTGTCAAGGACAGCACAATCCTTGTCTTCAACCTCCCCCACCAATTCATCATCAAGACTTGCGAGCAAATCAAGGGGAAGATCCTACCATATGCGCGCGGAATTTCCTGTATTAAGGGGGTTGATGTGAACGAAGAGGGTATCAGTCTTTTCTCGGAAACAATTGGCAAGATCCTGGGGATCTATTGCGGTGCTCTTTCCGGTGCCAATATCGCCAGTGAAGTTGCGCAAGAGAAGTGGTCCGAGTCCAGCATTGCCTATGACCCCCCACACCTGGATTCCAAGGCCCCTTCGCCCAATCGCTCTCCTTCGGCATCCTCCGAGAACCTTGTTCAATTTGAGCACAAGGATGTGTCCGGCCAGCTTTCTCGGGTGAAATTGCAGGCTTTGCCATCCGAATTCCCACCTGTCGATCATGCTGTTCTCAAATCACTGTTCCACCGTCCTTACTTCCATATTCGTGTAGTGAATGACGTTGCTGGAGTATCTCTTGGTGGCGCTCTCAAGAATGTTGTCGCTCTTGCAGCAGGCTGGGTAGACGGCATGGGATGGGGTGATAATGCCAAGGCTGCCATCATGCGGGTTGGACTTCTTGAAATGGTCAAGTTTGGAGAGAAGTTCTTCAGCGCAACGATTGAAACTCGGACTTTTACCGAGGAAAGTGCAGGCGTCGCCGATCTAATCACCAGCTGCAGTGGTGGTCGTAACTTCCGTTGCGCAAAGCTCAGCGTGGAGAGAAAGCAGCCAATTGACAAGGTCGAAGAGACCGAGCTAAACGGCCAAAAGCTTCAGGGCACCTTGACTGCAGTCGAAGTGAACAACTTCTTGAAGAAGCAGGGCATGGAGGATGAATTCCCTCTGCTGACTGCTGTTTATCGTAAGTTTCGCTCCTGATTTCCGATTTCCGATCAAAGGGTTAATGCAAGACAACTAACAATGGTAGGGGTCCTCACGGGAGCCATGTCGGTGGAAGACATTCCATCATACATCGAGCGGTAAATTAGACCTGATGGCAATTTCCCTTTGTTTATGATTGTGTTGTTAATTCACTGGGACTTGTCTTTCAATTCTATACAGAAAGCCGACTAAACCATCACACACGGAAACGAACGAGGCGACGAACGGTGGCGCAAGCCAGGCGATTTTCAGCGCGAGATTGTAAAGCGAAAGGATGCGCATAGAACATACCCCCTCCTGTTCTCATTTTCTTCTTCTATCCTTCTTCTCGAGAGTATGTTTTCTTCTTGGCTTGTTGTCACTTTCACCTTTATTGAAGTATTTTTCAATGCATATAGATAGATGACCATAGACCTTCATGAGATCGGCTTCCACCCTTAGGCACTTGAGAGTAAAAGCGTTAAGGGGCAGCCACGCAAACGCTTTGTCGGGTCCGATAATGGACATCAAGAGCGTGTGGAAACGGCCCCGGCCTTGTATGAATCAATTGTTGTCGATACGGGCTTCGAAGTCTTAAATAAATATAGAAAGCCAGCGCGGAGTCCAGCCGAAGTGGAGTTGGGAACGCGGTGACGGAGTCCGGAGTTACCAAGCCTGATCCATCATACCATGGAGGTCTAGACTAACCCTCCCGAGTCTTTTCCCCCTCCCGCGCTTCCCCGCCAAGTTGCTGCTGGCTGCTGGCTAGTAGCCTAGTACTGCCAACAAACCGCGATTTATGATCATGATGTCAGGGTTCCCGCGGGGTTCCCAGGTGTGTTCAGGCGCCATCCAGGAACAGGAAAACCTGGTCAGGCCTGGATGCGTCCAATAATCCTCTCGCGGACTTAAATACCCCCCTCAAGGCCCACTGCTCGTGCGCAGTTCCTCCGAATTATCATCTTGCTGCCCTCAATACTCCCCCATCCTCCACAGGCGAGCTCGTCAGTCCAGCAGGCGCCCTTCTCCTGCCCACACGGTCACTACCATAGCTTTCCTTCCAGCCGACCGTGGTCGTACAAGATCAATCGGAGGATCGCATCTATCTGCTCAGGATCACGCTATGGCTTCTCCCCGACAGGTCTATTTGCTGCCTTTAAAGGATGATGGCTCCCCAGACATTCCGGGAGGCTACATTTATCTCCCTCCGCCCACCGATCCATCCTATCTTCTTCGCTTCGTAATTGAGGGAACGAGCTCGATTTGCAGGGAAGGCCAACTGTGGGTAAACATCCCAGAAGATGGTCACCCATTCAATCGCTCTGCGTTTCGCAGCTTCAGGTAAGGCAATTGGATCTTTCTGGTACTGGTGACAGTCCGATTGTTGAGACTATGAATAGACTCTCTCCGGACTTCAACAAGAACATTCAAATCGACATTCCTGTCACTTCCCCCGGATCATTTGCCTTCTACGTGACCTTCTCTCCGCTTCCCGAGTTCTCGATCTCCCAGACACCTACTCCAGAACCGACAAGAACTCCAACTTACTACATTGACGTCTCACCCAAGCTGACTCTTCGCGGTCGCGATCTGCCACTCAATGCTCTTTCCATTTACTCAGTCATATCCAAATTCTTGGGTCAGTATCCTACAGATTGGGACAAGCATCTCAATGGTATCAGCCAGCGCAATTACAACATGATTCATTTCACCCCTTTGATGAAACGCGGTGACTCCAACTCGCCGTACAGTATATTCGACCAGTTGCAATTCGATGACGCTGTATTCCCCAATGGGGAACAGGATGTCGCCCAGTTAGTCAAGAAGATGGAGGAGGAATACGGGCTCTTATCTTTGACGGATGTTGTATGGAATCATACGGCCAACAACAGCAAGTGGCTTGAGGAACATCCTGAAGCTGGCTACAGCGTTGAGACTGCTCCCTGGCTTGAATCAGCCCTAGAGTTGGACACTGCCTTGTTGAAGTTTGGTCAAGACCTTGCTCCTCTCGGCTTGCCGACTGACTTCAAATCAGTAGATGACCTTGTCACCGTAATGAATGCTGTTCGTGAGCATGTCATCCACAAACTCAAGCTATGGGAATACTACGTCGTCAATGTTGCTGCGGACACGCAGAAAATCATCGAGCAATGGCAGGTATCCCAAAACATCGACACCACAAGTGATAAGTGGTCGCAGCACAGGCTGAAAGAGTTCGGCAACTGGACTCTGGAAGAGCAGGCGAGCTTCGTCTGCAATAAAGCCATTCCAACATCAAAGCAACTTCTTGGGCGGTTCAGCAGAGCGACCGATCCAGAGTACGGGGCAGCGATACTAAATGTACTGCTTGGTCCGTTTGATGCCGCAAAATCTGATACAGCTGCGGCTGAGCTTACTATCACGAAGATACTCGACGAGGTGAATCTTCCTTTCTACAAAGAATACGACGCGGATGTTTCGGAAATCATGAACCAGCTCTTCAACCGGATCAAATACATTCGCATCGATAGCCACGGGCCTAAACTAGGACCAGTCACGGAGCAAAACCCTCTCATCGAGACGTACTTCACCAGGCTCCCTCTGAATGAAACCACGAAGAAGCACAATGACAAAGCTCTTGCCCTCGTTAACAACGGCTGGATCTGGAATGCTGATGCATTGCGAGACAATGCTGGACCCTTCTCCAAAGCATATCTACGTCGAGAAGTCATTGTTTGGGGTGACTGTGTGAAACTGAGATATGGATCCTCTCCCGAAGACAACCCCTTCCTCTGGGATTTCATGACTAAATATACCCGACTCATGGCCAAATACTTCTCCGGATTCCGCATCGACAATTGCCACTCGACACCCTTGGTGGTTGCGGAATATCTACTGGACCAGGCACGAAAAGTTCGACCCAATCTCACGGTCTTCGCGGAGCTCTTCACCGGCTCAGAAGAAGCGGACTACATTTTTGTCAAGCGTCTTGGTATCAATGCTCTCATTCGCGAGGCAATGCAAGCTTGGAGCACTGGGGAACTTAGCCGACTTGTTCATCGCCATGGAGGCCGTCCAATCGGTAGCTTTGATGTTGACTTGCCTTCATCGGGAAGTGGTCATGCTATTGCTTCATCAGGCATTGACAGTGGCAAAGAGAACGTTTCCCATATTCGTCCAACCCCTGTCCAAGCTCTTTTCATGGATTGCACTCATGATAACGAAATGCCGTCCCAGAAGCGGACTGCGATAGACACGTTACCAAATGCAGCTCTGGTGGCTATGTGCGCCTCGGCGATCGGGAGTGTCATCGGCTACGACGAGATCTACCCTAACCTCGTTGACCTGGTTCACGAGACTCGTCTTTACGCTTCCAGATTTTCAGATTCGGCCAAGGTCGATCTAGACTCTCTCGAAGGAGGCATAGGTGGCATCAAGAAATTGCTGAACGAACTGCATACGGTAATGGGTTCTGAGGGCTACGACGAGACCCATATCCATCACGACGAAGAGTACATTACTGTTCACAGAGTACACCCGAAGACACGGAAGGGAGTCTTCTTAATCGCTCACACGGCGTTCCCAGGGCAAGACAGCAAAGCGATTTTGGCTCCCACACGCCTTGTTGGTACTCGAGCAAAGCATATCGGGACGTGGCTACTGGAGGTCGATTCGTCTGAGAATACCAGGAAGAAAGTCACCGGTGATAAGTCCTACCTGAGGGGGCTACCCAGTCGTATTCATGCTATTGAGGGCACGAAGGTCGAACAAGACGGCGACGACACAGTCATCTCGGTTTTGGAAGCGCTTGTTGCCGGATCCATTTCCCTATACGAAACGTCCATTCCTAGCGCTGAACATGCTGCGGGACTTGACGCTCACATCACGGATGGGGTTGACGACGCTTTTACAAATCTTAGCTTGGTTGATCTTAACTATGTGCTTTATCGCTGCGAAGCAGAGGAGCGAGATTCCAGCAATGGTCAAGACGGGGTCTACAGTATTCCAAATTACGGTTCTCTGGTTTATGCCGGTCTTCAAGGTTGGTGGAGTGTTCTTGAGAACATCATCAAGTACAACGAGCTCGGTCATCCACTTTGCGATCACTTGCGAAACGGTCAGTGGGCACTTGACTATATTGTTGGGCGCCTGGAGAAGGTTGCGAAGACAGAAGGCTATTCTGCTCTCCATAAACCTGCGGCCTGGTTGCGAGAAAAATTCGAGGTTGTTCGTGGATTACCCAGCTTCCTACTTCCCAGGTATTTCGCAATTATACTTCAAACTGCCTATAATGCTGCGTGGAAGCGAGGTATCCAGCTTCTCGGTGGCGACATACAAAAAGGGCAAGAGTTTATTCATCAGCTAGGCATGGTGAGCGTTCAGATGACCGGATACGTTACCTCGGCATCTTTGTGGCCGACAAAGAGGGTACCTAGCCTTGCAGCTGGCTTACCACACTTTGCCGTCGATTGGGCAAGATGTTGGGGTCGCGACGTTTTTATCTCACTGCGAGGCCTTTTACTCTGCACCAGCCGGTTTGATGATGCCAAAGAGCATATCTTCGCATTTGCAAGCGTCCTCAAACATGGAATGATCCCGAATCTCCTCAGTAGTGGAAAGCTTCCACGCTACAATTCTCGAGACTCCGTTTGGTTCTTCCTTCAATCTATTCAGGACTACACCGTTATGGCTCCTGATGGTATTAAGCTTCTGGACGAGAAGGTACCTAGAAGATTCCTTCCTTATGATGATACATGGTTCCCGTTCGATGATCCTCGGGCCTACTCAAAGCACTCAACAATATCCGAAGTGATCCAGGAAGTATTCCAGCGCCACGCTCAGGGCTTGTCCTTCAGGGAGTACAATGCAGGGACAGATCTTGATATGCAAATGAAGCCGGAAGGCTTTGACATAAACGTCCAGGTCGACTGGGAGACGGGCCTGATTTTCGGTGGTAGCCAGTTCAATTGTGGCACATGGCAAGACAAGATGGGAGAAAGCGAGAAAGCCAAGAACAAAGGAGTTCCTGGAACACCGCGAGATGGAGCTGCAGTTGAAATCACGGGTCTTGTCTACAGTGCTTTGAAATGGGTAGCAACGCTCCACGAGCGCGGACTTTATCCGCACTCAGGGGTGAATCTTGAGGAGGGAAAGTCAGTCACTTTCAAGTCCTGGGCGGTAAAGATCAAAGAGAACTTTGAGCGCTGCTATTATATCCCGTCAGATCCGGAGGAGGACAGCAAGCACGTTGTTGATCGAAATGTGGTCAATCGGCGTGGAATCTACAAGGACCTCTATAAGTCTGGAAAGCCGTACGAAGATTACCAGCTTCGTTCAAACTTTCCCATCGCAATGACTGTTGCCCCAGAGCTGTTTACACCTTCGAAAGCACTATCGGCTCTTGCACTAGCGGATGAGGTCCTTGTCGGCCCGGTCGGTATGGCTACTCTCGATCCATCTGACCTCAACTATAGACCATACTACAACAACTCGGAGGACTCGGAGGACTTTGCAACCGCCAAGGGTAGAAACTATCACCAGGGTCCAGAATGGGTCTGGCAGCGTGGTTTCTTCCTCCGTGCGTTCCTGCACTTTGATCTAGCTCGCAGGACAACACCCGAGGAGCGGACTGAGGCTTATCAGCAGGTTACTCGACGTCTAGAAGGCTGTAAGAAGGCTCTCAGGGAGAGTCCGTGGAAAGGTCTCACGGAGCTTTCGAACAAGAGCGGTGCATACTGCGCAGACTCGGTAAGCCCCAGCAGATTCCCTCTTTGTTCTCTCACACGACGCTAACATATTGCTCCTTATAGTCACCTACACAAGCATGGTCCGCCGGCTGTCTGCTCGACTTGTACTACGATGCTTCACAGCATTCTCAGAATGAATGATCGCGTCCTATACACGTCGAAGAAGATGAATCGCAGTTACATATTGGCAGACTGATCAAAGTGGGCCATTGGGGGAAGTGTAAAGGGACTGAATAATCTCCATTTAGCATCATGCATATTACAGCAAGTCTTTTCAATGGGTTTCGAACATTTTCGGAGTAACTTTCTTTCTCTTTCTTGCAGGACGTGCCGGCTGAACGTTGCGATCCGGCCGTAAGAACCTAGATAGTTAGCTAGTTATGCGTTTTTACAAACAAAGCATAATACATGCTGAGTCATCGGAATGCACAACTTCTCGATTAACTAGAGACGGTTTGAGTTTGGGTTCGTTGACACGACCATTGAAGTGAAGCGATGCCCGACACGGCCAAAATCGCCTATTTAGCGCAGAGATTGCGGTGTAGGGCCCTTATTCTGGATGTCGCCTGATGTGGGTTTATATTCTTTTGCTTATCACTTCACGACAACCTCGAGCCTGTGACGCTGTGTACAACGTGTAATCTGCCCCCTGACGTCAGTTGTGTTTCGAGCTGCGCATTCTGCCCCGGCCATAGAGGTCCGCGTGCCCATATGCTTTGATAACCCGAGACATCCGCCAAAACGCACCCAAAGCGCAAACCACGATCATACCGGAGTCATGTCGCTCACGCAATCTGCTGCGGCTGCTATGCTGACCGTGGTCGATGCGCCCGACGTACATGAGCCGAGATGGGAAGATCAAACGAATCCCCGCGATCTTGTCACTCAATTTGTTATTAGCCTGACCATCGGTCTGGGCGCTTTTCTTGCCTTTTGTGTAGGTCTCTGGATGCCACTCGAGAGGCCTTGATTTTTGTCTCTAACAAGTTTAATCGTTATAGGTTCTGCGACCGAAATGGACCGAGCTTTACGCCGCACGGAGACGACAGCGCTGCGCGGCTTCCCACTTACCAGAACTTCCTGATAGCTTCTTTGGCTGGATACCTGTCCTGTATCGGATCACTGAGGAGCAGGTGTTGGAGTCGGCAGGCTTGGATGCATTTGTTGTGAGTTCCTAGGTGTACTTGTCGGCCCGTCCGTAAAGACAATTTAGGCTGACAATGTATGTGCTTGGTTTAGTTCTTGACCTTCCTCCGATTCGCAATCCGGTTTCTCTCCGCCGTATTTGTTTTCGCATTGGTCATTATCCTGCCTATGCACTACAGGAATACCGGTAAATCCGGGATCCCGGGTTGGGACGATGATGACGAGACTATTGACACTTTCGGCGGTGATAAAGATAAGAAGAAGATCATATCAGACCCGAATTACTTGTGGATGTATGTGGTGTTCACGTACATCTTTACTGGCCTCGCCGTCTATATGCTCGTTCAGGACACGAATAAGGTCATTCGCATTAGGCAGCAATATCTCGGGAGTCAAACAAGCACCACCGACAGGACGATCCGCCTGTCTGGCATTCCCCCTGATATGGGGTCTGAGGAGAAAATCCGAGAATTCATGGAAGGCCTACGCGTAGGCAAAGTGGAAAGCGTGACTCTGTGCAAAGACTGGCGCGAATTGGACCGTCTAATCGATGAACGACTCAATATCCTCCGAAATCTGGAGTGGGCATGGACAAAACATCTCGGTTACAAGCGCGTCAAATCCAACGCAAATCGGTTGTCACTTCTACATCAACATGCGCGTGGATCGAGCATCGTCTCCGATGACGATAGTGAACGCATACAGCTCCTTTCTGATAGCGTGCAAGCTCATGTTTCTGACTATGCCCACAAGCGACCGACTACCCGCATCTGGTATGGACCATTCAAGCTGCGCTACCGGAACGTGGATGCGATCGACTACTACGAAGAAAAGCTGCGGAGGATAGATGAGCAGATCCAGCTTGCACGTCAAAAGGAGTATCCTCCTACTGAAATTGCCTTCGTCACAATGGAATCTATTGCCGCATCGCAGATGGTTGTTCAGGCCATCCTTGATCCACAACCAATGCAGCTTCTTGCTCGGTTGGCACCGGCGCCTGCTGATGTTGTATGGAAGAATACTTATCTCCCTCGCTCGAGACGCATGATGCAATCCTGGTCCGTTACGGTTGTCATTGCTTTCCTGACTATTTTCTGGTCTGTTCTTTTGATCCCTGTCGCCTACCTGCTCGAGTACGAGACTCTTCATAAGGTGTTCCCTCAGCTGGCGGATGCGTTGACGCGAAACCCTCTTGCCAAGTCCTTGGTCCAAACCGGTCTTCCGACTTTGGTCCTCTCGTTGCTCACCGTCGCAGTGCCGTACCTCTATAATTGTAAGTGAATATCCTCGGTGTTGTCGTTATCAGCTACAGAGATTGATCGATCACTCAGGGCTCTCACATCAACAAGGCATGATGTCACGCGGTGATATTGAACTATCTGTCATCTCCAAGACCTTCTTCTTCTCCTTCTTCAACCTGTTTCTTGTTTTCACAGTGTTCGGAACTGCAACAACATTCTATGGTTTCTGGGAAAATCTCAGAGATGCATTCAAGGACGCTACCACAATTGCCTTTGCCCTTGCCAAAACACTTGAGAACTTTGCCCCGTTCTATATCAACTTCTTGTGTCTACAAGGCATAGGGTTGTTTCCATTTCGACTTCTGGAATTCGGTAGCGTGGCGATGTATCCCATTTACTTCCTCACAGCGAAGACACCGCGCGACTACGCTGAGCTAAACACGCCCCCTATGTTCAGCTACGGATACTCTATCCCACAGACTGTTCTTATTTTGATTATCTGTGTGGTGTATAGTGTCTTTCCCAGTTCATGGTTGATCTGTCTCTTCGGTCTGATATATTTCACTATCGGCAAGTTCATCTACAAGTACCAGCTTCTCTATGCCATGGACCATCAACAACATTCGACTGGGCGAGCGTGGCCGATGATATGTAGTCGTGTCCTGATGGGCTTGATCGTCTTCCAGCTTGCTATGATCGGTGTTCTAGCATTGCGTCGAGCCATCACCCGCTCTCTGCTCCTTGTTCCGCTTTTGATGACAACTGTGTGGTTCAGTTATTTCTTTTCGCGGAACTACGAGCCCCTGATGAAGTTCATTGCACTGAAGAGCATTGACCGTGAACGTCCTGGTGGCGGTGATATTTCGCCTTCTCCATCGTCGACCTTCTCACCGCCATCTGGTCTTGAGCGTGACGCCTTCCCGATCCGAATTGGTGGTCAGGAATTAGGACTAAGGCTCAAGAAATACGTCAACCCAAGTCTCATCCTGCCTCTTCATGACGCTTGGCTTCCGGGCCACAGTACAGCCCCGGGATACCAGGAAGGCCCCAGCTTCCATGAGTCGTCGAATGTTGCAGCCGACGATTCGGTCTGAGCCTCTGCAGGCGACACCGTTCTGGCAGCATACCTACTCTTACGCCTTATCTACTGCACATAGCACATATAATACTGTCTACACGTCTCTGTTCTCACAACACAATTGCGACTGATGTCTCATTCCTATTCGTGTGGATGACTTTTTATGATCTACGACGCTACGCCTACGATATAATGGAGATCGCTATGTCTCTCACCTCGGGCCTCTATGTAATCTGTATCAATGGTGCCTTTACATATATAGTTGGGGGTGATCTGTTTATCAGCATATCTTGTGGTTCATGCACTTGGTTATCTTGTTTCATTAATACCAGGGACTGTTTCACGTTGGTTCTTGTTCGACTATTAGAATGGGGCTGTACTAATCTGTAACACTATCGATGAGATTTGAGGATATGATGAAGATGTCGGTGCCCGTGACAGTAGGCAAGCCGAACTCATCTGGCATCTATGCAAGTAGCAGTTTCCTCAGTAGACGCCTTGCTGGGTACTGAATCACGCATCGAGCGGGAAAGTGCCCAATACCCGGAGAGCTATTTGTATGAGGCATCTAGAGAATTTACGTTTATTTTACTTGGTTGTTCGCATACGCTCCATGATAATTCAGCCGGTGATTGTTCGGCTGTCATTGGAAGTGGACCAAATGTAAGCATGATTTTTATCTTTGACCAGCGGAATCATGTCCAAACTGGCACACGTCAACGCGCGCTAAGGTGCAAGCAGAAGCTGAGAAGCGAGGCGGGATGGGATGTCTTTCGGAAGCTTCCCTCTTCTACCCATTGACCTGACGACGACTTCATCACATTTCCTCTGAACTCAGAAGGGTATGTCCCAGTCAAGTAGTCCAAGTACGGAGAAGAGTCTTGTCATTGTCACGAGATCTTCCGCGGTCCTGGTCTCATTGTACACCAGAGACGAGATTGTCAATAAGTCATCCGAACACTTACACAAAAGCTCCAAGGAGGTTTGTCAACTCGAGTTCCTTTTCGAGATATTGGCATTCATGCTACTCTTCCCCAAGTATCTGAGCAGAGAGTTGTGGGCTGATCTATGGACCTATTCTCAAAAGGAAGTTGAATCAGGCCCAGAGCTCGAGCATCCTGACGCGGAGACACACCAACCCTCCAGATGCAAAAATTCCCTAGATAAACAGGTCACAATACACCCTGAAGCACAGCCAGATATGGATATGCCTGATGGTCCGAGCAAAAGACCGATTCACAAACGGGTCGCTAGGTGTGTTTCCGACTTAGTCGACTGGGATGAGGACCTGAGGCCTAGCATGGAGCCAAGTGAGGCAACAGCACACCTAGACAGCACAGCATTCACGTCAGTCGCTTCGCCGTCGCCTGATGACACCTATACCTTCAATGAAAGTCACAGACCTCAAGGGATGAAGCGTGCGGCCAAAGGGAAGTCGAGCTCCAAAAAGGCGTCAACTGCGAGACGTCGTACGATACCGCAAGGGGCCGTGAAAGAGAAGGCCGTTCCCAAGAAGCGTGCAGTTCCAGTTTCTGATGAAACGGCACAAGAAGATATGCCTGGGATTCGACGAAAGAGGCTGGTAGAGGCCCCGCGGCATGATGACGGTTTGCGCAGTGACAGCAACAAATCTCCTCGGGTTCCCTCGGTGGACAAACTGTCTAACAATACTACGTTGAGTCCTGCAGTCACGGACGAGAAACTCAGCACCCTTTTGCCAGACAAGGAAAACATGGAATCGGTTTTGTCCATCTTTCAAATACCAGAGATCGACCTGGATGATGGCATAGAGCTTCATTGCTTCGATGTTCAAGGTTATAGTGACGACTACATAGTTTCTTCTACGCATAGTTGTCAATCACTCGGATACCAGGAGTCGAAACGGTGTGGCTCGGTTACAGGACCATCGCGCGCGGGTCTCTATACGGACGATACTATCGCAGACAACGTTATTCACGGCGGGAACGATGAATCAGAGAGACCATTGAAGACTGACACGAAGAGCCCTCACTTATGTCCTGAGTCAAGCATGGCGTCCATGAAAGTGGACAGAAGCTGGAAAACCCAAGAAGCAAGTACTGGAAACTCTCACAATGAAAATGGGTCTCCAGGGCATGTCTCAAAGGATACGCCCAGTCCAATGACCACAACCCCGTCCGGGACATCAAAAGAGTATCTGGCCGATGAGCATCGCACTCCCCAGTCGAGTTCTCAGATGTGTTCCAATGCAGGTATTGACAGCGTTCCGTGGAATTCTCCGAAGAAGACTCCTAAGAATACGATAGTCGATACCAATGGAAGCCCCCGCCTCCTTACGGAGAGATATAAACAAACCTACAAGATACAAACTTTGGTTCTAGATGAGACGGCAGATTCGTTCGAGTTCTACAGAGGCCGTGCCACAGCGAGAGCGTCAGCTTCCTTTACTAGCCGGCTGAAACTATGCGCAGCTGGAAACACCCGGCCGGAAATTTCCGGGCCTAGCCAAGATAATGCCGTGCAGAAGATGCTGTTCGAGACTAGCGAGGTGGGTCAAACATTTCTCGGACGGGAATCCGGAAGATTATTGCTTGGTCTGGATGAGCATGTGCTAATTATCGTGATTGTGCCAAGTCCCTATCCCGTCACATCGAGAGCGAGAATACTACTATAAGCGAGATCTTTGAGTCATTCCGACAGAACTGCCATCGAATGCTTGACCAGCTGTCAGAGGCTCAGGAGGCGCGGGTCCGATTATGCCAGCAACAGATGGAAGGCATTCGGAAGCACCATTCCAAGATCTGTGAGGAACTGGTTCACCGGATGGAGGAAGATGAGAAGCGATTTCAGAAGATCCTCGGCATCACCTGAACTTCAAATAGACATTCTAGCGATCTTGGCTTGACATTTGACGCCAGCATGCTCGCGCTTTTATGAGAACTTTGACCCTGAAGGCACGGCAACATGTAGGTTATCAATTAGAGTTAGCTTGGTGAACACTCAACACGACCTACCACAACCAGCAAGAATGATATTTGCCAGTTTAAAATGATCTACACCATTTACCAAACGAGTCGCCGAGTTTGCTGGAGCAAGATAGGTACCTTCCTTGTTCGACCTTTACCCGAAACGGTAGTGAGCAGCGAAGGCTCGGGGACAAGGAAGAACACAGACTATGACGCCTAGTTCCAGATATACTCTCTTTGCAAGATCCACGTACAGTAGACTAGCTGAGATCAGCCATCGTTGCACTCCGAAGCATTGAACCTTTGAAAAACGCAGACCTCCTTACCCCTCGAGGCTCGGTTGAGCACTCTTACAGGTTATTGGGATAGATTGTGTTTGCTTCGAATGCAGGCAGCATGGAGGGAAATGCATCAATGGTGGCACACAGCATGGGAGAGTGTGAGTACAGCGGCAAAGAATCCAGGGGATGCAGCGAATGGGAGGAGCAGCATTGGACATTTGCCCGCTCACCGAGGTCACGTGCACCGAAATATTATGACTCGAATGGAAGGAAGAAGAGGGCCAGGAAGGAGAGACCGGGAGCTGGTCCATTTTCTTATAAGAAGCTCGACCAAATTGGTTTTATTGGAAGTGCAACCCTTTTGTCTCTTGCAATTGATCCCCTCCTTTTATATCTCAAATCACCCTCTAACTCCCATTGAACTGTGGTTGGCTCTCATACCTCCCTCTGCTATCTCCTTCCCCTCTTCATAGTCCATCGGACATACTATCTGCCTATCTCTCTATCGCCATCTTTTCCCGACCCCGCCACTACCCACCATGTCGGTGAGTCAATCCGCGATCACCCGCTATCTCTCGATCCAGACTCATCATAGCCTGTACAGTTCTTCATTGAAAACTCCAATGTCGGGGACAGAACTTCCTTGGAAGACTCAAGAAGTATGTGTGCTTTTTATTTGTCTGATGCGACGTCTTCACTGACAACTTATGCTCTCCCACTGCAGTTCGAGGATACAATCCACTCACTCCTCCCAACCTCCTCCAACATGAGATCGCGTTGACGGACAAGTCGAGACAAACCGTCCTGGAGGGACGTGAGGAAGCTGCCGCTATCGTCCAAGGCACGGATACCGACCGACATCGTTTGATGGTCGTCATCGGACCATGCTCGATCCACGATCCGGAGATGGCCTTGGAATACTGTGATCGGCTCCTGAAGTTGAAAGAGAAGTACAAGGACGAGTTGCTGATTGTTATGCGCTCCTACCTCGAGAAGCCTCGGACTACTGTAGGCTGGAAGGGTCTGATCAACGACCCGGATATCGACAACAGCTTCAAGATCAACAAGGGCCTGCGCGTGTCCCGCCAGCTCTTCGTTGACCTCACTAACAAGGGCATGCCCATTGCCAGCGAGATGCTCGATACTATCTCCCCTCAGTTCCTGGCCGACTGCCTGTCCGTCGGAGCAGTGGGTGCCCGTACCACGGAGTCTCAGGTCCACCGTGAGCTGGCTTCGGGTCTGTCCTTCCCCGTCGGTTTCAAGAACGGCACCGATGGCTCGCTTGGCGTCGCTATCGATGCCATTGGATCTGTCAAGCATCCTCACCACTTCCTGTCCGTTACCAAGCCCGGTGTTGCCGCAATTGTCGGTACCGTCGGCAACCCGGATTGCTTCGTTATTCTCCGCGGTGGAACCAAGGGTCCCAACTACGACGAGCAGAGCATCAAGGAGGCCAAGGCGAAGTTGGCGGCCCAGGGCCTGCCACCCCGTCTGATGGTTGACTGCAGTCACGGTAACTCGCAGAAGAACCACAAGAACCAACCCAAGGTCGCTGCCGTTCTGGCAGAGCAGATTGCTGCTGGAGAGACCGCCATCATGGGTGTGATGATCGAGAGCAACATCAACGAGGGTATGTTCACATCGTTGCCAAGGCTCCCCAAAAGAACCGATCCGTTTGCTAATGTCTCTCACAGGCAACCAGAAGGTTCCTCCGGAGGGCAAGTCCGGCTTGAAGTACGGCGTCAGTATCACCGACGCTTGCATCCACTGGGAGGACACCGAGCTTGTTTTGGAGAACCTGGCCCAGGCTGTTCGTACTCGCCGGGAGAAATTGACTTCGTCCCAGTGAGCGGCTAGCTCAGAGGGTTTTATTTGTTCTTGATCGTTATTGGCACGACTTAATGGGTTTGGGAGGGGAAAAAGTAATTTTATGGTTTTATATCAAAGCTTCTACACACTTATGGCGGTTAGCATGCCTTGTCATGGCGAGGAGAGTTGGTCTACCTTCGCGATTGAGCTGGTTCCTCTCTCTTCGTTGGTAATCAATGAATACTATTCTGGATATATAATCCACCTCCAATTGGACCCTTACTCATGTACATCAAGCAGCACTGCTCCTGACCAATGTCTACACCTTCTCACACCTACGATTCGGGATGAGCTTGGCCAAGGTAAGTTAGTGGCCTCGTTAGCCTCAGCCTCCACCTTCAGACTCTCTGTCTGCCTAGCAAAAAGCTAACGACAACGACGCGATTTGAACGCGCGCGGGCGAACCCAACAGCTTGCAGTGCTATTAGATAGCATTCGAGGCTGTCGCCTTAACCACTCGGCCACGTTGCCTTGATGAAGACAAGAGTGCTGCGCTCTGAGTCATAGCCTTAAGAATACTACAACCATGGTAGTTTTCAACGCCAGCTTGTTTCTCATGTATAGAAAGCCCAGGCTTGATAAATGGTATCGAGCTTGCGAGGATTTGTGAAGTCTCCATAGAGAGGAGAATCGCATGTCGATGATCCCATTCAAACAAACCTCTCGGGGCGTCAGATCGCTGACTATTTCGCTGCTGAGCACGAAGATTGGCACACGGCCGAATTGATGTATAGCTTGATCGAATCGAGTACTGGTCGGCATTCCACAAGTTGCAATTGACAGTGTAAGACAAGATGATGTGAAGTAATGATGTATGTGTCACAATGGCTCATAATGATAACTACAAAAAGCTTGATGCGGGAGGCACGAACTAAAGCGGTGCATCCGGAATGCAGCCACCGGGCAATTACTGCATCCCACAGCGGGATTGCGCCATGCACTATCCACTTATGGCACTCTATGTTTACACCGAACATGAGTCTATATCAGAGCCGCACTTTATGAAGCTTGAAGTTCATCGAGAATGATAGCAAACAACAAGACTGCTTATGCATGCCCACCGGAAATAGTGGAGGCACAGGCCGAAGAGGATATTGGTCATCAACCTCCGGCTGGTCCAGGATCCGTTCCGACAACCCCGGCTTTGCTTATGAACCGAAGCGACTGAATCCTGGTTTCACTCCATAAAAATCAAGTCAGGATATCGCCCACCGCCAGGCTACAGCTATATCGCCGGGGGTCATAGCATCATTCGTTCGCTATTCTGAATCCCTTGGCTGATTTTCACGCGATTGCCGAGAAACAGACAACCAACCTGCCACTCACTTCCCCTGCAAGCCGCTCTACAACCGCGGGGTATTACAAGAATCCATTCATTTGGATGCGCATCTCGCGGACGCTTCGCAGCGCTCAGTCATGGACGACTCAATCGGCTCATTTGAGGAACTGCGTTCCTCCATGTCTAGCATGAACACTCCGATGCACGAAACGAGCCTTGAAGCTCCGGAGCAGACGACCCTCCAGCGAGAGCAGCAGCAGCAGCAGCACAGCTCCTCCACCACAACCAACACCATGGGCACTTCCCTCAACTCCGACACCCACCTCGCAGAGAAGCTCGAAACGCTACAATCCCACGGCGTCAGCGCGCAATCGCTCCCCTCCTCCTCCGAATCCGTCCTCTACCTAGCCTACGGCTCGAACCTGAACTCGGAAACCTTTCTGGGGATGCGAGGCATCCGGCCCTTATCTCAGACCAACGTCGTCGTGCCCAGTCTCTGGCTCACCTTCGATCTTCCTGGACTTCCTTACGCAGAACCCTGCTTCGCGGCGACGAGGTACCGCCGACAACCACAAGCAGCCGGCGCAGGCGCCTACCACGCTGAGGATGGCGTCGTTACCCCCAGCGGCAACAAGACAGCTACAATCTCCGAGCATCAGCATCACCACCACCAGGAAGAAGAAGAAGAAGAAGAAGAAGAAGAAGAAGAAGAAGAAACAACCCGGCCCCTCCTCCCGACCAACAAGAAAGCCCCAAAAGTCCCAGGCGGCGGACCAGACTACAGCCCGCGCATGCCGCTGGTGGGCGTCGTCTACGAAGTCACGCTAAGCGACTACGCGCGCATCATCGCGACCGAAGGCGGAGGTAGAGGCTACGTCGAAACCGTGATCGACTGCTACCCGTTCCCGAAGGCGTACGACCCGCGCACGCAACCGGTGCCCGAACACCCAGGCACTGTGCCTTTCAAAGCGCATACCTTGCTCTCCCCGGGTGCTCAACACAAACCCACACCACCATCCCTCCTCGCAGCAGAACCCACGGCCGCACAGTCACAATCACCACCAACATCCACCCGCCCCAACCCCTTCTACGCGCAGCCCTCGGCGCGGTACCTGTCGTTGATCCAAGCCGGTGCTGCGGAACACAACCTCCCGCTCGCGTACCGCGTGTACCTGTCCCAGATTAGACCGTACCGGATCACGACGCTGCGGCAGCGCGCCGGGCAGGTGTCGTTCCTGGTGATGTGGGGCCCCGTGGTGATGATGCTGTTGAGGTTGTCGCGCACGCTGGCCGGGCCGGACGGCCGGAGTCCCGGGTGGTTGGTGTGGGCGCAGGATGCGGTGTTTGCCACGATTTGGCGGTCTTATGATCATTTCTTTGCCAAGGTGTTTGGGGATGGGGAGCGGAGTGATGGCCAGGAGGTTGTATAGATGATAGAATTAATAAACGATAAGAGTATGTATTTGGGCTGACAGGGCGGTTGGGAAGAGCATGCAGTGCTGGCTATCCACTTCTAAAAGACATTCTAGTACATTGGATTTCGCAATAGATACATACATACTTCTAGGAAACATGCAACATTCCCCTTCCCACTTCTACAAGTAAAATAGGTGTGCGTGGGGAAGCAGGCCTATTTGCGCAAACACACACACACGAATGTCCATGACAGATCTGCGCAAATCAAACACACTAAACAAAAGAAAACTGTGACATTGGGGGGGATGAACCTTCAAACAACATTTTCAAAGGAGAATAAATATCTAGGGTACAGATACAGGTGTCCTGTGGAGAGGTAAAAAACTTCTAACGAAACATAGCAGAGACCACCGAATGAGTAGTGAACAGGGGTTTGCAGACAAGAAAAGAAAAACAGAGAGGACGACCCAATTTGTATACATCGTTTATATCAGTGACTTTCGCCCAGAGTCGTCTTGATGTTCTTTAATTGCTTCCTAGCTTCCCTTTTATCCACCGGGGGTCGCTGCAACCGACTTGCTTAGCGACGAGAAACGGGGGGGCTGTACACAATCTTTCTCGTCTTGATCGGGGACCACTTGTAACGCTTGACCCAGACGCTCAGGGCGAAGAGACCGGTCAGAAGAGTGATGGCCTTGACACCCATCTTCTTGCGGTCGTCCATCTCGGGCTCGGCGGCCCAGTTGAGGAACTCGACGACGTCCTTGGCCATCTGGGAGGTGGTGGCGGGAGTGCCGTCCTCGTACTCAACGACACCGTCGAAGAGAACACGAGCCATGGCAATACCTAAAGACGAAATCCCCGTCAGATTCAGAACGTTTCTCCAAGCGGGAATTCTTTTCTTCAAGGATGCAACATACCGGTACCGGGGAAGTAGGGGTTGAAGTTCATGCCCTCACCGAGGACAACACCAGCTGGGGGCTCGTCGGGGTAACCGGTCAACAAGCTGAAGATGTAGTTGCAGCCACCGTGACGGCCCTTAACGATCAAGCTGAGATCCGGGGGCAGAGCACCACCGTTGGCAGCACGGGCAGCCTCCTCGTTGGGGTAGGGGGCGGGGATGTAGTCGGACAGCTTTCCGGGACGCTTCTCGATCTCACCCTGGTCGTTGGGCTCGGTGTCGTACTCGTACTCTTCGGCCATGGCCTTCATCTCATCGACGGTGTGAAGGACACCAACGAAAGAGCGCCAAGGCACACGGGTGAGGGAGTGGCAGCTGGCGCAGACTTCACGGTAGACCTGGAAACCACGGCGGAGACTGTATTGTGACATGAAATCATGAGTATAATTGCCGAGGTTGTCATCGCCAATGACGTCCAGAGTTGAACCTCTTGATGTCTGGAGAGAAGATAAAGGCTACTCACGCGGCGTGGTCGAATGTCTTGTTCCACTTGGCGTGCTCCCAAGGGTATGCGGTAGCGTGCAATCTGAATTCGATGCTGTCAGCTTCGTTGTTGCGTGATGGCTGGGATGAACGACCCATCGGTCCGGAGCAACGGAGCCGGTCGTCCACTGGCCAATGCGGAATTCTCTTGAGATATCACTCACCCCTCCTCAGCAGGCGTCATGGCGTGAGCCTCTTGGCCATAGAGATAGGCGGCCGATCCGATGGCGACGGCGGTGGCGGCCGAGGCAGTGAGTGTGAGGTTGAAGGGGGAGCTGGCGGACTCGGGACCGGCGGCGGAGGAAGACGCACGCTGGTCAGCATGTTAGTGGAACGGTCTTGCTGAAGCCTTGATAGTCAATTGCACATCGATTGACCCCATAGTTTGGGGTCAATTGGCGTCGACATCGGGGAATACCGTACCGTGGAGGTCTTGCTCAAGGTCTGACGTGCGACACCCCGGAAGGGCACGCTGCGCAAAACAGTACGGCCCAGCATACTGACAATATGTAGAACCCTCCGAACGATGGGTAATTAGGAAGGCACAATAGCCACAAAAGAGGGGGGAGGAGGAGGGGAGGGGGAACAAGGCTGGAGCGCACAGGGAGAATGTGCTTTTGGAGGTTGAAGTCGAGGTTGGTCGAACGGGTCAAGTTTCTCTTGGGCTTGGAATTGCCTAAACCCTCCCGCTGATTGGCTGATGCCCGGGTGCTAACTGCCTTCGGTGAAAACCGCGACTTTTCGGAACAACAATTTTCGAGGCCGGAATCTCAAGCTTGATGACTTGCGTGTTACTCAACACCACTCTGTCTGTTACTTGAACCTATCTCAAACTTTTCGAACTCGTTCATCTGCCCTCCTGCATCTCCATTGCCTGGCTCACCACCTTCAATGGCTCTTGCACCCTTGCCCAGGCCCCGTTCGCCTCACTGACTTGGTTGCAATCGGCCTGCTCTAATTGGCTCGTCTGCCATTCCGCCGCGATGCCGTTCCGCAGCGCCTGAATCGCCCTCCGAATATCGCTCCCTCTTCCAGCTCCTCCATACATCACCAGCGACAAGATGGGTAACCGACGAATGGTCCGGCCGCTCAGTCCCTACAAAAGAGTCAGGAGTAAGCTTATGTCCCACAACTTCAGAAGAGTCACAGACCAGACTCTCCGACACTGCCTCAGCCAGCAGCGTGGGTACGGCCTCTGAAAACATTATGTAGTTGATAACCGTCTCATCGTACGTTGGTAATGAGAGCTGTTTGGCTGGTTTTTCAACGTACGACAGCGTCGTGTGAGGATCATTCGGGTCGATCAGTTTCACATCAAAGGCGGTACCATCGATGATCTGATTGCGACTCATCTCCTCCAGACAGTCTTTGTAGATGCGATATATCGACCGGCTGGATAAATTAGGTACATATTGCTTGATGTCAACTCGATCGAGAAAGGCTTGGTCCTGTCAAGAGGATAGCGCCTCGTCAGCCGCCTTCCACTTCGCAGTTTGGTTAACCTCACCAATGCGGTCAACAAGTTGCTCGTACAGACTACAACCACGTTCGAATGAGCCTTGACTTTGTCGAGACCTGTCAACAGGGCGTTCACCGCTCGAATGGCATCAAACGGTTCGTTGTTACTCAGCGCTCGATCTCTCCGGGCAGCTAGTGTTTCGATTTCATCGATGAACACGCAGACGAGCGTTTCATCCTCTTCTTCGAGCAGCACATCTATGCGCTCGAACATCTGATCCACTAACTTCGCCCCTTCGCTGAAGAACTTACTTCCCAGCGCATGCGCATTGATCTCGAATAGTTTACTTTGGGGGTAGTCTTTCCCTAGGCGTATTGCAAGCTTCTGAGCCAGACCGCGACTGCAAACATTCAGTGTTTAGCCTCGCTGTATCATGTCAGTACGCACCACAGGCTTGTCTTCCCGGTCCCAGGTGGCCCCCATAGGAGGACCAGCTTGTTCCAGGTAATAGTCCATCTGTCGAGCTTGCAGACAGAGAATGAGACTGGGCATCCTGCCGTTAGACAGCCGCGGAGCACTGGCATGATACATGAATCACGTACGCATTCTGCTTATGGCTGTCAGGAGTGTAGACTGGATAGGTTGATCAAAGTGCAAGCTGTCCGATGAATCAGCATAGAGCAAGAGCGTAGAGAAGGAGCTACCGTACGATTCCCAGAGCCCATTCAGATCCATGTTAGGTAGTGCCATGATTCTTGCCCTCGTCAATTCCACGCCAATTCCGGTAGAGCCATCAAGTGTCTGTGGATCTTCGGGCTCTGGTTGTGTGTGAAGCTGGTATGCCTGGACATCTAGTTTCACTTGGTGCAGCTGGTATGTTCCGGACTGGGCGGTGTCCCCGCTGCAATCGCAGACGAGCATAGAATCTAGAGCATGTGCGTGTGCGTTACTCAACCCTTCTGATAATCATAAGTTATTGCTGTTCTGCAGAGCTATCCCATTGCGATTGACTTGCCGAAGGAGACAATCTTTTGTCCCAGAGAGAGGACCACGAACTTGTCGGCAATCCAATTTGTGAGCTCATCGCGGATCTAAGCCATAGTCAGATTGATGAGATCTCAAGTTTATGTGGTTACAAACTAGATCAGTGCGGACGATGATGCCGTCGTTGTTGGTCTTGACACGAGCCTCGATATGAAGAATCGGCTGGTGTACTTCCATCGTACGTGAGATACAGGTACTAGAGCTCACACTCCGCTCTGTATCGTATGTCATTGACAGAAGGATGTAGTATACAGAGAACAAATAGCTGCGTAACAACGGGCTTACTTTGTGATAATCATATGGAAGTGAGCGTGAAGTGTAGCGTCCATGAAGCCAGCCGAAAAAAGAAGGCGCTCGCTTAGGGTATCCTGGCAAGCCGGACACCTTAGTATAAGCACATTCTCGGGTAGTACTATTATCAGGACTGGGAAGAATGGCAATACAAGATATGAGAACTCAGGCGCTTTCCTGTGGTTCTAGTCTTCTAAATGTGGTGAACGTTATACGTTTATATATCAGGGCGTTTTGCATCCTACCTTCCAAGCACTCAATGATTTCTGGCTTTAGCAACACGGTAGCCATACAGTTACAGTAGCACTTTTACTGGACGATAAGTTAAGGTTGTGATTGTCCCCAGTGCCACGGATGGCGGATAATCATAGTATGCAGGACACGGACCTCATGGAGCAGTGATGCCAATATGGAAAAGTACAGATGGAGCCCAGTCAAACACCACAAGACCCACAACCGTATAACAATAAAGTCGGTCTCATGTCGTTCTTGGCTCTAATTCACTGATGTTGAGTTAGATCTGTCCATGCCAGGCTCCACTAGAAGTGGAAAGAGAGCTGTGTAACTTTTACTATATACTAATATTTTAATCTTTGCCAAGCACCAACAACTACTTCGTGTGGTGGTAAATTGGCCAAGGAAGCACATGAGTACATGAATAGACTTGACGCTACCCACCATTAATCATTATCATAAGGCCATCAGTGGTCTTGTAGAGACTCGAACTGATCTAACTATGAAAAGAGGAATTGTCTACAGGTTGACTCTTCAATATATTGTGATGGATGTTGGATAGTGATCGGAGCGGCGGCCTGGACCGGAAGGGAAATTCTTCCGGCTGATCCATCCATTGCCGTTTTCTGGGGTTCTCCGGTTGACACGAACCATCGATAATGACGACGAGCGTTCACAAGCTCGTTATTCCTTCCTACTCCGGGACTGTCTTCGTACATATGCGGCTGTACAGGTGATGCAAAGACATGGCGATCTAGGGCGACAGTGGATCTGAGCCCAATCCAGTCTTGACCTGAATTTGGGGCTGCGCCCCGCGGAGCGAACTAGTAGCTTTGGTGGGCAGTGCCCACTGAGACCCTGACCGACTAGCCGGCCGGACTCCAGCTGCGCAAAGTGCTCGCCGTGCCACCGTCGAGATTCCTTCCAATGCCAATTCGAAGCTGGCAAGATGCAGAACCCGAGGAATGGGCCAGAAATAAAACCGAAGCCACGCAGGGATGTCCTGGCTTCTCTTAGAATGGCCTCCATGGAGGAGATCTCCAGGGCGGCCCTTCCAGCAGGTATGTTCCACAAGCGGCGGGCAGCCTCAGCCTGAGACCTGAATGTGTTTGCTTGATATTTGGATGCTGACCGACGCCAATCCAGAAATTATGTCTTCTATCCTCGATTACCTCTCCCCCGTCGACCTGATACGAGTCGCGCGATCCTCGAAGCTCTTGCGCGAAATGGCATACGATGATACCAGATGGGTGCAGAAGCTGAAGCAGATTGGGTGCTGGGATGAGCTGGAGGCTCGCAAACATGTGGAGGACACCTTCGGTACCATAGCCGATATGAAAAGTGTCGAGCACAAAGAGGCGGCCGACTTGCAAGAAGCGATTGATGCGACTCAGCGAAAACCCGACCACGCCTTGAGCTCGCTCGCAGATGGCTTTGATCAGATCCAGCTGTCTGCCCCTGTCGCCAGTCAGCATCGGGATGAATCGGAAGGCGATCCAGTCTTGGGAGTGTTGAAACAAGTCAGGTCGATCCGGGGAGAAGCGCGTCAAGAGTATGGGAAAATTCATGCGGCCCTGGCACCCTACTACAATGATATCGTCACTTTGGGGCCTTCTCCCGACAATCTGCTGTTCCGGGATTTCAGCAATCCGCGACACCAAGCGCAAATCCTGTCTCAGTTGCAGGCCTTCTCAAACTGCGATGCAACAGACGGTTGGCACGAGCGGACTCAACAATTGCAGTCTGCTGTGTCGGCTCTCGAGACAAATGCGATCAAAGAGTTCAGGCACGGTTATGAGACTGAAGACATTGAGAACAGGATGCGAGAATATGCGCACGTGCTGTATATATTGAACGGTGGTGGCGCAGCGGTCGAGCTCTTCATCCACCACAATCACCTCGTTACGCGAAAATCAGATTTTGGAAATGTGGCCGACTGCATCGATACATTCACGGAAAGCGTGAAGCTGGAACAAACTCAGGCTTTCTTCACACGGATGAGTGTCGCTTACAACGAGGAAGTGTCAATTATAAACCGTGCATTTCCCCCGCAATTGCAGGTTGGGCCTTCTTTTACCGAAAAGGTCGGACAGGATGTGCTATTCCCATACCTGACAGCTGTCTTCGATGAACTGCATCGCACAAACATTGAATCATACCTCACCGCAGTCTCGGGAACATTCGCGCAATGTCTGAATCTATCAGATGCACTACTACCCATACAGAACTCGCCCGATACCTTCGAAGAATTCTTGCAGCATGTTATCGCGAAGACCTATGAGCCTCATCTGGATTTATATTTTGCAGAAGAATTAGACCATTTTCGGAAAAAATCCGAAGCCGCAGTAGGGGATTGGGACCGACAACTCTCAGAACAGGCTGCATCAACCGAGCTGTTTCTGATGTCCAACATTAATAGACAGGCAGACAAGCGGGACTTCTTGACCTCGTTTAAGAAAGTGATTATGGCTCCCGTCAACATACTTCCCAGCTTCTCAGGGAACAAAGCAACTGAATCAAAACCAACGCCAGAGCCGTCGCCTGATGATGCCTCGTCACTCAAAAGCCCAAATCGGTTCTCGACAATCGGCTCACCTGCCACCCCTCCCATTACGGAAGCTCCAACAACAGAGCTCGCAGCCAAGGCCGCTGTGATGAAGTCAAAATTAGAAGGCATCCGATCTCTCTTCAGCATCGAAATCGCTCTCAGCCTGGTGCATGCTGCAAAATCCAGCTTAGAACGAGCTGCGCAATTCGTCAGTGTCGGAGGCGAATATGGGAGCGCAGCCAAGCAGCAGTGCGAGGCTATCTTTGTAGCCTTGGTGCGCATCTTGGGACATCGCCATCTCATCGGCGGTTTTGACAAGGCCGTCAGCCATTTATCCAACTACCGGCCTCGCGAACAAGGTGAACGGGATCAGTCTGGTGTTGAGCCGTTGGTCACCTTCCTGGAGTTGGTGAACGTCGGCGACCTTATCTTGCAGATGATCGACGTCTTCTACGAGCAGGAACTTGTCGGCACCAAGCTGACCGATCGGAACGACTTCCTTGATCCGGCCGTAAAGGAAAAGAAGAGATTCGAGCAGAATCTCGACGAACGGGTGGCTGCTGGATTGAACAAAGGCATCGACGTCCTCATGGAGGAAGTGGACTACATCCTTGCGACACGACAGTTAGCGACTGATTTCAACCCGAGCATCTCCACGGACCCGTATCGAAAGACGATGGATGTAAGTATCACTGAGGCTGCGGCTGCCGTAGTAGATGTGGTTACCTCGCATACACAGATGCTTGTCGGCAGCACGGACAAGAGTATGCTAGATGTCTTCAACCAGGAGGTTGGACTGCGTCTCTTTACCGCATTGTGCAAGCATCTAAAGCGACAACGGATCAGCATCGAGGGATCCTTGAAGCTTATCAGGTAAGCGCCCTTCTCTGTTTCGGATTGGACGATTGAACCCAGTTGACACTTGAATCAAGCGACATGAACCACTATTTTAAATTCATCCAAACTTTCAAGAACAACGACCTCCTGCTCTATTTTAAGGCCTTCCGCGAGTTGTCGCAGATATACCTGATTGACTCGTCCGATGCCAAGGAATTAGCCACCATTATCGCCGATGCGGATCGATTCTACGGGATCTGGCGGGTGGAGGAAGTGTACGAATTCGCCGAGCGACGAGCAGACTGGCTGCTAGTCAAACGGGACGTGGAACGAGCCATGTACGGCATTGGATGCAGTGTTATGTGAACCATGAATATACCATACCATGTATATAGAGAGCCATGAATACCCCCTCCGACAGCGATCAGATGCATACAATGTAAATTGCGTTCTTGAGGTAGCATCCGGGACGGTCCGAAGGGGCCGATCATTTTTTGGTTCATACACTTAAGTCATAGACTTTCCCTGTCCAATGCGCCGCTGCATCATGCAGCCATAATCCATCGGAATATCCGGAGCGTCTATACGTTTCAGGATGTGTTTCTTTTGGAAACGTCAGCCCGTGACAGAGCTTCGTTTGAGGCCCTTGAGAAACCAATCGATTGGTTTTCATTAACATCTCAACCTGCATAGTCCCACACCTCGGCGCTCTCTTTCGCAGGGAAGAACTATCTCCTCAACCTTGTCTCCCATCGTCATCTCCAGAGTAAAGAATAACCTGAATTGAAGGGAACAAACACCATGATCACGCCCCCCACGAATTATTCCAAACCCCCAAAATGAACAACCGCCTACGCTCCCGCGCAACAGCAGCCACCCCACTGAAATGGCTATACCTCTACATCACCTTCCTAACCGTCACCATCCTAAGCGCCGCCGCGCAGCAAACCACCGTCATAGTGGTGACAGTGACCGCCACCGCGCCAACACCCAAGATCCCCCACCCGGCGTCCTACACCTCCCTCGACGTCTTCGAAAAGGTCATCCTCAGCACGACGAACACCTACCGCCAAGCCCACAACGCAAGTAACCTCCTCTGGAACAAGACGCTGACCGAATACGCGAAGAAATGGGCCGAAGGATGTAAATGGGCGCATTCGGTGAGTAACCAGCCTCGTTGAACTGCCTGCCTGCAAGTGAGCAAGCAAGCGAACCAGAACAACCAACCCTCAGCGCAATCAACCCCCAGTATTAACAGCTATCTTCCTAAGCACGGCCCTTACGGCGAGAACCTTGCCTTCGGCTTCCCCAACGCCACCGCCGCCGTCGCCGCCTGGGGCGACGAGGGCCTGAAATACAACTTCCGCGATCCGACGGGCTTCACTGAGGAGACTGGGCACTTCACCCAGCTGGTCTGGCGCGCTACGACTGAGGTGGGCTGTGCGGTGGTGGACTGTGGGTTTGATCCTGATGATGAGAAGGGAAGTAGCAGCAGCAATAATAACAACAAGAACAATGGTGGCGGGGGTAATGGCAATGGCAATGGGAAAGGGAACGGGAATGGCAACGGCAACGGAAATGGAAACGGCTATCGGCGACCTCAGGGTTGGTACGTGGTGTGTGAGTATGCGCCGCGGGGGAATGTGCTGGGGGGAAACGAGAAGCTGGGCGACAAGGCCTTCTTCAAGATCAATGTGCAGTCCACGAGTACGTATACCGGGCCGTATCAGACGGGGAATGGGGGCAGTAAGACTTCGGTGGCGTCGAGTACGTCTGAGGCTGCGCGGTGGAGATGGAGATGGGGATGGGAGTGGGTGGCTGTGGTTGTAATGGGAGTATTGATGTAGCTGTTTAGTGGTTGGTGGTCGAAAAGGGAATCAGGGTTAATCATGTTGCAATACTTGCTGGTTTCATCATTGTCTGTCATCTCTCATGCTACCAAACGTCACGCATATCATTTAATCCCCCACACGCTTGGGGTAAAAATATGCAATACAGATCTATTCACTTTTCTTTTTTTGAATGTTCCAGGCAAAAGGTCTGCTCCCACTGTTTGCAAATTGGAATCAAGCCAAAGGCGTATCATGGAAGGAAGCTCACAGGAAGAAGTGTGAAAGCTTCAGAGAGAGAGAGAGGAAAAAATAGAGGAGGATATCGACAGACAAGATGCAGGAGAGAAAAAAAAAAGGGAAACGGGATGGAAATGGACACATTAGGTACGGAAAAAAAGGAAACCCGATCAACCAATGATTTCCTCGCTCTCCTCGATGATCTCCTCGACAATCTCCTCGACAACGGTATCGCCCTGCTCGTCGGAGACCGCGGAGGCATCCTTGGCCAGCTTGGGAGTGTCGGCCTCCTCGGGAAGTCCGTAGGCTTCCCGCTCCTCTGCCAAGAGCTCCTTCTCCCGACGCATCCAAGCAACCCACTCGTTGAGAACGCGCTTGCGCGTCTCGACCACGGCAGTGTTGGCGATGTCGACAGCGTACTTGTCCTCCTCGTCGAACTCCTTGGAGTATTCGCGCAGGTTCTTGCGCACCTGCTTCTGCTCCTCCTTGCTGAGAAGGGTGGGGGGGCGGGGGCGCCAGACGAACTGCTTGAACTTGTCGGTGGGGTTTTCGGAGAGGGTCTGACCAGCGAAGGTGTGAAGGTTCCAGCCGTTTTCCATCTAGAAACGCAGGTTAGCCACGTTGACTTTAGAGTCGAAGTAAAAAAACTAGAACGAGAATACACAGATAAACGTACCGAGTGAGTCCAGACACTGGCACTGGTGACGACATAGCGACCAGTGGGATCCCAGTCAATATCCGTAACACCGTAGTGCTCGACCGTCTTCATCAACTGAAGGTTGGCAGCCAGATCCTTTTCACCCTCGGGTTTCTCACCCTCGAAATCCATATCCCAGAAGTCTATGTCGAAGCTCGATTGAGAGTGAACAGTGGCGACCACAACGAAGCGGCCCTTGGGCGACCAGTAGATGGCGTTGCTCGTCTTCTTCTCAATGGTGCGTACAAGCTTGAAGTTACCAGCCGAAACACCCTTCTTCTCGGGAGCGAAGAAGGAAACAGCCGTCTTCGGGGGAGCGGCAGCGCCGCTAGCGGCTTCACCGTTCGTGATGAGGACGAAACGTCCACCGTTGGGCTCCCAGGCGAAGTTGATCACAGTATCCTTGAGACTGTCAACAACCTCGACCGGAACACCCTTCTCGCGCACGCGGAAAATCTCCAGGTTGGTGGCCATGGACTTCTTGGACTTGGAGTGACGATCCACCTTCACACAAACATAGGTACCTTGTGATTGCCAGTGCAGCTTGACGTCGGAGACATTGAACAAGTTACGGGTACGAACAATCTCTTTCGAAGGGACGCTCATGAGAGCGACACGAGCCGGGTTGCTGCCAATTTCAGGAGTCCAGAAGCAAAGCAGCTGTTCGTATTGCTTCACTCCCTCGCGGTTAACCGTAGCGGGGGACCATTCGAAGTCCATAACACCATCGATCTTGACGGAGGTCTTGCCCAGCAAGTTCATCCGGGGAAGTTCGTAGATAGAGATCGACTGGGACTGCTGCATTCTGGCAACGTACTTCTCATCAGCAGACCACTTAAAAGCGGGCCACTGAACCTTCTTCTTGGGCTGGGCGTCGCCTTCGGCACCGGGACCAACAGCGAGATCGTTGGAAACGAACGAACGCAGGGGCTTTCCGGTCACGATATCCCAAATGATGATGTTCTTTCCTTCCTCCTCGTAGGTCAAAAGTGGGTGACCCTCCTCAACCTGAATGGGGCGCGCGGACCAGGTGGTGAGATAGTTCTCGCCGGGCGAGAACTCAACCAACTGCACAAATGGGTGAGGGAATTGCTTTTGCTTCGAGAAAGCTGGGCCACCCCAGAGTTGGACACCCTGGGGGTGGACAGAGGCGAGGTAGGTACCCTTGGGGGACCACTGGACGAACAGCTGCGTCCAGTGGGCACGGTCGACCACATTCTCGGGCGGGTTGTTCTTGTTGTTCCAGAAGACGCCGACCTTGTCACCGCGGTAGAGGGCGAACTGATCACGAGCGTTGGGGTCGGAGAGCCACGAGCGGAGGTGCTCCTTCTCCTTGAATGGTTCGATAGTGGGAGGCTTGTATTCCTCGTCAATACGTCCTTCACGACCATAGCGGTCGATATCCATCAACTTGTTGACGGCGAGAGTGTGCTTCTTGTCGAGGGGGACACCGTGCAGGGCCTTCACGGCAGCAACGGCTTGTTCGGGGGTCTCGTATTCAACGAAGGCGAAACTGCGACCCAGAGTTAATTTTTCCACGCGTTCCCGGTCCGATTTCCCAGTACATACCCTTCGGACATGTTCTTGTCGTTGATAGGCATGAAAACGGCATCTTCGGAGGTGTGGCCGGCGGTGGTGAGCTTCCTCAACAGGAACTTAATGAGCTTTTGCCTGCTCTCCTCAGGCACGATCGGAAGCCCATCGATGACAACGAATGTATCCAAACCCTCATCAAGTTTCACTTCGAACTGCTCCTTCAGGTCTGCGAAAACAAAACCGATCGCGGTCAGCGGCGAGGGGCACGGGAACACGACAGAGAACGCGAGTCGCACTCACCGGAGAAGTCAATCTCCTCCTCCTCCTCTTCGTGGAGGTCCTGCTCGCTCAAGGTGTCGAAACTGGGCGCCATATTTGCACTCGCAGCGGTCGGCGATAAAGAGGGGGGGGGTAAGGGTGGAGAGCGTTGATACGGAGGATGAAAGATCCTGTTCTGGATTTTCTGCTGGTCGACCCCGTTTTGGCTGATTTTAGGGCAAAAAGAGCAAATCCCAAACCACAAAGCGCTTCTGTGTGCGAAGGAGCTGAGTCAGCTCCAAGTCAGCTGACTGTATATCACCTGACCTACTGTGGCTGGGGAGTGGGGAAGCTGGACCTTGAGGCGGTGAATCTCCAGAGCGGCCTATCTGAGACTGAGTGATTATCACGTGATATGTATTAACTAAGCCGTCCCCAGCTTCTCGACCGGCTGATGATGATTGTCACTCTAACCGACCCGACCTGTACATCGGCTTGGCTGGACATCATAACAATCGCAATCCCACGTACCACGTACCATCCCCGCCTCTTCTTCGCTGCTCGTGTGGGTGAATGCTTTTGGTTGTCCTGGGCAGGTCACCCTTAGTTCTCATCTATTCCTTCGTTGATCTTTCAGCAATCCCTCTTCTTGCGTCGCATCTCTCGGGGATTTCTCTATCTCTCTCCCTCTTATGCCCCGCCGGTCCTAAGCGCCAGCGCTACGCCCAGATCTAGACGCTCCTTCTCGCCAGAGCACCACCACCCGCACCCTAAGCCTAGCTTGTTGCTATCATATGAGTTCGCATACAATCTCTGGCTAGCAATTGACAACATTCTGTGCCGTCACATACACTAATTCCTGAATTGACGCGGAAAGTGAAGCTACTCAGTCAAAATGTCGCGTAAGTTCGGAGTCTGATGTTCCCGGGTCATGCATGAATGCCGAGATCGCTCCCAACTGACATCACTATGTTTTTGCACCAGTCTCACCCGAATCTCGCATCCAGTTCACTCCGATCATCGATTCAATCCTAGCTAAAAGCGATTTGAATACCATATCCGAGAAGCGCATCCGGAAAGGCCTCCAGGAAGAGATTGGATATGACCTTACCCCGCAAAAGGTCTGCTCCCCGGACTTTGACTCTTTTCGCGACATCCTATTTGTTCTACTATCAATGTCGGTTTATCATGAAGCTAACCTGACTCCGGGACCAGGCTGCTGTCAAGCAGCTTATTATGGAACGGTTTGACATCTTTGCGGCAAAAGGAGGCGTCGCGACTGCACCTGAACCGGCCGCGACGGCTGTTGCAACCACCAATGGTCATAAACCCGATCACGAATCCGAAACACCCCCTGCGGAAACTTCGTCTCCTTCACGCTCTTCGGTTTCTCACAAACGTCAAGCAGATAGCGAGGATGGTTTTGATCTTTCGAGCAAGACTCCTCCGGCCAAGAAGAAGAAGCCCGATAATGACATTGATGCGGACGCCTTATTCGCTGCAAAGCTACAGGCGGAGGAGAATATGCGCGCTCGTCAGACGCGCGGGGGTAATACACGCAGGGCCCCTCCGGTAAAGAAGAAGACCAAGGCAAAGACATCCAAGAAGGTCAAGGCGGAAGATGATTCCGATCTCGAGTCGGGGTCGGAATCAGGAAAGAAAGTCAACCGGTCAGGTGGTTTTCATGTGAGCTCAAGACTCTCTTGCTGGGCTGCCGTTGTCGCTAATCTCTGCCCCAGAAACCTCTCACCCTCTCACCGGCGCTTTCCGCTCTATTGGGCGGCGAGGTTACTGTCTGTTTGCCCCTTTCCCATTTATGTGTTTCTACATCGTCCGGCTCCGATGCTGACTAGACCACAGCTCTCGCGTCCACAAACGGTCAAGCGAGTTTGGCAATACATTCACGAGCACCAGCTTCAAGACCCTAGTGACAGGCGACAGATTTGCTGCGACGACGCAATGCGTGCCGTCTTCAAACAAGACCGTATACACATGTTTACAATGACCAAGATTTTGAGCCAAAACTTGTATAGCCCCGACGAATGACCTGTTGCCGTCTACTTTGAGCTTCAGTGGCCCCTGCCTTGAGGACCGGGAAGGCTGCGGCGGCTGTCACGCTGCACTTACGACTATCTTATTTCCACTCATTGCACCGCATATGGAGACCTGGCGCTACATTGCTTTTTTGCTTATTCTCTCATTGTTATCTCATAGTGTTTTACCCTTGGATTCGTCCCTTCTCTTGGGTTTACTGACTGATATTGTCATTGGCGACATGCCTGATGTTTTCTTTTGTCGTTCAAATAGTTTCTCTCCAGCGGGAGTTGGTGCTGCCTTTGAAATAGGCGCGATGGATAATGCTATTTAGATATCATATTCAATTATGAGGATGGACCTGCATAATCTATCGCTTTACATTGTGGTCATTTTCCAGACTTGCTGGAAATTCATTATTGAATGTGCGTAAATAACAAAGCTGCCCTTCTCAATCTCAGAGACAGCTAGACATAGGGGGGCTTTCCATTCGATTCTGGCTTTGTGGAAATGTTGTGAATGAGTCGCGATGAGTCGAAATGAGTCATAGTAGGAATAAATCATTTCCATCCGTACTTGGCTAACGCCGCAAGTTTAATTAGTAGGAAAAGTGAAAAGAGGGGGATGTCATCGATGATGCTTATGCTTGCTCACTAAGCATGCCGCAACCCGACTTTTTTGCCCGCCGCCGCTCGTACTGGAAAGCTGGTCATAGCAACGCCAACATCCCCCTCTCCACCCCTCATTCGCAGTAACTGCTTGGTCGCAAGGGCTCCCTAGAGCGCAAAGCTCTTCCTTAACTCAGACTCCTGGTCTGGATCTCAATTTTCAACCTCCGAATCCGCCATTCTCTTCCTCCATCTCCCCACACCTCCCAATGTCTGAGACTCAGCCGGCTCAAGCTCCCTCCGGATCGCAAGGCCCGAACCGAGGCGGTCGTAGGCGCGGACGCGGGGGAGGTTTCGGAGCTGCTCGCCAACCTGGACAAACTGAACCCTCGCAACAATCAAGTGACGGCCCAGGAAAGGGAGCAAGATCCAGAGGTCATGGACCCCGCCGCGGAGGCGGAGGCGGCGGCGGAGGTCGCGACAAACAGAAATCCGCCGCGAGCAATGTCGCTGGGGGACCGACAGATTCGGATACCACGACCACAGAAGAGAGCAAAGGGAAGCAGGCGATCACAGAGGCTACGGACGATGCGGATGATGGGGAGATTTGCTTCATCTGTGCTTCGAAGGTTGAGCATACTTCAGTTTCACCGTGTAATCATCGCACCTGTCATATCTGCGCGTTGCGATTGAGAGCATTATACAAGAACAAAGCCTGCGCACACTGTCGGGTATGTGTCTTCACATTGTCGCCTCCATGGTGTAATTTCGTGATGTGCTAATAATTGTGTGCTGCGACAGACGGAATCCAGCTTTGTGATCTTCACAGACGACCATGCTAAGCGCTTTGAAGATTTCACAGAAGCGGATTTCTCCCAGAAGGATGACAATCTTGGAATCAAGTATGAGAGTGGTGAGATCTTTGAGGATACAGTCCTGTTGCTGCGGTACAATTGTCCTGAAAGGAGTTGTGATGTCGCTTGCTTGGGTTGGCCTGACCTGCACCGCCATGTTAAGACCAAGCATGGCAGGGTGATGTGGTGAGTATCTTATCTCCGAAGTGATCGTTTGTGCAGATACTTATAGCTGTCCGGTGCCCAGTGATCTTTGCACGCGAAACAAGAAAGTCTTTACGCATGAGCATGAGCTGTTCACTAATCAAGAATTGCGCCGACACGAGAGACATGGAGACGATGTCCCGGGTGCTATTGACCAGAGTGGGTTCAAGGGACACCCAGAGTGTGGTTTCTGTCGACAGCGTTTCTACGGCGATGATGAACTTTACGCTCACTGTCGTGACCGTCATGAGCGGTGCCACATCTGCGATCGACGCTCTGAGAACCGTCAACAACAATACTACATTGACTACAACGCCCTTGAAGACCATTTTCAAAAAGACCATTTCCTCTGCTTGGATCGAGAGTGTTTGGAGAAAAAATTTGTGGTCTTCGAATCACAAATGGATTTGAAAGCACACCAGCTGGAAAGCCATCCTAACGGCCTTTCTAAGGACGCAAGACGCGACGCACGCACAGTTGACCTTTCAACATTTGACTACAGGACCCCGTACCAGCCTCAACGGCCACGTCGTGGTGCAGGTCGGGGACGCGATCCCAACGCGGAGCCTCTGCCTGTTTCAAGCGCGCAGCCACTGCGACGAGACGAATTAGCCTATCAACGACAGATGGCTATTCAAAGTGCACAGTCTGTCTCGACCCGAAGCTTTGGCGGCCAGCTTACCCGCAGTGACACTCAGCCCGTGCGCGCTCCTGCTAGATCCGCGACCGCCACACCTGCGCAGACACCACCGGCTGCCTCAACGCCCGTGGCTGAGATGGAAAACCTCAGTCTTACCGCAGACGCGGGACCGGTTTCCCCTCAGGAACAAGCACGCCGCCTGCGCCATGCGGCCGTGGTTGAACGCGCCTCCAACCTGCTCGCGAACGACAGGAACAAACTCAATGAATTCCGCACCAGAGTTTCCAGCTATCAGTCCAACTCCATCTCGGCCACCGAGCTAATTGACGCTTTTTTCTCCCTGTTCGACAATTCCAGCACAGAGCTGGGTAAGTTGATCAAAGAGCTCGCGGAGATATATGAGGACGACAACAAGCGCAGCTCGTTGCTCAAATCGTGGAACGACTGGCGCGCCATCAACGAAGACTATCCCGCCCTTCCCGGACCCGGCGGCACCATCCCTGGCATGTCCCCAGGCACCGTCAACGGCAGCGGCGTGGGAGGGAAGCGTGTTCTGCGTCTCAAGTCCTCCACGGCGCAGTCCTCCCGGTCCGCTGTCGGCAGAAGCGGCGCCATGCCCTCTTCCTCGTCTTCATCGACCACCGCCTTCCCTCCCCTTTCGTCCGCCACTGCTCGCTCTGCTCCGAAATCCAAGCCAGCCGCAGCCACACCGTGGGCCGGCTCAGCACCCTCCCCCGCCGCTCCTTCGCCCTCCATCGCCCCCAGTACCTACTCGACTCGCTCGGCAGCTCCCGCAACCTCCCGCCCTGTTAAGGCCAACAGCGCCGACGCGTTCCCCGCCCTCCCCGCAGCCCCCAAGCCTAACGTCCTCATGGCCGGCCTCACCCGTGGAACAGTCCGCTGGGACGACCGCCGTGCACCTCAGGTCAACGCTTGGACCTCCTCTTCACGCAACGAGTCCAGCGCTAACTCTACTGCGGAGGGGGACGACTTCCCTGCGGTCGGAGGTAAAAAGGGTAAGGGAAAGAAGGGGAAACAGACATTGTTCCATTTCGGTTAGTTGACGTCAAGTCTCCTCCGTATGGATCCACATGTATCTACATGATTGATCTACATACAAGAGTTCTGTATACCCTACGAAGGTCTTTCTATGGTTGAGGATGTATTTCAGCGTGCTGTTTCACTTAGATTGCGTTTGGAGCCTTTTCTTTTAGAGAAAACGAATCGAAGATTTGATCCTGCTTGATTTTCTCTCATAGGCACCAAGAGGAGTCTCACTTGAAGATGATTTCATCTCTCCGAAAAACAATTTTCCTGTTGCCGCGTTTAGTGGTCTGTAGAATAAGTCGTCAAGGCTAAGATCTATAAGTAAGATTCATGTCCTCGTGGTAGGGTGATGATATTAGATAAGTGGAACCGCATCATTCAGACCACCCCGGGCTGTCTGCATGTGGTTCCGAATCCACCGGGACGCCATGACCTTCACTTTCATGATCATACTCACCATCCTCCTCCTCCTCATCAACACTAGTGCCAGCGGCATCTTCCTCAATCGCCGCCATACGCAGAAGGAATTCATCCTGAAGATTCTTCAGCCACTTCCAGAGAGCTTTGTCCCCCACCGCCCCCTCACGAGCCAAGAGCAATTGTTCCCTGAGTGAGAGGATCAGATTGCGTTTGCGTGTGACAGCCAGAGCTTTTGTCTTCGCATGTCGACGCTCTGCAATCTGGTCCAAGCTCTTCGAGACCTCCTGCGCAGTCTCAAGAACTCCAGCAGGAAAGTCGACCAGCTTGGCCAGGGCCAGGCCGTAGAAGCGCGTGGTGTCAGCTCCGTCAGCGATCTTGTAGAGCATAGTCATCTTCGAAGCGTCGGGCGAGATTTCGGCCGCCAGATGAAGACTGGCGACGCCGTTACGCTCGCCCATAATCACCGCCAAATCACGAAAGTGCGTCACGAACCAGACTAAGGCGTGGCTGTCGACCAGCGCCTCGGCAATAGCGATGGCGATGGCCAGGCCGTCGGCTGTACTGGTGCCGCGGCCGAGCTCGTCCACGATCACCATGCTCTGGGGCTGGATGTTGCGAAGGATGAATGCCATCTCGCGCATTTCAGCGGCAAAGGTTGAGATGTTGGACTCTATATCATCAGAAGTGGAGACTCGAGCGAAGAGCTGGTGTATGATGGGGAACGAGGCATATTCCGCTGGTACGAAGCAGCCGATTTGGGCCATCACGGTCATCAAGGCGATTGAGCGGATATAGGTGGATTTGCCGCTCATGTTGCAGCCCGTGATGACATTGAAGCGAGTCTGCTGGGTGGCGTAGACGTCGTTTGGGATGAACTTCTTCGCGTGGATCTTTTCGCGGATGGGGTGGCGTCCGGCCTTGACGGCGAGCACATCTGTTATCTCAGGTCGAATGTATTCGTGACTCGTCGCTAACTGCGCAAATGAAGTCAGCATGTCAAGCATGGCAATAGCTTCACTTATTCTGAAGAGCACTGATATCTCAGAACAGATGCTTGTAATCAATTCCTGGACCGTCTTATCACTCATGTTGATTACTTCGTTGTGCGCATCTCTTATCTTGTGATTCAACTTGACGAGATCAAGGGTTTGGCATTCGATCCGATTTTTTTTGCGGTATACGTTGATAAAAACATCGGGTAGTGTATGCATCTCTGCGGCTGTGGCTGGTAAGCTGATATAATATTGACGGGCTCTATCGTATCTCAAATCAAGAGCGAGCTCGTGGGATTCTTCAGGCGTCAGAGGAAGCTTATTTGCGGACAAGACATGAGATAGCACCTACCCGCCAAGGTCGTCACCAACTCTGTGGCGTCAGTATTGGCTTCTTTGTATGCCTGCCTCGCGACATCGAGTAGACTATTGACTCCAGCCTAAGGCACGAGTGCAGGAATCAGAAGCTGTAGTGATTCACAAGGGAAGATTAATACCCTGACGCAATATATCCTCTGGTTCCTGAGGTCGAGTGGTTTTGTCTGATAGGTGACCTGCTCATTCAAAGTCTCTTCAATCAACTGCTCCAGAGCTTGATGACCTTCCGGTGCACATAACTGGGAGCAACGGTCAGTATCATCTTTTAAGCAATTGATAAAACAATACCTCTCTGATGCTCAAGAGAAGATTACTCTGTGCCAGCGAAAGTGCCTTGTATAATGACTTAATGGACGATATGTATGTTTTCACCATGATGACATTATTGACAGATTGCTCGACGTATCCGATTGCTCGTTTTGTAGGAACCAGAATAAGCTAGACGGTCATTCCGTGTATGCAAATCTAGTCAGAATGCCACCCACCGAAGTTAAGGCCTTGTCAACATCAAGGTAGCCTTTCAAGACTTTCACACCATGCAGGTCAGCACATGGATATCTCTAGATAGCTTGTTGACTGACCCTGTCTAACTGATACGAACATATCTTCTTTTGTCGTTAAATCTTCGACGGCATCGTAGCGTGCTAATAGCTGCGTTTCATCGGTAGAGGGCTGCAAAACATTGGCTCTAAGCAGTCGCGTACCCATCGGAGTCAATGTCTCATTGAGCAAACCGAAAAGACTGTCCCTCGACTTCGCAATATGCAGATTCTGAGTGAGCTCTAGAGACACTATCGTCGACAGGTCAATCGCCATTGATCCTTGAGAGGGCTCATACTTGATCCGCAAGGAATGGCAGGTAAAGGTCTTGTTGAGCTCTACCTCGACGTATTTGAGAACCTTTGAAGATTAGTAGGCATTCTAGGCTTTGATAATGTGAGCCATCGTACGGCAGCAAAGCAGCAGGAAGCAAAATAGTTCCCTCCCAGGACCATCTTGATAGGTTCAACGTCCTCGGAAAATGCTAGTCGCTCCACATATTCATGGCCCACAGTTTCTGACCAGAACTTTCGATCCACATAAGTGAACGTCGCATCTGCAATATTCTCCTTGAGTATGTATGCAAGCTTTGAATCTTGTGCGCTGTTCATCATAAGAATCTCCGTTGGCTCGTACACTCCGATCTTTGTAACGGTTTTGACGTAAGTCTGATTGTCACAGATCTGACACAGAACAGCCTCTGCTGTAGACAAGTTAACAAAGGCCAAGCCAACTGTAGCTGAGACGCCTCGAGATTCGCTGACGGCGCAGACAATGTCTTGGGAGGCGACGCTTGTCGCCGACGTTGTCGGCCGTGTTGCTGTCCGGGGTCGTGAACTGCTTGCTCTGGTGATGGCGACGAATGAATCTGAAGTCCCCACCGAGGAAGCTCTGGAGAACATGGAAGCCATCCTGAAACCCACTTAAGAGCACTGAAACCTCGTCTATAGAGTTGAAGTGGAGGGGAAGTCCCAGATGTTTACTATAGAAGGTAAGTACCCCAAGGTGATGTCCGAAAGCGGTTTAGTGTCGATCTCCCCGCTGCGATAAGTCCGGACGGTTGCTTTATCGATTTTTTTTTTGGTTGCTACGAGCCCTTCACACAACAAATCAAATCACCTCCACAATGGCGACTCTCTTGCCTCCTCCAACTAAGCGCCAGAAGACGGAGAATGCCGAGAAGGCTCGTCTTCAGCAAGAGATCGAGAGCATTCCGGATAACTTGGGCAGCGTCCGAGTGCAGTTTTTCGACCAAGCGACAGGAGCGGCAACCGGGCCAGCAGTGTCCGTTCCAGTGGCTGATGCCAATGTGAAGAACTTGGAGACGCTTCTCAACACTCTACAAGGCAATGTAGGTATGCGACAACGCAAGTTTGCGACCTGAATCCATTTTACTAACCCCACTCGTCTTATATAGGAAGATGATGAGCGGGTGCCATATCGGTTTACCTACCAGTCCGACGATAAGGACAATCAGACGATCGACATCCTAGCACATCTGTATCATACCCTTCTCAAGCCCGGTCTCAAGACTACCGAAGATACTGTCCACCTATACTACACGCCGCAGGCGGTTTTCCGAGTCAAGGCTGTCTCGCGATGCTCTGCCTCTATCGCTGGACACGGCGAAGCGATTCTGGCCACGTCCTTCTCCCCCGTCAATTCATCCACCATGGTGACCGGCAGTGGTGATTCTACGGCGCGTATCTGGGACTGCGATACGGGAACTCCCATGCATACATTGAAGGGTCACACTAGCTGGGTGCTGGCAGTCAGCTACTCGCCCAACGGCGCGATGGTTGCGACGGGAAGCATGGACAACACGGTTCGGGTCTGGGACGCGAAGAAAGGACAAGCTCTAGGTGCCCCCTTGAAGGGTCATGCGAAGTGGATTACCAGTCTGGCTTGGGAACCCTACCACCTGCAACAGCCCGGGCGACCGCGCTTGGCGTCGGCCTCCAAGGATTCGACGGTCCGGATCTGGGACGTTGTCAGCAAGCGCATTGATATGGTTCTTACCGGTCACAAAGGCTCAGTCACCTGCGTTAAGTGGGGTGGCACGGGCAAGATCTATACGGCGTCCCACGACAAGACCGTCAAGGTGTGGAATGCTGAGAACGGAACCCTGATCCAGACCCTGTCTGCCCACGCACACCGGGTGAACCATCTGGCTCTGTCCACGGACTTCGTCCTCAGAACCGCGTACCACGACCACACTGGCAAGGTCCCGCAAGCCGATACCGAGAAGGTTGCTGCCGCGAAGAAGCGGTATGAGGACGCAGCCACCATCAACAACAAGATCGTCGAGAAGCTCGTTTCTGCCAGTGACGACTTCACTATGTATCTGTGGGAACCGGAGAACTCCAGCAAGCCCGTTGCGCGACTGCTGGGTCACCAGAAGGAGGTCAACCATGTCACATTCTCGCCGGATATGGCATACATCGCTTCGGCAGGGTTCGACAACCACGTCAAGCTCTGGAATGCCCGGGATGGAAAGTGAGTTTATCCCCTGAAGCCCTCTTCTTGCTTTCCGAAGTCCCACGTCACTAACCATCCACCAAGGTTCATCACCACTCTCCGCGGCCACGTCGGAGCTGTCTACCAGTGCTGTTTCTCCGCCGACTCCCGCCTTCTGGTCTCCTCGTCGAAAGACACCACGCTCAAGGTCTGGAATGTTCGTACGGGCAAGCTGTCCGAAGATCTGCCCGGCCACAAGGACGAAGTCTTCGCGGTAGACTGGAGTCCCGATGGGCAAAAAGTGGGAAGTGGCGGTAAGGACAAGGCCGTACGGATATGGCGTAATTAATGTCGAAAAGTTTTTGTCGTTCTCTTTTTCGCTTTTGTCGATGAACAGTATATAGAACCAGATACCCTGTTTTTACCCTGGACAGTATGCTACGTACCTTCAGTTCTTCAACCGTCTAGCTAGGCCATCCATAAGCATAGGCGGCTACTTTAAAATGGGCTGATCGACACTCTCCAAGTCTTCGCTGCTATGTCCAAATCTCTTTTCACGCGAACTCCATCCTACCTAGCTTTCACCATTATAACCACCCCGCCGCGATAGAATGGTCGAGCGATCGGTGCGCCAGGTCCTAGCCATGGAAGACAAAACAGCGCCGAACGGGCCCCAGATAGTACACAGATATACGCAATCCAAACTGAAAAATTGCTATCGGCAGTTACTTCTGATATGCACCCCAATTGATGCTGAATGCTTATCCCAGACACACTGAGAATAGAATTGACATTATGTCGACGTCTCAGCCACCCCATTCGGCATCAACCGTGAGGCCAAAACGCAAGAAACGAAACCCAGAAAGAACAACACCCCAGCCTATCAGGACCAGCTGAAGTAGTGGCCGCAGACCCGAGTCGCCAGGTCTGCGCGTGTGTTTAACTATGCTCTGAGACCACATCGCGGCCTGAACTAGACTACTACCTAGTAGCCATACGTGACTCTGAGACATGGCTGAAACTTTGTGCTAGGTTGGTGCGTCTTGCGGTTGGGTCTTGAGTTTGACGGTATTAGCATGCACCGCATATGAAGTGGGAGTCGTAGTACAGTACATGTATGTACATGCCTGGGGCCATGTCGCTTTGATGACCTGGTTGGCTGCTTGGCTGAAGAGGAAAGATGATGGAGCCACCTAGCAAAAACATGAGAGATGTGTAACTCGAAAAAAAAAAAAAAAAAAAAAAAAGCAGAGCAGGGCAGAGCTACGGTTCGCTCCTCCCTCGGCTTTGCCCCGAAGATTCATCCACCGCCAGAAACTCTAACCTGGTTGTTACACTGGCAGAGATGCGGGCGTCGTGTCGTGAGTGACTGAGCATTTGCTATAACTGCTAGGTGGCGAGGTACAGTATAGTCAGTATATGAGAAGGTCGAAATGAAAATGGATTTCATTGCACGAAGAACGGCTAGGGGAATCCATATTAGATAATGAAAATCATGGACAACAGGTGTCAATCCAGTTTAGACATTGACTTCTTCTACCCGCGCATGCGCGAAAACAGGCACGCACACAGAAACAAGCAATATTCGCACAAGTTGGGGAGCACAGACTCAAAAGCAATTGGGGTAAATTAGTAGCCAGAGACATCAGAAGAGGCAAGGCGAGCAAGAACGGGAACGGAATATAAATGAAACAAAAACAAAGAATGAAAACGAAATCCCATGACACCGGTCCTGATAACAGTACACCCATCAGTTTGAAAAAACAAATCCTTTCCCTCACCCCTGTAAGAACACCACATCCCAGGAACCCAGGTCGTACCAAAACCCATAAACTGCGCCAGAAGAGGTATTAGGCAAACAAGCAATCAAAGGAAAGACCAATTCAAACCAAGCTTTCGGCTTTAGTCGTAGTCGTCTCCACCATCGTCATTATCACTGTGCCGCCCACGCGATCCTTTGACGCCGTCCTTGCGGATTGGAATCTTGATGCCTTGGAGCGCGAAGCATTTGCTGAGCGGCGTGCTTTCGATGACACCCGGGAATTTCTTCGCGGAGAATACATGGAAGGGCTCGGAGAAGACCGATGCCAGCACAGGCGCGGACCCGTGGTTGATCACAGACACACCATTGGGAGATTCGCCGGATTGAGTGCCCACGTTGACAAAGCTCATTTTGAGGCTGCGAAAAAGGGTCAGCTAGGTAGGATATCATGCCATTAAGGGGAGCATACCGGAAAGATCCCTCTGTCCGTACACTCAAGTCTTGTAGAATAAACCAGACACCGATCTTGTTCTCCGGATCAGTCAGTCGGAACGCGCTAGCGCTAAGACTGCCGATGAGGTTTCGCGTAAACATGCCGCCTTGACCGGGCGCAACAGGCTGCGCTGGCGAGATGTTGGCGGGTGGCATGTGGCTTCCCGGGTAGTAGGGGTAGTAGGATTGAGCTTGCGGGTTGGCTCCATAAGGATTTTGGTATTGAAGTTGGGGGTTTCCTGCGTAATAGTTGTTCATGTGCGGATATCCGACGGGCTGGCCATAGGCATTTTGCGCATACGGAGGGTATGACGGGGAGACGTTCTGCACTGGTGGTGGGTATGAGGAGGACATCGCAGTAGATATCGAGGGAGATGTAGCCGAGTGCTTCACCAGATTGACCTCACTCGTCCCTTCCGCATTCCACAAGTCGACCATGAGGACGTAAAAGGACGTATCGATCTCACTGTCCTCCTATATCAGTTGCTGTCGCAACATCTTCGACGATCCCCAGCAGACTTACTTGATATCGATCTCCTTTTCTGTTTGGGCATCGCGGACAATTAGACGGATGCATGGTGGAGGCGTAATAGGTCGTCGGTCCTGATTATGGTCAGCAATGGCAAAAGCAATTTGATAAAGAACACAGCGCCTGGCTCTGGAGCTCATGTCACGTGTGGGGATCTTCTCAATCCGAAAAGACCAACTCGAGAATCAGATCTATGCGGCCACAAGTATTGTCAAACAGACAGCAGCAATCAGAAGCAGTCAATCGAAGCAAGGCCCGGTAGCATTGCGTTCGCAACTCAGCATCTTCAGCCTTGACGAACTCTCGGGTCCATGCAAGTTGGTTGTGCAGCAACCCAATCGGACCCTATCCTTCTGCCAATATCCTGCCAACGGACCAATACCCGAGTCACATAGATCCATAATCTTGTTCAATGTTTCGGTGCTGAAGGATAATTCGAGTACATGCGACAATCAAGAATTCCAGCTCCATGCACTGGCCCCGAGGGAGCTTGTGGGTATAGACAAGACTGACCTTGTCACCAAAACCACACATACGGGCGCGAACCGGCTGTTGTACCACTTGTAGAGACCAAATGCGACCTTCGTGCACGGTGGAGAGCGGTGCGAGATGGCCTGCGGAGGGCATCGTGGAGGGGATTGGGCCCGCGGACCCAGGCGTGGGGTAGGAAGAGGAGGGCGGAATTCGATCCATGGCGAGGGGTGGCGGAGGAATACGATCCATGAAGTGCAACAGAGAGGAATGGGAGAAATTCGTTCGTGGTTTGTCTGCAATAGCGCGGGCTCAGCCAAGCGGAGGATGAAGCTGAAAAAGGCGGGGTTGCATACGAGGGCGGCGCGTCGTGGTGGTGGTGGTGGTGGTGGTGAAGCTGGATGACGACGGGGAAAGTGTGAAAAGAGACCAAACGGAAAGAGAGCGGAAGAGTTAGACTAAGAGTGGAGGAGAAGAAGAAGAAACGAGGGAGAAAAAAGAAGACTAGTTAGTCGGAGCAGTAGCCGGGAGAGGGGAGAAAGGCAGAGAGCGTGGGCAGAGAGTCACGGGCAGCTTTTTGGAGGAGTTCCAGAACTGAGTGCATGAGCCATGAGCTCATCTCTTATTTTTCAATCTCTCTTCATGCTTCCACTCTGCCTTCTGAGGTTCCCCTCCGTCATTTCCTTCTCGGAGCGATCCGTGCTGGGCGGCAATTGGAACACGCGGGTTAATCAGAGATGTCAGATTGGCTGGCTAATGTTCTCTTTTTTCTATTCTGCCCTACGAGCATTCATCCCGAATCTTTTCCAATCACATTGGAGAATAAGGTATTTGCTTATGATCCATACTGTACGCCCGGGCTCCTGAGGATCCCACGGGTCTGTGGGCTTCAGCTTCTGTTGGTTAGGGGATCGCGGGTTACGGAGCTGTATTATTGCTAGTCTGCCCACGGACTGGCCGCTAACGTTATGGTGGGTAATTTTGCGATGAACTGAGCTTGGTGGATACCAGAAGAATACCAGGATGATACCCGTTTTAGAGGGCTTAACACTCCGTCGGCGCCTCAATTGCGCTCAATCCTCACTATTCTCTACCCAACCATACCGCTCCCTGCACGCCAAGGGTTAGATGTTACTAGCGTATATTCAGGACTTCTAGTCGCGTCACGGATCAGGAGGCGATCAGCACTCAAGCCGGCGCAGGAACCTCGACCCAAACAGTCGGGTTCGGCGTCTTGCCCAGTCCGGAGCTTTGCTTGCCGTCTTCGTCCTAAGAGGCTGTTCACGGCACCATGAGCATACGGATCGGTCACCAATCCATATACAATCTATCGCTCAAATCCAATCTATGTACACCATTCAGCTGCTTATGTGCCACATCTTTCATCAATGTCAAGCATTATGTTGGTTCTTCATTTCGCTGCGGCCTGTATCGAACCCCATCTGCGCCCGGGGACTGTCAGTTCTGCTTGAGTCCGTGGGGCAGCCATATCATGTCAGAATGTAACACCGGAAGGGGAGGAAGGAATTTCGACAAATCAGATTGACAATTAACCGACTGCGGCGATTCCCCGGCGCCGACTATGCCGCATTAGGTTGCAGTGGAGAGGCCGTTCCCTATCCTAACCAATCCCATCCCCGAATGCCCTCCTGCGGGCGCTTTCAATCCTCTGCGTTGGGTCGACAGAAGCTGAGGCCCGACTGAGCTTTCCTCCCTTTTTGCCAGGATGGCTGCAGTCAATCAATGTCCCCTTTGCAAAGCCGTTCTCAACATGTATGTTAGCGATTGGGCCCGATGATGCAGCCAAAAGAAGCCGTTGGTGCGGGGTACAAGTGTACTGTACAAGTGCGTTAACACACTGGCTGTCTTCGCCGAACCGGGATGCTTGCGTGGATGCAAAATCTTAACCACATGGTGTAGAGTATAACATGCACATTGTCGTTCTATACATTCGCGCCTACATTGCCAACACTTCAATATCTTTCACTGATACTATACTCCCACGCTTCTTTGTAGATATAAGGTATATTCCACGGTGAACCTTTTCAATTCCAGAGCACGACAATGCTTCGACAGGGGTACTTCCCCTTGGATAGAACGCTCCTTCAAAGCAAGTTGGAAGCATGAGAAGTCCCATTTCAAGCAAAATCTGAACAATGCTTTCACGACGACCTCTCTTGAGGACAGAATGACGTAGTCGACAGAAGATTGCCTCTCAGGATCCAGACAACATCCTATCGGGAGACTTCTGCATGAAAGAGCTCTTTCTCCAGACAAAGTGAAATCATGAAAAACCCCGCCCAGCCAAGGGCTGGACAATGACTTTGGTTTTGGACTTTGTACAATGAAGGACTTTGAACGCCGACAGAATGTAATACCAAATAAGTTGCATGATAGGGACAGCAATAGCGTCACGAGAACTATAAAGAAGGCTATGTATTCCTGTACAATCGCGTTTTCTTTTCCTCGCCATCGACTTCCTTGGTACTGGCAGTTTTGACACCGACAGAGTTAACATCGCCATCGAAGTCCCATCATGTATGAGAGGTACATTAGCCATGGACCATACGGAAGGATGTCTGGTGGTCTTATCTGTCGGATGCATTTCCGGTCGATGAAGGGTTTATGATCCGATTCGGCAAAGACCATTGGGACAAAGTGCCAGAATGCATGCCCATAATTGTCACAAAAGGAGAAAAGTTGTATTTCACCTTGCTGGCGCATGCGAGCTCGGATATAACCGACCACCCAGAAGAGCTGGCGGAGCAATTTGAGCGGTTGCGGTACGATTTGCCCTTGAATGCAGATATTGCTGCCGATGTCATTTGTGCAGGTAAGCTCCATTTGTATAGACTGCCTCCAGATTGCGGGATTGAATCCCTGCTGTCAGTGTCGATGGATAAAACCGAGGTTTTCGACAGGATTTACCACCAGAAGCAGATCGACATGTTCTTCCGTTTGGTGAAGGATGGTAACATGTTCTCGGACTGATGGCTTAGGCCGGTAGGTCGTGATTTGTACCTGACATCTACATGTCTATACATCATTACTAAACACCTGATATGCAATCTACTTTGCTTTTGATACTTCATAGATTATTACATCACTACAGGTAAATGCAATTAGCCTACGGGCGAATCCTGGTAATAGCCGGGATCAGTACGTTAGCGTCACCACTGGGCATTGGAGCGGCTGAGTTATCCGCAGAGCTAAGCACTACCGGATCTTGATTGATGCCTTCCCTGCTCTACTGCTTCGGCTCAGCTCCCGTCCAAGCTGCTCCTTCCCACTGCTGAATACAGTAGGTATCCTTTTCATCCATCGATGATTGTTAAGTTCTTTGTGATGTCGCTGTAGCTATTCATCCAGCATCTCCTACGACAATAGTCCTAAACTCTTTATCCTCTCAATGACTTCATAACTTCTTGACGTATTTACCTCAAGGCTCCTCTCAATCGACTTACGCTAACCTCGAATTGAAAATCTTTTCTGTCACTTTTCAACTGAAGCAACCATGCATCCTGATTCCTTGGCCACATTGTAGTCATGATTCAAGCTGCTTGTTGAAGGGTAGGTCTTACCCATCTGCGCCGTCGAGCAAATCTTGCGCCAGCCTTCCCATATGAGCATCCGTTCTTGCTCGAATTATTCTCGATTCGTGCACATGCTTCGCAGTATCTCGGTCTCCAGAACGACAGCCTCTTACCCTCGTCTACGTCCACTTTCCTACTCTGGGATAATCGCAAGCAAGTAGCAAGGCAACACCATTGACGAGAAAGTCAATAGCAGAGATGACCAACAATGATTTCGAGAAACATCGCGAGAAGCACCACAGGATCCTCATATTCAGGGTAAGTGGCGGTGGAGATACACCAACGAGGCGCATATAAAGTTGACTGGTAATCGGAAACTCAGAGGTATAGATGTCTAGGAGGGATAAGTCAGATTTCATACTTTCTTCGGCTGTTTGCCGTTTACCTGTCTGGGAGCTGGAAACGAAAACCCTCCATCCATCCAGTCTTTCCCAGCCCAATATCACCAGAGACGTGTGACAACATAGCGGGTCGCTATTCCCCGGAAGCGGCTCATTGTATACTCCTCATGAACTCGTAGACACCTTCCGTTAACCGATATCAAAGAAGAAGAATTGTACCGATTTCGAAAAAGTCCGCCCAGTCACATTTCGAACAACGTCAATAGCAGTAGCAAGGTCTTTGTGTCATGCTGACCTTGTCGAGCGTGCGATGAACGGTTAATGGATTTGCATGGCTTTCCTTGCCTTCGCGAATCGGACGCTCTGCACGTTGGTCAGAAGAATGACGTTGTCAATTCATCTATCAGCATAGAATCGCCATAAAGCTACCAAGAAAGACCGGGTCTGTGTTGAACAATCGTGACCCATTCCTCGCAAGCGTCGAGGCTGTTGACCACCGGTTCTGCACTTCGCACGCCAGCTAGATGTAGATAGCAGACCGCATTCTCCAGTCCGGAGAAGATGACAAAAGTAAGCCCAGACGGGTATGCATTCTCATTGAAGCAGTTGTTGTCGTTCTGTTTGACTGGGCCGTGTTTCTCGACCCAATTGTCTGACTTGAAGCGGATGTCTGTACCTTATTTTGCTGGGTAGAACGTGAAGCAGACAACGAAGGTCAACCCAATGCTGTTGATAGTACCAATAAAGACACAAAACTGGGCGCCGGTACAGCAAACGAGTGAAAGAAGATGTATCGAGCATGAGGGTGATCAGAGCATGAGCCTCACTGCAACGATGCTCATGTCTTGTAATTGCGCTTGCAAATTTTGACCTACCCAGCTAACGAAGGGACCTGAACTAGGATTGATAAAATGTACGGTGGCCACCGAGGCAAGCCAGCCAGCTCTGGCTGATGCCTGCGCCCCTCAATATGACAAATCTCGAAGTGTAAGTTATGGTCCCATATCCGGATGCACGAGAGCAAGACACGCGCTAAGGCTGTTCCCACAGGGTTGATGTTGACAATAAAATTCATATGAATGCTGTTGGCATGAACGATGCGACGGACCCCACATAATGGCGCCAATATATGTCGTTTGGGCTCGAGCATCAACCGGCGAGAGTTTTAGTAGACTTGGATACTCGAATTGTAGTAATTAAATCTCCCTCACCCCATCGTCATCCCAAGGCCCCACTATCAATGGACTGGGCATTAACTTGCCATCTTCATCTCAAGCCAAAACCATCAATACTAATGGCCAGTTCGTTCATGCATCAAAGCATCAAGAAACGAACCATGCCACGCAGCTCTTGGGGGCAGCTGTCCCCGCCCTCACCCATAAGCATTGCATTTTCCCACTCGGGAATGGCTCCAACGTTGCTACTTTAGGTGTTCGGAGGCATCACTGGGCAGCTTACAACTACAACATGTCATGCCTGTAGCCACTCAACAACCACCTGATTACACATACATTGACATGACATACATCCAGCCAAGCTAAACCACTTCACATCCCATATACCCTTTTAGTTCTTCGCTAAGCACTCCCTGATAGAGTTAAACGCAGACCACATAGCGCGGGCGCGCAGCGCACGGAGAAAGTCGTAGACGCAAAGATAATCAATCCAGCGAGTGGGTTATCGGCTAGGTCATCACCGGAGTACTAGACAGGGACGCTAGAAGCCCATTGTGAATGTTCGGCGGAGGCGATATGGGCTTCTCCCTCTCGGTCCTTGGACCCACCATCGGAGGGACGGCTAGGCTAGATAGAGTACGATGAGACTAAAATAACATGATATAATCTCTGCCTCTCCCTCCTCTTTTCTCCGCTCCGGCCGAAACGTGCCCCCGACCTCCTGCCCCTAAACTTGGCGGTTATACCTAAGCCACACCTAGCAATCTCCCTGCCCACCTACCGAGTTTTCTTCCAAACCCTGCTGGCTGGATACACGAGCACGGCCCGCAAGTCTGGTTGACCAGGATCGGGACGGTCGGGACTTTAATCTAGATCTCTTTAGTCTGTTCTGGACACACTAAGTACGTCGTCATGGATGGATCACTGCTGTACCGAAGGATGACGGAGGGGCGATGTTCAGCTTGTTGGCGAGGGTTCACGATGCTGCTGGCCCGATACCTTGGGTGTGGGGTCATCCTTCCTCCAAGCTTATGCTCCTCAAATTTTTATTCTCCTTGTGCTGTTTTCTCCTCGGATTATGCTGCTATTCTCTCCCAGAGACACACAGACCAAAAACTTTGCGTTACTGAGACAGGCGGCGAGCAAAGGTACTATAGGAGAATTGCTATTCTAGGACCCCGGACCATTAATTTTAGAAGCACCCTCCCCAAGCAAAATGACAGATAGCTCGCTCTCGGGTCTCGGGCCATTTGGGGAGACACTACGTGATAAGAAAAGAAAATCCGTGGAGAAAGCTACGGGAGGGTAAAACGGGCATCAGTGCAATCGAGCCAATATACATGGAATGTTATCGCGCGACTCAATTCGGGTCGATCTCCGACTATGCGTTATTGTAGCTTTGCAGGGGTTCTTTCAAGGTAAGCACGTATGTCTAGGGTCCTGAACTTAGAATCCCATGGGAGATAGTAAGTGGGGAGTAGTATAGGAAGGGCAATGGCGGCCAGTTACCCAAGTAGTTTGGGTTGTAGAAGGTGACTGCCAGTACCTAAGACATTCGGCTGCTTCCGACGCCGAGGTATTGACAATATGCCCCTGGTTACGTCTCTCTACGAGTTATTAGTAGAGTCCTGGACACTGGTCCGCGAGCACGTCGACGAGGCTAAGCGATGGGAGGTGGCTCTGACTGGCAAGAGTCTATTCTAGGACTTGGAAAACGTGGCAGTCCGATCCGAAATTTCGGGCTTCTGGAACGCTATTCTCGTATGCATCTCTGCATCCGTACTTCCTGGACCTATAGTGATTATACTCAGGCTCTTGTGCAGAGAAGAGGCATGAGCCTTCCAGATGGAAGACGCGTGTGTAGGTTGTACAGGAGTTCGTTTCCGCTACTGGATTCGGGTCCGTCGCACAAGTCCTAGTGGGCAAAGATTATGTTCTATTCGTTGTTGGAGAAGAAACTGGATGATGGTAGTAGCGCACATTTATGTCTACGAATACCTGGTTCGTGATTGTTGAACTTTATGAATATAGATAAGGATCATATTGCATCATCGAGCTATCGAAGACCGTCCGGTCAGGATGAGAGATCCGTCGAGAGCGGGCCCACTGTATAGAGCCACTATCGTCAAAGATCGACCAAGAAAGTTTCTCCTTTCCACCCTTCGAGTGGATCGATGGAGTTAGGTAGGATTGAAACCTTTCTTTGCAACCTCCGCGCAAGCTATGCATCGATATTCTGGTAAAGTAGATCTTCCACTCACATATTCATAAGGCTAGCGATTGAATTATCAAAGTTTGACTGTGCCGTACCACGGGCCGAAGTCAACCTTATACCTGATCGGGAAGTGGGCAGGCTTGAAGTCCATCGTGATTTGGTGTAGCCAATCACAAGGCGGGAGAACACCAAGAATCTTGATTACCCGAAATGGCAAAAGCAGGGTTCATCACTGGATGGGCCTAAACCACGATAGGGAAGGAGGGCGGGGAGGACGACGGGGATGGTTTGGGATTAGGGAAAAGACTCAAGGCGGTTTTGGGTTTTGCCTGCAAGTGGCCGGGGAGGTTCCACCCCGGGGTGGGCGGGCGTGGGTGATTTTGTCCCAAGACGGCATGACGAGGAGAGATGGATCCGCAACTTACTTGGGAAGCCCCGAGCCCGTTGAGAAGGACGGGCGCGAAAGCTTCAGACTTCGCGGGCCAGATTCATGATTCATCAAGTCCTAGAGGTCGCCATTCGTTGCTTCATGAAAGAAATACACCGCTGAGGGGAAACCCGTTCACTAGCAATTGTCCTACTACCACCGCCACCTGAGAGGCCAAGTAGGAGGAAAGTGGAAGGGAGAGCATCTGCACGGACGATGAGTCGGAGTCGTTGAGCAGCGGCATCTTCTTTCGGCCTGATCAATGCAACCTCCCTTTTCCCTGTTCGGGTTGTGCGCAAGATCTGGTCTTCCCACAGGTGCATCTCCATGATTTTGTGCTTCCATGCTTGCATTAACATGGACTGGGATTTCAGCGACAATTGATCCTGATGCATCGTGCAGTAGTCTCAGGGGGTGGACTGCCTAGGAAGCCCTGGTCGGAGGCGGTCGTATGTAAGTATTCCGTATTCCGTACGTTCTAAGTTCAACGAACGATGCGATAGAAGAAGGATTGCGGAGGATGAAGCCCAGGAAAAAGTCAATCGGCTGATTGGGTAGCTCGTTCGAGATGGACTGGGTGGATCACGTCAAGGGGGACTCCGGTTGGGGAAAAGTCGCGATCGATGCTGATGGCTAAATATTGGAACGTCTGGATGCAGTCAATGACTTGGTATTAATAGCAGAATAGTCAAATAGTCGGATAGTCAGATAGTCAAATAGTTAACAGCATCCACAAATCACGGAGCTCCTCCCCTCTCGGCCTGACTAACTAGAAGAAGAGTGTAGTCGAGCACAGGCTGTTGCTTTTCAATGAATGGATCATCCAATTTCTTTGTCCATCACTTCAACGGCAGGCAGTTCTCGGAGAGGAAATGAGGTCAATCATGGCTTGGATGGGTTGCGGAGATCCCGACGCCCGTCAATCCTTGAAGGGTCCTGCCTGAGACCGGTAACCCCCCATGCCAATCGGTATCAATTCTTTCATTCCACCGTTGTAGGGGATAATGGAGATCGTAGGTAATGAGTGAGGTAATCCTGCAGGATTAGGCAAGAGGCCCCTCCGCATTTACTGGTTTGGTGTGTTGTGCTCGGTATCGAGCTTCATTTGTTCGTCATGGAGACAGGGTGGAGTGGGGAGAGATCCTGGAAGATTCAAATCAAGTAAGATTTAAAAATAAAAAAGGTGATCAAAGCGTCCAGAAAAGATGAGACAAAATTGGGAGGTCTAGAGAGTAGTACTCTGTGCTGTAGAAACGCTACAACGGAGTGTACAGTACTTACAGTATCTCCTAACATCTAGACTATCTACTACCTAGACTAACTAAGTAGGTAAGAGAATGGATTGTCTGGGACTCTGGGTCGTCTTCCCCACTCTGCTGTTGCAGACCCACTGCGAACAACGATCTATCGGTTAGCCCTGAGTTGGAGACTGACTGCCAAAAGTGTCCACTGAGGGGGGCGCCCGGAAGGGGCAAAGAGAAAAAAAGACTCGGGAGGTGTGAAGTGCGTGCGGTAGGCAGGGAAATTCTATTAGATTGATTGTGCTGGTCCAGTATTAATAGACCAGAACTCGAACATGGCGTGCCAACAGGATATCGTGTTATGCTTTTGTGTGGTGTGTGGAGAGAGTGCGTGTGTTCATTTATGATTATTACCAGCTGTCTCCTTGCTACTATCATCATACTTCAGCTGTCTCTGACTCGCTCGCATTACTCTATATTCCTTTTTCCCTGGGGTCAATCCAGCAACCCTACTTACTACTACTTACTACCTCCTACCTACCTACCCCTATAAACACACACACACACCCTCCCTTCCCCCCACCCACTTGTTACGTTTTCCCTTGTCTTCTGTACCAGACAGAACAGGTGCCATGCCTGTTGGTCTGTTATGAAACATACCTTGCGCCAGTTACACCAAATCCCAGAGTAAAGGTTCGACGATGCCTGCACGGCGCAGTTACAGAGCCCCATCACGGAATGGCTGTTATGGGTGCAGGAACCGGCAGATCAAGGTAGGCTCGCTAAAAGTTTAAGTAAAGTTGTTGTTCCTGCCTGCAGTCATCCTTTTAACATTTATCTTTCTTTCTATTCCTCTGTCCCTCCGTTCCCTCTTTTTCTTTTTTTTACCCTTTCCTGTTGTCCTTCTCTCTGTTTTTACCCCCTTTATGTTTGAGATGCCTGGATGCCTGGATGCCTGATGCTACAGTCTTCCTTCCTTCCTTCTCATTCAGGCATTTTACCGTATGCCGGCCGGCGTTTGGAATATCTTTGGACGTACCACATCTCCATTCATGATTCGCGAACTCAAACCTTGCATTGCCCCGTTTCAGTTCAGTTCCCAGGCGTCTCTCTACGTCGGCTTAAATTGTGACTGGCTTGTCTTGTTGTCTCCTTTTCTCAATACTGATTGGCAGATGCAGTGTCCGAAAGAACACCCCCAGTGCTCCCATTGCACCAGTGACAACTTACTATGCCAATATATCTCCTCATCTAGCTCGCTGGTCTGGCCAAGGGCAAAGTCCCGTTCCACTACTCCAACCATTCCGCCAGCCCGGACGGCCTCGCAGTCGCAACCCAACGCCAGGATTTACGCACAGTATCGCCTCGTCATGGATCATCCCATCAGTCCATGTGCTCCGCCGGGAGGCGAACTTAACATCCAGGACTTGGAGTTGATGATGCAGTGGTGCACTACCACCTACCTATCCGTCTCGCGCAATAGCACTGTCGAGGGGATCTGGCAGGGTGTGGTCCCGCGCGAAGCAATGCGCCACCCATTTCTCATGCACGGCATCCTGGCCCTGTCGGCCCTACATCTGGCATCCACGTCCACCAACAGTGGAACCAGCAAAGAGGACTACTTGCGCACCGCCCAGAGCCATCAGCAACAGGCCGTTGCGGGCTTGGCTAAGATCGCGGAACACCTGGACCGGTCCAATTGCAACGCTGCCTTTGCCCTCTCAAGCATCATGGTCGTCTTTGCGTTTGCTTTCCAAGGAAACCCATCCTCCACTGCCAGCACCAAAGCCAACGCCTTGGATGCGCTAATGGATATCTTTCAATTTACCAGAGGATCCATTGATGTGCAAGGGGAAATTATCGGCTGGGTTGCTGATGGAGAGTTCAGTCCCCTCCTAGAATACGATAACTCACAACCCAAGATGCCGGATACTTCACGCCTCGCGATAATGTCTCTGTCCAGATTGAATACCAATTTGGCGAACAGGGACTCGACGCACGAGAAGGACATCTACGACGCGACCATCAAGCACCTCGGGTTCTCCCTGGACAAGCTCGCTCGCGGAGGAGAGACCATGATCATCGCCTTCCAATGGATTTTTCGGATTCCACCGCGGTACGTCGAATTGGTCCGGGAACGACAACCCTTTGCACTGGCGATTCTCGCCCATTACGCCGTCATCATTCACTCGTTGCGAGGCCATTGGTGGATTGGCGAGTGGGGAACACGACTGATTCGGGACATCGGCCAACATCTGGATGCCGGATGGAGAGAGTCGATTAGTTGGGTAATCGATGCCACGGGTTGCTATATCCCTCCGGTCTGAAATGCCAACCTCTTTAAATCGTTGAACACCCCAAAGGCGCGAGTACCTCGCGAAACGCGTCCCCTTCACAGCATATATCACCATAGCATGAAGCATTACTTGCAGCTGCGTCCAGCGAAACTGGTGCAATTTCCGCAGCACAGGCAGGCCGCGCATGACATTGGCGTTTTCACCGAGCTCATCAAACCTCAGCAAGCAGACCGGCCACACGCTCAAATTTCGACCATGCGCTCGTCCTCTCCCGCGACTGAGATAGCTTCATCGCTGCATCCGAAAGGAACCGAAGGGGAACAACGTCTGGAAATCCCGATGTATCGCTCATCATCGAAACCACACCTGTTCATGAACAAACACAGCCAAATCCGCCGTGACAGCCAGTCTGTCTTCCGCGGGTCGCAAATCACACCGGCTCAGGCGCAGAAAAATAAAAAGGGTGCTGGACATCTTGACGGAACGGCAAATGACACATACCTACGAACTTTTGACTTCTCGTTTTGTTTTTGATTGCGATGCGTAGCGTTAACTATGGCTCCATGAAATGCTGCCCGCTATCGATTCTTTTTCTTCTCTACCTAGCTCACACTTTTGTCTTGTTTATCCATTCATAGCGACCGCATGCATCATCATCATATAATATATCATCCACCCCAAAGGCCACTATTGCGGCATACAGACCAATCATGTGACGCGAAGCCAGTCCGTTCCGATACGGTATGGCGCCGGTGTAATCTTTCCCTTTCCCCTGTGGGCAATCAGCTGCATGGTAAGATCTATCATTGAATGTTGGATTTGATTCGAATCAGAGAGGAGGGGAAGAAGAGGTTTCGATAAGCCCGTGCGCTCTCATTGGAGCTATCTGCTTTTCGCGCCGTCACAGCGACCGCAAACAAAATGCCGGCGATGCGCAGCAGAACAACGAAGATCCATGGGAAAGCATGCAAGCTTGGGACAAAATGCGACGTCCGCATACCAGAGAAGACGAAAAAAAAAAGGAGAATCAAACCTTGACCAAAGCAAACCGTACCTGCGCCTCTTTTTAGTTGACATAAAGTCTACATGGGTATTGATTAAATAAACATATGCGTGAAGAAGAAGAAAAAAAAAGCCCAAGGCTGAGCAAGACAGGATGCTGCCTTGCAGGAATCTCCTTCGCCCTTTGCCGGAACCTGAGCAGGAAAGGGAAATCAAAAGAGTTGGGGGGAGAGAAAGAAAGTCTCAAGGAGAATCAGCAGCAGCAGCAAAATGTGCCAACCACCATCTGCAGCATTTGCGAACTCCCTCCTTGATAGGAGTCGCAGCTGCCCCGTTCATAATCAGTTGACCATGAATCATATACTCCTAGCGACCAACCAAGAGTCCAAATGCGCTACATGTGTTTGGAAGAAGAATATAGAAGCCCCGACCGGGGCAGGATTATAAGAGCAAGTGGGTGAGAAACCCAACCGAGACCGCTCTCTTTCTGAAAAAACCTGCCCCCACGCCATCATCTGCCAGTGTTGCCAAGTACCGACCGACGACGGGGTAGATCGGACTCCAGACTCAACTCCAAACGTGTGCTAGTCAACTGGACGACGGCTGTCGCTCCTCGCTGGAACGGCGATTGTCGCTACTGAGCGCCCCGGAGCTAACAGCAGGGCCAGCCCCGGCCGTGTGTTCGAGATCCTTCCTCCGATCCTTGGACTGGGTTCTCACTCGCGCCAATTGAGCTTCTTGAGTCTTCACCCGAGCCAGCTGAGCCTCGCCTTGTTCGCGCATGCGTCTCTCTTCTTCGGGGGTGGGGAAGTATGCGTTTGCGACACCGCCTACAATTTGAACGAACCCCGGGGGTGGTTAGCTGTGAGTACGATATGAATTTTGGAAACCTCCCTTCCCCGTCACCCCAGCTTCCATCACGCCATGAGAGAGTGTTTGTGCGGAGCAGATCCGGGAACATAGATGAGATGTGTACTTGGGATACAGGCACTATATCGGACGCAAGGACGAAGGAGGAAAAGAAGAGGAAGAGATCACCCACCTCGTCCAGTATGATGCGGCGCCTCCTCCATGCGCAACGGCGGGGTCTCGACGTCTTGCAGTTCGCGCGCCAATTCGGGGTGCTGCGGGTCATTCTGCATCATGTTGCCGGAGCCGCCGCGGCCTGTGGTGAAGACATCTTGTTTGATGGTCGGGGTAACCAGATCCTTCGGGGAGGTGCGCGATGCGCCAGAGCCGGAAAAGATGTTCCCTAGACGAGAGAGAAAGAGAGAAATGGTTGGTTGCTATCCAGCTAGAACGGAGGAATCTCCGGAATCTCTTGAGGGATCAAATGAATGGGGCATCTAGGAAGTGGAGAGTGGGGTTGAAGAGGAGGGGGAAGGGGGGAGGAATTGGAAAGCGTACCTGCGCCACCGCGACCATGTGAGATGTTTCTGCCCATGGCTTTTCAGTCGCTGGGCGAGAACGTGAGACCAAGGGGAGAGAAAATCGATGAACAGGACTAGGCTGGCTTGTCGTTGCGACGCGAAGAAATTGCAACACGGGAAAAGAAGTTGCGATCGGCTTGAGTCGGTGGGAGAGGAGATGAAGGCGCGACGAGCACGAGTCGGAGAAAGAGCTTTGACTCAGCTCGACGGCGATCGTTCAGAACAGCGCTCGCAGAGAGGGAGAATTCGACAGGGAAGGGAGACTCGAGAAAGAAGGATGATAACCCCACCAGGATAATAAGAGGTGAGACAAACACGAGAGTGGGAAGCTCAGTCACTTGTAAATTGGAGAGGGGGAAAAAGAATTGAGAGGGGGTGAATGGATGATGATGATGCGACGGCCAAGAAGCAGTTGTTGCCCGTCAGGATCAAATGACGTCCTCTAGCAATGATTCCGCACCGTCTATTGTTTCTTTTTCTTCGACTCCTCGGGAAGTACTCTTATGTTAAGGTTCTCTTGGCTCTGTTTTTGGTCATTCAATTGTTTAGTATACCAAATGGCAGATGCAAGCAGTCCTTGTGATCATTTTTCTACCTCTCTCCTTTTTCCTAATTCACTGTGCTTAAAGTTTCCTTCGCATGAATTTCTCTTACCTCACAGTGCACACAGATGCTGTCATCTCCCCAGCTGACCCGATGGTTAATTTCCCCTTTCCCCCCGCGGTTTCTTGCCCTTCCAATCCTCCGAACTCCGTCCTTCTAGCCCGTTACTGCTTTCATCGGCCAGTGGATCCCTTCCCTGCTGGATGGAGTCAGATGACTTGTTCTCCAAACAATAGAATTGGAACTAGGTACCCCATCATTGCCATCAAAGCTAACGAGCTCTAACTTACAACTCGCCGCAACGGCATCACACGACAGAAACCACGCTGGTCAGATCACGCTGCCAGATAACTTTGAGGACAGCTAGCTAGGTGTGATTATATACTCAATGATGCCACTCCAGTAAGTAAACATGGAAAGAAGTACTTCGGTGCTCTAGAAACTAGTCTTAACCGCAAAAGAAACCACTGCAACCATTGCATGCCCTCCCTCATATACACAAGCTCCCGAGTCCATCTTAACAACGAACAAAAATAACAAGTCATTCCCACATATATCATTAAAGATTGTGCACCACCTCACACTCCCTAACCCCACGCCGGAAAGCAGATGGATTCGCATTCGCATTCGTTCCGTCTCGCTCATGGACATAATATATGATCAGTCGTGAAAGATTCTCAGCCCGGCACTAGAAACATATGCGGTTTGCCCCAGGAATGTTCGGGGGGCTTTGTTCTTTGCAACAATTCAGAACCACCAGTGAGATTCTTCGGTATATGCCTGCTCGAACCCCATGCTCCAGACGCCGTGGGCGCCTTTGACGCGATAAGGACCTTCCCACTTCCACGCCTTCTTCTTCTCTTTGTACGAGGCGGCGCCGACATGCTGCATCTGCGAGGGCGAGATGGCCAGCCGGTCCAGTCCCTCCTTGCCCGCCAGCATCTCGATCACGCTGTCGACCGCTTTGGTCGGGACCATGTCCTCCCTCTCGGCCAGGTACCGCAGCAGCTCCGGGACGTGCGCGCGGTTGTAGAGCAGCGCCTGCGAGCAGCAGCCATGCGAGTTCATGACATGCACGCCGGGCTCCATGGGGAACCAGGTGACGCGGCCGGTCATGAAGAAGAGGCCGATCAGTGCGGGCACGCACAGGAAGCAGAGCACCAAGAGGAATGGGTTGGTGAGCACGGACTGAGTGGCGCGAATCTTGCGGCGGGCAGTGAGGGCCAGCCACGCGACGATGGCAACAGTCGACGAACTCCAGAAGAGGTAGACGGGCCAGCTCTCCGAGTTCCAGCCCAGGAACTTCTCCGTGTAGAACAGCCGCACGTACAGCCAGTCCTTGAGGAGGCCGTGCTGGCGGCCCTCCTCGATGCGCCGCACGCTTTGCATCGTGTGCTCGTACCAGTTGCGCTGCGCTACCACATCGTCCTCCAGCATGATGATCCACGGCGCGTCGTTCAGGTCGTAGCAGGCCTGGAGGCCCAGCCGGTAGTCCAGAATCGACTTCTTCTTGATATCTTTCTTCTTCTCGAGGCGCGCGATCGTCACGTGAGGCGCGTCAACGGTCTCGTAGGTGAGGACATGGTCCACAGTGTTGTTCAGCCAAGTTTGGTTGTAATCGGGGTGGTCGAAGGGGTCGCTGAGGGCGAAGAGGACCTGGATGCTCAGCGCGCGGCGCTGCTCCGGGGTGAGCGTGTCCTGAATCGAGGCGACGGTGGTACCAAGGTTCTGCTGCAGAGGTCGCTTCACCGTCACGATCCCGACGCAGACGGTCTTGTCTTTTGGGGGTTGATAGTCGCTGGGCGGGTAGGGGTAGGTAACGCCACTTTGGTTATAGGCTGACAGGAAATCTAACGATTCCTGAATGCGTGCAAGACTGTATTTGGGGCGATAGCCCTCGGTGGATTCGAAGAAGAGTGAGCCGGGGTCGCGGAGGGACCAGAAACGGCAAAGGAGGAGGAGGAAAAAGAAGAGGATGGCGTAGGCGATCAGCAGAAGCCTCTGCTTCCTGTTGAGATGATAGAAAGCCATTGGTCACATGCTGGGAGAATTGAGCGACGATCAAGGATGTTGAAGGAGGAGGGGAGGAGGAAGGAGAGGAATGGAGAAAGTATCGTCAAACGAAGAGGAGACAAGGCGATCACAACGACAGCAGCAGCAACAACGACACCAAAAACAACAGCAACAATGGCAATGGCAATGAAATCAGCAACAGGACGAGAGCGAGTGAAATGGAGAGAAGTGCAACGAAGGCGAAGAAGACTCAGCCATGGCCGTAAGTTGCAGATAAGCAAGCATTTGGGCTAAGCTAAGGCGGGCTTTAGTGTCTGACCCTCAGGGTCCGTCCGTCGCTTAAGACGCTTTAGTGCAGATAGACGCCTAGTTTAGTGCTTGTCTCGGGCCTTTTTCGTGTTTCTCATCCTCTATCCCAGTTCCAAGACTTCCAAGACTTTTTCCCAAGTCCTTTTTGTCTTGTCCGAGTGTCTCTCGGTTACTGACCCACTTCTTCCGGGCAGCGGACACACTTTACTAACCGATAGAAGCGCCCCAGACGATCAGGTTTTGCCTGAATAGGAATTTCCTGACCATGCTCGTGTTCACTTTTACGAAGAAGGATCTGAGGCCGTGCAGATGGACGATGAAGCAGCACTGCACTGGGCATTGGTCATTCGCCTCCGACATGGGCAGTGAACCTGCAACCTGGCCAATGATGCGCGATGACCCGGTCGCTAAAAAAAGGGCGGGTGAAAAGCTTAGCCCGAGAGGGCCCAGCAAATTGACCCATTGTTGATACTAAGTATGATCGTTGCTCCGGGTGAGGCGTTTTATTTTTATCAACTAGACTCTGTCTGTCGGCACCACTCTCTGTTTTGGTCAGGATGTCTCAATTGATCTTGATGGGGCAAATAAAAACTGGATTGATGTCAGAATCCTTCCACATGGATATTTAATGTGGAGGACTCTGATACAATTCGTCTGTCTGTCATCGTGATAGTGGCTCCTCGCAGGCAGCAGGTTTTAAATTCAGGCTGGCGATTGAGAATTCGATGATGCAACGGCTAAGAAAGATCATGCAATGGCCTCGAAGAAGTTGTGGTCCTGGTGTTCACAGTCGACTACTCCTAAGTAGATATGATCGGGTGCAACCACATGTCAAACACCAAACAGCAGTCGGCGCTAGCCTCACCCAAGGTCCACTGCCTCGGCTATTCCATCCACACCCGTCGATATGCGGATTACTATATCATCCAACTCATCTCTATGCATCATCCTTTGAATTCCAGATCTTGTTGATGAGAATATCAGAGTAAATTCAGGCCACGGTACGGTGCTTGCTGCGGGGTAAATGGTGAGTAGCCGACCTTGCCGAGGCAACTCCTATCTCCAAGGCTGTTAGAATAGATAGTAGATAGACTGCTAGATATAGAGATGAGTTACTGGTGTTTAGACAAACATCACATATTTAGGTCGCTTGTTAATGATTAGACTGAAAGTACCAACCTCAAGAAGAGCTATCTTGTGACTACAAACCACTGATCCAAAATGTCCACCATCACCATCCCGACGTCCTACGAGACTCAACCCACAAAACACATCAAACTATCCCACCATCCAGCAGAAACCTCAACCGCAACCCCGGTCATCATCGTCGCCCTGAACCGACCCGAAAAACGCAATGCGTTCACAGGAGTTATGGCCACCGAGCTGGAGTGGGCGTTCACCACCCTCGACCGCGACGAGCGCGTCAAAGTCATCATCCTGACCGGCGCGGGCGACACCTTTTGCGCAGGCGCGGACCTGGAGATCGGATTCCCCAATAACAAGCAGGAAAGACCCATTGACCATCGCGATAGGTGAATCTGCGCACTGAGCATATATGCCCTCATCAAGAGCGCAACCATCGAACAAGTTGACTAAACCCCTTCTTTTCCCCAGTGGCGGCAAGGTCGCCCTTGCCATCCACCGATGCCGCAAAACCACGATCGCCGCCATGCAAGGCTCCGCCGTTGGAGTCGGCATGACCATGACTCTCCCCGCCACGATCAGGTCAGTGCAAGAAATCCCCAAGCCTCCCGTTCATACCCAAACCCCATCGAATCAAGCCTCCCGCCCTACCAGTGACCACAGAACCCCTGACTAAAGGCACGGACATGAAAGAGAACAGACTAGCCCACCAAGGAAGCAAGTACGGCTTCGTCTTCGCCCGCCGCGGAATCACCATGGAATCCTGCTCGGCGTATTTCCTGCCCCGCCTGATCGGATACTCGCGCGCCATGTATCTCGTGTCCACGGGGACCGTGTTCGACCCCACCGCTGCGCATTTCAACGGGCTCTTCGCCGAGACGCTCCCGCAGCGGGAGGAGGTGCTCGCGCGGGCATTGGAACTGGCGGACGATATCGCGCAGAATGTGAGCCCGATGGCTGCGGCCTTGAATCGCGCCCTGATGTGGCGGGGGCCGGAGTCGGCTGAGGAGGCGCATCTGTTGGATTCGAGCATCTTGGCTCACATGTTTGGGTCTGAGTATGTGGCTCCCTCCCACATTTCGTATCTTGTATCTTCAGACAGGAGCCTGGAGAGCGTTTGCAGAAGCGTTGTTAATGATCATATAGAGACCAGAGGGAGGGGGTTCGAGCCTTCCTTGAGAGAAGGAAGGCCAATTTCCGTGCCACCTTGGAGGAACATGGCCCGGATAATTATCCATGGTGGGCTGAGGTGCAGATTGAGCGTAAGCCAAGTGTGGTCGAAGGATCCAAACTGTAGGTCGCTTGTATAGGAGAAGGACGGACCAGCACTGTACTCAAACAAAGGTAGAAGAATAACAAGGCAGACTATAAATTCGAGAAGGGAAAAGAGAAAAAATCCATTTGAATCGCTCAGCAGGTACTCAGTACTTATACAATCAATCAACAGACTCAGGAGTCTGCAGGGAGGACGAAACCAAATAAAAAAATGCCTAGTATGAAGGGTCCATGCAAAATCGAGCGACCATGCGTACATTTAGGCAATGAAATGACGTCTCTTGCGGTTGTACGCCCTCTGATCCTTCAGCCACTGTCGGTAGCCCTGAACACTGCCGATCTTTTCACCGTAGTAGTCGGGAACAGGGTTAGCGATGGAGTTGGACGAAGGGTCGACGCGGAAACGGCGAATGCGATCGAAGAATTCCTTCTCTTTCTGTTTTGATTTTCAAGACCGAAGGATTAGTGCTGTCCTACTCCATTCACACATCACAAAAGAATCGACAAAGAAAAAACTTACCACCAAGAGGGAAGGCTTGTATCGCCGATAGATCAACCCCCAAACGGCATTGCCAACGAAAGGCCCAGCGAGCCATCCAGCAGCACTGCACGCAGCAGTCGCCATACCCAGCACCACAAACGGATCGAGCCCCATGACCTGAGCGCCCAGAGCCTCCAAGTCCTGTGTCGAGAGCACCTGCACCCCCACCAGCGTTGTGAGCGCCGAGGTCACGATCGACGAGGCCAGCGTGTAGCGACGGCGGCTAGCACGGAGCTTGAAGAATGAGTCCCAGTCCAGCCGAACGAGCTGCCCGGAGGGTGCAGGCGATGATGCTTTGTTAGACTTTGCGCGACGGGGGACCGAGAACGAAGGCACGGGTTTCTGCGGGCGAGTCACCGTTGTCTTCAGTGTGCGTGTGGCAGCGCTGGTCGTAGCTGTACTAGCCGTGCGGGCCTGGGGGATCGCATGATACAATTGTCGTGAGAGGTTGCTGTTGGCGTGTGTGAATGGCCGCAGAGCAGAGGAGGAGGAGAAGCCTCCGCTAAGAACAGCGGAGCGCATCCCGCAGATTGAGGTTCCGTGCATCGTGGTCGATGGGGGGTTGACGTAGAAGAAAAGAGTTGGTTGTCAATGGTAGTAGGCGACTTGGATCAAGTTCAGCGGAGAAAGATGCACGGATTAGGTAAGCAGCGGCTGCATGAGGTCACTACCTCAGCATTGTTTGCTAGTGTTTGCTCTACACAACACTTGGGGACCACCGCAACAACAAGCGCTTCTATAGCTTTTTGCTCATGGTAAACAGATTTCTATCGTCTACGGTCTACAATGAAGGTTTTTCTTAGTCGGTAGGCTCTATCGTTTGAGCCTTCACCAATCATCAATGGTGCCTCGCGGCTTTCTGAACGTTAGCACCAACTTTGCAAGGCGACTATAGGAAATGGGCGTCCTGCCTACCAGGCTTCAATTGAAACTCGAAGGGATCCTGAGAAGAGGTAACCGATCACGGAGCCCATGAGCTTCCTTGCCTACAGATCTCTGCATGCCCATTGTACGTCAAGACTGAACCACCGTTCCTAACGGAAAAGGGGCAGTACTCCTCCATTGCGACCATCCATCATGACGATTCTGAGGACAGTTCTTCCAGATGAGTCCGCAGCTAAGCAAATGGAAGGAAGCGGGATGGATGGAATAGAGGGGGTGTTTATACTCGTCACATGACGCGCCGGCATTTGCACAGGGATCGCTACTCAAGACGCTGAACCACTATCAAGCAGAAAGACAGCAGAAACAATCCAGGAAGCATTGATACATGTGTCAGATGCTCCATATAGTCGTCAGCAGTCTTAGCAAGGCTTACTAATAAATCGTCGATAACACTCCTCAGTCCGTCAAGACTTCATTCGACCCCGACTATGTATCGCGGAAATCCGGAGCTGGCTGAGCAATGGAGCTATTGATATATGGAATACTCGCAGAAAAACAAGATCAGGCTCATAAATACAGAAAGAATCAGACCTCTATAGTGATATCTATGCAAATGGCGCCTTGCAGATCAAATCACAATCCGTGTGCACTAGAAGGCTTCACCAGCGCCATGACGACAAAGGCGTTCTAGTTCGCATTGACGCGTTCGTGTACGGCATGGCTCCTGGCTGCATAGCCAACCGGTACAGTTTGAACAAGCTAGTGCGCACACATACCTAGAAGCGGCCATTCTGCTTGAGGGCTCCCGGTCGGGAAACGGGCTTGTTCGTTCCAAAACCGTTCACACGGCCGTAGAGCCACTTGAGGGTGGCAGTGCTAAGCGCCATGACAACCGCACTGATGGTGAAAACTCCAATGCGACCTCCAAAGCCGGCCACTTCAAAGATCGGGTAAGGGTACCTGAAGATATATGAGTTAGCTATGAGGCTGAGGGACGGAGAGACCACGCACCATCCATTATATTTGAAGCAACGTTCCACCCAAAACCAGTATAACACCGCAATTGTGCTGGATAGACCTAGGGCGGGAAGAATGGTGATCGTCCAAGGTGGCGACAGAAACAGTAAATCTATCATAAGGACAATTGCAGGGATGGCATGGAAGCTTATATCTATTATACCAGTGAAATCAGCAAAGGATTGGCCTTCCTTGGCGTTCGCGATCAATGAGACTCACCGGCATTCAGGGGAATGATAGCCCACTCAGGGATGACCAGACGCTCGTCGATCTTATGGCAGTTGATTAGAGAGCGCAAAGCAAGGCGAGAGGACCGGGTACTAACCAATCGGAGACCCCAATATAGAATGCTGATTAGTACCTCCAATGGCGTACAGCACATGGAGAGAAGGTTTTTGACAAGAAAAATGCGCGGGGACAGTGTCACATCAGCAAGCAGACCGCAAGCAACGGTGATTAATGACAGTGAGAGGCCTAGAACCGTGAGGTACTGATAAGGGTGGATGTCAGAAGCTTCACAGTGACAACCGAGCGATCAATCACATACTTGGAAATGCCATCCGTACGCTTCGTTCCTACAAGTAGCTAGATGAGCATATACTCAACTCCCGAGACCATGAGTCTGAGGAAAGACTAACGCATGGTTGGGATTGTCGTGCATACTGGATATTGATTGGTTAGCTGGTGGACTCAGGAGACTTATTCAGGCGGGCAGCGCAGGAATCGGTACTTACTACTTGAACGACCATAAGAAGCTAGTGAGCCCCAAGAGCTGTTCATGGTGATGGGATTGTCAGTCCATGGAACCAGTAATCTGAAAGCAGAAGTTACACGTACATGAACCACCGCCGAGAAACCTCTGGACGGGCTGGAGATACGCTGTAGGGGATGCTTTCTTTGAAGCGACTGGGCGAGGGCTGAAGAGGAAGCCATTTTGTTAGAGAGATAAAGGTTGAGCCGGATATACTCTAAATGATCACTGAAAATTAGTTTAATATCGAGAGAGTGTGCTACGTATTCCTGACAGTGACGAGTGCAAAGAGATCTTGATGATGATATCACCGCTGCCCCGGGATTCCCGGGCCAGCACTCATTATCATCGACTTAACCCGAAAGGGCTAGCGGCATCTTAACAACGAGGCATGTTTTGACCGCTGCAGTGCCGCTCATCGGAGAAACCTCCCCGGATCGCTGAACTCCCCCAAGCCTTATCTGCCCTTTCTGATTGACGGAGAAGGCCGATGACAGGCTATCGGCAGCTTATCTTGCTGTTGACTGGTCTGCTGGCTCCGGGTGGGTAAAGTACGAGGTACCGCTGCCAGTGAAGAATAGCTAACTATCCGTTCAGTGATGCCCAGTGGATGATGATTCCTTCTAGGCTAGGCTTGACTGCAGAAATCCCCATCCATTCAATCGCCTCGTCTTTTCCTTCTTTTGCTTCCCTACTCCCTCATCCCATACCATCAGAAGCATCACAGCCCTACGCATCGCGATTCATAGGAGGACCCTCTCAGCTCGCACAGTATCAAAGCATCGCTTCTAGAACAAACTTGATGACGAAGAGCAGGTGTGGGTGTCTACTCGATTATCGTTCTCTAGCATCCTGGGTCAAACGCGTTACGCAAACAGACAGGAAACAGCATTGGGATCTTTCTCCGGACTGTAGGAACAAAGTGTTCTTTTACTACTTTGTCTGCATGGCGATCTTATTGTGCAGATCGATTCGAAGCTATTTCAAAATCCCGGCCATTAGTTCCCCTGGCCGTGGGTTTCTTTTGTTGGAAATATTCCCTCAGCCAAATCTTATTTGAACTTCGATGCCTCGCCCGAGAAGGCCCGGCGCCCCCGAGCCGAAACGAAGGTCGCGCAAGGGCTGCTGGTGAGAGGGTCCTTCAGTGCTACTTCCCCACTGCTGTACTTGACTAATCGTGCATGTTTTCAGGCCCTGTAAAGCACGCAAAGTGAAATGGTTTGTGCTACCTAATCTGTCTTACTTGGCATCCTCCTTTCATCGCCATTCCCCACTCTATCGAAATAGCTTTGAAACATCTCAATCTGCTTCAGTAAGCTAATCGCTCGTGCAGTGGGGAGGAAAAGCCAGCATGTCTCAATTGTCAACGACAGAATGAACCGTGTGACTATAGCATCAGACTAAACTGGGGAGGCAGAACAAGGCGAAAGTCATCAGCAGGCTCTCAGATCTCGAGCAGTCCTTCGGGGACTTTTGCTACGCACTCACTGTCTCCGGCGACTACCTACCAGTCCGATTATTTATCATCGGCACAGTCACTTGAAGCCACTTCGCCGGACACCGAGAATATTGCACAATGTCAAATCACGAAGGGAATACAGTGGGACGCCGAGCTTCCAGGGGAGATGACAATAGGGACACCTGCAGCTTATCCTAGAGGGCTACATGATATCCATGAAACTCCTATCTTTGGCCAAACACTTTATAGCTCCAACCGTACAAATGGCAAGACTTCTGTAGACGACTTGAGGGATCTGTCACCAAGACAAGATGGGACATCCCCATGGCCAGACCTGTCCACACAATTGACAACATCATCGTCGAGCAAGACTACCGCGACCGCTTTTTCAACGTCCGCGCCAACCTCCTTGAAAGCCATCTCTCATCCGTCTCCCGCTGAAACAAGCTCCAGTATCGATTCCTGGACCACCTTCAGCTTCTCGCCCATCACAGCTCTCTCGTGCCCAGTTTCATTTCTTCGGCAAACCTCCGAATCGCATCATGCACCACCCATGCACGACCACGTACCGGATCGTGGCATTGAGATCCCCAGCTTGTATCCTGCGACCAACATGAGAGCGACTTATGACCACAAAGTTTTTCAGGAAACTGCGAATCTTCGCGGCTCAATCTCGCCATACACAGAAGATGTAGGGGTTTCACCGATGGAAGCATGCGAAGGCGCTCCAACTCTGCAGACGCAGCCTTCCGATCACTCAGAAAGTTATTTCACCAAGATCATGAACCGTCCAATACCCTCAGACAGTGATTCCAACTGTGTGCCAATGCACAGCGCGGTCGCACGTTTGCATCGATACCGTGACACTTCGAAACAAAATCTGCTCACCGTGGATGCCTCAAGCGCAGAAAGAAAATGGCAAGCTTATCTCACCAGTGTTACTGACAATTACGGTCTCGATCGCGGTCGTCCCGATTTGGACCTGAATAAGAATGATGATCATTCAGCCATCGACATCAACTATGCCCTTGACTTAATCAACTCGCAGAAAATTGACCCCTCGACGCGCGATGCAGAAGATATCAACCTGGAAGACGCGGAGAAGGAGGCATTCGACCGCAGCAAATACATGTACTATGCGTCGCCTGTACCGATCAACATTCCACGCTATTTGTCGCCGCTGCCGCCGTCGCTAGTCAAAACACCAATTAATCTGATGTACTTTCATCATTTCCTCAATCATACGGCTAAAATGTTGGTTCCGCATGATTGCGACGACAATCCGTTCATTTCTGTATTGCCCACGCGTAAGTTTTTTTAGGGTCGATCAAACTGTTACAGTTCATCGTCTGACTCTTTGAATTAGTGGCCATTAGTGACTCCAACCTTCTCAACTTGACATTAGCATACTCGGCTAGTCATCGGGCTAGATATCTGGAGCATCCGGAACCCGCAAATCGAATCGCACATTGGGTGAGCAACGTCTTCCCAGCTCTACGCTTAGCCCTGGAGGACACCCATGAGAAAGTTACCGATAATCACCTTGCTGCCGCTATTATGCTTCTGTCCTTGAAGATTGTCTCACCAAGCACCTTCGAAGTCCCAATTCCATGGCAGAGCCACTTGAAGCTCGCCCGAGATTTGTTCGTTGCCCGAAAAGAGCACCTGGCCTATCCTGGCAACCTCGTAGGTGCATTCCTGACTCGATGGCTGAGTTATCTCGATATTGTTGGTTCACTATCTTGTCGCCACAGCGAACCTCCCTCGTTGGACTATTCCTCCATCCTTCGCGCTTGCAGTGGTGACGGGGAGTATGACGAGTTTCATATAGACTGTTTCACAGGATTCACGCCAAGGACCGGCCAGTTTCTCACGCAAGTCGGGAGACTGACTCATCAATGTGATAATGAACGGTTCGATGGGTTGGGGGTCTTTGACTCGGACTGGAAACCTTCTCCTGCTGCAATTGTTGCCGGCGAAGCACTCTTGTCGGATATCGACCTGTTGGAAACACATGCCCATGCCAATGATACACACTTCCATTTAGGTAGCATGGACAGCCTTGCTATTGACAGAGCGTTTCGTTATGCTGGACTCTTACATCTCCATCGTCGTGTCCTTAGCACGTCACTTTTCTCGGAGCCGGTAAAAAGAGCTTCGAGCGAGCTGTTTGAGGCAATGGTTGAAATCAGGAACGGGGCCTCTGCTGAAGTCGGCGCGTTGTTCCCTTTGTTCACAGCTGGGTGTGAGAGTATCCATCCTCAACAACGGGCGGATATTCAGGAGCGTTTTGAGTTATTGGAGAAAACTGGTATGAAGCAGGTAGGTAAGCCAGATGTTGACTCAAGGAGCGTCTCATTAATTTTACCCTCACAGATACAAAATGCACGCAGGTTGATGCAGCGTTCCTGGGATGAGGACCTTCCATGGATTGCACTGGCCGAAGGAGAATTTCTGGGGTAACTGATTCATTCTTGTTCTGGTTGCTTCGATCCTAGAGAGAACGTCAGATACACCTTATACTTCGAACATACCGGATCGGAGATACTATTGCCATTCCTTCTCCTCCCTGTTCACTTAGCCAGGAATTGAGTCTTATGGATGTTGGGCGGCTGACTGTTTTTCGTGTTGTGATCTTCCTAGTACATACATATGTACCATTCGCGTTGTATCTACTCGAGTTCCGATATGTCATTGTTTCAAGAGCAAGAAGCTTAGTTAGGTTCTACTTCACATCCCAATCACTACCATGTCAAGCAAGTCTTCCTCTCCTCAACACACTCAAGTCATCAGGGTGTCAGCCCTTCAAGCTCGAACAAAAGCAAAAAGTGAGACAATGAGCAAGCAAATGGAAGGTATCAACCATCACTCACCCATCCTCCATTTCCACTGCAGTTCTAGAGACATGAAAGCTCATGTAGATGCCAGATTTAGTCTGCAGTGATATATCTTTCTGTGATGATGCGATTGCACCCATCATGTTACATGTTCTTCTCTGATTAGCCTGGTTACCATTAACTACTAACATACAACTACGCGCTATTTCTGCATTTCTACACTGAAATGTGCCGTGTTTCAGGCTCGCCGCATTGCAAACACCACCCAAACTGGACAATTCATTATCTCTCAAAATGGAAGGTTGCCCCCAGCACTGCGGGCAGCTCCACTATCATTGTACTTCAACCAGAGTCAGCGACTTGCTGTTGGTTCTCCTCTTTCCGCTTATCGTGCTTCTCTGCTTCCTTCTCCATCGCCTCCTGTCTTTGCTGTTTGCATGGTCTCCGGTCAAACCATTTCCCCTCTCAGCTCAAAGTGAGCTGAGTCTCATTCACCACACCGGCCAAAATATGGACCGGCCGCAGTCAAGGTTGCAAGCCGCGCTCGAGCGACTTCAAGACGAAATTGAGGATGAGATCTGCATCCTTGACAGTCGGCTGGAGGACATCCAAGTTCCAAGCCTTCTGCCGTTGACTCCGATGAAGATAGCCCAGCCCAACAGAAATGACCACCGAGCTCAGGCCGACCGGGAGCTCACCCCTACTCCAGGCTCGGCTGAATTGGTGTGTGATTGCCTTTCGAGCAGCCCTGCGGCGAGAACCATGTGTCCCACAAGCTAACATATAGCATGTCTATAAGGTGCGTCCTTCGGCTACCCCTGTCGCCACGACCACACTGAAGCCGGTCCCTTGGGATGGAAAGATCCACTGGGCTCTCAAGGGCACTACCGTCTTCAAAGACTCCGAGGAAGAGCGCCGCGCGCGATGCTTTCGACCCAACATAATAGTGTCGGAGCCCAGCTCACATCTCTGGGTGTTTCAATTCGGCCTGCGCTACATTCCAGCCCACTGCGATATCAACGTGTACCGTGCCATCAAAGTCGACAATTTGCCTCCCAATGCCGCGCTCTCACAGATCTTGCCCCTGATACCCGGCGAGATTCTCGCGGCCCGCCTGCTTGACACTCGCGCCATCACCGGTTACAACACCGCTCTTGTCACATTCGTGCATCAGACCGATGCGGAGAGCTTCCTCCGCACATCGAACGGCTCTCTCATACTGAAATCGGGACAGGCCAAGGTTGCGCCGATCCCCACCCCAAGCTATCCCATCAACGCGGACATGGAGAGGCTGATCTATGAAAAGGGTTACACCCGGGTCATCCGCATCTCTAACCTACGTGAGCCGCTGAAGGGTGAGATTGTACGTGTTTTGGGCAATGCATACCTTCTTTCTCAGATCGAAAGCATACAAGATGGGCCTGGGGTCGGCGAGGCCCGAATGCGCTTCTGCTCCATCAAGGGGGCTGCAGCAGCGTATGTTCTCCTCAGGAGCCAGACGAAATTTGACGAATGCCAGTGGAAGTTCCAGCAGGCTGTTCGGCCAAGAAACCCTCACATTGGGATTTGGAATTAGGCGGCTGAATACTGGATGTATCTAGCAGCATCGAACAGTGTAATGATGAAGCTTGAAAGGAATGCGACACTCCATGGGAAGACAGGGATCCCACGATTCAGGTTGTGCTTCGGAAACCCACTTGCGAGCATTATACATATCTAATCCATAGTGGATCGAAAAAAAGTGATAAATATGTACTCTGAGAGAAGCTTAGACGGATAGTCGTGTCCGTGCTGCTCTGACGCACGAGATGCTGACCTCTCTCTACCCATGGGAGATATATATAACCCCCGAGCTTCCCACGCCCCCAACCTACCAGCCAGAAGAATCTAGACAACACCGTACCACGCGTCTTTGTAAGTCTTCAACACTGGGACAACTAGCCTCCTCCGAGCTTGCTGAGTATCTTCTCTCCCCGTACTTCAAACAGACATACTCTGGCGAAATCCAATCCGTGCCGTAAGGCAATCTCGTTGATATTGCCAAGCATCCGACTACTGCTCCTGTCCACCCAAGCTTTCTATGCCACCGCATCCAGTATACATTGAAGCTGACCCACCACACCAAACCAGAACTACCGCGCCCTTCCACCACTTCCCTGGCCTGAACGACGAGCTCCCCGGACTGCGCTACCTCATTACCTCCAATCTGATTCTGGAAGATGAGAATACACCGTTCAACCAGGCTTTACACGAGTTAGAGACCTCGTCTCGAGAGATCGATCACACGGAACAGCCGGCCGACTGTGTATTTGTGTTCGTCTGGGGATTCCGAGTCCTCCGATGCCGTTGTGGACATGATCAAGCGCCGTACTCCGGTGGCGCGGAATACTTCCGACGTACTACTGTGCAAGAGTACGACACTTCGAGCACCTCTGGCTCCTGGCGCGGCGGGCTTAAGCGCTGCTCGGAAAACTGGTGGCGATGATACCGCTTAAGAATGAGCGTTGGCTGGATTGGCCAAGGCGATATTGTAATGCTCCTGTTGCGGTCCTTGATGAGTGTGACTAAGGAGGGCGGCTGGAGTGAAGGAATCCGAGAAATGTAGAAGTGCGCGTGGAGTGATGAAGGGACAAGTTGTCGTACAATGCGTGGTATAACCAGACCTGGTAGGTGCATTGGATTCGTTGTTTCGGCTAGGACGTGTCGAGTGCAGGGATCGGGGAGGAAAGCGCGCAATCCTGCGCTCTCTACTTCCCAGCTTGAACAACCGAGGGTCTCCGTCGTCCTCGCCCTCTCATAATTGGCATTCCCGTCGCCTTTTCTGACATAATTGACCAGGTAGTCCAGATCCTCTGGGCCATGATGAACCCCACCTATAGAACTGCCGTAGACAATTCCACCTGGTATGCCACAAATCCGAACCAGACCCCTCTACACAAAGAGATGTATGACGATCTAGCTTCTACCCCCTCTCAGTCTCAGGTCAAGCCATCTATGCCGCAGCCGTGTATAAATTCACAATGTCCTGGTCCTTCTTCGGCCCCTTGACGACATGTCTACTTGCCCAACTGACCACCTCCCCGCTTTCAGCTCGAACCCGAAACGCGTACGCCGTGCGATACATATCCTTGATGCAGAGATGATTGCCCCTGGCCGTTACCACCACCACCGTCGACGGTGACTGTGATCGTTCCACTGGCGGGGTGGGAGGAGTCACATATGTTTGACTGTCGTTGTTGTTGTTGTTGTTCTTGTCCTCATCGCCATCAGTAGCACTCCGTCGCGTGCTCCCTTCTGAATCCGCATCCCCATTGCTGCCGCTTACATCGACTTCGAACTCGACTTCGTGGAAGAGGTAGTCGGCTTCCGGATCGGCGTCGACGTCCTTGGTGACTTTGACGAACCACACGCTAATCCGGCCTTCCGGGCTCAGGCGCCAGATGTATGACTTGGTCCAGCGGAGGTTGGGGCCGAGGGTTGCGGGGAGGGAGCCGGATTCGGTGTAGAGGATCTGGGCTTGGGCTTGAGCTGTTGTGTCGGTGGTGGTGGCGGGGGGAGGAAGCGGCCTGAAGGAGGCTTCGCCGTGGAGGTCGCCGTGTATGTCGAGGGGGTTGTCGCTCTTCAGGGTTCGGCGGAGGGTCCAGGATGGAGTGCGGGCGAGGGAGGCGAAGAGGGTGGGAAGGAGTTTAGGGGAGATTGAGCTGGACATGGTCGTTACAGTGGGAGTGTCGAAGGAAAGGAGAAAACAGTCAATGTAGGAAGGTAGGAGGGATTTGTGGTCATAAAGTCATCACTGTGGTGGATTGAAATGAGATCTGGAGAGCTGGAGATGCGGGGGGATGTGTGGTTGTAGTCAAACTGTGCAAACTGTCGTCAGTTTGTACTGTACTTATCCTCTTTGGGTAACTAATCTAGGGACTATCAGCGTCAAAAGGCCAAAGCATGCCTCCCTTCTCATACCATTCATACAGATAGGAAAAGAACTCACAAAGAAGCAATTTCCCAACCTGGGCTCTAAAGATACAAGCGTCGTATAGTGAGTCGCATGTAGTTCCCACGCTCGGATACCCTTCAATGATTAGTTGCTCCGCGCCTTTTACTATAGAATAGTCAGCCACGACTACTTTGAAATTCGAGAGTATTTCATAACGAAGAAACTTGAATTTGTATGTCTCAAGGACATCCAGCGTAGATGCTATAGCATACATGGTCATACATTGAAGTATCGTAATCCAATCTGACCAGGTGGTTGGCTCAATCTGTGGAGCTTGGAACACTGAGGCGGGCTAAGGCGGGCAGCAGTAATTAATTTTGCGACTCTTGGTATATCTTCTGAAGGTAGATCTGGGATGCTCATTCGCTGTAGGACGCTGTATAGTAGATCTGGGGCTGTGAAGAAATGTCTCAGACACAACTTTCTATTACTTCAGCATAATAGTCTTGTCAGCTCTGGCCAAAACTGGTCAATATTAGTCTGCCAGTGTTCACACAAATTGTTCCTTCTATATTATTCTCTGGAGGTGCGCGAAGTACTCAATCCCCCTCCGCACATAGAGATGAGTGCCAATAGAGGCACGTGGAGTGAGCCGATGTGTTCGGTCCAATGTAACAAGATTTATCCTCATGAAGTCGACAGATCACTACTACCATAGGCTGCATCAACTAACTAGAGCGCCTGAGCTTTATACTGAGGTAAGTCAGCTGATTCTTTCCACCCATATCAATACCCCATCAACTGCATGGACAGACCAGGTAGGTAAGTTCCAGTTCCATCAATCTTACTTGGGTAAGACAATCTGACGATTTCATGCAAAGAGAGGGAGACAAAGAACGTTTATCCTCGGTTGGTCAAACATTGTGGACGAGGTGGAAGGCGCGACCACCCACTTAACAACTGCGAGACGATCTTGGGTTATTGTGTCTTTACGTCTCCCATGTACCGAAAGATATACAGATCTCCCGTCATGGGTCAGCACAGACTCGTGATCTAATCATGTTGCCGGATTCTCTCATATTCAGGTAGAGCCCATTTGGCCATCCATTCCGATTTGAGGATTTGCTGGGTAGTGCTTCGGTCCTCCGGTCTGAATGAGAACATGGGCCTCAGCATGTCAAAGATCGCGTCCCTCTCTGTTGCATCGAATAAGGACATTCCGCATTCTTGCCTAGGCTGTTGCACGCTATCCTCAAACCGATCTTTCCATGACCGGAAGTGATTACGATTGATTGGAACACCATCCTCGATGAACTTGTGTGATCGCACCTCCCACCTCCTCCACCATTCAGGTGGCAAGATACCAAGAGTATCGACCTGCTCACGGGTCATGTCGTCCTCCGTCGCGAGGAACCCTTCGAATAAGGGCCTTTGGGCGATGATAGCCCATATGGTACACGCGAGAGTCCAGATGTCCGATGAGAAAGACAGAGGCTTATTTGGTTCAAAGCGAGCCTCGGGGGGGGGGGGGCGGATAATAAGAGGAGTGTGGGACTCATACTTCGGTTCTTTCGAGTATACAGAGGCCTCACCAAAGTCTGAAAGCAAGATCCTGGCTTCTGTAAGTGTAATTTCTTCACTAGGTTCGCCAAGCCATATGGGTGCAATGCCGTGGGTTGGGACGCCGGGAGGAAGCGGCTTGCCATCTAAGTGAACGATCGGGTCTAGTTCCGGTGCTCCATATCTCTCGTATAACTGATCAATTGAGAGCTGGTCAAATCCAGGCATTGTTTTGAGGAGAGTATTGCCCATATGAAGGTCTCCATGAACGATCCCTTGCCTATGTACGTAGTCCACAGCAAGAACAATTTGCGCAGCTCATGCCCTGGCTACATCGATCTCGAATAAGCGCTTCCACGAGCCATCTTTCAGCCCGGCGAGACTTGCTCTGGCCGGGGCAGTGATGTAGCAAGCATGATTCCCATTCGGACCGCGAATAGTGAACGTGTCTAGGATGGAAGGGACCATTGTCATGCCTGGGCTGTTGACCGCAGAACAGTGAGGACGAGTGAGGGCGGATATAATGTCCACTCCTTGGGATTCGAGTTTGCTGTGCAGATTTTCATTGCAACATACTTATGGTTTCGTCTATCATGGGCCAACCATTTAGTGGAATAGGAGCCATGCCCCAGTTTATGGACTACCCTATACCGACCCTGAAAGTGGTCCCCAATTTGTACCGGGTGATAGCCTCCTGGTCGGTAGTACTCGAGCCGCTCAATTCCTTCAAGGGGCTCGTACAAGATTTGAGTACTCGAATCGTCTCCAGTGGCCATTTTCTTGGACGTGGTGGTAGCGAAACCGCAGCGGGATTGATTGTGATGGATTGGTATACGCGCCTTAAGGACAGAAGAATCAATTCTCAAACGTAGAATATGTGGACGTAGCAACCGAACGGGGGGTGGCGACAATTGACTCATCGCCGTATTATATAGACGCCGACTTGAATAACAGGTAATTTGGACAAAAAGGATGGGATTATCCCTTAGTTACCGAGTCGTTGACGCGCGATGAATGGTTAAGGATGATCAAACACAACTGCGTTACAGTGTGCTAGAAAGTCCTCCCGAAGCACAAACAAAATTAGGTACTTTGGCGGAGGTGCCCAGTACAGTACAACACAGAGGCTTTACTCCAAACAGATGCTTGGAGCCCTGGATTCGGCGCAAGGAATGGAAGCATTCCGCATAACTTTCCAGTGTTCTTAAATGAAATAAAAAAAGAACAACTTCCAGCCCTTTGATTAATTAATAGATCGCCCGAGGTGCTGCACGCATATAACCATACCCTTATCTTGAAGTTCCACGTCGTCACGAGTTGCGCTGCCCTTGCGTTCGTCCTCTCGCTCGGGGTCCCCCTCGAAGAGTGCCAAACCGCTGAAACCGCAGGCTTCTTCTGCCTGATGGAAAGATTAGGTGATTGCGTCTTGATCCTCGGGGTTATTTGAGCGCTTTAGTCTTTGGTTGAAAGCCTATGGCAGCTTTCCCTACATTAGAATTACTCCTAGATAACGTTAATCGATGATTAGATCGGATTGACAAGGTCTCGAGTTTGATACTCTGTGAATTTACTAACTATAGAATCAATATTACAGGCTTAATATCCCATCCATGCTCAGTGTTATAGAGTGCCTTGCTTGAGTCATATTTCGTCGTACGCGACTGCACGCCACGCTTTCACTCGCCTTTCGCTTTTGCACGCACGGTATTCCTATATGGCAATCATGTACTGTTGAACTGGCTAATGAAATGAAAGCCAGGCTATGAAAGGTCTGAGGTGGGGCTGATCCCATGCCACAAAATTATAGAATTATATTCAGGATCAGAAGCGTTGAAGACCTCTGAGAGATATATAGAAAGGGAGCTGGATTCAGGGGGTTCGATATCATGGAATGCCCTTTCCCGGCGATCTGGAAGTGGCGAGAAGAAAGCCTCCGGTGATATGGTATCCTGTTTTGGGTGGTATTGCAGCTAAATTGTTAGCCGGTCTCAGACCGCAAGTTCCATAAATGTCAGCCTTCATCAGACTAAGACAGCCAGCCATATGTGACTCATGGTCAAGTCTGATCATTGATGTCCAAGTTCAGTATATCGTCCTCGAGGCTCAGAATACCCATTGCCCAGTTCGATGCCGGTTGTTTGCTAACCGTGATGAACCGTCTTTCAGAAGTGTTGTACGTCCCCGTATTCTCCTCGGGGGTCGGCGTCCACATCGAGGTGGGTTGATTGGTCGTCCTGTCGCGGCGTGTATACGGCGGGCCCCGTCCCTGCGCGGCCGCAACCACCCATGCGTTCTCGCATCCTCTGGCGATAGAATCCGATGTTCGCCAGCCGCTGAGGCGGTTGAGATCGAGCAGCTCAGTGACCAGCCATTCCCGCTGCGCGGGATCCGTGTACTGAACCCCGGCGAAAAAGAGCGGGACGGTGATCTCGATCAAGCACGAGCCCAGCGTCGGGCTCAGGGTGCCCGCCTCGAGGTGGAAGGACTGCGGATAGTAGACGCCTGCCGCGATGCTGCCGATGATTTGGGCATACTCGGCCGTGGTGGCGGCTGCCACCCCGGCGGCGACCATCATGGCCGGAGGCATGCATGGATGCAGCCTGTGCAGAAGGATCCGGCCCGTGTAATAGAAGCACCAGATTGTTGCTATTGTGTGTGTTCGGTACTGCAGAGCAGGACCGAACGGAGTTGAGATCGGGGGAACTGAATCGGGTGGGAGAGGCATGAAGTATGGCCCGAGAGCTTGATGAAATGTGTCAAAAGCTGCGAGGATGCTTTCCCATTCAGTCTCCGCATCTTGGTACGATGAGTCCTCTTCCTCCTCTTCGATTGCGCTGATAGACTCGAGCGTATTGAGGAACACGGCGGGTGCACGGCGAGGTCCACTGGATGGCGCCATGCCGTACATGGGAGGTGCGCCCTTTCCAGGGCCGGTGGGTGGACGAGGCATCTCCGCGCCGGGTGGGGAGTGTCGTGGAGGTCCCCCTGGGGGTCCTCCGGGGGGTCCACCAGGTGGTCCAGGTCGTCCACGTGCGAACCGGGCCATAAATTTGCCAAGATTGGCATCCGGTCGCCATTCGGAACCTGTAGCCTTGGCCGTCTTCAATTTCCTCTTCCTGTCACGTCGACCGAATTCCGCCACACGGCCTAACAGAAGCCACAGATGATCTGCAGAACCGTATATAGCGTCCATTCGGCCCATACCCGCGCGTGGAGGGCATTGACCCCATTGGGAGTATGGTATGCTGATTGCGGTGAATTTCTGAGCTAATGAAAACTGGGAGTTGAACTTACAACAAAGGGCAGCCGCTGATGATACTTTGCATGACATCTTGCTTGCAGTACCACCAATACAGATCACACTGAATCCGATAGTTCTCAATATCCTTGCGAGTAAAATGCTTGTAATGACGAGGGTTGTCAGTCTCGTCATTAATCTGACCGAATTCATCGTAGTTTACGGCCCGTCCGAGTAAGGTTCCAATAAATTGTTCGTTGATGCTGCTTTCCTTCTCCGCAAATGGGTCGTCGTCGAAAACAGAGTCTCCAAGAAAGTAGCTGTCTGTGAGTGCCATAAGCTGCGGCTGCATTTGCTGTCTCTGAGCCCATACTCTCCGTCGCTGAGCGCGAAGCCCACGAGTCATGCCCGCGAAATCAATTTCTCGCACCAATTGAGCCGACCCTGCAACGTGACTATTCCACTTCGAGTGATCAGCACCCATAACCTCGTAGTAACCTAGAAGCAGCGTAGCCGCGAGGGTTGTGATCTGCTTGCGTCGCATAGGAAGCCCGACAGCAACGCCAACTCTTCTCAGAGCATAATGGTAATGTTTTAACGAGACCGTTGGTGGTGCCTGTTGGAGGAAGGAGATATGCAAACTGCTCAATGCAAGGATTGCTTGCAATAGTACTTGACTCTCCAAGGCTTTGAGGGGAAGAGTGTATGTCCATAGCCCTTGTTGCGCTGTTGGGACAGGGGCACCAAGCATAGTAGATGGGTCAATTGGATGACGCTCGAAGACAGATAGTGATGGTCCGGTCGAATGGATGAAATGCAAGAAGATCCTGGCCGTCTTTGGATTGTTTAAAGGTGATGAGCCGTAAGTTGGGATGTACGAGCTAAGTACATTCGGCTCGTTCAGGTAGGTTGTGAAAGAACGCAGCTGCCGTTCGTCGCGGTTGGCAGACGCCATTATGAGACTCAGCTGGTTATAATTCTGCATAGAAATTTGGTCTTCTCGTTCCTCTTCGGATTCACCACTGTAATAGTCGTCCTCTCCATCATCTTCCGTATAGTCACCATATGGCGACGATGAAGATTGCGGTATAGGAAGGTGTGCAGGTGCCCTGGCTTGCTCTTGCAGCAAATTCGAAGTAGACGGTGCGGCATTCGGCAGCCAAGGGGCACCCTGAGGATAAGCGATAGCGTCAGACCATGCATAGCCTGCGCCTGGATTAACTGACAGTTGTTGCCTCTGGTGATCGAGAAATGCGAGTGTGTCTGGTGGTGTATAGCTTCCGGCATTCTCCGGCCTCGAGGGCAGGTGGACCTGCCCCGATGCTGCTGGCTGAAGTGGGGCACTGCTGGTTGCAGGGCCCTCATTCAGTGAGGAGGGCGCTGTGGGGGTAGGAATCTCTACATCAGGTGCCACAGCCAGCTTTGGAGCCAGAACAGGCTGGTTCGGCCTGTCTTTCCTTTGCTGAGATGCTGAGAGCTCACTAGGAAGTGGCGTCGACTGTGCCTGTGCGTTGAGAGTCGACTGTTGGCCGAACCCGGGACCGGAGATACCTAGAGGGTTCTTGAAAATCAGGCGAGGACCATAGCCTTTGCATTCGCGTTTTGATTTCAAGCAATTATTGCACGTCGGCTTTTCTTCTCCACATTTAATGCGGCGTTTTCGGCAAGCTGATTAGCGAAGTTAATACATCTGGCGTAATTTACGGTTGTTAAGGTCAGTCACACTCACTCAGACACCCTGTTTTTGTACGCTTCTTGGGAGCTCTGTGTCCTGTCGCATTGCCCGATCCTGTCTCTGCAGGGTCCAGTTGCGCGTCATTTGGGAACTCAGGACCCAACGCTGTGCCTGGCCCACTGAGTGACAGATCTGGCGGAGACTGCCGGGCACGGTTGACGTTCTCCATGGCGGTACAAAGTCGAAAGCGAGATCAATTCCATAATCAGCACCAGCAGAGAGGGGATCAGCCTGAATTGTTGACACAGATAATAAGCAATTTCTATACTTGAATGAGGATTGCACGACTTATTATAGCATCAAGTGTGAATGGGATGGTTGCAGACGACGGTGAAAGTCAGGAGAGTGAAATTCTGATTGGCCTGGAATTCTGTGACGGGGCCAGGATTGATGCCTCAGGTATGCACTGTCATACCCTGTTTTACCCCACCAGTTGAGACCTGCATAAAAAAATGATTCTGCTAGTGTTGAGGGAAAGATAGATATGTCAATCATGACATTCGACCTTACTGAATCTTAGGTATTTATACTTCCCCCAAACTATATGGCCTGATCATCGAGTCGCTTGGTAAACAGTCTATTTCCACTACATGTTCTCCATCCTGTTATTGACCGAGGTACTTCCTTGGTAGCAGGCTCTCTGACCTTTGTTCCGACCTACTCCATCTGAGCCTGACAGGCTGATCGAGACATGCTTCCACATAGACAATAAGATAGAGGATAAGCTTTAAGTCCAATACTTCTAAAACAAAACACCGCAGCACCTGAGACATTTCTCGAGAGCTGAATAGAAGCAGCCAAACAAACAAGACAAGCCTCGCATTCACCGCCTTGGTCTGGGCGGCAGAACACGCCAAGGACTAAACTTCTCCGCCTTTTACTGCCAGAAAATTTTAGATATCCACGGCCGGGCGCATCAACAATTATCTATTTTCTTCAGGAACCCATCGCAACCATGTTCGCTGTTCCGGGTTGGTCGCTCGAGAACTCTGCTCTCAAGCAGCAGAACGAGCCTGCAGTGCAGGAAAAGGCTAACGACAAAAATTCCAAGCCAAATGGCAAGGACAGAAAGCGCAAGCGGGAGGATAACGTCAACAAGGGAAATGTGGACGCCATGTACCGCCGGCACATTGAGGGGGAGAAGTTGACTCCCTGGGCCAGGAAAAAGGCTGAGAAAGCAGCTGTGAAGGGCGAGAAGAACCAGAACCAGAACCAGAAACAGGCGCCCAAGCAGGAGAAGACCGAGAAGGACGGACCGCAACAAACTGAAGCTGTCGCCGAAGAGGGCGAAAAGCCCAAGAGCAAGAAACAGAAAAAGAACAAGAACAAGAACAAGGAGGAGAAACAGGAGCAATCACAGGGAGACGTACCCAACGAGCCCTCAACCACCGAGTCGATGCCCGTGGCCCCGCCGGAGACGAAAGCCATCCTTACCCCTCTGCAGCAGGCGATGCGACAGAAGCTCATATCATCCCGATTCCGTCATTTGAACGAGACGCTCTACACCACACCCTCCAGCAAGGCTCTTGAGCTTTTCACCTCAAATCCTGAACTGTTTGACGAATATCACGCCGGCTTTGCGCGCCAGGTCAAGGAATCCTGGCCCTCGAACCCAGTGGATGGCTACATCAAGGCTCTGCGCGCCAGAGGCAGCGCGCATGCGCCAAAGCGGGGCAAGCCGGATAATAAAGGTCGATCCTCGGCTGCTCCCCTTCCCCGACGACCAAACGGAATGTGTACCGTGGCCGATCTTGGCTGTGGTGATGCTCAACTGGCGCGCGCTCTGTTACCGTCCTCCAAGAAGCTGAACCTCAAACTTCTCAGCTACGACCTGCACGCCCCGAAAGACTCGCCTATCACCAAAGCCGATATCTCCAACCTGCCCTTGCCCGATGGGTCAGTGGATGTGGCTGTTTTCTGTCTGAGTCTGATGGGTACCAACTGGGTGTCGTTCGTTGAAGAAGCCTGGCGCGTGCTCCGCGGCGATGGCAAAGGCGAATGCTGGGTCAGTGAAGTGAAGAGCCGATTCGGCAAGGTCACGCGCAAGAAGGCGCAGATCGGCGCGAAGAAGCCGCTCAGCAAGGCTGAGCAGAAGAAACTGAAGAAGAAGCAGTCCGCTGATAACGCAGACTCGGATGTCGACGACAACGAGATCTACGCTGAGGACGCTCGTCCCGCCAACGACGACGAGACGGATATCTCGGCGTTCGTGGAGGTGTTCCGGACGCGAGGCTTTGTTCTGAAGGAGGAGTCTCTCGATAAGTCCAACAAGATGTTTGTGAAGATGGAGTTCGTGAAGGCAGGCGGCGCCCCCACCAAGGGTAAACATGTCTCTTCTGCTCCAAGTGCTGGCGCCGGCCCGGGCAAGAAGCGGTTTATCGACAGATCATCGCTTACCGACAAGGGCATGTCAGCTGCTGAAGAAGCTGCCGTTCTCAAGCCGTGCGTCTACAAGATCCGGTAGTTTGGTCTTACGGTGAATTACTGTAATATATGAAAAGTACTTGAATTCATAATCAGCCGGATGATCTCTGTAAATTATGTATAATATCATTAGTACACAAGCACAACCTGCAACGTCGTAACCCTCGCGTTGACATGAGTATTTCAGCGCTCAGAGCTCGAGCCTCACTAAGATCCTCCAACAGAGCCGGCCTGCGCCTTATCATTGCCAGACCTGTCTACATCCTTCTCTTTACATCTTCTCTTGATAATCGCAAAAGCTGAAGCCTGAGTGTATATTACAATAGCAGTTAACTAGTATCCTCTTCATTACCACATATAACCATACATGTAAAGAGCGTTAGTCAAGGGTCTTGACCGATCGTGCTCCCTCCAGCGTCTCATCATTCATCACGTCATCCATCATTATCATCATCAATGAGCGTCCTTCTGCCTCACTCCCAGCTGCAGCATATCAAATCCCCACTGCTGCATCTTGAACCGGTCAAGCACGCCGCATAGATCCAGAAAGACTTTTGGACCCTGCATTTGACCAGCAATACCCTGCCATCGCACTTGCTCGTGGCTGAACTCGTCATACTCTGTATACAAAACCAGCCCGCTGCAGCCATGACACGCTGCATCCACGGAGTCAGCCACCGTGATCGCTTCGAGGGATTGGTCCGTGGAATTCAACGTGCTCCGTAACTGATCTCCAGGGATGCGAGGATCGTGAATCGTCACTTGCACCCCAATGCGCACCAAATCGCGCGCCAGCCCTAGAGACGTGGAATGTCGGCTTTGAATCGTGCTTTCCTTTGCCGCAAAACCCAAGATCGCCACCCGGTGGTCTTTCGGCTCCCCGGCGAATCGCTCTGTAACCCGCTTCGCAGTCCGACTCGTATAAAATTCGTTCATCTGAAGCACAACCTTCCAGTAATCTGCGACAGGCTGCAGCCCCAGCTCCCGCGCAAGGTATATCAGACACCGGATCTCGGTGTGGGTGTTCGAGCCGCCGAAGCCGAGGCCCACCTGCGGAGGAAGTCCCAAAGTCTGGGTGATATGGCTGATGTTGGCATTTGTGGACTCACATATCGCGCTCAGGGATTGGACATTGCTGATCTGCTGCGCTAGGCAGGCGTTGGCCGCGATCTTGCCCAGCTCCGAGGACCATGCATCCATGGTGATCAAGCGCTCTTCAGGGACCCATGGGAGGTACAATCGCTTGAGCGCTGTGATGGCTTCAACAGACATGTCTTCGGAGAAGATGTGCCCAATGATGACTCGGGGCGGATAGAGGAGATCCCGGATTGCCGTGCCTGGAACAAGGAAATCGGGGTTGGACAATACATCGAAGGATGCTGTTGGGGACGCTGTTTTGCGCAACTATGTTGCGTCAGTGGGTTTCCAGTGTAGTAGTGTCTCAGAGGCTCGATCACTGACAGCTTTCTTTATTCGCTGGACGATGCCACAAGGCGCTGTGCTTCTCTGCACGATGATCTTGTGCCCTGTTGAGACTTGAGCTATGGCTTGGATGGCTGCCTCGAGAGGCCCCAGGTCGATGCTTTCTTTGTTCTCCAACTGCAATTCATGTCAGTGGCCATTTCCAATGATAGTGGCTTGCAGTCTCACAGATGTATTTGAAGAACATTCTACACAGAGAAAGACTAAGTCTGCGGCGACCACGCCCGCATGGGTATTGGTGGAAAACGCGAGATTAGCCAACTTCCTCTGTCGGGGGCTCCTCTCTGAGCTCTTCCTGTCAATCGACACGTTCGCCTCTGATTCTGCTGGGCCACCGGACGCATCCATCGCAAACCCCGGGGGATCATCGAAGAGCAACTCCTCAAGCCCCGGCTCGAAGACAGGAGGACGATCCGAGTTCCACGCATCGATGAGGCGCGCATCCCTATCAACAACACAAAACTGGACGTGGGGGTTTTGGGAAGCCAGGATAGCAGCAGTCAGTGCACCTTTGGGAGTATTGTAAGCCTTTTTCCGCCGCAATGAGACTCTATAGCTGATACTTACCCACATGGCCTGCTCCCATGATACACGCACTACGCACGTTCTCGATTTTGGTACTCGGAAGCGGTCGCAGCTCGATGCCCTCTACACTATCGGAGTACGTGTGGCCCTTGACAACGACATGAGGACTCCGAGGACTCCCAGCGCCTTCGATGGCTTTATACCGACGTCGCGAAAGAAACAGAGTCAGACCCGCCAAAACAAGCAACAGAGGAAAGAACGGCATTGCAACGATAAAACGCCCCTCAACCCAAGTAAACTTACAGACCTCTCTCCCCGTCTATCGCAAACAGAATGCATAGACTATTAGAATGAAAAAGAAAGGGAAAACAGACGGACTTTCAATCCACCCCCGGCCGGACGGCATGCGAGTTTGTGAGAGACCCGATCAAAGGGCGGTCTGGTCGCAATGCGGCCACCTCATCACGAACTATCATTTGTGCTAAAAATATTTGCCTGTTATTGGGTGCGTTTTTTCGAGCTTGACTACGTGTTCGCAGCCTTGGTCTTCTTGAGTCCACATTGAGGCGACGCTAAGAGGACATGTATGCAACTCAATTGGAACAGCATGGGTGGTCCGATCTTCGCCTCAACAGCCGGTGCGACCTATTTTCGTGTACCGCCTCTCTTTTCTCATTTTTAGTATTGAAGAACGACATGAGAACAGTTCATCCACTTCTGTGAGAACTGAGGGGGGATACAGAAGTTAGTTGATAGCTTGAGAGTGTTTGTTGTTGTGCTTGCATTAGTTCAACGGTCGCCCATTAGCTGGTGTTCTCATTCATTCTTCTGGCACCGATCCTTTGAGGCATACCCCACAGGTCTTTGCATTAGGTTTTATTGGCGTTCAACAACATGGGCTTCGCACAGGCAGCAGCCCGTATGAATGCATCAACTATGCATCAACAAAGACTTTTCTGAAGTTGAGATTAGCCTCCAAATGCCACAGTCACATGCCATGCCACACAGCTGTGGCGCTGTGCATGAGCCACACTTTCTATGACGTCACTGATTGCGGCCCTCGTCTCGCCCCCCCATCCATCGTTGAAGGCAGTGATATCAGGACGATCGACACTGACACGGGTTCCAGAACCTGGTCCCTTTGTCATGGGATAGATTGAAGGGCGGTTGACAGGGCCGCTTGGGCTCTTAGGGCAGGTCCACAGACGTCATGGCGTGCGTCAGTCATCGCTGTCAACAATATATAAGTCTAAACCTCACTTTACCATCTCCATCAAGACCATCAACAACTTGAAGAAGCACTCAACCCCCTCCAAACACTTCTACACATTGAACCTTTCATCTTAAGTCATACACAAACAAACTGCCCAACAATAAAGATGGATACCGTCAACAAAGCCCTCGGCCGCGAAAGCCAGCCCAAGCCCCAACAACACACTGAAGAGCAACAACGCCACATCTACAACAACCTCCCGGCCGAGGACCGTCAGAAACAGACTTACGCCGAATGGGTGCAGGAAGTCTACAATGATCAGTACGAGAAATGGATGCCATGGCTTGAAGACCAGTACCTGAAATGGTTCGGCAAGGGCGACAACAAGGCCTCCTATGTCACGAAAGGTTGGTTTGTTCCCTCTCTCAAGGCCCTATTCTTTCTCTATCTCATCAATCCTCATTTCATCATACCCCTTCTTTTGTTTCTCTACAGACATTGATCACTAACTCCTACCCTCTCGCTCACAGATAACCTGAACAAAACCAAGGTCACAGGCGTGAAGCAGGTCGACCAAATCCAGGACGACGTGCACAATCTGGTGGGCAATCAACTGGGCGAGAACGGGCTGCTGTCACCGGTGGGCAACGCGGCCTCGAAGGACGGCATCAACCGGGCGGAGCGGAATGGCAAGGATGAGAATGGGTCGTACGGCGGTCCGCTTGGGGGCGTCACGGATCCGATCGTCGAGGGTTCCAAGAGCGCAGGCCAGGGTTTGTACTCTGGCGTCCAGTCGGTCGGCTCGTCGATTGCTGGAGGCACCAAGAGTGCTGCTGGTGCGATTCCGGGTGTTCAGCGGTGAGGTGGACCGTCTGGCCGATTAAACTGCACGGGGCACGGGCTGGTCCTTTTATGAGTAATGAGTTTATGAGAATGCTATTATATTTGTATTGATATGTCGGCGATCGGACCATCCATTGTGTATCGTGTAGAGACACGTGGAACGAAATGCGTGGCATTGTGATACCCTGAAGACCCGAGTAGGCTTAAAATTACGGCGTCTATAAGCTGTTTCATTTTTACGTCATTACTCAAGTAATAGTTACATACACATTTAAATTAATCCTCAAAATGATAGAGCCAAGCTGGGAGGTGCTGCCTACTCCCCTAAGTCCTTCGTAACCCGCTAAAGAGCTTCATAGCTGTCATCCGGGGCAAGTGCGTACGCGAATTCCGGGCGATCCTGGAAAGAAAGGAACAAGCCCATCAGCGCTCTAAGAGCTTCCCTACGTTGCCCGCGATCCCGAAGATTATACTCTGTAGTCCGCTCCACCTTTACCTTCCCGGGGAGGCATTGGGGATTCCCGAGACCCAGAGCATCTTGTCGGGACATGGTGGCTTTGACAAACGTGAGCTTCCAGCCCTGAAGGCTTAGGACGTACGCTCTATTCTGGGCGAGATGGGAGGCGACGCGGGCATTCTGGTTGGCCTGCAGAAGAAGTGGCGGGATCTCGTATCGTGCAATTCCTGCTCGACCACGCTCGTTGTTGCACTGGCGAATTATTGTTTTAGCTTCTGACAAACTAATTGCTACATGGATGAAAGAAGGGGCGCTAGAAGAGCGGTTGCTTACCGTGCAGAGCGCAAGAGGAGCGCTGATCAGTTCTCTATCGTAGATAAATCTCCATATTGCGACGTAATACTCGAAATAGACGCCGTCGTGCTTGACCGCGTGCTCAGGCCACAGCGGAAAGTAACCGTCTCCTAGGAAAGTGCTAGGAAGATAGTTCCAGTTAGCTAATGGAAATGGGAAACCGGAGACAAAGAGCTTGACAAGGCAGCATGGGTAGGACGCACATCGTTCCATTCTGACGGGAGGGGAAGCCGTCGAGCAGTAGCCACATGAACAGAAACATCCGCGCATCGGTATGGTCGCGATATCTGTCACAACGAACTGCCTCGAAGAAATCGGTCAACTCTACTTTCCGGGAGTGTCGCACGTCAGTGGGGTTTGCTTCCGGATCTTCTGCGGCAGGGTCTTGCCATAATTCGGCGCGCCGCTGGAATTCTGAATATGCAATGAATGGTCAACGTATGCCTAGATAGAGACAGGTCTGGAAGTAAGGAACAAACAGAATGGCGGGCCACCTACCAGCATCATCATCGGATGGTATATACTTCGCATCAATAAAAGCATCCAATGGTACCTTTTCAACTACTTCAATTTGGACCTTCACAAAGGGAGGGCTATCCTTATACGGGAGAGACTGATAAACCAACTGCTCCACAGAGAACGATGTGCCCTGTTCTTTGTCGCCATCTCCATCCTTAAGTTTCGTTCCGCGATCACAATGGTGAAGGGAGCCCAATGCACTGCCAGTAGAGTCTTCGGGCCTCAAGGAGGCTGGTTTGGGAACAAGACGGAGTCTGATACCCGCATTGTACGAGTAGCCTTGCGTCTTGGTGATTTTTGAGGGCTTTAGTCTATCTAAGACTTTGAAAACTTCAGGGCCCACAGGACCCCTCGAGCGGAGCTGATAGCTGCGGCTTGCGGTAGCGTTCGGGGGGCAGGGTTTGCGGCGTATCATGGTCATCGTGGCCATTGCACTCAATATCAGCTAGAAATGTAATACGAACAATATTTGGCCTGGAAAAGTATCATGAACTTGGTGATTAACATCTTGGAATGGCAGGGGTGGGGAGCGATCCGTCAATATTTAAGATGAAGAGGACATTTTCTCTATAGATGCTGAGAACAAAGACCATTGAGAAGGGCATTGAACGAATCAAAGTGGAAATTGATCTCTTTCAACCCTCGATATTCAAAAGGGCTTTGTTGTTCACAATGATAACAATGAGATATCGCAGACTGATAGCCAGGAATATATTGCTCGACTGTATTGGTTTAGAAAAGGGCTTTGTTAGGACCAACAAAGGTTTGTATTGATATCATGCAGATGAATATTGTAGGAAACACTGTATCCAATATTTGCATTTGAAGGCGGCTACTGCCTCCGGATAGGGATGGTCGTGTCTAAGGTGGTACCTCTTCTATATCATACCCTGCGATAGTAGCTGATTTCCCTGAACTTTACGTCTACAGTAAGTCAGAAGAAAATATGCTGAGAAGGTTGATCTCTGCGCACCATGCACGGAGACCGGGTGCGGCTTGCACTTGCTTTTTTCGACAAAGAACTCATTGTAGTGTACAGGAGCCAAAGGTTAATGATACCGACAAGCAGCACATGTGGCTATATGAATTGGTGCTAATTAGGCTTCAGAAAAGAGACGATGAACCTTCCAACCGGGGCTATCTAGATCTTGTATTTCTGTAGAGTGAAGAGAGCTTTCGAGATATCCAGATGATGAATGCGTTCCTCCGTCACCAATAGACGGAAGTTAGGATAATTTAAGCAGCGCCTAGAGCAAGGCTCTTCAAGCACTCTTTCTTCTTGTCGTCTTTCCTCTGGAATGATCTAAAATGTGGCGCGCGACCATGTCTATGTATTGTAGCTCACAGAACTATTGCAGTCAATAAAAAGCGGTAATACAACTATAACAGCAAAAATTGTCTTTGTGGCTTCTTTTTTCTTGGAACTTGGTGTCACTGCCCCAATTGCCAGATTTAAACTTGCTCTTAGAGCACTGGCCTACAAGGACAAAACCTGCCCCCAGCGTAGGCGTGGTTGCCGCCGATAGTAGATAGCACTATTAGTGCAGAAGTATGCTCAGAACGAACAAGCAATGACTTAATGCTTGAGTCAATGTGAAATCACGATATACTTCTAGGAAGGTTATGGCAAATGGATCGGTTCAAGCGTTATAGTACAATATAGACTTTCCAATTATACTTTGCTGCAAACAAGATCCAATTTCCAGCTTACCGCGTAGTCTTTATGGTTTACTTTTATGCCTCACAAAGAAACGTACCCCAACGGTGGAGATAGCTATCCATACCTGACGCAGCTGTGATGCCAGTGTGTGTCGTTAGATGAGGTCTGGTCAACATACCACCAGAATGGCGGGCTGTTGGACGCATATAAAGTAGATCTAGGACTGACGATGGTTTCAATAACTTTCATAAGTTGAACACAGAAGAATCAATAAGACTTTACCTATATTCGTTAGCAGGTGCCTGTATTACATCAAAGACTCAAGAGTACGGTCTTAATCTTGCCAGAGGCCTACTCACGCCAACACGATGTCCTCATCCAAAACGGACACTGGGATTCGATTCCCCCAGAACGACGACCAAAGCCAACGTCTTCGAAGTACAACTCAGAATCAAAGAGCTGCCGCCCGACTGCAGGACGCCTCTCTTTCGGCAAGCACAAAGGCTCGTGCGGCTGCTGACCCGACTTCGAACTGGACACCGGAAGAGATGTTCGAGTCTACCGTCAACGAATTCAGTGATCCGATTCCGGACCGATATTCGTTTACCGATGGGGCCAGAATGGAACGGGGAGCCTTTGGTCAAGACGAGGCGGATGCATTTGAGGCTGCGAATAAGGAATTTGATTAAGGGAGGACATACTCAATGTTGACTAGCATTGTATTGTACCGAATGTTTATCTAAAAATGTGCAAGCTGGTTACATCGACATTAACCGGGTGGGCCCTTTCAAGTCGCACATCAATATACTCCAGTTTTTCATGAAATCTGGCTATCCTGCATCGAAATGGTGAGCCGCCTGTTATTTGTGCTTCATTGGGTTCATTAGGTAGCTGGTTCGTGTAGGTGATTGCCGATGCGCTTCCCCGCGGGATTGTTCTATCCTATCAGCATGTGACTTTCCCGCTTATCGTCCAGCTTCTCCGCATCCGCCATCTACTCCGACATCTTTCTTTCCTTTCCCTCCTTATTTACCTCCTTCTTTCCCATTTTCCTTGGTCCAATTCTTTCATCGTTCAAAATCGTTACATATAATGTCGTCCCTTCGCCCTGCGAGCCGTGGCTTTCGCCTTTTGGCTTCCAAACCGGTTTCTCGGAGCTCAACCCTGCTGTCGCAACCCCTCATTGCTTCTCCGCGCGTTCTCCGCTCCGCCCATACCGCTACCACTCGCCCTCGTCTCGCGATTGCTCCATTGTCCGCAAATGGAGGTTTGCGTTATGCCTCCTCTATGAGCCCTGCTGGCTCCTTGAAGCAAACTCAATTGCACGATGTCCATGTTGCAAGGGGCGCCAAAATGGTTCCTTTTGCGGGGTTCTCCATGCCCCTTCAATACTCTGACCTTAGCCATGTTGAGAGTCACCATTGGACGCGCGAAAAGGCTAGCCTGTTTGACGTCAGCCACATGTGAGTTCGCTTATGATGCTCTTCCCTCAATTGTAACCTGGCTAACATGAAGTCGCAGGGTTCAACACCACCTCAGCGGCCCCGGTGCCCTCGATCTTCTCATGAAAATCACACCCTCGTCTCTTGACAAGCTTAACCCGAACCAATCGACCCTCTCCTGCCTTCTTGAAGATGGCACTGGTGGTATTCTCGATGACACTGTGATCACCCGTCTGTCTTCCGACACCTTCTACTTTGTCACCAACGCTGGCCGTCGTGCCGAAGACCTTGCCTTCCTCCAAGCTGAAATTGACATTTACCGATCCACCCATGGCCCCGAGTCCATTACTTGGGATGTCCTTGATGACCGTGCTCTAGTTGCACTACAAGGGCCCCTGGCTGCTGCGGTCCTTCAACCTCTGGTCAAGGACTCCGATCTCAGCACCCTCTACTTCGGCAACTGCCGGTCGCTCACCTTGACCTTCCCCGATGGAACCACTAGTGCGGAGCCCCTCCTCGTTTCCCGAACCGGCTACACAGGTGAAGACGGCTTTGAGATTTCGATTCCCACTGCTAAAGATTCCTCCCTTCCCCGCCGAGTGACGGAACTCCTCCTGTCGAATCCCGAGCAGGTGCGTCTGGCCGGTTTGGCAGCCCGTGACTCCCTCCGCCTTGAGGCAGGCATGTGTCTCTATGGCAGCGACATCTCTACCTCGCAGACGCCCTCCGCCGCGTCTCTTTCCTGGCTGGTGGGCAAGGACCGTCGCGATCCCGCCACCGCCAACTTCAACGGCGCCGCTACGATCCTTCCTCAAGTCGCCTCCCCTGCCAAGACCCTTTCGCAGCGTCGGGTGGGATTCACAATCGAGAAGGGATCCCCTGCACGCGAAGGCGCTGTCATCGTTGACATGAATGACGAGTCCCGTGCGCAGATCGGAGTGATCACCTCAGGACTGCCGAGCCCATCGCTCGGCGGTGTGAACATCGCAATGGGATACATTAAGAATGGCTTGCACAAGAAGGGAACCGAAGTGGGCGTGATAGTCCGTAATAAGGTCCGAAAGGCCACGGTCACCGGGATGCCGTGGGTTGAAAGCAAGTTCTACCGGCCAAAGGCCTAAGTTTGAAAAACTCTGATGAAGGATTCGCTGCATGGATAGACATCAAAATTCCCCTGCGTCCGATTATGTTCGTCTGGGTATTGTTTTGCTAGATTCCCCAGTCTCTGTTCTGTGATGATGGTATGACGTCAAGTTTTGTGTGTACATACAATGTTTCTGTTTTAGCCTTGGTTCATGTTTAGATTCAACCGGTCGGTATCTGGGGTTCACCATTTGGTGATTTCAACTCTTGCCTCAGCTAGTGAGATATAATGAAAAAATATCATTATACAATGTGAAGAAATCCTTAACATCACGTCTATCCTTGACCGCTGGCTAATTGCATGCAATGGGTGCCTTGAAAGTTAGGCAATCATAGACATTGTTTACAGTGTTTGCACCACACATGATCACGTGCAATCCCGTCTGTTTACATCCTTCACGTGCCGTGTACCAGTCGGCTTGTCCTCATCCCCCATGAGAGAATCCAATAATTATATAAACCGAAAGAAACAAACCTATTTCTATCACGAGTGACCACACTATTGAGTAACCAACGAAGAATGGACTTCGAATGTACCGCCGAGGATGTAAGTTGCCTTGCCTCCTTTCCCTTCCTTCCCTTCCTCCCCAATCCCACCTCCAACCGGCCTAATATCCAACAATAACCAACAACATTTACAGTACCACCTAAGCCTCAGAAGTCTCTCCCTCGAAAGAGAATATGACTTAACCGTGAGCGCGACAGCGCAGCTCCTGGACCAGGAAAACCATCGGGTCAACCGGGTGGACCAGCTACTGCAGCGGATCGAGAACGAGAACCTGCAGGCGCAGCTGGACCAAGCGCGCCAGGAGATCGGGCGGGTGCGGTCGGCCGAGGCGGAGATCCTGGGCCGGCTGAACCAGGCCGTGCAGGAGCGGAACCGGATCCAGCAGACGGTGTATGTGCTGGGGCATGAGAAGGAGAATCTGGCCGTAAGTTCTTTCCCCTTGTTGTCGTGGTCGGATCGGGTAGGGCCTGTGCTTGTGCTGAGTGACGAAAATAGCGGGAGCTGGAATCCATGTCCGATACCTCTGTCGAGGTGAAATCGTTGATGACGGAGAAGATGCGTCTGGGTAAGGAGTTGGCGGGCGTGCAGACGGAGCTGCAGCGGTTGCGGTTGGTGGAGAGCTCGTCGCAGACGCTGATGGCGGAGAAGCAGGAGCTTGCGCGGCGGCTTAGTTCGCTGGAGGTCGAGTTTGAGAATGAGAAGCGCGCGCACGAGCGCACGCTGGCGCGCGGGGGGTCCGAGCAGCAGCAGCAGCAGCAGCAGCATTTACAACAGCAGGTGCAGCAGTTACAGCAGCAGATTCAGCAGCAGCAGCAGCAGCAGCAGGCGGCTGGCTCGAAGTGGATTGCTGAGAAGGTGGCGCTCGAAGAGAAGGTCGAGACGCTCACGAAAAAGCTGCTCGTCACTAAGGATCAGCTCCGGAAGGCCCAGGTCAATTATGGTCCGTCCGCGATAACGCAGGCGCTCCAGGCCGGCACCAGTAAGGTCCCCGTCAAGTGGTCCAAGGAACCCTCGTCGAATCGCTTCGCCACAGAGATCAACTCGGAGTTGACGATCGCCACCCCCGGTGCGGTGCGCGCCAAGGCAGCGGAGAGGGAGAGAGCCGCCGTCGCCGCGCTGCCCGGGGAGAAGTCCGCCTTCTCCATCACGCCTTTCTTGAACCGAACGACGGGCGCCCCGGCGGACGCAGGCGACAGCAACAACAATAATAACAACGAGAGTGACCAGGAGTCGTCGTCGCTGGAGGATAGCATGATCCGCGAGTCAGACATCCCCGCCCAAAAGCCGCAAGAACCTCGCCAGCCACTGGGTGGCAAGCCCCGGCCAGAGAAGACGACTGGTGCCACTACGAGCCTCAATTCGAGGAGGCCGAGACAGCCGCCGAGGCGGCTGGAACCGATCGATGACGATGACGACGATATCTTGAGTACGAACGTCACGACCCTGGCAAAGCCTCAGATTAGGAAGCGGAAGCTCGGCGGCCAGCAGAAGAAACTGGTCATGGACGAGGAGGATGATGATGATATGGATTTTGATTTCCGGAAGGCGACTACGGGCCGCGGCCGCGGTTTCGGTGGGGTGCCTGCGTTTTCCCCGCTGAAACGTGATAGAAGGTGATTTTGGAGACAGGTTTTTGATTATGATGATCTACCCTGGACACTAGGTGATGTGATGATTGGGTGACGAGGACCTATGCTATAACGCGGCCGGTGCCGTGCAGGTGTGACCACATTTGTGCCCTTGCATACTTAGGAAGAAAGGTCTTGTTACACCAAGGAGTTACATCATGGCTCTGGGGTTAAATATTACGGATAGTGATTGGACGAGGCGAGTGGACTTGTAGATTCATATCATTAAAGTAGTTCACCTATACAGATACCCAAGACGATGGGGCTCAAAGCAACCATCCAAAATCCGATCGATAGATCTTCCTGCGGCAAAACTGTGCAGACTGACAAACGTCGACTTCGCACACAGTATTATATGACCAAAACTATGATGTACAGATCTGCCTAGTGCACTGCACTCTGATCACGATACAAGTCACAAGCATGAGGATGCTGCAGGCAGTACTTGGGCACCAACGGACTCGCCTGGACGCCGTTCGCCACGAGGTACTCGCGGAAGTTCAGGATGCGCTGCGTCATCAGCGTGGTCCGCTTCTGGCCCTGCTCGTCGCGGTTACCAGACCACACGAGCTCCGCCAAGGCCGCTGCGCGAGGCCAGAAGCGGCTCGAAACGGTCACGTCGTCGACCTGCTCGGACCAGAGCGGCGCGACGGCGCCAATGATATGCGCGGCCTGGGCATCCGTCAGGTTCGTGGTGAAGTCGTAGTCGTAGATGCGTTGCCAGGTCTTATACGGGCCACACCAGCTTCCGCCGTTGCCGCCGTAGTTGAAGTTGGGGGTGTTGGGATCCGGGTTACTCATGACACTGTAGCGGGGATCGTTGGTGATGAAGCCTCCGAAGCCGCAGTCCAGGTACATGAAATCCGAGGACGAGACGATGACATCGTAGCCCTGGTCGGTCAGCTTACTGATATAGTCCAGGCCGTTGTTCCACGACTGCATGACGATGTCGGTGGGGACGTCGTGCGCGTGCTCGGTCGACAGGACGATGTCCTCCCACATCACCAACCGGCGCGAAGCGCTGTAGTTGCGGAAAATGGGGACCGCGTTGTCCACCCAGTGCTGCGCGAGGTCGTTGTAGGTCCGCGACGGGTCCTCCTTGAACCAGTCCGTGACGTAGGTACTGAAGTTGAAGCAGTTTGCTTGGATCTCATCCGCGCCCACATGGAACCAGTTGTCCGGGAAAATCTCCGAGAGCTCGTTGTACACGTCCCGCACCACGTCGTACGTGCCGGGATAGATGATGTCCAGCTGGCCGGGGTTCGGCTCGACCGCAGTGTGCAGAGCCCAGTCATCGTTGGACCACCACGAGTCGATACAGGTCACCATCTCGGGATCCACCTGCTTCCAGCCCGACGAGGAATGACTTGGCATGTCGACTTCGGGAATCACCCGAATGGCGCGCGCGCGGGCATACGCAACAACACTGCGCATGTCCGCATGACTAAAGATCTCGCGGGGCGAATATGCATCCTGCACCATCTCCGGATGGGAATCAATCTGCACGGGCCAGGATTGAGTGTCATCCAGGTGCCAGTGCAAGACATTCAGCTTTGAAAGCGCCATGGCGTCCAACTGCTCATAGATCTTGCCGACCGAGATGAAGTTGCGTCCCGTGTCTATCATGATACCTCGGTAAGGGTACAGAGGCTCATCTTGAATAGAGACGCATTGTTCGATCATCAGCCCACCCGAGCCGTCCGAGATTATCAGCTGCTGAAGGGTGGTGAAGGCATGGAGCGCCCCCCAAACAGTCGCAGCTTTGATATCAACCGTGGTGCTGCCTTCGGTGAGTTCGAGAGTGTAGGACTCGTCCACTCCATGCTGCAGATCTGCGGTAATGTCTGCAACTTCTACATCGATATATTGAACCGAGGGGGCTGAGACACGCTTGACCTGGCGACTCGCCTTGGGAGACGCAGTTGGAAAGGGTTGGAAGTTGGAGATCGGGGCTTCGGTGGCAGCAGGCACCCACTGCAGGTCGACTATGGTGTTCCACGCACGATTCCAGGCATTGGCGAGAATATTGTCATCCGTGTCGTTGATTGCCCGCAGCGTTACAAAACCAGCAAAGTGCTTAGGTCCAGACGATCCCCAGGTGATGTTACGCGGAGCAGGCAAGGGGTTCACTGAGACAGAGTAGGCGGTAGCCAGTACGAGAAATACCGGCCATAGGCGATAGGCTACCATGGTAAGTGATATCCAATGCATCCAATGCAAAGATAGACGGGGTGTAGGAGACCAAAAAGACAGAAAGGAGGGAAAGAAGAAAGAAAAGTAGATCAGAGGAGGAAGAGGCCAGGTGATCGCTGGCCAAGGCAACTCATCGACAGGGGGGGCGTAGAATGAGGGGGCGGATCAACATTCCAAGATGGTATCTGCATATTTGGCTTAGATCACTGCAAGAAGCGAGGTATGATAAAGAAAGTTAGTAAGTGGTTGGAGTGAATGAGATGAGGTTGTGTTAGACTAGTAGCTGGCAGGGTAGTACTACTACCAGACACTAAAAGTAAGGTAGTATTGACTGTACTGGTGGAGGCTTGAGACTAAAACTAACAAGCAAAGCACACAGCCTGGGATTGGGAGAGGGAGAGGGGAAGATCAACAGAGAGAGATAAGTAACTAAGTTTCGGAGTGTCTTTTCACCCTGGGGTCGCCGCTTTAACAATGCCTCCCGGGGGCGTACTTCCTACAACTTCCCTGAGTTCCGACTGGTACAAGTAATTTGGTGTCGGGCGGACACAAACATAGCAAACAAGCAAACCAAACAATCTGGAGTCCTGAGGCTGCAGCGTATGCCTTGCAAGTATGTCCACCTTCAGAATCAACAAAACTATCTAGCTGAGGACAGAACCTCGCAATCAGGGTGCAAATCAAGACACTAGACAAGGATAGAGAGCCACAAACAGTACTCCAGATTGGCTCCTTCATTTTCTAGTGGTCTGATGATTGAAATCTGACCCAACATCGTATGGTGGAGATCCCAGTCTCTTCTGGCATGGATGATGGAAGATTCTCCCGATCGGATGCCTTCCGATCCACCTAAGCTCCCACTCAATTCCAGACAATAGGACTACAAGAGTGAACAATTGGGACTACGTACCATGGTAGGTGGTGCAACGGCTCTGAGCGGGACTCCATAGCAGCTGTCATATCACGAATGACGGCGCCCACTACGTCATCTACCGTCAACCCGGTTTAAACAACGATGATTTCATATTTCCCCTCTACACGCCATGTTTATTTACGGTTACTGCTCGCCTCGCTGAACTAAACTCAGTATCAGTATCGTCGTCCTTTCAACGCTGTCTTCCCATATCAACTCGCGCACTTACATCTTTTATACCACTGCCATTGTCGACCCAACAATGTCTCTGTACACAGCGACCAACGCGGCGACTAGCGGCCTACAGGGCCGCCCCCCCAAATTGACTGGCGATGTGAGATCCACCGTGCAACAAGGCCACAAGACCGTCAATAAGACCACCCAGAATGCCACCGACTCAGTGCTGCCCGGCCAATTTCCTGGCGATGAGGACGGAGTCAAGTCGGCCCAGCGCGATCGCAACAACGAGGGGCCCATTTTATCCCCAATGCGCGAATGGTATCGTCGCTGGGTGCCGTCGATGTTTGACAAGATGGAGTCGTACCTCATGGGATGGCTCTCCTGGCTTCTACCGACGCCACGACAAGCGCGGCTGTACGACGCCGCAGCCAAACGACCGGCTAGCACCACTTTCCTCATTTGCCAACTGCTCTGCTGCGGAGTACCACTGCTCGTCTTCCTGGCCGGGGTTTTCTTGTTTGCTGCTGTCGCTATTATTCTCTGGTGTGTCCTGTCGCTTCTCATCCTGGGCCCTGTCCTCTTGGTGGCTAGCATGATGGGCGTCTCGCTCTGGGGTTGGGGCTGGTTCTTCTACAGTGTCATCAAGTGGGTCGATCAGACGTATCTTGGCGGTATGCTATCTCGATTCTGGATGTCACGAAGCTCGTCCGATGACGAGGACGAGGACGAGAAGTCGGGCAAGGAGGAAGGAAAGGAAATGGAAAAGGGAGGTGAGAATGATGGATGAGTATGGCAGTTTGGGTAATAGGACGGTGGAAGATATCGGGGCATGGTCGTTGCTAAGTTAGGAGGTACCAGGAAGACTGATCTATCTGTGTATATTTCTTTGCAGCTCATTCAGATATTGTAATTACTGTACTTTTGACGGATATCCATCCAATTTTCCCATATGAACATTGAAACATTATGAGGCAAAAGCATCCCTGAGCTTTGACCAAGTCACTGACAGAAAACCTTTCTCAGGCAGTTGGTGGCTGCAAAATTCATCCCACTCCCACATCCTATGCGCCTGAAGGCTACTAGTCATTTCCTTCCACTGCTCAGGCTGGGGATAGGGGGACGTGTCAAAAGCCAACTGCATAGCATATCTCGGGCGATCCCCCCGTTGCAAGTCACCTGTCCTGTCATGCTGAGTGAGGAAGGACCCTCGCTCCACTCTCACTTTATAAACCTTGGGCTTAAAAGCTTTCTCGGTAAGTAGAGCTTCGTTGATGCGACGACCCGCCGGGACATAAGAATTCGCAATCTGGCGCTTAGACAGGGTGATTTCAATCTCGAATTCGCTGAGAAAGCCATCGGCGTTGGTCACTGTGACTGGCTCAAGGGAGACCGGGCTTCTGGGTCTCCAGCCCAACTCCGCCATAATCCACTCTTGGGTCTCATAGCGACAAATTATCTAGTTCTAACTTAGCCTACGGTTGTTGTGCAATAAGTAAAGAAGATTATATCTTACGTGGCCAGTGCCGTTTGCTAAGAACCTGATCTCATTGTTGTGCATGGGATCCCAGAACCAGGATTGTTCGGTAAGAATTGACAGAACTGATTGCTTTGGTTCACTCATGTCGATTTCTGCAACTGTAAAGTGCTATTGAACTTCAACTCTAGTGGCGAGCATGACCCCTTCAGTTTATGAGCTTGTTATATGATGCCTTTCGCATGGGACTTTTTGGCTGTGGCTGTTAAACTACTGCCATATCGTGATGGTAAGCCTGACAGATCGGATGACGACACGCTAACCTATTCGGCATGATGGGGGCTGGAACAGACACAGCCTCATAGTCTTTGTATCTTTCTGAAGTTAAACTGCCTGACTCTTATGCGCAAGACAGTTTTAAGTTGCTAGTGCTATCATAGAGGAGACTTTAACGTTGCTAGAACTATCATATCAGAAGCTTTAACAAATTTAAGTATTTCATGTGCACCAAGCGGTGCACTTGCATAATTATATTTGATCGCCGAGCCGGCACTCCGCTCCTAGATGGGAGACATTGCATAAGTAGCAGTAGACTCACGCTTCTCCAGCCGTTGTCTTGAAGCTTCCATCGATATATGCTTTCAATCTCAAGATTTACTCTATCGAGTGATTAAGTTGCATGCCGCATGTCCAGTCATTAATTACCTTGAGTCTTCTGCTTTATCGTGCATATCAGTAGCCTACGTATCATGGATCGGCGTTATCGGCCCGGGACCTCCGCAAGCCCCGCCGTCATCGGCCCGACACGTGATCTACAGCCAATAAGATACTGTCTGGATAGGGACAACCAACTGACGACATCTAAAGCTTATCAACAATTCCCCCGAAGTGGGATATTATTTGAACCCCAGGCATGCCCCTCTTTGGGATCCCCTCATTCTGCAACTTCTATTCACCTCTTTGCACCCTAATTGTCTTGTCTCTAACTGATCTCCGGCAAGATGACCGGGTCTGATGACAAGATTACCATTTCCATCGACCGTGGCGGTACTTTTACCGACGTACACGCGGTCGTGCCCGGTCGCCCTGACATTATCCTGAAGCTCCTATCCGTCGACCCTGGCCACTATCAGGATGCTCCCACCGAAGGCATTCGTCAGATCTTGGAGATTGTTACTGGAGAGTCACATCCACGAGGAGAGCCTCTGAAACTCGACCGAATTGGTAGTCTACGCATGGGAACGACTGTAGCGACTAATGCACTGCTGGAGCGCAAGGGTGCTCGGTCAGTACTTCTCACGACCAAGGGATTCCGTGACCTCCTCAGGATTGGGGATCAATCGCGTCCCAACATCTTCGACTTGTCGATGGCGAGACCTGGCGTCCTGCCCGAAAGAGTCGTGGAAATCAATGAGCGTGTGGTCCCTTGTCACCCTCTCGCGGACAAGGATTGCTTCTCCGAAGCTCGAGTCGTGGAAGGCACGACTGGGGAGAAGTTCCTCGTGGTACAGGAGCTCGACATGGAAGAAGTCCGGCCCATCCTGCAAGAATTGAAAGATCAAGGCTATCAGTCATTATCGGTCGCGCTGGTCCATTCGTTCGCGTACCCCGAGCATGAGCGCATGATTGGCGAGGCCGCCGAGAGCATGGGCTTCTCCGTGACCTTGTCTTCAAAGCTACAGCCGATGATCAAGGTTGTCCCCCGAGGCATGTCTGCCGCTGCAGATGCGTACCTCACCCCTGTTATCAAGACCTACATCGACTCTATCTCGGACAGCTTTGAGGGCGGACTTGAGAAGCAAAGCGAATGTCGCTTTGAGTTCATGCAATCAGATGGTGGCCTGGTGGATTTCCGCAGATTCAGCGGGCTGAAAGCGATTCTGTCCGGTCCCGCTGCTGGCGTGGTTGGATTTGCGGCAACCAGTTGGGATCCTAAAGAGAAGACGCCTGTGATTGGGTTTGATATGGGCGGCACGTCCACCGATGTGTCTCGCTTTGATGGACATCTTGAGCACGTATTCGGATCCAAGGTTGCCGGTGTCCTCATCCAATCTCCACAATTGGACATCAACACTGTGGCCGCAGGTGGTGGATCCATCCTGACATGGCGAAATGGCCTGTTCTATGTTGGGCCTGAGTCAGCATCAGCTCATCCTGGTCCTGCTTGCTATCGCAAAGGGGGACCGTTGACAGTTACCGACGCGAATCTATTCCTTGGCCGGCTGTTGCCGGAATACTTCCCTCATATCTTTGGAGAAAATGAAGATGAGGCACTTGACCTCGAGGTCACTACTAAGCTCTTCAACGAACTCACACAGAAAATCAACTCTGAGCGTAAGGAGAAGGGGCAAACCGAATTTACTCCCGAAGAGGTTGCCTTGGGATTTCTGAAGGTCGCAGATGAATCCATGGCTCGCCCTATTCGCAACCTTACCGAAGCCCGTGGCTTTGAAACTGCTTCCCATCACCTTGCATGCTTCGGTGGTGCAGGAGGACAGCACGCATGCACAGTTGCAGCTTCATTGGGGATTTCTCGCATTATCATTCACAAATTTTCCTCTGTCTTGTCGGCTTATGGTTTGGCACTAGCCGAGGTGGTCAAGGAGTCTCAGGAGCCGGTCTCTACCGAATACTCTACTTCCCGGTCCACTCTAGACAAACGCTTCGATGACCTGACCCGGGCGGCCGTCAAAGATATGGAGAGCCAAGGGTTCTCTGCTGAGCAAGTTCGACATGAGCTTTATCTCAACCTGCGCTATGAAGGTTCGGACACTAGCCTTATGATCTTGAAGCCCGAAGACGACTCCGACTTCCTCGAGGAGTTCCGTACCAGACATCGCAGAGAATTTGGCTTCAACTCAGATCGACCGGTCTTAGTAGACGACGTCCGCGTTCGTACGATCGCCTGCTCAAAGGTGCGGGAGGAAACAAGCCCCTTGGTACAACTCCGGGAAGCCACGATCAAAGATGTCAGCGGCGATCCAGACACCATCTCGAAAGCGTATTTCGACGGCCATACAGAGCGCATTGATACTCCTGTGTACCAGCTGAACAAACTAGACAAGAATACTCGAGTTCGCGGTCCTGCGGTCATTATTGATGAAACGCAGACAGTTGTGGTTGCGCCCAATGCCGTGGCCAAGATCCTAGATACTTGCATCGTGATCGATCTTGAAGAGCTGCCTAGAAGCTCCGAAGACGAAGTTGCGTCCTCTTCTGGGATTGACCCGATCCGCCTCAGCATCTTTGGTCACCGCTTTATGTCCATTGCCGAGCAGATGGGTCGCACCCTACAAAAGACATCAGTGTCGACCAATATCAAGGAGCGTCTGGACTTTTCTTGTGCATTGTTCTCCCCCGATGGTGGTTTGGTTGCCAATGCACCCCATGTGCCGGTTCACCTTGGGTCAATGCAATTTGCTGTGCGCTATCAACACCAGAAGTGGCTGGGTAAACTCCAGGATGGCGATGTTTTGGTGGCCAACCATCCCAGCTGCGGTGGAACTCACCTGCCTGATATCACGGTATGCGTTGTCAAACTTTCTGAACTCTTGAAATGATGAGACTGACAGATAATTAGGTGATTACTCCAGTCTTTGACAAGCCCGGTGGTAGCGAGATTATATTCTACGTGGCCTCTCGAGGTCATCATGCCGACATTGGTGGTATCCTACCGGGATCCATGCCGCCCAAATCGACCGAACTGTGGCAAGAAGGCGCTGCGATTGAAGGTGACAAGATCGTCAGCAACGGTGTGTTCGATGAGGAGCGGATGGTTGAGCTTCTGGTTCACAAGCCGGCGCAGTACCCCGGTTGCTCAGGAGCACGGTGCATCACAGATAATCTGTCCGACCTGAAAGCACAAATCGCGGCCAATACTCGTGGTATCAGCTTGATTCAAGCTCTCTTTGCAGAGTATGGGGTCGAAACCGTTCAGAAGTATATGTATGCCATCCAAGCAACGGCTGAGACAGCGGTGCGCAATCTGCTGAAAGATCTTCATAAGAAGTTTGGCGGTCAGCCATTGGAGGCCGTCGATCACATGGACGATGGTACGCCTATCAAGCTGAAGGTCACCATCAATGGAACAGATGGGTCTGCTGTGTTTGACTTCGACGGCACCGGCCCGGAGGTCTACGGAGGTTGGAACGCGCCAATTGCCATTACCCACTCCGCTATCATCTACTGTCTTCGATGCATGATCAACGCGGATATGCCTTTGAACCAAGGCTGCCTGACTCCTATTGATATTCAGGTTCCATCACCCAGTATCCTGTCGCCCACAAAATCGGCGGCTGTCGTCGGCGGCAACGTTGTTACCTCGCAACGAATTACGGACGTTGTGCTCAAAGCTTTCCGGGCGTGTGCAGCCTCCCAGGGCTGCTGCAACAACTTGACCTTCGGCACCAACTCGAAGAAGGACCCCGATACGGGTGAGACCATCCCAGGCTTCGGATACTACGAGACGATCGCGGGTGGCAGCGGGGCTGGACCGACCTGGAACGGCGAGTCCGGCATCCACGTGCACATGACAAACACGCGGATCACGGACCCTGAGATCCTGGAAAAGCGTTACCCGACGCTGTTGCGCCAGTTCACTCTCCGGGACGGGTCTGGCGGCAAGGGCAAGCACCCGGGAGGCGACGGTGTTGTTAGAGAGCTAGAGTTCTTGTCTCCGATGGAGGTCTCCATTCTCTCCGAGCGCCGCGTCTATCGTCCGTATGGTCTGGAAGGAGGTGAAGATGCTCAGCCAGGAATGAACCTCTGGATCACCAAGGACGCGGACACCGGAGTGGAAAGGAAAGTGAATATCGGAGGGAAGAACACAGTCTCTATGCAAACGCATGATCGCATCGTCATTATGACGGCTGGCGGTGGTGGTTGGGGTGCTGTATCTGCTTGATTTGAATGCGGATGAAGTCCGATTGACTGTCGGATGTAGACAAGGCTATTCTTTGGATGATATAAGCATTTATCTGGCAAACCCATATGAGAGAGTATACTAGAATAGCAGTCGTATAGACTCAGAATGAAGTTGGATACGGCCGACGACCCCACCGAGTAGCTAGAAAGCAGTAATTCGGCAAGACTGAGAACAGGAAATTTCGTACGTATCTAGAACAATCGTAAGGTACAGTACCTTATCTTGACACAGGACGTCAATACCGTACGGTGAGTGCAGCACCGCCCCGCTTTCCAGGCCCGCACTTGTGTAAGGTACAATAAATACATCGCTGGCATTGCACGTCCCGTAGGATTCCCGTTACATGTTTGATCTAACATTGGCACCGAAGAATAGATCACACACGATAATGTAAAGCTTCATAATAAAATTATATACTCATAGCAGCAGCAGCAGCAACAGCAGCAGCAGCAAGAAATCTACAACTTAGCATCCCAAGCCATGCGATCGGAGCTCTCGAGGGGCCGCTCGCGGCCATCCCACCAGAGCGGGCACAACTGGAACCACTTCTCGCGACTGCAGAAGACATGGACGGAACGCTTGTGGCCGAGGTCGACGTACTTCTGGACGGTGAGGCCCTGGGCGTTCTCGTAGGAGAGCACGGTGCTCCCGGAGGCCTTGGGCTCGCCGACGACGCACAGGGTGCGCGGCTCGTCGAGGAAGATGTAATGGATGACGCTGGACCACCAGGCGTTGACGCGGAAGGCGCCGCGCACGTTGTTGTCGCCGACCAGTGAGTGGCGACCGCGATCGTAGTCGCCGGCGTCGTAGTGGGCGCCGTAGTGATCCTCCTATCGGGTTTCCCAGTGTTAGTTACCTGTGGGACTTTCACGTGGTAGGGCTTGGATTTGGGATTGGGTTTAGGAGGAGAGAGGAATGTCATACCTTAGCCCAATATACCTCGAAGTAAGCAAACGGCTTATCATCGAACCGCCCAAAGAGACACAGAACGTGCTTGTCCTCGTGCAATTTCCGGAGGTAGTTGCGGTGGTGCTCGATCGTGCCCGTCTCGTTCCACCCCTTGGCGACGCGCGGATCGTTCTGCCACTTGTGGAACAGCTGCAGATGCTCCTCGTTCTGCCAATCCACCGCCATCAGCGAGAAATGCTGGTCCAGGTGCGGAATGTACCGGCTGTACACCAGCGAGCCCGGGGTGGGCTTGATGGGCCGGATCGGGTGGCGCGCGTAGACGCGCTCCTCGGGGAATTTCATGGAGAACTCGTAGTTCTGCGCCATGGGAGGGTACTGGCTGCCCGAGCGGCGGAGGAGGCCGTGGGTGCCTTGATCGACGGCCCAGATGGGCCGCGGGCCCAGGGGAGAACCGGCGCCTTGCCAGAAGGCGGAGCGGAGGAGAACGATGGTCGGGAGGTTGGACGGTTGGTTTTCGGCGCCAAAGGGTGTGCGTGGGGAGGGGAAGGGGATGGCGAGTCCGGTGCGGATGCATTCGTCCCGCACAATTTCGTGACCGGGGCCGTTGAGGTCAAGGCGCACGATCTCTTGCTCCGGGTGCGTGAGGAAGGTGGCGTGGATGAGGTTCCAGATTTGTGCGAGGGTGGGAGGTTGAGATTCGGAAGAACCGGTCCATTCGAAGGTGGTGCCCGGGGCACGTTGACTGCGCGCCCAAGGGCTGTTGTTGTTTAGAGGGATTTCTTTGGCGGACTCGTTGTAGCTGAGATCCGTGTATGTCAAGGAGTCGTTGTGGAAGGGCTCTGGGAGTGGTTGGCCGACTTGGCTGTCATGGAGGCGGAGTTGCAATACCCGTGGAGTGGACTCGGAGACGACATGGATTTTGAAGGTGGTGAGATAAGGATGAGGGAGTTTGACCCAGGGTAACGACTTGTTCAATGCCATGGTGGATGTGTTGTGGATGAGGTTGAGGAGAAGATGATGGAGAGGGAAGAAGAAGAGAGGACAAGAGGAAGGCGAGAGAAGAAAGGACGGAAGACGTACAAATATTCCGGTTCGACGTTGACGGACTGACTGATTGATTAGTTGATTGATCAATTGACTGCCAATGCTCGAGAATAGCCTGAGCTCAATCAAAACCACCCGCGGCCCGCGGAGTCGAGAGTGGATCTTCTGCAACTGCAACTGCGTAACAAAAACATGGCCCCACTGATTGTTTCGGTTTTACTTACGCCTGAAACTGTGTCGGTACAGACCAAACCATACATACACCCGCCCATGTCCTATATCATTTCGCGACATCCGTCTCTTTCCCGACATCCCCTTCACTAGAATTACTACTCATACTACTGCCGCTGCTGCTGCTGCTACTACTACTACTCACTTCCTTATTAATACTAGACGCTACTTCTACAAAGCACCAGCAACCATGGAGCAACATCCAACAGTGCAAGGATGCCTCATCTCCTTCCCTACGCCCCAAATCCTCCTCCTCATCCTTAACCGACCCGAGAAGCGCAACTCCATCACACTAGCCACCAGTGCCGAGATCCAACAACTCTGGACCTGGTTTGACGCACATCCCACCCTTCGCGTGGCAATCATCACAGGCACAGGAGGCTCATTCTGCGCCGGAGCCGATCTCAAAGGTACTATACAACCTCAACCAAACCTCACATCAACTACCCCGGCTTTTTCTCCGCCAACTAACACTAATCCCAACCAGAATGGAACGACCTGAACGCCCGAGGCATCGAAAACAGAATGACCGCCCCAGGCCTCGCAGGGCTCCCACGCCGCCGGGGCCCGAAACCCATCATCGCAGCCGTCAACGGATTCTGCCTGGGCGGCGGGTTCGAGATGATCACGAACTGCGACATCGTGCTGGCGAGCCCGGACGCGACCTTCGGGCTGCCCGAAGTCCAGCGCGGCATTGCGGCGGTCGCCGGCTCGCTGCCGCGGCTGGTGCGCGTCCTCGGCCGCCAGCGCGCCGCCCAGATCGCGCTCAGCGGGATCCCCTTTTCGGCCGCCCAGATGGAGCGCTGGGGGCTTGTGAACGAGGTCGTCGCGGACAAGGCGCTGTTAGTGACTCGGGCGGTCGAGATCGCGACCACCATCGCTAGTAACAGCCCCGATAGCATCCGGGTGACGCTCGAGGGGTTACATCTTGGGTGGGAGGTCGCGAGTGTGGAGGAGGCCAGCTCGAGGTTGGTGGATGAGTGGTATGGGAAGTTGATGGCTGGGGAGAATTTTCATGAGGGTGTGAGGGCCTTTGCGGAGAAGCGGAAGCCTGAGTGGAGGGCTTCGAAGTTGTGAGACATTTTCTTTTCTTGGGGGGATTGATAAGATTGTTCTGTTTTCTTTTGTATCTTTTGTATTTTTGTTTTTTTTTTTCCTGGTCTTGCCGAATGATACCACTATCCATGATGAAAGAGGAAAGCTCTTGCCATGGCTGCGCTAGTCTAGTGTCGACGTGTTTTTGGTGAAGCTGTTACCATGGACGTTGTTCTTGTTACGCTCGGGATTGGGGTGCTGTTTTGTGGAGCACAGAGAGACTCTTCCCCCTTCGAAACCAAATTGTTCTCACCCACTTCTACACAGAATTCTCCATAGGATATGCAATCCTGTTGCAGTCACAAGAGAGATATGAAGTCAATCGACAATCTTTCCCCCTCAAACTTGAAGAACGCGGTCGCGAAAGCCCTTGGAGTGGGGGTCAAGATACAAAGCAAGTGTCCCTCATATGAGTGCGGCAGCCCTTGGCACACCTGGTAACTTACTTGGACTCCAACCGAGGCACTTCTGCAGGTTTCCTTTTGGTAACTCTCCCGGCATTTTTCGGCGCTACTGATCGTGGGTCTGTTGCGTTTCGAGGACCGAAAAAGGTCTAGTGGGGATGGGGTGCTTCTCATTTGATAATCTAATCAGATCCTTCATTGGGAAGAGTCCCACTTGGTTCGGCTTGTATCTGATCCGCTTTGTCTAATCTGATCTTTTAGCTGTAATGCTGTCTTGTCACATAGCAGTACAGTGTAAGGCATGTTTCGTTTCGAATTACAGAGCTGCGGTATCGTACTGCAACACCGTCTGGAACAAGCTGTTATGTCACAGTACCTCTAAAGCAGTACAGAGCTGGTTTCGATCCAACTGTAGCAGAGAGTTGTGTTGAAAGCCTACTCAACATTGACCGGGGCTGACCACGCATTCAGGTGGAATGGCATCTGGTCCCATACCTATTTTCGATGCCATATTGTAGGCCGTTTACCATTTGGTCTCATTGACCGGCCTATTCACTATTCTTCTAGCTTCACGAATCTCGGAGCTCTTCACAATCGCTGTTTTCACTATCCCGTCTGGTCCGCTGCCCATCCCATCGTCAATTCTCTTAATCGTTCCCCATCACTCTACAAGTCGAGTTTCTCTGTACTGCACAGCCTCTTTAGATGTCTAACGACGAGTATCATTTCCAGAATCAATCCTCTTCGATACCCAGTACTCAAGCCTATATCAGCCAAGCCTAGCAAGATACTACCTTTCACTTCAAAGCATCGCAGCGGAATCTACTCTCGCTAATCACAATACTCTTCCAAATTATCTATCCCGGGATACATAAATCAGCTTCCAGCGCGAATACCCGGGAAAATTTCTAAGAGCCCTAGGCATGCTTCCAGAGATTCTTGACCAGCCCGAACGTGCAAGAAGCCTTAGCAGCAAAGCTATATCAAAAATCTGGCAGTATCTATTGCCAGAGTACAATCTAGAGATGGAACATGTATATGGCCGTTGCGGCACAAGCGGATGCCAATCAGTCTCGGGAGCGGTTACAGTTGAACTTGGTCCCCTTGGTATGAGTCGGGGATTGCCTGAGGAGTGGCTGGCCATATCCCTTGAGACTATACAGGGGTTTTGGCACGAATGTAATGGAAGATTGGATATGGTGAACCGTTATGTTCTGAGTCTATGTGCTTCGGACCGTGTTTTCAATTGTTCTATATATCTTGGATGTGATGTGAAATGATATCTTACTGATGATTGCTTGTTGTTATACTGGTGTCTCAGACCTCTAGGCCTTTTCCAACGCGGAGGATCAAAATAAAATTTTGACGGAGAAATGGATCATCATGGAGGCAAGTCGGGTAGCCTAACTGGCCAAGTGGTGATGCAATGCAGTGAATGAAAGAGAGATTATAAAGATGCTATACAAAATCTAACTCGTCGTCTTGCTGGCCAACGTAATCGTACTTCGCGAGAATCTGTTCGTGATGGACGTTATGCGCCTGTGAAGGTACCAGCCCCAGCGCGCTTTGATGAAGGGTAGAAGACGGGTCGGGGTCCGTCGGGTCATCGACCATCATATGGTAATCGTGAGCCGTGTGATGTCGCACTTCGTCTTCGAAACTCGTACCATGCAATGCATGCGCACCGTGCGTGTAGGGATCGGTCATAGGGTCGTGAGGGTGGAATCGGGGCAGTTGTTGGTGGATGTTGATGATCTGTGGATCCAGAGGCAGGCCGGTGTAGTCGGTGATCGAGTCGACCGTTCCCGGCACAACGCCGGGATGGGTGGTTACGAAGGGATTCTGGGCCGTATGTGCATTCATGTCCGCTGGGTGGTCCATGAGCGCATGTGCCCCCATGAGCGTGCTGGTCGGAATGGTAGGAGGATGATGATGATGATGATGATGATGATGCACTTGCATCCCGTCATCCGCCTCCTCTTCCTCCTCGTCCTCGTTTTCGTCGTCCATCTCTTCCATCTCCGGCGTACTGTCGTTCATGAACCCGTTCACGATGGAGGGTTTGAGCGTCTCTTTGCACTGCGGACAATCCCGGATCACCCGACTGACCGTCTCCTTGATGCGAACCCAGTGATACTTAACTGCGATGGCAGCGGTTGTCTTGTTGATGCCGGCATGATGTTGTAGATGCATCTCCCGGGCAATGTCGTACTGCTGCTGTGGGTCCGACACCACCTCCTTGTCTTTGAGCATCAACTTCTCTCCAGTCCCGTCTTCGTCGTCGACCAGCTTGTAGTGGGTGGCGGCGCTCCGCAGCCGACTCTTCTCCGCTCGATCAGCCCCGCGGGGATATTTGGAATGCTTGAGATAATACCGGATCTTATCGAACCGATCCTGCGTTGCCGAATCCTCCCCATCCGGACCGAGATCTCGTCCGTAGATGATAGCGTCGACATACTGGCCTGGATTGGACATCAGCCGGCCGCCTCCGGGAACTCTACCGATACGCTTGAAGCCCAAGGCGTCCCACAGGCGGCAGGACGCCACGTTACTTTCGTAAACCAGGTTAAAGACTGCATATGTGTATCCCTATTGAGTGTTAGACTCCTACGGATGCAAGAACTGCCAAGCGTGCACGACCTCCGCGTCCTCCGCGGAGGCAAGGTGGAGAGGCGAAAGGAAACCTTATGGAACCAATGCAGGTGGCCGTCTAACCATCTGGCTCTGGAAGTCCGATGTTTGTTGTATATACTGACCATTTTAGGAGCCCACTCGAGGTAGCCCTCCCCCATCAATCGACCTACACCTTTGTTGCGAGCCGCATCGGTGACAATGAACATGCCGTTACAGACATGACTACTACGACCGGGGTAGTTGGGTCTGATGTTGAAACTACCCAGGCAGAGTTTAGCCCAATTGGCTCGCTGACGACCCATGGATTGGACTTCCTGCACGCTCTTGATGTCTCCCAGGAGCATGATCGCACCGAAATTGGAAAACCAATATGATCCGAACTGTTCCAGGGGGATGGGGTCGATCATAGCGTATGTGTCCCCGCCTTCGATCTCTTTGTTCAATTGATCGGAAAGATACGCCAGCAGGGACCGAGGTACCATCGCAGCAGATGTGAAGGGCACTAGAGTTGCGACGGTGACGCGGTCCCTGAGCGTTACCTGGCGCGGAACAATCTCCAACGGCAGTTCTTTCTCGGTGGGGATCACCGTGCCTATTAAGTCGCCATGAACAGCAGGCATGTTGATGCCCTGAGACGGGCACCGAGCCGGTCAGACGACTGTGATCACATTGTCAGCTGGGCTGGCGGGGAAGTATATAGTGGAAAGATATAGAGGGAGGGTGGCAGGTCGCGTGCTTATAGATCCTTATCTGATCAAACAATACTTAAAGGTGGGGAAAGGAAGCGGGGAAGAACGGACGGACGGAAGGGGAGGAAGGGGGAAAAGAAATGAGGGGGAGAGGAGGGGGAGGGGAAGGGGGAGGAAGTGTTCTAGACTTTGCAAACACATAAAACACATAAAAACATAGACCAGGACAGAGCACTGACTTGGAACCGGAGGAAATTGGTTAGAAGGCGACAAAACCGGGATTTTGGTGGGTGCAGGAAGCACATCAAAGCACATCAAGGACCGCCGAGAGTATTCTCGAGTCCGGAATGAAGTGAACGCAAGATGAGAAATTGTCGTCCCGCCCTCAGAGAAACCTCCGTGGCGTCGGACTATCTTTGTTCCACTCACGTCGGCCTGGGTCTAGCGTTTGCTTGGTTTGCACCCCCATACCATCCCCCCCCCCTCCCTCTTCGACAGCCTGGAGCACAGTAGTTATGGCTTCTTCTTTATTGTTCCTTCATTCTCCACTTGACTTCTTTGTCTTATGGGACATGGAAATCTTTGATTTTTCATTGTGATGATTGGCTTTTACATGTGCTCACGTGCCCCTACAGGGTATAACTCACTCCATTATCTGAAATACTGAGACTGAGACACAACTATACTTTAGACTTCCCGTTGTTACAAGTCAGACTCTCATTTCTTTGCTACTTCCATAGAAAGCTTTGAACATACAATCTGAATGGTTTCATGGGGCAGTCCCTGCAATGTGTCTGTTCTGTCTTCTTCAGTCATCCGGATGCTCGACAAAGCATTTCCGACTGCGAATCGCAATGAGTGATGGATCACAAGCGCTTGCATCCAATATCAGAAGGATCGTTCTGTATGGCTCTCCCAGCCAGTACTCTTGACCAGATGCCCTTCGTTGAGTATGCACAAATCCGTTTCCAAACTTTACGATTACCTCATTTACCGTCAAAGATGGGAGGATGCTTCAGGCAATTGGGTTCTCGTGCCATAGTGATTTCTCAAGGTTATACCCTTGCAACCAGCCAATGCCGGTCCAACCAGGGATTAATTGCCAGCCATTCTAATCATCTGGCTTTTCTTGCCAGTCAGAAGAGTAAAGCTCGGAGGATTATATCCAACGTCCATCACGAATTCATGTTCATATGGATTCTTGGTGTTCAAGGAAGTAGTCGAAAGCATATCCAGTCATGAAAATTGGAGCAAACGACTATATAGTCACATGGGTCCTTGTAGCACCAGCTTGGCGGGTTGGGGATTAGGGTAAGCCATGACCTCCTTCCACCCCTGCAGGTCTGCCCGTCTACATCCGCCCTGCGGTGAAGATACACCGCAAAAGCCTTATGCTGGTAGCCTCCCACGCAAATATCACGGCTGCCACAACAATAGCAATTTGGTGGCAAAGCGAGTGCATATGTTCCGATTGTCTGGTGATGGCATCGCGTGGCTGATATGCCAGCCATGTTACCCCGCAGCTCGCGCATATGTCATGCCGGGGATGCAAGAAAAAGCAAGTCGGAGCCCACACTCTTCATGCATATATGCAGTGCTCACTGGGTTGCATTGGGCTGAAAAGCGCGCAGCATAAACAAAAGCATCTATCGCCCGTTGGTGCTGCATAGGCGCGGATTTAAGCGTTGCACTGGCTCCCGCAGGCTGTTTCGAAGTATTAAGATCATCAGTCGGTATCACGTCGGCAAATGTCAGCGCCAATCAGGGCCCGCAACTGGCCATTAATCCAGGTGGCACAAGCTCAAGTTCTATCACCGCCAGTTTTGTGTCTATCTTCCGGGGAAGCAGCTACCACTGTCCTAAGACGTTGACGGGAGGCTCGGCTTCATCCGTGGCTTTCTCTCTCCTCGCCCGTTTGATCTGCTCGGTAGACATGATTGCTCGATCGTCCTCGACACTCAAATCAGATGCTCCAAACTGATCACACTGATGGCAATCGACTCGTCGCGGCGATGCTTCTGTAGCATCGCAAATCCCAGGATTTACCCTTTTCGGATGCGATCAGGCTTCGTCCCCGTCCAGGCCCACACGCTTCCCATTGCGACAATTCGCGACCTCCGAGGCAAATGACAAGGAGCTTTTGATGCTATCCAGTGTAATTCAGTGCGATGTCTCTTGTTTCTTGTCGTCTCACAAGGCAAACGCTGTTTGGAGGGCTTTTTGGCCCCATGATGCTATCCTTGGGGGCCTCTGTGTTATTCGCCGGACACTGTCAGTGCTGACAGTATATAATGGGCCTGTGGAGCTCAATTTCGTTGATTAGAACAAGCGCAAACTGTCAAGGCTCAAGATCTTACATCCAAAGGGGAGATTTCCATCTTACGATTGGAGCATTCTTTGTTGGTGGCTTGGAAGGAATCCACCCGCCAGTTCCTGAAACTCAGGGTTCACTCGGGCTATGCAGCCACTACATCTTAGCGACAGAACTCAATAAATACTGCCTGATCTCTTGTTTTTATCTTCTTCGCCTCACATCTTGTTCTTCTTTCTTTACTCTCCCTTCTTCTCTTCAACTTTCTCTCTCTTTTTTTACTGTATAAGGGGTTGATCCTCTGCTCACATTCCTTGACATCCCTGATACATTCTGTGTCTGTATCTTATTTTTTTCATTTCTATACATTCCTTCACTCATTTCTATTTGATCAACAAATCCAAGATGAAGCTCTGGAAGCTACCATTCTATGCTCTTGCTGGGCTGGCTACCCTGGCGAGCAGTGCCCCTATCGACATCAACTCGACTATAGCCGCAAGTGACAAGCTCGTCTTCTGTCACTTCATGGTGGGTGAAAAATTTCGAGGATTGACAGAAACCAAACTAACCAATGAGTCACAGATTGGAATCACCAGTAATCGGCAGAGTTCCGCTGATTATGACGAGGACATGAGACAGGCAAAGGCGCTAGGGATTGACGCTTTTGCGCTGAACATCGGAGTGGACCCTTACACCGACACCCAGCTGAACTTTGCATACGAGTCAGCGGCCCGCAATGACATGAAGGTCTTCATCTCTTTTGACTTCAACTGGTACAACACCGGACAGGCCACCACCGTTGGGCAGAAGATCGCACAATACGGGAACCGACCGGCGCAATTGAAGGTGGACGGCAAGGTATTTGTCTCTTCGTTTGCGGGTGATGGACTCGATGTTCAACAAATGAAATCTTCCTCTGGGATGGATGTGTACTTCGCGCCGAATTTCCACCCAGGCCAGGGGGACTTCAGCAAGATCGACGGGGCGCTTAACTGGATGGCGTGGGACAATAACGGCGACAACAAGGCCCCAAGCGCCGGCCGCAATGTGTCCGTTGCCGAAGGGGACCAATCATACATCAAAGCGCTGGGAGGAAAGGGATATATCGCTCGTAAGTTTGACTTTTTGCCCGTCTCACTCGAGAGGCAGGGTTAGGAAAAAGAAAGGAAAAGCACTAATGCATGTTGCAGCTGCATCCGGTTGGTTTTTCACGCACTTCGGTGGAGAAGTGCCCTACAGTAAGAACTGGGTGTTCCCCGGTGATTTGCTGTGGTATAACCGCTGGAGGGAGATCTTGAGTCTTGGCCCTCGATTTGTCGAGATCATCACCTGGAATGACTATGGAGAATCGCACTACATTGGTCCTTTGTCTTCGCCCCACACCGACGATGGGGCCTCAAAATGGGTCATGGATATGTGAGTTGAGGCCCCCCTGTTCTGAAACCCGTTTCAAGTTCTCTTTTGTCGCTGACGGTTCTCAATCCCGATAGGCCACACGACGGCTGGCTGCAGATGTCCAAGCCCTTCATAGCCGCCTACAAGGCCGGCGCCAAGACTGTCGAGCCCTACATCACCGAGGAGAAGCTGATCTATTGGTACCGACCGACCCCAAAGGGAATCAGTTGCGACAACACCGACACCACCATGGAAGGCAGCCCGAACAACGCCAGTGGCAATTTCTTCCGCGGCCGGCCGAACGGCTGGGAGACGATGGAGGACGCCGTGTACGTGGTGTCGCTGCTCAAGTCCCCCGCCACCATTCAGGTCGCCTCGGGCAAGAACAGCAAGACCTTCGACGCGCCTGCGGGCGCCAGCGCCTTCACCGTGCCCATGGGAGTCGGCGCGCAGCGGTTCGCGCTTGTGCGCAACGGACAGAACGTGATGAGCGACACCAGCCTCAAGGACATCGTCGATACCTGCATCTGCGGCCTCTACAACTTCAATGCCTACGTCGGCACGGTGCCCGCGCCGACCACGATTGACAAGCTCGGCCCCGCCGGCCTGGCGTCGCTGTCGCAGGGTCTGCGCACCGCTTGTCCCACCAACACGCTGGGTGCCAGTTCCGGCCGGGTGGCCAGTGCCAGTGTCACGCCCTCCGTGTCGCCAACCCCAACCCCAACCCCAACCCCGACTCCTTATTCGTAGGTTGTCAATTCGACTGGTTCCTGATTCTCACCTCTCTACGACTTGATGTCCTTTGGTCTTTTCTTTTTCTTTGCCTTCTCGCACTCCTTTCTTCTTCTGCGTAGCCAGCGCTACCCAGCTCATTCATTTTCTTTCATTTCTCTAGCCAGGAGCTAAATCCCCAGGATGACCACTCTTTTGCATCCCCTTTCACCCCCACAGCGCAGGTCCTATCATACGAGTCATGACCGCTGATACTTTCTGACACTTTCTTTTTGAACACACGAAATCCTTTATATCTTCGATACCTTCACAGGCCAATTTGAACTTATCTGCCATTCACAAGAAATCCTTTTCCCGATCGTAGATTCTTTGACGTTTCAAGTCGAGTAGACACATCGCAAATTTCGGGACTGGTAATCAGCCCTCGGATCCTCATTTAAACCCTATCAAGGATCACCGCCCACCCCCCCGGACAATCACCAGAAACCTTAAACTCCGAGTTTCATTTCCCTCCCCTACGCCGCACAAACTCAGACTACAAATCCCCAGCTGATGGATGGATGGATTGGGGGGGAGGGAGATTAGACCCCCCACCCACCCCAAACCCAAATCAAACAAGACGTCGATCCTGGTAGCCTGGTAGCAATTCGCATACTAATTCCGCCCCCCAAATTGGATATGCTTGCGTACAAGGGTCGTACGGAAAAAAATTGAAGTTGGGTTTTAGGCTCCAGCTGAGGATGGAAAAATGCGTGGGTGGGTTAGTTGGTTTCTTTCTGGTTTGAATGGGTCTTTGAGGGGGGGTTCCGTACATGGTGGTATGATGCCATATCCACTCTGGAAAGCAGTACCAAGCGAGGGAAACCGGGCGGAATTGGTTGGATCGTATACCTACCGGTTAAGGACTGAGCTACCAACTCGGCCCGCGGCTCGAGGCGTGATGCTACGAGGGCATCGGTGATGATTCCGGCGGTCGGGCCGGGTTGCTGCCTGTCAGATCGGATGGATTATGGCCAGCGGATGTGCGTCTTACGGTGCGGGCTCGGACATAGAGGACGGGGGGGGATTACCAATAGGACTGAGGCTGAGGCTAACGGTCTAATTTAAAACTTATGCAATCAGATCAACGGTATCTGAAACTAGTCACAGTTGGATTCTCTCAAGGATGCAATATATTATTTGTTTTGCTTTGGTAGCTGCCTACTATGGCGGACCACTATGGGGTCTAAATATTATAAAGGACGGTAGTCGATACCGTCGCGGTCATTCTCGTCATCGGCCTGCACGCCTCTTCTCCGGCTTCCCGTCGTAGGGATCGGCTTCTCCAGCCGCAGAGCCCAGAGCAACAGATCCTCCAACGGGAGGAGGATCATCCAAATCCGGTTGCAGAAGAAGGAGAAAACCACTGAGAACGTGGCAACAACCGCGTCGAGCCAGTAGTGGTTGGCAGTGGCAACGATGACGGACAAGACGAGCATGGGGTAGACGAAGCCCAAAATGACGAGGAAAATGTCCCGGATCGTGATGCGCGCGGAGCGCTTGCCAAGCAGGCGGTGGAACACCCCGGAGTGATAGAAGAACGTGTTTCCAATGCAGAAGGCGTAGGTGAAATGCAGGCTGGGCATGGCCGCCAACTGGTTGACCATCTTGCCTCCTACCCAGACACTCTCAGCATGCTCCTGGCGCACTGTATCGTGAAAACCGAACGACTCGGGCAGCAGACGAGGCGGCATAAGGGGCCAGAAACAGAAGATGATGAAGGCCATGAAATTGCCGAGTGTCATCGTCCGGCGCGCGATAGCGAAACGCTCGAAGTCGGGGGCCGCATAGTACCACCAGGAAAGATAACTAAATGCACATTAGCCGACCAATCCAATCGAACGGGGATCAAGAAAACTTACGCGACCGTTCCAGGAATGTGAACAAGAGAATAGATGCGGTTGAAGAACGTCATCCAATTCGGGTGGCCATTGATGAAGAAGGACTGAAAGTCCGCCTCCTCGACCGGAAAGAAAATGCTGAGGAAAGAGTTGTGCTCAAGATTGAGAACGCCAATGGCATGGTCCTGGGCGAGTTGTACGACATCGCGACCGGCGGGAGACATGGACTGGGAGACGGCCTTGGTGCAGGAATAGAAGAGATAGTTCATGACCCAATAGAACATCTCGACCAAGAAAGGAAACTTCTGAAGGATCCGGCTGTGAAAATGGCGAGCGAACCGCGACGAATTGGGCGTCTTGACCGTGAACCACAGGCAGTTGCGACGCTTGGGAGGGTACTTGTTGTCCACTCCGGGGCTCGACAACAGTTGTGCACTACTTTCCCCCTCCGATAATATGTCGGTCGAATCGTTCGCTTCCTCATCTTTGTTGATGTATAACGGATGAGACGATCCTAGATCCCGATTGTTGTTCTTGCCGAAGATGCTGAAGTCCTTGCGACGGTTGAAGTATAAAGAGCTAAACATGATACTGAGAACTATCTGAGAAGGAAGTCAGCATGATTGCTGGCGGTGGAAGGGTAGACAAGGCAACACTTACAATCGGCTCAACCCATGAGTGAGAAGCGAACTGGGGCTTCCCCAGATCGACTGATTCCGAGTCATTGTTTGACGCCATGGTGAGTGCCAACGACTATGTGATACAAAAGATGTGTGGAAGGTAAAAAGCCGTTGTTGAATATCGGTTCAAGCGCCTAGCATTGGCATCCAGGTGCGTCGTGTCGATCCTGTGCAATGTTTCCTCCCGGGGGGCGTGAGGTATCGGCCCGAAATGGTGTCGCGTGGTCTGCCCCTATTCGCAGAAAAGACCCTTGTCGCAGCTAATCTCCGTTGGTACGTCGAAACGAGAGTGAAGTATATACAGAAGTCCAATTCGCGATGCAGGGCCCAAAACGCCAACGCCGACCGACAGTGCTGCTGGAAAGGGTATGTACAAGGCGCTTTGTTTTCAAGGGCGCAGGGACTTCGGGAGCATAAAGCGAGCCGAGATCCACCAAATAATGAGGAGCACACGAAAGAAAGGAAAACCAGGGGGGTGACTTCAAAGAAAGATCGAAGAAAGAAAGAAAAAAAGAAAGAAAGACAGAAAGACAGAGAAGGAGAGGAAAAGGGATAAGAGTGGGGTCGGAGAGGGGAGACAAGGTGGTGGTCAAGGAACAGACAGGCTGGGTCGTCGTCACCAGCAACTCAACGTTGGAGAGAGAGAGAGGGAGAGAGAGAGAGGAGAGCGACAGTGACAGTGTGGCTGTGACCCGAACACTACTAGTGGTGGTTGCCCGAGATGGTGGTTCTGCCAAGTGGGAAGACTGCAAGGATTGGATCGGTACTTTGTTGAACCCCTGTTCCAGCCTTTTGCACCATGCCTCCCTGCCCTGCCAGCTGCCCTTCACGATCTACGAATACGAGTACGGTCTTTCTCTTTACACAACTTGGTCACCGCTATGACGAGAACGAACGAAGCTAACTCCGACCTTGTGATATGCCTTCCTGACAGTTGAACACCCCACGACTGGCTTGGACTCTTGGTCGCGTGCACGGAGTTGTGGTGCAAGCCAATGTCAACCCGAACAATTGGCAAAGGATCGTGGAGAATGCGACCGAGGCAAAAGTTAATTTGGGCCCCGTTGTTGGCCTCTCATCATGAGCAGACACCGGAAGGTGGAGCGAGCAGTCCTGGGTCATGGTAAACATGCTGCTCAACTCTGGATGCTCAGACTTTTTTGTTCGCAGGCGAATCCTGGAGTTGAGCCACCGTGAAGATTTTGGCTTTTGTTTCCACGCGACCACTACGACGGGTCTGATCCTTATGCTTAAGCTTCTGACCCTCGAATTGTGCGCACCTTATTTCCCGAACCAGATCATCGCCAGTGCAGGCAAGGCTGGCCCCGGAGTATACCTTGCAAGATTCAGTTAGCCTCATCACTTCCACTTTGGACGTTCCCAACATGGGCGCATGATCTTTCAACCAACCGATGAGGCATAAACTTAATGCATACTGGAGTGTAGGAGATTGCACTACTCTGTATACTGTATCAGAGTTGGGTTATGCTGGGTCGATATGCATCTCTCTAGCTCGGAGCATTCATAACTTCCTGAACGCCACAACCCAAATTTGTTTCATATCCGCTTACTTAAACGCCAAGCCAGCACTAGCTAGGCACTAACTATAATCGCCAATTGCCGATGGTCGAAAGCTGGAATCCATCGCAAGGTCTTCCATATTGGACGTAGCTAGACACACTAGTACTTCCTAGTCGGTCGATTCTGCCAATCAGTGCCCTCGATAGAATTCTGAAGTCGGGGCTACTGGATTAGGTTTTCTGAGCATCAGTTGTCAAGGGTTGTTTGAGAAGCTCCGCGGGCACAGTAGCGTAGTTTGCGCTATCAGGTTAGATTATGATTCTATTCAGAACGATGTGTGTAGATCTCACGCCGTTTTACTTTGGATACTAAATCTACTCATCGCCTCTCCCATGCTGAAAGCTGTCTCTATCCGCTGTCCGAAAAAGTATGAGCAACGCCATGCACCGGTATCATGGTACCTAACCACCTCTGATCAACCACCCATCTCCACCGAGATACCAAGTCTACTCCTCCTCCTCCTCCTCATCACCACCAACCTTCTCCTCCCTCCACCACAACCACGTAACCGTAATCCCAGCCTTCAGGCCCACAGCCGTCCACAGCGCGCCCTGCAATCCGACCTCACTCTTCGCCCAGAAACCCCCCATAACGACCCCGACCACAAGCGCCAACACAGCGCCCAGGCGCCTCCACTCATCGGGATTCCCAGCAACAGACGACGCCCCCAACACCGGCGCCGAGAACAGATCACAGTAAATACTGGTCAAGACGACAGAAGTCAACGCAGAGAACTGCAGCACGCGACTCGCGACCGCCTGCCCGCTACCCTGGAACGCGACGAGCGCCAACGGCACGGCGGTAGTCCAGCCCAGCCCTGCGCCCCTGGGCGGACGATACACGCCAGTGATGACGGCGGCGACGGCGATGCAGAGCGTCTGGAGGGCGAAGGAGAGGGCCAGGGCGCCGCGCACCCGCGGCCCGCCGAAGAGGTGCCGGTGGAGGCACGCGAAGAAGAAACTGCCGCCGCAGAAACTGGTGATTGAGATCAGCGCTTTCAGCGATCGGTCGCCGCTGGCTTGGTCCACGCCTGCGAGGAGCCCCAGCCCTGCGTACACGGTGTTGCCGGTTTGCATGGAGACGAATGAGCCCCAGATGAAGACTGCTGATGAGTCTAGTAGTCCTGTGATTATGTAGCAGATTAGAAGAATTAGGTCGGTGTAGCGGCGTGATACGGGTTGGTGGAGGTGGGTTTTGAGCTGCGTGAGGCGCCAAGGGGTGGTTGTTGTTGAGGCACCCGTAGGGGCGTTGCGGTTGCGACCGAGGAGTGAGTCCCGTTCGTGTGCTGGGAATTGGTGGTATGGCATGTTGGAGCGCGCCATTGGGTGGTGTGCTTGTTGTCGCTGGTTGTTGTGTTACTGGGTGGCACGACGACAGACGCGAGGGTGCTGAGGCCTGATGTTGGTTCTGGTCGCTGCTGCTGCTGCTGCTGCGCGCGGGTTGGAATTTGTAGGAGGGATAGTATTTCACAACAAGCTTCCCCGGACGAGATGGGAACTAGGGGTTCCTGGATTGGGCTCAACACCTGCTCCGCGCGTCATTGACGTCGAACGAATCCAATGACGTGTGTTCTTGGCCCTGTAGGGCTGTAGATGCTAGATTGAGCTTGACTTGCTGCGCGTTAACCGGTTCAAGAGCATGATGGCTTGCCGAACGATCCGACAAGTAAACGAAACTCGGGGCGCCCCACCTCCCAAGGGGCTGCAGCTCAGAATATAACACAATCCTGGTCACTGCGAGCACTACTCTGACCGAACGGTAATAACGTCTACGCTTCTTAAAAGGCAGAGCGCAACGGCTAATTACATAATCAAATGACAGAGTGACCATCCGATAGGAAGACAAGGTTGGGTTACTGGCACAACACAAATCCATGCATGCTCTGGAAAGGAAAATGGGGGCAGTAGTATACATGTGCCTAACAAAACCTATAATATATACAGTTCTGTGAATCTACTAAAGTACTTGGATGCACAGATGCTACTTCACCACTCAGTTGGAGAACAGCCGTTCGAACCAGCTCATCTCTTCCCGACGCTTCTTCTCCTTTGCATTGCGCACGGCGGCCCACACAATTCCTGTGAGATAGCCACCGATGTGAGCCCAGTGGTCTAGAGTCGGGGCACGGAATGAGACCGCCAGACGAACAACTTCAGCTCCGACAATGCAGGATAGAATAACCCATCCACGGGCCGATACCACTTTTTGCCAGTCTTCGGGAAGGAGGTAGAAGGTGAGGTTGTCGCTGCAAAGCCCAGTATGATTAGAATTGTGAACCACCACAAAAGTGGAGTTGAATACGTACTTTGCATGGAGTATACACCAGCCTGCAACTATTCCGGAGATCGCTCCACTGGCTCCGAGAGCAGTGACAGTCCACTGGCCCAGAAGAACATGCGCAGTCAGAGAAAGAAAAGAACCGATGATACCAGATGCCATGTACAAGCTCAGGAATTCGCCCCGGCCGACTTCGTCATGTACTAAAGAGAAGTTGGAAATCAGTTCCCTGGGGTGAGAAGCGGAAGAGTCTGGTACACTCACGTCTAGTTCCAACAAACCAAAGCATGACCATGTTGACACCCAGATGCACAGGCTTTTGATGACTGAAGACATTGCCAACGAGGCTCAAGGGGCGAGGGTAGGCGGCCACACTGATGAAGTAGCGGTTAAGCAGTCTCCAGGCTGGAGGCCACGCCCGCCACAGAACGAATACTCCAACATTAATACCAACAATACCCATCATGGTTGCGGCTGCGCGAGGAGTATCGGGCCATAGCCGATCTGCTCTAGCAGGGGGTTCGTAGTATGCAGCGAAGGCATAGCAGAGACCCAGGGCGACCAGAGTAATCACGAGCGAAGGGATAATTCGGTGACTCTAATCAGAATTCATTAGACCAGACCCACAGTATAGACCCCAGAAAGGAAAGATTAGGTTTTCACACAAGCATGGTGAACATACCGTCGTGACTTTGCTTATGTCAATATCGTTATCAGTGGCACGAAGATGGTGCTTCTGAACCCAAGCAAGAAAAGGGCGTTCCTTGGGGTCTGCACGCTCCCGGACTATACAGCAGTCGAACGTTAGCAACCAATTCTCTCCCTTAACAACGACAGTTTCCTTACGTTCCAAAGCGGAGGTATCTTCGAACTTCTGCAGGGCAGTGTTCCGCTCCACTTGGCGCTTTATCTTCTCCTGATCCGCCGCCGCACCCTCTAACCATTCTTTCCGTTTGCTTTCTTCTTCCGCCAAGATCCTCGCTTCGTTGTGCTTGCGCATTTCTTTGAGAATACTCTTTCCGGAGACATCGTTATCCTCACCCAACTCCGCTTGGTATTGGCCGCTCTGGGGCTTGTAGAGACCTAATTCCTCGGCCTGCTTGATGAGCTTCTGTTCCTGTTCCAGCTCCTCCCGTTCGATACGGGCAAGGATTGCTGCATCCTCGTCCATAGGGTAGTGTTCGCGGAGGTAGTTCAGGGCTGCGTCGAGGCTGTGCCGGCGCACCGAGCGAGTAATATCAGCGGGGAGATCGAGGTCAAGAGTGCCATTCAGTCGTCTGCCATGAAGCACGGCAAGAACTCGGTTTCCCATGGACGGAGGGATCTTCGCACGGGCACCGAAGATGGAGTTGATTTCGGCGGGAGAGAACGCTGCGGGACGAGGCTTGACTCCATGGTCCACGGGAGGAGGCTTGCTGGCGCGGAGGAGCGAGGAAGTCTGGAATGAACGAGCGGGAGCCGAAGAGAAGATGCGCTGGAATCGACTGTTGGTGTTTCGAAAGGCATTATGCAGAGAGCCGAAGGAGCGAGTCGGAAAGCTGCTTCTATGACATGTAACCGGAGGTAGCGGAGAAGTGAGATAATTGGCGATGGGGAGCGCCTTCGGGCTGACGGAGGGGAACAAGCTCGAGGCACGTAGCCCCGGGCATGGAGCGCGCCATGCTATACCCAAGACATTGCTCATAGCAAGCGACAGTGATCAAAGACCGTGCTACAACAATGGCGGTGTTGTGAAGAGGCTTACCACTCGACAAGTATGAATTCTAAGGGAGGTGGGATCGGTCGATTTTCTCCGGCCGCCGGAAGTTGTTCCGAAGGAGAGATCTTGGGCTGTGTTTGGCTGAGCAGATGGAGACTACAGATTCACCAGTGTGAAAGCTAACGACTTCTCCTACATTCCGAGATTGGCTTTTACGGGGAAGGTCTGCTTATTTTCTAATTCTATACTATGCTAAATGGGCGATAGCAAACAGAACAGCACCTCCCCTATACTGTACGCTCACACGGTATCGCACTATCGTCACGTGGTGATAAACAACCATCATTGTCAGTCGAGTCGCAACAGAATAAACCAAAACGGAGAGGAGAACAACTGACTGCATAACAGACCACAAGTGTCTTTGTGACATCGAGCCTCGTATCCTATATCCATAGTGCTCGCATAATTCGGCTCACGGACCATAACGCCTTTCACAATGTCCGACGAATCTCTTCCGATCTCCCCACTTGCCTTCGCCGAAGCCATCAAAGAGCTTCCCCTCCCCGTCCTCTACGCCAAGGTCTCTGAGATCCGAAACTCGATCGCTCACCTACATCGCTCGAACGCAGAACTACAGAGCTTCATCGACGAGTCATGCGAGAGTGATACCGAAAAGCGAGAGCTGGAGAGCTATATCACCGAAAACAAAGATGTGGTCACTGCTATGATGGAGAGGGTCACGCTACTCAAGGCGGAGGTCGAGAGCCGCGGACAACAGTGGATCGAGCTGGATGAGAAAAATAACGAGGACAAGGAGACAAATGGAGATTCCCATGAGATAAATGGGGATACACCGCCTGCTGCGCATCAAGGTCAAACAACGGCTGCCTCGAGGGGAGAGAATGCTTCCAGGAATACGCAAAATGCGGGAGAAGAGGGAGAAGAGGAGGGAGTTTATCTATGAAGCGCTGGCTTTGCAGCTTGCATAGTGACATATGATCTTTCAGATTCATTGTGTTTCATGATGGGACGAGTTCTCGAGGGTAGTTGTGCCATAGATTTGTATACCCAGGGCATAATCATATTCAACGCAGTAATGCTTTCCAGCCGAGTCATGTGCGCTTTTCTCGCTGACTATAAAGAATCAGCCCCAATTTCAGATTTAGGAGGGGCGCCGGTTTATTTCATTGTTACTGAGATTGAAGGCAATGATGCCTGGGAGATGTCTAATATACACTGTCTACTCTTTGATCATTCCAGATATAGCACCCAAGCCAGACACACGCGCGGGGATAGCTCTGATGCAAACACAGCAAACCTCGATTCTCGGGTGTCAGCGATGCGGCAACTAACGGCTACGATCACGTGGTGGTGGAGCAAGCGGCGTCATAGGCACGGACGGGAACACTCTCTAGCTTCCATCCCGCGGGTTCGATCCGCTTCAGTTCCCAGAGTGTCGGAGTACTGTACATATCAGCCTTCCGAGTTTGTACATACAGTCCTTTTTTTTGGGTAAATGGCAGGACGCGCCCCTGCACGTCGCTCGACGCGGCGTATTCAAAGTGGCCAGAACCAGAACCACGAATCGAATGATGATCAACAAATACCGCACGTCTACCGGGAAATGCTGGCTGAGGCGGAGGCGCGAGAACCTCAGGCCATCGACCATGATCGCTTACCAAAGAAACGCAAAGTCGCGCAACAAACCCATACACCACGCCCACAAGTAGTACATCAAGAAGCTTCGGCTTTACGTACAGATGATGAGTCGAATGGCCAACAAGTGCAGACCGTGTATGACTCGCCCACGTCATCATCCGAGGAATCGGATATGGAATGGGAAGACATCGACCTGCAGCCTACAGTACCAGAAGCGTCGTCAGATGACTCGTCTATCCAAATTACTTTGGATCGACCCGAAGATAGCGGCCAGCATAAGAGAGGACCTAAGCGCCAGCCGATCACTGCCGCAGAGAAGCGGTTGAGACTTGATATCCACAAAGTCCATCTCCTTTGCCTCTTGCGGCATGTACAAATTCGTAATCGATGGTGCAATGATGATGAGCTCCAGGTGCGTTTGAAGCTTTTACTCTTGGCTGCCATGTTCGCACGCAAGAATAGCTTATAATGGCTCTCCAGATCTGACTTTGATGCCAGGGCGCTCTCAAGAGAATGATTTCGAAGAAGACGATATCTCTATTACATCCACCCGAGAGCAAACCAGAGCATAACAGGTCAACATCGTTTATAGACGGTCTCAACCAGGTCAGCGACGCATTCAGTAGGCGGTTCAAAGTAACAAAACCTGGCCTTAAGCGACCACATTGGGCCCAGAGTCCGGAAGCTTTGAAGCAAAGAGTGGTAATAACTGGCCTGTTCTGATGTATGATATTGCCGCGATTAACGTTGACTTTAGGAAACTATCCTCTCCGACGCCGAGGTCTTCACATCGGTAGATGACTTCAGGAAACAAGCCCTTACCCTGCAGGGATCTCGTGATTTCGGTGCCCAACTGTTCTGTGCTCTACTACGATCTGTAGCTGTAGAGGCAAGATTGGTCTGCTCTCTGCAGCCATTGCCATTTTCGGGCGTTACTAAAGAAATGACACCGAACGTCTCGACTGCAAAGATAATGATCATTGCAGCGGACAGTTCAGAGAAGTCTTCAGATGAGGCAACGCGCCCCAAGTCACGCTCTGGAGCGCAACGACTGACCCGGCCCGGCTTCAAACCATCACGGCCACCGGCCAGTCCGAGAGAGAGTAGGTCAAAGCTCCCTTGCTACTCAATGGAAAAGATGCTCACTGTCCTACCAAAGTCCCATATTCCCGGAATCAAGAGTCATCTTACCCAGTATTCTGGGTGGAAGCCTTGAATGAGGCCATCGATAAATGGATCCCCGTTGATCCGATAGTCACTAGATCACTGGCAAAATCGTTCAAATTTGAGCCACCCGCCACCGATGCAAACAATCTCATGAGCTACGTGGTTGCGTTCGAGGATGATGCATCTGTGCGAGACGTGACCCGGCGATACGCCAAGGCTTTCAATGCCAAAACACGCAAGTTCCGCGTCGAGTCGACCACTCGTAATAGAACATGGTGGGATCGCGTACTTCAGATCTATGAGAAGCCGTTTCTCGAAGACCGCGACCAGTTGGAGGTAAGTGAGCTTACCGCCAAGACCGCGGCGGAGCCTATGCCTCGAAACATCCAAGATTTCAAAGATCATCCGATTTACGCACTGGAACGACATCTCCGGCGCAGCGAGGTCGTCCACCCGAAGCGGGTGATCGGACAGGTCAGTCTCGGCAAACCCGGGTCCAAGAATCAGACTTTGGCGCCAGTGTACCGTCGATCGGACGTTCAGACTGTGCGCAGCGCAGATAAGTGGTACCGTCTGGGGCGAGACATCAAGACGGGCGAACAACCATTGAAGCGCGTCAAGGCCCGCAGACCTCAGGCTAGAGGACTACCCGAAGATGAGGATGAGAGCGATGCGGCGCCCGAAACCGCTCTCTACGCACTCTTCCAGACCCAAGTTTATGTCCCACCGCCGGTAGTTAACGGCAGAATACCGAAGAATGTTTACGGGAACCTGGACGTCTACACGCCAAGCATGATCCCAGCCGGTGGTATTCATATCGGCCACCCTGATGCTACGCATGCGGCTAAAATACTAGGAATCGACTTCGCGGCCGCCGTCACCGGTTTTACCTTCCAAGGACGCCATGGAACTGCTGTCTATACCGGTGTGGTTGTCGCGGAAGAGCACCGCGAAGCGATCATGGCAGTCATCGACGGTCTCGAGCGAGAAAGACTGCATGAAGAGCTGGAGACACGGACCGCGGAAGTGTTGAAGGCGTGGAAGCACTTGCTCTTGAGACTCCGCATTGCAGAGCGGGTTAAGGGTTACGCGATCGAGGGCGATGAAGACATGGATGAAGAGAGTGGTACTGAGCCGAATGAAGAGGCTGACGGGCCTGTGGACGACGACCTAGGGGGCGGGTTTATCCCCGAGTCGGACGCCGAGACGCCGGATGCCTCAATGGAAGGAGGCGGCTTCCTCCCCGAAGCAGACACGAAGACACCAGAACCCTCGGTGGGGGGAGGAGGCTTCATGCCAGACTCGCCGATGCAAAGTTCTATGGATCTGGATCCTGTTGCATCTGGAAGCCGTGGTGCAAACCCTTCTAGAGAGCCTCCGCAACGAAGCCCCGTGATGCGCACACATCCAGAACCAGACAAGCGACCGACCCCAGCCAGACCATCCCGCTACACCCTAGTCGTTGTGTCGAAGAACATAGCGTCCACCGAGCCCTCGACACCCGACCCCCACCCAGGCGATGCCCCTCGAACGTCAAGCCCTGCTGCAGTCGATCCGCCCGCCCAGGAACCCAGCTCCTCAAACGTACCTTCGGCTATCAACGAGCCATCGTCAGCCGGTGGTACTCCTGCAACTACCGCTCCAGACGCCGTGCAAACACATTCACAATCCCCCAAATCAGAAGCCTCTGGTCCCCCATCGCGCAGAGTGAGCGAGACATCACTGCTATCGGAGGACCCCGATGACGAAGACGCGATCCCGGAGTGGCTCATGTCGGATTAGAGGTATTTTGTATACAGAAGATTTTGGAATCTGATCACGTCGTTATGTGCATACGTATACTAACCATGCCATCAATTTCTATTTAGCCAGTGGACTCCAGTATTCAGTAATAAGGTGCGAATCGAACCGTAGTGAAAGACGAGGGGAGGTCGAAAGCCATCCTTCCCACCCCGCTCCAAATCTAACGTACTTCCCTGTCCAACCCACATAACCTAAATCGAGAAAGGAGCCAGTATCGCCTAGGACAATGAACGGATATCGAAGTGAGGGAAGTTTGAGCCACCGTGAATCCATCGCACTTAAATCAACTAACCCTGCTCAATGACACCCGTGTAGAATAACTATCGGTGATCAGACTTCATCTATCTATAGTCACAGTATGGAGACCTCATTCGGCAATCGAACCATCTAATCGTAGACACAGATCGAGATCCAGCCTGAGCTTGATTAGCTTGTGTCGATCGTCGATCGTCTTGAGGTACATTGAGGACCCGGGGAGCTGGGTGGCTGTTAGTATAAGATTGAGGGGTGCTCTTAGTTTAGACTCTTGGATCTGTAGGGTAAGGCGTCTACTTCTTCCCTCTATAACAGTATGGGACAGGGAAGCATCGAAGATATTATCAAGATCGTTTGTCTCTGATCTAGCAGATCGATCGCTACAAGTTATGGACGCAATCCACAATGGTGATAAGCAACGACACACTACGAACCAGACATCCTAAGATCATCACGACATTGACATCCATTTGTGGTGTATGAAAGGCGACCCGTCACCTTTATCCTCTAATGAACAAAACAGAAAGAAAGTACAGAGTTATAACCAAAGAAACATTTTTCATCACACATCAATTCTAAAACTTCTGACCAGCGGAAGCAGCCTTGACATCCTCGTCGGAGCTCATGATCTGGACCTTGATGGCGCCGGTCTTGGGGTTAGCGGCGGTCTCGAAGGCCTTGAGGGCATCCTCCAAGGCGAAGCGGTGGGTGACGAGCTTCTGGAGGTTGATGATGCCGTTGCGGACGAGGCGGATGGCGCGGGGCCAGGTGTTGCAGTAGCGGTACTGGTACTGGAGGTCGATCTCCTGGGTGCTGAGGCGCATGAAGGGGATGGTCATCTCGTTCTTGCCGACGCCGATGACGAAGACCTTGCCGCCGAACTTGACGCTCCAGATGGCGGAGGCGACGCTGCTCTCGACGCCGGTGCACTCGAGCGCGATGCGCGGCCGCAGCGCCATCGGGCTCGCCGCCTGCGCCGCGTCGCCGTCGTTGAACGTCAGCACGATGCCCTCCGCGTTCTCCTCGGCCGACTTGCCCATCTGCACCTTGTACGTGCGCACCCCCGGCACCAGCGACTGCGCGAACTGCAGCCGGCTCTCGTCGATGTCCGTGATCACGATGGGCGTGGCGCCCGCGGCGTGCGCACTCAGCAACGTGATCAGCCCGATGGGGCCCGCGCCCGTGATCAGGCACGGGTCGCCGAGCCGCAGGCCGCTGCGCTCGATCGCCGCCAGCGACACGCTGAGCGGCTCCAGCAGCGCTCCGTCCTCGTAGCTCATCTCGTCGCCGATCTTGTGGCACCAGATCGCTGGGTGGTTGACGTAGCGCCGCAGCAGCCCGTCCACCGGCGGCGTGGACAGGAACTGGACGCGCTCGCATCCGTTGTACCGGCCCGTCAGGCACGGCTCGCACGCATTGCAGATGATGTTGGGCTCGATCGCCACCCGGTCACCGGGCTTCAGGGAGGTGACGTCCGGTGCGACGGCGACGACCTGTCCCGCGGATTCGTGGCCGAGGATGTGGTCGCCCGTCACGATCATCGGGCCGATGCAGCCTGCGTGCCAGAAGTGCACGTCGGATCTGGGAATTGCCGGCAATGGGTTAGTCGATTTGCACCGTTGACGGTAACTTCAGGAGGCAGTGACAACGTACCCGCAAATTCCGGTGCTGCGGACCTGGATCGTGACCTCCCCAGGCTGCAGGCCTGCTCCGCTCTTGACATCCTCCAGCGATGGCTTGGATTCCGCAACCCACAAATCATGGTTGGTGTTGGTGTAAACACCGATGTTGGGCTTCTCGAGCGCTGTCACAGTTGCGGTGGCCATGGTGTACTGAAGACAAGACGATGGACTATAAGGAGGAGACGAAGGAAAGGAGAGGTAGAGAAGAGGGAGGAGGGAGAGGGAAGTAAGAGAGAGAGAGATACGTGGGGTAGGATTGATGGCAAAGGAGCGACGAAGGAAGCTTTAATACGAAAGGGTCAGGAGGGCTTGAGCCCCTCCATGATCAGCACATGAACTGGGATTATGTGGAGAGATAGAGATACTCTCCTCGTAGAGAATGAGGAAGATCTCCTTCTGGGTTGCCACCAATTGCCTTACTCCAGTTCCAATTTACCCGGTGGCCCCGCCAGGCGGGGTTCTTGCCGACTATACTTACAACTTACAACATAGTCTTACACTCTGAGTCTCGGACTGGACTGCACTATACTTCAATCTCAAGTCACAAGGTCAAGCATCAATCCCCCGATTGTCTCAGCCCAATCTAAGCCTTGGTTGATTGCATGCACTGGCTCGGTTAATTGGGTGCTGGACCAGGGGCTGTCTGTCTGCGCAGCCTATCTCAGGTCGCGAATGGAGCAGAATTGATTACACACACCGCAGTCACCAGCACTCTAGAGGCATTCTAGAAGTCGGTGGCTTTTGCAGCGAGAAAGCAGAGAGTTGGTGGAAGTGTGGGGTTGCTGACTATTCGGTCTCCACTGCTGCAAAACGGTAATTCTCCGGTGGCACATCACCATCCATAGAAATATTATGCCCCAAGTATTAAAAACCACAGCTCACATGACAAACCAAGATGCTGGAGAATGCTGGAATAATTGCCGAGTGGTTACTCCAACAGATTCCAATCCGTGAATTCTATCCTGTCGATATCTTGTCAATATCGGACAAATCTAAGGTAACTCTCCGCTAGTATACAGAACGAGCAATATACCATGCGCAACGAACCAGGGCCAAAAGAATCTATCCATCTACGATAACCCGATTCATCAAAGTCGCAGAATCCCACCATCCCGATCAATACCCCCGCGGAAATGGTCTGCAATCACCCTGCCTCCCAGGATAGTCTCCTCGACCACGCCCTGCACATGCTTGGGTTCAATGCGCCCATACCAGATCCCCTTACCGGCCAGCGGATGGGACGTTGAGGACGACGCGTCTCGCCCGGCCGTCATGCCAGGAGGAATATAGACGATAACGTTCCCGGCGTACTTGTGCCCTCCAATGTGGCTGATCAGCCCGACATGCGCGTGGTCGGGACTGTCCACCACATCGCCGTTGCGGCCAGTGGACGCGAACCCTCTTTCGCGCAGCATACGTTGAAATTCTGCTTCCAGGACGGGCGCCATCACGCCGCAGCGCATGTCGCGGCCGCCGTGCCCGCAGATCAGGACAACGGGCGAGTGCCGCAGGTCGACGGCGTCCGGGAACTCGGCGGCCAGTTCCTGGCGGCGCGTGAGGCCGCCGTGTCGCGACTTGATCGGGAGAAGATGTGCCTGGATGAAGGTCGAGAGGTCAGGGTTCGTGGAGGATGTGCTCTGGGTTGGGACGGAGGGGAAGTATTTGAAGCTGGGGAAGAGAAAGGCGGACGCGGTTTGGGAAGCCGGTGATGAAGGCGCGAACGAGGAATTCGTGACGAGGATGTTGTTATATGGCTATTCAGCGTTCATCGGATGTTAGTAGCGTACTTGGGTGTCAGATTGAGTCCTGGGACAAGCTGATGCCCAGAGCAAATTCTTACGTCGGCAAATCGCCCCCCGCGTCCGAGTAGACCCTTCAACCCTCGGACGAGCTCCCCCCAGTTCTGTCCCTTCCCGTCATCCTCGATACGACTCGTCCAGTCCCTCTGGCCGGTGCACACCAGCAGTTGCTGCGCGTACGCCGCCATGGTGCCATTGAGGGCCTGCTCGTGGTCGATGGGTGCGGGCAGATCGGGCGTGGGAGGACATGAGCAGCCGGGCTCCGGGCATGACTTGGTCACAGGGAACGGCGGAGGGATTTCAAGGGGGATTCGCGCGTGTCGTAAATTTAATGCAGTGGACGAAAAATGGCGAGCGCTCGATGCGAGTGGCGGGCTGTGCTTGAAGGCGAATTTGGGGAATCGGCAGCTCAAGGCCGCAAGAGCGGTTATTTGTCGTGACCTTGCCATGTCCGCGGAGCCCACGTTGTGGTGACAATGCGAAAGTTCTCGAACTAGCAGCGAAGTGTAAGTTTTGACGACGCGCTATGAGAGTCTTAGGTCCTGTGAGTATGACGAAACTCCAATCAATTTATTGTCGCATAGCGTCAGAAACTCGTTCGGGGTATTCGGAGACCTCGGAGATAACAATTTATGATGAATAATCCGGTAATCATGGGTGGGTTTTGCCTCGCTCTTATCTTATCGGTTCATTGACCAGTTACCTTGGGTATTAGGTATTGAGGAACTATGTATTGATCTCATGAAAAGGTGGTAGGTCAGATTCACCTATTTCAGACCTGTGATACTATGATACAAGGATGAGCTCAGGAACAGAGTAAAAGAAATGCAGAGTCTATTGTACAGGCTCGAGTGACCTAATGCTATATATGGCAAATAAACACAAACCAGCTGATATTATATACAAGAACTTGCTTTGACTTCGACGTCGTTTGGCAGGATCACGCCAGGCATCTGCCGATGATCGAATGCTGAATCAGACATTCAGCTTCGTGAACGCTTCTCGAACTTTATTTGGAATAAAAGGCATGCACAGATCTAACCCATGATGCTGTCCCAAAGTCTCCGACCCCATCCATCCTTGGGGTTCGAGGTTTCCCAGTTGGTGAACTGCGGTCTACCAGTATCAAGGTCCGCCTCAAGAGGGGGGACAAACGACGTGCGGTAGAATATCTTGTGTGCGAGGTACAGGACAACGAAGAGAACCGGGCAAACATAGGCAACCCAGAAATCGGAAATGTTGAAGTGGGGAATCCAAGCGGTGAATCCCTGGGTGAAAATGATGAGAATGTTGAAGAAAAGACCGTACCACGCGAGGTAGGGCTGACCCCAGGATCTGTAGGGCAGCGTTTCGCGGGATACATCACGAGCATCCATTGCCTTCATGAAGGCGATGTGACTGGCGTTAATAGATGTCCAGCAAATGAAACCAGCCACACTGGAAATGTTGACCAGCCAGTTGAAGACAGTAGTTCCGGAGCTCGACACGTTCATGAATCCCAGAAGTCCGAAGAGGGCAGTGAAGGTAACGCTGATATATGGCACGCCACGCTTGGTGACCCAGCCAAAGTAGGAAGGCGCGAAACCCTCTTGAGCCAGACCAAGAAGAACACGGCTACCACTGTAAACATTGGAATTGGCAGCAGAGAGAACGACCGTCAGAAGCACCGCGTTGATCAGACTGGGAAGAACCTTGACTCCTGCCAGGTTGGCCGCAATAACCATGGGAGAAGCGGATGCATTACCGGCGTCGCTGGCGAGGTTGGGGTTGTCATAAGGCACCAATAGACCGATGAAGAAAATGGTCAAAACGAAGAAGATCAAAATGCGGATGAACGTCTTGCGGATTGCGGAGGGGACGGTCTTCTGAGGGTTCTCGGTCTCACCAGCAGCAACACCGACAAGCTCGGTGCCCTGGTAAGAGAAACCAGCCTGGATGAGTACCGCCCAGAAACCCACGAATTTTCCAACCGCCAGATCGGAAGTTATCAGGTAGGGGGCAAACGCGCCAGGGCTATGCCAATACTTGAAACCCAGGTAGCCTTGTTGCCCCACACCGGCGTCAATGCAGATAGCGAAGATCATGAATCCCAACACAGTCAACACCTTGGTCAGAGAGAACCAGAATTCAAGCTCGCCGTAAAATCCGACAGGGAGGTAATTAAGGGCCGAGATAACAACCCAGAAAACGCCGATAAAGATGGCGATGTTCAGATCCTCGTTCCAGAACTTGATGATCATACCGGTGGCAGTCAGTTCGACAGCGTATGTTGACGCCCAGTTGAACCAATATATCCAGCCCATTGCGAAACCCAAGCTCGGATCGACAAGGCGAGCGGCGTAGGTGGTAAAAGCACCAGTAACGGGAATGTAGGTCGCCATTTCTCCCAAAGAGCACATGACGGAGTACACGATCGAACCGACGAAGGCGTAGGCGATAAGGGCACCAGCCGGACCAGCCTCTGCCAGTGCTGTTCCACTGCTGATGAAAAGACCAGTTCCGATTGTTCCTCCTACACGCCGGTTAGTTCGGTAAAAGATCTGTAGCAAGATCGGGGAACCTCACCGATGGCAATCATTTGCAGATGGCGGTTCTTCAGGTTACGCTTGAGCTTTCCCTCCTCCTCATGATCACTCTCAATATCCTTGACATTGTCCTGTGCCGATCCAAAACGGCGTCGCGACCGCAGCCCGCTGTTGCTGTCGGAAGAGTTGGGGTCATCAACAACACTCTCCACGCCCATCTTAGCGGGCGAAATGTCGTCCTGTTCGCCCATCTTGGCGGAAGAATTGACAGACAGGTCCCGGGAGCAGAATGGCTACCGTATCCCAATAGGTAACGTGCCAACGACTTCTACCAGAAAGCTTGGTTGCAGAAAGTGTGCGGCGTCACAGTGACAGACAGAGGTAAACGTCAGAAAAACGGGGGAAGCAGTTGGTTAAGGGACAGATCTGGCTCTAGGTAGAATTTTATCCATTTTTCATTATCAAACGGAATCCGGGATGGGTGCTGCTGCCACTCGGAACGAGGGCGCATCTTGCAGTCATTGGATCGGCTTTTCGTCATGTTCCATCGGTGGGAAAGGCGGGAAAGAAAAAAAAGAGAGAAATTGCCCCACTCGCCCGGCGGACTGGAGCTGACTATTATGTAAAGCGCTAGGAGGGGGGCGACTGTCAGTTTCACTTTCACAGTTTGGGTTCTGATAAGGATGGTGATGGTTCGTCTCGGAGCTGATCGGCCGGTTGTACTCGTTCATGGTTCTGCTCCTTGTTCGAGGAGACACAAGTAATTTTGGACATAGATATAGAATATATAGTTGATCAAGCATCGGAGTTCGTGTTATCGATTGAAATCACGTGAATCTGGGCGAACGAGACCATCACGTGCTTGCCACCTCTCTTTTTCTTGAATTCTTCCCCCCGGCGGGCTCCGGTCAATTTGCGCCGGCCGGCGCTAGAAGTATGGATGGAATCAGCAGAACATTATAGACCGTGGTATCAGTCCGCTGTATGGCGCATGTCTGATGTCTTACTCATGTAATCTCAAGTTCTCAATCAGAAGTGCGGGTCCATCACTACCGGTAAGTTCGGTACGTTAGGGCCAATCCCTCGCCCTGCGTTCAGGGCGCCATGGCGGCTTTTGCGTGCTGCTTCCATAAGAACGGCGAATCGCCCACCTGGCACGCAATTGAGGGCCCGTAAAAAAAATTCAATGACATAAGCTACTCTGTCTCTGGCTTTCGACGGGCTTGAGAATTCATTTCTTCTGGGATTAATTGAGCAATGCCCTGATTCCAGCCCGCAAGGACAGTCTGGTTGAGCACAATGTGGGTGAAAACTCCGGATAAAAGCCCGTGAGAGTTTCTGTTAGCCGATTGGAACACCAATCATTATGTCAAGCAGCCGAGTTGTTATCAGCTTCCCTCCCCGGACTGCAAACCATGCAAACCCCAACAGTCATCACCACGTGACCTGTCTGTACATCACTTGAGTCATACACCGCCCATCTATAACTTGTAGCCGGGCTGTGTATACACTGAGGTATTGCTTGCTACAGCTCAATTCACCTCCAGAAAAGCTCATCATCATGTCCGGCGCCTTTCGAATGACCGCCGCGCGCTGCGGCTCTGCTACCCGCCAGCTTCTCCAGCAACATGGCTCTCCAACCCTCCCTCCGACTTCCCCCTTCGCCCCGCGGCACCTCCTCTCCATCGCCGACCTGACGCCGACCGAGTTCGCGACCCTCGTCCGCAACGCCTCGGCCCACAAGCGCGCCATCAAGTCCGGCTCGATCCCGCAGAACCTCCTGGGCGCGCTGACAGGCAAGACGGTGGCGATGATGTTCAGCAAGCGGAGCACGCGGACGCGGATCTCGACCGAGGGCGCGGTGGTGCAGATGGGCGGGCACCCGATGTTCCTGGGCAAGGACGACATCCAGCTGGGGGTCAACGAGTCGCTGTACGACACGGCGGTGGTGGTGTCGTCGATGGTGTCGTGCATCGTGGCGCGCGTGGGCCCGCACGCCGACGTCGCCAACCTGGCCCAGCACTCCTCCGTGCCCGTCATCAACGCCCTGTGCGACTCCTTCCACCCGCTGCAGGCCATCGCCGACTTCCAAACCATCCACGAGACCTTCACGCCCAAGGCCCACCACCTCTCCAGCCTCGGCCTCGAGGGCCTGAAGATCGCCTGGGTCGGCGACGCCAACAACGTCCTCTTCGACATGGCCATCAGCGCCGCCAAGATGGGCGTCGACATCGCGGTTGCCACGCCCAAGGGCTACGAGATCCCCGCCTCTATGCTCGAGCTCATCCAGCAGGCTGGCCAAGGCGTCAAGGCCCCCGGCAAGCTGCTGCAGACTAACGTCCCCGAGGAGGCCGTCAAGGGCGCCGATGTGCTGGTCACGGATACTTGGGTGTCGATGGGTCAGGAGGCCGAGGCCCGCAAGCGCATGCAGGACTTCGAGGGCTTCCAGATTACCCCCGAGCTGGCCAAGAGGGGCGGTGCCAATGAGGGCTGGAAGTTCATGCACTGCTTGCCCCGTCATCCTGAGGAGGTCAGCGATGAGGTCTTTTACAGCACGCGCTCGTTGGTCTTCCCCGAGGCCGAGAACCGGCTGTGGGCTGCCATCTCCGCTCTGGAAGGGTTCGTCGTCAACAAGGGCAAGATTGAGTGAAAATGGGACTCGGCTGTGTACTTCATTTAAAAAGCTATGTGGTTTTCGTTTCCAGCGTGTATGAGCAATGACTTCTGGCAACATTGCTCATTATATTGAATCCGAAAGTATTTGTTGGCCATGCAGGATGGTATCATCACTCAGTGATCTTTAAAGAGATATACAAAGTAGATGCATAAAGCCTTACTAGAGAGGCCTGGTCTTCATCTATAATCCAGCACCAGTCGACCTTGACTCACTGACCTTGGCTTTCCTTTTTCATCCGCGCCTGCCAGCCGTCAACATTACTCCGACGAATCCCCAATGTCCTTCGCATCGTCGTTGGTGCCTGATTCTGGACCATCGACATTGAGGTTGTGTGGAACGTGCTCACAGGCCGAGACAGCTGCGAAGGATTGGATACGTCCTGATTCTGAATGGTTGTTGCCGATGAAAACTGAATGGAAGTCTCACTGCCTGGTTGAGCAGTGAGCGTGGGCATTCGTGCTTGCTCGGTAGGCTTCCAAGTTTCGGCCAGCCATGTGTATCCATTCGGGTTTGAAGGCTCGAGAACCGGGCGAGATGGCTGAAGCCGCTGCACTTGCGGTCGATGCATGGTGTATGGTCTCGCGATCGTCCCTTTCACCGCGGACATTGTCGGTCTCTTCTGCATCGAAGACACAAGCGGTAACCTCGTCTGCTCTGGCTGGGTATTCGGGCTGAAATCGACATCCTTAGGAGCTGTCAAGGTGGGCTTTCCAAAGAAGCCGGAGATTGTCTTCTGGCCATCGGGTTTACGGCAGGAACCACCACCGACAGCCTTCCTTTTAGCTCCAGGTTTTGTAGCTGCTGCTTCCTCGGCTTGCAAGTTGTTTGCTGCGATGTAATCTCGTGCTGTTGAGAATCCCAGAGACGGGATAGGTAGCATAGGGGCTCGGAACCTTAGTTCTCTATCGGCTGGTTGAGTTTCGTCAAACCGTTGTCTTTTTGAATGAGGCCCCTCCATTCCTCTTCCGTCACCATACTGAAGTGAGTGGTCAAGCCTTTCGTATCCGTCCTCCGTCCATCGGTCATCAAAAAGCGAACAAAGTGTGCTTTGAGCTTCCAGTATCGCTACTGCATCGGGTTTAGGTCGACGCAGAATATTTGCAATGTCATAGACAACATCGTCACTGAAAACAGGCCCAGCGAAGCGGAACCTATTACCAACTACTTCGGCAGGAAGGAAGTTTGACAGGATTGTCACCTCTCCTTGGGACTGTTCCTGGGGGTGGCTAAGGTAAAGAAGTGCTTGTGCTCGAGTCATCGCTACGTAAAGCAGTCTTCTTTCTTCGTCGGAGTCTTCGGCACGTGAGTGAGGAATGCTGCCGTTGTACACAGCAGGAACAAAGACAACCGGCCACTCAAGCCCCTTTGCCGCATGTATTGTCGAGATCGTGACTTTTTCATTTGAGGAATTTGCCTCCGAGCCTTCTTGTGGTGTCACTTCAGTAGACAGTGCCACGTTCGCCAGGAAGCGCGACAATGCTTCTTCCCCAGGGTGGGCTTGTTGCTGCTCGAGACCTTCTATTAGAGGAAGGCTTTCAGTATCATTGTTCTTGGTGTCAAATCCGGGCGTATCATCAGCCTGGCTCAACAGCTCCTCCACATTGGCCCATCTGTTCTCCTCATTGGATCCATGCAAGGACTTAAGGTATTCTCGAAAACCGAGCTTCTTGATCACGTGGTCAAGAAGCATTCGTGGCGATGAATTGTCAGAGGTGTCACTCAGTTTTCTCCTTGCAGATTCGATTATCCCGACTAACATGCAAAGACCCTGATTCGCGAGTTTCGAAAGAGTGCAATCGGGTGACCGGTGACCTTGAGCTACACCCTTGATGTAGTCCCAGAGCGGCAATTTTGCTTTCTCAGCCCCGGCGGTTAGCGCCTTGATTGTCTCTTCTCCAATTCTTCTTGAAGGGGTGTTGATAATTCGTAGCAAAGCCTCACTGTTTTGAGGGTGGCTAATGACCCGGAGATAGTCTAGAAGCAGCTTGATCTCGATGCGGTCAAAGAACCTTGAGCCTCCAACCATCCGATACGGGATACCGCTTCTACCCATCGCTGACTCAATACGGCGTGAAAGAGCCGCCGATCTGAGCAACACGGCAAAGTCGGAGTAGTTCAATAGTTTTCCTGTTGTCCCGATACACCTCTTGATCTCCAGTACGATCCACCGAGCCTCAGCTTCAGCGTCTGGCAGTTTGCGCAGCACAGGCATGGTTCCCACACTGTGTGTAGGTTGCAGCTTCTTCGCTGGTCTGGAGGTATCTTGCTCAATAACATCTTGGGCAGAGCTCAAAATCGAGCCAGACGAACGGTAGTTGTTCTCCAGTAGAACCACCGATGTATCTCGGTACAACTGTTGCATACGTGCCAGATTCTTGATCTCTGCGGATCGAAACCCGTAGATACTCTGATCCGGGTCGCCGACAATAGTGATGCGTCTGTTCTGAGATGCGAAGTGATTCATGAGCTCATACTGAATGTAATTTGTATCCTGGAACTCGTCCACCAGCACGGCTTGGATGTTTGAAACACATTTCGGATGTTGTCTCAGTAAATCTGCGCATCGCACGAGTAGGTCGTCATAGTCTAGCAGATTAGACTCCGCAAGGTGTCTCTCGTACTCGCGATAGACGTGGACGAGATCCAACTGCTCTACGTTCTTGGCCTTTGCCTGAAGCCTCGCTGCAAGCTCTTCTGGACCGATACCCTGGGCTTTTTGGCGAGATATCCGTCCTCTGGCGGCCCCAGGCTCAATACTGACCCGCAGTCGCTTGATGATTTTCTGTCGAAAACCCATGTCAATATAGCCTCATTTCCAGGCGGCAAGAGGGGCATCAAAAGTAAGGCACCACGCACTTTGATGATTGACACGGTATCACCCGAGTCCGCGATCCCAAATCCCTTCTTCAACCCGATCAAATGCCCATATATCACCAGATACCGCCGACAAATCGAATGGAAGGTCCCTAGAAGCAACCTTTTCTGTAACTCCTCGCCGATCAGCTTGGTCAGTCGCTCCCTCATCTCCCGACTAGCCTTGATGGTGAATGTGCAACAGATGACATCTTGAGGGCGGTAATTATAATGGGCGAGAAGATACGCGACGCGCGCCGTCAGTGTCTTTGTCTTTCCCGAGCCCGGCGGCGCAAGGACTTGCAAAATTGACGCCGGAGATGTCACGGCGGTGGCTTGCGAAGAATTGAGACCATTTAGAATACATTCCATTGCTGATATCCCACAGGTCTCTCGTCCATTGATGACGCTGGATTTTCGATGAGACGTTGTTGTTTTCTGGTGACGCGAAGACGGCGCGCTGTCATGTGATGAACACAGCTCCGAAATTGAAGTCACGTGAATAGCCACGGTCGTCCATCATAGTTCCTCTCATCTCGCATAACTTTGTTTTCAAGTCAGGTTTTGGATTTCACTATGCGATTCATTAGCATTGAAGTATCTTGTCGGGAAGCATCGAACTTAGCTCCACGCTGAAGCAAGGCAAGCACTGTCTTCTGGTGCTCTTGAATATTGCATTCATCACCGTCAGTCAATCTTATTCCATTATATGCTTACAGAGTTGATTGGCGGCGCTCCTGTCCCTCGAGTGAGGGGGCTAAAGTGACTTCTGGTCTTCATAATGAGGAGGGACCAAGCTTGGCGCTGCAACTAGAGACACCATGTATTCCTCGGCTATAACTCGGTAATTTGTGAATAATGACTACTGAACCACAACCTTGGTTATCTGATTAGATCATCAGATTAGATCCCCTGAGAGATTGGCAGTTGGGAAAAGGAAAACATTGCCAGTTTTTCTCCGGGGGTCAATCTTCCATGAAGCCGAACTTTCTCAAACAGTTTTCCTGTCCTCGTCTTTGACTAATAATAACCACACTTGCCAAGTTCTTCAGCAGTGAGCACGGTGGCTGCCTTCATTTCCGCCCGGCCTGGAATTGACAGGCAGGAAACAAGGCAAGCTTCGTATTTAACCATTGCGTCTGGCCAGTGATGTTGCGCGCATCCAGCCACCGCTGATTTGTGCATTGTTGCGGTATTTTAGCATAAGGTCTGAGCTCTACGGCTTCCCCGGGACTCTGGTACCCGCGTTGGTGAGATTCTCGATGCGAGAAGCGTGACTTCTCCGGAATTTCTCCCACTCACTTCAGTGATATCTCCCTCATCATGCCAGCGGAAAGCTGGAGTGGAGAAGGGCTTCAGGTTTGATGACTCGTTCCTAGTCTTTTCAAAAGTTACAAGAATACTTCCGAGTTCTGCAAGAACGATCCCACTTCGGAACACCTGCGAAGGTTCCGAGTTCGCTTTTTCAGCTTGGACCAGAAGATAACCTCCGAGGTATAGAGACCCAAGTCCACTCGGCAGAGTAACCAAGACAGGCAGAATCGGGTGTTACCGTCAGCAGAGTAATGATCCTTGCATCTGAGGTCCTCTGGGAAAGATCAGAAAGTTTGCCATCTGGCCTACAGTTGCACCTAATTGACCCACGTTTCGTCACGCATAAATGACCGGTGCAGTTGCATTGCATATGAGACAGCCATTCAGCATATACAACGTCCCCCTTGTCTTATAGAGTAAGGTCGTCAATAGCCCGGGTATGTCGTCCGCGTGCAAGACCCATGATTACTCAAGCTGTTTGGGACACAGGTTACTTGAGCTTGTATAAGGACAAGGCCGGTTTGGGAATTTAGTGGCTCAGAAGATGTATAGACGACATTCGCAAGCATGAAGGTGTGCTCTGACACAACCCTTTTCAAACGAGTCGAGTCAGAAGAAGACACTTTCGATGCTGAGAAGTATACTGTAGCCTTACGGACATTACCCGTCATGACGTGACAATATCGTCGCTGTATCAATCGTTATCTGATCCGGTAATTTACTTACCAGGGGTTCCATACCGCAGTGACAAGGAGGGGTAAGCCATGGGCCCGGGAGGGGCAGTCTTTTATCTTTTATTTTGAACGTTTTTTTTTCAATCGCCAGTCGCTTGTTATCTCCGACAATGTTCTGGTACCTTCAGGAGCTTCGGGGGACTCGAACAATGCTGGGGTGGGGTTAGATCAAGTTCTGGGTGTTCTTGAAGTGCTTTCTGCAAGCTGCAATCTACAGAATTCACACCTCCTCCCTTCTGCGACGGAGTACCAGACTAGTACAGCTTACCCACGCGGGGCAGTAACTGGAAGACGCAATTTGGCTGGGTCTGGTTCAGACAAATGTGGATAAGTTGACTCGGTTTAATATGAACTCTGTCCAATTGGGGTGCGGCCGCCCATTCCGCAGCCAAGAATCAAGTCCAGTCCATAGATCCATACAGACTGAGCATTCGTAGCGCCCCATTGGATTGATAAGTCAAGCGGATTTGGCGACCCATTTGAGACAAATGATGAAATTCTGCCCCTCCCCGGGCCTGACCGGGTAGATTTTTTTAATCTGATAAGATCCCAGGACCCGGCGGCTGCCTTGCGCCTGCCTCCTGTCAGTTTTCTCATCCCCTCCCTTAAAAATGGCTACTGTACGGCGTCTTCAGCAGACTTTGTCTCACTTCCAGCCGGCTCAGCCGGCTCAGCAGCTCTCGATTGTGCAGGGCCCAACAGACCCAGACCTGCTCGACATCACATTAGGTGAATTGCTGACGCTTCAGAGTCTGCACTATGGAGACTACGAATGTCTCGTCTTCCCCTGGACGGGAGCCCGCTGGACCTATGCAAACCTAAACGACGAGGCCGACCGACTGGCTCGGGGCCTGTTGGCCATGGGGATCCAGAAGGGCGACCGCATTGGTATCATGGCCGGTAACTGCGAGCAGTACATCGCCGTCTTCTTTGCTGCGGCGCGCGTGGGAGCCATTCTGGTAGTCTTGAACAACACTTATACCCCTTCTGAACTCTACTATGCCCTTGATCATACCGGTCCGTGCCTCTTCGCCTCTATATTTGACATTTGTTTCAGCTCAGCAACAATGACTAACTCATGCGGGTCCATTCTTCAGACGTCCGCGTCCTGTTCATGACACCCCGCATTGGGCGTCACTCCCTGGAAGAGGTGCTGGAGAAGATGGGCCCTAGACCAAAGCAAGCCAGTAACTCGGCCGCACTAGAGGAGATAGTCATTCTGCGGGGAGAGTATCAGACATTCAGCACATACAGCAACGTGATTCAGCGGGGTTCTTCCCTACCCAGTTCTGCGTTGCCAAATCGAGAAATGGAATTGAGTCCGGCGGATGTGTGCAATCTTCAATTTACCAGTGGCTCGACTGGAAACCCCAAGGCCGCCATGTTGACGCATCAGTAAGTGTCAATTGCATATTCTTTTCGATATAAAGTCCTATCCACGCTCAGACGCGGGATTAGCAGCACTCCGACTAACTAACGATGCCTAATACAGTAACCTGGTGAACAACTCGCGCTTCATCGGTGACCGCATGGACCTGACCTCTTTCGACATCCTCTGCTGCCCCCCGCCGCTCTTTCACTGCTTCGGCTTGGTGCTTGGTATGCTGGCAGTTGTTACCCATGGATCTAAGATTGTCTTCCCTAGCGAAACATTCGACCCTAAGGCCGTTCTCCACGCCATCTCCGACGAGAAATGTACCGCTTTGCATGGTGTGCCTACCATGTTCGAGGCTATTCTGAGCCTGCCCAAGCCCCCTAACTTCGACACCCGCAACCTCCGCACCGGCATTATCGCTGGAGCACCTGTACCTCGTCCCTTGATGAAGCGGCTCTTTGAAGAGCTAAACATGACACAATACACCAGCAGCTACGGTAAGCATTCATTGGTAGAAAAGGGGCTTGCATATCGGCTAATGCATCTTGTGCCAAACTCAGGTCTCACCGAAGCGTCTCCTACGTGCTTCAACGCGCTCACCACAGATACCATCGAGACTCGTCTGAGGACAGTAGGGAAGGTCATGCCCCACGCAAGGGCAAAGATCATCAATGCAGAGGGCAACATCGTTCCTGTCGGCCAGCGCGGCGAGCTCTGTATTGCCGGGTATCAATTGACCAAGGGCTATTGGAACAACCCGGAGAAGACTGCTGAAACCCTGACCACTGATGCAGAGGGTGTAACGTGGTTGAAGACGGGCGACGAGGCCATCTTCACTCCGGAGGGTTATTGCACCATCACCGGACGATTCAAGGACATTATCATTCGCGGTACGTGACGAACCTCCTTGCTGGCATGGATACTTCCAAGGCCGCCATTCGAACCATATTTCCGTCCACCATCACTAACGCGTGGCTTATTCTACAAACAGGCGGAGAAAACATCTACCCGTTGGAAATTGAGGAGCGCCTAGCAGCTCACCCCGCCATTGAGATCGCCTCTGTCATTGGCGTGCCAGACCGTAAATATGGCGAGGTAGTGGGCGCATTCATTGCCATCGCCCCAGGCCACGAGAACAAGCGACCCTCCGTCGAAGATCTGCGCAACTGGACCCGAGAAACCCTAGGATGGCACAAAGCACCGCAGCATGTATTTGTTTTCGGAGAGGAAGGTATTGACCGCACCGTCCCTGTAACGGGGAGCGGCAAGGTCCGCAAGGTCGACTTGCGGAAGATTGCCATACAAGTGTTGGAAAAGCGAGGGGAAGCTGCAGCTTGATTCCCCTGAAGTGATAGAATTTTTGTTTATCTGTTTAGAGAATGATAATACCCTCCCTCTTTTGCGCACACTTGAGCATTGCGAGTAGCCATGAATTGTAAGTATCATGCTAAATGACGTCCATCGTCCAATTCCTCAAATCCATCCACGTCCCGAAGCGAACTCCGTCTTCACCGTCACCTTCGGAACCCAAACGGATAAGACGTGGTGTCACACGCCCACCGTGCACCTAACTAATATTTAGTAGGTAAGCAAGCACCCATGTAAGTCCCGGTCCCAGTACCAGGGTAAGGTCAAACCCATGTCCGATCTGATTAGATGATATGATCATCTAATCTGATTGGATAACACGTCCGTGGTTTTTTAGGCTGCGAAAAAAAAAACAAGTACTAGTAGGGATCCACTTCTCGGCAGCCTCGCACGGCAGAATATTCACATTCACGATTATTACTTAGTGACTTGAAGAAGTTCCAACTCTCGTAATCGAGATTCCTTTCTCGACACCTTTCTTGCCCATTACACATAATGTAGGCTCTCCGGTCTTATCTTGGGGTATCATCAGCATAGACTACATTCCATCCCCAGGTCAGCGGGAAAAGAAAATAACTCGGCACAGCGGATAAAAGAACACCGCTTCGATTACTCCAAGATGAAGTGGGGAAATTGGTGAAGGAGAGGGAGTGGCTGGGGCGGACGGGATTCTGCGAATATTCCTGTCTTGTCGTCTCTTGTTCGTGGCTTTTGTGCTGGTTGGATGAGCTGGGTTGTTGTGGGTTGAATTCAGAACTTGAAGTGGGTGGTCGTGTTTGGGGATTACCTTACTAGGGCTTCTGGTTTTAGTTCGGAGTGGGGTTGTTTGGTCGTTTTTCTTTTTGTGCTGTATTACTGCAGTTTGTATTACTGTTATGTATCGGTTTTGTGCTAAGCTGTAATACGGTCTGGATCATTGGTGTTTGGCTTGAAATACGGTATCGGTATCATTGTCTTGTTGTGTTGTTGTGAGGTACGGTGTCCGATTGCGGAGGTTGATCGGGGAGTTTGTTGCTTGAGTTTATGATTGCTTGGGTAAGACTATACAGCGGTGGTGGCTTTTTTGGTTAGGGTGCTTTAGTTTATTGCGAGTATCAATTATTGAGTTGGGTGCTGAGGCCGCGGAAGGTATATTTTTGATTATACAGGATTTCGGCATCGGATGGACCACCCGACTAAAAGGAAATGTGTTTGGAGTATTTCAGGCGCTGTGTATGATCATTGTCTGAAATTGAAACAGCAGTCTATGTCATTGAGAAAATCCAAGCTATAATACATACAACGGTCCACAAGCAGCGCGAGAACAGGAAATTACTCCATGCCCTGCTTGCAAACTCAAGCCCTCAGCTGAAGCCCAGGACACAGATCAACATCCCAATCCTACAAGTACAGCGTGCAATCTCGCATGCGCCTAGAATCTGACCACCTGGCCAGGCACAAGATCCACAACAGACGTCTTACTCCCCACAACAACCTCAGCAGCGACGCGCTGCTGCACCGCCTCGATCCCAATCGCCTGGTCTCTAGCCCATCCCACCCGAACGTCACCAGCAGGGGTATATAGAGTGCCATCAGCTTGCTCAACTAGCGCACGGTGCGGCTCGATACGAACCCGCGCGAACCCCGGGCGGGCGGGCGTCACGCCGAAGACCTGCGTGACGATCTCGTTGAGGGGGGAGGCGCTCCAGCCGTGGCAGTCGCTTCGGGCGTTGACATCGTCCTCTGCCCAGGTGGTCAGTTTATTGGCCATCATGGACCGCCACGGGGCAAGGAGACGGGGGAAGACGTCCGCGTAGACGCCTGCTTTCTCCGCGGCCCGGAAGACGTAGAATTTTCATCGCGTAGGAGCACTGCGGCAGGGACTCGTCCTGAATACTCCGTCGCATCAGCGCGGTGGCGTCTGCGCCGGTGAATGTTTCGGAGAGGATGGCGAAGATCTGCGTGTGCTGGCTGTACTCTTCCACCCCCGGACCGTCCATGACGAGCCCGTCCCTGCCTCTGCAGGCTGCGTTCACGGCGTCGCGGATCGACTGGGCGCGGACTCGGTACTCGGTTGCTGTGTCGGTTCGGTTGGCGAAGTCGCAGATCTCGGCTGCGTGCTGCGGCGTCATGGCGTAGAACAGGCTTTTGATGGTTGCGGCGCCGCGAGAGTGGTAGGCCGGGGATATGCAGGACTTAAAGATTTGGCCTGGCACAAACCACTCTTTGACCCAGTGGACGAAGAGCCATATGTTCGCCTCGAACTGGCCGATCACTCCGCGGCGGTCGAGCCGCTGCTCGAAATAGTTCAGGATGCTGTCGGCCGTGCCCAGGTAGCTCCGCACGAGCGTCTTGTCGGCAAAGTACCGCATATGGTCGTAGGCCATCAGGATGAAGTAGAGGGAGAACTGCGGGACTTGCTTCAGTGGGAGCCCTGTGGGATATTGTGCGATCACGAGCCCTTCGGGCGTGCGGCTGGCGCGGAACTCCTCCATTGCCTTGCGGGCTAAGCGGTCATCGGGGGAGAGCTGGTAGTTGAAGAGCATTTGAAGTCGCGAGTCAGACGCGAATTGGCTCTGCTCGTAGAATGGGCAGTCTTCGAAGGTCTCGTGCCGGCAATTCTTGAGCGTGTAAAGGCTTATGTCCCAGATCCTGGTGAGTTCATCACCCACTTGTACCTTTAGTCTGGATGTCCACTGGGTATGAAGTTTCGCGCAGGGATATCCGATTCAGCACCATGGGCTGATCGGCCGTGACGATCTCCAACTGCACAAGCGAAGACAACGGAACCAAAATGGCTCGAAGGTATGCGTCTCTTGACCAGCCGTGAAGGTATAATAATCCCGTGAACCGGCCCCTCCACTGAACGACAGATTGACGAAAGCAGTCATGAGGCTCTCCACGCTCAAGTCAACCTTCAGGGTCTCACAAGCGGGTACACTAACAGGGTGACACCTCGAAACAGCGACTCCTATTCACCCACGGTAACTGCGCCAGACGACCTGGCTACTCCATCGAAACCACCATGGGTTCTCAGGCAGGGGAGGAATGGGACGAGAACTCAGCCGCCAATGGCTCATAATCGGCATCATCTTGACCGAGTTGGACTGCAGGATTGCAAAGTCCCACACGGAGTCATCGTATTCCACCTCCTGCCAGCCACGATACTCGAGTAGCGCAGGACCCTCGCGCTGATGACGTTCGTACCCTCGACGAGGTACGGGAGAATGTCCACGGTCTCATAATACCACTTCGCGCGATGGGACTTGCAGGGCCCGAAGCTGACTCTCTGCCCTTTGACGAACAGGCGATATCGACTGTCGGCGGAAATATGCACCAGAGATTCCCCCTCGCCCGCGACAGCTCGAGACCATTCGAATGTTTTACGGAAGAGAAAGTATCGGCCCGGTTGATTGTCCTCCTCGAGGTAGTGCGGGACCCAGATCCAGGGCGCCGACTGGGTCCAGTTTGTACTTGTGATTGCCGTGGCGTGTTTATGTGTACTTGACAGCAATGGCTTGCTGTGGGTGAAGGTTCGTTATGCGAGGAGAGACAGGTAAATGGAAGTGTCAAGCAAGGATGGGAGATTTAAAGGCAGCTCGGATGTCCCGCTCGGTCGACCATTGCCCCGGGAAGTATTCCCTCCTTCTCTCCCCGCATTCGGCTATTCCGGCTTTGATGGTGACTGGTGACTGTCAACTCGCGGGGCAACGCGGGGCATTCACTAAGCATTTAACAGGTACTGGTCAATGTCCATGCGGTGCATTCTATGTGAAGCTTAATAGTACATAATGAAGATGCGCTAAATCCAATCCAATCGTACAACCCGCCGCAATCCATTCTATACAAATCCAGACATACTATCCTCTAGATAAAGCCCCTAAATGGATCGCCACTCGTATTTCTCGTAGTCCTCTCGTACCGGCTCTCCTTCCGGGGCTTCAGTTGGGTCAGCGCGTGTAGTCTTCGCTTCGAAATCACGGCTCGGCGCCCAGGCGGCTTTCCAGACCCTGGGATAGCTCATGCTGCTATTCGACTTGAGCGTGCCGAAGCGGAAGTCTACATCGCCTTCCTTGTCCCCAGAAGGCAGACGAAGATAGTGGCGCACAAGGCTAGGGATCTCTTTTGCCACATGGCTGATCATTATGAGGGCCTGCTGATCAGAGAGGCCACGGAAGCGGGATTCGGGGCCAGCACCCGATTCAAGAAATGCATGACATTTGTCACGCAGGGTGGAGGACATGCCGGAGAAAGCTTCATCGAGGATGACGATGTCGGGTCGGTGAACCAGGGCGCGCAGGAAAAGAACAAGCCTCTGGAGGTCGACAGACAGGTCGCCGAACTTGATAGAGTCGGCATATTCAACCTCCCCGCCAGGATTTTCATAGAATTTGTAATAATTGAAGCGCCTGAAGTACGGTAGCATGCTGCGAGCCTCGTAGCTAATTTGTTCTATCCGATCTTTGTAGGGCGTTGTTTTGCTCGGGTTGAGCTCAGGCCGAAAGTACTGTAGGAAGGCATCCACGTCGAGATCGGCCTCATAGTTCAATTTGGGTCGAGCCAAAAAAGTCTCAGCAAAGGCAGATTCAAGGGCTTGACGAATAGTGAGCTGGCGGGGAAAGAAGGCGTGAATTTCAGGCGAGGAGTGGCCGACGCGACGTTGAAGTTCGAAAATGGACACACCCGGCTTGCCAGCTTCAGGAAGACGTGAGCGGCCAAAGAGCCGAACGGGGAGCGCATAGGTCTGAGGATGATCCGAGGTGATGAGTGAGAGCAATGTTGTCTTTCCCGATCCATTGGCGCCAAGGACAGCCCAGCGCTGGCCACGACGAACCGTCCAGTGCAGACCCTCTTCTGAGTTACCGTTCACAGGTTGTGACCAGTCACCCAAAACGACCTTGTCTCCGTATTGCACTCGGACACCGTCCATTTCTATTAAGGGTTCACCCCCGCGGGGTGGATCCAGGTCTCGAGGTAGTGTCCGCCAAGTGTTTGGTTTCCAGGTCGGTAAGAGCTCTCGCATGAAATCTCGGGTCAAGGGCGGTTCTTTGAACCCCGAAATCCGCGTCAAGCCATCCAGGACTTCCTTATCCTGCCATGCTTCGATGTCAACCATTTCAGCGACGCGGAATGGTTTGCCGTACATGAAAGCTTCGCAACCAGGAACTAGGCGAGGTAGTAAGTCCCGGCGACCCTGGTAGAAAATCCCTTTGCGGTCGCCGAAAACCACTACATGGCTGATCCATTTTGGTATAGGGTCCTGTGGGCGCAACGCGATAATCAACCGGGGTTCCGACTTGGCGGCGAGGCGGCGGAGGAGGTCCGAGATGCTTCGTTCGGCGACGGGATCGAGGCCCACTGGAAGGTGTGGTCCATGAGTAACGCGCCAGCTGGCTAGGCAGCAGGGGAACAGGGGCAAGGCTTACTGAAAGCATCGTCAAGAAGCAGCAGTTCGGGCTTGCTAAGCAGGGCGTGCGCGATTCGGGTTCGTCTCATCTGGCCATTACTCAGGTTGGCGACGGGCATGTCCAGCAGTCCGTCCAGCCGTAGATCCGTGATGACTTGCGCTAGCAACGTCTCATCATGAAGAGTACCATCCTGGTCCTCCGCGAGCGGGTTCAAGGATGTCTGACCGCGGAGATACTGCCGCACCGTCCAGTCCGTCTCCTCGCGCAAACTCTCATACCGAGCACTGAGATAGGCGCCTCGTGTGCCGCCAATCGCCCCAGAACCTTCCCCGCTGAACCCCACGTATCGGATGGCGTTCTTCACAAACCGGGCGCGAGGGTTGTTTTTCGCGACTTCGTCGGTGAGCAGGTACGGATAACTGCGGGCGTTGGGCGGTACGCAGATATGCTTGCCGCCGAGGACGTCCAGCAGGTGGGTTTTATCGGGAGGCCCAATCACAGCCCATGTCTGAGCTGTATTTCCGTCATTCTCGTCGGGTTTCGATGGCAGGGTGAAATTGAAATCGCGCACCAGCGGCGGGTTTTTTGTCGTTCCTTCCTCCGCGAGGTCTTCGGCGGTGGGATAATTCTGGTAGAAAGTGCCGGATTGGATGTGGATCAGCGGCGGAGAGAGAGAGGATACAGAGCGAATCGGACGTGAGAGCGTTACTGACCGAAAAGGCCTTATTCTGCAAGCCAGCCGGAGCATGACGGTGCACAAATCGGAAAAACAAGATTAGAATTGAGGATTGAGTCTCGATTTGGCCGCATGGTTGCGTTACTATGCCGATCCGCCGATTGCGGGAAGGGAAACTATTCAGCCCACGTGACTCATCACGTGGAGCAAATGACATATTTGCCTCAGGCTTCAACGCAGGGTGCTCCCATAGCCAACACCGCCGAATACCTCCATGGCCGAATTTGGCCATTGCGATGAGGTGCAGTATCGTCGTGCAATTTGGAACATCGAGCTAGCCGATGTGGCGTTTTTTCTAGAAATTTTCAACCCGCAGCAGGGATCGCGCTGCCCTGGTGGAATATGGATAGATCGTATCTATTCATACCAAAGAAAAAGAAAATATATATAATATACATATATACATCGAATATAACCAAGAAAATGGGCAAAAAGAAAAAGTATAGCCAACCGGGACTAGCGCCGTCGTTCCCCACCTTGGACATTCTTCCAGGATCCGGCATAATGGTGAGAGACAAGGTACGGACCCTGGTCCTGGGGATGACCGCCCTGCAATGCTGCATATGCCGCCTGCGGCAAGACCAGCACATCGCCGAGCAGCCTAGGCTCATGCAAGCCGGTGATATTGGCACGATCCACGGTCTGCCCCAGCGTGTGCGATAAGCTCCGGAGCAGAGCCACGGTAATGGCCTGCGGGCCACTCGCATCCACGACATCGGGAATCATATCCATCGTCACCCCGGAGAGAGACACATTGTGCGAATGCGCAATCCCTTCCATCTGGTGCATCACGTACTCAATCGCCGCCTCGAAGTGGTCCAATCCAGGTTTGGCCATCAGCGTCCAGCTGGCGAACTGCCACCCGTCGAACTCCAGGCCAACCACGACATTGACCCGCTCCTTCGTGAGGAGGCTCCCGTCGCCCAGTACGAGATCCTTGGGGATCCATTCCTCGATGGGCACCTCGCAGGTCACATCGAGGTCACTCCAAACGCCTCCGTCGGCGTACAGAATTAGCAAGCGGAGGAGATCGGCGCGGATGATGGGAACCTGAATCTGCTGGTAAAGATCCGCAACCTCAGGCCAGTTCTTGCGGAAGGTCTCTTCAACGTAGGCGAGCGCGCTGTCGTCGGACAGGATTTCGTGGCGAAGGGCCGGGTTGAGGGCATGCCAGGATTGGATATAGGTTTGGAGATCGGGGGAGATGCCCTTAGGTCCGGACTTTTGCCAGAGCTTCAGAGGAAATGCGGTAGGAGTTGGAGTTGGGGTTGCGGTTGCTGCCGAGATCGGGAGTGTCGTCCAGGTGGGTTGAACTGCGGTGGTAGGCTCGGGGGTCGGAGTGGGCGTAGGCGACAAGAACGCTTGTTGCTGCTGTTCCTGTTGTTGTTGTTGCTGCTGCTGCTGCTGCTGCTGCTGGGCTGGGGTGGTATTGATCGCGAAGGTACTGGTTACAGTAGGCTGGTGGAGCACGCGGTGGAAGAGGTAGAAGTTGAGGAGGAGAAGCGTAGAGAGGACGAGAGTGACCGGGCGGCTGAGTGAGAGGATCATTATGATAGATTATTGCGATCGTGATAGGCAGATGTTATATAGCGGATAGGTTCATTCCTTTCCAAAGTGTTCAATTCGTAGCAGCAGCTCAGATAGAGAGTAGTTTATCGGATGCTGGAGTGTGACGGTTGTGCGCAATAGTGGTAGAGCGATAGTGGTGTCATAGAGATAAGTGGTAAAGACTGACTTCAACAGACATTGAATTGATGGACAAATGGACAAAAGAGAATAGCGAGCGAAAAAGCCAAAAAAAAAAAGTGGAATTAATGAGCTAAAGGAGAATTACGAGATGCTAGGTGGGGTGCATTCACAGAGGCATCGGATCAAGAGGGACGAAGGAGAAGGGTAAATGGAGGGAGGAGTGACCACGAGAGAGATGGACGAGCGTCGTTGACGATAGTCTGGGTAATATGTCTTTCATTTGAAGATGACTGCATGTAAGATTAATGGATCAACCCAGGGTTCGACTGGGGCGAAGAGCCTGATATTATCGTCCTCCTTTTAATCTACAGAATTTGGATTTCCCTCCTCCATTTCCTGATCGGGGCAGGCCCTTAGGCCTGGGCGCATTGTGAGCCAGATGAGTGGAAAAGCAGTTGCGGGCTAGTTCGTTCGAAGTCGGCAAGATTTGCTTTCTCGATGGGCCTGTCTTACCTGTTGTGGTGCTCAGGGTGGATCCTCAATGGGTCTTCGTCAATTGCTCGAGCCGATGGACTGGGCCTTTTCCAAGTTCCGTTCCATTGAACGGGTACGAGAATCTCGAGAATTGAAGTCATTGAGATGGAAAGGGTGTGTCTCCCCAGCTGGAGTCAAGTAGGGAACCAGGGTCTGGTCAGTGAGTTCAGATATGATCAGATCACAGCGGGGAGGGGCCGAGTTCAATCTCTGACATGCTAAGCCTTGTTGGATGGAGCAATTGACGGGTTTGACTGACCCTTTCTGCCGGGGCCTGCCGGCCAGACAACTTTCCGGCCTGAGGCTAGACTAGTGGCGCTAGGCTAAGAAGGGTCTGATCCGAGCCTGTCCGGTCCGGATATCGACTCGGGTTCTGATTTGTGGGTGGTAAGTTATAGGCTAGTCAGCTCTTCTGCCGGACCCGTGGGTTCAACAAATCCGACCTCGTATTTATCCGACCTTCTGAGTGATTGCTGGTCGTTGAGCGAAACGCCCGTGGATAAATGGGTTAGTCGGTCTTACTTCTCGAATAGTCCCTAGCTAATTATCTAACTAAGTGCTTGTAAGTCCATCCCCTGGCGGTCTAGACAATCCTTGCAGAGCGACTAATCGACTAACTAATGCCTATTTTTAGTCACCGGGAACCCGAAGCGAGAATGGGCTGTGCGGAGGCTAGGTGGACTACGACATCACACGCACTTTGCACTTAGTACTTCGTACTTTTGGTAGCTTTGAACAGAACCATTAGGCTGAGAAATATCTAGAGGACACAAATTATCGTGGACATGGACCTTCAGACACAAGCAACGAGGACGGTGGGGTTGGGTGAGGGCGCACATGGCCGCCATGCAAACAACTCAAACATAAATGTCAGAAGATAGGCCCCCACGCACCTGGACTCCAATTATACACAATTATCGTTAAATATTCACAAATGCCGAAGGAAGCAGAAAGGCTAAATTAGACTAGAAAGGGCCGTGCGTAGTCCTTGGGGCCGAAACAACGGCGAGTTGCGACATCTCAGAACCGCCCCCAACACCTCGGCCCGGGCTGACGAGGAATAGGGCTGTTTGAAGATGGGACGGTGAGCGTTGCCCGAAACTGAGTTCGAATCAATAGAGTACTAGGTCTGCACGCGCTTGACAGTCTAGTAATTGTGGCCGTGATAGGTTGACGCCCGGTGATGGTACATGCTCCCAGCATATTCGGAATCGGCATCGGCATAGATCGTCTGCCGGCGATCCTCGTCCGGAAGAAGCTCCTTGACCTCCCAGGTGTTTGGCTTGATCCCCACAGAGAATTCAAGATCCTCTTTCGTGATGTAATCCCAGAACTGGACACGAGCGCATTAGTGGTATACTTCCACAAAGATCGTCAGCGTGTGCTTACCTTGTAAACCATCATGACCGCTAACAGGTTGCAAAGCGTCGCGAAAAAAAGTCCATCCATGTAATGCTGTACATTATCGCAGATCGCATCACTGAACGCATAAAGAAGAACCTGGCCACAGATGAAAACCACAAGACCGAAGGAGATATGACCCAAGGGCCAGCGGTCTTCGAGGGTGTTAAGAACGAGAAGAAGTTGCATAACCAGGTATATCACAATGAAGACGGCGTTCACGATATACAGCACAACAAACATGCCAATGGTATTAGTAGGACCGAGGCTCCCCCACGACTTGAAGGTCGCGAGGGAGACCAGGAAGGAGACCACGAACATGGCCGCGGAACTCAGTCGCACGAGCCACACAGAGAGCGTGGTGCCATCTTCGTACAGCTGAAATCCCACAAAGCCGTTGATGAGCAGCGAGGTACAGAGTGCCGAGGCCAAGCCATTCTGCACCGCAGTGAAGTAAGGGAAAGAGCTACTTCCTGGAGGTGTCACGCCGGCGTCGAGGATCAAAGAACACATGGTCAAGAGCAGGTAGATGTAAAAGAAGGTCAGAATTTCCTTGCGGCCTGCAATACCATGACAGTTGTTAGTACGTCGCAGGGCGCGGAGAAACAAATATACCACGAAGACGGCGAACTCATACCAACAGCAGTGAACTTTGACCGTATGTGTAAGATCATGATCACCGTCATCGCGAGCGCGATGATATGGATGAAAGAGGCGGCCCCCTCGAAAATGATGGTATTGGCCAGTTCGATGTTGCGCGCATAGCAATTGGGGATAATGCCAGTTGAGCCGGATATTGATGATGGAGGGCCCACCAAGGAGCACAAGGGCAACGGGGCCTTCTCACAGATCGAATCGAAGTTGCCGAACCCCATCTTGTTCCCGAGGATTTTTCTGAACAGGATACGACAACGGCTATCTGACTTGCGATCGTCTGGGGAGAGGGGTCCCTGCGAGGTAAAATAAGATGGGCGGATCCGGTCTCCACAACAACAGGTGACAAAGAGTAAAGGTCGCACTGCTCCTGTTACCAGGCAGTGACTGGGAGATGTCACGCAACTATCAAAGAAGACAGTAAGAAGATACCAAAACGAGTGTGAATTGGATCGTGGAGACCCTGTCGGAACAGATGAAAGCACACACGAGGGGTTCAGGTTGGGAAGAGAAGAGCCCCGTCTGGATTGCGATGGCGCATCGATCACGGGGTTGGGTGAAAATGGATGGATAAAAAGGTGTGTTGCTATTTTAGGCATAGTGTGGGGTATCTCAGGTCATCCCACGTGATCGCGGAGAGACCCGTATTTTTGCCTGAGGTATCAGGCTTATGCCATCGTACTGGGTAACTAGCAATTAATCCGTTTCGAGTGCCTTCTTTTGTCCTTTCACACATCCCCAAGTGAAATGAACTTACTGGACATATTCTCCTCCCATAGCGCTTTCGTCTTTTGTGAACTTACTGCTTCCTTATCAATCAAACCAGGACAAGGAACAATGAACAAACGTTATCAGGTTTATTGGACTAAGCCGGTTTATGTGCTTTGTTGTACCGGTGAAAGAACAACCACGACAATGTCATTGTGGCTTGACCTGATCAAATGCCCATGGAGTCAAAAGCTCTCTCTCTCGCTACGGCAACTCCCGCGAGACGAGGACCAGTGGAAGATACTATGCGGAGATCTGCTTCCCTTCTACTGGCACCATCGAAGTTCAACCCGAAGTGGTACCTATATCCTCCTGTATACTTCGGCAGCCATGGACAAAGCGCAGGCTTCTATAAGTATTAACACTCGCAGACCCCTACTGACTTTGAAGTCAAAATATACCATATTTTATCTTACAACAGCAGATATTATCACATCGATTTACTACTACCAACGAACAATTTTACTTTTCCTTTCCGATTCCAAGCCTTGAAGTCTGAGACTTGACTATACACCAATACATACTAAACTTCTCCCCCAATTCAAAATCAAACCCACTAATCAATAACCAAATCTCAACATGTCGAACCGCAACCGCCTTTCCTTGCAGGAGCTCAGGGAGGACAAGAAGCTCCTCGATGCTGTGTGCGACGAGGACCAGTCGGCCGAACTCACACCCGAGTGGTTTGAACAGAATCTCCACAGGCAGGTGACCGAAGCGGAGCAGAGGACTATTGACTTAGATAGGGAGAATACTGTCCTCAAGCACCAGCTCAGTGCGCTGAGGAACGCGCTGGAGGAGACAGAGAAAGACATCCTCGAACATCAAAGAGAGCTAAAAAATACACGGAAAGACCTTAAAGCGAGCAAGGAGAAAAACAAAAAGAAGAAGAAGGACCTCAGGAGAGATCTCGAGAATGCTAACAAGAAATCCGCTATATGGAGGGAAAGGTCTACACTGGCAGAAAATTTGCTCAACGAGGCTAAGACCACACTTCGAGATTTCGAGAAAAAGCTACAGCATCGCAACACATCTTTCTCAACTCTACAAGATACCACCCGCAAGGCCTGCAAGAAAGCACAGGAAGAGAAAAGAGAGCTTGGACGTCAACTGAGGAATGAAAGCTACAACGCTGGGAAACTGTGTAAAGTGACCAACACCTTGGAGAGGGAGAACGAATTGCTCAAAGAGAAACTCCGCAGAGTTGTGCGGACAGCGAATGAACAGGACAAGCTGATGGGTATCTCTATGAAAGGCAAGTCAGGTTCAAACAACAATGGCAAGAAAAGAAATGACAGGAATAATCAGAGGGACCTCGAGATGGTCGATATCCTGGATGAAAAGAGCCAGAGCAAAGCCTTGGCAGGGTTTGGCAAGAGATTGTCGTCCTTTTCCAAATACGCAAGCTCATTCGCGGGGTTCGAAAGTCAGGATGCTAATCTGCACAATGAGCTTGACATGCAGGACTTCCATTCTGACTCCGACATCAATACTAACACGGGTTTCGGAGGGAAGTGGTGGGTTGACAAGCCGCCGCCGAAGAAGGAGATGCCCAAGGGCTACGTTGCCCAACTTTGGAATTCGTTCCGCGAGAATATACTCGTGGATGAGGGCGTTAGCAGCTGGCCTGCACCCAAGCCACGGGTCCCCCTCCCGGACCCGTCAACCGAGCCCAGACTGCCCGCCATAATTAACGCTCGGAAAAGGGGATATGGCAGTCTGGGCCTCGACGATGCTGCCATGGCACCCGACGCGGTAGGCGAGGTGGGGGAGGGGATCAAGCGGATGCGTATGGATGAGCTACCTTCGGGATGGCCATCCAAGGAGCCGGATAGCGGCTTCATGGCTATTACGAAGATGCTCGATGACTTGAACGTCTCGCGGGCCTATCTCGACGAGATGACTCCGGAAATGGCGCTGGAGAAGTGCCTGACGATCATCCGGGACGCATTGCAGACGAAAATGGAGCGCACCCCGACGATCGACGAGCTGCTGCAGTCTGTGGTCTGGTACTTGCAACAGTCCACCGTCGTCAACCGCGGCCCGCTAGACATCCAGCCCCAGGTCAAACCGGTCCAGCCGCCGCTGGTGCCCGAAGCCCGCGTGATCTCCATCAAGTCCCCAACCGAGCAGGCTTCCACGACCCCGACGAAGTTCCTCCCGCGCGAGAAGACGAAATTCGTCGGCCCCAGTTACCTCCCGCCCACGCACAAGCCCACGCACTTGAGACACAGCTTCCCACCCACAGCCAAGCAATGGACGAAACTGTCCCAGGACAAGGAATTCGCGGACGCAGTGGAAGTCAAGACTCAGGAGGGCCCAGAGTATGTTCTTATGCCGACGGAGACACGTGATTTCAGGAAATTTTCAGGCGCAGTCGACGACCCCAAGAAGCCGCTGCTCGGTACGGTTACTTGGAGTTGCATAAGCGCAGGGGTTTGCGTCCTTGCATATATCTGCGTTAACAACATCTTGTCGAGCTCCGGTGATACGTCATCCTGGTTGCACTCGAATGAGATCCCTCTGCAGTTCATGCGACTGGTGCGCAGCAGCCAGATTTCGCATGACCAGCTGTTGCAGCAGGTGCAATATGGTGCGGCCAAGATGGCTGATATCAACGCGAGCATGTTGGGTTGAAAGGTAAGTATGGAGTGAAATAGCGGTGCTTAACGTGAGACAGTCAGACCTTTTGAATGATTGAGTCATACTGACCCCAGCATTCGACGATCGGGAGTTATATAGGCGTAGCTCATTATCTATGTTATATGCTTATATCGACAATCAGGGTGAGTGTACCGAATGACCCCTTTCCATAACCAGACAAAACGTGCTTGCGGTTTGTGGCGTAGTTGTCGTGCAGATTTTATGCTGGGGGAGCCTGGAACAGATCTGAAGGGGCAATGTCTCGTTCAACCCACCACTTGAAGCTAAAAAAAAAAGTGTGAAAGACATGAGTAAGGATCTTGCTAACTCCGCCCCCCTAAGAAACGTCTCTTCTCATAACTACTTCTATTCATAAGATTCATAAGAAAAGTGATGTAGATAATCGCAATCGATGAATTAATCATCAAGCCTAGAGCAATTACCTTTTCCTAGCATACTCAGGCTTCAAGGTCCATTTGCCACGTCTGCTCCGTCCACCCTTCTCCAGAACAGCAATCGTATTAAGCATTTCCTTAAACTCGGCCGTCTTCTGCGGAGTCGTGCAATGATGGTTGAACTGGTCAATGAGCATCTGGGTATGGACCGAGCCGCCATGCGCCGTCAAGAAGTCCCGCAGCATGGTGATGAAATCGACCCCACTGGGCGCCCGCGACGGGGCCGGGCTATTCGTATTGCTTCGCGAGGAGGGTCTCTGCGAGGACAGATTGGCTAGGATGCTGGCCGAAGAAGGGCCTGCGCCTGCGCGTCTCGCAGTGCTGCCACCGCCGCCTCTAGCGAAGGGCGACGGTGTCTCTTCCGGCCGTCCGGCCACTCCGAACTGGCCTGTCCAGGTGGGTGTGCCGATTGGAACGGACCGCGCTGCTTCGCCCGCGCGACGCAGCTCTTCTGCTGCTTCGGCAGCGACGCGCTTCGCTTCTGCTTCGATGATCTTGGGGTCGGCGCGGACGACGCGCTTGCCGTTCAGAATTTGGTCGTGTTCCAGCGCGGAGTGCACGCCGGACCGGGCGAAGATCTTCTCCATGATGCGCGACTCTTGGTTGGCACCTGGGGCGGCGGGTTCGGATTCTCCTTGCTGCTGTTGCTGCTGCTGCTGTTGTTCTTGCTCGCCTTGGTATTCCTCTATTGATGCAACGCCTGCTGCTTTGCTGATGTCCTTCTTCTCGTCTTGGACGTCGGCCGGAGGGGCGGCGTTATTAGCAGACGGCGCTGTTGACTGGGAAGCGCCGTCCCCGTTCTTGAAGGTCATGGCTGTATCTTTGAATATCTTGCTGGTCTCCGTGGCGCCTTGGTTATCTTCGCCAAGGGAGAACAGGTCATGTAAATCGCTCATCTGGAACGTCTGTCGTTGATTGGGGTCTTTCAGAATCTTATTCGTGAGGAACTGCTTGAAGATCTGACGATGGTAGATCTTCTCCTCGATGGTTCCCGCGGTCATCAGGCGGTATATCGTAACGTCCCTCTTTTGTCCAAGTCTCCACGCTCGCTCGCGTGCCTGCATGTCCGTTGAGGGATTCCAGTCAGGATCGTATATGATGACTCGGTCCGCGCCGGTAAGATTCACGCCCAATCCTCCAACCTTTGTTGTAAGTAGGAAAACATGGAGATCGGGGTCATTGTTGAACTCATCAACCATTGTCTGCCGATGGTGAATTGGAGTTGTGCCATCCATTCGGCGGTAATTGAACCCGCCCGACAACGACCGCACAAATTTCTCTAAGATGTCTAACATGATTCGATGCTGGGCGAAAAGCAGAGTCTTGTGGCCAGTATCTTTCCATAGCTCGAGCAGTGATTTCACAACCTGCATCTTGCCCGAGCGGCTGCCGCTACCGTAGTCTTTCACAGAGGAATGAAGTTTGTGGTTTGGGAGGTCTGGATGATTGCAGATCTTGCGCAAAATGTCAACACCATAGAGAACTTGTCTGCGCTTGTTGAGGATAGCTTGCATCTCGGAAGACCCAAGGAATGCCTCATAAGCCTCTCGCTGTACTTTTGTCAGTTTGCAGAAAAGAACCTGCTCGCTCTTCTTCGGCAGGTCAGACGCTACATCGATCTTGAACCGTTGCAATAGGTATGGGCTGATAGCGTCTTTGAGAGTCTCAGCACACTTCACAGCGGTTTGGACCTGTAGATTTGAAGCGTTTGCGTAACCACCCTGGCGGATAGGGAACTCGAACTGGTTTCGAAAGTTGACCAGAGTGCCCAAGCGCATTGGGAACACAAAGTCAAATAACGACCACAGTTCTGTCAGGTTATTCTGCATGGGAGTTCCAGAGAGAATGACCCGATGAGGCGTCCGAAGCTCTTTGCAATGAATCGTGATCGAGGTGTTGGGATTGCGGATTTTGTGGCCTTCATCCAACACAGCGCAACCCCATTCGATTGGAATCACAAGGGACGCATAAGTTTGAAGGCCTGAATATGTCGTCACTAACACATGTCCTTCTTCAACCACGCGCCTGACAACTTTCCGCGCGGCTTTCAAGCCACTGGGCATTCGTCTAGAAGTGGCCGCATTCCAGGCTTGGGATAGCAAGGCGTCTTCTCTACTGCTTTCATTCCGAAGGTTGACCATTCCACTACCGGAAGAGTGCAGGATGGAGACGCGAAGAGGCGGCCACCAGCGGTGAAATTCATTCACCCACTGTTTCATGACCGTGGCTGGACACACAATGACGACAGGCTGCGTAAGCTTCTTGCTATAATGCAGACCTGCGATGAACGCAATGACCTGTATCGTCTTACCCAGGCCCATCTCATCGCCGATAATACCACCAACCTGTTGCTGCTGCAATTCCCACAGCCACTGTACTCCGGTCTTCTGGTAATCAAATAAGAGCGCATGAATATCACCCGGGATACGATATCCATTGTCATAATGCATATCCGGAACAGTCGGGTGAGGCTTGAACCACTCATCTTCTTCTTGATCTTCTTCTTGAGTCGAATCTACATGCATCTCATTGACTCCTTCTTCTGTCGGATGCTGTGCCTTCTGCGCACGCTTCCTTGCTGCACCTCTGCGGCTGACCCAGGATTGAAGTCTGTTCTGATAAACCGCCTCCTTGCCATCGTCCAAACCCGTAAGGTCTTCCACTTCGTCAGCAGACGTCTTGCTCTTCTTCCGGGACGCTGCTCGCTCTGATTGCCCCTCGATGACGAAGTCCGATTCGTCATCGACTTGTGATTCTTCATCTTCTGATGCCACATAGCTTGAGTTATCATCATCTTTCTCTGACTGGGTGCCATCAGGCGCTTCTGAACTGGAACCCAGATCCTCCTGAGCCTCGCGATCTTTCTTTGAAGGCTGCCGATGCGCCAGTTTTCGACGCTTTGCAGTTCGGGTATCGGCAGAGAGGTCTGTGCTCTCAGGACCACTAGACACATCGAAATCGAATCCCGGGCGGACGAGATTTCGGTGTGAAACAGCCGATCGCGCTTTGAAGCGCTCCAAAGCCTCTACTTCGTCATGCTCATCTTCGGCGTCAATCAGCGCATCCTGTAAGCTAGCAAGAGGACCATGGTCCGGGCCATGGCTCATGTTCATGAAAGGTGTAATCTTTCCGGTACGGATCAGATAGTCTCGACGAGATTCGTTGGGCAAACGCCCGATCCTAGAGGCTTCGCCATCGCCATCTTGCTCTCGGTTTCTATCGACGATGCGTTGCTGGATATCCACAAGGTCGTTGGCCAACGATGTGTTGCGCGACTCGAGGGTTTGAAGTTCATTTTGAGCGCGAACCCTCCCGGCTGTACCGATAGGTTGTGACAGACGCTGATGTAATTTCAATATCTGAGCCTCAACCTTCCTGGGGAGACAAGAGTAAGTGCTATCGAAAGAGGACCACATGGGGAGGGATGATCATACTGCTTCTCACGTGTTGTGCGCTCCAGCCTCTTGTTGTCTCGCTCATCAGCCTGTTCGACGAGCAATCTGTCCGCCTGGGAGTGATATCAGCAAGTGGTTTGGTCGACATCTCGTGCGGGTGAGATCCTATAGTATACCTGGCGAGCGATGTCTCTTTCAAGATCATCCTGATCACGGACATCAGCCTGCAGCTCCTTCAAGCGGCTGGCCTCGTTGGTGGCCATGGAAGGCGCAGGGTTCTGTGCAGCCGAGACATCTAGGCTGGGCGACTCTGTTGGTTCATGTTTTACAGGCTCAGTGGCATCCAAGCTATCCGCCTCGGGTTTGACGTTGGTTTCGTCATCCATGACTGGGTCAGATGCTGCGGCGTTGGGTCATATCCCTTGAGAAACGCGTTTGATGCTTGTTGCCTCTAAAGATGGCTCAGATTCAAAAGTCTCCAGTGATATAGTTTTAATCTTGGAAGTACAGACCAAAGACTCAAACTGAGATGATGATGAGACCTGGACGTGAATTGTAGAGCCACTCCCACTGGACGATGACCTAGGCGGTAATCATTTATGCCTGAGATCTCAGGTTATGTGGTTCTCCAGCTGTATGTTCGCATCAGATCACGTGCTTCTCCTTTGTGCAGTACGTCATAAACAGTCTGTGAACTCTAACATTGTAGCACAGTATTCTCTTGAATACATACAGCTTTTGGAGACCAGATAAAGTGTTGATCATATAAGAGGGAATGATGAGAGATCCAAAACTCACCAGCTACAGCAATCCGAAGAGAGAGCAAGATCGGCGGCTTTGCTGCCTGGCCTACTGGCTGGCTGCTGCCTTGTAGCTTATGGTGGAGTAGTTATGCTCGCCTAGCAACGGCTGTCCTTCGCATTAGTTCAAAGCGATACTGGAGAAACTCCTTAAATGCCCTTACAATGTATAGAATCAGTCGCTCATAAGCTTGGCACTATGCCTGGCTTGCTTTCAGTTCTTCCGTATCGCAGTCTGGTTCCATGGTCAGTAGGAAGATAATTCGGCCAAGCATCGAATGTCGAATACCTACTGTGCTAATATTACCTACAAGTTTAACTAAATTAGTGATAATAACTATGGCGGGGAACTTTACATTATCGAACGACTCCCTTCATCAGGCCTGACTACGTATAATATCTCACCCGGCGACTCACCACCGGCTCACTGAGCGAACCTACTGAACGCTTCGGGACCAGAACTGTTCCACACCCCGCTTGAGCTAATCCGATCGACGATACGCAAAATCCCTACGATGAAAGCAGCACTAGTGGTTGTCGACATGCAAGAGGACTTCTGTCCTCCCGTACGTTCTACGTCCCCCCTCCCTCCAAATCAACCCCTCAAACAACCAAGCCACAAACCTTCCCAACTAACACAACACCATGAAAACCAGAACGGCTCTCTCGCCGTCGACGGCGCGCGCCTCCTCGCACCAACCATCAACGCCCTCCTCGCACACCCAGGCTTCACCTTCCGCGTCGCCTCGCAAGACTACCATCCAGCGAACCACATCTCCTTCGCCTCGAACCACGCGGCGCCCAACAACCGGCCCTTCGACTGTACCATCACGCTCACGAACCCAGCGCCGGGCAAGCAATCGCAGACGAAACCGCAACGGCTCTGGCCCGTGCACTGCGTCGAGGGCACCCCCGGCGCGGCCTTGATCCCGGAGCTCGACGCGTCCGCGTTCGATCTCCATATCAGGAAGGGCATGGACGCCCGCGTGGAGATGTACTCGGTGTTCGCGGACGCGTTCGGCAATACCGATCTGGAGCTGAACCGGAGCTCGGTGGATCATGACCTCGGCGTCGAGCTGCGGCGGCGCGGCGTCACGGCGGTGTTCTCGGTCGGCGTTGCGGGGGATTACTGTGTGAAGTCCACGGCGATCGATGCCGCCAGGGCCGGGTTCCGGAGTTATTTTGTTGAGGATGCGACGCGGTGCGTCGATCCGACGGTGGGGTGGGAGGAGGCGAAGGAGGAGTTGCGTGAGGCGGGCGTCGTGATTGTTCGGTCGGATGGGCCTGAGATTGCGGATTTGCAGGGTTGAATGATTCTTGATATTAAGGGGAGGGGGGGGTGTGGATGTTGTGGAAGGTTGGCTGGATTTTAGCTGGCCCTGGGATGCTCGGGATGTCTTGCCAAGTAAACTGTTTGTGGAGAAGCAAACTAGTCATGTCAGTATCTGGTACATAGCCAGTCACGTAGCTACAGAACTTACTATATTCCAGGAAGGTAGTTATTTTCAAGCCTTGAAGGCATATCCCGGAAGACTATCAACCTATTTTGGTGGATGGGAGTTGGCTCTTCCAAGGTCTGATGGTTGTTACTCCTATTATTGCTTATCCTACATGCCTGATGACACTCGCTGCATGCGGATGATGATCTTTACGGGCCCTGTCTTAGCCACACCAATTTCGACCACTGCCTTTCCCTCAAGAAGCTTAGTTCTCACCGCAGGTTCTATTGTTTTCGAGATCAGAGACCTGCTGATGGGGGGTATCCAACTGGCACATCACATTTGGGTCAACGACAGGCCGACTGGACTCCTGAATGAAAACGCTTTACCACAAAGAAAGGAGGCAACAGTCTACAAATAATCTGTCCGCCTCCTTCAGGAATGGATAGCGGGGCGTCCGATCACTGACTGGCTTCGCCTACCTATATTTATCAACCGTTTGCAACTCTCCCTGAGATTATGCATTCATACTTTCCAATGATCGTCAATAGTTGCCACTTCCGGACCCGCCGCAATCCCCGTAAGGTCATACTAACGGGGAGATGATAAGGTTGACAGTGAAGTCTACGGGGTTACTCCTAAATGACTTCCCCCACCCGTCCTTCCATCCACCTGTCAGTACGATACCACTCAGTGGCTCGTCTCTATAACCTTCCCCTCGTATCCCTCTTCTAGACAAACCTCAAGATCAGCCAGGAACATTCACACCCCACCTTAACATCTCCAGGATTGAACACAATGTCATCCACGGTCGCGACATCCACACCCCTGACCAGAAGGCAATCACACCTGAACGAGAAACTCCCAGCCCTGGTAGACGCCTCACACGCGACGAGGAGGGACCTTCCACCCGAGTCATCAATTCTACCATACTGGCTCGTCAACATCCCGCCTTCCCAATGGACCGCCGAATGTCCCAACTACCTCCGTGGCATCTCCCAAAAGAACATCGACATCCTCTCGACCCCAGACCATCTGTACCAGCGCCAAAGCTGGGGCCTAGTCAAAGAGCTCGTCCGTATGTGCGTGCCGGCAACCGCCGTATTCCGAGGGCTTCCCAAGCCAAACCAGCCGCTAACCATCGACACGCTCTGATAACAATGCATAGGCACGAACAGGATCGACCGGTTCCAGCGCCTCCCCAGCGATCTGCGCCGGTATCTGGAGTACAAGGAGCGGATAGTCGCGGAGTATGGCTCGGTGATGCGCTTCGTCGTGAAGGAGCGGCTGCATTGGGGCGAGGGGTTGCAGAGTGATCTCCAAGCCCGAGGTGAACCGTTCGAATTCGATGGTTCGTTTCCTTCCCAGATTGTGGTTGCTAATTCCTTCCTCTCTGTGGACGACTGCAAAGCACATGGGTGCCCGTACTTACGAATCTCTCCTGTGCTCTAGAGGACATCCGCATCCTATACAACGACTGGCCGTACGGCCTGGAGCCAGACGTCGTGCACCTGGTCGTCTGGACCAAGTTCCCGCTGGAGGACGATCCGGTCGTGGATGATTTGACGCCGCGCGCGCGACGCGAGATCGAGGAGTTCGTGGCGCGCACGTTTTATCCGAGGGTGCCGCCGGAGCAGGTAGCGTATTCTGGTGCCCTGCGGGATATTAGTGGCATGCAGCATGGCTAATGATTGGGTTTTGCAGGTAATCTGGTTCAGGAATTGGAGGTCGCTTAAGTCGGTGCATGCCGTCGAGCATTTCCATGTCATGTTGTATCGGCCCGATGGCGCGTTTTTGGAGAAGATTACCCGCGGCGATCGGAGGCCCACGTGATCGCGGGAGTGGACTGACTGCTTGGTAGATGATGACCTTTCAGCATAGAAAGCTTGGGGACCGTTTTGTAGGTACGTGTCACAGCGACAGTTTGGTAAGAGAAGAAAGAAGAGAGGGGTTTGAATGAGTTGCACAGATTTAATGGGTTTTTACATAGAATGGCCATGTTGCTAGATGTCAAGGAATTGGATCTACGATTAACACAGCGGTTCCCTTGGACTCGTCGCCTGATAGTCTTAGTTGATCGTCACACCAGATGGATGTTGGCAAACTTGAAAAAGGGTGAAGAAATTTATTTATTTATTATTATTGTATATACCGCGATTTCATTTGACAATTCGATACACCACCATAGGTATGGTGGCTTGACGAAGCTCAGTCAGAAAACATGCAAACTCAAAGTTATTTTACAAGCTCCACTAGCACACACCATATCCAAAGTTCCAAATGATCATGGACAGGATTAGGTAGTCGAAGCTGAAATGTATGGAGAAAAATCGCCCATGGGTTGGGTTGGGCTGTCTGGCTATATGACCACCATCAATAGAAGCCAGGCACCTTACCACCCAAAGATATCGCCAACGCTGACGATGCTCCACCGGACACCAGCCACGGAGAACAAGATCAGAACAATGTCAACAACAGCCAGCACAGCTGCGCCCATCATGAAGCGGGGATTGAAGATCCGATACAGCATGAGGTGGCGCCGCAGATGGCCGGCCCACATCGTTGTTGCCAAGTTGATGGTCGCGAAATATAGGATGTAGGTGCTCGCCGCCTGAATGGTGTCGGAGAGGATTCGAATCGCAGGATTGTTTGCCTTGCTGGTCGATGTGGCTTCGTCGCTCAGCTGCAGAGGCCGCTTCCAAAGGACGGTGAGGGGGACGGCGATCGCAGTGAGGATCTGGGGGCCGAAGGTGTTGAGAATGACAAGGATCGGAGACCAGGGGTACTGCACCGAGGACAGGGGAATAAAAGCTGACTCCCACTGGATACTGCTCAACGTGGCCTGGTGGCCCGTCTTGAAGTAGTAGAAGGAGCCGAGAACACCCAGTACGATCGGTCCGATAGCCGAATTGCTTGTCACCAGGGCGTTGGTGTCAAGGATCTCGAGCAAGGATAGGATTTGCCAGAGCAATAATCCCATCGCTCCCTGGCCCATGGGCTTCTGCATAAGAATGATGCCAAGGCAGAAGTTGACGACCAGAAGGAAGTACCGCGTCCCGTAGACATTACCAAAACCCAAAATTGTGACCGTCGTTCTTCCCATAGATGAGAAAGAGGATGGCTTGGCTTTCGTTTCAGGCTCATTGTTGCCCTGGCTAACGCTGATGTTGATACATGGCTTCGAGTAGATGAAAGCCGTCGTCCCCGCAGCAAAAGCCAAGGCTAAGACAACCTGGGCCAGAAAGACCCGGCTTGACTTCAGTGTTTCCTTGCTTAAGGGCAACCACTCGCCGTCATCAGCACCCTCAAGTATCCAAAAGACAGCGACCAAGAACAGCCCCAGTCGGAACGCAGACCCGATCCAGAGAGGAGCAGCACCCTCATATGACTTTGACCCCGCATAGAAGGATTTCACAACGGTAGGGAGAACAAGCGCCAAAATCAGAGGAATGACAAGTTGCCACGGGGCGGAGGTCGAAGACGTTGCCGAGGAGTAGTACGTTGAACGACAGAATGGCATTTGCTCCTCACGACACAGGCGAGACATAGCTGCCACTCTTCCCAGGATGACAAAGAGAACAGAATGGTAGACACCCAAGACCCGGTCAGCGGTGAGCTTCTGACGCATCGAAGATACTCCGGCAAGGACACCAAAAGTTGAGAGGAAGAATAAAAGTATTTCATCTTCCCAAATAGTATAAGAATTGGAAGCGAAGCCGACTGATTGTGCAACGGTGAAGATGACAGCCAGCCAACCCCACAATGTCTTGGGAAGAGGTAGTTTTATTTGCTTAGGGACGGAGAACATCGTCCACGATGCGCTGAGAATGCTTCCTGTGGCAGCAAGCAAGACCGATACTTCAACCAGCGAACCAGCTACCACGCCGAGAAGCCCAGCCAAAGCACCAGCAGTAGCACCCAATCCAGCGCCTGGTCCAACAGCAGCAAGTAGGGCATTTGTAAGCTCTGTCTGCTCTGTTCTGAGACCTCGCGCATAGAAAACCAGCAAGACAATTGCGGCAAAGAGCACGGCGATACCCTGAGCCATGCTCCATCCGTCAAAGTTTGCCCATAGCCCGCGGCAGACTTGAAGGGTCTTCCGCTGGTATTGCTTGTATGCGTCGTACACAGGACGCAGGGTTGAAGGGTTAGATTTCCCCACCCAGGGAATATTCTGCCAGTCATTCTCGGCTGCATCCCACAACTCAATAGACTGAAGGCTATTGCCATCCTCCGCCCCGCGTACTTTTGCATACTCCTCTTGGTAGCGTTTGATCTGAGCCGAAGCCAAACGGTTCACTGTCACAAGGTTTTTCCAGTTGTTGCCATTAGGCCCAACAAATGCTTCCTCGATAGGCGAGCCAAGATTATTGAAAGGAATAGGTATTCCAAGAAGAAGTGACAGGGTAGGCACAAGATCCACCTGTGGAACGAATCGGTCGCTGGCTTGAGCGGGCGGCTTGACAGTATCTGCGCTTGTACGTCCGAACACGCCTTTCTTGGAATACATCCATAAAGCGGCATTCACCTCATCGTCCGATTCGCCGCCATGGTCGCCCTTTGCATCCATGCCGTGATCCCCCATAACTACCAAAAGCGTCTTGTCGTCCAATTTTGCAATTACATCACGAATCAGTCGGTCCATCTGTTGAAGCTTCGCCGCCATTGCTGGGTGGTTGGGTCCGTATCGGTGGCCCGCATGATCAACACCGAGATAGTGTCCGAAGACGACGTCCCACTTAGTGGAATTTGCAGGATGAAGAAGAGGGAGGAGATGCTCCGTCACACCATTATCGACAGTATGCAGGTCCCAAACATTGAATGAATCATAGGGGCGTGTCAAATTCGCATCGAAGTAGTCTGGGAAGAGCGATTGCCACGTATTATCACCCAATTGCACCAGAGTTTTTCCTGCGGCGCGAAGTTGAGCAACTATGTTATCCTCGTCAATGGCTGTCCCAGCAAAGTTTGAGCCAGCATCAACGAAAGTAGGTAGCGTCCCGGTTGTCAGTCCTTTCAGCCGCTGTAGGGTGGTTGTTGGCGGGTCTGCGATGAAAGGAAGCAAAAATGCATTTTCTGGTGTGTTCACAGCTGTCTCATAGAGGACGGGAATGTTGTTATAGAATAGAGGATCCGATCCAACATCCACAGTCGGCTTGACCGGGACTGTGAAATCATATCTCAGAGCGTCGATAATAAGAACAACAGCCTTGTCAAATGACTTCTTGTGCCAACAGCCGTCGACTTTCTTGGCACCTGTATCGGAGAAGGGGAGCACGTCGCAAGTAGACTTATTTTCCAAAACCATTCGAGTCAACAAGAAACCCTTGGTGAAAAAGAAGATCCCCACAATATGCAGAAACCTATTGGTGGAGAGGCGTGAGCGATGCATTCTCAATGAGCGTCAGGATCTTTGCATCTGTTGTTTGGTGCTTACAGAAACCACACAAGAACTCCAAGGAGGCCCAAGTGTTTCAATTTGAATTCCCCTTCCAGGCCATTCAAAAAATTTTGCGCATTGTCGGTGGATGCTTTCGGCACCGGTGTTCTGCGATCAGTGCGAGCGTCAGATCGCACCGAAGGGCTCGAGGAAGCTGCCGCTGCATTCTCTGTGCGAGAGCTCTCGCGGCCAGAGCCTGCGTCGGTTGAGGATAGCATCGCAGGATATGATGCTGAGCTATGTGGTGTGTAACAAATGTAGAGCCGAGAGAGCGGGGTTTGGCATTAGAACAGGGAGGTCAATGGCTCCTAAGCGGAAATTAGATTAGATTTTTGAGAGATTTCAGGGATTCGCAAGCTTCGTAGAGCAAAATCAACACACAGGATCTCATTGACACAAATAGGAGGTGAGTGTTGTTCCTATTTTTTTTTCCGCGATTGCGCTCCTTCCTGTCGCTTGACTCTTTCGACGAACGACCTGAGGCAATCAATACGGCGCGAACATGGTTAGCGCAGTACAATTCGAACCAGTCAAGATGATAGAGCAGCCGAGGAGAAAATCGCGCAGTGGGAGACAAGAATTAAAGCATTGGAATTCAGGGAGAGTTGAACTTATTGCGCACCCCCGTGACGTCGGGAAATCGGCGCTTTCGGCATCCCCTCTCTCCTATGATTCCGCCTTCATTGGCCGGAGCGGCTCGGAACATTCAAAGAACCCTGTGCGGTAGGTGTGGGTCTCGCACTTGGCCCGTTTCGGACAGCTGGTGATTCCACCTACGGGCAATTGTTGTGAATGCACCCAGAACTTACATAGATGGCAGACTATGCGGTACAGTGCAGTCAGTCAAACAATCAGACAATCAATCTGTTCTTGGGAAGTCAATTTTGTACAACACTGACTTGATCTTTCGTTTGTGCGCAGCTTATGAGCCAAGTCAGTCAGATCAGTCTGTCTCAACCCTCACTCTGAATCATGATGTATATATTCGCAGTGCGAGAGGCATTTATGAATCAAAGTCCTTTAATACTCTGTAAGAGCTGATGCCCCAGAGGACACGGAATTTGTTCTCAGGCATGTTACTAGTATTAGAAGGGAAATTTATGATTCGAACATTAGCATGATAGTTTAAATGTTCAGATAGTGCCTGAGTGTCAACAAGTAGTTTCTAAGCTTATCACGCACACTCCTCAAATCCTCTTTTGACCCCTCTTTCTCACAGACAATTTTAATTACTCCTCCATCCGACAACACAGACTCCCATCTTTACTTGCAAGGGCACATTGAAAGTAAGTTTGCACTTGATCGATCTAGTAACAAAGTCAGGTGATTTTGTGTTGCGACAGGATATTCGCGTGCTGAGCTACCAATCGGTCTGTGCAAGCACAGGGTCAGGCGTCCACCAGCCTTGAAGTGGCTCACAAGGCTGTAGATCTGGATCATTCTCCCTGCAACTCCATCAAGATACTACCATCTTGACACCACCTCCTTCCTGCTAAAGTTTCTGACTTTCCCCCGTTCTCTATCTCTTGATTCACCAAAATGGATAGGAAGACATGGTCAATGCTTGGTAAGGGACCTAGGCCCTCAGGGACCGATCTCCTTCGAGTAGAGCTCATCGCAAGTGGCAGAGAACAATCCCGATGTAATGAACCAATTGTCAGCGAAGTTGGGTCTATCTTCCGAGCTCCAGTTCTACGACGTCTACTCCCTGGATGAACCCGAACAACTCGCGCATATTCCTCGACCTGCTCTGGCTCTGCTGGTCATCATTCCACTTACACCCGCTTGGGATCAAAGCCGCAAGGCCGAAGACGCTAACAGAGAACCATACACTGGCTCTGGACCTGACGAGCCAGTCATTTGGTTCAAGCAGACCATCGGTCACGCCTGCGGCTCGATTGGTCTGCTCCATAGCCTGATCAACGGTCCGGCTGTCGACTTCATCAAGCCTGATTCCGATCTCGCAGCGATACGCAGCCTCGCCATACCCCTGGATATGACCAAACGCGCCGAACTGCTATACAACAGCGAGCCATTTGAACTTGCCCACAAGTCGGTTGAGCAGGCTGGCGACAGCTATGCAGATCCGACGGATGCGCGTGAGGGTGGGCATTTTGTGAGTTTTGTCAAGAGTGGTGGCAAGCTCTGGGAGCTTGAGGGGTCGAGGAAGGGTCCGCTGCAGAGAGGAAGTCTTGCCCCTGATGAGGACGTTCTCAGTCCACGAGCGCTTGACATGGGGATCAAGAAGATCATCAAGTTGAACATGGATGGAGAAGAGGACTTTCGGGTTAGCTGCATTGCTTTGGCTCGCAGGTCTTAAACTCTGCCTCCATGTGCCGAGCAGATCACAGGATTGAATTTAAGCCAGCCAGAGTATCCCACTACTAGCCTATCCGGAGCTTGTTCCAAGTCCCTCGATATTGGATGCGAGATCGCCGCATATTCTCGGAGAGAGCGAGAGGATTCGCTCCCACCAGACCACAATGATCTCCACGGTGATAATAAGTGGCTGAGTGAGGACGACTTGCCCGTCTCCCGTCAGACATATATCCAGTACTTTGTAGAAGTATTGACCTGTGCTTCTCATTGATACGAATCTTCGCTCTGGCACTTAATCTCACTGAAAGTTTCTTTGAGCCGAAGATGAAGTATCCGGGTGCGACACCGAGGATGCTGCATTGTCTACCTGAATCAGTGAATGATCCTTTCAATATCGGCCTGGGGATTGATATAGTATGCTCGTGGTTTCCTCTGTGAGGACTGATACTCTATGTGGCCGACTAATAGTAATGATATTGCAGCATTGTGAGTGTATAACGGGTCATCAATATGACTGGGGAAGGAACGATGCACGATCCTTTCTACCCTAGGGTGGACTACAACAACGGTATTAGGTCTACTAGGCTGCACGTCAGATCAAACTCTACCATGCAAAATTTCAAAGCAGACGAGACGCGTAAGAGAATTGCAACTTGCCGTTGACGGTATACAACTGATCAGCCTCTTGCAGTGGGTGCGTGGACAACGGCAGCGACGTATGTTGGGTACGATCAACAGCCGCCGATCGAGTAACGTTGATCTCAAGGAGCAGCAAGGGGCAAGGCGGAAGGGACTCGGTATTTTTGAAGAATATTATCTTTTAACTTGCTTTCTTGTTGTTTCGATGCTAGAGAATCCCTAAGGTGTAGTTGCTTAGGAAAGCATTCTTCACGGAACGAAGTTGTACCGTACTCATGAAAATGTGGATGCAAGTCCAATATAATGAATCTCCTTAGCATAGATATTTCTTGATAATTCATATCTGCAAGCAGAATGCAACTGTCAACATGCCATACATTGTAGCGAAGCCGAGCAATCCAAGATCGAACTACTCTTCCCGCGGGACCCCGGAAAACACCACCAAACAACAACTCCCCGCACAACCGCATCACTTCTTCCCCATAATCATATATTTCCACTCTGCACACCAAAGAAAAACTTAGTCTCATTCGCAATGGTGTATTGGCTTGGAATTTACCCCGATGGATGCCATTTCCTGTCGCTCATGTCGGCCAAAGAAGTTCTCTCTTCATTCGTGATGTCATTGACTTTCACTCGTCCATGACGCATCGCAACCGTCGTTTGACCGACAATAGCGACGCCCATGACAACACGACTACGCCGATTCACGTGGCTTATTCTCGGTCTGACTGGCACTATACCCTAACGGCATCTCTCCTGCCAGATCTACCATAGCGACAGACTTCGCGCCGGGCTTCCCGATCCATGGTTGAGGCGCAGTCAATCTGTCCGTGACAAGCCTGAGAGCGCTTGAAGTAAGTGGTACTGATCGGAAAATACGCATGATGTCAGGATTGCTCAGGACTCGGAATGCCGGAACATCCTTAACATCATTGACCCTGGTAGTGTGAACAAAGGTCATATAGTGCCTAGTAACCACATACGACCAGACACTACGACGATTTCATGATTATGCTTACCCGGTCTTTGCTACATTGAATCGACTACGGCATGGCTTCCAGTCACCCAATGGGAACCATTCCGGTGAACGGGGGTGTCACCTCGCTTCCAATCTTGCGGGAGACGGTCAACACCGTCTCAGAAGAATGTCCCACACGCCTGGGACTAACGGCCGAGGAGATTGAGAGCAAAGCCCCAAGTCTAGATGACTTTTTCGAGACTATCGCCGCAGAGCGGCTTCGGCGCATGCCTCCAGATGGCAGTCGTTTGGATGGTGTTCTCAGACGAGCTTCACGCCTTGCCGTTGCTGTTGGTTCGTTGCGCGATTCGGTTTCAAGTTACATGGACGGCGCGGACGAGGCCACTGCGCTGGTTTGGGGAACAACACTGCTACTGCTCGAGGTAATCCTTATTTCTACGACACAATGAGAGACCTATCAACTGACAACTCAGATGGGCATTGACCAAATTGACATAATTGAAAGCCTATTCGGTCGCTATGGACGTATCACCATGGGCATCTCGCTACTACTTCAGCAAGAAACCTACTTCCCGACATCTCGACCTTTGCAGCAACAGGTTGCCGAGATATACGCGCATATTCTGCAACTTGTCGTTCATGTGGCCTGGGAATATCGTCAAGGGGCGAAGACCCAGCATCGGCAGTCGATGAATGCTGCCATTGATATGGCTTTTTTCCGCTACTTCAACCGCTTTGCCACTCACTGGCGTCGTGTTTCTGAGCTCGTGCTGCAAACCGGGATTGCGAAGCACCAGACGTCAGTTGATTTGTCGGTAGTCTACCAGTTTCTTGAGCTACAAGACCGCCCATTGCAGGTGCTGCTTGAGGGCCACAGCCATTCCCTGGCAGACGGTTCCTTTTCCTGGTTCGAGCCGCATCTGACCACCTTTGCTATGAGCCGCCGGAGTCTTATGATGATCCGAGGCAATCCCGGCTCCGGTAAGAGCGCGCTCGCTCAGTGGACTGTAGAGCGACTTCAAGCCTCGTCGGAGTATGACATATGGAATGTCGTCCCGATCATCATCAGATCGGACGTCCCAATCACGACCCTCACGCTCAGCATCCTCAAAGGAATATTGATTCAGATACTTGACCATTCAGTGGCCAGCCGCAAGACCCAAGATGCCATTCTGACCGCTGTAACCGGCGCTATCGAGTTGGCCGTAGCGGGCGCGTCTGATCCTCAAGTAGAGGGACAGCTTTGGACTGCCATTCGCGCTGCTGTACAGTCTAACTTGCACTTCATGTTGGTGGTGGACGGATTCGACCAAATGAAGCACGCCGAGACGACAGTCAGCGCGTTCCTGGGTCTGTTGCAAGACACGGTGGCCGACACCCCTTCTAAGTTGATTATCTTTAGCCGGCCAATGTCCAAAGAACTACTACCTATTCGCGAGACCACGAATACACACCAGATCGCCATGAATGCTGCCACAACCCAGCACGACATGCAAGTGGCTGTTAACGATATGATGATGACCGAATCCTCATTCTCAGGGCTTGAGTCCTCTCAACGAGAGTCATTGGGAGCGGCCATCGTGTCCCGCTCCCAAGGCTGTTTCATCTGGGCACAATTAGCCGTAGAAGCGGTGCAGCAGCGAACAACCGTCAGTGAAATGACATCAGCTGTTGCAAAGATGCCCAACACACTGGGGGACTTGATTGACCACCATCTGCGCACTACAAATATCAGACGCGAAGATGCAAAGAACCTTTTAGGATGGCTAGCTGCTAGCGAGCGCCCTCTGCGCATCCCAGAGGTGGAACAACTTATGGCAGTTGATAGCAAGACACTCAAAGTGGTATCCCGGTCTTTTAGCCTTGAGCGCGACCTTTTCCAGCCTCTTAGGCGTCTTGTTGCTGTTCGCGATGGCTTCGTTTCTTTCCGTCACCCGATGATCCGAGAGCATTTGCAAGCGCGAGCTCAGATGCGTCAAGAACTGCCATTCTCGTTGGCGGATGCTCATTTTGATCTTTTGATCCGATGCTTGGCTTGGGTTCGCCGTACGGTGACCGACGAGGTTTCTCTTGCGTGGGACAAAATGAGCGTTTTCGTGCGCGACCGCTATCTGGATGCTTATGTCTTGCTTGAGTACACCGCACGCTACTGGCTCTCACACATGCTGGCCTCACCGATGGCATCATCCGATCGCGAGCTTTCTTTCCCCGAGACTTTCCGTCGTGCTCTACCTGACACTGTGCTCTTTTCACAGCTGGAGCTGACCAATCGCGAGTCACAGTTCAGTCGCTCAAGCATTGTGGAGTTGTACCGGTTATCTGTCGGCGTCCGCCGTGTCGTGCTGGGTAATGAGTCTCCTGCGCTCTTACAGAGTCTGATTCTTAGCGCTCGTGCTGCAGAGCAAACCCATGCGAGCTGGGCCAATGATCACCTGTATGAGGCATGGATGCGCAGCCGTTCGCAGCTGGGACCTTCCAACACGATTACACGAGACCTCGAACAAATGCTTATTGCCAATGGTCAAGCGGACCGCACGACAGGCATGAAGACCGAGGCCCTAAAGGATATGGCACTGTCGGGATGGGATTCATCCGATATCAGCTTTGCGCAAAGACTCCAATACCTTGATAAATTGGTGACATCATATAATGCTAACAACCAGCATGATGCCGCATACTCAGCTTCTAAGCAATTCTACCGTCAGACGGTTCAAACATACGGTAACCACTCTCCTGAGACCCTGGCGGCAGCTGAGTACCTCACAAAACACTTCGACATCGCGCCTCCGGATGAGATGGCGCTTGAGCTTGCGCGAACCAAATATGAGATGATGCTTCATTCGATGGATGCCACCGACCCTCGACGAGTAGCATATTCGCTCTATCTAGCGCAGCTGTATGAAGAGAATAACCAGGTCGGTAAAGCTGACACGGTGCTATCTCGACTTTGGGCAGGTCTTTCGGCTCGTGGCCCGGACTCCACCGATTCTTGGGATCAGAAAACAAGGGTTGCCTTTTACTACTCCCAGTTTTTACGTCGTCAGCGTCGTCCCGACCAAGCCACGGGTATTCTTCGCGATCTATCGGCGGATCTCGAGGCTGGGGGTGGTGTCAACTCACCTCAGATGGTTAAACGCGCCGAGGAACTTCGCGGCGAGGCTCGCCAGATGAATCTGAAAGATATGGACCGAGCCCTCGCCCTGCAGATGTGGAAGTATTACAGGTCTTCCGGACAGCAGTACACTCCTCAAGCTGTTTCCTTGGCAGAGTCCCTGACTGAAGGTATCATACCGACAAAGGGTACTGCGGACTCCCTCGGTTCCCGCTTGTCGACACTTTCCCCAGAGGATAATGAGTTGCTACCTGGCTGGATCGATACCGTTGCTTCTGCTCGCAGCGAACGCGATTTGATGTCAATCCTCAATCTATCTCACCAGCTGGCAAGTCAGCGGATGGCAGCCGAGAAATGGCGTGAAGGTAGTGAATGTGCCTGGGCGGTGCTGAAGCACGTCTGGCCCACTGTCGAGGATCCGCAGTCCAAAGCGAGGTTCCCGTCAGAGCAGGCGCCGTTGATAGCCAGCCTTGCTCTTGATCACGCCTATTGCCTGTTCCGTCGCTTGGATGTGGCAATGGCTACCATCGTATATGGTAATGCTTTCAAGGCGTCCATCACCGCGGATCAAGTGGCCGTACCATCTGTCACAACTGTTGTCAAAACCGTGGTAGAGTTTTACGAGACCACTTTCCAGTTTGACAAAGCTATGATGTTGCTGCATCAGGTTAGCGACTTCTTTGCATCGAGGCTGGGCAGCAACGATAAGCATACTCTTGACAGTCGCTACTACGAAGCAGATCTAGCGCTTCGACTTGACCGTCGCTCTGAGGCAGAAGAAAGCTACAGTCAGATCTATATAGCCTGTATTCCCGATGGCAGGGTTACATCGTCTGGCGTTCGCGCTGCTGTAGCTTTGGTCACCTTGTACGAGCAAGACAAGAAGTGGGAACATGCTCTTGATGTATACCGGCACCTGTGGCCTACACTCGTACACTTTGACGAGAGAGATGGATATGACCGGGCTCTTTTGGAGGGTCTGCTTCCAAAGACATACAGCGGCTACATGTCCATTCTGGAGAACATGTCCTCTACCGAGGCCGGATATAATGAGCGATACCAGGTCGCATCGCAGCATCACCAGCTCTGCAGGAAGCTGTACGGGCCCACAAGTCATCGTACTCGTGATGCGACCATGACACTTGCAGGAATCTGCGCTGCTAATAATCAGCATAGAAGCGAAGCACTTCAGTTGTACGAACAAGCTCTTAAGACAGATGACTGGGTACCTTCTGCTGAAGCCTCACGCTCGCTTCCTGACATGACGCAGCCACTGCCCATGGATATCAAACATCGTATGGCTCAGTTGTTCATGCTGCAGAAGGATACATCCCCGCAAGCTCGGGCTTTCTATACCGAAGAGCTTGCGTTGTCCAAGCAGCAGCAAGGGTTATCCGCCCCGACCACGCACTTGTGGCTTCGTGAGATAGCAAGGCTGTACGCGCTTCAAGATAATCCGGAGTCGCGTCGCCAGGGAGCCGAAATACTGCATGAGCATGTTGATGAGGTCGTACATGTCACAGCTAATCATGATGCGCTGGTCGAACGCGCTCATGGTCTCGCCGAGATCTACCTCGAATGCGGATATATCGATGAAGGCTGGGCGCTCATCAACGAGCTGCATCAGCAGGTCATACACGATACTCCGGCTTCTCATCGTCAGAATCTGGCTGAGTACCGACCTGCAGCATTCGTTGCCGCTTTCGAAGAAGTATTTGGCCGAACACGTTCATCACGTCAAATCTTGGACGACTTGTCTCGTGAAGGACAGGTCTATAATGTCTTCCAACAGCATCTGTCCGGACATGATCTCATGCCCACATTGGCAGCAGGCGACAAGCTGCATAAGCTGCAAACTGAGCAGAAGCGCATCGCTGCGGCCCAAGATACCCAGGACAAACTGTATGAGTTCTTCTGCAACACACTTTCGGTGGCGCAGCCGCTACGAAAGAAGGATATTGTGCACCAGTTCTACATCATGTGCCGTCGCGAGTCGCAGCATGAAGACTACAACATCAATATTGTAACTCAGACCACGGGGCTCGTGCGAGACTTGTGCAACCGCTCGCGCTTCCAGGATGCGGCTGATGTGACCGGTGTGTTCCACTCATTTGTCCACTTGACAGACGGACTGCGTCTGTCGGAGAGCATCTTTACCGCTATCAAGCTCTGTTTGTTCCTCAGCGGTTACCAGGTGAACAAGTGCACCGACGGGGCAATTGCAAAGAATATGTCGTTCGAGTCGCAAATGCTCCTCCAGGAGATCATGGCGAACGCGCGAGACCTCCCAATGGAGTATTCTGAGCTACCATTCGCGGAGCTGAATGACCTGGTGACTGTATTGGGTGAGCATGAAATGTTCGAAGATTTGGAGGTAAGTACCAGTCTGCCCGTCTTTGGGAAACTCTGCTAACAAACCCAGTCTATCCTCACCGATCTTTGGACCTCGCGAATTGTCCAGAAAACCTGGTCTCTACCTGCTGTGGTATGGATCGGCCGTCGGCTGGTGGAGACTCGATTCTGCCGCGGGCAAGCCACTGCAGCCACTACGCTAGGCAAGGACATCTGTTACAACCTGCGCCAGGTCTGGGGTAATGCCGACCCGGTGACTCTGGAGATGAATAAGCTCCTGTCCGGGCTGTACACCGCCTCGGGCAACCACCTTGCTGCTGCGGCGCTGCACGAGACCGCGCTGGCTGAGCTCTTGAACAGCGAGACCAGCGACCACAATGCGGCCGTGAACGCAGTGACCCAGCACCTGGAGCTGCTGCAACGCGCCCAGGGACGCTTGGTGAGGGAGGGACAGAGTGCCGCGATTGACGCCACGGCCGCCCAGGAACGGGTGCAGGACATCGCCACCAAGTTCGGGCTCTCCCCCACCAAGCTGGAGGCCGGCAGCAAGTCCGACGAGTCGATGGGCATGTGGCAGCGGCCGCGTCGGTTCAGCCTGGACGTGGAGGAGTTGGAGACCCATCAGAACCACCTCCGCCAGTCGAGCGGGTCGGCGCTGCTGACGGGCAACGGAGGGGCCAAGCGTCTCTCAATCACCGCGCTGTAATGAATGGGTGGGAAGGCAGATACGGGGACGCGCGTTGTTGATAATTACCACCAGAATGTCTGTGATTTGTGCATGTTGTACATCTATATCGAACGGGAGATTTAATTGGGTGGACATAGGCAAGTGTATAGTATGAGTTAATGAACTGATGTGTTGTTTGACAGTCTCGGGGGACGCTAGTAATCTCCGAAACCTCTATCAGCAGTCGAGGTTTCATGTGGGTGTGCAATTGTCGCCTGACATGAATTCTGAAGATAGGTGGTAGACATGGAGATAAGGCCATCTTATCACCGAGCCCTTAGCGATGCCCAATATTTCCGGTGTAGCCATGACATGGCCATGTAGTACTGTCAAAGACGACAACCATATCCAATCCTATCTATAAACCAAACAAAACCAGCACCCAAAAGCCCGGCTCCAAACTCACTCCCCGTCCCCACAAACCACCCCCACAAACCCCAAAGTTTCACTACAATCCAATTGAATTGAAAATGCTAACCTTCCTCCACAACCAACTCTTCAAAACCCCCAACCTGCCTCCCAACTACCCAGAAACCTTCCACAACAGAACCATAATCATAACCGGTGCAAACACAGGCCTAGGCCTCGCAACAGCGCACCACCTCGCGCGATGCCGTCCCAAAAGACTCATCCTAGCCGTCCGCAACCCCCTAGCGGGTGAATCCGCTAAGGCGGCCATCCTCGCCGCCGGCACCAGCACCACCACCAGCACCAGTACCACAGACCCAAGCACCACCCCCAAAGACGGGGATATGATAGAAATCTGGCCCCTAGATCTGACCTCCTCAGCCTCCGTGCTCTCCTTCGCGTCACGCGCAGAAAAATCCCTTGGACAAGGCGGGCTAGACGTGCTGGTTTGTAATGCCGGCGTTGCTACACGAACGTTCAGTATGGTCGAAGGGGAGGAGGGAGGAGGAGGGGGAGGAAAAGGACATGAGCGGACGGTTCTGGTGAATGTCATCTCGACGTTTCTTTTGGTCGTGCTTTTGGTTCCTGTTCTTCGGCGGTCTGGTGTTGGTGTCGGTCGGGATCTGGGTGAGCGTGAGGGTGATCGTGGGGCGAAGGCGACGGCGACGCCGCCCGTGATCTCGATCGTCGGTAGCGAGGTGCATGCTTTCACTATGTTCCCTGAGCGGAGGGCGCCGGAGGAAAAAGGGGTGGGCGTGTTTGAGGCGTTGGATCGTCCAGACATGTACTATGGGATCGGGACGATGGCGGAGCGGTATCCCACCTCTAAGTTGCTGGATGTGCTTTTGGCGAGGGAGTTAGCGGTTAGGGTTGGGGAAAGGATTGAGGGGCAGGAGGGCCAGGGCCAGGGGCAGGGGCGGGGCATCGTGGTCAATTGTGTGAATCCTGGGCTGTGTCGGTCGGAATTGACGCGCGAGGCGGATTCGATGTTGGTGAGAGTTGGCTTGAAGGTGCTCGGGAGGACGTGTGAGGTGGGGGCGAGGACGTTGGTCGCTGGCGCTGCGGGTGGCTGGGAGAGTCATGGGCAGTATATGTCGAATGGTGTGGTGTGTCCGTCGGAATTGTCTGCGTTTGTGTGCAATGAGGAAGGCAGGAGCACGCAGCGGAGGGTCTGGGAGGAGTTGACGCTGATTCTGGAAGGCATTAAGCCTGGTGTCATGGATAATTTGTTGTAGATTATGTGTAGGTTGCTCTGTTGCAGACATCTCCGCTCTGGTGGATGAAGATGTGCGATCTGATATTTCATATATCCACAATCTCGAGTATTGCTTCTACTTATACTTGATCATCAGTCATGCTATGTACTTCCTAGCGTATATACAGTTATTCACAAATCGCTAACCCGTGATTATATTCTCTTCCTAGAGCAACGATCAAAATGTACCGTTGCGAGAAGGCGCCCGCCATATCTCCTCCTTCCCCACACTCAGTCGCTCATATTTTTCAAGCATATCGTGCATGCCGGACGCCGCCGACGACTGCACATTGCTTCCCATGCCATCAACGTAGCTGGACTCACCGTCAGCCTGGGTCAACCCCTCCGCGTAGTGGTCCCATCTATCAGGCTTTTGTGACTCCGAGTTCTGGCGGAATAGCTCCTTAATGCCGGGCGGTACATCCGATGAGTGTGCGACTCTCGATCCCTGATTGCGCGAGCGCACGGAAAGTTTAAATACATGGAACATATTCCGGCCCACCTGTGACCGGCATGCGACAATCGAGAATGCACTGGTCAAAGCCAAAAAGTCATGGTCCAAGATGTCGAAGTTCTGCTGCTCCAGAAGGGCAAAAAGCGCAAGATTCACGGAGTACATGGCGAACTGATGGGCGTGTTCCATCCCATATTCAGTCCGCTGCAGCCGGGTCAGAGATGCAATAGACCGTGCCGATGAGATGGCAATGTCAAACGGATTGAATTGCTGATCGGTATTCGCGATCTGATTGTAACGGGACAACCGTGCATTGGGACCTAGAGCATCGAAACAGAGGTTTATGACTAGTGTGTGATATCGCATCCTGTGTCCGGGAATGCCCAAGTCAGCGGTCGCCTTCGTAAATAAAAATATAACGCCACCAACCTGAGCAGAATGATATGCGGAGCGGGCTTCTCAGCCGGATCGAAGCATGGCGGAAGTCCTCGCTCCCATTTGCGGAGGCGCAGATAAAGCTCCCGCTTACGCATATTGTAACCAGGACCCGAGTCTCCAGTCTTGGATAGACTTCGCGAGATGTCCCGAGCTATATCAGATAGCTGGCATGCGTCATCAAAGTATTGACTTAAGTACGATAGCCGAGGTGGGCGAGCCAGCGGGTAAGGCGTCCACAAATCTCCCGCACCTGCGTCATCCCGAGCAATCCGCTCAATGCTTACTGAATTCACACGACTCGGCTTGAGGAAGTTCGTGTGAACAACCCTATTGAGGTTATTCGAACAATATCATTAGTCCACAGTCCACATAGCCTTGTGATAAGGGTCAGTAGGGACCTACGTATCAATCTGATACAGACCCCAAGCGGTCCGCTTGATGGAGATGACCATGTCTTCCGACATCTGCGAGGTCTTCAGCTCTCGTTTTTTATGGTTGATGATACCGAGCGACTCCGCCATTTCAATGGCACGGTGCAGCATGGCATAACCATGATCACCATTGCCCGAAACAGAGTATCTAAGCGAAATCTGGTCAACAGGCACCGAAATTCCTAAACACTAACAAACGACAAGCTGATGGGGGACTTACCTCTCATAAAGAAGTAGAATCGCCTGCAGGGTCGGTAGTCGAATATCATTACCTCTTTCAAATTGGTGACGTTTCATGTGGCGCTCCGCTTCCGCTAGGAAGTCGGCGCCTTTCGTCTTCACATCCCCAGGAACCGTATATGCCTCAGAATATGGTGAATAATACTAAACATATAGCCTCAGCCACTGATCAGAGATATAGCATGGAATCGCCAGACTTACACATGCGTTGGCGAGCAGCGCATTGACCAAAAATGGACTGCAAAAGTCCGACTCGGTATTCCCCAGCGCCATATGCTTCAGAAAAGACTTGCGGTCCATGAACGCAAAGAATGGATAGTCCCATGTTAGATAGAGTGAGACTAGATGAGATACGAGATCGTCGTCGTCCGTGACACTGGTCCAGGGTTTCGCAGGAACACGAAAGGGAGCATTTCCAGTCAAATATCGGATATCCATCATCATGGGGCGGAACTTGGGTGCGTCGCTTTCGACCTCGATGCCTTGCCAGATACCGTACAGCTGCTGCAGCGCGTGGGGATCCTTCCCTGCCGCGCGCATCTCGACTAGGGTCCGGTCCAGGTAGGCACGAACTTCTTCTATGGAGGCGTGGTTGCGAATGAGGTCGAGCAGTGCCTCTGCATGGGTGGGAACGGTCGATCGCACGACCTCGAAGAGATCGTAGAGCAGATCGTGATGGTAGTTAGATGTATCGGTGAGGTACTCGGCAACGGACTGAGCTGCCTCGGCCGATGACTCGTCAGATGGACCTTGACCGGACTGTGCTCGGACAATCGGCGAGTTAGGATCATTCTACGGGTGAGGTGGTCGGTCAATAATCGACTGTTACATGATGGCTTGGATTAAGGTGTAGTGCGGATCAGGGATGCACCTACCATCAGCTCATCCGACTGGTGAGAGGGACGGGTTGGATGAATCGGTGGAGAGTTGCTAGGCGACATGAATGGATGAATGAATTGGGGGGTATAGTGGTGGTGGTGGTGGATGATGCTAAGAATAAAATAATACTAGTAGGAGTAGCGCACGTCCGTCCAGCAGGCGTCAGACCTCACACAAAAGGGGTAGGTCAACCCAAATCTAGAAAGCCACATTGAAACACAGGAATAAACGTGCAGGATTAGCAGAGGTTTAGTGAACGGGGATGTGGTGAACTGAAGATAGATGGTGAACTGAAGTGGGAAAAGTGAAAGCGGAAAAGAAAATCCCAGGTTGTGTTTCGCTGGGCGGTGCCTGAGATCAACTGACTACACCATGACATCAGTCTGTCGCCGCTCTGACCAGCACTGAGTTTATTTGCCCTTTTGGGATTCTCCCAACAACGTGCGTCAACTTCACCTCTCCTCTTGTTTCCCTCTGCCATCATCTCTCTTTTCAATTCTCGTCACCAGCTCGGGAGTCTTCTTCGTGCAAGTCATCGATGCTTACTTAGCCCCTTCAGCTGCCATGGTCACCTGATCACCATCATCCGCAACAGCATCATCGCTTTTCCATCTTCTTGTGTGTGCTTGAGTGCCTGCATGCCTGTGTGCGTGAGTCTTATTGAAACAGGTACCCTCACCACTTAAAAAGAGATCCAGCCAAGCTCGGTGAAATCACCCATGCACTAAGTACGAAAGCATTTAGAAAGGATACGCAGATAAAAGAATGAAGACAGGCGAGCAATAGCTTCCCAGCTGCGCATCTACTTGAGTAGGTTGCAACCATCACCCTTATCAAAACTTGAATGCTGGCGCCTTTTAAGCTCGGAGCTTCCACCGCCACCCGACGTGGCCCTCGGCAAAAAGAGCCCCCGGGGGTTGCCGACCGTAATTTTCAATTTGCATACGGGCCCGTTGTGGGCAGCCCCGCCGAAAGCCCCCCCTTCCTCTCCGGCGGTAGGCAACACCATTTCCACCATCCTGATTCGCACTCGATAGACATCTCCATTCAGCCCTATGGCCTCTAAAGCTCTAGGGCTGAAGAAAAAGGAGATGGACACTCCGGGGAGAGTCTTAGTCCGCATACTCCTAGTTGAGGATATGCCACCACCACGTCATCATCGTGATCAGCCACCTCTCGCCGAGGGGCAGTGGTCGCCGGAAGGCCCATCCCAACCCCTCCCGCAGCTGCATCTCCACTACTCGTCGCCAATCGACATGGTGCGCGAAATGGAAAGGAAAGTGGTGCTGGCTGATCGCCTTGATCGTGCAATCCATCTTTGGTTGCTCCTGCAGCTCGATGTGCGGTTGCAACAGGGCGGGCTGTTCTCCTTCCAGGTCTAACTCGATCCGAAATGAGCCTTGACTGGTGAACTGGCGTACCTGCACGGCCAGATTATGGTGGTGATGACTGTGGTAACGATGGCGGTCGTGTTCGTCCACGTCACGAACAATAGTGAGATCGACGAGCGGGTGGTCGAATACCTCCAGGAGACTGTGGTGCTCGGTCCCATGTGGCGCGAGGTTCACCCAGAACTGACCTTCAAAGATCAGGTTCGGCGATGAGGGTTTGCGGTGCACAAAGACTCGGGTCACTCGGAGAGGCAACTCGATCAAGGCAAGCGAATGGATGATGACCTTCTGCGGCGGTGTGTCGGGCTCCGCCCATGTGCGGCGGGCGAGGCCGTCGTTCACATAACGGACGACTGTGTCGCATATTTGATGTTGATTCATGTGCCAAAGACGACGGAGGATTCCATTCATCCAGTCGATGGTCTCGCCGCGGGCCAGGATCTTAGTAGCGTGGTATCGCTGACATTCATCCCGGACGACGCGCTTCATGCGCTTTATGGTCAGGTTGGTGTAGGTGCGACTGGCGGCAAGGACGAACAGTAACCATGCGAAGCTAAATCTGAGACGACCCACCACCCATGAAGCGAGACAGACGAGTACAATGACCCGTGCCTCTTTGTATGTTTGCTCGATGGACTGGATGAGGTCGGCTGGCTCGCGAGCGCGAACGGACTTGCCCATGGCGACTAAGGCCCTCCGGCGGGGTCTTCTTATTTTGTTTTTCTTTCTTTCGCGTAGACGGCACGTAATCAGGTATGATCTAGCAAGTTGGAAGGGAGTATTGTCCGGCGTAGAGGTATATCAGAGCAAGAGTAAGCTTCAGGTGACAATCCATGGCCAGGCGGTCGGGCAACATGGCGCGAGCAAGTGTCGATTGCAAGCTCAAGACCCAAGGGTTCAGAGAACAGCAGGTGGCTTCGGCCTTTATACTCCCAGCTGACGAGCGAGTAGACAGATGACCAAAGTGGTTCTGCAGATCCGAACAGGGATAGGACTGGTAGGGCTGATTTATCGCGAAAAATAAGGGCGTGTATTGCAAATACGGCGGACTAGGCCGACCCACACCTCCCTCTTGTTGCGAGTCTCCGGAAATTACATTTGCCCGCAGCCACACGTTCTCAGCTCGAGCCGACTGTAAGCCGTGGCGTGTACTTTCCCCCAGAGAGGGAGATGTCTGACAGTCGTGGTTGTAAAGGGAGATGTCCATCCCTGGTCTTGCAAGGACTCGAAGCGTCTGTCTTCGAGGACGAACGTGTGTTCTCCTTCCACATCTGCCTCAGTAGACAGATGAAGCGGTGTGGATAGCTTTTCAAGTGGATGTGCTGGCACAAATTAATGCTTAGCTTGTGTTGCCCTCGCTGACTGTATCTACCGGTGCACGTTTAAGATTGGGGTTTTCTCATGTGGCTGACACGAGCGCTCTCTCTCAGCTTTACGGGCTCCTCCTTACTGACCACTAATTGAGGGAGGCATGCGCCTCATCAATGACAATGAATCAGGTATAAAAAGAGAGAGAGACATCTTCTTGATGCGATTGTTTTCTTGATGCGATCGTCTTCATTGTTAGTTCTGGAGTATCCCGGAAAATATGATGCAGCCGGGGAGCTTATGGGAGGATCCTGCGAGGGCTTAGTGGGGTTGTGTGTGGGGAAGAGGTATTGAGTTGAGATGCCATGGCTGCTGGCTCTATCTTCAGTCTCGGTCCGACTTGTCGCCATGAGATTGCTTAGGGCACATGGTACCAATGTGTCGGTTTGGTTCATGTGTCTCTGTGACAAGATAAGCTTACAGTATGATAGAAGGTCCGTCGAAATGTGTTACGCGGAACTTTACGATGTACAAATGTACCAATGCCTAATAGACTATGATTCTGATTTGAATCTGGCCAGAAGGACCTTTCGTCTATGTAAGCGTCGCAAGGCGATCAGTGGCAGTCCAATGTCTCCATCTATGTTTAATAGCGCATTTTATCGCAACTGTTGTCGCCAGCTGTAAACCTCTTTCTAGGGAGTGTACTATTATCATTTTTAGAACCCTGGCAGTCACAACGGCCTGATTATCGCATAAGAACGAGATAACTTACTGCCCAGCACGCATGCGGGTGATTCGGTCCATTGCAATATATGTTCTCCGGGTGCTGAAGTCGAAAGGAAGAAGCATTGTCAGCAGTTGATACGCTTGATTTACCAGGTGCAGAACAAAACCCTCAGGAACTCACATTTCCGGACACTTGAATACAGTCTTCCTGCTGTTGACACTGAGCCTGCGTATCACACTTTGCAGTTCCACGATTAGCTCAACTCTAGATCATCCTCAAAGCGAGGGATAGGCATTTCCCTGTGGGGATGGACTTACAGAGTACCCTGGAGCACATCCGTGCCAGCCCTGAGCGGCCAGGGCTGTGGTGGTCAGGCCGAGAACAGCGAGGAAAGTTGTCGCGGTTTTCATTTTGTCAACCTTTGCTTGCCTTCGGAAGAGTCAGAGCGGCTAGAGGTGGTGGCAAAGAGAACGGGGATGATGAATGGTCTGATACTGCTCTGCAGGGAATTCATCCATATATATATATATATTTCGCCGGACGGGACGTTGGAGCATTAGGCTAGCCAGGTCGTTTCGTTGGATTGAGACTTGCCCGTATAATCGCCACCAATGAGCTGTCATCATCTGTAAGGGAAGGACATTGGTACAGAGCCATGCTTCGGACGCCATAGTTAGAGCGAGGGATCGAAGATGACGATTCAGGCATCCTATTCTCGTATATGATGAGATGTTTGTCAAGGACTTGGGTTACGCTGCCTTGACGGTCAGGACGATTGACTCAGATGCGATCGTGATGGGGCAGTGCATCGATTGTATCTCGATTGATACGGAGCTGAGAACGAATGGAAACTGTATGGTGGATCATCATGCCGATGCGGGCTACTATTCTGAGTTCTCAACTGCATCTATTGGTGACAAGACACAAACCTCCAACTTTGTATGCCGGTTCAATCTTTGAAATCTGTCAATGAATATGTATGAGCTTACGCTCTTCCGTCGTGTGTAATTATTAACCAAGATGTTGAGGCAGGAAAAGATGTACATGACACAGTTGACCCAATTCTGCTTCTCCGCTGTCACCCTCAATCGCGGGCGCTCAAGTATATCGATGACTAATGGTTGAAAATACACATACACTGGACTTGGGCGGAGAGTGCTCGTATATCCGATTGCTCAATACTTGCTTCTCTGTCTGTGTTGCTTATTTTCTATCTAGTAAGCGCAGGTCACGACTGGGATGATTGACGGAGTCGGTGGAAGAGGCCGCCGTGACACATATGCCTCAGTTTGTCCCGCCACATATTAAATATAACAACGACATCCTTGCATAGTCACATCCTTGCAGCCTGCGGCTGGTTGATGCGTGATACAGGCTGATTGTATTCGCACATAATCCATGTGCATTTTATCCTTTGTACCAGTCCATTCTCGGTCATATTGATGACTTGGGAAATATGGAGAAGTGCAGTTCTTTGGGGTTCCTGACCTGGTTTTGAGCTATTGGCTAGCTTTAGCCTTATTTGATTAATGCAGGCCTTGATATGTGCATATACAGCAGACTCATGGTCGCCTACGCGAACTGTTACATTGTATGTCTTTTAACAGCTGGCCAAGGTCCGAGGACTGTATGACTTTTGACTCAAGAGTTCACTAAGACTGATGAGACGTGAGCAGGATTCTCATTCCAAGCATTTGTAAGGAGGTGCAAAGTAGCTCAAGTAAGTGTTCAGGTACCACCGCACCAGATATAGTGTTATCGCGAGCTACATAGACGACGTTTTCTAATGCTCTTGAAAACGGTTAAGCGAAAGCTCGTCACACCAGTTCTTCACGAGTGAGTACAGTACCATCCAGCTCGCTCGACTGTGTTGTCCGAATAAAGGTGGCCGGCGACTTATCCAACTCAGCGGCCTCGACTTTCAACCTATCTTCTTTCTCTACCACCCTTCGAGCTCGAACCCAGCCTATAACTAGGACGCTCGACAACCCGAAAAAACTTCCAGCCCGACTCCTAATTCCATTCCAAGATCATTCCTCCCAGAAATATGGCTCAATAGCGGTCGGAGTGGCCCTAGATATCGGCGAAGTGGTAGATGTTGCGTGTGTGGCTCCAGCAATTGCGCTACAAGAACATGACCACCCTGACACTCATATATTGAGGGATGTGCTCATACACTCGAGTATTCTGTACCACGCTGATGACATATCAGTACACCTTCAAGACTTCTCGAAACCTTCCCTGGACGGAGCGCTCAAACTCACCTTCCGGACAGAGGTGTAGATATTCGGTCGCCTGCCAGGCTCGGTCCACGCAAGCTCCGCGGTATGCGATGTTGTACTCGGCGTTATAACGGAGCTTGCTACCGAGGCAGGAGCTTCCTTTGGCGTAGCAGACTTTAGTCCTAAGAGAGATAGTATACGTCCCGCTTGAGACGATATTGTAATTTGGCCAACAACAGTCATCACCCTAGTCTCAGGGGCGAAGGAGAAGGAGAGGTCTCAGAATAAACCAAAGCCATAGCATCGGAATTACTTGCTTGCAGGGACTCAGAAGAACCTAAGGAAACCGAGTCGACTGAGAGCTTCCATGGTTGCACCTGAAAGATCGATCCTGTTTCTCTCAACACCAGGGCTCAACTTGGATAATATAGCATGTTTTGTGGGGATGCAGATACCAGCCTATGTGAAAGGTGCGTGTCGGACAGAAGATCAAGTGACCAGGAATCCCGTGACTTGTGCTTTCCTTCCATTCTGAGTCGGTGATCACTTCCTCCATCCGTAGCGACTTATCAATTATATCGCTTTAAGGTATTCAATCGCAACCCTTTTTGACTTATCAGGGAAGCCATAACAGAAAGTTGCATAAACACCCGGCCTTGGTGCATGGCTAAATTTGCTTGCCATGGCTGCCAGGCCAAAAACCACTCGTGCTGGGATGGGAAGGGGTGGGCCAGGCGTATGTCACTTCTCAATTGTGAATTCTTTCTTTCCTGGTGTCCTTAACACATGCATGAGGCACGGCACTATAACTAACTAGGCGAAATGCAGCAAGCCGAGAGAGAGATTTCCGGGAAATCGAATCGCCTGACAGGGACGATCTTCGATGCAGCCGGATCCGTGTTCGTTGCCCGCCGCGGACGATCGCCAGACCGGTTCGGAGCCCACCTCCTATTCTGTGGGGGGGAAAGAGCTATAAGCGGTGGTTACGCCTCGACGTGCCATTGGTACAGCGGCCTTCGAACTAGACAGGTAATAATCATGGGAACGAAGGCGCTCCAAAACATCACCGCTTCTCGGAGAGGTTGTTCCATACTAAGATGCTGATCCCTGCATATTAAGAAACAATTTGCTTGGCACCCCTGGATCACCAATGAATGATTTTTATTACCTATGACCCGACCCGACGGAAAATAGTTCTCGTCTACTTGTACTAATTGTCTCTTCGCCCTTGATTGAGCGGCGGGAATTGAACTCACCCACTTGTGTGCGAGGTATTGAGGAATGCTCACCAACCTGGACCAATGCTTGACAATCAACGCGCTAAACACATGCTTAAACGTTGATTTGAATGTGACTGATCCTTGGATTTCCGGCTCGGCACCTGCTACCCCTTTGACTGGTCGAAAGATTGCGGCCGCCACCAGGTCACTACGAGAAAGGTGGGTGGGGGAAGCCTGGAGAGGAAAACTCAAAGCCTAGACAGCACATTTCAAATACTCAACCACTCGCGGCGGACATGCTTAGAAAGCTCGCAAGATTCTCGATCTGAAAATTGGTTGTCTTCTGGAACCACGGCATGAGACCGCCCCCAAAACCAAGTTACATCGGGATTGAGCACGAACGCCTTGCAAAATCCGGGGTCTCGTCGTCATTTCTCCTGGTGTAAGCCACCACTGACGGTGCTTGATGACCATTACTACTGCCCCCTTAGCCTGTGGTTGCACGTCGAACTCTAGACGCTTCCCCCACCATACATTCCATGAGTTCGACAATAGACTTTGTTTGCCGTCAATTTTGATCACAGCCTGCTTCGCTTTTGCATAAAATCCAAGACCTGGGCTGGCATTGACACGACTCTTCAGCGACAACCTTCCCTCCGCAAGATCTATGGTGGCGAGACGCAAACCTCCCGACCCCTTCGAATGCAATGAACAACTCTCCCTTGGAGAACCATAGAAAGGATCAGCTCGATCCTTCCGCGCCAGGCAAAGTGGCCGCGCGAAAGAAAATCCGACCCACTTATTCATGCTTAAATTGCCATAAACGCAAAGTTAAGGTATATACTTCTTGACTATCCGAAAATACCACGCGAGGCATTTGCCATGACTACCTTCACTTAAACATGCTCTTACAACTTGTACACTCTGGTTAATGCCTACTTCATCAGTGCGACCGAGTCAAGCCATGTGGTGCTTGCTGTTTACGGGGAACTCCCTCGGAGTGTGATTATGGCACCAGCAAGCGAGATCGCCAGTATATCCAACAGGCCACCCTCATCGACAATCTGCTACGCTCGTGTGAAAGTCTCAAACAGCAACTAGCTGAGGCACGTCAGCTAGCCAACATACCTGCCACGAAGACCGAGGAGGAGCCTCCAGCGAGTAGGAAATCACTTCTCACATTGGAAGAGTCGACCGATCGGGACAATGGAGATTCGCTCGAGGAGCCGGATCTCGCTGTGGGAGACGCCGAGCATCCATACTTCATCTCTTCCACTGCTATGGTACTTAGCGAAGGTTCTGAACGCAGCAGATGTCGACAATGTATGCTTTCTCCTCTTTCACTCGGGTCAATACCTGTCCTGCCGCTCACCACGGTCTAGGTCACGGGTTATCTCCGATTCTGAAAGAAAAGCGTATCCTGACTGACCCGATGGCAGCTGGTGTGGCACTGGAGTTCTTCGTCGAACGTTTGATCGACAACTTCAGTCCGGCCAATGTCAGCGGCACCATTGCACTACGTGAGGCCAAGGAGATGCGAATTCTTTCACCGATCCTCTATAAGGCATTCGAGGCAGCGTCACTAACCTTTGCCGGCCGACAATACCAAAACAAAGCTCTCGAAGTAGCAGGCCATTCTAAATATATCAACGTACTTCATCTCCTACAGACTGCGCTGCATGACCCTCAGGGTAACCAGTCTACCGAGATCTTATTGGTAGTATTGTTGTCTACCATTATCGAGGTATATTCTCCCGGGCACATTCATTAGATCAGGTAGCATGCTTACAGATGACAAAGGCTTTCAAACAGACATCTGTAACGTCCATTCTTCGACACCAACTGGGCGGCTTAGCGCTCCTGCGGGCACGCACCCCCTATCGCCACCGGCATGGAGTCGAGAGATCTTTGTTTGTCGATCTCCGACTTTACTGGGTGAGCATTTTTCCTTTGCCTGACTCTGTATCCGGATGAAATTAATACCAAGTCCCACAGGTAACTGCTGCGCTGGTACATCGCAAACCGACCTTTCTCTCGTCGAAGGAATGGCTCACTGTTCCGTGGTCCTGCGATGGACCTCCGAAAGATATCCTCCAACGGCTCCTAGACGTTGCAGTTCATATCCCGGGCTATCTCGCACAAATCGATGAGTTTCAGGTGGCATTAAGGGAGTCGGCAATCCCACCATCTGAGTTAGTCACCATGCAGTCCGCCATCTGGGTCCGCGCCCTGGAATTGCAGAGCATGCTCCACACTTGGAAGTGTACCTACGCCGACACGTATGAAGGAGGCGGACCAAGCGAGGATTCCAGCCTCGATACCAGCAGTGACGATCTGAGAGATGAGGGCGCCAGCAGCGGCGGGGTCTTTCCCGTCTTCTTGTGTCGCGACCCCAGCACAATGCAAATCGCCGCAGCCACGAACTTGGTGTATCCGGATCTCTTACTCGCCACCTCGATGTGCTACTACTGGGCGCTGAACCTCGTGATCTCCGCCACCGACACCGGGCTGGTCAGCGTCCTCGGCCTGCAGGAACGCTACCAGTACGCCTGCAACATCTGCCGTAGCATGAAGTACTACACCCAGATGGTTCCGGGCTGCCTAGTCTCGCGGATCATGTTCGTGCTCCGCACCGCGTTCGACAGCTTCCCCGATGGCATGGTGGAGAAGGAGTCCATGTCGGAGTTGTTCGCGTATATTGGCCGTCGCTTTGCATTTCCCGTCTTCTCGAATCAATGTACCTCGTTCTCGGTAAGGGCAGAATGTGAATGAATGTTCTTTCCTGTGTAGGTCGGGTTCGAGTCACGATTCCTATTTGTCCTTGCATTCATTCTGTTCTCATCTTCTATTCTGGGTTTATTGTTTAGGAAGCAAGCGAGGTGGAACCGGTCAAGGCGTTGTAAATTATCATTCAAGCCTGGTCACGGGCGGCGTCCTGGGCGAATTGTTACTTCTTTGACTACCTCCCGAGTGACTCGTGAATCGAGATGGAAAATATTTGCTTCATGCACCTAGTATCTATTTTCTACGCATAATGCTATCGTGATTGATAGACTGAAGTCATCTCTCTTCGATTGTTCGCAGAGTCGAGTGACTTGAATATCCACCTAAGTAATCTATCTCTACCCCTGTCCTCAGGAACCCCATCTCATTTCAATCTGTAGAGAAGAGGCCACGATTTAGTCAATTCGGATATTTAGCTGAGCAAGATACTCTACAGCTTCCAACCGAAGATTCAATCCAAAGAAAATCCCGGATCCCAATACTAAGCGATCTACGATTTTAAACAGGAGTGATGTGCGATGAAAGCTGTATTTCTTAAGAGGCTGTAATATGTACTGTACTGATGTTTTGTACTATGTACTAGTAGTACAATACAAGGCTACTTCGATTGTGTCTATGATTGCCCTGAGGCTCTGCCAAGTCTCGATACAGAACTCGGATATGATCACAACAAGCGAGCTGGGAGTGTATTGTATGATGATCACGTGTTGCACGTGTTCCCATTCAATCCGGTGAACGGTGTGGAAATATCGTGCGTACCACTCCCAGATCTTTGAACCGGGGGATGGTGTGAAATGGAGTGGGCGGGGAAGAGAAGGTGCCCGGGTGAGCGAGCCCCTCTCGCTAGACGCGGTGTGAGAGACAGCTCGTTCAGCTCGTGTTGGCTGCGTAAGCTAGCGAGCAGCTAGCTACTGATGACGGTGCCTAGGCGCTGCGCTGCACCGCTGTTGCTCTTCATTTTGATTAATCAATGGAACGAGCTAGGCGTGCGGTGGCCAGTCTAAACGAATGCGAATAGGCCGGCAAGATGTTGTCGAGGTAGCGTAGCGCCGGGGGGTGGCGGGAAATTGGCCATGAGTTGCCAGGTGTGGTGGATATTATCCGTCGCCGCGATGGGGAAGGGAGGCAGGAAGCATCATGGGTCTGGTCACATGCGACTTTCCATGGCCAGATGTGGCGATGGTTCCGGGAGGGGGAAGAGGGGGAGGAAATGTGTGGGTGTGGGTGTGGGTGTGGGTGAGTGAAGCCAGCAAGCAAGCGGTGTTGGGCTCGAGGCGCACTCGGTCGACTAACTCACTCGATCGGGGCTGGAGCCGGTAGAGACGCGGCGGCGGCGGTGATGACGCCCACTGAAGGCCCTGGCTTCGCCCCCCGACCGGCCCAGGGTCGCCTAGACTACTAGGCTGGATCGAGGCTAGTAGCTAGCCTCTAGTGTGTGCCAGTGTGGCCGTGCCCCGGTGCTAATTCCGGTGGTCATACCGTCATTGCTCATTTTGCCTACCCGACTGGCGACTATTTTCGGTTCGGAGTCCTGTGCTCTGGGGTTGCTCAATGTACCCGGTACTTCAAGGAAATGCAACATCGGTCGGTACTGAGATGAATGCATTCTGCGCATAGCACTCCATCATTGGATCAACGTCAAGAGGGTCGTCGTCAACATGGTTGAATCGGTCGCCCGAGGGGTCCCGAATCGTGAAGCCCCCTTCAGGGTCCACGGGGAGCCAGTTCGCGGTGAACCGGGTGCTCCCGTCAGGCATTTCCAGCGGGGTCAGTCCCTCCATCGCTTCGAGGGATTTCAATCCAGTCACTCCGGAGTCTGCCCGACCCTTGCCTTTGCCTCCATGGCCGCAGTTCTGCTCCGACCCTGCTCGAAACGCAGCAGGTTGGTGTGGGTCGTTGAATGGGTGCTCCGTCCCCATCATCCCATCGATAGGGTAATGGAGCGGCAGGGAGTCCGACACCCCCATATCCGGGAGTCGGTAGTATTGTGCAGGCTCTCTCAGATTGTACTCCCGGTCCCAGTCCCCCTCGCTTCCACTGTAGGATTGATGGCTCATTCCTGGCGAGCTGCAGGGGTCCTGCGCAACAGGCGATTGGACGAACGGGGGAAGTGCGCCGATGCTATCGTGCGATGACGACCGTGGTGACGAGATAGCTCCGGGGATATTCATGTAAAGGGCTCGCTCGGTGGCTAGTTGCGAGGTCGACCGGAGAAGGTCATCGAGCGAGATGTTGGTGGGGAATGCTTTCGAATCTGGTGTGGTGCTGAAAGTGGATTCTTCAAATCTAGTGAGGGGTCCAGTCAGCCCATGTTTAGATTCCTGGCTTTCCTGCAGGCCCGCCTGAAGCAATCTCGGGTGGAGGAATCAAAATGCCCTGGCAGACTTACATCGAGGTGAGTTTATCCACGAATCCTGGCGAAGCCGGAGTACCTGGCATTCCCAATGCATGGGGTGTTCGGAATTGGTCTGAGGCGGCTTGGACCATTGCCGACTCATACTCAGCGCAGAGCTCAGGGCTCAGTAACTGGGCAGATGCCGAGTGGAAATCATTGACACCCAGCTGATTCCCATAAAAGTCCTCACTGACAAGCTCCGGGTCCAAGGCGAGAGCCGTGTGGTCCATCGAGTCGAACGAAAACCACATCGGCACGTCCGCGGAGAAATTGTTTTCGAGCATCGTATTGGAATGTTTGGCAGGATCGTAAGGGAGGAGGATGTTCACTTGTTGTTCACAGATCGTAATTAGGATCTCGCGGTCATGGCAAGGTGAGTATAGACACACAGTCAGGAGTTCAGAGGAGTCGTGATGATGATGATGATGATGATGATCCTGTTGGTCACGATCTTCGAGAGTCACTGCAAAAATGCCAGGGGAAAAGACTGGGAGGGAAAGGAAGCTTATAACCTGCGCAGGGCAGGACAAACACCGCCGACCAGCTTAAATGAAACATGATTTAGATGCAGCGGTGGAGATGCAGCTTGAACAAGTATGGCGAGCACGATGTGAATAATGCGATCGGTAAAATGGGAATGTGAGCGAGGCTAATAATGATTCGATAGAGGCAAGGTCAAGTCCGGGGGAGCATCTGATCACGATGAAGCACTGCCCTTTTTTTCCCCGGGGAAGTCATATTAACCGAACAGTTAATCTTTCTCCCCAGGTTTCGAGTTAAAGCAGCCGAGTTGCACGAACTGGGAGTATCGGACTGACAGCGTGCATGGGGAGTTCGGTTCTTTTGATGGCAAATTAACCGAGAGTCAGCGTGGCTCGGACCGAGTGGTGAGAGAGTGAAAAGCATGAGAGGGAAAGAGAACGCGGGCCGTTGAAGTCTGGGGTTGCGGGGAAAGGGGAAAGAAATCAACTGATCGGGTTGCGCGTGCAATTTGCCGACCGCCATTTGGTAACGGCAGCTGGCACAGTCGCTATGTTTCAAGTTCTTGATGACCTCAAGGTGCAATCGGTTAAAGATCAGGCAATTTAATATATGGAGAGAAGTGGAATTCCGACCCCAATAAGGAAACAATTCCCATCTGCCCGCAGTGCAGTGCCTGCTGCCCCTCCCTGCCTTGCTTTTCATCTATCAAACCCTCTATCATCATGCCACCAAACAGGGAGTCATTATGTATATTCATGAAGATGAACGGATATACTATATACAGAACACGACCCCAATCGAGGTCAAAATCGTCAGGTACCCAAGGCCAAATACCCCACTCCGACTAGTGTTGCAGGTCGGCTTTTAGGTCGAAGAACTACGACCATGCAGCAGCATGTGCCTGCATATCACTCCGGGGAAAGGGGGCTAGATCTTACCCCGGCAAATACTTAGTACGAGTTCTTTAAGATCCTTGCCACCTCTGCCCCGGTCAATAATGCAGTCCCGTAGAGGCCGTCGCCGCGTCGCTTAACCTCACAGGGCCAACCCCGTGCCATTCCGTGTCCATCGGTAGAGCGCTAGCACTGCTTTGCGTCGGTGTCGAATCTCGCTGTAATTAACTGGCCGCCCGCGCGCCTGGGCCACGGCACTCCGCATGACCTGCCGGAAATTCCGCTGGTATTCCGTGTTCAGGGTGACAACACATGATTCCGTGGCACGGATCATCACCTCGCACGCATTCAGAATCCCCTCACCCGCCTCCTTTTGCAATCGTTCCACAATCAACAGTAGGAGGAAACTGCCCTGGAGCAGTTGGATTCCGAAGAAGTACGGAATAAAGCTGATGTCTGGGTCGTACCGCAGAATGTGGTCCACCGAATCTGCAGCCTCTAACACGTGCGAGATGGTCGAAGCAAATGCAGGGGAAGAGGTCCAGAAGTCTTTGTCCTCAATCAAGGACACCGGGTCCCATTTCCCCACCAGCAAAATATGGAGCACATGAACCAGGTAGGAGGCATAGGAGATCACAGTCTGTGTATGCCACGAATAGGCTTGCGCAAGCGAAGCTTCAGTCGGTTGCTGGTCGGGCTTCGGAGGGAAAGCGCCAGGCATGGGACCATCCGGATCGGAGGCGATGGCCGCAAAAGTCGTGAGGCTAGCTTTATAGATATCAAGTTGTCGTAGCACCTCACTCACGTGGCTATCCCAAGCGTCTTTCCCATTGAACCGCGTCCCTAGCATCGGATGATTCCGCGCTTGATTCAAGTCTATCAATTCGCCAGTGATGGTCATCAGGGGAAGAAAGAACCCGAAGATGGAATGATCGTGACAGACAAAATTGGGGAATATGCGACGTTTGTTCTTCTCACCCGACAACAGACACTGTGGCCCATCGGTCTTGGGACTGTTGCTATGAATATTGCCCGCTTGCCACGATCCTTCATCGAGTGGCAAAAGCAGATCTTCACTCTCGGCGTCGAGCAAGGCCAGTGGACGGTTGTAGCAAAGCGCAAGGTGACGGTCCATGATGTATAATAGCCACCACGTCCGCCGTCGCTCCTCGCGGTGCTCTTCGGTAATTGTGGTGCGTACATCGTGGGTACGATCGCATACGCAATTGAGGCTTGGCCGAGCAGGGTTGGAGTAATCAAAAAAGGGGCCCGTGTCCACGCCACTCCAGCCTGCCAACGCGTAATCGAACGACGGACTGGAGCCGTCCGTGTGATGGCTCTCCTCATTAGGTACTACCTCGATCTCTTGGTTCAACTTGAGTTCTCGCGCTAGAGTGAATGCAGCATGCCACCTTGAACAGATTAGCACGGGCCAAGCCGCAGAACAATTACGGGTAGACCAACCATCGCATGCTAGCGGCTTTCTGTTCGCTCGACGAGATTATTGAGGCCACATGAATATATGTAATGACATCGTCTAGGGAACCTGCAGGACCAACAAGGCCCCTATCATCTCCTCCAGCTTCGAACGGATGGTGAACAGTTGTTGGTGGACCCTCTGGTCCAAGACCCGCGTACGCGGACTCGCTCGCGGTCGCGCCCTCGGAATCCTTAAATGAAACATGGATCAACGGGCGAAGAAGTCTTATTGTGAGGGCGCACAGAAACTGGCAGATCTTCTTGCGCTGTGGTGGAGATATGGGCAAGGCAAAAGCACGATCATCCAGCGCGGCAACCCAGAGCATGCTGGCTAGAAGAGCAGGACTGCTCGGACGAGGGGTCTCGCGACTGATAAATGATGCCTTTCGCAAAACATAGCAATGGATGTGATGACAGACCGGGTGCATATGCGTCGAAAAAGCGCTGGTGAAATATAACTCCAGAAGATCGAACACAAGTTTGCGAGGCAGATTCCCTTCGAGGAACGGGATAAGCGGCATCAGCACCGGGTATTTCAATGGTGCGACGGATGGCCCGGGGGTTTGTCCCATGCCTGTGGCTTTGGATGCAATCGAGGTTGGATCGCTATAGCCCGCTAGATCAACTCCATGCCAAATGTCGAACATCCGTGGAAAAGGCCCCTCGCCCAGCCCCATCCCTCCCAGAGGCTCGTAGGACCCGGGCGACACATGTGTGGCAGACAACCATTCCTCCGTCGGATTTTCACCAGGTCTTGATCCGTGAGGCGGGAGCGGGGCATCAGCTTGGGAGCGTCGCCCGTCGATACTCGGAGCTGAAGCGGCGACCTCGTTCGTGGAAGGGGATTTGTGGTGCGAAAGTGATACAGGAGAGCCTTTTCCGGCTAAACCGCCGGCTGCCTCTGCCAGCGCCGGAGCCGCAGGTTGTTCGTCGGCCGGTCTGGTCGCTCGCTCCACCACCACGTCGGTCTCCGTCAATCGGGATCTAGCGATGCGACCTCTCTTCCTACGTTCGCGAGTGAATTCGCAGCGGATGTCGCTGCGCAGGCAGCGTGAACATGGAAACGCTCGGTCGCAGCGGACGCGACGCGAATGGCAGGAGTCGCATGCAATTCGATTGCGTCTCCAACGACGTTTGGTAACGATACCGTTAGTCGATTCTTCGGCAGCGGTTTCTGGAGCGTGGGATGCCTGGGCGTCCCCCGACTGATCCATTTCAATCCGACATTGGTGGGCTTTGGAGGGGATTTTGATGGAGGAGTCAAGTTTAAGGAAGAAACGAGTTGGCTAGGCTCACTAGGAAGCACAGGCAAGAAAAGAGGTTAGCAGTAAGCCAAGACGAAGGAAGCGAAAGCGAGGGCACTAGTCTCAGTCTTTCCAGTCACCCAGACCAGGCGGTTAGGAGCGGGGAAGCACAGTCACATTCTTCTGGACCCGAACTCGATTGATCACGGGTCTTGGTATACGATGCTGACCAAAAAAAATTCAAGACGAGAAGAAAAATAGCTATCGATAACAGATAGCTTCAAAGACTGGCGAAGGTATATGCTGACGACAGGGATTCTTGTTGTGTGTTTGCAGAACAGTCGAATAGAGGAGGGAAGACGGCAGGCAACGGGATGGATGGCGGGGAAACCCACGGAACTGGAGATGACCTCCGCACTCCAGCTTCTCATCAATCATTCAGTCTGGTCTGGCCTCGGCATCCACCAATAAATTTACCTGATTCACCTGCCGGTCTTCAAGGTTAGTCACCCAATGCTACACCTGAAACTAGCCACTCATTGACCATGAGTTTAATGGGTCTCAGGGCACGTGTAAGGTTCCTGCATCTACTGTCGCCCATTGAGCAGGCATCATGTCTTTGGTGGGCGATCGATCGGTCGGCACTAACTCCGTCTCTCTCTCTACTCAGAGCACACAGCTTACCTACCTAACTACACCTCGGTTACTTTCATTGGGTCATTTCAGACGATTGGCTGGAAATTCGTTTTGCATATAGTATCCCTAACCCAGAGCCAGTTTGGCTTCACCCTCTTCAGCACCTCAGTGGCCCTGAGCCGCTTTATAGCGTGCCAACGCTCGATCTCGACTCTTCGCGTGATCAACGATGGGTTTGGGATAGCCATTCTTCTTTGCCACCTCACCAGCTCCCCGGCCATAGGGATCATGGATCGCATTCCCCTCCACCGCCCGAAGCTCGGGCACCCACTTGCGGATGTATTCCCCGTCGGAGTCAAATCGCTCACTTTGTCGAACAGGGTTAAAGATCCGAAAGTACGGCTGCGGATCAACTCCGGTACTCGATCCGAAGCCCCATCCTCCGTGGTTGGACGCAAAGTCCCCATCAATCAGGTGCTCCATGAAATACCGCTCCCCACGGCGCCAATCAATCAATAAGTCCTTGGACAGAAAGGATGAAACTACCATTCGTGTGCGATTGTGCATCCACGCAGCGTGGTTCAGCTGCCGCATGGCGGCGTCGACGATCGGGAATCCGGTTTTGCCTTGACTCCAGGCGTCGAATTGTTCTTCGTTGTATTCCCATTCGAGATTCGTAAACTCTGGCTTGAAACATTTATTCATACTGCTTCATGTCAGTGATCCCCCTCGGGACAAACCAATGATGAGACTGACCAGATAAAAGGCCAATGGACCAGGACATGTTTGTAGAAGTCACGCCAGGCGACCTCACTGATCCATGACATGTAGCCCGGTTGGTTACGGTCAAGGAGACCTTTGTTCGCTTTGCGCGCTTGATCTATGGCTGTACGCGCACTGAGGCAGCCGGACGCAAAATACGGACTAAGAACTGAGGTAGTTTCTCCAGGCAACGTGTTGCGCTGATCGTCATAATCCCTGGCCTTCTCCTCCAGAAAGGCCTCGAGCCGTCGCAGAGCCTCGTGCTCGCCTTCTGGATATAACTTACGAAACCGTTCCTTTTCCTCATCAGGTAGGACCTTATTCTCGGGTGCTGCAGGCACCTCGCTTTCGAATAGCTCTCCGAAACTCTTCCGCGCATCACCAGGGTTAGATCCCGGCTCCTCCGCCACCTCAAGGTATTCAGGGTTCTCCTTGAGAAAAGCACACCAAGTCCGGAACCAGGGACTATAGACAGCATACTGTTTACCTTGCTGACTATGGAGCTTCCCAGGCGTGACCACGCAGGTATCATGAGCTGTCTCGAAGCGAACTCCATTCTCGGCGCACATACGGACCAGTTTTGCCTCCCGACGCAACTCATCGACCTCATACTCCATATTCGCAAAGAGATGATTGGCGCGCCATTCCTTGCAAAGGTCCACGATGCGCTGGGGGATAGCCTTGCGCTTCTCTTGTGTTTCCATGTACAGAGGGATATCCAGCTCATTCAAATCTCTCTTCAACACATTCAGCGTCCGTAACGTCAGGTCCACTCGCGCGGGACTAGACAGATGCGCCGTCAAATCCTGTGGCGACAGAATGTACATACAGATCAGGGAAATTTTGTGTTCGCGTGCCACTTGGTATGCCATCTGTAAGCCGCGATTATCGTGGAGTCGCAGATCGGATTTGAACCAGTGCACCACCGCCGCCCCGGGCTGGATGGACTCGCGCGTCTCCAGGGTATTTTGGTAAGATCTCTGCAGTTCCTCGATAGGTCGTTCTAGCGTCCCGTCATTGTAGGCGTGCACGCGCTCGTTACACATCTCAGGAGGGTAGTATTCGCGAAGCACGATGCCGAAATCCTCGGTATCTTTCGCATGGGGATGCGGACGCGACAAGTCGGGCTTTTCGCGCTTGGCCGCGGGCGCGTTGCCGTCTCTAGAATCCGACTGTGCATTGGAGCTGCTGGACGTCTTGCGCTTTGGGCGTGGCATTGTCGGATAGGAGAGCTTGCAAGCGCTGGCGAGGGGAGGGATGCGCGGTGTGCGAGCAAGAAGGATATTGGGTCGCGTTATTGATACGAACGCGCGTCGCCAAAGCATGCCCTCGGCATTGGCGAAACAATCCTGACGAGAATTCGGGTAGACGCAGGGCAGGGGCTGGCTGGAGGACCGAAAGAACTCAGATCGAATCCCATCGGATCGAGTGCGATCTGGAATGCGCCCGGTCCAATGACGTCATATCCTGCACATTCCCTTTCGGTCTAGATCGGGTCGAACTGAGACTTTTCGAGGCCGACACTGGCCCAAGATACGCAGTACTCCAAGACTTATGTTTGCAGGTGGACGACTGATATAGCATTTTTTGGTCCTGTCCCTTGATGCCCTTGGAGTCTATCTAATCTAAGCTCAACCAGCTTTCCCCGCATCTCCTCCACCCGAACCGGTAAAGCTCCCACATGAGTAGATCAATCGAACTATCCTTCCAAACCACTCCGTAGATTACTTGAAGAAAACTTTTCCCTTAATCCAGGTTATCTAGTGAGTGCCCTTCGTGTACTGGCCCAGGTTTCGTTAGGTATATAATGGACGCTATGCGCAAGGCTGGGCATCAAAGCCGCTTCGCCGACTGCGGCACAGAATGCCATCTTTATGTGGGCGAGCTTTCAGCCGGAATACGCGCTATTCATGACACACCATCGATTCTTGAGTTGTGAATCATGGAAAGTTGTCGGGATATCCCTTTCCCTTGCAAGACAGTCGTGAGCACTACTGCCGTTGCAAATGCGCTCAAAGTTGCACCAATTTCACATGCTAAGAGTCATGCACACATGAAGAATGTATCTCCAGACAAACAGAGGACATCAGTCCTGGGAGACATTCCCATCTCCAAACTTCTTCCGTAGTTTCAGGCCCTTCATCAGTCACGGATCCATCAGAAGCTCCAGAGCAGTTGGTCGATCTTCAGGGTTCCATTGCAGGGCCAACAGCAGCCATCGCAGGAAACCTTCGACATCTTCACCTTGGATGTCGGCAGCTAATTTCTCGAGCGTCCGCTCATTTGGAATCGGGACCAGATTCTTCCAGTTCCCGGAATCATCCCAGAATACCCAGCTCATAGGTGTCTTTTTCAGGAATTCTGGTGATGGGTTACCAAGCAAGGCGACAAGTTGGGCGATACGGACCCCATCGTCAAAGATATCATCTCTGATTTCACCCCTGATGAGGGAATTGCGGCTGACGATGTCCCATGCCTTACACAACGTGTAAGTGATCAGTAGGCAATAGACAAGGCATGATAATGACTCACAACCATGGCGATACTCCAGATATCGACCTTGTGATCCTAGGTCGATTTCAAGATAACCTCTGGAGCGCGATAGTAGTCCGGCATGATATTCTCGCAATGTTCCACATCACCGAAGCGGGCTTCTCCTAGGTCACTCAGAATAGGGAGCCCGTCCCCGTATGGAAACGGCGAGGTCGTGTAGATTGTGCGATCTTTAAGAACCTTTGGCGCTGGTTTATTGAATACTTGCTCTTCGAAATCAGAAAGTGCATCTGGCGATGGTACAGGAATGAGAAGTTCTTCAATTGTATGTCTTGACTAAAGTTAGAGCCCCATGCAATACTTCGCGGAATCTCGGGAAAGGCTATTCTCACCAGTATGGATGAGGTTGGCTACAGAGTGCAGGTAGTCTAGCGCACCGAGAAGTTGGCGGATGGCAGCTTTCATACTTTCGAGCGTCATTCTCCGCCCATATCTCAGCTGCATCAGGTCGGATGTGTTGATTTCCAATGGTTGATGGATGAGGCAAATGTGGCGGCATTGAAAATTGTTCAAGTAGAAATGGTCGAGTAGTTTGCGAACATACTTCTTGCCGGGATGATCTGTTTCGATCGAGTCCATGTGTGTATACACATTCAGTTCATGCTCCCTTCCCTGACCCGAGGCATATATCTTCAAGATGACATGTGTGGATTCGCTAATTCCTCAGCACCAATAGCTTGCAATATTGGGAGATAGTCTAATTGACTTACACCAAGTCACGCGCAAACCAAAGGGTGGAAATCACTCCAAGTCCGACCTTGGCGAGGGCTTAGTATCTGTTGTTAAGAATCTCCCCTTGGTGAACTGGATAATATTTCTCGGGAGAATATGTTGGTAATGTTTCTTCCTCAGTCTTCAAGCATGGATCAAGCAACTCAATCCGACTTCGGGCGGACTCGTGAAGAGCATTTCCACTTCGATATTGACATAACTGTTCTGAAGAGCAGCCTCACATGTCGACTATAGAGGCAGGGGCTGATTCTCATGACAGAGGAAGTCGAGAAGAACGATCGTGTCAGGGTACGGCGTGAGTATGGCGGACAGATGCTCTCCAAAGATTTTGGCATCGCCAAGAGTCTAGAACGGGATCCCCTGAATTTATATCCTTCAAGGACCGGAGCAATGACAATAGCTGAAGCAGCGGCCACGCGCGAAGAGAAGCTGCTCGCTTCCGTCTTGATGCATGTCAATTGCGCAATGCCGGCAATTATCTGGCCGCCCTTCCTGAAGCTTCCCACCGCTGAGCCTTGCTCTGTTGGAGAAAAAGAGACTTTAATCATCACACTTTCAACATCGGTCGGGCTAGGTAAGGGAGATATCAATGAGCAGTGGCCAGTGCTTATAAATCTCAGGTCATGTTAAGTATGCTTCCAAGTCATCGATGTACGGTACAAGCCAAGCGCATCTGCTCAGTTCCTTTTTCCCACACAATGCCAATGCGGGGAAGTTCCTTCACTCGGGCCTTCTTCGGCAACTCCGCTTTCGTCAATCTTAGCATTCCCCTCCGAAACGATTTGAACATCACAATTGGAAAGATTAACACCTTCAGAAGAAGGAGGCCCTTCCTTCAAGCTTAGAATTTGGTCTTATATCTCGCTGACGAAATTCGACAAGCTCATGGGAAGGTAATGCCGCTCCTGCCGCTTCAACCCCACACAGAATCCCCATAACCTAACTTGCATGGTCCACTTCTTGCCAGGGTTTAGAGATTGAGAAGATGCTGTCGTGCCGTCCTCGGTTGGAGATTCGACCGAGTAAGCTTGTACTCGGTAATCGATTGCCCGACAATGAGTCTCCAGGTCTACTCTGATGTCAGAACAAGCTCGCACATGGAAGGCTTATATAGTCACCAAGCTTGCTCGGAAGAAAGAAGACATCCAGTGGCTCCATGAAGTCTTGAACAATACCTAAACCAGCATGTTATGGTCATCGTGGATCTTGACACAAGCCCTGTTAGCCACTGCTTCCTACGCCGTGCCTTTTGAAGAATATATCCTCGCCCCGCACTCAAGGACCTTGGCTCCTTCCTCGGTTTACCAGGTCAATGGTACGGTTGACAATGCTGATGCTCTGACCACCTTTTCGACGGAGCAAACTACTCTCCATGGTAGGTCGTCCGTGACTTACGACTTTGGCCGCAACATCGCCGGTATCGTCTCTCTGGATGTCACTGCGGTACCTTCGCAGGCAGCCCTGGTTGGGGTTACCTTTACGGAGTCAAGTCTATGGATCAGCAGCGAGGCGTGCGATGCTACCAGCGATGCCGGTCTTGACTCGCCTCTATGGTTCTCTGTAGGCGACGGGCCGGGGACATATACTGCAGAAAAGAAACATCTTCGTGGTGCATTTCGATATATCACCCTGGTCAACAACTCTACCGACACCGTATCCCTCAACAGCCTGAGCATCAACTACACCGCTGCTCCTGCTCAGGACCTTCGAGGCTACAAAGGCTACTTCCACAGCAACGATGAGCTTATCAATCGGATCTGGTACGCGGGTGCATATACCTTGCAGATCTGCACCATTGATCCCACCACCGGAGACTCCCTAGTCTGGCTGAGCGAAATCACCTCAGCGGACAACATCACTCTCCCTCAGACTGACTCATGGTGGAACAATTACACAATCACAAATGGCAGTAGCACACTTGTGGATGGAGCCAAGCGCGACCGGCTAGTCTGGCCGGGAGATATGTCCATCGCTATTGAGAGCGCGGCTGTTAGCACCGCAGATCTTGAAAGTGTGCGCACGGCCTTGGAGTCTCTATTCGTGCTCCAAAAGGCCGACGGTCGACTCCCCTATGCGGGAAGGCCATTTTCCGATCTAGTGAGCTTTACATACCATCTTCACAGTCTGGTCGGTGCAGCGTCCTATTATCAGTACACCGGAGACAGGAGTTGGATCACGCGTTACTGGGGACAATACAAAAAGGGCCTGCAATGGGCATTGTCCAGTCTGGATAATACCGGTCTCGCTAATATCACAGCCAAGTCAGACTGGCTACGATTTGGCATGGGAGGACATGTAGGTCCCCTTAGTCGATAGAGACATGATGATAGCGCGTCGCTAACGGTTTACAGAATATCGAGGCTAATGCAATCCTTTATTACGTCCTTAATGACGCCATCTCTCTGGCCAGCTCCCTCAATGATCGTTCCAGCGTGGGTAACTGGAGCTCAATCGCTTCAGGAATCAAAGTCGCTGCCAACGCCCGTCTGTGGGATTCACAAAACAGCCTTTACAAGGACAATGAGACTACCACCCTTCACCCTCAGGATGGCAATGCTTGGGCCATCAAAGCAAATCTCACTCTGTCTTCCAAGCAATCTGACGAAATCTCTTCTGCTCTGGCTGCACGCTGGGGACCGTATGGAGCGCCCGCACCCGAGGCTGGAGCAACTGTGTCTCCTTTCATCGGTGGGTTCGAGCTGCAGGCACATTATCTGGCCAACCAGCCAGATCGCGCATTGGATCTTTTGCGCCTTCAATGGGGATTCATGCTTGATGACCCTCGAATGACAAATTCCACCTTCATCGAGGGATACTCCACGGATGGATCATTGGCTTATGCGCCGTATCGAAACACGCCTCGGGTGTCCCATGCTCACGGATGGTCGACGGGTCCCACCTCTGCCCTCACATATTACACAGCTGGGTTGCGTCTAACTGGGCCCGCTGGCTCGACCTGGCTGTTCAAGCCTCAACCCGGTAGCCTCACTCAGGTCGAAGCAGGATTTGAGACACGCTTGGGACTATTCGCCACTCGGTTCCAGAAGTCCGCTGGTGGAGGCTTCGAGCAGTTGACATTTACTGCGCCCAATGGCACTTCGGGGTCTGTGGAAATTGACGGTTCAACTGGAAGATTGGTATCCAGCCGCGGGCAAGCCGTGCGATTGGTCAATGGCAAAGCAAGAGGTCTGCAAGGGGGAACTTGGACCCTCGAGGGATTCTAGATCAGTCTTGTCCGGTCGAAGATATGAAACACGCGCTTGTCTTTCAGTAAAGGTGTGTGATATCGTCTATTCATATCCCAGCTCGCAGCATTCGGCGTCACAGTAGCATCATCCTTGACAACAGTTCATGTGCGTATCTTCTCTGTAACACGATGTTTGCCTGAATATGACAGCACGATGAGATACATGTGACTCAGAGCTATTCTTCTTGCCTCATTTTGATATCAGCTTTCTCTCTGTACAACCGACGTCATCGCCGGTGCTTACCAACGGAACATTTGAGTCACGGCATCTCAGGTAGTTCGGAGTTTTCGCTTCTTCTTCTCATCCCAATCAACTTCTTTCCGTTTCGAATCCTCCTCATCGGTACAAGCTTCAATCCCACCGACAAAGATGCATCTTCGACGTTTCTTCGGGTTATCAGCCCTTCTACCTTTGATATCGGGATTTGTTCTGTCTCCTGGTGATACGGCAACGATTCCTGGCTGGGACCTTCAGTCCTCGCTCCAAGCCAAAGACGACCCCCGGAAGCTTTCACAGCCCGATGCTAAGACCGACTCATGGCACCGTATCAGCTCACGCAGCACCGTCATGGCCGGCTTGCTTCAAGCCGGGGTCCACAATGAGACCGATCTTTTCTACTCAGACCACATGAAGGCCGTTGATCTCACCCCTTTTCAGTCCCCATGGCTGTATCGTGAAGAGTTCGGCTTGCAGTCGCCACCCAACGGCGGCCATCTCTTCCTCGTCACCCATGGCATCTCCTCCAAGGCCGATATCTTCTTCAACGGCGCGCAAGTAGCGTCGAGCGAGTTCCAACAGGGATGCTTTGGGGGTCACCAGTATGATATCACGTCACACGTCCGATCAGGGAAAAACGCTCTTCTTGTTCAGGCCTACCCGACCAACTACCTCGCCGATTTTGGTCAAGGCTTCGCAGACTGGAACCCTTATCCGCCAGATAACGGTACGGGGGTCTGGCGCGACATCGAGCTGAAACAGACAGGGCCTATTTCTCTGTCCCCGGTCCGGATCCTCACCGACTTTAAGGGCACGCCCAGTGATCAAGTGACGGTGACGGTCATCGCAGATGTCACCAACCAGAACAATATACCCATCCAGGGGTCCGTCAAGGGTCTCGTCGAGGCAGAAGATGGGACGCAGCGGTTCCCATTTGAAACGAATGTACGCCTTAACCCCAATGAGAACACCACCGTCTCTATTCCCGTGTCGATCAAAACCCCCCAGATCTGGTGGCCAGCTGCCTGGGGTCGTCAGCCCCTCTACGCCGTCCAGCTCAACGTGACCACGCCTCAAGGAACAATCTCTGACCGTACGCCACGCACAACCTTCGGCATCCGCCACGTCGCCTCCCAGCTCAGCGCCGATAAAGACGTCTCCTTCAGCATCAACGGCCTTCCGTTCCTGGTACGCGGCGCAGGCTACGCCCCTGACCTCTTCCTGCGGTTCAACGTGAGCCGCATCCGCACCATCTTCCGCTACGTGCTCGACATGGGCCTCAACACGATCCGGCTGGAAGGCAAGCTCGAGCAACCGGAGTTCTACGAGATGGCGGACCGAATGGGGATCATGATTCTAGCAGGGTGGGAATGTTGCGATAAATGGGAGGGATGGGACGTGCGTACCTCTTAAACCACTGCTGACTTCCTCGCTAACAACCTAGCAGTACAACCCCGACGGCAAAGGCATCAAATGGGACCCGACAGACTACACAGTCGCCTTCCACCAGATGTACCACGAATCCACTTACCTCCAACCACACCCCTCGCTCCTCGGCTTCCTCCTAGGATCAGACTACTGGCCCAACGACGCCGCGGCAGCAAGCTACCTAGACGCGCTCACACTCACCAACTGGAGCAACCCGATCATCTCCTCAGCCTCGACCCGTGGCCACCCCTCCACCCTCCCACCATCCGGCATGAAAATGCTCGGTCCCTACGACTGGGTCCCACCAAACTACTGGACGCCAGACCCAACGCCACAAGGCGTCGAAACTGGGACGGCGTACGGGTTCGGGTCTGAGCAGGGGCCAGGCGTAGGGACACCGGGCCTGAGCTCGCTCTCGCAGTTCCTCTCACCAGGGGACCTTCAAACGCTCTGGCACCAGCCGCGAGCAGGACACTACCACATGTCGACGGGCGACTCAGAATTCTATACGCGCGCGCTGTACAACACGGCGCTCTTCCAGCGCTACGGCCACCCGACCTCGCTGGAGGACTACCTCCAAAAAGCCCAGCTAATAGACTACGAAGCCACCCGGGCTGAATTCGACGGCTTCGCCCTCAACCAGAACAATAACGCAACCCGCCCCGCCACGGGCGTAATCTACTGGATGCTCAACTCCGCCTGGCCAAGCCTGCACTGGCAGCTCTTCGACTTCTACCTCCGCCCAGCCGGCGCCTACTTCGGCGTAAAAGCCAGCACCGCCGGTGGTGCCACCGAGCACCTCGCCTACGATTACACAAGCCGCGAGGTAAGCATGATCAACCACGCCATCGTCGCCCGTTCAACCCCACGCACCGTGGAAATAGAACTCATCGCCGCGGCAGACGGCCGCACGCTCTCAAAACAAACGGTCAACGTACCGCCCACGGACCCAGGCACCTCGGTGTCAGTCGCACATCTACCAGACGACGCAGTCGCCGCACTAGGCGACAACGGCGTAGGCTTCCTGCGCCTTATCCTCCGCGACTCCACCCCAACACAGCAGAACACCCGGCTAAGCCGCACAGTCTACTGGCTCTCACGACACAACGACGAGCTAGATTGGAGCCGCGCGAACTGGTACACCACCCCGGTAACCAAATACGCAAACTTCAAGGGCCTGAGTGCGTTGAAGACTGCAGCTGTCACGGGTAAGGTTAGCAAGGTGCCACACCCCGCCGCGGAGGAGGAGGAGGATAGCGCCCAGGCGACGACGCTGCTGGAGATCTCGCTGGAGAATCAAGCGGACGTGCCTGCGTTCTTTCTGCATGTGACTGTCGTTGGGCCGGACGGTGCGGAGATCGCGCCCGTGTACTGGTCGGAGAACTTCGTCACGCTTTTCCCGCGGGAGAGGCTTGCGTTGATGGTGAGGGTTCCGCGGAGGGAGAGGGACGGGTGGGCGGTTGTTGTTGATGGGGTCAATGTTGAGAGGAGGGTGGTTGGGCGGGGGTGAAGTGAAGGGATTCTTCGGGGTGTGGGTGATTTACTGTATTTTGCTGGTTGCTTTCATCTGGGCATAGCTTTGTTTTATATGGTTGATTTGAACTGAACTTCTAAGGTTGCTTGCTTTACTGTTTATCTGTGCTTAGCTTTGGTTTTAGTCCTATATGTGGTGTAATTCAGCTGAAGTCGTGGCATCGTTTGCTTTGTGATTGGTGTTGGTATCTAGGGTATGGCGATGAGTCCTGGCGCATACTGCGCAAAACTGCATGGCTAGAAATTGTTCATTTTCAATCAAGGAAACAGTTCACTTGATCATATCTAGGATATCCTCTTTGAATGACTGCCTAATTAGGTTGATAACGTTCTTATTACGTTCAGTAACAACAGACTGACTTCTAAAGATATATACTACCCGGACTTGGCATAAATAGTCCGTCTCTTCAAAATTGTCTCTTGCAAGCATATCATAGCCCTATCCACATGCACCTTCGGAGCAATTACTCGACTATCTACAGGATAAAGCAGACTGCTCGGTTATCTGCAACAGGATTGACCTGCAATTCAAACCACAACCCAGCTAGCTCTCAATGCGCAATCGACGAAAACTGACCAACGATCAGATTCCATCCTCGAAGCTAAACGCCTCAAACTAAAACTGCTGCACAACCCTCTGAAACCGAGGAGGCTTCCTCATAAACTTCTCCGGGGCATCCCTAGCGCCCTTCTTCCAATAATCAAACTCCATCCAAGCATTCTCGGGCATCTGCGCCTCAGTCGCCTCCAGGAACTCGCCCAGATCGGGGTGGAGCGGGATGACGCCGGTCTCGAGGACGTACTGATCCCAGAGCTTGAGCAGCTGCTTCAAGCGATCGGGGTACTTCTCCGCGAGGTCGTGGACCTCGCCGGGGTCGTCCACCAGGTTATACAGCTGCCATCGCTCGGGGCCTTTCGGCTTGGGGATATAGACGATCTTCCAGTCGCCGAAGCGCAAAGCCGCCCGGCCGCACGTCTCCCATCCCTGGATGAATTCTTGCTCGTGGATGCGGGCACTCTCGCCCTTCGCCCAGGGGTAGAAGGATTTCCCGCGCATCGGGACGACCTCGCGACCCCTGTAACGCGGTGCGGGATGCTGCACGTCTGCCATCTCGAGGATCGAGGGCGCCAGGTCCATGACCGTGGCGAATTGGTCCGTGATACTCCCGTGCTGGACAGGCACGGAGGCAGGGAACCGCGCCAGGAACGGCACGTGCACGCCGCCCTCGGTCGTGTAGGCCTTGTAGAGTCGCGAGGGGGCGGTGGCGGCCTGCGCCCACCGGGGACCGTACCAGATGAATGAGTTGTAGTTGCCCAGGTTCTCCAGCGAGTTGTCGTAGTACTCCTGCAGGTGCGGCATGACGCCGCTCTGCACCATCGGGTACGCCTCGTAGGCAGCGCCCTCGGCGCCATTGTCCGACATGAAGCACACGAACGTGTTATCCAGCTCGCCGATCGTCTCCAGGTAGTCCACTACCTTGCCGACGTTGGCGTCGATGCACTCCACCATCCCGGCGAACACCTCCATCGCGCGACACGAGAGCGCCTTCTCCTCCGCGCTGAACTCCTCCCACGGCTTGGCCTCGTCGTCGTCAGCCACGACAGGATGCGCCTCCACGTCCGCGCGCACCATCCCCAGCGCTTTGAGCCGTTCCAGCCGTTTCTGCCTTAGCGCCTCCGGACCCTCGTCGTAAACTCCACGGTAATGCTCGATGTACTCCCTCGGAGCCTGCAGCGGCCAATGCGGCGCAGTGAAAGGCAGGTAGGCGAAGAACGGGCGTCGCTGTCCCTCCCCCTGTCCCTCCTTCTCACCTTCATCATCATCACCCCGCTCATACCACTCCCGCAGATACCGGCACATGCGGTCCCCGTACCCATCCGACGAATACCAGCCGTCCGGCAACCGCCGCACATATTGATCATCCTCCATATGCAGCGCGATATAGCTCGCCTCCAAGAAGGTGGGCGTCTCATCCCCGCCCGCAAGCTGAGGCTCAAAGGCGTAATGGTTCGAGCAAGCAGGGAGGTGGGCCAGCGAGCGCTCGAAGCCGCGGTTACACGGCGCGTGGTCCGGCGTCAGCCCCAGGTGCCATTTGCCCGCCATGAGCGTGTGGTACCCGGCGTCGCGAAGGAGTTCGGGGAGCGCTACCACCCGCTCGTTGAGGTAGCCCTCGTAGCCGGGCATGCCGCGTTGCGGGGCGGTGGACATTTGTGACCCCTTGGGCGCGTTCTGGCCTGTGATGTTCGTCCATTCGATGAGATTGCCTAGTCCTGCGATGTGGTGGTCTGTTCCTGTCATGATCATGGCGCGTGTGGGGCTGCATTGTATCGGTCTGTGAGTGTTCTGACCAGGGGACTGGTGGTGGGGGGAAGGGTGGCGTACGAGCATGCGGCTGCTGCATGGAAATCAGTGAATCGCACTCCTTCCTTCGCTAGGCGATCCAGATTCGGCGTCTGGATCTCGCCGCCGTAGCAGCCGATGTCTGAGTAGCCCAGATCATCGGCTACGATGACGAGGAAGTTGGGTCGTTTGGGGGGCATGTCGTGCTGGGATTTGTATACTAGGGAGTACTTCTGTTGTTGTTGTCGACCTTGTATACGAAGGAAGTACTTCTGTTGTTGTGCTTTGATTTGTATGTAAGGGCGTACTCTGTTCGCACGGAACAAGGCCGGTAATGCACAATAAGTCAAAGAGAATACATCCAGTCATGATAAGCAGAGGTGACAGCGGGCTTCGATTTAAAGACGGTCACCTTCATCCCCGCACTGTCACATTGTAACGATGTATAGACCGGGCTGCGTCGTCTATCGGGAGTCGGCTGACGAGCAGTAGATCGGCGGGGATTGCGTCTTGCTTGGTCGACGGTGGCCAATCGCTGGTCGTTCGAAGAACCCCGCTTCTGTCGCTTTTTCGGCTATCGGCTATTTTACTGTATGGGGTATGAAGATTACCTAGTAATGTTGAATGTGGTCTGGTTGAGAGGAGATGAAGTGAACAGTTAGGGAGAATTGTGAGGGGGAAGAGGGGAGGGAAGGAGGGGAAGATGGTTGGGAGCCGTGGGCAAGGCTTCTACCGCTACACTATGACAATCAATGCGACAATGCAAGAGCACTGCCTAGAAAAGATGATGGAAACAGACTTTTCTTAATCAAAAGCTCAACAAGTAAAAACCTCAGCAAGATCCCAGTGAAAATAGCAAACCGTACGCCTATCCATCCCATATGATCCACCAGCTAATCATTAAATGAACAACGTCGTGAAACAAATCGTAAGAGAAGAAATCACACTCATGCAATTAGATGCTTGGCTTGCGTAGAGGTAGCATCCCCATCTGCAGTTTGCGACACGGCAGCCTGCTGCTCAGTATGACCCACAGGACTCGGGCCCCTTGCGCTGCCGGGGATGAGCGACGAACGCGCGGTCGGGGAAGCGGAGCTGCGATGGCTGGGAATGCTGTCGCGGCTCCCTGGCGCACCAGCCCCGAGTCCGGTGGCACTGGACGCATTCCCCTCGCCAGCCATGTAGAATCGTTTCATCGGGCTCTCACCCCGGGCAGTGGAACCCAATGCATCCAACTCTGTCATCCCAAGCTGACTCTGTGACTTGATGAACGAGCCGCGGTCGTCTCGCATCGGTTGGTATCGCAGGTCGGGGTTCTTCGAGAAAATGGCAAAGGTCGAGGTGACGAGGACGAGCACGAGAAGAACCAGCACGAATGCAGCGTTGTACACGAAGAAGATCACGCCCATGACTCCGGTCACAATGCCCGGCTGGTCGAAGACCTGCGAAAAGAACAGGAGGAAGATCGCGTTCACGAAGTTAATTGCACCGATCGTGATGTTATACCCGTTCGTCTTCCGGTCCATCCAGGGCCGGAGGATACTGGTTGCGATCAGCATCGAGGTCTCGATGATGACCAGAGCGACCGTTTGCACAATCGGCGCTGGCTGGCTCAGACCGATGAACATTGCTTTGACCATAATATAGGTGATGGCCGGGACCAGGAAGTAATAGGCCGTGGCGCGGTACTGGACATAGAGGAATCCCAGCTTGTTCAGGCATGCCTCATCGGAGAAGAGGATATACGCGGGGTTGCGATGCAGACCTACCGAGTTGCGCGCAATGACAATGACCTTGAAGGCAGCCCAGCCCAAGGCCCCGACCATAGAAAGCAACATCACCACAGCCAGCAGGACCTCCGCCGCCGAATCATGCTGGGTAAACTCCCACAGACAAAGAACGCACATCTGCGGGAACCCGATCTGGACCATGCGGTATAGGATGCCCTTGGAGACATGAAGGTCGGCGAACTTATCGCGCTTGATCTTCCCGTATCGCGCCAGTAGCTTGGAGGCCGCTTTCAGGGCGCCGACAATCAGCATCACGACGGCGACGAAGAAGACAAAGAAGATCAACCCCGTCAGAAAGATGTTGGTCGCTTCGATCCCGGCCGTGAAGCCCACACGCTTGATCCCGCGCACGATGGTGGTGCCGGTCTTCGCCGTCGCGGACTGAGCGTCGGCCCTCTTGAAGAGGCCGACAACTGCGCCTTCAAGTGATCGTTTCCTGCGCTTCATGACCTCGACGGACGTCGTCGACAGCTCCGAGAGCACCGTACCAGGGGTCCCGCCCGTGGCTCGCTGGTACCAGGTGCAGATCGTCTCCAGGAAGGCAACGCGAATGATACCCATGCTCCACTGGAAATTCTGCGTCCAGGCGGTGACGATGGGCGGCATGTGGACCGAGCTCATCCCGAACATAGCCTGCGCCTGCATGAAGCCGAAGAAGGCCAACACGTTGGCTGCGACGTGGGCGGCGGTGTTGGAGTTGCCCAGACTGGCCGTGACCGCCGATGCGATGAGCCCGACGCCCGAGATGACGGCGGTGGCCCAGCCCACGCCTTTCTGATAGACCGTCTTCCCATTTGAAAGGGTCGCTTCGATACAGGCGATACTCGTCCCGCCGGCGTCGGTGGAGTTGATGTAGACGCGCACAGAGGCATCTAGATCCGGGACCGTGTATGCGATTCCTATTCAAGTGTCAGCGCGCACGCCAAGCGACTGATGATCAGGATCGCTGTCGCGGGGGACCCACCTGGAATTCGCTTGACGACGTCGTCCGGGATGACGATGTTGGCGATAGGGACGTTGATATTCCCCGCATTCATCGGGCACAGACCGGGGACGTTCATCGTGCACGGATTGAGGGTCTCGGTGGTCACCTCATAGCCATAGACATAAATGATGACATCGGCTGTAACATATCCGGAGATGGCGGCCACACCATCGAAGCTGAGGGCCAGGGACTGGTTGTTAGGGGTGAAGCGGACGCTGAAATACGTGGCTGTGAAGTTCGGGCTGTTTTGGCAGAGACTCAGCGCATTGGATTCAATCAGGCGGGTGGCCGAAACGAATGATGCGGCCGTGCAGGCGATCAGAACGCTAAGCAAACGTGATGACCACCACATTGTTGGAGTGGCTCATCGATAAGGGGTTTCTGGATTTGGGGTGGAAAAGGGGAGGGGCGAGGGAGATCAGGTTAAAGGAGTGAACAAAAGAGAAAGAGAGTGAGTGAGAGAGATGTGAGACCCTGATTGATGATCTTGCAATCAATAAAGGCCGCCTGGAGCGAAGCGGTTAGCGCCTGTCGTATGTCTAATAATAGCGGGGAATAAGTAGTTTCGAGTCTAGTGATTTTAGTGACAGTTCTGGACAGATGACACTGGCGGCAGTAGAAGGCGAATGGTTCTCGGTCACATTATTGCTATTACACAACACCCGGGTGGGCATGACAAGTAACATCTCATCACCATTCTGACTAGTCTTTGTTCCGGCACGGTGTAATATTGCAGCTGATTATATCGTCATCTCGGAGTGTCAGGGAACAGTGGGTGACCAGCGTGGCAATAACGGATGATTGGATTGTCTACGCAGCAGAGGAGTCCATCGATAGTCCATTTGATCCAGGAACCTCGCCAATCAATCTCCATTAACACCGACTGTTCCTGTCAGTGTCAGGCGTTGTTGAGGAGTTCCAGTGGAATCGCCGATCCTGAAGCAGTCCCGGACTCACGTGACTGTTCTGGGCCACGGGTGGGTCACGTGGGGCCCCCCGCCAGCGCTTGACTAACTACATTAGGAATTTCCTCGGAGAAGCCATCTCCTGCCCGGGAGGCACAACAAACGCTAAGGTATTCGAATTTGGTCTAGAACGTGCTTGGTATTACTTTTATATCCTTTTGGATGTTCCATGATATCCCTCCAATCGTGCAAACATGACAGCTGCCTAAGCACGGCTCAGGCTCTCCCCCTCCTCGGCCTTCTGGAGACCGTACTTCTTCAACCTAATTATCGAGACATATTAGCGCGACTATTGCGAGTCAGATAGATTGAGCAAGGACAAGCATACCGGATAGACTGAATAGCGACGAAGCCGGTGGTGTCAGTGGGCTCGAAGTCCTCCAGGGAGTCCATGGAAGCCTCCTCAGCCGAGTAGAGCTTCTCGGTGCTGCTGGAGCGACCAAGGATGTAGACGTGGCCCTTGTAAAGGCGGACGCGGACCTCACCGTTCACGCGCTGTGGCCATAGTTAGAACCGACAACACTAGTCATATTTTGACAAGAGATCACTCACCTTCTGGCTGAACTTGATGCTGTTCTCAATGAATTCACGCTCGGCACTGAAGTAGCTATAAGACAATTAGCATCATTTCCAAACTCGTACCAGCACCGGTAGGATTTCGAAATACTTACTAGCCGTTGTAGAGCTGAATAGACCAGTTGTGGGTGACAAACTGGTCCCGGAGAGCGCGGACCTGACCGTCCATGACAAGACCTTTGGAATGATCAGCGAGATTCGGTCCGACGGAGCAACTGGCATTGGCTTACCCTCAAGGTCAAGGTGAGCATCGCGCAGGATGGTCATAGCAGGAGCTGGATGGTGATGTCAGCAGAAATCCGAAGTAGGCAAAAGTGTGGGCGCCATACAGTCGTAGCAGCCACGGCTCTTGAGACCGATGAAACGGTTCTCGACAATATCGATACGGCCAATGCCGTGGGTATAGCCAATTTTGTTAAGAGCGTAGAAGAGCTCGACGGGGTCGGTGTACTCCTTGCCGGGGGCAATAAGTTTGGTGGGAACACCCTGCTCGAAGTGGATGGTGAGGTCAACGGGCTCGTTGGGGGCAGTAAGGGGGTCGGCGGTCATGGTCCACATGTCAGCGGGAGGGGTCTGGTTGGGGTCTTCCAAGATGCCTACGTGACGGATTGTTGTTAGCTGAGTCCAAAATATACCAACAGTGGTGTCACATACCAGCCTCGTAACTGCAGTGGGCAGAGTTGGAGTCTGTGTCGATCAGTTAGCATCATCTATGCGACCATGCACGATGACAAGGTACGAACCCATGGACCACGGCTTGGCCTATTTTAGGATATATTAGCGCGATGCTCGGAAATCTTGTCAAATGATACCTGGGTGGGCTCACCTTGGTGGAAGTGACGGGGATGCCAGTCTGGGCGGCGTAGTCAAGGAGATCGTTACGGCCAGCGAAACGCTTGAAGAACTTGGGATCACGCCAGGGGGCGATGATCTTGATGGAGGGCTGAATGGCGTAGAAGGCCAGCTCGAAGCGGACCTGGTCGTTACCCTTACCCGTGGCACCGTGGCTGACGAACTGGCAGCCCTCGCGCTGGGCAGCGCGCATCTGAGCACGGGCAATGACGGGGCGAGCCAAGCTGGTTCCGAGCAGGTAGCGGCCCTCGTAGATGGCATTGCACTCTGGCACGAGTTAGCATGGTTCCCGTAGCACCAGAGAAGCCAGGTATCGTACGGATAGCGGGGAAGCAGAGCTCGGTGATGAACTCGCGCTGGAGATCCTCAATGATCATCTTCTTGGCGCCAATCTTCAGGGCCTTGGCCTCGACGGCAGCCCAATCCTCCTCCTGGCCGACATTGGCGAGGAAGCAGACCACATCGTAACCCTCCTCTGATATGTATTGTTAGTCGGGAAAAAGGCCAGACGAAACCAGGTGAGCTATACCGATGAGCCAGCGCAGAATGCAGCTGGTGTCAAGACCACCTAGAAAGAGAATCAAAGGTTAGCGACAACCGCTCTTATCTCGGATCAATTGGCGCAAAATGCGGGGTTGTTGGGATGGGGAAACATACCGGAGTAGGCCAGACAGACACGGGGCTTTTCGGAGGCCATGTTGTTGGATGTGTGAGGAGTAGGAGTATGGGAGATGAAATGTAGATTGGATTTCAAGGAAGATGAAGGGAGTCTTGGAGAATGAAGCCGATTAATATAGGACCGCTAGTTCGCAATGAATCACTGACGGTCGGGGGAGGGAAAGTGTTGACTAAGATTCATTGACTCATCCCGGAGTCGGAGCTCTGGGGCCTTACGTAACTCAAACCGCAATTGTGGGCCAATGACGGGGCATAAGCGAGCATTCCCTATCTATACTCCTGCTCCAATATCTATGCCATAATTCGCCCAGATAATCGCTGATCCATGCTACAATGGGTGGTTATCGCCAACCTCCAGGGCAACGATCGCCAGTGCTGGCAACTGAAGTTGGCCACCTTATGCGGCAGTGGTAGTGTTGGCTGCATGCGCCTTGACTACGTGTCTTGTGCAGGTTGCCCATTGGGCACCCATATTTACTTCTTTAAATCCGGTTGAGCACTGTCGACAAGTACGAGTAGCTGTGCAGGCACATCATATCGTCAATTTACCGAGTTTTGTTGATGGACAAGTAGATCATCGTTCTCATTTGAAGTCAAGAGCCTCCATCATAGTCTCCAAGAACACGCTCTATGTATTGTATTAAATTAATGTAAAAGAGCCCTCATGCTATTGTTCGCCCCAAAAGAAAAAGAAGTCCCGAAATAGTGCACCAAATACCCAAATCCAGTAGATATCTTACAACAACCCCCTCAGAACGCCAGTCTGCTCCAGAACAGCCCGGCGACTAGTGCCGCCCACAGCGTCTTTCAGCTCGACAGCACGCTCGTAATCCAAGCAAGCTTGCACGTCGTCATCGAAGCGAGCATCGACGGTCTTGAGCTGCTCCAAGGACAACGTATCCATGGGAACTCGGTACTTCTCAGCCAAGGCAACAACCCGGCCAGAGATATGGTGACCCTCACGGAAAGGCACACCCTTGCGGACAAGGTAGTCTGCAATCTCGGTAGCCAGCATCTCGGGGGCAAGAGCCGCGATCATCTTCTCGGGGATGACGGTAAGCGTGGAAAGAACGCCCGTGGCGATCTGAATGCTGTCGCCGACGGTCTTGATGTGGTCGAGGAGAGGCTCGACACTCTCCTGCAGATCCTTGTTGTAGGTGGTGGGTAGACCCTTGATGGTGCACATCAAGCCCGCCATCTGGCCGAAAGCACGGCCCGACTTTCCGCGCAGAAGCTCCAGGCTGTCTGTTCATCACTGAGTCAGCATGGTCTAGAATCAGCATATTAATACCTGATAAAAAGCTAACATACCTGCGTTCTTCTTTTGAGGCATCAACGACGAACCAGTCGAGTAAGCATCCGACAAGCGAACAAATCCAAACTCCAAGCTGCTATAGATGATGAGATCCTCGGCCCAGCGAGAGATCTTCAGCATAAACGAGCTACCCCACTGCATGGTCTCCATGGCGAAGTCACGGTCGGCCACGGCATTCATCGAGTTGTACAAAAGACCATCGAAGCCCAGCTCCTTGGCCATTGCCTCACGATCGATCTGGAAAGGATTTCCGGCGAGAGCGCCGGTACCGAGGGGGCTGCGGTTGACACGCTTGGTGACTTCGCGTAGACGTTGCAGCTCGCTGGCAAAGGCGGTGGCATGCGACAGGATCCAGTGACTCCAGCGGACGGGCTGAGCCTTCTGCAGGTGCGTGTAGCCAGGCATGAGGTATTCGATCTCCGACTCGGCACGAGCAATTGAGACCTTGATGAGATCGCACAGAAATTGGTCAAGCTTGCGCAGTTCATCGCGGAGCCAAAGCCGCATGTCCGTCGCAACCTGCTCGTTCCGAGACCGACCAGTGTGCAATTTGCCGCCAATCTCCTTGCCGATGATCTCCGACAGGCGACGTTCATTGGCAGTGTGGATGTCCTCATCATTCTCCTTAACGACGAAAGAATTTGTGCTCCATTCCTCGGCGATCTGGGCGAAACCGCGCTGGATCTCGGCGAACTCGTGTTCGGACAGGATACCGGTCTTGGTGTTGGCGCGGGCAAAGGCAATGGAGCCGGCGATGTCCTGTTTCCAGAAAATGCGGTCGTATGGCAAGGATTCGTTGTACTGCACCATTAGGGGGTCGAGGCCCTCTGTGACCATAAGAAACGGGACGCGTTAGCTGCAGTGTAGGCCATTGAGATTGGAAAAGGAGACGAACGAGTGAATCGACCACCCCAGAGCATGTTCTCTGCCACAGCTTTAGGACCGCTCATGATTGTGATTGGGAAGTGTGTTTGTGAAGATGTGAGGTGTTGAGAAAGGGAAGTTGAATTGAGAGGTGAGGAGCGAAGATAATAAGGGAGACCAGTCAGGGTGGGGAAAGCTGAGTATGACTCCTTCGCTGGAATAGGCAAGTGTGAATCATCGCCCTGAGTCGGGGACTTGCGGGAGCGACATCGGGAGTGCTCAGGACTGGTCACGGGTGCCAGTGCATTCCCGCTGCCGCCAGGGCTGTTCATTGGACAAACCCAGGCTGGGGGAATCTAGGCCCGATACGGCAAGTGGCTCTCACCATAGTCACGTGGGATCGAAGGCCCTCCTTTAGGGCAGCATAGCATCACTGGATCTCATCTGACCGAATGCCTCGGAAGGATGCCTTAGTCCAGAATTCCATGACATGCAGTTAGTCCTAGTGGAGCCTGACGTCAAAAATAGCGTCTGTAGACTGTAGATTTATCAATTGGAAGTATAGATCCTCTTCAATCAATGTCGAATACGAAGCCAGACGAGTCTTACCAACCATCAGGCACACATGGTCACGGATACGAAGACCCTTGAGGGCGCAAACAAGCAGTCCACCAATCTGATGTTCAGTTACACTCAATTCAAGCCGCGCCCTTAAGACGACATAAGAAAGACCCGCCGCCCCTCCGCGGTCTTCATCATCCATGACTCAGTACCAGATATTCTTCACTATTTAGTCTGGACCACCTCACCACCACCCTACAACCTATTCTCAATTCAAGCCTCTCGATCCAGTCCTCACAATCAAGCACACAATACACCATGACAACCCACTTCCCGCCTCCCCCCGTCAGCTCCATCGACTGGAACAACGTCGGCTTTAAAGTCCGCGATGGTAAGTCCGCAACCACCACCTAGGCCATGAAACCTCCAAACCACCACCCTCAGCCCCTTCCCCCTTCTTAGTAGCAAAATACTAACCATCTTCTCGAAAAGTCAACGGCCACATCGAAAGCCACTACTCAACCAGCACATCGACATGGTCGGCGCCCAAATTCGTCGCGACCCCGCACCTGAGCATCCACGGGATGGCCCCGGGGCTAAACTACGGGCAACAAGCGTACGAAGGGCTGAAAGCATTCCGACACGCCGGCGAGGGCAACAGCAACGGCAAGATCACGATCTTCCGGCCGGAGCGCAACGCAGTGCGGCTGCGGCACTCGGCGGAGTTCATCTCGATCCCGCCGGTGCCGGAGGCGCTATTCGTGGAAGCGGTGCAGCTGGCAGTGGCGGCGAACGCGGAGTTCGTGCCGCCGCACGAGACGGGCGCGGCCATGTACATCCGGCCGCTGGTGTTCGGGTCATCGCCACAGCTGGCGCTGACCGCGCCAGAGGAGTACACATTCGTGGTGTTCGTGATGCCGACGGGCGTGTACCACGGCGTCAGTGCTGTGGATGCGTTGATCCTGGAGGACTTCGATCGCAGTGCGCCGGAGGGGACCGGGTCGGCGAAGGTCGGTGGAAACTATGCGCCTGTGCTGCGGCATAGCGCTAAGGCGTACCGCGAGGGATTCGGGATTACCTTGCACCTCGATAGTCGGACCCGGTCTGAGGTGGATGAGTTCTCCACGTCCGCGTTCATTGGGGTCAAGAAGGCTGCGGATGGCTCGGTCACCTTGGTGCAGCCTGATAGTAAGAATGTTATTGACTCTGTCACGGCGCAGTCGGTGCTGGAGATCGGTACCCGACTGCTCGGCTATAAGGCCGAGCGGCGGCGCGTGCCATACGAGGAGATCAAGGAGTTTGACGAGGTGATTGCCTGTGGAACGGCGGCGGCGCTCGTGCCTATCCGGAGCATCACGATGCGGTCGAGGAACGATAAGTTTGAGTTCCAGAGCGGCGGGGAGGCGAACAATGGCGGCGAAGTCTGCGTGAAGCTTCTGCAGACGCTGAAGGGGATTCAGAACGGGAAGGTCGAGGATTCCCTTGGCTGGAACTTGACCGTGGAAAGACCGCCGCAGGAATTGTTCGAGGGTGCGGGCGCGCCTGAAGAGGCCGAGTCGAACGGTGTCAATGTGCCTTGAGAAAAAATCTATAGCGGGATCTAGGTAATCTAAAAGTAATACAAGACAAGGAAATGCTTTCAATCATCATTGCTCGTATTGGCATTGCGGCTGTCTACTCTATCACATTAGGAACATGAAACCATTCGTTAATGAGATTTACATTATCATTTTGGCCATGACAGACTCATGTATCCTACATTAATCACTGCCACTCCCACTGTCACTGTCGCTCTCGCTCTCACTTTCGCTTTCGCTCTCTTCCTCGCTTTCACTGTCCTGATCAGCTCCAGGGATGACTGGCTTTGCTTTTGACTGGAGATGCTTGCTTGCCTCCAACTCTCTAGCCCTCTGCTGCTCCGCTAGTTCCTTCTGCCGTCTCTCTTTCAATTCTTTCAGTGAAGAATGAGTCGCCTGGGGAACCCCGCGTGCGTGCGACCAGGTGACAGTCGTGGGAGGGAGTCGGGACAACGGCGGAGACTTCGAAGTGAAAGGCGTAGACGCATTGGGCCGATGGGTGACGTTCTGCGTTGAAGGTGGCGGACTGTTGTCTTCTTCAGACTCCGAGCTTGAGTCTGAATTTGAATCTGATTCCGAGTCAGACCCTGAACTTGATCCGGTGAGATCGAGCTTCGTCGGCGTCGTTGACCCATTTTTAGCCTGTGTACTACGAGCTGGAGTCGATGTCAAGGAGCTCTGGACCCGTGGAACTGACCCTCCTTGCGTCGGTTGAGGGGTTGGGGTGCCATTGGCTTTGGTCGCGCTTTTCGAACCGGCCGGTGTTGTACGCATTGGTTCGACCTTTTTGGTTGGCTGTAATGACTTCGTCTTCGAAGATGCTGCAAGTAGGCTCTTCAAGAGCCCCGATTTCTCGACCTGCTGACGCAAGTCTTTGAATTTATTCCGTTGCTCTCTCTTAGCAGAAGCTTCGTTCTTCCGTCGGCCGTTTGGGTTGGGCTTCTGAAGTGCATCCCATGTGTTCAGCACTGCCTTTAACAGAGGAATGCCGTTATGATCACAGCCCTGCTTTGTGGCTTTCTCCAGCGTCTGTCGTGCTTCCGCCACCCACGCTTTCGCTTCAAATTCATCGAATACGGCTTGTTTGGTATTTTCCTTTGCACCAGGCTTAGGTATCATAGGAGATTGATCGGCAACTTTCGTATCCCGGACTGCTTCCTGTTTCTTACTAGTGCCACTGGACCCTCTTTGAGTCGACGCGGGTGCTGGCCCGGATTTGGTCACAATGAGATCAACATTATGAGGAGACGATACTGTTCCGCGGCGTTCAGGCTGCTCGTCAGCCGATGTGCCCTTGCACAGAGTTGTTGGGCCCCCTTTCATTGGAGTCGCCAGCTTCGATGGGGTTCTCTGAGCACGTGACGGTGAGCTAGGCGAGGGTGCGCGCACTGCTGATGGCTTGCTAGAAGGGCTGCTGGTGATGCCTAATCCAAGGCCAGACTTAGGTTGCGCTCGGGGTGAGCACTCTCCGAGGCCCAAACGTCGCCCAGCGCCTGAGAAAGACGGGGCTCTATCACGACGGCGCGGCGTGCTGGAACTAGCCTCGGCTTTTGTCAAAGAGTGCGCCGAGGTGTCCTCCACTGCTTGGGTACTCTTAGGCTCCTGTCGTCGCGGCTCCTTGTTGGGCTTCAAAGTCTCCGGGCTCAGCTTTCGCTTACGCAATGCATTGTCTTGCAGAGCATCGGCGTTTGTACTGCCGGAGACATTGCCCCTCGGATTACTTATCCCCGCATGGGCTGGTCCAGAAGACAGATCGTCTAGCACTACTTGGGTTGTAGCTCGGGTCGTCGTGGCCGCCCGTTCTAGAGTCTCCAATCCTTCATTGATGTATTCAGGTTCACTTTCGTCGATGACGATCTCCATGATCTCGCTTTTGTTGGGACGATTTTGCTCGACGCCGACATCACTCTGCAACGGGGCATGCAAAGGGTCTGTTTCCTCTTCTGATATAGTCTGCGGCGCCCTCACTTGACTCGAGCTGCTCTTGGCAAATAGTGGGTGTGTCTTTAGGATGCTTGATTTGCTCTCCTTGCAATGCAAATCGCCCAATTCCTGGCTTTCCGCCCGCTTGTGTGTAGGGGTTGGCGCGAATACACTAGCCGTCCGTTGACGACGTTGCAGTTGCTGCTGAGCGATCTGTTTGTCTAAGTGTGGAGGTGATCCAGGAATCTCATCTCTCTCAACAGAGAAGACAGGAATATCGCGAGGGCGCATTAAACTGTCATGCATACTCCCTGCTGAAGAGGTCGTACGGTTACGAGCCAATTCGAATCTGAAAGCATCCTTGGGGTCTTCATAGATGGTCGGGAATTGGTTCATTTCCTTCTTGATGATCTCCTTCTTGATTTGCCTCTGGCGCTCAGCGTCTTCTGCAAGAGCATCCCAGTCGTGAGTAACGGAGGGCAATCGAACAGGTGTGTATTGGCTTGGCTTCTGAATGACGCGGACAGTGGCGCGCTGATCGGAAGCATCCTGACGAGCCTTGCCTTGGTTGACGAAGACATCGGCCACAGTCAATTCAGCATCGAGGTCGTAGTCATCGTTCTCATCGTCAAGCAGCTTTTTGATCTCGAGAGGTCTGTTCATCCAGCGTCTGTTAGCACACACGAAGCACCCGCGGACAACGGCACACTCTTGTCACTCCAGTCGCGCTGAACTTTGCTCGAGCGAAGGTGGGAAGGCAGGCCCACGCCATGGGATCCTTCATCTCTGGTTAAACCAAACAGGTACTTACTCGGCATTCGGTCTTCTCTTTTTCCATTTCTCGCATATGATATGGGCCAATTCGCCCAGATTCGTCTCCTCAGGGCTATCGAGTACGACCAAGAAGCTATCTATCTCCCGGTCCCGGAATTGAGGCTTTGCGCGACCAAGGCCATCACGATCAGTCGATGACGATGCGCCCTGCAGCTGCTCGCGGGAGAAGACTTTAACACCGAGTCGCAAAAGGACCATGTCGGAGGCGGAGCGTGGAGAAACACGAGTTGTAGGAGCGATAGGCGATAGCGATCAGGAAAGAGTCTATTTACTCCGTTGATTGCGGAATTGTTTGTCTGTGCATGTAAACACTGTGAAGAAGATCTTTCGAGGAGGTTAGGAAGAGGGAGAGGGAAGTTGAAAAGGAGTGGTAGAGGCGGGGTAAGAGGGAGAGAGGAAGAGGAGAGGGAAAGGTTGGAAAGGGTGGGTGACTAGAAACATAACACAGAGCGAAGTGTTATATGAATGAAAAGATCCCAGGTTGCGACAAGGTGAATGGAGGCATCAAGTGTTCAAGTTGTGTTCGGATTTAACGATCTGTAGCAAAATATAATAAATTGTGATCGCGACCAATCATTGGTTGGCGGGAGCGCAAAGCCCACGCGTTTCACCGCCCGGTATCCACGGGTACACTGCGCGCAGTCACGTGCCAGATCATCGCCACCAAATCGGGCTAAATGACTTGAAAGTACTAAGAAACTCCACGGTAGTGCAGGCTGGTAGCGAAGAATTAAGGTAAACGATTTATGTCCTTATGCTGATCATCTCTTCTATGTACTTGCCTACATAAAGAACGGCTTTTCTGGCTTCCTGATGACACTGATCCAGGTCAAGTCAGCTGGGTATGTAAAATGTGACCACAACCTCACCAATGCCAATAAAAGTACAGTACATGTGGTATCTCAATTCAAATTCAAGTTCCACGTCTACTGCAAGAACCTTTCCACTGCGCCTCCAATGTTCTTCAGGTCAAGGAGGAACGTATCATGTCCAAAAATTGAAACATCCTCTCCCAATTCAATATGCTCCACAGTCTGGTTCCCTGTGGCGCGAAGCGTCTCTGCGATTTCTCGCTGTTGCCAAGCAGGAAAGAGAATATCACTGGCGACCCCGATGACCAGGACAGGGTGGTTCTTCAGTGGCGCGAGTCCACGAACCAGGTCCTGCGGGGGCGTGTCCGGGGCCTCTCCACCCTCAGTAACAGACTGGTCCATCGAAGGCGTAGACGCAGTCTGGAACGGCTGTTCTTCGTACGGCTTGGTGGGAAGGGTCAAGCTGCAGGTGATGTTGTTCTCCTGGGTATCGTTACCACCCTCGGCAATCTTGACTTCATTGGCTGCTCTTCGCTTCATGGTCTCTTCTTGATGGGCATACCCCAGATCAAACAGATCCATGGCCTTGGAGACATAAAGGAGACTGTTCGGGTCATACTCCAAGCAGAATTTCTCACCCGCATGGTCAAGGTATGTTTCAATCAAGAAGTCTGGGCAAAGAGCGGGTTGCTTGCTGGGATCCGCACGCTTGCGTCCAAAGCGCATCTCCCATTCGGGGCCACTGCGGTATGTTACCGTAGCGATCTCTCGAGCGAGCTTCATCCCCGAATGAGGCGGCACGGAGTCATAGTAGAAACCCCGGGCCCACTTCGGGTCCATCATCAGCACCTGGCGCTGCGTGTGTCTCATCGCAATGCTGTATGGGTGGCTTCGGGCGCACCCGCTGATACTCACAACTTTGCCGATGCGCTCCGGGAATAGGACACCCGCAGCGAGACTTTGCATACCGCCCATGCTGGAACCAACAGACGCATACAATTTTTGAATGCCCAGTGAGTCAAGGAGACGGAATTGTGCCCGTACCATATCGTCTATCGTAAGGATGGGGAATCGAGTGGCGTATCTCTTGCCGTCTGAAGGGTCGATCGACGAAGGTCCAGTGCTTCCGTAACATCCTCCGATAACGTTCGTGCAGATTATGAAATGCTTGTTCGTGTCGAGAGGCTTGCCGGGGCCAATAAACTTCTCCCACCAGCCCGGCTTGGGGTTGGTTTCGGTGCTGTGTGCGTGACTCGATGCCGAAAGACCGGTGTGCAGCAGAATGGCATTGCTCTTGTCCGCGTTCAATTGACCCCACGTTTCATATGCAATATTGAATTCGCGGAGCACGCCGCCCCAGTCGAGGAGAATCGGATCTTCGCAGTGAAATTGTTCGTGCTGTCCGGTGGTATAGGAGGGTTCGGGTCCGGATTCGAGCGACCGTGCGGAGAGCTGGGCAGATATGGCATCCTGAGCATCGAGGCAGGGAAAGGAGAGGGCTGGATTGGATGAGTATCTGGTTGTGTTTGATTGCGCGGTGGCCGGCTGTGCTCTGCGCTGGGAAGCCTGATATAATGCGCGGGACTGCAATAGGGAGCTGGCTCGGAGAACTGGACGCTTCGCAATCAAAGTAGAGAGGCTATTGCGCTGAGTCAATGATCGTACGACCCTCGAGACTCGGGGAACCGAGCGCGCCATGCCTTGTGGGCCCATGGTAATCCAAGCGAAGCTTGTATATCAAAGAAAAACAAAAGCAAGAAAAACGAAATGATGCGGATTGATCGGTGACTCGGCCGGACTCATGTTTTATCGTCTGCCACATGCGCAGGACGGTGGGAGTGCCTAAGGCCGTAATTGTCAGCCATGCTTTCATGGCGTCATTTGCGATGCTCCTGATTGGCCTTCTAGATTTCAAGCACATTATGTAACCGCGTCAGGGCCGATAACGGCTCAATAAACAACCGTACTCATGCACTTTACTCCGTAAGTGTGATTCTATCCACACCCATGTCAGCTACTAGGCTGCCTGCCAGTCATCAATTAGAATTCGGTCTCAATTGATCCTGGTCCTCAAGCTTCGGGTCCAGACTCCAACTTGTTGCTGCAAGGGTCCGTCGCACTACTACCCGCGAAAGTCCCGACGGGCGATCCACACTCCATACTAAACCCCTTCGCCGAAGCCGACACAATCACCAACAAGAGAAAAGTCATCTTCTTGAGCTGCATCTGGTGCTGCACACGACGAATCGAGACAACTTTTTCTGCCTACTGTCTCCGACTTGAGCTTTTCACGCTCAATGCACCATCTTGTCGCGAGATCTATCGTCAATGCCCCGGTATATGCAAAGCTGGCTAGCCATGATACAGGTTTCATTAACTGATTAAGCTGGTTACATGCAAGACAATGACAATTCTGTTTACAAAATGCAAAGCAGGGAGACTCCTATTTCTTAAAATCAATCCCGTGGTGACACAGGAATTACTCTCCCATGCCAACCCAGACCAGCTGCAGGCCAGCATGGGCGCAGAGTTTGTGTCGGCAACAAGAAGCGTATGACGCACCATGCATTTGCTATGGATTTAAGCGCCAGTTTCCGGACAGTTAGTCCTCTGGTAAGTAATGGGAAATGACCAAGTCACCCAAGTGTCGCTTGCAGTTGCCGAGCGAGCACGCCAGGGCTGGAATGTTGGTTGCGTCGCTTGGCATGTGAGGTATGTGAACAATCGGGATGTCTGCACTCATTACCTGCTGGCTTCGGCCTAGGTGCATTTGAAAGGTGCCCATTACTGTTGATTAGACTGCCTGGAAAGAGACTTTGCACCAACATACGGTATTCAAGCTCTTGCACGCGATCATCAAGCAGGGACTGTTCCAATCTACGAAGACGTCGATACCTTGGCATAAAAGCCAATTTCCCGGAGACTAATCGCTCGCGAATATGTTCGTCTATGCCTGACATCAATTTAAATCTAGTTCTTGTTTCAACAAAGGCTAAATCCGATATGAAACCGCATGCTCTTGGAACTGATCATTACTCGGCGCTTCAATCACGGATCCTATACCAGATCTTCCTTAGATAAGACATCTCCGTTTCGAGATAGTGGACCTCGTGGTCCGATAGCATGACCATTAGCAGACTTCAGAGTCTGGTTCCTGGCATGATTTGACTTTCCCCCTTAGGGATGACATACACACGACCATGGGGTCAACACCCATGACAAGATCGCGGGGTCTATATAATTTCCTAATCCAGATATAGACAAGATGAGCCTGTCCGCGTGCAACCATGTCAAGTCCCCAAGCAGAGTATAAGATAGATGGACGCTTTCCCCGCAAGATAGGTGTTTTAACGTCCACCCCAAATCTAACTCTTCGACTCGAGCTCTTGATCATTACAGTCTACCTTGTCAGCCCACCATGAAATTCCTAGCCTCGATTCTCACTACCACCTGCCTGGCCAGCAGTGTCCTTGCTGCTCCCCGCAATGGCCTAGCAGATCGCATTCAAGCCCGGTCCATGAATCGTGGCTCGCGTCCCCTGCAACCACTCCCATCAACATCAGACTCGAGGAACAATTACCGAGAAGCAGAGGAGTTATCCCTCAACACATCCCACGTCACCTACAGCAGCAACTGGGCCGGGATCGTCCGCGAACAGCCTCCCGTTGCAGGCCCATACACAGCCGTCAGCGCGACCTTCCAAGTCCCCAAGCCCACCGCCGCAGCCAACAGCCGCGGGACGCAGGCCGGTTCGGCCTGGGTTGGCATCGACGGCGACACATACAACGCCGCCATCCTCCAGACCGGGGTGGACTTCTACGTCCAGAACGGCAAAGTCTCCGCCGATGCCTGGTACGAATGGTATCCGGACTACGCGTACGACTTCGGCCTCTCCGTGAGCCCCGGGGATACCATCGTGGCCAAGGTCCAGGCCCTCTCCCCGAGCCAGGGCGTGGCCCTCATCGAGAACAAATCCACCGGTCAGAAGGCGTCGCAGACGATTTCGGCGCCGGAACCGACAGCCACCCTGGCGGGCCAGAATGCAGACTGGATCGTCGAGGACTTCCAGGCGGGCGATCAGCAGGTGGCGCTCACGGACTTTGGCACGGTTACGTTCACGGGGGCGCAGGCGCAGGGCGGTGGTCAGAATGTGGGGGTCCAGGACGGGACGATCATCGAGCTGAAGCAGAATGATAAGGTGTTGACGGAGGTGGATGTGCAAAGCAATTCGAAGTTCAGCGTTACCTACATCGGATGATTCCCGGGGCAGTTGCATGCATGCCTCACGATTTATACTTCATCTGGCGTTCTATTTGGATTATCCTGGTGTACTTACAAGCATGGAGCAATGTCATTTCGTCTTCCAAGATCAGTGTATGGCTTCCAACCTTTTAAACTCACGGTTCCCTAACGCACACACCATGGAAAGAGATATATCCCAACTCTTGCAACTAGCACCACCCTCTGTCCGACCGCCTAAGGCAGGAAGAAATCTAAGCAATGCTCTTAATAGCCTCCTCCAACTCCCTCACATTTCCACCGACCACGCGCTTCTCCTGCAACTGCCCATCTTTATACAGCACAAAGGTCGGCATGGCGCGGACCTGCAGCTCCTGCGCCACGGAGCGCACCTTGTCGACGTCGACCTGAATGAACCGGACATTGGTGTAGGTCTCGCTGAGCTTGCCGATCTGCGGGGCGACAGCCTTGCAGGGGCCGCACCAGGTCGCGAAGAAATCGACCACGACGGGCCCGGACGAGGTGAGAGCCTTGAAGATGACAGGGCTGTGGGTTGGGAATAGGTTAGCTTGGAATTCTTGCGCTTTTCTTGTTTCCTATGTAGTGCCTGGGTAAATGAGAGGGGGAAGCGCATACTTGTCAACCTCGATGACTTTTCCGTGTGGCATGATGGGGGCGGCGGGGAAGAATCGGCTTTTGATGATGCGGAAGACTGGGGGTGAGTTAGTAAAGGATTGATGTTCAATTATTGAGGAGAGGTACGTACGGATCCAGAGGGTGAGTCCGATGATGATTCGAGTGAAATCCATGGCCGGGTAAGGGAAGAGAGCAAGAAGGATCGACTTGGGAAGATCAGTTTAGATGGCGCGGATAATGGCGGATCAGGCGCGATTCCTCCGCCTCGGCTATTGGGGGACAGGAGTTGTTCTCCACTTGGAGGGTATGTCGTTGTATTGATAACCTGGCAGAATAGCGACCACGAGCAGTCAATTGGTGAAGACGCTTGACGTTATTCAGACTCTAAGTGATGACAAAACTCTCCAACACGATCACAGGGTGATTTAAGGGGAGATATGCGACTGTCTATTCATGCATTGCGACAAGCTCTTAGCCACTTATGGCAGGCGGTAGAAAGTCGTCGTGGCAGTAAGATCGACCAAGACCCCGGCGGTGAAGGAGCACTCCATCCAAATTATGCCAGCATAAGATGACTCAGCGGGCACATGCGCCTTCCCCCGATGCATAACCACCACTTTCCACGCAATCCCCTGAAGCAGGCTGATCGATACCTCACATTTGTGTCTTAAGGGCTAATCACATTGGAAGCAATGCCACCAGACTCCTCCTAATCTCTCTATTAGAGCTTTCCACCCACAATGGCCATCAAAAAGGTGCCAACTCTCCCCTACCGTCGAGGCTCGGACGCCTCCGAAGCGGACTTCTTCGACATCCCCGACGAACCGTGCTGGGCCATCATCAAGCGCCAGCTGCGACACCTCCGGACCTGGGTCGCGTTCATCTTCTTCGTGCTCTTCATCCTCTTCCTCCGCCGCGAGAAACCCCCGCCGCCGAAAGTGACCCATATCGACTACACCCGAGTGGACTGGACCCGCTACGCCTACAGCCAATATGCCACCTCGAGCCCATACCTGTGCAACGCACTTTTGACATTCGACGCACTGGAGCGCCTCGGCAGCAAAGCGCAGCGCGTGCTCTTCTACCCCGAGAAATGGGATGTAGTGGTGGAAAGCGACCGGGACCGGGACAGCCAGTTGCTGGCGATGGCGCATGAGAAGTACAATGCGCTGCTGGTGCCGATCGATGTGCAGATGGTCAAGGCAGGAGCAGGTACGTTTCTCAAGTTCTACCACACATGATCGGGACATAGAAATGTCTCCTACGGGGGTCATCACATCATACTCACGCCTCGTATTCTAGGCCCCGGCGAATCCTGGGACAAGAGCACGACGAAATTCCTCGCATTCGGCGAAACAGAATTCGACCGGGTAATCCACATCGACTCAGACGCCACGGTGCTGCAGAACCTGGACGAACTGTTTTTCCTGCCCTCGGCGCAGGTCGCCATGCCGCGCGCCTACTGGCAGCTCCCAGAGAAGCGGCAGCTATCGTCGCTGCTGATCGTGCTGGAGCCGTCATTCAAGGAGTACTACGCGCTGACGGAGGCCGGCGAGGCGGTGACGTACGGGCAGGTCAACACCACCACCAGCTCCTCCGCGGCGGCAGCCCAGGGCGGCAGCCGGTACGACATGGAGCTGATGAACGGCCGGTACGGCGACTCGGCGCTGGTGCTACCGCACCGCCAGTACGGGCTGATCACGGGCGAGTTCCGCGCCGACGACCACCGCGCCTTCCTGGGCAACGAGTGGGAGGCCTGGGACCCTGAGCGTGTCCTCAGCGAGGCCAAGCTCGTACATTTCTCTGACTGGCCGCTGCCCAAGCCGTGGGTCATGTGGCCCCAGGAGCTGCTGGCTGATATGTTGCCCAAGTGCAAGGTCATGCCTGGTACCATGCAGGAGAGCGGGTGCAAAGACCGCGAGATCTGGAAGAAGCTCTACGATGATTTTCGCCGTAGGCGGAGGGTGAGTGCTCTCCTTTGCTCCCAGAAAAACTTTTTCCCCCCGCCAATGATTATCATGCAATTTCTCGGGCTGGACGAACACCCCTCGCTAACAGCATTGCTTCTCTAACTACATAGGACGTATGTAAGCTTCTCAGCTACCCGGCGCCGAACTGGCCGCCGCGGGAAAACCCCGAGACCTCCTCGCAGAACGAGGCACCTCAACCTCAACCTGTTTCATGATCGCAAACTATACCATAGGCAGTTTTTCGGCGTCATCGGGTGTTTATATTAGATGGGTTGTCACTGGACTTTTTATTTGGGATAGACTGTCGTACTCCAAGCATTTCGCACTGTATATTAGCCACAGGATGGAGGGTATCATGACAAACAAAATCAATGTGAATAATTGTACATAAAGCTGGCGTGCTAGTAGCTTCAGGCGACTTTGACAGAGAAGCATGAACGAGGTACAGCACTGACTCACCAAGCTGTGACTACAAGATATATTCCGAGTCAAGAAGCCTTTATCTAGCCTATGCTTTCTCTGACTTCTGCGCAGCTTACCATCAACTATCCAGCAGCTAAGTGAACAAGCAGAGAAACGAATGATTGAAAATTTTTATATTTATTGAATTTTCCCCCATTGCGCTAAAGTAAGGTAGCAGGCCACCAGTACTGCAGCCGGGGAGCTTTCGCTCTAAAATCTATAACTAACGCCATCCCAAGGTCGTCTATCGTCATGTTGAATCGCATTGTGAGTTGGCCCACGCCATCACAATGCTCAAGGTATAATCCAATGAAGGATGGAATGTTGAAATGGTACTTGCAATACCGAAGAGAGAATTAGGGCAATAAAGTAAAACATGGGTATCATCGAATCTAAGCAGTATCCTCCACAGGACCGCAGGTACAGAACAGGTTCTGGTCACCGTAGGCTAAAGAAGTGAGTTAGCAATCCGTTGGGTAGCAGGAAATGGGTTCGAAGGAGGTTAGCTTACCATCATCCACGCGAGTCACTGAGGGCCAGAACTTCTTCTCCACCAGGTAAGGCAGAGGGTAGGCCGCAGTCTCCCGGGTGTAAGGGCGAGTCCACTCCGTGGCGAGTAGGTCGCGCTGCGTGTGCGGGGCCATCTTCAAGACGTTGCCCTCCCGGGGCTGAGAGCCGCTCTCAACGGCCGCGATCTCCTGACGGATGGAGATGAGAGCATCGCAGAACCGGTCGAGTTCAGCCTTGCTCTCCGACTCGGTCGGCTCGATCATGAGAGTGTTGGACACTGGCCACGACATGGTCGGGGCATGGAATCCGTAGTCCTGAAGACGCTTGGCAATATCAATCGCCTCGATGCCACAAGTATCCTTGAACTTGCGCACATCAAGGATAAATTCGTGCGCGCAACGACCGTTCTCGTTGGTGTATAGGATAGGGTAGTGCTCCTTGAGGCGCGAAAGGATGTAGTTGGCGTTGAGCAGCGTGATCTTGGTCGCATGCGTAAGACCCTTAGCACCCATCATGTTGATGTAGTTGAAAGTGATAGGCAAGATGCTAGCGCTACCCCAAGGAGCAGCGCTGATCGGGGGAGACGAGGTCTCGCCGCGCTTGGACTGAAGATATTCGCTGACGGGGTGAGAAGGCAGGAAAGGGCGCAGGTGCTCAGCAACTCCGATAGGACCAACACCCGGACCACCACCACCGTGGGGAATACAGAAGGTCTTGTGAAGGTTGAGGTGGCACACGTCAGCACCAATCTCACCCGGCGAACACAGGCCAATCTGAGCATTCATGTTGGCGCCATCCATATAGACCTGGCCACCATACTGGTGAACAATCTGACAGGCCTCCTTGATACCAGGCTCGTAGACACCAAAGGTGCTAGGGTAGGTGATCATAACGGCGGCGAGATTCTCTTGGTGCTTCTCACATTTAGCTCTCAGGTCCTCCAGGTCAAGATTGCCAGTCTTAGTGTCACACTTGATGGTGACAACACGCATGCCAGCCATCGCGGCACTGGCAGGGTTAGTACCATGAGCGGAGACAGGAATCAGGCAGATGTCGCGCTTCGAGCCTTCGTGTGCCTCTTGGTACTTCTTGATCACACGAAGACCGGCGAATTCACCCTGAGCACCAGAGTTAGGCTGCACAGTGACCTCAGCCATACCAGTAATGTCGGCAAGTTGCTGCTCCAGATCGTCAATCATCTGAGTGTATCCCTTGGCGGTGTCGGCCGGCATGAAGGGGTGAATCTGGGAGAACTCGGGCCACGAGACAGGAATCATTTCGGTGGTTGCGTTAAGCTTCATGGTGCAAGAGCCCAGAGGGATCATGGAGTGGGCCAGCGACAAATCCTTAGACTCGAGGTGATGAATGTAGCGCAGCATCTCGGTCTCTGAGTGGTGTGAGTTGAACACAGGGTGAGTAAGGTAGTCCGACTTCCGCTCCAAGTTGGCGGGGACGGATGACACAGCGAGCCTGTCTTCAAGGGTAACCTCGCCCTTGCCGACATGGTTGGCGAAGACCTGGAGGACAGACCTCACTTCCTCGCGTCCAGCAGTCTCGTCCAGAGAGATTCCAACCTTAGTGCCATTGACGCGACGGAGGTAGATGTGCTGTTGGCGTGCCGCAGACATAAGAGCGTCGGCTTCCTGGCTGCTAGACAGCTCAACAACAACCGTGTCAAAAACAGCACCGCCATCCGCAGTATTGCTTTTGACAGGAACGTTGTAGCCCAGAGCCGCAAGCTGAGTCTGCAAGGTGGCAGTCATGGACATGATACGCTGGGCAATAGCCTTCAAGCCAGTCGGGCCGTGGTAGACAGCATACATGGCGGTCATGTTAGCCAGCAAAGCCTGAGCCGTGCAAATGTTACTGGTGGCCTTTTCGCGACGAATGTGCTGCTCTCGGGTTTGAAGAGCCAATCGCAAGGCCCGGTTGCCCAGACGGTCCTTGGAGACACCTACAACACGACCGGGGATCTTGCGCTTATATTTGTCGATACAAGCAAAGAAGGCGGCATGGGGGCCACCGAATCCCATGGGAACACCCAGTCTCTGGGCATTTCCGAAGGCGATATCAGCACCAAACTCACCGGGCGCCTTGAGCAGGGTCAGGGCCAAAAGGTCCGTGGCCACACTGAAGGTGCCTCCGGCACTATGAATGGCGTCGCTCAGGGCTTGGAACTCGTAGATTCCACCCTCGGTATCAGGATACTGTGCCAGAACACCGATGAGGTTGTCGCCTTGCTCCTTCACGAGTTTGAAGTCGTCCGCGAGGATATCTCCGACAACCAGGTTGATGCCAAATCCTTCTGCGCGGGAGCGCATCACAGCGATAGTCTGAGGATGGCAGAGACTGGAAACCACATAGGACTTGCCGGGCTTCTTCTGCTTACCCATGGGCATGGTAGCCAGGGACATGGTCATCGCCTCGGCTGCGGCAGTGGCTTCGTCCAGCACGGAGGCATTGGCGAAAGGCAAGCCGGTAAGATCAGCAGTCAAGGTCTGGAAGTTCAGGAGGGACTCCAAGCGACCTTGACTGATTTCAGGCTGGTAGGGGGTGTAGCTAGTGTACCAAGCGGGATTCTCGAGGACGTTGCGCAAAATTACCGGAGGCACGATAGTTCCGTAGTAGCCGGTACCGATATATGTCTTTCCTGAAACATCGATCTCTTTGCGGTAGGTGTCGAGCAGCTTGAGCATGTCGGTCTCACCCAAGCCACCGTGCACACTATCCCGGTACAACTTGGCGTTCGAGCTCGGAGGAGAAACGATCAAATCTTTCTTGGAGAGGATGTCCGCGGGGAGGACCTGCTTCACGAATTCATCGAGAGAAGCTACTGGGGGATCTAGCGTAGCCAGCATCTCCTTGGCTGCGTCTGGAGCAGGGCCGATATGGCGCCTGGGAAAGGTATCGAGGGGTTGGAAGAGATCGCGAGGGTGAGGATCACCGTGGTCGCCAATAGAACTGGTGTAGACATGACGACGGGAGGCAGAAGGCTGCTCGGAGGTGGTGTGAAGAGAACGGAGGAGGGGTATAGATATTCTGCGAGCAGCAATTGAAGAAGGAATTGAGCGTACTCGCGTGCGCAAGGCAAGCTGACGAGAGCCACGCAGGGCGCACCAGGACGCAGCCATAGCTACGGTGGTGAATATGTAGGGAAGTATATGCGGGTATGGAGGAAGGGAGGGAGGGAAGGGAGAGGAAGAGGGAAAGGAGTAGGAATTGACACGACGATGGAAAGACTCAACACATGAGGCGGCACGGGAAATTAGAGAGATGAAAAGAAGAAGGAAAAGAGGTTTGAGTTTCACAAAATAAAATAAAAGGGCGCTCAAGAGAGCAAGCGAAGGAGCATGAATAGCTGTAGAATACCGCGGGCGATCCGGGACCGCGACGGGAAACTCGCATCGCACCCGATATCGCCCTTAGATTCCTCCCCGCAATCCGCGATAAGCAAAGCTCCTCCCGATAAGCTCTTCTTTTCCGCGGGAAAGTCGCCCCGGAATTATCTTCGCGCGTTCCTCCCTGCGTTCAGCAGTCACTTCAAGGAGTATCACTTGCTCGCGACTGAGATATTGTTATTCCAATCCGAACTGTAACACATCTTTACGTCTAACATCACGATCATTGTTTGACTATGATGATGTTTTATTACCACAGTGAAAAATCGTCGGGCGAAGCTTCTACGTAGCTATGATAGCATGCTCAATTCAAACTGTTTTCCCGATGTATGATGCAATTCTATGGAGTATGTCACTGGGTGGCCAATTTGACAGTTCCACCTCATCTCGAAGCCACCTGCCCAAGAGATGGTGATCCAGAAAATGGTGGTCATGGTGCTCCAACTGGCTTTACTGAATGGTACGAGCAGCTGAGCGTAGGTGGTTGTATACGAAGTAGAGCACAGTCCTGTGATGTTGCTAGCCTCAGGTATCCGTCAGGCACTATCACACGTGGGTAACAGTCACATGATTGTCGCTTATCAGTTCCAGTTGCAAGGTTTGCACTCCCCACTGATTGCCTCCTGATTGAGCGAGCCTGAAGGAAGATTTTCTCCCCCTCGATAAGAAAAGTGGTTGCAACTTGCGATACACGCCCCAATCCCGTTCGTTTTCCCATCCTTCTCACGAGTCTGCTCTCCACCGGGGCCACCTATCGCCAATATGTCTCCTGTCCCGATCGCCCCCGCGTCCGATGATATCGCGACGATTCTCCAGTCCGTCACACCCCCCGCGATGGCCCCGCATCGGTCGCACGACCCTTCCAACAACCAAAAGCGGAGTGATCCCTTCCAGTTCGGCTCTCGGTATCTGGAACAGGGCGACGACGTGTTCGAGTTCAACGCCTGGGACCACGTAGAGCCCGATGACGAATTCAAGGCTTTCGCCGAGGGGCAGTATGCGAAGCAGCGCGAATCTCCAGTATCCGAGTTCGACAGAAATCGCTTCAATGCCGATCCGGCCAAGTGGTGGAACCTCTTCTATAAAAACAATACCTCCAACTTCTTCAAGAACCGCAAATGGCTGCGCCAGGAGTTCCCCGTCCTTGACGAAGTGACTCGCCCGGGTGTGGGCAAGCGGGTCGTGTTGGAGGTCGGTGCAGGCGCCGGAAATACCGCTTTCCCGCTGTTGGAGAACAATGAGAACGAGGAGTTGATGGTTCACGCTTGCGACTTCTCCAAGACCGCTGTCCAGGTGATCCGGGACAGCCCCCAGTACAACACCAAGCACATTACGGCGGACGTGTGGGATGTGAGCGCGACTGGGGACGAATCGCTGCCTCCCAACGTAGCCGAAGGTTCGGTTGATGTGGTTGTGCTCATCTTCATCTTCTCTGCCTTGGCTCCCAACCAGTGGGAACAGGCTATCCGCAACATCTACCGCGTCCTGAAGCCAGGTGGTAAGATCCTGTTCCGGGACTACGGGCGGGGCGATCTCGCTCAGGTCCGGTTCAAGAAGGGCCGGTACATGGGAGAGAACTTCTACATCCGGGGAGATGGCACGCGCGTGTACTTCTTCGACCGGGACGAGCTCGAGAAAATGTGGGGTCAATGGACTCCGGAGAAGGGACTTCCCAAGGGCCTGGTGGCTGAGACAGAGGGCACGACCAACGACGAAACCACTGCGACTGAAGAGACGGCTGCCACCGAAGAGGCTGGCGTCTTTGAGGTACAGAAATTGGCTGTCGACAACCGATTGATCGTCAACCGTCAGCGCAAGATCAAGATGTATCGTTCCTGGATCCAGGGACACTTTGTCAAGACTGACAAAGCCGCTGCCGCTGACAATGAGAAGCACGAATCTTGAGTATGCATGGCACTAGATTAGAGTGTTATTTCATCGCGATGTCACCGCAATAGTGGCCATGTGAGGCGACTATTGTGCTCTCTCCGCGTGGGCGTCCATCGCCAGAGGAGCAGCTGGCTCATCCGAGGCTCTCATCCCCAGCGGGGGACCGCTGATACATTCCGATTCGCGACACTGGCAGGTTCAATAATTCGCTGTCACTCATGCCAGTTGCAGTCTTCGCTCATTGTATGGTCATGAACTCCGCCTTGCTCCCGGATTGTCAACGGCTTACCGGCACTATGATTGTGCGTGCGGGAGAATCCTGTCGGCAACACAGCTCCTCTCATGCTCGATACTATAATATCATGATTGAATACTCAATCATAGAACGTACGACGTCATGAACGACACGATCACTGCATTAGATCTACATTATCTACATAGAGAAGAATAGAGCAACGAACCTGATTTTGGGTCAGAACATACCTTGTCCGTTACCGTAATATGGCTGTAATCTCGTCGACTTGAATGGCAAGTATAATACCAGGTCTCAACTCGCTATATGAAATGCGAATGGAAGGATTTTATTAATGGCAACCCGGCTTCCAGTAGTCACGATGTTGGGGCGCATTACTGGGCTTGGCCGAGGTTGGAAGTATATATTGTGATTTGGCCAATTGATGGTCACCTAAATATGCTGAGTATCAGGCTACAGCAAATCCAGGAATACGAGTTTTCAGGCCTATTCTCACGAAACTTGTCACCCGAAAGTCATACTTAGAATTGCAGCTGTACTGAAAGGGCGACTCGGTCTCGGCTATATGGCAGGGAGAAGGCTATTAGAGAGTGGCGGGGATCCATCTGTATACGCCGATCATCATAATCTCCAATTACATATATCAGGCAGTGCTTCCACTGGCACTACTTGCTGTCAACTTAACTTGTTCTCCGTCGAAGAATTCTGTATATTCATCACCTATTCTTAACGTACAATGTCTCGTCTGTACGGGTTAGCTCGGGGAATCTGCCGGCGAGATGGTTCCCTGCGAGCGTCCCTCCTCCGATCCCCAGCCCGCTGCGGCTTCTCCACTACCACCGCACGCCCGTTGATGGAGCTGACGGGCTTCACGGAGGAGCAACTGACCGTCCGAGATGCTGTATCAGGCGTCTGCTCCAAATTCCCCAACACCTACTGGCAAGAGTGCGATCAGAATGAGCGCGATCCCAAGGAGTTTCACGCCGCGCTCGCGCAGGACGGATGGCTAGGCATTGCGCTGCCGGAGGAACTTGGGGGAGCTGGACTAGGTACGGAGCGGTGATATTTTCTCTCAACTAGTATTCTGTATTTACTGATGGAACGATGGCCAGGTATCTCGGAAGCAACGATGATGATGCAGACCATCACTCAATCGGGCGCAGGTATGGCCGGCGCCCAGGCCATCCACGCCAACGTGTATGCGACTCAACCGCTGGCTCGGTTCGGTACGCGCGAGCAACTGGAAGAGACCATCCCCAAGATCATCAACGGCACGTGGCGCACGTGCTTCGGTGTGACGGAGCCGAACACAGGCCTCGAGACGCTGAAGCTGAAGACGCTGGCGACCAAAGTCCCCTCCCGCGATGTCTACTCGGTGAGCGGGCAGAAGATCTGGATCACCTGTGCGCAGGTGGCCTCGAAGATGATCCTCCTAGCGCGGACCACACCGCTGGAGGAGGTGAGCAAACCGACCCAGGGACTGTCGCTGTTCTGCATCGACCTCAACCGCGACCAATCGGGCCTGGACATGCGCAAGATCAAGAAGATGGGCGGCCGAGCGGTGGACGCCAACGAGGTGTTCTTCGACCAGTATGAAGTGTCGGCGAAGACGCTGATCGGGAAGGAGAACGACGGATTCCGCATCATTCTGCACGGCATGAACGCGGAACGGTGTCTACTGGCCGGCGAGGCCTTGGGGTTGGGCTATGCGGCGCTGGAGCGAGCAGCGCAGTACGCGCAGGAACGAGTCGTCTTCGGCCGCCCGATCGGACAGAACCAGGGCATCGCGCATCCGCTGGCGGATGCGTACATGAAGCTCGAGGCGGCCAAGCTGGCCACCTACCATGCGGCGCGTCTCTACGATGCCTCGCGACACGATGAGAGTATCCCTGCGCACTCGGTGGGAGTGGCTTGCAACAGTGCGAAATATGTCGCGGCCGAGGCGGCCTTTACGGCGTGTGAGCGGGCGGTGCTCAGCCACGGTGGAATGGGCTACGCCATGGAGTACGACGTCGAGCGCTACCTACGCGAATGTTTAGTGCCCCGGATTGCACCAGTCAGTCGCGAAATGATTTTGAACTACGTGAGTGAGAAGGTTCTGCAGCTGCCTCGGAGTTATTGAGGGGGGTTGTATGACACAGTTGGTCAAGATTGAGTTTGGTAACATATCATAATTCGACATAGAAATCAACGACCCGACAACTCTGATCCCTCTCTTGCGGTGACAGGGCCTAGAATCTCTGGATGCATGACCTAGCCTGGAGATCGTCGTTTTTGTTATTGATGCGCAGTGTTTGCTGTTCTCGGACGCGGCGCATTGCAGGCATGGCTGTTTCCGGCGGTTTGATAGAACCTGAACGTTTTCCCAAGCGCAGCACTGATTGGGGACATCGAGAAAAAAAGCAAAAAAATGGCGCAGAAAATTTTACCTCTCCACTTCTGGAGACAACGGTAGTGAAAGTGTCGGAGCGTCCAGGGAATCTGGGACTAATCTCAGGCACGCATAGTGAAGACGGCGCTGTCGAACCAGGGAATTTCCCTGCCATATGCGGCATTTTCTCGCCCTCCTGCCCCTGTGCAGTGCTTCGTAACTGGTTCTGTCCTTGTTGACGATCGCAGCTATCTAACAGAACTTTTTTCTTTAAAATAATTTCTTTTTCTCTGATTGCCGATATGCATCAGCTAGGGAAAAAAAAGCAAACAAATGCAGCTAAAAAATAACCTGTGAGGCAGTGATTCGTCAATTGCAGTTGAGGATTGATCCATGGCGGCCGGCGACCTTTGGCTGCTTTTATTTTCTTTAATTTTATTTTATTTCCTTTTATTTTCTTTGATTTTACTTGGTTTGATTGACCGGAATCTAGTCTCGGCTGTTCCGCACTCCTGTCATCGATTGCCATTGTTCTTCTGTTCTTCTGTTCTTCGACCCTTTCCCCATCTTCCTTCTATCTTCAATCAAACACACACCCACTTTGACCGGCCTGACTCGCTCCGTTCACTAAAAATGCTTAACCTGCTCCGTTCGCCCCGTCTAGCTGCTATCGTGGGTCTTTGACCTACAGCAGTTCCGCAACGGCCTCCATCCGCTCTGGTCCTGCGCCCTTTTTCTCCCCCTCGTCGTCACCGATCGGCAGGCAACCGCAGATTCCCCGAATTCCTCCCACGCCTTCCCCCAGTCGGTCATCCTTTCTTCCCCTCCTTCTGTCTCCTCGTGGTCCCTTGAATTTTTAGATCTTCTTACTCCGAAATTCTTGACATCTTGACTGACTGTCCCCCCCCCCCTCCCCCTTGTTCCGTTCCCTTCCTTTTCACGGAGCAAGCTCCGTGCGGTAACACCGCAGGATGTTTTCCTCCATCTTGCGATGGGCGAACACCGTCACCTCGCGCATTCCCTGGGTGAAGGGCTTGGGCCTGAACTATATTCTTCTCCACTATATCTACATCATTTTCATGATCCTCCTCACCTCCGTCATTATCTACCCCGGTGCCAGTCTCACCTACACCGATGCTTTGTTCCTCTCCGCCAGTGCGTCTACCCAGAGCGGCCTCAACACGGTGGACCTCAACACCCTGTACACCTATCAGCAAGTTTTCTTGTACATGACATCTATGTTGACGACTCCCATCTTCATCAACACCGTTCTCGTCTTTATCCGGCTTTACTGGTTTGAAAAACGTTTCCAACATGTTGTCCGCGATGCTCGAGCCCTCCGCTACACGCGCTCTCGACAACGCACTGTCACTGAAGACAAGAACGGGGCGAGCTATGATCGAGAGGAGGCTGGCGTCGGGAACCGGCCCATCGTGGTACTGCGGAATACCCTAGACCGGGTCCGTTCGCGAGGTCATAGTATCAAGTCACCAGAGGAGAATACCTCGCCACCGGCGTCGCCAACCGCTCGACGCAATGACGAGAGTAACACGGAGGATCCAGAAGCAGCGCTGACTCGGAAGCTGGCGTTTGGCTTGGGAAATGGAGTGGGCAGTCTGCGCGTGCCTGCACAACTAAGCCCCGAGCATCATATCGCATTCTTGGAGAACCAGCGGAGGAGCAAAGGAGCCCTGCGGATTCCGAGTCCCCGGGAATATGATCGGGGTGGTGTGCCGCAGGTGCTGGAAGAGGAGGAGGATGCGGAACCGCCCGTCAAAACAACGGCGGATGGGTCCGATGAAGAGCGGAGTCCGAATGACACCAGGGATGGATCCGAGAACGACGAGGAAGAGGGCAGGAGCAAGGATGGGGACGAGGAGGATGATTCTCAGTCTCGTCGGATGGATGGTCCCCATATTACCATCAACGAGCCTGAGATGTTTCGGACGCGGACGAGGAATGAGACTTTCCCTCGGATGGACTCTCGCCCTACTTTCAAAGAGACGAAGGACGACCCTGACAACTCTCCGCTGGCTCGCTCAACGACCCGGCGGCCTACGTTCAACAGCGTCTTTCGATCCCTCACCCAGGAGCGTGAGCGGCCCACGCAGCCTTATTTGAGTTGGAATGCCACTGTCGCCCGTAATTCCAACTTCGTTGATTTGACCGAGGAGCAGCGAGACGAGTTGGGCGGTATCGAATATCGTGCGCTGAAGACCCTGGCGGTGGTCCTGATCTCTTACTATGTCTTGTTCCATCTCTTGGGCGTGATCTGTATGGTGCCGTGGATTATGACTACCCACTGGGGGTCGGTGGTCGAGCAAATCGGACAGGGCCGTCCTTGGTGGGCCATTTTCGTGGCCCAGTCAGCCTTCAACGACGTCGGATTCAACCTCACTCCAGACTCGATGGCCTCGTTCCAAGGGGCCATCTTTCCACTCCTGCTCCTGGGATTCCTGGTTGTCATCGGTAACACAGGGTTCCCGTGCATGCTGCGGTTTATTATCTGGGTTTCTTCCAAGTTCACCCGTTCGGAGACACCTCTATGGGAGGAGTTGCGCTTCCTTCTTGATCACCCTCGTCGATGCTTCACTCTCCTCTTTCCTCGCAATGCTACATGGTGGCTCTTTGCCATCTTAGTGCTGCTGAATGGAATCGACCTGGTCTTTTTCATTATCCTTGATGTGAGATTGCCTATCCTTCTAGACGTTATACCATGCTAATACATGCGGTAGCTGAACGACTCAACCGTCACATCCTTGTCGCCGGGCCTTCGGGTTCTGGGCGGCTTGTTTCAGGCAATCTGCACGCGAACTGCCGGGTTTACGGTAGTCTCCATCTCAGACCTGCATCCCGCGGTCCAGGTGTCCTACCTGATCATGATGTATATATCCGTGTTTCCCATTGCCATTTCCCTGCGACGCACCAATGTCTACGAGGAGAAGAGTCTGGGTATCTATGGCAACGGCGAAGAGGAGGACGGGGACGACAACCAGACCGCGCCCAGCTACATCGGCGCTCACTTGCGGAAGCAGTTGAGTTTCGATCTGTGGTACGTGTTTTTGGGCCTGTTCATTATCACTATCGTCGAAGGTGGGCGTCTTCAAGCCCAGGACGACTACTCGTTCCAGATCTGGTCCGTGCTGTTCGAGGTCGTGTCCGCCTACGGCACCGTGGGCATGTCCCTGGGCTACCCCGGGGTCAACGCCTCATTCTCCGCGGAATTCCACGTGCTCTCCAAGCTGGTGATCATCGCCATGCAGATCCGCGGCAGGCACCGAGGTCTGCCGTACGCTCTGGACCGCGCCATCCTGCTCCCCTCGGAATCGCTCAACCAGAACGAAATCGCCGACGCAGAGCGCCGCATGCGCCGCCGGGCTTCCAGTCTGAGCCAGATGTCCATCGACCGCGACCAGAATCACACCCCGCCTCCGCCGGAACAGAGCGCCACGACGGGCCACGATCCCCGGGATCACTATCCTCGGCACTCGATGCAAGGCGACGGGATCATCCGCCGGCACTCGACTTTGCGCTCCCAGCGATCCCAGCGTGTCTGAATCTTGGAAACAAAAGAAAAGAAAGTTCTAATCCCTTTATTCCTTGCGAATCTGTCTGGTGGTGTATTACAAGCGTATGTGGGAAGATCGTCGGTTCTTTTTTTTTTTTTTTTTAGCCTGATTCTTAGCGGTTTCTTTCTTAGAGCGTGTCGGGACTCCCGACATCCAGTTTATACTCCCTGTCGTTTCCGGTGTCTATAAAGCTAATTGGCGGGATATTACTTATTCCATTTGTACATACAAACACACGTATACAAGATGCTCCCGGGAGGATAGGCGTGGGAGACGGGAACGAAGCTGGCACAGCAGGCTGTGTGTTTTGGTTCTTCTACTATCGTCGTTTCTTAGATCAAGATATATATGGACGTAATGGGTCATACGACAGTTTTCTTTGGGAGATGCATATATCATCACTTTAAGTCTGTAGTATTTCTATCCCTCCTCGTTTCATCTACTATACACAGAAACAATTCCGAGATAAATCTACCGCAGGGTCACCAGCTCCTCAGCACTGGTGGGGTGGATAGCGACGCAGCTGTCGAAGTCCTTCTTGGTGGCGCCCATCTTGACGGCGACGCCGAAGCCCTGGAGCATCTCGCCGCAGCCCAGGCCCAGGATGTGCAGGCCGACGACCTTCTCGTCGGGGCCGGCGCAGATCAGCTTGAACTCGGTGGGGTTCTGCTTCTTCTCCTCGGCCGGGTACAGGTCGTAGTACATGGCGGTGAAGCGGGTGTGGTAGACCTTGATCTGGTCGTCGCCGTACTTCTCGCGGGCCTCGGGCTCGGTCAGGCCCACGGTGCCGACTTCGGGATGCGAGAAGACGACGGTCGGGATGTTGTCGTACGACAGCTTGGCGGTCTTGAACTCGGGGCCGCCGAAGATGCGGTTGCCGAGTTGGCGGCCGGCGGCGATGGCGACTGGTGAGAGTTAGTGGTTAAGAATGTTGGGCTAAAGGGGGGAGGGGATGGGAGGGGAATATAACATACCAGGGGTCAGCTCGGCTTGGCCGGTGACATCACCGATGGCGTAGACACCGTCGACACTGGTGTTCTGGAACTCGTCGACGACGACGTGGCCGTTCTCGTTCAGCTTGACGCCGGGGACGTCCAGGTGCAGGTCCTCGACCTCGGGGACGCGGCCGACGGCCCACAGCAGCTCGTTGACCTCGGTCTCGGAGCCGTCGTGGTGGATCAGCTTCAGCAGCTTATCCTTGCCCTTGCCGTCACGCAGGAGCTGCACCTCCTTGAAGCCCTGGTGGCCCTTGTGCACGTGGATGCCGACCGACTCGTAGCGCTCGGTCATGGTCTTGGAGATCATCGGGTCGAACTTGCGCAGGAACTCCTGGCCGCGGATGTACATGTGCGTCTCGACGCCCACCGCGCCCATCACGCCCGCCAGCTCCACCGCGATGTAGCCCGCCCCCACCACCGCCACCTTGGGCGGCAGCTCCTCGATCTCGAAGAACCCGTCGCTGGTGATCCCGTGCTCCGCCCCCTTGATGTCCGGGATGCTCGGCCGCCCGCCCGTCGCGATCAGGATGTGCGGCGCCGTGTACCGCGCCTTGCTGCCGTCCTCTAGCGTCACCTCGATCACCTTCGGCTCCACAAACCCGGCCCGTCCGTGCACCAGGTCGATGCCCTCGCGTCCCCAGTTGCGCTCGTAGACCCCGTTCAGGCGCTCGATCGTCGCGTCCCGACGCTCCTTGAAGTAGCGGTAGTCAATGTTCACGTCTGACGGCACAGTGTAGCCGTAGTGCTTCGCTGCGTGCAGGTTCTCGTTGATGGACGCGAAGTTCCAGGTCATTTTCTTGGGCACACAGCTGCAGGTCGAGGGGATGGGTTAGCGTAGGCTCGATGGCCAAGGGGAGAGGGCTATGAGGGCTTGATAAAGGGCTGGTGAACGTACCCTACGTTGACACAGGTACCGCCGGAGCGACCGCTCTCCACGATCAGGGTCTTCGCCCCATACCAGCCGGCGGCGCGACGGCCGCTGCCACTGCCGCCACTTCCACCGCCCAGGACGATGTAGTCGTACTGCTGAACCTCAACGGGAGCCATCTTGTTTGAGTCGGCGGTAGCAGAGGTGGAGGAGAACTGCCGTGTAAGAGAGGTGAGGCGTGCGATGGGAGTAGAGGTCGGCTGTCTCAGAGAAGCAGCCAGCACGTTTCGGTGATTGACAAAGCCCGAGTGGGAAGCTGTAGCTATGCTTCTGCTGCCAAGATTTTGCAGGGAGACTGCAGCAATTGAAGATGAACGGACGAAGAGAGATGTGCAGTGAGGAAGCCGGTTCTTAAGTACCTGCGCTGGGAGGGAACGAAGCGAAGAACAGGTGCGCATTGGTAAATTGAAGAAGAAGGAGGATGGTGGGAGAATGAGAAAGTGAAGATCAGACGCCGAGGCGGAGGGGCAGAAAAGGCAGTTGGACTGGCGGGGAAGCCGGCAAAGACCGAGAGCGATGGGGCTGAGGACAATTGGACCATTTAAAATTATCCTGACGCCATCTGCATTGAACTAAAACCGACCGGAGTCATTCCAGGTTCATTCCCCTGCAATCCCGACAATCGGCGGGTGTGCTTAGGTAATCATTCCCTCTTGTTGCCCTGATTATTAATCCATAGTTGATCAAACTATCAGATGTGCCTGTGCCTGTAATCTGGCCGCAAATCACCGGTTATGACAATAACTAAGACATTGACTGGAATCAGATTATCCCCCGAATGCAGTACTTCGTAATAATATCAATTGCTGGCTTGCGGCTGTGAAGAACCATCTCACCGCCTTACCTGCCGGCTAAACTAGGCGGTGGCCATTCTGCCGGTAGTTCTGTCATCGCCCACCGGCCGGCTCAATCATCTCATATCATCTCATCAGTCATTTCTCACTCTCACTTTTCGAGATTCAAGTCGGTGAAGCCCATTACTAGCCAGCTTGCCCCCTCTCGCCAAAATGGAGGGTACGGGATCCGCCGAGTCGCAGTGGCTGGCCCAACTAGCAGCCATGCGCCAGGCCATCGCCGACTTGAAGCTGCCTCAAGACCCCAACCCCACCAAGGAATCCAGTTACGGAAATGACCTGGAGCTGGATTTTGATGATGACTACTCGTCTCCCGGAACCATCGACGATGACATCTGGGACATCATTAGCTCCGATGATGAGTCTAGCGAGGGCTACGATGACTTCGATGATCTTCCCTCCGCCCCGACAACACCATCCGCCTATGACCAGACATGGCTCGAGCAGAAGTGCCACAGCCTTGTCACCAACAAGCCTGGAGTAGATGCACACGACATCGCACAACAGATTACAGCAGCTCTGGCTACAGACAGTGGAGATGACGAGCTGCAGATGTCGCTGGCGGACATTGTCGGCTTCGATGACCTGGATTTCGTGATTGACTTGATCGCTCACCGGTCGGAGATCATCTCCAGTGCGCACTCCTACCCACGAACAGAGGCGCAGACGGACGGCTTGTTTTCGGGCAGGCTACAGACACGAGCAGAGCGGGAGCAAGCCTTACGGCAACAGGATTACGAGCACAAGAATGCCTCGCTGCTGGAAGCACAGACTCGGACAGAACCGCACTACCCTCATGTCTTCAAGATGCACGAATCTAGAAATGTGCTTTCCCTTGGAGGGAAGAGGTATGGACTACCCATGGGTAGTAAGCAGATTGAAGAGAAGAAGTATACCGAGATTGAGGTCCCCGCCTCCAAAACGGGCGGCATGATGCCCGGGCAGAAACTGGTTCCAATCGCATCCATGGACGGCTTATGCCAGGGCACCTTCCGAGGCTACAAGAACCTGAATCGCATGCAGAGTCTTCTATATGAGGTTGCCTACAGGACGAACGAGAACATGCTCATCTGTGCTCCCACTGGTGCTGGTAAAACAGATGCTGCGATGCTGACGATCCTGAACGCCATCGGCAAAAACACTATCCCCAATCCCATTGAGCAGCCAGAGGCCACCGAGTTCGCAGTGCAGCTGGAGGAGTTCAAAATCATCTATGTGGCTCCCATGAAGGCCTTGGCAGCTGAAGTCACCGAGAAGCTCGGGAAGAGGCTCGCTTGGCTCAACATCAAGGTTCGCGAACTGACTGGTGATATGCAGTTGACCAAGCGGGAGATTGTCGAAACTCAGATCATCGTTACTACTCCTGAGAAATGGGATGTGGTCACCCGCAAGAGCACGGGCGACACGGAGCTCGTGCAGAAGGTGCGCCTGCTGATTATCGATGAGGTTCATATGCTCCATGATGAGCGCGGTGCTGTCATCGAGTCTCTTGTAGCCCGTACCCAGCGTCAAGTGGAGAGCACACAATCGCTTATCCGTATTGTCGGCCTGTCGGCTACTTTGCCCAACTATATCGATGTTGCCGACTTCCTCAAAGTCAACAAGATGGCAGGTCTGTTCTACTTCGATCAATCGTTCCGTCCTGTGCCGCTTGAGCAACACTTCATTGGCGTTAAAGGGAAGCCTGGCTCCAAGCAGTCGCGCGAGAACATCGATGTTGTAGCTTTTGAGAAGGTTCGTGATATGCTCGAGAGAGGCCACCAGGTCATGGTGTTTGTACATTCACGAAAGAATACTGTTCTCACGGCTCGGATGCTTCGTCAAATGGCCAGCGAGGAAGGTTGCGAGAATCTGTTCAGCTGTCAGGACGAAGAAGGATACTCCAATGGCCTGGCAGATGTGAAACGCAGCCGTGCTCGCGAGCTGCGGGAACTGTTCGCCGGTGGTCTGGGAACTCATCATGCTGGAATGAGTCGAAGTGACCGTAACCTAATGGAACGTCTATTCTCAGAAGGGTTGATCAAGGTTCTTTGCTGTACTGCGACTCTTGCGTGGGGTGTCAACCTTCCCGCGGCCGCAGTTGTCATTAAGGGTACCCAACTCTACAATCCGCAGGAGGGTAAATTCGTCGACTTGGGTATCCTGGACGTATTGCAGATTTTTGGTCGTGCTGGTCGTCCCCAGTTCCAAGACACTGGTATCGGTTTCATTTGTACCACCCACGATAAATTGAATCACTACATCTCCGCAGTCACGTCTCAGCAGCCGATTGAATCCAGGTTCTCCAGCCGCCTCGTGGACAACTTGAATGCGGAAATCTCACTTGGTACCGTCACTTCGGTTCCAGAAGCCGTGCAATGGTTGGGATATTCGTATCTGTTTGTTCGCATGCTACGTGAGCCCCGCAATTATGGTATTGACTGGGCCGAGATACGTGATGACCCGATGCTGGTTCAGAGACGCCGTCAACTGATCATTCAAGCGGCACTCGTCCTTCAAAAGAGCCAGATGATCATCTACAATGAGAAAACAGAGGACCTCAGGGCGAAGGACGTGGGCCGCATCGCAAGCCAGTACTATGTTCTACAGACTAGCGTCGAGATTTTCAACAACATGATGAGACCACGTGCAACTGAAGCCGATGTGCTGAGCATGATCAGCATGAGTGGTGAATTCGACAACATTCAAGCGCGTGAAAGCGAGTCGAAAGAACTCAATAGGCTACGAGACGAGGCTATCCAAACTGAAGTGGAGGGTGGAAACGACTCGCCTCATGCTAAGACTAATATCTTGCTACAGTCGTACATCTCCCGTGCTAGGATCGAGGACTTCGCTCTGGTATCGGATACCGGCTATGTCGCGCAGAACGCCGCTCGTATCTGTCGTGCTCTGTTCATGATTGCGTTGAATAGACGCTGGGGCTACCAATGTCAGGTGCTTCTGTCCATGTGTAAATCGATTGAAAAGCAAATGTGGCCTTTCGACCACCCGTTCCATCAGTTTGATCTGCCCCAACCAATCCTTAGGAACTTGGATGAGAAGCTCCCGACTTCGGCTATCGAATCCTTGAGAGACATGGAAACGGCAGAGATCGGGCAGCTCGTTCATAATCACCGTATGGGCAAAACTCTCTCAAAGCTCCTGGACAACTTCCCCACGCTAGGCGTCGAAGCTGAAATTGCACCGCTGAATCGTGATGTTCTGCGGATTCGCCTTCTACTCTACCCAGAATTCACTTGGAATGACAGACATCATGGCGCCTCCGAGTCGTATTGGGTTTGGGTTGAGAATTCGGAAACGTCCGAGATTTACCACCATGAGTACTTCATTCTGAGCCGGAAGAAGCTCAATGATGAGCATGAGTTGAACTTCACAATCCCTCTTTCGGATCCGTTGCCAAGTCAAATCTACGTTCGAGCGATCTCAGACCGTTGGCTGGGTGCTGAAACGGTTACACCAGTGTCTTTCCAGCATCTGATTCGTCCAGATACGGAGAGCGTGTACACGGATCTACTCAACCTCCAGCCTTTGCCCATCTCTGCCTTGAAGAATCCGATTCTGGAGGAGCTTTACGGACAACGCTTCCAGTTCTTCAACCCTATGCAAACACAAATCTTCCACCTTCTGTATCATACTGCTGCCAATGTTCTGCTTGGTTCTCCGACAGGTAGTGGAAAGACGGTGGCCGCAGAGCTGGCAATGTGGTGGGCTTTCAGAGAGAAGCCCGGCTCCAAGGTTGTGTATATCGCGCCCATGAAAGCGCTTGTGCGTGAGCGAGTTCAAGACTGGAAGAAACGTCTGACAATTCCTATGGGACTCAAGTTAGTTGAGTTGACCGGTGATAACACTCCGGACACTCGCACGATCCGAGATGCAGATATTATCATCACCACTCCCGAAAAATGGGACGGTATCTCGCGTAGTTGGCAGACTAGGGACTATGTGCGCAAGGTGAGCTTGGTAATCATCGATGAGATTCACTTGCTCGGTGGCGACCGAGGACCTATTCTGGAGATCATTGTGTCTCGAATGAACTACATCGCATCTCAATCCAAGGGTTCTGTGCGGTTGATGGGCATGTCTACTGCCTGTGCTAACGCCAGCGATCTTGCGAACTGGTTGGGTGTTAAGGAGGGCCTCTACAACTTCCGGCATTCAGTGCGCCCAGTGCCCCTCGAGATCTACATCGATGGATTCCCGGAGCAGCGTGGCTTTTGTCCCCTCATGCAGTCGATGAACAGACCGACATTCCTGGCTATCAAGAATCACTCACCCGACAAGCCAGTCATCGTGTTTGTTGCGTCTCGCCGACAAACTCGTCTAACTGCTAAAGACCTGATCAACTACTGTGGTATGGAGGACAACCCTCGACGCTTTGTCCGCATGTCGGAAGAGGATCTGCAGTTGAACCTTACCCGAGTCAAGGATGACGCTTTACGAGAGGCGCTGAGCTTCGGAATCGGTCTGCACCATGCTGGTCTGGTGGAATCTGACAGACAACTAGCCGAGGAGCTCTTCGCGAACAATAAAATTCAGATCCTGGTGGCGACAAGTACTTTGGCATGGGGTGTCAACCTTCCCGCGCATCTTGTTGTCGTCAAGGGCACTCAGTTCTTCGATGCCAAGATCGAGGGCTACAGAGATATGGACTTGACAGATGTCTTGCAGATGCTGGGTCGTGCGGGACGCCCGCAGTTCGACACCTCGGGTATTGCTCGCATTTTCACTCAGGATGCAAAGAAAGCCTTCTACAAGCACTTCCTGCATACTGGATTTCCTGTCGAGTCGACTCTGCACAAAGTCCTCGATAACCACTTGGGTGCCGAAGTGTCTGCGGGAACCATCACCACGAAGCAGGATGCACTCGACTACCTGACCTGGACGTTCTTCTTCCGACGCCTCCACAAGAACCCCTCCTACTACGGGCTGGAGATCTCGGCTGAGGAGCACAACACGATGGCCGCTCAATCTATTGCGCAGGAGTTTATGATTGATTTGGTCGACCAGTCCCTCGGTGAGCTCGCCGAGTCGTCTTGTGTCTCTTTCGACTCGGCGACCGGCGATGTCGACCCTACCCCCTTCGGCAAGATCATGAGTTACTACTACCTCTCGCACAAAACCATCCGCTACCTCATGGCGCATGCCAAGCCCAACCCGACTTTCCACGATGTTCTGAGTTGGATGTGCTCTGCTAGCGAGTTCGATGAACTCCCCGTTCGGCACAACGAAGACCTGATCAACGCCGAACTGGCTAACCACCTACCCCTCTCCGTTGACTCGATGGGCGATCTTCCCATGTGGGACCCGCACGTCAAAGCCTTCCTTCTCTTGCAAGCTTACATGTCGCGCATCGACCTCCCGATATCCGACTATGTCGGTGATCAGACCTCCGTTCTGGACCAGGGCATCCGTATCATCCAGGCCTCCATCGATGTCATGGCCGAGTTGGGCTACCCGCACGCCTGCCAGATGTTCATGAGCCTGCTTCAAAGCATCAAATCCGCCCGCTGGCCCGAAGACTCGGCCTTGTCGATCCTGCCCGGCGTCGACGTTACCGTCGACCCCAAGAGCAGCAAGAACAACAACCTCCCTCCCTCACTTGCAGCCCTCGCCGCCCTCCCGGCGGGAGCCATCTCTTCCCTGGCAAGAAAGCTCCCGCTGTCCTCGTCGCAAGCCCAATTTGTCAAGGCCGCATCATACCTCCCCAACCTCGCCGTCTCCATCTCCACCATCAACTCCCGCGGCATCACCGTTTCCATCTCTCGGAAGAACCCCGCTCTGGACCGCGATTGTCGAATCTATGCTCCACGCTTCCCGAAACCCCAGACAGAGGGATACTTCCTGCTCATCTACACCGCGAAAGCCGGTGGCCAAGACGGGGAGCTTCTAGCCCTGAAACGCGTCTCCTGGCAAACCGGTCCGCGGGGACGCAACAACGGGACCGGCAAATCTGGCCGTGGCGGTGGTCGTGGTGGTGCTGGCCCCTCTTCTAGCAGCGGCGGCGGCGGCGGCGGCGGCAGCAGCAGCAACAAACCCAATGAACGGCAGCACCAACTGAACGTCCGCTCATCGGTCAAATTCCCTGAAAACCCCTCAGCACCGACCCCGAAGCAGGTCAACGTGCGCGTGATCAGTGACTCCTACCCTGGAATGGAGTGGACGGTGGCCGGGGTGGATGTTCCCACTCCTAGTGCCACGGGTGCTGAAACGCAGAGTGTCCCGGAATCCGCGATCCCGGATAAGGGTTGAGAGTTTTTTGTTCCAGTTAGTACATGTACCTAGCCCCTTCTCTCTGCTCTAGATTCAAGGGTGGTCTCAAGTATGGGCATGGATGGTGAGACAGTAGATTTATTACTGAAAATGAACACAACTAGAGTTTCATGGTTTTCAAAGTTTCTATTTACTAGACGCAAGTGGGTGAGTTGGATTTGTAGGCGTGAAACGTATGATTCCGTTTTTGTAGTTAGACGAGTCTCATTTGCGAGGCAAGCTCAGTGCCAGATGCTGCGTACCAGGGATGATGGGGTATATTGTGTCAAAAGAAAAAAAAGTAGATACATGAAGATGCGGGACCCAATGAATCCACCCGGATTCAAGGCAGTCCACATATATCACTCGGGGGAAAAGTAACATGGCATGAGATCGAAGCAGGAGCTAATCAAAGCATAGAAGTATATGCAACCTGCGTTTGTAAAGAAGAAAGGGGCCGGCTGAGAAAAGTAGTAAATGGTGGACTCCACACCGACGATCATCGAGCAAGAGATTGAATCCCAAAAAAAAAAAAAAAACATGACTGACGTAGAATCATGAAGAAGCAAAGACGGGACTGGTACCGGGGGACTCTAAGATCGAGCTTAACAGGAAAAGAGGTTGATACCGCCTCAAATGAAGTTCCCGACTCGCACGGTTCGCGTACTTCCAGGCCCAGGGCTCAGGTCGCCGCCGTCGCGAAGGCGAGGAGGCGGGCGCGTGATCCTGGTTTCTACGACCCGGTCTGTAGCCGTGGTGTTGGCGCGGCCCAGTCTAGGTCGGATGGGGACGATCACCTGCTTCTTGCCTCTGGAAACGGAGACGGAGCGCGCGATGGAGATCTCGACCGTGGGTGGCGGCTTGTTAAGGTCGGATGTGCTGGCGTTCTTGCGCTCGTCGCCGAGTGGGAAGCGCCGGGCTGTTGCTGCTGCTGCTGCTGCCGCTGCTGGGGAAGCGATGCTGGCTGTGCTGGTCTGGCTGACGGTCGGGGAGCGGGCTGGCATGTTGTTGTTGTTGGTTCGGCTGCGAGGAGTAGTGGGGGATTTGATGGATGGGACGAAGGAAAGGGGCGAGGACGTCCCGCTTCCCGCACCTACTCTGACAGGTGGCACTTGCGTGTTGATTGTCAGGGTTCCGTGGGCCTTCTGTCGAGGGATCGCTGGAGGGGTGGGAGGGGAAGTTGGTAGAGGTGGCGGCGGAGCAGGCTCGCTGCTAGTCGGGGATTTCTTGTTGATGATCTCCCATTCGGGTTCGCGCTCGTCGACGTAGCCTCGGGCCGGGTTGAGTTTTTGCAGGAGAACTCTTTCGTCCTCGGAGCCGATGGATGTCGATGAAAGAGACGAGGATACGGAGTTTTGGGGCTTGTGCGAGGGAGGACTGTGCACCATGAGGACGAGATGGCTTTCATCTTTCGATTCGTCCTCGTGGTGAGACTCGGTTACTGACGTCTGGGTCTTGTGCAATGGGCTCGGCCCACGCGGAATATTCTGCGACCCGAGGACCTTCGAGGCCTTGCTGACCTGCGTGGCGGGGAAGAGAGTGAAGCTTGGAGAATTAGAGCGTGACAGCGTTGATGAGGTCGCCCTTCGTCGAGGGGGGACCACTTCTGGCGAAGGAGGTGCTGGCTGCTGATACCGTGTTGGTGAATGGATCACAATTAGCAAGTGTAGGCAACGTACCTTCGTCTCTTCTGCGTCTGCATCGTTCAGCGTCTTGCTCCGTCTGTTCAACGATGGCGGCCTATTCTTCCGTAGAACTCCTCCGAACATAACACTGTATCGCTCTAGCTGGATATCAGGGATCTCTATCTGAAGCAGAGGCGTGAAGTTCGAAGAAGGGCCCTGGGACTGTCCCTTCGCGGCAGTTGTTTCCGACTGATCGCGATCCAGGGCTGTAGATTGCGGAGCCGGTTTCAATTCCAAGGATGGCCAAGCTTCGATAGGACTAGGTTGATCGTCGTGTGTGGGGTCATTCTCAATCCTGGTTCTCTCCATGGGCTTAGGCTCTTCTTCTGGTTTCAGCCTTTCGTCCATCTTCGGTGCATCCTCAAGCATCGGTTGACGCTGGCCAATGGAGACCGCAGAAGCGGGCATCGGCCAATCCGTGGTGGGCTGGACTTGGTAGAAAGGTTCATTCGCAAGAGGTACACTCATTGCACTCTTCGCTTTGAACAATCCTCCAAGTTTCTTCCACTTGCTCGGTTTGCGCTGCAGCGATGGTCGCACCAGGGCCTCTGCAGGTTTCTCGGGCTGTCTCTCTTGCGCCATTGCGATGGGAACCTCGACCATGCGGGGACTACCCAATGCGACGCCAATCAAGCCATCCGTCGGCGACGTAATCGTGCTCGTGGGCGAAGTCACGGCTTCGGTGGGCGGTGGTGCGATCTGGAAATCGAAGCCCGCGGCATCGTGCACACGCCTTTGCTGGCGTCCTTCGGGGGTCTTCGGGGGTGTAGGGTCCTGAGGCCGTTTTGCGCTGGGATCGCGCCGTCCGGAGCTCTTGCGTGGCCGCGTGCCTGAATCCTTTTGAGGGGTCGATGTCACAGTCTCTGTTTGGCGCAAGGTGCGCGATCTTCCGCGAAAGGTGCCTAGGGCCATGGTGAATGATGCTGTCGTGATACTACTTCTAAGACGCTGAATAATGTTGCTTAGTACTGAGATGGGGCAACTGGGAGGGTTCGTGAGGGTCCGTTATATTGAATTCAAGTAAAGATAAATGAGTGGATGGGGTATTATAGGCCGGCAAAAGAGTGACTGGGTTAAAGGAATGTGGGCGACGATAACCTCAAGAACCAGTCATGAAGTGTGGTGAGGAAAAAGAATGGACGGCTTTCCAGAAGGCCCGAGACAGTACGACGACGCAGTCACGAAGCTGAAGAGTCAGTCATGGTCGAGAGAAAAGGAGGAGGAGGAGGAGGAGGAGGAGGAGGAGCGAATGTCGAGAAGAAAGCGCCAGACAAAGGCGTTGTCTGGGTGGAGCCTGAGGCAAACAGCGCAACAACTAAATGAGACCAACGGCAGGGGGTGACTAGTCTCAGATTCTGGAGTGAGTAAGATCTGACGAAGCGCCAGAGATTGAGCAGCCAACGGGAGGTCTGCAAGTAAATTGTTCAGGAGGCGTTACAGGAGCTACGCGGGCGAAAAATGAGCGAAAGATGTGAGGGCCACCGGCGAGGCTTATCGCAGGATTCGATTGATTGAGGGTTTGATTACGGCCTCATTCCGTGGGCGAGGGATCGAGAGAACCCTCTTGGCAGCTGCAGGGCTGGGATCGTGGACTACTAGTAATTGGACATTGTCTTGAAGCTGTGTGCATTGCACCAATGACATGAGTACAATGCAGGAGATCTCAGATGCTGATACATGAAGTGCTTGCAGCAGAGAGGGGATTGTCCCAGATTCCCGCGTGGGTGCAACAAGAAAATAGAGTAAAGGGCCGGTTTCAGAGCAATTCCGTGCTCACTTGCACGTGCAGGCTGCTTTTGCGCAACGGTGGGCATGACAGGTCATAATTGAGTTGATTGTGTCATGTCATTCATGTCGGATGCGAGGAGGTCAGCAGCTGCAGCTGTCAGTGAGACGGACTGACCATTTCTTCGGCGGGCTATAGTACTAAGTAATTTCCCCTGTCTCTGCACTTGACGTGGCCTTGTCCCATGAGGCTCCATTAAAGGGAGTTTCTCCAACACATGACTTGACCCCATGCACCTACCAAAATACAGCTACAACTATCTACTAACAATTCTTTACACCTCATGATTCTTTTGGGTAACAACAACAACAACAACAACAACAACAACAAGAATAGGCAAGACAGAAAAGAGGCGGTAAGAGCATCGGTGGGACTGAACAGGGTCTAGCAGTCGCAATGGCAGGGAGGCTATTCCGAATTGCCTCAGATTATGGAGACCTGATGTTGGCCCCTCCACCGCCCCTTTAGTCTTTGCGGTTGACAGCCACCAAACTGAGGTTGGATTTACACAGAAGGGAGCCTCAAGAGGCAGTCAGCTCCAAACCACGGATCAGTCTCGGGTGCATAAAGTGGGATGACGTAGGGGGATTGGGGAAAGAAGGATCGATCAGGGTTCAGACTATTGAGATAGAGGTTGGGACTGAGTAGAACTAGTGAGTGGTAGACAAACCCAATAATGAACGGAAAATGAAGCAGTTTGTCTGTTTTCTGATGGCTGATGGAGCTTGGCGGGGCATATCGAGAGAGAAAGAAGGACAAACCAACCCAAAAACCCCCCACCTCGAATCATCATTCATCTTCTGTCTGTCTGTCTGTCTGACTAAACTCTCTCTCTCTTCCCCCCTCCTCCTCTCTCTCCATCTTCCCTCTTTCCCCTCCTTTTCCTCAACCTTCTTCCATCCTCCCTCCCCTATTGCAGCTCTAAACCAAACTGACATCTCCTTCTGGTCCGAAGTTTTTCCTTCCACCACCGCCTTCTGCCACCTACTCTTTTCTGCCTTGTGGGAACCTTTACCTCCTTTCCTCACTCACTCACTCACTCTTCCATACTTCCTCCCCCTCCGTCCTTCTTCGTTTGTTTATCCCTCCATCCCACCTTCATCACCACCGTCACCATGGGTCAACACTCCGCTATCTGGCAAGGTATGGCTACCTCTACCCTCCCTTTGACTTGGTTTTCCTTCTCTTCAACTGTCCTCGGAGTATTTAATCACTAACACCCATCTCCTATCAGGCTATGTCGATTCCAGGTATAGAAACCTCCCGTCTCTACCCCGCTTCAGATACACTCCCAATCACCTACCTCTACCTCGGCCATGAGTCCTGACAACCTTATCCTTCTAGCTTGATGGGATCGGGTCAATTCGACAAGGCCGCCATCCTTGCCTATGACTTCTCCGACGTTGAGGCTTCCTCCCCCGGCTTCTCGGTATGATCCTCCCGCTGTGCAGTCGGCGCAACCCCTCCCTACCCCCCTCCTTCTCCATCCAAGATCGAACCCGGAGTTGACCACCCCCATACAGATCGCTCCCCAAGAGCTGAGCGCCCTCGCCGCCATCTTCAAGGACGCCGGCAGCGCCTTTGCCAACGGTATCACCATCGGCGGAGAGAAGTTCGTTGCCATCAAGGCCGACGACCGCAGTGTGTACGGCAAGAAGGTATGATCCGATCCTGCTTGATCTCTATCATCCCACTGCGCGTTGCCCGACCCAATGAACTAACCACCCCCGAATCTCAACAGGGCAAGGAGGGCATTGTCATCGTCAAGGCCAACTCGTGCGTCTTCGTCGCCCACCACGGCGAGGCCGTCCAGACCACCAACGCCGCCACCGTCGTCGAGAACCTTGCTGACTACATCAACAACCCCCGGTAAATGGCCGGACCCTCACCTAATCGAAAAGTCTGTTGCGGGTGCGTGGGCGGTGACGAGTGACGAGTCAAGGGGGCAGCGGTAATACTGTGAATGTAGAAAACGGTGGTCTCCTTTCTCGATCTGTCTGTTGTTTTACCTTTTTTTTCTCCTGTTGTTATATGATATCAGCCACAACGCGTAGATATGTGCCAATATGTGCAACTTTTTTTTGTCCCTGGGTTATCGCCTCTCGAGGCTCGAATGTTGGTGTTTAGTGAAGATGAGGTGTTATTCAGACAGGAGATTAGCGGTCGCAACACAGTTGAACCAGATAATCATCACATAAAATCAATATTTATATCCAATATATCAACTGCCAGGTGAATTGATCAAAAAAAGCCAAAGGAAAATATTAACAATTAGAACATCTAATACAACCCTGTAAGAGTACCACATAAGCATACAACCACAGGATGGAGCCAGTGCTCCTCCATTCATAATCCCATGCGCATCATATAGTTAGAATCGTAAGACGGTGAGAAGTAGTCGTAGTAATGGGTAGAGTCGTGTTCCCGATTCGTTTTACACATTAACACATCATGCATCCCTTCTTCTTCTTCCAGGGTGTGGGTCGGCTAGACGAAAAGGGGCACCGTGCATGGCCACTGCATGCTATCCGAGCTGCCGCCGCTATACTCCCCTCCAGCTCGCAAAGCCAGAACACGCATCCCCTCCCCCAGCCCCAACCCCAACCCTATCGCCGGGGTCAAGGTTCACAGCACCGGCGCGGCTCTCACACCGGCAACTCGGCATTCCGGCGCCCACCCGCCAACGTCTCCAGCGCCGTCCGGATATACGGCCCCACGACAGGGATATTCCCCGCGAACTGGCCGATGGTCACCAGGAAGTCGCCGAACAGGATGAACAGCCCGTACAGCTCGATGAGGAAGCCTGTCAGCGGCCAGCGGAGGAGGATCAGCAGGATGCCCGCCGTGAAGGCGGCCGTGCCTTTGAGTTTCTGGCGGCGTGAGAAGAAGGCGAAGGTCTTTTCTACGCCGATGATGAGCGTTAGGCCGATTAGGAAGAGGATCTATTTTTCGGGTCAGGTTAGTCTGGTGGATTCGGGGTGGGTGGCTGGGTGCGACGTACGTTGCCCATGGCGAGTCTGTGGTTAGGTTTGAGGTTAGTTTTTGCTGTTTTGGTGGTGGTGGTGGTGGTTGGTTTGGGATGGGATGGGGGGTACGTACAGGGAGCGGTCGAAGAACATGAGGACTCCGCCGAAGAGGAAGAGGGCGCCTGGTGTTCCATTGGGTCAATTTGGTGATCTGCAGGATGGGCTTTATGTTGTGTGGATGGCGGGCATAGACGTACCGGCGGAGCAGAAGATTACTCCTATCTCTGCTCGTTGGACATTTGTGTTAGCTTGCGCTCTTGCTTGGATACTCGGGTTGAGGCTGTTGCTGGCTGCGCTTACTCTGGTTGTCGGATAGCCACATGGTGGGCATTTTTATATCGCTGATTCGGAAGAGGTTGGTGTTTTATAAAGTGTCGGGGGAGAGTTGGTCCCAGACAGAGGCGAAGGACTGACTGGCTGCGCGATTCGAAGATCAAGGTCGATCGATGATAGATGCTTGCGGGGAATCGCGGTGTTCGGCGGAGATGTCGCGTGCGCACGGAGGTGTTTGTTTGCACACTTGAAGCTGGCGCTTGCAGGTATGAGTAATTTCGATCCAGAGGGTAGAAGACTAGCGCCCTGCCTTTCGTCTCAATCGCTAAAGCACAGTCAAACAATTTCCCTCAACATGTTGGATAAACATTGGTGATAGTCAGGCAAAATTCCCCCATTCTGCCACGTTCCTTTCTTGGCGAGGTGTAAGCTAGTCCGCCTTCGGATGGCGGTCGACCGGTTTCCGCACTTCCACAAAAGTCGCTTTTTTACTCCCTGTTTTCTTTTTCCTCGCAGACAGCACTCACTTGCTCTCTGAGGTCGATTGTGGTCAATCTATCCCAACAATGCTTGCGGGATAGCACATTGACGATTAGTCTACGACTCTATTGCTCATCATGATGCAACTTTATACTGGTCTAACATATCATGCAACACTTATATGGTATTGACTGTTGGTGCTATTGATCATTGACGCGACATGGATTCGGCAATACAAGTACAATGCGTGCTTGAACCGGCCTGATGTCCTCCGGACCTTCTTCTTCATATACCATATATACAATTCCCCGCCAGCCTACGGCTGAGCTCAAACACACGCCGCGGCGACAGCACCCCCAGAGATGCTGTAACTGATGATCCCCTCGGTGGATCATCGGTACTAGTCGAGTGCTGGTTTACCCAGCACAGAGGCGAAGATCAACCCGTATTTTCATAATACAAAGATCACGAATAAGCCGGAGCACTTCCTTGAACCTGTCTCGAGAGGGGCAGGTGGGTGGAATCGCTTGACTGTGTTGGTCGTACATTATTTGTATTTCATATCAGAGATAGTATTATAGCATAGCACCTAGCTAGAAACACATGACATTAGACATTATTCATCTCTTTGCATTTCAGCTTAGGTAGACCTGTCCGTGACTTACCCTTCCCAATCCCAATCCCATAGTGAACACTGTAACTCCCGAATATAACCGTAACCTCATTTAAGAACAACGTGCGCAGCTCTCAACTCAAGATAGCTCTCCGGCACCCCCCGACCCAACGTGCGAACGACCCCGAAAACCTCCTTATCGTGATATCTCAACCGCGTCTTGGGGTCCGTGTACGGGGCCGGCAGGCCGGTGATGTCGCAGTACCGGGTCTGCGTGGACGGGTGCAACGAGGGGGCGGACTCGATGTTGGTGTAGGTCACGGCCGGGCCTGAGGAGTAAGCCGCGCGAGCGTTCTTTTCGAGCACCAGCGTGGAGAGGTTTTGCGCGGCCTGCGCAATGTTGGTTCGCGAGCCGCCCTCCGCAGGGGTCTGGCTGCCGTCGGTGCTGGCGGAGGTGGTCGCGGGGAGCGGCGTCGAGGCGCCCGAGTTGGTCTGCGTGGCCATCACTGAGGCTTCTTTGCGCGAGCTTTCGGAGATGAGCTGCTTGACGTTCTTGTTGCGCCGCTGGGACGGCTTCCAGTGGGTGTTGCGGAAGGGTCGGTGGATGTGCGCGATGTCCAGCCGGTCCAGGAGTTGTTGGTGTTTCTCGCTGTCGGCGGGGGTTAGGGGAGCCATGGTGCAGGCTGGGTTGTCTTCGAGGCGCTAGAGGTTGTTGATGATGGAGAGGATTGGTCGTGGTTTGAGGGGGTTGCGTGGCAATGAGTGCTGGAGCTGATTCTGAGGGAGGGTCTGGAAGGATGGTCCCGAAGCATGTGCGGATTGCCTAAGGCTGTTGTATGAAAGCACTATTACCTTCACCCAGGTACCAGCGATACCCAATTTGACGGAATTAGGTCAACACTTGCTTAATGAGAGATTTTCGAACCCATGAAATAGTATTTGTCCATGTTCATTCCTACTCCGCTGGATCTACACAATAGCCACTCTCTAGTCACGTGATCTCTCCAATGGTTTCTTTGGCAAACGGGCAGCAACAACAGCAACAAACAAACATCGCCATTAAACAATCTCATCGCAGCTACCTTGCACTTTATCACAATGGTAAGCACGCTTAACTTGCAACTGCTCAAACTTGACAGAATTACAACTAAAGTTATCATACAGGAAAGTCCCCACGAGCATCAGCAAGCCTTGCTGCTATCTCGCATCATCGGCAACATTGTATGTTATCGATACCACTGAGGCGAGCCCATGACTGACTGGGTCTAGGAAAAACTCAATGAATCGATCATGGTTATGAATCGAAATCTTCAGGTAGTTCCTCCATCAGTCTATGTCTGCGATCATGATTTAACTCTTTCTCGTGCAGGAGATCAACATTCAGAACATGAACGTTGAGCTCGTAGCGCAGATGTTCAAAAACTACCAGTCTAATGTCCTATTCCACTTGGAAGGTATACATGACCTCTAGACTACAGTAGTACCGGTCACCCTTGCTAACATCTGCTAGCGACGGAGAACTTGAAGGGACCATCCTGAGCTTCACCGGCGTACTTGTACTTACGAAGATATGATGTTTCTTTCTGTTGGCAAATGGTTGTTAGGGTCAATTTCTTAGTTCCAAGTTAATACTACTTGTGTTCTTGAGTAATCCATATAGAAATCCTATGGAATTCCTGGCTTGTCTTGTATCTTGTCTTGTATAGATGGTGTCTTCCAATGATCTTGGCATCATGCGGCGCCGGTGGCCGGAGCGCGCAGCAAACCCAACTCAACCCCGGAACCTTCCAAGCTCTAGTTTCTCCGTCTATCACCACCTCCGCCGTCGCCGCCGTCGCCGCCTCCAGACTTCTTTCTCCCTTCACGAACCACTTTGGGAGGAGACTACTCGACGCGCTTCATCTCAACCTCCACCAACGTTTTACCTCTACCAGACTACTATTCGCGACCAAGTGCAATGCAATGAACCACTCTGCCCCCGGAAGCTGTTGAACCGCTACTCCTGCTAAACCGGGCCCGGTTGGCCCCAGAAGACCACCATGGCCATCACTTCGGTCTCAACCGTCCTTCCTACTCGTTTTGCGATCAACTCATCCGAAAAGACGGCCGCGAAACCTCCACCTCCTCCGGCTTACAATGTCCAAGACCACCCTTTCAAGGGCTACCATGCACCGCAGCCAGAGGGCTATGCGAAGAGCACTAGCACCAGCGCTATTGTCATCGACAATGGTGAGTAATAGCCAACACTTTCTCTCGGCCAGTCTGTTCTCTAATCCAGAGGTATTCACCTTCTAGGCTCCAACCTCGTCAAAGCCGGATGGTCCTTCGACAAAAAGCCCCGCTTCATCATCCCCCCCGTGATGAGTCGGTATCGCGATCGGAAACTCAACAAAGCGTGCCAATTCATCGGAAACGACGCCTACGTGGACGCCACGACGCGCGGTCAGCTGCGATACGCATTCGACCCAGGCACGAGCGTGGTGGGCAACTGGGACGTGATGGAAGGAGTGCTGGACTACCTATTCATCAAGCTGGGGGTGGACGGGGGCGCAGACGGGGGTGTCGATCGACCCATCGTCATGACGGAGCCGATCGCGAACTTGAACTATCCGCGACGCAGTAGGTCTTTTACTGACTGCCTTGCATGTTTTCTTTTTGTTTTGCTAATGCGGATGCAGTGATGAACGAAATCCTTTTCGAGTGCTACTCTGTGCCGTCGGTGGCCTACGGCATCGACTCCCTGTTCTCCTACCGGTATAACCGCGGCACGGACGGTCTGATCGTTTCCTCGTCGCATACGTCGACGCATGTCATCCCCGTCCTGAACAACAAGGCCTTGCTGTCGAATTGCTCGCGCCTGAACTTGGGTGGTCTCCACGCGTCGGAGTATCTCCTCAAATTGATGCGGTTGAAGTACCCGACCTTCCCGGCGCGCATGACAGAGAACCAGATGGAGGATCTCGTGCACAAGCATTGCTACGTCTCGAAGGACTATGATCAGGAGCTGAGCCGGTTCCTGGATTGGACGGGGCTAGAGGATCGGGACCATATCGTCCAATACCCGTATACGGAGCATGTCGTCCCGGAGAAGACGGAGGAGGAGCTGGCGCGCATTGCAGAACGGAAGAAGGAGAGCGGGCGGAGGTTGCAGGAGCAGGCTGCGAAGATGCGACTGGAGAAGTTGATGAAGAAGGAGCAGGAACTGGAATACTACAAGGATCTACAACGGGGTCTTGCGTCTGAGTCGAAGAAGGAGGCCCGACGCATCTTGGAAGCTGAGGATCTGAAAGACGAGGCACACCTGGACCGCCTGATCCGCGATCTCGAGCGTTCGATCAAGCGATCCCGGAATCGCGACCTAGGTATTGAGGAGACGGAGGAGCCCCAGGAGGAAATGTCGTTCCCGCTGCTGGATGTTCCCGACGAAGAACTCGATGAGGCTGGGCTCAAGGAGAAGCGCCACCAACGACTGATGAAGTCCAATGTCGAAGCCCGCCAACGCGCCAAGGCCGAGAAGGAACGGGAGAAGGCTCGTCAGGAGGAAGAAGAGAGGCTTGATCGCGAGAAGCGAGAGAATGACTTTGACAACTGGTTGGCCGAGCGAAGGGCTAACCGCCAGGTAATTAATCCATACTTCTACTGCCACCGCTACGGCGACTCTAACACTGACTTATCAGGGTATCTTGCAACGAATCAAAGAACGTGACAGGTTGAAGGCCGATCTGGGCAACCGGAAGTCGCTCGCCAGTCAGATGCGCATGAAGACGCTGGCCAACCTCGCCGCGGACGGCCCCAAGAAGCGACGGAGGGGTGGTGATGACGACACCTTCGGCGCCAACGACGAAGACTGGGGTGTTTACCGCACGGTGGCCACGGGCGAGCAGAGTGACGAGGAGGAAGAAGAGGACCTCGGCGGCCTGCTGGACGCGGCCGAGAAGGAGCTTCTGGAATACGACCCGGAATTCACGGAGAACCACACGCTGGCGGCGCAATCCGACTGGACCAAGAGCCTGGTGCACGTGTTCCTGCGGGGGCCATGGCCGTTCGATCCCGAGAGCCAGCGCGAGGCGCATCAGATCCATTTGAATGTGGAGCGTATCCGAGTGCCCGAGGTCGTCTTCAAGCCGTCCATCGCCGGCATCGACCAGGCGGGGCTGGTCGAGATCGCCGCCGACATCGTCAACCAGCGCTTCTCGAACCCCGAGGAGCAGGCCCGCTTGCTGCGCGACGTCTTCTTCACCGGTGGCAACACGCTCTTCCAGAACTTCGACGAGCGATTCCGCCATGACTTCCAGGCGTGCCTCCCCGCCAACAGCGTCCTGAACGTTCGCCGCGCCGCCGACCCTGTCCTGGATGCCTGGAAGGGCGCTGCCCAATGGGCGTCGGGCTCGGAACTCCGCAAGTCGTCTATTACACGGCAGGAGTACCTGGAGAAGGGCAGCGAATACCTCAAGGTAAGTTTTGTGGAGCGCTGCCGACGGGAGTGATACAACGGATGTGATGTATATGTATGGGGCTGACCACGGTATACACTAGGAACATGATCTGGGCAATGTCACCACGTGGTAATAGGTCTGTCTGCCTCAACAACAACAACAACCCCGGACTCTTTTCGTATCGCGTCGATCGAACGATCTGCCCTGATTCGCCGGGTCCATTTAGGCATGATGTCACTGGGAATTGTCCCGGGTTTACGGATATCGCAGATGTCTATAGCATCCCGAAGAAACCAGGGTTGTTGTGCTGGCCAGACACTGGCCACCTAGCCACGTCGCTGCTTTACTAGATCACCTACTACCACTATATCACTGGGATCATTTTTGTTTTTCCTTCGTGAACCACATATCTAGCACGTGGTGGGGACAAAGGGTTAGTTACTAGATAGTATACAAGGAGTCCGGCGTCCAAGCGAGTCCAGACCGGGTGGACGGGGTGGATCGATGGAAAAGAAACCTAATTTTCTTTCAGAAGGAACCTGTTTTTGAACCATTTTTTTGTGTGCTAGTAGAGCAAGAGAGAGAGAAAGAGAGCTGTTGTTATCAATTTACCTTTCAAATCAACGACCTTTCTGTTTAGAAGCTTCAATAGATTGGGCGTATACTTCGGAAAGCACGGATGCTCTCTCTCCAGCTCGCTGTTCGCCCGGCTGTTTCCTCCGAGGGACTTCAGGGTTAGCTTCCTCAAATCCCAGTAGGGATTGAGTCGTGCCATTGGTCCAGGAGTTAGGATTGCTGGTGTTCGGTTTGTCTTACCCTCCTTACCGCCCAAATGAAATTTCCACTTTCCTTGATCTTGTTGATCTTGTGTGTGTGTGGAATTCCTGAGCGAGACCTTTGTCGGTGAGGAGAGTTCAATAGCTTTGTTGAGAACGCTTTGGAGTTCTTGCGAGTAGTTCGTATTATCTTGCATCATAGCAGGAGCAATAATCATGGTCATAATCTATCATAATCTCGGAACAACAGCAGCAGCAGCAGCAGCAGCAGCAGTATGGCCCAGATCCTCGGAAGACGTAAGACGCAAGGGGGAAGAGGTGGGGAAACGGAGAGAAGTGTGTGTGTGTGATTTGTTTTGTACAATAGTTCAGATCAAATTCTTCGGATCAAGAGCGACGTGGTCCTTGTCCACGTCCACGTCGACCTCTCTGCATTCGTCTATGCTTTTTTCATCCGAGGACACGAGAGGGGAGGGAGGGGAAGACAGTCACGAGGAGGGGAGAACCGATGGTTCGTTTTGGACTGGACGAGATAATTGGGAATTCTGTACGACGGTACAGTATGTACTGACAGTAAGAAACCTCTTTCTCTCCGTTTCTGTGGTTTACACAGAAAGAAAGAGCTTAGTATTGGTGGTACTGATAATCCCAGTGATCGATCAGAAACATACTGAGGGGGTCACATCACGTCACGATTCGGCAGGGTGCAGGTCGGTGTGAACAGGCCGACCTGTGTGTGCAGTTTGGTCTGGAACCATCTCTATCCTGTATAGTACTTTTTGCAATGTTGTTCGTTGGACTAGTTAGACTATCGGGGTCTGAAAAATGAGGAAAATCTTCCTGATCAGCCTTGTGGGTCTATAATCACGGATCAGTTGATCACGGGCTCTGATGAAATCATCCATGGGTTCTGGTGGTCGCCGGACCATCCGGGAGGGATCTGCAGCGCCGTTCAGCTAAACTCGAAGCTTCGATGGAGGAGGAATTGGAGGGAGCGAGGGAGGGTTGATGGACCTCCTCTTCCTCATTCCTGTTCATCCGGTGGTTGCACAATGGGATGTGGCGTGGTTTGGGGCCATTGGTCGTTGGTCTCTGAGTTCTTCTGGTCGTGGTGCTGGTGGTTGCTGGTTCTTTTTGGTTTGGTGAGAATCTATGTTGTTGTTGTTGTTGTTGCTGCTGCTCATCTCTGCTATCACTGCTCAGGTACAGTAGGAGTACTAATTGAGTGCTTCATTTGTGAGTATTGTCTATACAGTAGATTGAAGAAGAAGGGCAGAAGAGAGAAAGAGAGAGCGAGTCTGGCCCGCGGCGGAAAGAGCGGCCAGACCGTGACGGTAAGATTACCAGCGGTACCGGATGCCGGGTGCCAAGCCCTGATGACAGCCCATTCATTCTCCTTCTATACTCTTTATTTTCATTTCCATTTCTTCCTGATTCAGTCATTGTCTACCACTCACTCCCTCACTCCCTCCCTCACCCCTGGTATCACGCAACCCCTTTGCACCACTCCCCTCATCGAATCAGTCCATGTCTCTTGCCGATCCCTTCCTCCCCCTAGACATGCCAATCGTCCAATGCCAAGGCCTCCCGCTTCGGGTCTATGCAAAGCTGAGCTGTGATGGCCCCGTCCCCCCCATCTAGCAATGCTTATCGTTGGGCAGAACATGAGCAGGGTGCTAAACAAGAATTGACTTAGCCAGCCAGCTAGTTAGCTAGGGATGCAACTAGCGGCAACCTGAAAAATTTTCTTCTTAGTAGGTAAGTAAACATCACCCAACCCTAAAGCCTGGACCAAGCTCGGGATGAACTGACTTCATGCAGAGGAAACTATGACGCATCTGGGGTGGACGGAAACCCAACGCTCTCTCTCACTCTCTCTCCAGTCTTCTCCTCCCATCGTCCAGTTCACACACGGTTCTCTCGGCACCTCTTTTTTGGGCCAAACGAAAAAGGAAATGAGCCAAAAAGAAGCAACCAGAAAAATCAAAATCAAATCAATAACGGCACAGAAGGCCTCTGACGTAAAGGATACGCTTGTGTTGACTCCGGCCGACGAGGGGTAGACCATGCATATCCCTCGAATATAAAAAACCCTGTCCTGGTCACCCTTCGGATGCAGAGTTCATTTGAAACCAGTTCAATCATCATTAGAAGAAGTAACAGCCTTCCTCGAGGACTATCGGGTCGCATCTGATATACATACCGCCCTTTCTTCCCGGCTACTCTCTCTCTCTACCAGCAACTATAGCAACTCCTTCAGATTCTTAGCCGTCTACAGTCAAGAATATCCCAGCCATGTTGCTCTCCACTACCGTGGCGCGTCCACTGCAGCTCCTCACTCGGTTCATGCAATGGTCCAGTGCAGTCATCGTGATGGGTATCACCTCCTACTTCATCCACCGGGGTCCTCGCGGTCAGCACATCATCTACCATGAAGTTATTGTATGAAGCCAACGTTCCTCCCCAAGAAAGCAGCACTCGCTAAACTCTATCTAGTCCACCATCTCAGTCGTGTTCTTCCTCCCGGCCTTCGTCTCGCCGTTCATGCCCCATGCCCTCAGCAAATTCGTCTTGGCCATCGACGTGATCTTCTCCTACCTGTATGTTCTCAGAAACCCTAACCGCCGCACAGATCTATACTAACCCAAAGCCTCTAGCTGGCTCACCTCCTTCATCTTCGCCGCCCAAGACTACAACTGGCGCAACTGCAACGCCAACGCACCCCCGGGCGCCTCCTGCGCCCTGAAGAAAGCCAACGAGGCCTTCATCTTCCTGACCTTGTACGTCTCCTTGCACCCTTGCATATCACCCCATAGAAGACCCCATATACTAACGTGCCCCAAACAAAAACAGCATCTTCACCTTCTTCGCCATTTTCCTCGAAGTCGGCGCCCTCTGGGCCTACCGCCGCGAGAACGCCGGCCCCATCCGCGAGAAGAACACCGGTGGGGCCCACGGTGGGCCGGCCGATGCCCCTGTCGCGGCTACCGTTTAAGCGGCTCGCTTTGTTGCCTGCATAAATGATACTGCAATTCGCCCGTTTCGATCGCCTGCGTGTTTGGTCTCGGTGTAGCTGGTCGGTTTTAGGACTGGCTGCTGCTGTTGCTGCTGCTGCTGCTGCTCCGGCCCGGGTCCGTCGAGACGGACGAGAGCTCTCGACCTTATGATACCATGTTTTACTTACTACCTACGAACTACTACTACTTAATATTGATGTGCATATGTGCATGACGCTGGATTGATGGGTTGATGGTAATGGTTTATGATGATGAGTGGGCGGAAGCGGAGTTGTGAGTGATGTGAAGTATATAGATGGGGATGGTGGATGGATGGATGGAGCTTGGCAGTGGTGGTTTGAGTTCAGGTGATGTCGATGTTGATGTTGATGTTGTTGGCTTTAGTTATCTACCCTTCTCTCGACGACTTTATTGGATAGTAATACTACCTTTTTGATTCTTGACATATTCTTAATCTCGCCATGTTCTTTCGGAATTAGGTTGCAGATCTCACAAGCCCTGTGATACTCTTTCTAGCGACACCGGCTGACTACCGTACGTAAGACATAGTACATGAAAGACCGCTCATTGATGCTGATATATAACAACTGTGTATAGAGTCTCGAGAGGGAATTCTATCACGATCGTCCACCATAAAAGGTGGTGGGCACCCAAAGAGCAGGTCTATACGTCCTCCTGGCCGTAACCTTGCATCCCCCTCGTCATCATCCTCGCTCTCCCCAGCACCATTTTTCCCCTCACCATCATCGGCGTCCTGCCCCCTTTCGTAGCAGTAGCAGGCACCCTGTTCCATCGCGCACGAACTTCGTATTATTCAGTCCTTCGGCTACGCGAGTCTTATCACCAGCATTCTTACCACCTCCCCCCCCCTCCTCCCGGTCCCCCTCCCCGGCCGGGTCTTCTTCCCCGGACGCACCCGCACCCGCAACAACCAAAGCCAAACATCCTTTCGACGCGCAACTCAAACCCCACCCACAACCCCTGACCATACCACGACTCCCAATTGAGCAATCCGCACCGCAACCGCCACTGCTAGCCCTGAACACGGTCGCGATGGCCCGTTCCGGGAATGAAGGTAAGCGCGGCGCGGACCCGTAGACCTGCCAGCGCGCGGGGCCTTACAGGTTCATGGCTATGTCGTCGAGACATCGCCATTCGGAGTTTGTTTGTTGCTGTCCACATACAGGTGAATTTGCCACGTAAACGAAGCGATAACATCCATGAATACGGCCGCGAGCCCCCCTTCCAGGCGTGTGTACCCGTGGTTCAGTCTGACGAGGTCGTCGGCCAGGGTCGCGAAAAACGTGAGGTTGAGGAGGGATGGGTCGGCGGTGAGGGATTGCAGGTTTAGG